GGGGCCAATCGGTGATCTTCTTGACCGACGTATCCGTGGGTTTCCTCCCGAAGTACGAGCACGAGAACCCCACTATGTTGAGTTCAGCGTCGCATAGTCGTACCTTCTTCCCCGAGAAAGTCCCTCCGTACTTTCCCATCTTCCACAGTAGTCGATGTAAGTTCTGCAGATACTCGTACACATAGCGCCGAACTTTCGGGTTTCCTTGTATCATTTCTGGCTGCCCTTTCGAATCTTCATATCTAGTCCTAGGTCCCTTCACGCCAAAATCGTCCAGATAAGCCACAGTCGTCGGGGGATTCTCGTCACCGGTAATAAAGTTGGCAGCCCGCTGAAAGACCCCAACAGAGTTCAACGCTCCTTGCGGCAAACTTGTCAGTCTCAGCGGCCCCATACGCGTCTGGAACGCCGTCAAATCCCTGCTATCTGGATGGAGCGGGTACTGCCCATATCCATCGTAAAGGTCAAACAGCCCCACACAGGATAGTCCGGCGAATTCGTCGGCGAAGTTCTCCAGCAACGGCGGTGTTGCATTGTCCCGTACCGTAATCGAGTTCAATGTTTGCATATTGTGCACAAACCTGTACCCTCCATCCTTCTTGGCAACCACAATAATCGAGCTCAAATAGGAACCTTGCGATGGCTCGTAGGTTCCGGAATCAATCTTCTCCTGTATCTTTCCCATGATAACGTCGATAGCGGCAGGGGGTATCGGAATCGCCCTGTCCCTCCATGGCGTATGCGCAATAGTCGGTATCTTGTATGGAGGTATATACTCCGGTTTGAACTGGCCTCTCTCGGCATCCGTCCATGAAAACGTCTTCTCATTGGTCATAACGACCCAGTTGGCCAACTTGGCTTCTTCTTCGTTGAGGATACTCTCCTCAACCATAGATTTCCAGCGATCCTCAGTCAATCGTTCTCCAAAACTGAAACACGATACTTGTACAGGTAAGTCCGGAAGGTCGTCCAGCAACCCCTCCGGCCTTCGAAACTGTCCTACGGTCAACGATTCGGGCGGCACAGTCGCCCCTACAGCTCTCTTCTTCTTTGCGACGGGCTTGTATGCTGTGAATACACGCTCGCCTGCGTTCAAAAATCCGCTGTCGAACAGGTACAAGAACCTCCATTCCCGGCGTGACCGACTTTGTCCTCATGTCCGAAGCGGTCCGAGTCAGACCTTCGCCTCGGTCTGGGAGCGGCCCCGGTCGTCGGTGCGCTTGCCAGCTCTCCATTCTTGACCGTCTTGTAAGAGAATTCCAGGTCTCCGTCCTCCGAAGACAGTCGGACCACCGGCCTGTCGCCATCCCAGCCATGGGAGAACCTAGCTCTGTTCAGGAAAGGCTGTCCTAAGATGATATAGTCCGGCCCATCCTCATTGACATGGACGTCCCTCGGGAAATTCAGATCTCCAATGCGCAATTCGACCTGTTGCATGATGCCGTCGATGTGTTTCGGGGGTCCGTTGACTCCAGACATAAGCAGCCTCAAATCAGTCCGCAAGGGCGGCGGATTAGCCATAGCTTCGTATAGCCTCCGGGAACACATGTCGATTTCGCTGCCGGTGTCTAGCATAGCCGTGACGCCGATTCCTGCAAGCACGGCAGGAATCTTGATAAGGGCGCGAGTTCTTCCAGGTGGCGGTTTCCTCTCTGGGGCGTATGTTTCGTCGGATTTGTTGACCTCATACCATTCGGCTTCTTCCGCGTCTTCCTCACCGTAGCTATGTTCGGCTACATAGTGGGTAGCGTCACCGAAGCTCACCTGCTTCCCCGCCGCAGGTCCCAAATGAGAACGGGTCCCCTTGTTGACAATACCGGTCGCTACTCCAGAAATAGCGAACAGCTCTTTCGTGGATAGCTCAATCGTATGCCTTTGATTCAGCAGGCGCTGTATAATCTGTTCGGGATTCAGCTCCCTAGCAAAGTCAGTCGTACGCGTGAGCCGGGGCTCATCTCCGCTCGGCTTGTTTCTAGTAGCCGGCTTTCGACCATCCTTCATGTCCACGTCTTGGTCAGGGATAAACTTCCGGTCGCTGACTTCCATTCCCGGCTGTCGCGGGTAGACCTCAGGTTTCATAGTTGGAAACCGCGGCTGCTCATGTGGAAGAGGAATCTGGTTTGAGGACGTTCCTCGCCCTGCCGGCTGGGCGTTGAATCGAGTCGTTTTGTCTCGAAAACTTTGGTCCTTTCCTCCCGCGGGACCAGGTCGAAAACCATCAGGTCGGCCTTGGGGAACCTTGTTCCGGATATTAGCCGCGTGGCTATAGTCCGGGTGCGAAGGATACATGGTCTGGCGCGCTTCAAAAGTCGATGGGTAGTACCCGTTAACCAAATAGGTCTCCTCGTAGGCACCGCTGATGGGGCCAGCATAACTCTGATCGTTTCGGGGATATCCCTCCATCACTTCCAAAGCGTGAACGCCAGCGGCCCTGGGCGCGCCTGCTCCCATCCGTCCTTGTCGATCCGCTACTAGAACCGACCGTCGTTGCCCAGGCGGGCAATGGATAAATTCACCAGTGGGCCATACGATTCTTCCTCCGTTGTCCCGGCAGACCCAGCCTTTGTTGATATGGAGACCCGCGGTCTCGCACTCGTTTACTCTGTGGCCTCCATTGCCACAATAGAAGCAGATCCCCTGGAAACCCACTCCACGAGGTAGACCCATTCCTCTCGCCGCAGGCGGAGCGTTTTCCGAAGCCCAGATAGGGGGTCGGACCCGTCCTTGAATCGCGTATCCTTCTTGAACGGCTGTCACGTACGCATTGTAGTATTGAGCAGATCCCACGTTGAGCTGCTTGAGCTTCCCGATAACCAAGTCCAGATCTTTGTCCGTGTCCGATCGAATCGGCTGATGGGGTGGCGCGTCACGGATCCGGTTTTGGTTCATCGTCCGCTCCCCTTGCCTGTCCGTCCATCGCTCGGCCGGAACGATTCCCGGTGCCAGCCACGACGGCTTTCCGCCCAGATCGATACCTTCGGTAGTACCAGTGATCTTCCTGCCTTTGGCGCGTACTACGTCGACCAACTGGTGAAACCCTTCCTGTCGTCGCCTTTCTTCATCAATCTGCTCGTCGCTAATCTCGTACCGTTCCCTGGCGTCGAACCGGTTCATGTTGAATAGGTCCCTGCCGACCTGCACCTGTTCAGCGATGGGGGGAGCTTTGCTTGTGTCCCGTACCTTGCTCGTCATCATATACTTGTTCTCGAGTTGGTCTCTAACCGAACTAGGTAGTCCCTTGTGAAAGATAGACGCTTCCCTGTCTGCGTCGAGGAGACCCTTCTTCTTCAGCTTGTTAGAAATAACTCTGAAATCTCGTAAGTAAGCTTCCCATTCTTTCGGAGCCTTGATTCCCCTTTCTCCCGTAGACTTAGCGAGATATTCTAGTTGCTCGATCGTGGCCGCCAGTCCGGAAACGGTGTCACGGTACGACACAATAATCTCATCTTTCAACGTCGCCCAAACCTTCTCAGCATACCCCGGCATCGCCCGAATAGCATCTTTAACGGAATGGGAAGTGTACCGAGTCACCTCATTGCACCTGTTACTCTCCGAAATTTCGTACTCTTGGGCGAACGTCTCAAAGTCTTCCATCCACTCCTCGATGTCTTCGACTTCGGTACCCGAAAACATAAACGGAGCACCATCCTTCCCGACACTGGGGATAGATCTCTTGCTCCTTCCCTCCGGAAGAGGGGAACCCTCGGGATTGGGAGTCTCAGGTTTGGGAGGCATGATATTGGATAGTCCTTATCTAATGACTGAAGGGTACGATGTGGTATATCTCAACGGTAATCTGTCGGTACACGAATCCTCGTCGTGCTTGTCGGTACACGAATCCTCGTCGTGCTTGTCGATATACGAATCTCGTCGTACGTGTCGGTCTTGATGAATGTCCCCCTGTGATACTACCCTCGGCTAGTTCGGGCTAAACGATCACACTGGTGTCGCCAGTTTTGTGGGGTCAATCCCGGCCTTCGGGATCAAACGTCGATGACGACGTCAAACAACAACTCGTCTGAGTTGGCGGTAAGGTAGGTAGATAGGGTTGCTAAGCCTAGGAGTGGTAAGGGATGTCCAGGTAGGCAAGTGCTGTTCCCGGTAGACTATAGGGGGGGGTAGGAGGTAGGTAAAGTCGTGTAAACGTTACGTGATTCAGGTCACGTGACGTTCGAAGGTAAAAGGTGATATCTCCGATCAAACGCGATACGTCGAAGTCGTATAAACTCGAAACCTCTCGGGGTGGTAAGCTAGCAAGGGCCGTACTCTGACGCCGATCTACTTAACCTTGTCCGGAAGCCAGCTATAGATCCGTCGTCTTAAGCGGGTGATGGGAAGTAAACGTGAAACGCGAAGCGGCGAATCAGCGAGGTCGAACGGTAGGTGTATACCGAAAGTGAGATGTGGGATAAAAGCTATGAATAAACGTCTACTACTGGTCTCTCTACTGCTTGCTTGACTACTACAACGGTGAAACGGCGATGGAAAAGAGGGGAATCGAATATCGAGGTGGGGACCTTTATACGTGTCTAGCGTACGCTTACGCCAGCGCGACCGAGTAAAGTACCGGAACGGTCTATACTCCGGGCCGTGCGTCTTCCGCTTCTCCTCTGCCCGTATGCCTCGACCTTTACACGTGTATCCCGTCTCCCGTCGTCCGATGAAACCTTCTAATCCACCGTCGGCTGCCGTCTAGTAATCCACCGTGACCAACAGCGGCGAGGTCGAGGTAGTCGAGAGCGAACCGCGGATGTAGGAAGTAGGCGACCGTCGGGGCCGATAGATTCCTGTCACCACAACGCGCGTTCATCAACTGGTCAGGAAATCGATACGAGAGGACAGCGGAAACGGCAGAAAGGGACCCGAATACAGTCATCGGTCATATCGGATCGAGCTTATCGGTGTCGACCGGCTGGGACTCTGCACCGGCAAGACACCAGAACACCTGTCTCATTGAGAGGACACGGACGAAAACCAGATTTCAAGCGATAGCATGGATAATGGCGAGGCTCGAGACCATCAGCCGCCCAGCGTTCGCGTTCGGACAAGCTTCCGTGCAGTCGTCAAGACCTTCAGTGCGTTCGCTTGGCTGGGCAAACGCTGTGATCTACCTAGACAAGATGGGCCTTAGAAACGATAAGTCGGCGATGCTAGTGAATACGCGGTCAACACGTTCTTTTGACATTGCTGCAGTCTCCTCGACAAGGTCAGCGGAGGCTTCAATAAGAGACAGGTTGGGGCTACCATCGAGGAATATTTAGACGAGGTGTTTGAGAAGCTGTCGCAACAATTCCACAAAGCTCTGGAGGTGGACGTGCCGCTTTGCGATGACGACATTCACCCTGATCTGGCCAGTCTTCTCGTCGTCATCGGATACACAGCTCAGAGTGCAAACTAGGGATGGGCGGATCCATTCGTTGACTGGCACGGTTGAGGTGCTGAGGAACGCGTCAGGGGCAGGAGCGAGTGCGAGTGCGAGTGCGAGTGCGAGTGCGAGTGCGAGTGCGAGTGCGAGCGAGCAGGAAAGCGGAAGTGGAAAGGTGGCCGGTCAGGATGAGCCGGCATGTGTGCTTGGGGGACGACGCAGTGTCAAGAGGGATAACAAAGAACTGGAGACGATAGAGGTCAGTCTGATTTATCCTTCGACGATGACAGCCATGACGACGGATGACCCTGACCGTCGGCAGAAACCCTTCCAGCTCGATCGCTCGTGTCGACGTGAACGATCTCTTCAGAGTCCATCGCCAGACCGCCGTCACCCGTTCCGCTCTCACATTCGTGGATGATGATTCCCGCACAACGACATGACTAGAAATTGATATGCGACATTTCCAAACGGGACTTGAAAGCGGCGTGGACCCTTTCACCTTGCGAGAGCCATCTGCCGTGAGTTTGTGCATAGCTGCTTCAAGCCGTACCATGACCCATGACTTCGATTTATCGGTGACCGATCGGAGCGATATGGGCCAGGTCTTGACCTGAACTCCCGTGAACAAAGGCTATCGCAGATTTTGTAGCTCCTCGATGAACACAAGCTTCATTTTGGATCTTTCGATGACGCTGTAACGGTGGTACATCACACATGCCAAAGTCGTTACCCCTCCCAACGCCTGCGTGGAAAGGATGTTCTCGACCCTTAGCATGGAGATTTCAGAATTCTCAGATCGCTTTCTCGTGTACAACCAACTTATCGCCCCGAACTTGTCATGTTATCTACCGCCTTATTGCCTCTCGATGTCCACCGGCTTGTCGCCCTCGAGACTTTGCTTAGGCTTGTCCGTATCTTGTTGAAAATGAATTGGCGGAGTTTTCCCCCTCTATTGGTTGGCGAGGTCGGGTCAGTTCACTTCGAGGGATAATTGACCGCCGGACGATGCCAGGTCAAGTCACAAGTAGCCGTACTCACAGTCGCGCTTCTCCCACTTCACCGCATGGCTACCGTCGCGGAGGACATGCCCCCTATCGGTTTGAGAGAGGGGGAACTGCCGATTCGCTGATCTTTCATCTCTATCTTTCTTCTTCCGCATCTGTCGTTTAGCGTTATCGCTTATGGATGGGTGTCAATTTTGGATCTGTGCCGTGTCGTACCAACTGAAGATGGTCACCTTAGTTTCGCTCTCGGAGGCGGTGAGTTTTGGTGACTCTTTGTTTCCGATATGGCAGGGTGCTATAGCCGATATACGACGTAGTTTCTATGTGTGTCCTATGATGAGATCTACGTTGGTAGACGATGGTAGACGGTGGTATACGATGGTCTAAGATGGTATACGATGGTATACGATGAGGGGGACGCGCGGCGTGACGTGATAGGGAACTCGGTCTGATCGCTAGATCGCTGGTACGATTGTGTGATTTACTCTACCTCTATTGCGAACACAATATCAACGGCTAGCATACCCAAAGCTTACACAAGGAATGGACTGCTCACCGTATCAAGAGAGAACCGTCATAACAATTTTCTCTTAACCTCTCTTGCCTTGCGATTCAAGTCGCCCTCGAGCCTAAGATGATTCAACCTGGTTTTCATGCGCTGTATACATATTATGATGGTGATATTGATCATAGAACATGACCTGCGGCATACAAACGATGTGTCGCTTCACGACCAGGCGAGGCAGTCAAAAGGGGTTCCTTCTGACGTGCGACCCAAGCGTTATCAGCAACAGGCGATGCAACACGTGCCGATACGTGGCCTAGCTCACCTCGACAGGATCTCATCTTCATGTCGGACGACACTTCTTTCGTGACAGGACCTCCCTCATCTGGTCCGACTCCCGATCGCGTTGCTCCAGTAGCGCTATGCGGCAATTCTCCCTCGCCCTCAAGAAACCCTCCCTTCCAACCGGGTTTCCATGAATGCTGTCGTCTCGGTGAATCGAGCCCGCCGTTTGCGCATCTTTCAACTGCTCCAACTCGGTCGTCAAGCGTTCGACTTGGGCTTCCAGGGCCGAATTTTTCCCCTTCAACTCCTCGGCTTCCGACCGCAGATTGGCGACCTGTCGCTCGAGGTTACTTGTCTCGCCTTCCTCCTGGGCAGTGCAGATGATATCCTTACGTCCCTGCGGTGAATAATATTCGTTTGGTCAGTTCGATCCTAGTGCCACTGCGGCCAATGCGGTCAGATCTTACTGGCGGCTTCAAGCATGCGGTTCCGCGAATCAGAGTGGGGATTGGCGGAACCGAAACAGGTGAAATGAAAAGGCGTTGAGGACCTGGGACTGGACGACCAGGAGGGACAGGAAAAGGATCGTCCATAGAAGTATCTCCGATAGGCCGTACTGATCCTACGGGAGTTTCGTATCGTCGACCTTTCTTTGTTGGACTGTTCTGTACGACTCTTGCGGCTCACTGTTGGTCTGCGACCCGCTTGGGAGTCAATCGAAGCTCATGTCTGCCTATGGTGATGGTACTCCCGGAGGTGGTGGCAGTAGGAGCCATGGCCGGGGCGGAGGTGGCAGACCCGCGATCCACCTTTGGAGGAGGTTGTGACATCTTGACTCGGCGAGATCGTGGCTGTTCTGACCTCCGGTTCAAGCGTACGAGTAGGTTCGAGATTCAAGTGAGCTTGTGAGAGTTTCTAAGGCGCTGAGGTAACTACGATCGAGTTCGGGACCTACGAAGAAAGACCTGCAACTCGCAATCCGATTGATGGGCAAGTCAAGATGACAACAAACCACCGTAGCACGTACTAGCCCTGACGGTAGGCATGCCGAGGTCGGCCTTACTTGGGGGTACCCCGCTTTTTGATGCGCGTTTCAGCTTTGGAGAAGCTGGCGTGGCTCCCGCTTTTCTTCTCCCGCTTTTGTTCGCCATTTTCGGCGCGGGCAAGATTCCGTTCGCAAGACCCATGGGCCACGGGTCTCAACATCATCCTACACCTTCGAATGGTACCATTATCACACTATTTGATTCTCTAAAAGTCTCTTCAAGCTTCAAGTCGATCGTAGCTATCGTAGTCTATACCGCCCTCTTTCCCAAATGCAGCAAGAAGCAACCACCGCAAGCTACTCGCCATCATGAACCTCGATCAGATCATTCCGGCTTCGATTCAAGGCAAGTCCAGAATTTCCTCCCTGCTGGAACTCTTCGTGATCTGATGAGCAACGTTATGTCGACTGCATCGTTCAATAGTTGACCCTAACGATCACATCGTCTCGTATCTGGAACAAGCTTTCAAGGAGAAGAGAATCTATCATCCTGTGGGTTGCAACGGCCTCGTCATGATCAATCCCGGTCGACTCGGTCCGGAACATCAGAAACCAACGGATACTCATGTTCTGTGAGTGAACGAATGCGTGAAGACCTGTAAAGAAGAATACTGGCCCTGACGACCCATCGTCAGACATGACCGGCTCAACACCTTGTTCGGAGGCGATCTCTTTGCGGGACCTCCGCAGGGGGCCGCCGCAGAACACTACGCTGTGATAGCGACTGGCATATCTGGGGCTGGGAAAACTACCGTAATGAGGGAAATATTGAACATGCTCTCCGACTCTGACTACGCGGAAACTAAGAACGCGATCATTAAATTGGAGAAGTCTATGATCATCACCGACGCACTCGGCAACGCCAGGACGAAGAATAACGACGATTCGAGCAGAATGATCAAGTCGATCCAGGTAAAGTCGTTGTCTGCCTAAGCGATCAACTCATCATGCTGATCGACGGTACTATCGACGTCCCGTAGACTAGCAACCTCGGCCGCGACCCCCGCTTTGTCGTATCCGCCATGATGCTCGAGTACACAAGGGTCCATTGCCTTCGCTCGCCTTCGGGTATCAAAGGAAAAGAGGAGCGAAGCTTCCACATATTTTACTATCTGTTTGCTCATGGCCATCGCGCACTCGATTCTGATCTTATCCAGGAACTCTATCCACAAGGAGTGAGATCAGATGACGATGGAGAACAGTATCATAAAGTGAATGATGCCATGAAGCTTGTGGCTGGCGAACAAGATACACTGCCTGCGTTGACCTGGAATGGACTTGCCGGAGTGGCACTGTTGATGGCAGCAAAGAATGGTAGCGACCCAAAAGTCAAGTCGGCATTTGAGCTTGTTCAATACTGGGACACGGAGCTTTCTCTCCCAAAAGGCAAGACGAGAACTGAGCAGGCTGAGCTGGACGAACTATATGCCCGGGGCAAGGCTATCTATCGACTGATCTTCAAGGTGAGCCATAGTTCGGCGTGTCATGATCAACGCCGACTTAGCCTGATCGCCGAGTCGGTCTTACAGTTCTGGACCGGTAAAGCCAGTCGACTTGGGAAATCTAGAGAGGAAAAAGGACGTGTCATCACATTTTTCGATATTGTGAGTGAAAGTTCGTGAATTTGACCCGTCCAGCTCCGCTAAGACAATAGCCTCGAATATCCTCGCACAGTGTGGGTTCGAGTCACTGGAAAAAAACAGACTTGCCCAACTCCTCGTCAACGATTTCTACGAAAAGGTAAGTTTCATGTTTCTCCTCGTTACGCTCGGTTAAGGTTGATCCGTTGACAATCTCGACTACCGTATAGATCCTAGCGATGCAGGCAAGTCGTTTTCAAGTTTCGCCAGCGCGACAGCAGGATCGTTGACGAGCTTACCCAAAATTCGACTATGTTCATTGTCTGGAATCCAGGTCGATGACATTGCTGCTGCCGTAAGTTAGATGCTTGTCTGATTATGCGTATGAGTATTGAAGCGCGAGGCGCATACGGAACTTGAAACAGAAGTCTGCTTCCCAGGGTTCTTCGAAACATCCGGGTGGAATCTCCTGCGACCAGACGAGCGCGCATTTCCTCACCAATGAAATATCCAAATGTCGCACATCGCGCGGCCTGGATGAGGCATTATTGAATGCCAAAGCTCAAGATAAAAATCGAATTTCGATCAAGGGGCCCCGGGGAAACTACAACTCTCGATCAAACACCTGACAGAAGCTGTCGAAGTCCAGTACGATCACACAACCTTCTTGTCGGATGACGAAGATGAACGACATCGCGAATTCCTGGACGGCTGTCGAGGTCTCGCCGCCATGCTCGCGTCTCCTCCCTCCAACGATATCAAACGTCATACCACCACGGCGTCCATGCTTAATGATTGGCGAAACGCCCAATCAATCTTGAGCCGAGCCCACGTTCTCGTTATCAATTGCATCAAGGCGTCCAGCACCTTGTCTCCCTGGTTGTTTGACAACAAGCAAGGATCCGAGGAGACATCCGATTACCAGCAGGGAGCTAAAGGAAGATCAGACGATAAGCAAGGGGTCAAGGCACAAATGATCAATCTTGCTACCGTTCAGACTATGAACTTGATGCGTTCCATTCAAATGGACAAAGAGGACACCAAAGCAAACTTCGCCGCCCGTTACGCGTGTCTCCTCCCAGTATCTCCGCCAAACATGGGTTTCGTCGGACAAGCCGAACGCGCACACAACACCACAGTCTCAGTGATTGGTTGGGTATCCGACAAGGACGACAAAGCTTGGAACCAAAGCTGTCTTCTCCTTGCCAACAAGGTCTATTGTAGCCAGATTTTTGCTGATCGCCTCGATGAGCTTGGTGAGTCTTTTCCATATATTGCATCGGCATATTCTCAGGTATCGAAGCGCTAAAGCGGCTGGCGGACCGCAGTGAAAGCTCAAGATGAGCAGGAAAGAGAGCCAGATGCCCCTCCAGCGTACATTTTCCATTCGGACGAGGAAAAAGACCAGGAGATACGGGCTACGGTCAGCGCAGCGCTTGACTGGTATTGTCCGGATGAGAGGCCAAGCGATAGACACGTCTCGGAAATCTTCGACCTGGTTATCCACCGGCTGGTTCAACATTTGGGGGACTGTACTATGGTCATTCCGAACGTGTTCCTCCAAAACCTTCTGAGAGACACAATCATCTCGGAAGCGCAGTTGAGGTTAATCGCTGCCGGCGACTCTGACTTGGGTATCGAGGTTTGGAACCAATTCTCGGCCCGCCTCATCGCTCTAGCGAAAGGAGGTTGGAACGAGACCGATCTAAACGCACCTGCCAGAGACACCAGTGTCCGCGAACAACAGCAAGCGTGTCTCAGGGCTTGCCTGAGGAACGCAAGCTATGCTCTTTTGGCGGACCCCTCACATGGTCCCGACCAATCCGATTGGATGAGGAGCGAACTATTTTTGTTGGTTGGCCAGCTCAGTCGAGCGTGAGATCGTAGGCAGGGATTTGCTTGTACCGATAGAAGGGTAGAGATTCAGGCGATGACATAGATCCCGCTTTCCAGACTACGCTTCAGTTCAATGAATAACCTCTCCGATTGTGGCATAATCGCATGCGATACAATATGACCGCATACAGTTTGACCGGCTCGCATGCCGATTCAATATGACCGCATACAGTTTGACCGGCTCGCATGCGATTCGATGGGATGGCACGCTATTCACTAGACGGCAGTTCTGTAAAGGCAGATCGGAGACTTGGACAGACCAGCGCAAGTATCGAATTTCTAGCAGCCATCGTTGACGGAATGGCACAAACGTCATATTAAACAAACAAATTGAAAGTAAAAGTAAGGAGCCGATTCCGACAACAGATTTAGGACCTGAGGGACCTGGTCGAATCACTTCTTCCGCAGCTAGCCTTGGTACGAAGCCGTTCACTGGCCCTTTGACTGGTCTCCTCTCTGTGTACCCGCCCTCATGTCAGTTGGCTACGGAAAGTATAGATGGAGGTGTATCACTCACTCGGAAATCGTATACAAAGCCGTGCCTCCAGCAGTCGCCTTGCTTGCATGCTGTCTGGTTCCTTTGTCTTTGAGATTGGCGACGCCGTTGGACAGCCTGGCCCGTTTGATGGTGACCTTGTTCTTCTCGACAGGAGTCAAGGGCGAGGCAGACAGGCCAGAGCCTAGGGCTTGAACCGGGCTGCAGTGACGAACCGGCAGCATCAGATTACGTATCGGCAGCGTACCAGCAACATCTCAGACATGCTCACACTCTCGCCTCCTTGTAAAGGCCCGGCCTTTGCGATTGCATCTGCTTGCTGGCTTCGACCGAAGCTTCTTGCCTTAGGGGCAAAGGTCCCCTATGCACACGAGTTTGACTTCACGTGATGGCTCGGCGGCGGTTAGGGGAGAGAGCATGAATGTGCCTTTCGCCTTTATCGAAGCCAGCGGTGTCGGCCTGCAGGGAGGGGGATCGAGCGATGAGATAGGACATGATCGAAGTAATTTTCAGCTGGTGAATGAGTTGATGAGGGTGTGCAAGAGTTGGCGTTCCGATGAGGTTGCATGTCGAAAGTCCGTTTGATGATCCGATGGGAAAGAGGTATATATATGTCCCGGCGCAGAGCCTTAAGGCCCACGGAGTGGCAGGGCTGTGACCGACACGGTGGAGCGAGGATCACAACAAACCGGATCATGCCAAAGGATGCTCGGCCTTCCTTTCGCTGCGAAGATCACAACAAACCCCCAAAGGATGATCGTCCTTCCTTCCCCTTGATCGCGGATGGCTTGAGCTGGAATTGTTTCACGCAATCGCGCCACAGCCAGCCTTCGCGTGTCGGGGAGGGCGTGTGTTGGGAGGCCATCAAAAAGGGCCACAAGACACCCTCTCGAGTCTATAAACACTTCCATTTAACAGGGACAAGGGACTCCAGTCTAGGTCCGAGCGTTGTGGTGTCGAAAGAGGATTTCGATAAGGAAGATGGGGTGATCGGCAGATCGAGGGAAGAGGTGAAAGGTCGATAGTATTTGGTTCGGATTTCGACCTGCGAAGAAAGAGAACGACGCGCATCAGCGATTCAGACCCATCTGTTCCTACGGTAGACACTTCGCATGTTCGGACCTTTCGGTTAGCGAGATTTGTAGTCCACTTGCCCAGCTCTTAGATTGTAGTTTGTGGATTGTGGTATGTCGATGCAATCTTAGGGGTTCGCGTCTTCGATTTGTCGAGCGATCCATATTCTTGAGCTGATCAGCACACGGCAGGTTGAGCTCATCGCGATGGTTCAGCTCGGGCTGAACGCGACGGGTCAGCTTGGGTCGATCACAGTCATTGTAGGGTCTCCTCCCACTCACTCGATGAGATCAAAAGCCTGAGACGAGCACGGGTCCGTACGAGTTGCAGAGTTCCTTTCGTGAGTGGTTTTGGCGGAGGAAAGGGCAAGGTCTGCAAGCTGATTAACACACGATCGATCAAGGTAAGGCGTCACTGCAATACTCGCGACCATGTTCTGAAGCTAAATGGGAGGTGACATAGACGAGGGTCGAGCACAATGTGGTTAATCGAGATTCCCCTTGTTCACCCCGGGTTCGTTCTATAAGCGGACTGTCGGCCTAATACCTTTTCTCGCCAGCGAGACGTGTGTTCTTTGTCCTTTGATCCCTGACAGCAGGCAAAGGCGATCAGCGATGTGTAACATCCAACAATCTCCTGACCTGGACACGGAAGCGCTAGCCTATAGGCGGTCCGTGTTTAGTTATCGCCGAGATTAGGGTCGGGATGGGCAGTAGTATTGGATGTAAAGGCAGAGGAAGAGGAGCTGGATGTGAACATGTTTGTAGAGAACGAGTGAAGAGGAAAGTTGGTGCTGATTCCTGCGACTGCTCTGAAGCCGGAGGTACTCGCAGGTCCACCCCTAGCGTTATTGGTGGCGGATGGATTGATCGGTGCAGATCCATCACGGGGAGCAGACCTGCGCTGATAAGCTCTGTTGACGCCGCAGGACATGTTTAGGGATTATGCAGCGATGAGAATATTTGTCGAGCTGTCGAAACTATTCCCAGGCAGATGGCTGATGATAGCTGATAAAGAGGAGGTTGATCGGACTGGGAGCCAATCCAGGAACGACCACTTTTTTGGAAGACCAAATAGGGCGAGAAGTCTAACCAAACCAGCTCCGACGATCGACCTCGATCCCCACACCGCTACAACTGCCTGTAGATCCCTAGCCTTGATCATTCCATCTACCTAGCTCTATCGACCGACAGCCTCATTCGCTAACAGTACAAAATGTTACCGGGCCCTGCTTGGAACGTCTTCACAGAACACCCGGATCGATTTCAGTTCAACGCTCGCCCAGGACAAGTCTTCCAGTTTACTGCTCAGGATCTAGTCCGACATGGTATAGGTTCAGAAGCGATGCAACTCTATCCCGACCTCTTTCACGTACTGAGAAGCTGTGAGCCTCTCAAGAGTACGGAAAAAGGCAAATCCTTGCGAGATGTGTTTGGGAATTCGAATTTCTCTGGCTGATACTTTGACCCTCGCCGGCTGCCAGATAAGACCGTGGCCAGTCTCAAGATAGCATTTGCCTGTCATCTCTCCAACTTGACTTGCTGGGAAGCCGAAAGAAAGGGTTCCATCGGCTATTGGGTCCATCCAGATACGGCCGAAAACTTGGGCACGAAGTGTGCAAACTGTGAGTTGCGAGTCGAGAGCGAGGGCGAATGCGAGAATGCGAAGTCGGATGCGAATGCGAGAATGCGAAGTTGAATGCGAGATTGCGATACGATAAAGTGCGAGAGGGAGATCAAGAGGGATCGTAGCGAGTGTGGTCTGCACGAGCGAGGTGTTTGGTCCAGCAGATCTGAGTTCATGTGCTAAAACAACCTTGCTATTGAACCAAAGGTACTCGTCTCCGCAAGGCCTGCTGGCTAGATGTGCGACCTTTCGATAAGGATTACCCGGAATACATCAGTCTGATCAACGAGAGTGAGTGCACACGGTCTGGGACTGCTCGCGCTTGGTGCTGGTGCTGAAATGGCCTGCACAGAATCGGCCAACTGGCTGATCAACGCCCAGCCCATCAAAATAGATCAGCAACGTAAAGTCTCATCCTACAGAGACTTCTTCGCTTGGCTCTGGCAAGAACCCTACCGTCACTACGCCAACCACCCTGACTTGAACGTACGCACCAGGTGGGCTAAGGACGCCTTGACTGCAGGAGGATACGTCTGCGAGGTGAACGACATTGATCGCAAAGAGTACTACACTGCTCGCCTGCGAAAGGAATACAGTCCCTACATCTTTAATCTTGCCGACGAGTTTCCCATAACCAAACAAAAACAGTCGCACAAGCGATTCCAATTTCCCAAGGTACACGACGAGGACACTGACAACGACATTGACGATGAAAGCAATGTGGACAAAGAGATGGAGGACGACGAGGACGTGGATGAAGACACCGTAGACGAGGAGGCCAAGGAGGAGGACCAGTACGAGCCCGAAACAGTCGTCGTCTCGGGGAAAAAAAGGAAAACGATAGCGGTCGCCATCGACCGTGGCAATCCTGGACGACCCTCTCTCACCACACTCACCCCAGCCTGGATTACTCAAATGGATCAGGCCGTGAGAAACAACAAGGACCTAACGGACGCACAGAAGGATGGTGTCTTGGGGGATCTTTATTCGGCTTGGATGACGTTTAGTCGGGCGAATTGATGAGTTCGTCTCGCTCACTCGCTCGCTCCAACCTTCTCAAATTGTTGTTTGCTCTCGTATGTATATTCTGCAAGTTCAGTTGCTTGGAGACGGGGCGACTATAAGGCCTGGCAGCCGACCTGCCGGGTCTTGAGGTAATAAGGTTGCGGGACTGGGGAAAGGTAACGGTAGGCATAGCAATGTAATAACGGATGTCTAACTACTACAAGGTACTAGTTGGACGTCTACGAGAACATCTCCTAAAAGGTCTCCGAGAGAGTCTCCGAGAGGGTCTCCGAACGAGACCCCGAGGCGACGCGCACCGTGGGTCGCGCGTCATGTGACGCCTATAATAGGATCCCCCCCCTAGATGCGAGCTCCGAACGCATCAAGCATCGCCGTACTCCTGGCGGCCCGGTACCGGCAACTCGGGGTGTCGCTTATGGAATTCCAGCACCAGCGTGTCGTTGTGGTGGAAATCCGAGGGGATAACCCACTCGTTGTGCTCGTCCCCGTACCCCTCGAAGCGCACGTAGTACTGGGTCCTACGCCCGGCGCGCGTTGAACGCAACTCCTTGGAGTGTACGATTTCCGATACCACCCACCCCAAATCCCCGGTGTCCAGCACCTCTGGCTCAGGGGGTGGGTCTACTGCTCTCCCAGGAAGCTCGTTCGGCTTGTACGGGATGAGCAGCGAGACATGAAACACCGGGTGGATTCTACGCATCCCCGGTGTCAACTCCAAACGTCGCGCCATGTGACCTTCTCCTACAATCTCCGTGATCTTGAACGGGCCGTAGGTCTTCCACTCCAACTTCTTGTTCGGCCTCACGGTATTGACGTGAGCCGACGACAACATCACCATGTCGCCAACATTGTACCCTTCATCCGGTACCGCCGTACGCTTCCGATTCGCGTACTTCGCCATATCCTCTCGGGCCTGTCTCAGCGCGACATTAACAGACTCCCAGATGTTGTTCATCCGCTCTCTGTACTCCTGTATCGACTCCACAGCCGAATCCTTGGCGATAGGCATGGGGAGTTCGACGGCGTGCTCCCGCCCTTCCGATGCCATGAACGGCGACATGCCGATCGCCGAGTGCTTCGAGTTGTTGTAGGCGAACTCCGCCATGGGCAACAAATCGGTCCAGTCGTCCTGCTGGTAATTGACGTACGTCCGCAGGTACTGTTCGAGCGTCGAGTTACTGCGCTCCGTCTGACCATCCGTCTGGGGATGGAAGGCGGTCGAATAACTAGGCTCGACACCGGACAACTCACAGAACTCCCTCCAAAATCTCGACGTGAACAGCGTTCCCCTGTCCGAGATGATCTGCCGGGGAAACCCGTGCAATCGTACCCACTCCTGCAGGAACATCTGTGCCAACACCTTGGCGTCGTTGTCCTTCCGACAAGGCACGAAATGTGCCCGCTTGCTGAAGCGGTCGACGATCACCAGGATCGCGTTCGAACCCCTCGACTCAGGTAGGTCCGTGATATGGTCCCACGTGATCGACTGGTAGGGTTCCGTCTCTACTTTCGCGGGAGCCAGTTCATCGACGGGTTTGGCCCTTGGCCTCCGGTTCCTCTGGCACTTGTCGCAACTAGCCACGTACTGGCTAATCCACGCCTTCATACCCGGCCAGTAGAAATCTCTACTCACCAAGTCCTCCGTCTTGTCCCGCCCGTAGTGTCCGGCGGTCTTCCCATCATGGAGCCTCTTCAGGAGCTCCGTCTTCAAGCTTCCCGCATCGGGAACATTGTTACGGCGGCGAGTCCGCCGGGCTGGGGCCCCGGGTCGGTCCGCCGGACAAGTGAGCGGGAGAGAGGCGAGGGTAGGAGTATACATCTATATAGTAATAACGGATGCCCAGCATCCGGTCTTTAGCGATAGTACAACGTTCGAATGTAAACAACAAATACGGCGGAGCCCGCCCTCGGGGTGGCCCGCCGGAACGCGTCTCGGCGCGTCCCGCGTCTCGGCTGCGTCGATCTCTAACAAACATACACCAGCCCGTCGTACATGAGCGCGCCTCCCGGGCTCAGACTGTACCGACTATTCGTCAAGGTTCCCTCCTTGACGCCCTTGATCAGGTCTCTCGCGACCGGATCTTCTTGTCCCGCAGGGATCAACGCTTTCAAGAACCAATCCCCTATGACGGGGATCGTTCCGCACAACCGCAACGGGGGTTGTACCGTCGCTGCGCTGACCACCAGCGCGTCTGCATTAACGGGGCGCAGCAGGGTCTCTGCCTGCTTGGGCTCCGTCTCCTCCATCAACTCCTCTCTCCTGCTGAGCGCGTCAGCCTTCCCGTTCTCTGTCCCCGGCTTGTACTCCAACGTGTACGAGATTTGGTTCAACAGCTGAGACCATCTCGCTTGTCGGTGGGACAACATCTTGTCCTTCTTGAAGTACTCCAGGTTCTTGTGATCCGTAAGGATCCTCACCGGAAACTTCCCGTCCAGGTAATGCCGCCATATTTGGCAGCAGTACACGATGGCGAGCAGCTCGCGATCGTGTACGTCGTAGTTCCGTTGAGCCGGCGTAAGGCTCTTCGACATGAACGCCACGGGGTGTAGTTTCCCGTCGTCCCCTACCTGCGACATCACCGCTCCCATCGCACCTGACAACGCGTCCGTCTCCAGTACCACCTGGCGCTCCTCGTCGTAGTGAGCGAGGATGGGCGCCTCGGTGAACGCCTTCTTCAACTCCTTGAAGGCAGTATCCGCTGACTCCGGCCAGTGGTACTTCACCCCTTTCTTCGTCATGGAAGGAAGAGTCGCGATCTGGTAGGAGTTCGGTGGGCAGTCCGAGTGATCGAGGAATCGTTTCAGCCCCGCACGCGAGAATAAGATAGGGAGAGAAGAGGGAGAAAGGGGTGGGATGACGTAAACCCCCTCTCCCCCTCCCTCCCAAGCCGGCGAGCCATCCTCCCTTCTGATCGATCAGTTGATCGCGTAGATCGTATGCTGTCCAAGGAGAGGATCTACCTTTTGCCCTTTCCCTTTCGAACAACGTGTCCCCCCCCTTTCAACACACACGCACATACACATCTCCCTTGCTTGGGCTCGTTCCACCTGGAGCGACCGATGATCATCACAAGTGTCTCCTGACCTCTCTCTCCAAGGATGGGCCGCCGGACTATAAAGAGCGGCCGATCAACAAGTCCTTTCGACCGTTTGGTCATTCTTCTCCACCTTCTTCTCCACCGCTTTTCACCCAATCCAACCCGTCCGCACCCCCGCTCAAGTTCAAATTCATAAATTCGTCAAGCGAAATGGTCGTCACACGCTTCCAGAACCAAAGGCAACAACGGCCTGTTAGACACATCTGTTTGGACGACCGCTGCTCGCGCGCGAGCGCGAGACCTACATCAGCAGAGTCTTCTCCCATCATCACCTCATGTACTTAGATAGCATATTCATCATCTCTCTCTCTCCCTGACTGCCTCTTTGTGGCGACGCAAGCTGGATCTTTATCTGAGGAAGAAGTCAAAGAGAGAGGGCCACGTACGCACCATATAGACCCCATCCACGATACCACGTCCACGATCTAATCACCTTCGAGAAATTTTTTCCCCGGGACCACGCAGACACCCGATCGATACATCGCATGGACGATAGAGCCAGAGAACGTACCCGAAGTAAAACAAGAGAAGCTATCCGATCTCAAGTAGCCAACAGAATCGCACTATACGAATTACCGGGACATCGTTTGACACTGTTGAACGAACTCTACCAACCGATCAACCGCCCCGCCACCGAAAACACAGCCGAATCGGGAAGTCAACAGCCCGACGACCCTCCCCCTCCCCAACACCCCGCTCCAGTACCTCCCAAAACCCCGGCAGGCAAGATGTCGAACATCGTGAAGGTCCCTAAGTTCGGTGGTGACAACTTTCGCAAGTGGTACAACGATTTCGAGAACTGCATGTTGTTGTTGGACTGCGACGAAAACAACGCGAAGCAGGCGAAGTTCTTCAAGGTGAATCTGATCGAGGGTTCGGCGGCGGCGATTTGGTACGAGACGATTCCGGCAGAAGCGAAAACGGACTGGAGCCTCCTTGTGCCGTTACTGAGGAACCGTTTCGACAACTCCATCGAGGACAAGAGGTCAGCCTTCCGCACCTTGTCTACCACGAAACTGACCGACAAGGACATCGGCTTGACTACGTCCAACGGGGAATTCAAGCACGTCGAATGGGCCCGCACCATAGCAATCGCAAAGGAACGCTCAGGCCAAGACCCCGACAACCTGAACGCCTTCTTAGTGATGAACAACATGGGTCCCCACATCCAATCACTCCTCATCGCGACCGGCTCGAGCTCCTCGGTTAGCGATATCTGCGCAAAGGTCGAATCGCTGACCCCGAACGAGATTGAGACGATTAGGGAGATGGTCAAGAGGGAGACAGAGACGGCGGAGATGAGGTCGGAGGTAGCACAACTGAAAAAGCAGCTCCAGAGACAACCACTCGGAGCGTCTCAACAACAGAGCCAGCAGCAAAACTCTTTCCAGCAATCGACGTGGGCTCAGCAGAGCCTGCCAGACCGTGACAACAGCGTTCGTGTCGAACCGGGCCCATTTCCGCCCACTGCCGAGGGTCATATCAGGTACAAACAAGCGATCCAAAACTTCTACAGGAAATACGGCGAAGGTGCGACGGCCAGCCTTTCTCGACCTTTTCCCCTCAGTCCGGGAACGGAACCCGCCGGCAGCAACGAGTGCTTTAACTGCGGGTTGAGCAGCCATCTTCGTCCGCAGTGTACCGCCTCTTACCGTTTGCCCGACAATGAGCAGAGGTACAGGGGATCTGTTATGAAGCAGAAGAGAGAGATGAACGTCTTTTCAGGTTCGGCGCAACAGCAAGGGAAGCCGATCCGGTTCATCAGTCATGCCAACAGTTATGAAAGGGAGTTTAGACACCTAGCGTCGATGCCGTTATCACCTCCGATGCAGCTGGGAGACCTTTACGAGTCGGACGCGGGAAACGACGAAGGCCCTCACCCGTAAGGGCGGAGGTGACAGGCCGTGGAACAGGAACGCCGAAGGTAGGGGTCGGAACGGAGGCGAGGGAGAAGGGGGAAAGGTGCGGGAAAGGATGGAGGAGGAAAGAAGGATTTAAACTACTGGATCAAGACGAAAAATTCAAAATGCACGTGGACAGAGTCGCTCTCATGGAAAATCCTAGATTGGACGCATCTGGGTCATCGCTCTCGGTTACATCTTCTTCTTATGTACCCCATGCGGTGCTTGTTAGTCCGGGGGGTATAACCCCCCAGGGCGACTCTGAGGTGAGCCCGAACATTTCGCCAGGGTATTCACCGAACGTTGATACTGCGGACGGTGTTCCATTTCGAGCTGTTCGAGAATCAACGGATCTAAGGCCGATCTCCATTCCGGTCGAATTCGACGGGGACATGCGAATCAAAGCAGAGGCCCAGACCGACTGCGGTGCACTGCTGAACGCGATCAATCACGACTGGTACCTAGCGAACGCGGGCCAGTTGGGAGACCTCGACCCCCCGGACTTCCACTTTCACCTAGCCGATGGATCGCACGTACTCAATAAAGGGTCCATTTCGCTGAGGATGAACGTGATACACCACGACGGCTCGATTGAGACGTCTACGAGGTTCCAGGTAATGCCGACGAAAGATGACTGGACGATCCTGCTAGGAAGGCCGTGGTTGCGAGACAATCGAGCCCGAGTCGACTATGGGACGGAAGAATTGACGGTCAAACGAGCCGACGGTTCAGACGCAACATGGAAATCGTCGGACGAACCGGTGTCCTACGAAGGCCGGGGATTCGAAGCCCGAGCGTTCCGCAGGATACACAACGAAGAGAGAGAAGCTTGGGAATGGTCAGTGCAGCCGGAAGTGGCCGACGAGTTCACTACCTCGGACAGGGCAGAGAAAATCCTCAAGAAGGTAACCATCGGAGACAGCCTTACACTGGAGGAGACGAGGAGGGTGGCGAATTTGGTACGTGCGAAACATCAAGCTTTCGCGCTGGACCTGAGCGAAGTCGAAGCCTGCCCGCATACGTCGCACTCCCTCGCGGTGGATCCAACCAAAAAGCTGACTCGCAAGCCATTCGGAAGGCCGTTAACTGAGCCGGAAGTAGTCGCAGCGAAGAAACAAGTCGAGAAACTACTGGCGGCCGGAGTGATCGAAAGATGTCGCCCGGACGAAGTACTTTGTTGCGCGCCGATCGTGATGGCACCGAAAAAGGGCGAGCCTGAGGAGGTCGAGATCGAGGCCCTTCTGCGATTAGCGAACAGAGCCCTCGCTGACGCGGGGTTGCCTCACGATAAGGCCGATTTAGACACGGAAGACCTAGCAAAGAAAGAGAGACGAGGGAAGGTCGCAGCCGAGCCTGAGTATAGGATGTGCCACAATTTTACACAGATCAACAAAGCTACGGATGTCGCTGCGTTTCCGCCAGGAGATTTAGAGCAGAAGGTGCTTCGGCACTCGGGACGAAAGTATATCAGCAAAATCGACGCGTTGGGTGCCTTTTACTGGGTATCCCTCGATATACCGAGCCGAAACTACTTATGCTTCTATGTTCAGGGATACGGATACCTCAGATACACGAGGCTACCGATGGGCCCCACGGGAAGTCCAGGAACGTATCAGGTAGCTCTCGAACGAACATTAGGAGACTTACTGGAACCCGGACCCGTGAGCGCATGGATGGACGATTTGTTCACCAGCAGCGACGAATTCGAGAGCATGTTCCAAACCTTGGAGCTGACACTGGACAGAGCGATCCGCGACAAGCTCAGATTCGCCCCGGGCAAAACATTCCTGTTCGTAGAAAGCACAACGATAGGCGGGTCAATCGTGGACTGCCGCGGGGTCTCACCGGATCCGGCCAAAGTCCGAGATTTACTGAATTGGCCGAAGCCGAAGACCGCGAGGGATGTCCTTTCTTTCGTCAACACCGCGGCTGTCTTCAGGAACGCGATACCGAAGTTTGCGGAAGTAGCTGCTCCTCTCTACTCTCTTACTAGGGACCTGCAGCCAGAGGCGGGACGACGAGGGGCGCACAAGCACGCGCTGGAAGCGAAGGGAGTCGAAGAGCTATGGACCGACGAATGCAACAAAGCTTTCGTGCAGTTACAGACATGTCTCACAACGTTCCCGGTCGTAGTAGGTCCGATCTACGATGGACGTCCGTTCCATATTGCGTGTGACGCCTCCGCCGTTGGCTTTGGAGCTCATCTTTACCAGGAAAGGGATGGACACGCTAGCACCATCGCCTACGCTAGTCGTGCTACAACTCCCGCTGAAGCGAAAAGACATTCATCAGAGCTAGAGCTGCGAGGGGCCAAATGGGCGATGGATAAGTTCGGGAAGTATACTTACGGGCAAAAAGTGATTTTACACACGGATTGCCAGGCAGTAAAAGACTTACTACGCTCGGACACAGCCACCGGTAGCCGCGCCGGGTGGAAGGAAGCGATCGCAGGGAGTCGCATAGTCGACTTCGTCCACAGACGCGGGATCGAGAATGAAGTAGCTGACGGACTCTCCAGAATCGGATCAGGTGCCCCGACGGCCACCGACATGGGCTGGGAAGAGACCAAGGGCATCGAGAACAGCTGGATGAATTGCAGGATGATAACGAGGAGCTGGGAGGACGACCTCCTGCGACGCTTCGAAAACGACGCATTCGAAGACGTAGTCCGTTGGATCTTACAGCGGAACACGGACGAAATCGAGGAATCTTCGAGAGAGGACGTACAGCGACAAGCCTGCAATTTTTTCATTGAAGGAGAGAAACTCAAGAGGCGGGCCGACGGATACGGAGTAGTCGAGGTAGTTCCGACGACAGAGGGATTACCGATCGCGGAACAGGAACATCGAGAGAAAGGCCACTTAGGCCGCGACTTGATGACGACTTCCCTGGTTCAACGATACTACTGGACGACGATGCGAAGAGATATTGACGCAGCCATAAGCAGTTGCCCTCGTTGCGTCCAATTCGGAACAAGGATGCAGAGGCTCCTCCTGAAACCGATCATACGCTTCTCACCGTTCGACATGGTAGCACTCGACTTCTTACACATGCCGAAAGGGAGAGGAGGGCTCGACATGTTACTCGTAGCTATCGACTGCTTCAGCAGATACATCATGGTATGGGCCTTCAAGGGTAACCCATCAGCCGACAGAGTCGTGAAATGCTTGACGGACATCGAGAACAAGTTCGTGACCCCGAGGGAGTTACTGATGGATAACTTTTTCGACAACAAAGAGGTCCGGGAATGGGCGGAGAAGAAAGGAGTCGCTTTGACGTTCAGCGCGCCTTACGCTCACGTAGGATTGGTCGAGAACGCCAACCACCTCGTGCTAGAACGCCTCCGACGACTAGCGAACACGGATATCCACCACGTCCCCCTACTCGAAAGAGCCGTAGTCCCAACCAAGTGGCCGACGGAATTGGACGCGAGTGTAAGAGCGCTAAACGAACGGAAAATGACGATCCTGGGAGGGTTCTCACCGAAAGACTTGTTGTTCGGGAGCAACATCGGAAAACGAGAAGGATCGGACAGGGTCGAGCCGGCGGTACGAATGCTGATGACAGAAGCGATTCGTATGGAGGCCTCGGACGCTTTCGTGAAAGAACAGGCTCGACGACTGTCCAAGTCCAAAGAGTGGAACGCATACGCTCCCGCCATCGGCGATCTGGTGCTTATTTACGACGCATCGGGGGACAGGAGCTTCGACACCGGATGGAAACTGAGGGCCCGCTGGCAAGGGCCGTACGTCGTACATGACGTCAGGCGCAGGTCAGCGAAGGTTCGCACACTCGATGGACGGCAGAAAGGAGGCTGGGTAGCGTGGGCGTTGATGAGGAGATGGAGGGATTTAAGAAAGGAGGCCGGAGGACAAGAAGGAGAGGTGGAGAACGGAGGAAGGGGGGATGACGAGGAGAGCGACGGACGGAACTTGAGATCGGGGAACAGACGACAACACGACAACAGAGACGCGACCGATGAAGAGGCGCGGTAAAAGAAAGCATCATACGACAATCATCTTCACATCATCATACATCAGCCCGACGCATACGACTGCGCGGCCGCGACCGACGTCGGATCGAATCGACAGACAAAGAAAAAGCACAACGAAAAAAAAAAAAAAAAAAAAAAGAGTTATCATCGGGTTTCGGGTTTTGTGAGTTTAGTTTAGTCTCACCGAGAGAGAGAGAAAAAGGGGGGTGGGAGTGCTCGCGCGCGAGCGCGAGACCTACATCAGCAGAGTCTTCTCCCATCATCACCTCATGTACTTAGATAGCATATTCATCATCTCTCTCTCTCCCTGACTGCCTCTTTGCCGCGGTCGACCCGTCTTGGTGCAGGTCCATCCGGACCAACCTAGCCCTCAACTCAAAGGTCACCTGACGGCCCGTGAAGTCATACAGACGGGGTTCGATGTCATGGCGAGAGAGTCCAGTACAGGTGAGTGGAATGATATTGCCTAGCTCTCCTCTTTCCGTACATCCTGAGCTCGTTCTTGAACTGAATCCCATTCGATTGAATACTCCCAGAACGCCAAATGGGAAAGGGTCCTTTGACACCTTCGGTCAACACCGTCAACGCCCCAACTCTCATCAACACCCCCACTCCTACCAAGTTCGCAGGACCTCTTTCCAACAACCCAACCTCGGGTCGTTTGACTCCTTTGCGTCCTGTTTCATTCATCAGCAAGGACGATTTCAAGCTATTCGGCAACGGGATCGGATTGTTTCATCAGAGTACCCCTAAACACCCTTCGCCACTCCGGTCTGACATCGGATCGTCGCCCACTTCTTACCCTGCTTCCCTCCCCACTTTCAACGACAAACTCGACATCAGACACCACTTCAATGACAAGGGTGAGGGAAATGACAAGCAAGATCGAAACCCGGAAGAAGATAAGACCGACCACCTGCTCATCACCCGGCTGTTGACCGATATCTGCCTCGAACAAAAAGGCGATACAGCGTTCAGGGCACTGAAGATCGCGCTCAAGGTCGTCGAGCGGAACGCTTGGACTCTCGGGGTTGGAGCAGAGGATGAGTGGTTCGTGAAAGCGTGTCAGATAGCGGACGGGTCAAGGCCAAGGGAGGAAAAAGCGGATCGGCACGAAGTGAGTCTGTCGAGTTGTGCTCGTGCAGCGGAGGGAGAACAGGAAGACTGATCTTTGCTCCTCGAACACTGACTTGCAGACGTTATCCATGCAGAAACGTCTGTACGAATCCTTCGACAACAAATGGACCGAGGACGAAGGCTCCTTCGAAGACTTGATGAAAACCGTTCCCTTCCGGGTCGATCATATCGTCAACACGTCTTTGACGAGGCTGAGATCGCAAGGCAGGAGGATGAGAAGTCCTTTAGCCGCCATCAACCCGTTTTGTGGTTCGCCGGAAAGTGAAGCGAAGGATCGAACCCTCGATCAGGCGGAAGAGACGGTGCTCTGGGCACCTGGGAATACACCTTGGGCCAAGGGACCCGTGGAAAGGGTGTTTCCCGAGGAGGAGGAAGAAGATGACAGCAAACTCAGTAAGTACACGTTCATGGTCCAGCTCTGCCCTGTCGTCCTCAGCGTTCCGTTTGTACCTTGCTGAGCTAACGCACGACCCGACCCGTTCCAAATAGATAAGGGAAAGGGCCGAGCCAAACGTTACGACGTCAAGATCGCCGATGAACCTCCCCAGATCATTCCGAACCCTCACAATTTCATGGACCGTGACGACTACAAACACAACGAGTTGATCTACCACCAAGATGGTGATCGTTTGCTCAACGACGTCTTTCATCGAATGGCCGGACCTTCTCGCTTTGCCGAAGCGTACATCGAGTCGGTCGATAGTCAGGATCATGAGCGTTCGTTGGACGAGGTCATGCATCAGATGATCGAACATGCCAAGTTCATGTCGTTGCAAGGAGATGCCGCGAGCCTCTCCAACATGGACTTCACGTCGATCGTGGACGACAACCGGGATGTTCAGCATTGCGACTTTACCAAAGAATACGTTGACACCTTGTTATTCAACCCGTCGCCTGGTTCAGTCAAGGACACGCACGTCACTTGCATGGCAAATGATGCGGCCGAACCGCTCTGGCTCCTCGATCCAGCTCATCAGGATGCGACGCGACCGTCAAACGTTCCGGGACAGTATTCCGACGACAGCGTCTCCGTCACCATCAACCATCAACGCTATGCTCGCCAGCCAGAATTCAAGCCGAGGAGGCGGTTCGCTGTCGATTCGGTCGCAGCTTGCAATTTTAAAGCTTGAGACGATTCTGCCTCGAGCCGGTATCCGGCCAGAGACCGATGATAGGCTATTGGGAGGAAGTCCTCCCTCCACAATCTTTTGGGGAGACCGCATCCCCACTGGTGATACGAGTCTCGTCGTCATACATTGTCCAAGAAATCGGCGCGACTGTGATGTTTGGGATATGATCGTCATGGCAAGATTGGATCAGCTTTGGGATTGAGATGAGCCGGTGCGCGAGGATTTGGATGATAGATGAATCGATATACGTTGACTACTCCAAGGCATCTCATTGAATTGTCGAAAGATTGAGAAGATATGCGTCGGTCAATAGGCTTGTACACTAGGAGTTTCATGACCAGCTACGTTTCGGATGACCTGTGAGAAACTTTCGATGACATTGCCTCGTCCACGTTTGGCCTCCTCTCGAGTATGGATATCGATGGCCTTCGATAGCGGTTCTCGAGTCAGTATCAAGCGGAAGGTAAGACGGATGATGATGATGATGATGATGATGATGATGATGATGGACTAGCTAGGTCCATGATGCGAGAGGGAGTCGTCTGGAAGCTGGACGTTGGCAAAAGGGCGACGCGTATATCGCATTCAACAAAGCTCTCTGGACGCTCGGCTGTGTAATGGAAGTGGTAGGATATGGATTTAGGACGTATTCACACAAGAATCCATTCTATGTCAACGGTCAGTACCGGCTCGCGCATTTTCCCAGAATTATATAGGGCTAACTGAATAGACGCCCAGCGTTTATCAGGGCGGTGCAGACAAAAGTCGAGACGAGTGTGGCAGCGATCTGCATGCAGAATGGTTGATCTTTGCGTAATGCGCTAATTTGAGATCTTTGGAGAATTTCAAAGCATGGCTGGTTGTTATATAGCCGAACTGAAATTCGTTCAAGGCAGATGAATAAGAGAGCTATTCAATCATGCTGAACGATTCACTCACCGACTTGAAGTAATTCATCGCGAGGGCGTTACCGGCGACCCAGGCTCCACCAATGAATTCCGCAATGACGTTGAGGGTCGTCTATCGGGCATTACTTATCTGTGTGAGCAGCTCATCTGATTTCGAAAATCCAGAACAACGTATTCTGTCTACTTGTGAAAGGTCCTTCTGTGCGTCGCCAGAATGACCAGGATGATGGCCGCGATGATGGCCGCGCATGGCCAAGTCGACCCGCGTGCGTGGCCACGATCGAGTCCGAGCGCGGCCAGGACGACCCATGCGTGGCCAGGATCGAGGGTCCTTGATGTAGCCATGCTTGCATGTCGACAACCATCGTAATCGACGACATTGAGCCCCTAATCAATCACAACATGGACGAATCATCAGTCGTTGCCTGCAATCACTGCGGACATCAGGTCCTGCCTCTGGACGACGAACCGGATGATCGTTGGAGCCAGACGCCGTTGTGCGACGCTTGCCGGTGTAACAAACAAAGCCGCAGGATCACCATCGTTGGGAAGCAACATCGCTTCCGCTGCAAGGACTTGGCTACCCACCAGGAAGAACGTCGATGCTCTCGCTGCCTGGCTACGCGTCGGCCAAACAAGCGGCAAAAGATCGGCAAACAACAGCAGGACTCGGCCGAGCTCACTGCCGTTCATCTGGCTCCTATGCCGGGAGGTCGATTACGACTAGAAGTACCCCTGAAGCATCCTTCGGGGTTGGGATCGACCCTCGATCTAGTCCTTCGTCACATCTTTCGCCTCTCTCCGGCCGAACCATCCCACGACCAGGTCATGGCGGCCGTTGTCAAATCCATCGACAAAAACAGGGACGAGCTAGCTGAACTCTACAGACGGATCACCACGTCGACAGGCTGTCTATATGTGAAACAAGCGACAGTTCAGGGTGCTAGCGACGATCTTGACGAGGTCGTAGATAAGTATCTTGAAGGAATAAACGACGATGACGATCTTGATTGTTACGGCAAGTACATCAGGCCAACACGAAACAACTTGCCACTTCGAGAGAGGCGACTCGTTACCCCTCATCATATAGAGGTAATTCACCGCATCCCGGCTGGTACTGGTAAGGATGCACCACAGAGACCTTGTCCTGTCGTGCTTGCAAAGGTATTCAAGCGCATAGAAGCTGAACGGGCCGGTCGTAAGATGCTTGACCGCTTGATACCCGAGCCAAACGTCGTCGACCTTCTTTGCGAGCGCTGTACAGTGGGGTCCGCACATAGACGGAACGCTTTATTGACAATTTGCTAGGGCGTGACTACTATTGTTTTACACGTCATCTCTGTCGTGTCATACGATGTTGTTATCAAATATTATCAAAGTGGGTGCGACGACATACGAGCGAGAGCTAGTGAACGTATATATCTTCCTTTGACTTTCTTCACCTATTATTGCTATAACCGAGCAGATCCGATACAGTCACCATCAATCTGCCACCATGGAACCCATTCCCGATCCGATACCCGTGTCAGAGCCCTACTTTGATCTCGGCCCTTGCCACTTTCCCATCACGACCACATCCTCGTCGGCCCAAGAATGGTTCGACCGGGGACTCGCCCTGTGTTACTCTTTCAACCACGAAGAAGCCGTCAAATGCTTCTACCAGTGTCTTGCTCACGATCCACAGTGTCCCATGGCGTATTGGGGAATAGCTTATTCGCTAGGAGCCAACTACAACAAGACCTGGGAGATCTTCGAGCCGGGAGAGGTGGAGAGCGTGTTGCCCAAGATCAAGGCCGCTCTCGATCGAATCAGCGAGCTCGAGGTCGAGGGGGACCAGTTGGAGACCGCCTTGATTGGCTCGCTACGAGCGAGGATGCCAGACGATCTCGAACGTCGGGATTACGAGCAATGGAACCGTGCTTACATCGCCGCGATGCGAGAGGTATACAAAACGTTCCCCGACAACCTCGACGTCACCGCCCTCTATGCCGAAGCGATGATGGTCTTGACCCCCTGGAAACTATGGGACGTACATACCGGTCTCCCAGCTCCTGGTTCGCTAGCGGTGGAAATAGAGAACGTGCTCGAATCCGCAATGAAGCGATTCCCTCTCCTAGCCGATCGACACCCGGGGATCTTGCATTTCTACATCCACCTAACAGAGATGTCTTCTTCCCCGGAAAAAGCTCTTCCCGCAGCCAACGCCTTGCAAGACCTTCTCCCCGACGCCGGGCATATCCAACATATGCCTTCCCACATCTACTTCCTCGCTGGGGACTACCAACGAGCTATCCGTTCCAACCAGCTCGCAGTGCAGGCCGACGAGAAATACGTCAACCTCCGAGGTCCGGGGGGGGTTTTACTTGGTCTACCGTATGCACAGTATGGAATTTATCGTCTACAGCGCCATGTTCGCAGGACAATACCGAGTCGCTATGCGGTACGTGGAGATGATCGAGCGGAACCTCCCCCTCGGGGTGGACCTGGGTACGTCCGCTGGGTATTTCATCGAATCGACCTATGCGATCCGTGTACAAGTCTACGTGAGGTTCGGAAGGTGGGACGAGATCAAATCTTTACCCCTTCCTTCGGATCCTTCGGTTTATCCGATCACCACGGCCTTTACGCATTGGGGCAAAGCAATCGCATATTCCGCTACCAGGGACGTCCCCGCGGCCGAAGCTTCCCAAAAGCTATACTTGAGCGCTTTCGAAAAAGTCCCTGCGACAGCTCTCATGTTCCCCAACACCGCCCGAGATGTCCTCTCTGTAGGTACAGCCTTTCTCCAGGGAGAGCTCGAGTACAGGAAAGGCAACTACGATACCGCGTTTTCCAGCTTGGAAGAGTCTATCCGGCTGTACGACAACCTAGTTTATACCGAACCTTGGTCCTGGCTCACCCCCGTTCGACACGCCTACGCCGCCCTAAAGCTCGAACAGGGGTACGTTTCCGAAGCCCTCTCCGTCTACTACGCCGACCTGGGTTTCAACGACACTTTAGCTCGGGCGCATCAACACCCCGGTAACATCTGGGCCTTGAGGGGGGCTTATGAATGTCTCCTCAAACTGGGCAAAGAGAGGGAAGGGGAAGCTAAGATCGTTTGGGCGTTGTTGAGGACGGCGATGGCCATGGCGGACGTCGAGGTCGAGGTCTCTTGTTTTTGCCGGATTGGCGAGAGGGGCGATGAGGGTGAGGACTTGGTAAAACAGGGAGAAAGTATCGGGCGGGTTGAGGAGGGGGCGGGGAAAGGTTGTTGCGCATAAATTCGAGGGTGCTGGATCGAACGGGAGGACGGACCGTGGATCTCGTTCGCGTATAGAAGCGAGCAGAAGATTCACATGAAACACGGACACGAAGGCCACAGTCTTCGTGGACGCACGATGATCGAGGGAAATGAAGCGCAGACTTGACATGATGCAGTATCGGATGTAGCATTAAAATGTAAATCACTGGCCACCTGGTCCCGTCAGATGTATCTTGCATATTGCATACCCTATACCCCAGACTACGTTTCACCGCTCGAATGGACTATTCATGGACGATCATGCTGTTCGAATTTTCACGATAGCCCTACTATATGTACGTGCATCGACCTTTGCGTACGTATGGCTGTTATCGTTGAGTGCATACCATGGCTTCACACTGACCAATATGAAGACCAGCTCAGCATGATCGCGCTTGCGGTTTTGTGACATGCGTGGGCTCAAAGACAGGTGGTCTCCACGGTCCGGAACTTGCTTATTGACGGGGGTCCCGCATCTCCGTGGAGAGGTAGCGTGAAGTCGAAGTCTTGTGCAGGCTTGCGCTGGAGCTGAAGCAAGAGAGAGAGAGTAAAAGATACAGGCATTGGGAAGGTAGATAGTGGAAGTGAAGCCGAGTTTCTGCTCTGTCAGAAAGAAAAGCATATATGTAGAAAAAAGAGAATCGGATCGAAGACGAGTGAGAGTTTCATTTTCAAGGTTTGAGCCGAGCCAATGTCGCATCAGGGTACTGGTAGGCTAAATGAAACATGTCGCGGTCAGGTAGACAGAAACGAGAACCGTTACCCTTCGTTCCCGCTTCCATCCCTGGAATGAGCCGTAGCGTGCTACCTGGACCATCTCGGCATTCAGAGTTGCTAACTTTTTCTCCAAAGCAACCCTCTGCCTCTGCTTCTTCCTGTCAGCCTTCTCCTGCTCACTCACCTTGCCCTTTTTGGGCTGGGACGAGATTGATGACAACGGTCTCGCGGTTGCCTGAGGCTTCTTTGACGGTTCCGACGGCTTTGACGGCTTTGACAACCTCGCGGTCGTTTGAGGCTTGATCGACGGTCCCGTGGGGGGGGGAAGGGGCCCGCAAGATCAGATTTGATCATGCCACTGATTCTGATCGATGAGGGGTCTCCTCGAGTTCTGCGATCATGTAATTATGATAAATCCAAATTCTCCAACTGGCTTATCACGTTTTGCCTGCTTTGTATACTGTATATAGGTCACATTTTGATTTATAGCTCGTGTCCTTCTCCCGTGTCTACTTTTCCTACCGCCTCGATACGTGCCTATGCCCCAGTCCTTGGGAGCTGAACTCCACGGAACAAGCTCGAGCTGGTCGTGCCGTTCCCCATGGTCGTCATGGTGGAATTGTCGTTCTCGATGATGGTGATCAAGGGACAAGTAGGAGTGGCGAGGTATTGACCGTATTCACCGGCAGTCCAGAGCACGACTCCGTTCGTCCAGCCCTGCGATATTGAGAGGACAGGTTTAGCGGGGCAACCTAGGTATAAATGAGATGAACGGGTGAGGAAGCTCACGAATCCGATGACCACTTCGTATTCGCCCTGTCAGATCGAAGAGAAAGCAAACGGGACCTGTGAGTACGGAATCAAAAGCTTGTTATTCATTACAAGAGCTTACTCCGCCTCCGGCAGCATCGACATCCGTCCTGTTCAAGATAAATTCGCACATTCAGGGGGAGTCGATCGTTAAGACGGCCCAAAGCGACTCACCCGTTGAATTTCTCAAACATGTGGCCATTGTCTTCCGCGTTGCCCGACCTAGCATCACCTGGAAGGGACTGGAGCAGACCAGGAATCTCTCCTCCAGTTGCATACCAACTACAGAAGGTCGACTGCATGTATCGGTTCGCATACTCGATGGCGATCGCTGCAGGGACGCATGTCGGAGCGTTAGCCGGATCACAAGCTTGAAACGCGACCGAAGCTCACCTTGCCACCAAGGCTTGCCAGCCTGGATCTCAGCGACATTCTTAGCGAACAATTCCGAGTTGGGTCCGATGGCGTCGGCGGGTTGTACAGGGAGGTCAGTCTCGTTCATCCCGAGCTGGCCAGTAGGGATCGCCGAAAAGTCGGTGGAGAGGACCGTATCCAAGACCGTCCCATTGGGGTACAGCCTGCCGACAGTCTCGAGCGCTTTGATCGAGGTGTAGGTGTGGGGCTGGAAACGCAGCAGAAGTTTGATCGTCAGTGGACGTCAGGAAGAACATCATGCGTTACCGATCACTCACAGGCCAGACGTTGGGGAAGTCCCAGTCTGTGAGCAAGCGCAAGAATTAGAGTCCGCCGTTTGATCCAATTTCAGCCGGAAGCGACTCACTGAGACCAGTCTCGAGCAGCGTCGCAACGCTGGGCGAACCAGAATACTTTCCGGCAATGTAGCGGATCCCCTCGAACACCTGCAAGGCGGCCGTCTCGTTCGAGACGATCTCGGGAGGAGTGATGTTTTGCCACAGAGGGAACAATCCACCGGCGTGGAACAAGTCGGCCCTGGCATCGGCGGTCTACGTCCAAGGTAGCTCATAGGTCAGCTTGTGTTTCAGCCAAACTCGCCCAAGCACCTGACACTCACGGTATTGAAATCGTAGAAGTACTTCTTGTCGGCATCCCAATGAAGATCGATGATGGCCTCCCTAGTCTCGTTGGCGATCATCCTGTGCTGCGTGACCTTGCTCGTCAAGTTGCTCATCGTCGCATTGTCCGCCGACCCGTTCATCTCGGCCATGTACCGCTCGTACAAGTCGGCCAAAAGCACGTGATCCCCGTAAAGCAAGGCGTTCAAATCAACGGGGATGATAGCCCGTGCGTTCAAAGTCCGGAGCGCAGGGAGGTTGTCGGTCACGTTCAACAAGGGTTCCTTGCACCATCGACTGCTGTAGTCCCACCCGCTTTCAGCACCGGTGGCGAGCTCGGCGTAGAGGTCGGACCGCTGCGACTCGTTCAGAGCGGGTTCGGCGCCAAAGGCGGTGTTAAAGTCCTCGATATATCCTTCCGGGCGCGGGGCCGTGTTGATCGAGACGTCGTATCGGTAGACCGTGTGGTTTTGGCTCGTGTAAGGGGACGTGATCGAGATGGATCGGTTGACTCGCCACCATTCGAGTTCGGTCTGAGATCGCCCGCAAGATAGGAATTTCAGCCACGGTCTGTGGATGGTCTATACGATCTCATCCGACTCACCTCCAAGATCGGCAAAGCTCGTTCAAGCACCGACGTATTACCCGTCACCTGAACGTAAGAGTTGACCATCTACCCACCAGCCACATCGGAATATATCAGCCTCCCATCTCTTCATCCTACTTTAATCACCACGAGGGACCTTTACGCACCATAGTGAAGACCGGCGGCTGACTCCTGTTCAAATAATACTTCCTCCCTCCGTTCGGCAAGAACCCGTAAGACTCGACCAGGTCCATGAAATTGACGAGCAGGTCTTCGGCGTATGAATACAGTTGGCTTCGCAGCAGGCCTGCGGGATGACTATCATAAGCGCTTTCCTTTCGTCGTACGGAGCATTCCGACAATGGGCGCTCGTACCTTCGAGGATCCAGTACGAATCCCAATAATAAATCTCCCGGTACCGACTGCATTGAAAACACTATCAGCTTCAGTACGGAAGGAGTGGTACATAAGGGACCACGAGCTTACCCTCCCGGGACGACGATCGTCCTGTTCAACGGGATCAACGATGAATCACAGTTGGTCCCATTACAGATTGCCGACTCGTTCGTCTCCCTATCCTCAAACACAAGAACAAGGCATATTCCAGAATTAATACAATCAGCCTCGTTTGTCCCCTCTATCATAACCAAAACCCGCAAGCAACTCGAGCTCACCTAATAAGCAAAGCCCAATACCCATTCACCAGACTGACAAACCCTTTATAAAACTGATCGTCGATCTGGTCGAGCACGGCGGGTGTAGAGTTGAACCCTTGGATGGTGACCGGGTTGAGTTCTTGGCCTTCTCCGGTCTATTTTTTGTTCCGTCGGTTGTCGGGATGGGATCACCGTTGTTAGTATCAATATCGAACAAGGACTTCCATCAAAAGGTTAGGTAAAGTAAGGCTCACAAAGTACTCCTCAGCGAAATCCAGCACCTCCCCATAAGTCGCATTCTGGGGCAACTCCCCAAACGCCTGGAAAGTCTGATTAACACCCAACCTAGTCGGTTTATCGCTAAACGTCTTGGAATCGCCATAAATCTGGGACAGCTGGACGAGCTGGAGGAGCGGGCCGGCGCAGTATGAGGCGTTTGAGCCTTGTTCGCACCAGTCTGTTTGGGTCAGAACGAACACAAGGACAAGGCGCAAGGTCGAAAGGGTGAGCGAACCGCATGTAAACGTAACCCGCCTGCGCGGTATACCGCTCGAGAGGGAGGAGAGAGAAAGGCTAGATAGTAGGTTACAGTAGGTCGAAGCCAAACTCACACTGCGTAGGAGGTTCAGGCGCATAAGGCACCACATCCCCCTCCCCCTCCCCCGTCGGGACAGCCGGAGTGGCCGTAGCTACAGGTACATCCGAGGTACTCGAAGTAGCTACGAAAGATACCAGCGTAGTTGATACTGTGAGCGTTGTCGGTTGGGCCGAGTTGGCGGGGAGGACGGCTTGGGAGGTAGCACCGGATGATGCTGACGCCGATACCGATGCAGATGTTGGAGCGGGTTGAGAAGAGGCGGTAGGAGTAGAACTGATGATAACTTGGTCCTGGGTCGAGGTCGATGATTGACCCAAGGCTGACGCTAGCAGCGTCGAGAGGGTAAGAGCTCGGACGAACATGTTATGGTCGGCGAGAGCTTCTTGCGATCTGATCCGTTCGAGTATGGACTTGCAGCGAACCACACGAGAAGAGAGGAGGTGTCGATGAAAAGAGGGTCGTTCTCTGTGTTATATACCTCCCAGCTGACTGTGAGAGTAGTGCCAAGTCCAACCCACTTTGAGCCCAAACCCTCTTCGCCCGAAAAGTCACCACACCAATCGATGTCACGAGAGCTGACGACCCCTCTGGACCTACCCTCCCGCAAGCTGATGACATCATCATCATCGTCGCACTAAATCTCACGTGATATTCTCGATCGAAATCATGTCTCGGTTCGCTTCGACCCTTCCGGTTCTCGGCTCGCTTCCCCGGACGCGCTGTCGGATTGATCCCGTGGGCTTTTCGAAAGGGTTCTGCGCCACCGTTGGGCATTGACGATCATGACGTTCCGAAACAATCAAGGGGTCAGGGGGCCCGTGGGAGAGAGGAGAGAAATCCAAGGAGGGTCATGGGATGCAGATCTCCTGGTGCGTCTCGAGATACTGTACAGCACTCGCTCAACAATTCTGCGGGAAGAGAGGCTTTGACATCATCGAGGAAGACTTGTATGCTTCTGACCGTGCTATTGTTGCGCAAAGAAAACATCATGCACAGCAAGTGCTTGTCCTGCAATGCCCTGCTGTGTAGCACAAAATCCACGACCCGACAGTCCCTGCAGAATGGAGTTGAACTTGTCATCACATCCTCACAGAGGGATGCGTCAGGACGACGCGCGACCTCGACGGCGCCAGCTTGGAGTACAGTAAGGACATCGACTCCTGGCTGTGCGAGTACTCGGACGATTTCCATCTGCGTGTCCTTCAAGACCTGCTTTCTCTTTCATAATCCAACCCGTGTTTGTAGAGCGTTGTTGGTTACGTTTAGATTCGGTCTACAGTGACCGCACTGCTACGACCATGGTTTTATATTGTCAAGCAACTCCATTTTCAAAGTAGCAAGTCGAGTCAAGTTGCTCTTTGATCCGATTGCCGATCCCGTTACCAGTCGAGTACTTTGTCCTTTCACCAGCTTTGTTGATTCCATCCCGGATCTCGTCAGGAACGTTGGAGAAGATCACGTTCAGCACGGAACCCTCGAGCATAGGCTTAGTTTTCAGCCTGGCTTGCGGCATAATGCAGGTGACGATTAAAATGATTGCCGCCAGCGAAATCCCAAGATAATACATTTTCACCGCGTCTATAAGCTCGACCGCACCACTTGTCCAGCGAGATTGAGATTGAGGACATTATGCACAACGCATACCTGTACTGCTTCTCCGCTTAGTAGTGTACCATACATAAATACTTGCAGTATGACTCCAGTAGTCGTCCTCCAGTCTGGAACTGCAAGGCGGTGTTGAGAATATCGGCGGATCTCTCTGTTGAAAGCGAAGATGACAAGGATTTACCTCAAAAGCGCCCTGCCAATGTGCAGGCTGATAATGACCCCAACCGACTATCTGACATGGATCATAGACCAGTGATCCGGTACCGAAAAGCGGCTTTCTCAGGATCTATATACTGTAGCATGGTGCTTACCTTGACTGTATCGTAATCGTTCCAATTCTAATCTTCGATCGATTCAGATTGTCCGGCATAAACTCTACCTGCAAGATAGGCACGGAATGATACCAAGGGGTTGATATTTCTTTCGAACTGAGTGGCAAGATGCAGCGGTCTTGGCATTCAGTGGTTCGATCATTTGCCCAAGATCGATTGCGAACGCTATGATGCGTCCAATCACACGGTACCGAGTTCTCCTGGCAGATGACCGCGATACCTATGGGAATTTATGGCCGTGATGAGCTCTAGCTACATCGATGACGAACAGTCTTGCCGCCGTCGTTGGTCCACATTCTCTCTTGCGCCATCAGAACTGTCAATCTGATAGATTTTGTGATATTGAGCCGTGATCCCGATTCTCGGAATCGATATAATTGGCCGATCTAATCTTTGTCATGAGTACGAAGTCCACGTGTAGATCGGATGCCTTGCATATGTGCCTTGGATCGTAGAGATAAGGATATTGAAACCTGGACCGCCAAGGGGGGGCTGTTGACACCGGCCGACCACTAGGTAGATCGCTCGCCTCGGAACTTGAATGGCGATCGCCTGGTTCCACTCGCGAAAGGGGTAGTTCCCAAGCACATGCTCATTCAATCATCGAAATCGCTGGCGTGGCGTAAACAACTCATTGATCATCGATCAGTCTGCTGATAATGCCTCGTCCACCGCGCCATTTATCCATTCCGAATGCGCAACTTGAAACGCGACGGGTCCGCGGGTGAAGCGCGACGAGTCTCACCCCTGACCAATAGCTGCCTCCCGGGTGAAATCGCATCGCGGTCTTCGGCGAGAATTGACGATCCCCGAGGTTCGAGGTTTCGAGAAACTTTGGTAAACGGCCCTTCTTCTCTACGAGCCTTGCACATGTGACCGTGATGTACTAGCGGGAGACGGATCGGATGTCGAGATTGAATGGTGATGCTTTTACAGATCTCGGAAGCGGCGATCGGGAAAGAAAGGTTGCAGGTCAGCGAATGGCAGGACGTATAAAGGAGGATTCCTCGCTGTCATCGATCGATACCCTTCACCGAGTCCAAGAGGCGCGATAGTTCATACGATACACTTTGATCATCATACGACACTTGGAATCTCCATCACCAAGATACCCTAGCATACACTCAAACACCAGACAACCTCTTACCATGAACACCCTCCGACCCCTACCCACCACCTTCCTCCGAACAGGCCTCCGCCTCCGAACCCGATCGACCGCCACCTCACTTTCCGCTTGTCGCCACCCTATGTCCTGTACCCTTGCAAGGACGATGACGACCAGATCCTTCACTCAAACTCAAACTCCCATCGCAACTATATTTTCGGGTCGAGCTTTACACGCCTCAGCGGAGCTAGGCGAGAGGGTAGAAAACTCCACAGCTCTGTTAGAACGGACTAAATTGCAAGAAGAGAAAAAGATCGAAGAAGGTCTGGATAGTTCTAAGCCTATCGGTGGGAAGGGTAGCGAGGGGATACATTTCAAGCGTGAGCCATCGCATCTCGTATCCCAAGCGATCGGGTATCGTATGACAAAGGCTAATCCGGTAATGTTGTGTCGTATTGTATTGTATTGTGGGGTTTGTACACGCAGAAACGGACAGCCTCTTGGCGGCGGTCCATGATCTACAAGATCCGTCGAGGACCGGACCTTGGACGATCAGTCATCCCGTCTACACTCCCGAGGTGGGTCTGATGAACATCTTATATGTCCTCATCAGGATCGCAAAGAATGGTGATGCTCACGAACTCTATTTGATGTCACAGGAACTACGATCAGTCAAGGTCGTTCGAAGGGCAACCGTCACGCTCTCAGACAAGCTCGCTGCAGGTCTCGTCAAGCTATCCCGGTAAGCCCTATCCTTCCCCTTCCCCTTCCCCTGCCCCTTCCTCTCATCTCATCTCCTCCAACCGACTGACCCCCTTCATCGAAACCACTTCCCACATCTCGCTCAGAACATGTTACGACGCCCTAACAGGCTATTCCTTCCGACACCGCCCCATCCCCACATCCGGCCCCCCTTTATCCTTGGACCAACTACGTAAGGGGAACCACGTGATGACCCCCGAACAATGGTTAGCCCGTTGTCTTTTCCTGGAATCGATCGCTGGGGTTCCGGGGATGGTGGCGGGGATGTTGAGGCATTTGAGGAGTTTGAGGTTGATGGTGAGTTCGGTTCCCGATCACATGACTCCCGATCTTTGTACAATGGAGCTGATTTCAGGTGGATTGGCTGCGGTGGGAATGATAGAGACGGGATGGAGGGTGGATCAACACGTTGATGGCTGAAGCGGAGAACGAACGGATGCACCTCTTGTAAGCCTTTCCCGCCTTATCTCACACTCCCCACTCACTCCTCATAACGCACCGTGACTCGCCATTACTCACCATATCTTATCCCACACGCCGACTATGCAACTTGCAGGACCTTCATGACGATCAAACAACCCTCAATCTTCTTCCGAGCCATGATCCTCGGCGCCCAAGGCGTATTCTTCAACCTCTTCTTCCTCGCCTACATGGTCAGCCCGAAATCCGCACACCGGTTCGTAGGGTACTTGGAAGAAGAAGCTTGTTTGACCTATACGCTGTGTTTGGAGGAGATGGACAAGGGGAGGTTGCCCGAGTGGAAAGAGATGCCTGCACCTGCGATCGCCATGGTGAGTCCCCGTTTATACTCATACCTCACGTTTTCTCAGGAGATACGAGGCTGATGATTCTTTGTGACCCATGTGCAGGACTACTGGAGACTGCCAGAAGGATCGACGATGCAAGATGTCATCTACTCGATCCGGGCGGACGAGAGCGCTCATCGGTTCGTCAACCATTCGTATGCCAGCCTGGACCAGAAAAAGGACTTTAGGTGAGTGTTCCTTGAGTTTCAATTTTCGCGAATATCTGGCGCTGATATTCGCCTTGCTCCTCAGTCCGTTCGCTCTGAAAGAACCCTCAGCGGTCTTGAAGGGTACCAAACCGGGTTTCACTAGGGAAGAGGCCGCCGAGTTTGTCCGTCAGGCGCACCGGGAAGCCGCTTGAGATCGCTGTTTCCTTCTTTGATCCTATGCATATACGTCCTTTCTCTTGTCTGCTGAATGGTTGAGTGGATGATACACTGTATTTCTATATTATACCGCTTTTACCGATCGTTATAGTGATCTGCCTTGATTCCGGTCGTAACTTCCTGCATGCTAAGCTATTGTCGTTCGTGGTTCACATCGCCAGGACAGTCAACGTCTGTCTGATCTGTCCATCTCCATATCCTTCAGCCTGTTTAGAAACCCCTCGTATCAGCTTAAATAGCGCGTATCGCTCACTGGCACGTAACTCACCCTGGAGATGATGAGCGAACTATCCCCGATCATGACCCCCTCGGTCAAATACTTCTTGCCCGTTGTCGTCACCACATACGGCAAGCTGCTCATGATCGTCTTCCGGAACAAGAACGGGTTGTTCAATATGCTCAATCGGGAGACTAAAGTCTGCTGCGTCCCGTCCTCCAGTTCACAAACCGGGCCGTTCGTATGATCGCGTTCTCGGAACGAAAACGTGGCATTCGGAGAAAAGTCCAGGACTTCGATCTGATAGGGTCCTAATCGAGGGCGCTGGACGGGTTCGTCAGATCTTCGACAGAGGCGTGCGTATCGATATCCGTGTACGAAACAGACCTGCCGGCGAACAAGAATCAGATCGACGTATTAGCGTTCAACACCCCTGTCATCAAGACTCTCCGGTTCCTCCCTACACTCACCCAATTGACACCCAACGTATTATCCTCAAAGATCCTCGTATAAACGCTTCCCCAAAGCTCCCATTCCAGCGTCAAATCCCTCCTCAGATCATAATCCTCATTCCCTATCAAAACCCCTTGACCCAAATAATACTCCTCCGCTCGATCAAGGCAGGAACTATACCGCCTCCTGGCCAATTCTAACATTCCGGCTTTGGATGCTACGATGACGACGTGTGTGAAATCGTCCGCTGTGGCTGTCATCACCGTCATGTTGAAGACCAAAACGCCTTCCTCGGGATTATCCCCGAACGGCTTGCTCGGCCCCAAGTCGTTCCCTGCATGCCCCTGCGCAGTGGGGAAAGGCGGATCCGGCCTCATATCCAGGTCCACCTGTACGTCCTCTTCCAGGGGTAACAGGCGGAACTGCGCCATCGGGACCGGGTACAGTGAAGGGTTCTTTGATGCGGTAGGGAGAGCAGACCGGTCGAACGTGTAGATCTCGGCTGTGGGATCGTCGTCCGGTCGATGGAGGGTGATCATGAACTCAGTTGCGGTGAGGAGGGCAAAGCTCGCTTGACATAGTGAGAGGGGGAGACGGTATTGCTGCAATACGCCCAGACAGATCAGTCGATGAGATTCTCATTCGATGTCCGGCTTTCGAATTTGAAGTCTTCTAGTATAGCGGATCAGAAAGAAAGAAATGCCAATGCTCACACACAGATGTTCCCCCGTCTTCCAATTCCAAACGTTCAACTCCTGATTATATATCCTCCCACTCCTCACCTCCACCGGGATCGTCAACACGGCAAAAACATCCCCATAAACCTGCAAGAGCTGGCTGACGATCGTATTCAGGGGGAACAGCGGTGGGCCTAATAACGGGGTCTCCTTTGAATTTGGAGGGGCGAGCGGGTGCGGTTGGAGGGTGGACAGGGTGAGGAAGGTGTATTTCTGTAGAGGAGTTGGGTCACGGGATGTGCTGGAGGGTGGGGTGGGGCGGTCGTGGTATCGAGAGGATGGTCTACCGAAAGCCGAGGATGGGGCAGTATGAGTAAAGTTACATCGGGTTACGAGACGAAGTCATACCGCCAAACTAGGTTCGCATCCCTACTCACAATGCCTCGCTGAGGATCAACAAATCCTGCGTAGGATCCAGATGGACATCCAAAATCCCCCTCCCCGTACCCCTAAACGCCATATCCACCCTCTTCCTCAACCCCGGTTCTCCCATCGGTAACCCCCACAACTGAACCTCTTCCGCCAACTTTTCCGGTCGTTCCCTCGGACACCACAAGAACATGCCTTCTTGCATCTCATAGACCGAGGTGCTTCCTTCTATGACGAGTTCCTCTGTCACACGTGGTTTTAGGGCCAGCCAGTTTTGTTGCCGGGTTAAGAGTTCTGAGAGTTTTTCTTGGGCGGATAAAGGGGAGGAAGGGTTATCGACCATGGAATGTTTCCAGAGGGCGAGTTTGTAGCGTAATGAGGCTTCTTGAGAGATTTCATAACATCTTCTACAGGTCTACAGATCATGTCATACCATATTGAAGTTCACGTTGGGTCTTGCTTCAGCTGAAGTACAACAGTACAAGTGATATGTAATTATGTAAAGACTAACCGAACCGAAAGCTATCAAGGAACGAGCCGTATCCAAGTACCCCGCTATTCGTCCTACGAGTTCGTCCGGCAGTCTCGACAAGATTCCGTTCGGATTCGAGGCCTCCATGTTGCAAGCTACCGGTGGTTTTATCTACCAGGCTTAAGATAAAGTTGAGTTCGACCTGGAATAAGGGCGACGATATGGTCTTGATGATTTTTACCATGATTACCATAACCCTCAACAACATTAGCCAAGGTCCTAGGTCGATTAGCTTTCGTCATATTTCGATTAAGTAGAGGCAATGGGATTACGTAATACATCCGCGGTGCAAGCGATCCATCGAGCCTTGTTTCAGCTCGTTTTAGCTTGTTTCAGCTGCATCGAGGCGATGCAATTTGCGATCGGACAATCGTGTCGCAAGTTGCATCATTAGCACGGTTCTTTATATAAGGTTTGGATGGATGCCGTCCACAAGCTACGAAATTTGAAGCGCTCTCGAACAAAGATCGCTATCTGACACCTTTACCAGCTATCGGTTTAGATCAGGGGCAAGCAGCTCCACAATACAAAGAACGATATCTACGAAATCACACATGTCCAGAATCACATTGTACAGCTACTTGTTGAAGCTGCCACCACCTGCAGATGCGATCGACGTGAATCCGGCAGCACTGTTCTCGGAGGGCAGATCCTGGTCGCTGTCGTCCTTGTGATCGGATTCAGAGCTTCGCGTCTTGTCCCAAAAAGTGTCCCATAAGCGTGCCGACTAAGCGGATATCAGAGTCAATGTCAAAATGAGAAAGAGTGTCGATTGTAAGCTCTCGCTCCTTAAGCCTGATTACTAGTATGAGAACTTACCTTCGCCTTGTCGATCATGCTCAACAATTCCTTTTGCTCACGGTCTGTCTGTGGCTCTCCACTGGCACTCCCAATCTCCATACAGGCGCCGGTGAACACGGAGGAAGCGGATCCGTCTGGATTCCCTTCAAGATCATTCTGACTGTCGCTTCCGTTTGCGTCTTGAGAACGGTCGGAAGGTGGATGACCTGGATCCTCCTCGACTTCTGCCTCTTTCGCTACATCTAACGCAAATCCGATCGCGTTTGGGCCTTGTCTCAATATTTCATCATACTGACCTTGTCCCTATCGTGTTGAGACGAAAGATCAGTAAGCTCCTGATATCACCAGCTCGGCGACAAGAAGAATAGCATTACGAACATAGTATTTGATCAGGAGTTGCGAATCCTCTTTCGAAAGACCTTTAGTGAGCTCGTCATCCTGGGGTTGCTGCTTGGGACTCCCGGGCATTATCAACCGTGATCTCAACTGCTGGTTCTTGATCTTAGGGAAGAGGGAAAGGAGGGTGATTCAAGCAAAGGCTCTACTACTAGAACATGCATCGATCCCCCCATAGTTTTATACTGTTCTTGACCTCCCATATATACGTTTCTTTACAAGCAGTGATCTGGCAAGAAAGCTCAGATCGCGTCATCATGGCGGAAGGGGTACACAAAGGAGCGACCTATCCTATGGTTCATGCAGACCGTCAGGGAAGCTGTATTTGTGAAAGATATGTCGTGACCGCTTGAGCAAGAGGTAGACATCCTTGCCACGCAACTCTCTAAGGCTTCTGTCCCTAGTATGGGTCGACCTATTCGCACTTGCGCAGAGTGATCCTTGTTTCAGCTTGTTCCAGCTATTACGAGACGACTCGAAACGGTCTATCATCGGCTAGGTGCATCGAAGCCATTTTGTAGCTGTCCGATAGGACGTCACGTGGTAGATGATGCCGACTCTGACCAGCCCAGCATTGTCTCTTTGTACTTTCTGGACATGAACGCGCTAGTACAACGATCTCCGACTGCCTTTTTCATCAATCTGACTCCTGGGTAACGACCGAATCAGTATGTAGCGGATCCTAACATCAATCGGCGATTACATGCAAATTAGGACTCACTTAAACAGAAATGTCAATTACCGAGTTTTTCACAAGATCCTCAAAATCAGGGAGTTGGCCCGTTTCGATAGAGGAGGCTGTTCTTGTGTCCTGGCTGCTTTGCCTCTGACTTGCATTTCCAGAAGGATCAGAGCTAAGAGAGGGTTCTGTTGACTCGGTTTTAGACGCCCGGTCGATTCCGGCCTTAACCTTTGCATGAATCTCAAAGGCCACAGTTGATCCCTACCGATCGATCAATTGACACAAAAGAGGGTTCAGCTTTTGATGAAGACCATTTTTTGCTGACGGAAAGCCATACGGACGAAGTCTCTCGTTAGAATTTTCATGTATTCTTCCGTGGGAACTGCCTTCTGGAATTTCCAAGAGAACGTAAGAGTTATCCCAACACAGGAGTAAGCTTCTAGACAGACTAGCATACGATCAAGGAAGAGTGACACAGACGAGTTTACGGACGAATGCCTCAATCACTCGTGCCTCCTGTCTTGATGAGAGGGCCCGGGCGATTCCTTGAGGTTTGTCACCTTGAGGTGGAGTGTCCGGCATCTTCAGCTGCGATCTCAAGTGCTTGTCAATCAATTCTCTGATTGGGGAAAGGGATGGCAATCTGTATAAAGGCTTTAATCGGCGGATGGGGGATCGCTTGTCCATGCTCCTGCATGCGCTGTGTATCCGGTATATATAGGCGTACACCAGGGGATAGTTTTGGGGAAGAAGCTCATATCGCGCAATGATGGCGATACAGGTAGACAAAGGAACACTCATAAGGCTTACCTCAAGTCGAGGCAAACGCTTCGCCAATTATCATAATCATGTGATCGCTTAGTCAAGAGTAGACTGCTGACATACGGTTTCCTGGCTTTCATGTTTTGGGTGACGATCTACGTCAAATCGCTATTCTCCGGAATGTGGGCCATCACGTTTAATGAGCTCGGCGGGTCGTAAAGGACATAGACTAGCACCACTGTAGGCTCTGCTTAAGAGACTTTCCCCGATCAGCACCGTCACATCACAGGCTGCTAGTAGTTGAGGACTGAAATAAGTAGAGCCTCTGCTATCTCCAGCTGGAACTTGGAAAAAAAAAATTGGTTGGTTTCCGTAGCTTTTTATGTATCAGATCGAACGTCAAGTATTTCACTCTTCCAGGTTCATGGCTGTATATGTACATCAATGGCTGTCTATATTTCTATAAACACATACGACCCCGCAATGCAAAGTGAGCTCAAGCGGTCTGAAAGCTAGAACTTCGAACTTCCTCCAGCCGTTCCAACCGATCCATCTTCACTGGCATTGGCGCCGAACACAGCAGGGATCTCCTTGGAAACGTCAGGCTGCTTGTAGGAAATACTGCTGTTGTCACCGCGCTTCCATTCCTCGAAGCTTGGAGGTTCCTAGAAACAGATCATCGGCGCGAGAGCATATCAATACGCAAAGGATTACAGATAGGTTTTCACTATCTGCTGCTTACGTCGATTGGTAAATCATCTTTCACCGACACCGGGGCCTGGCAAATAGAAGATGATTCCGCATCATCGGTCTTGCTGTCTGCACTGTTTCGTTTCTCTTCAGCCTCACGCTGAGCGCTACGATGCTCCCTTAAAAAGTTGAACTAGATGCGATAGATGCAGAGCGAGGAAAAGTTGAGTCTTTGTCTGGCGGTGTGTCATATAGTCTTGAAGCTGACTCACTTCATCAGACTGGGGGGGCTTGACCTGATGCTGCTCCAGGAACCATCGCTCGGCGTAACCAATCTCACTTTCTGGGATTTGATATCTTCGCTTGATCATCTAGAGAAAGAACCACATGTAAGCTCATAGATCCAGATCGATTCGACAAGGCTTGGCTGAGCTTGTTGTGTTGTTTACCTTGATTCTCTCCCATGTAAGCTCGACAACGGCGTCTTCCTCCTACACATAGTTGATCATTAGTGAATGCGAAATCAGTGTGTCATCGTGTATAAGTACTTACCACCGAGGAGTATTCACCCCCTGGCCAAACGATTTCAAGAGCCTTTTTGTCCGTGATGTGAATATAGCCTGGCATTTCGAGTGCTGTCCAATGAGAAACTGCTGTTGGAGAGTCGTCCTTGATGAGCCGGAAACTATCTGTCTCTAAGACCGAATGACACTCTTTGCTGTCGTCCTTATATACGAATTCCTACAGGCTTGTGGCCTATAGAAGCAGTCCATGGCGTTATTGTGAGCATAAAGGAAGACTCATATAGGGGGGCGTGGTAGAGGAAGTTGACTGCGGTAATATCCTTCGTCAGCTGGCCACCCTCTCCGCACCTGGAAAGAACCCATACAATGGCTCGAGAATGTCTCCGAAAGTCACCCTGTCATGCGGACACGTCATCACCTTTCATTCTCTCGGAGGATTCTCACAGAGAGGAGAAGCCAAAGCAATGTCCGCTGCAAGACTAGCAAGCGATGTAGCGACAAGTTGTATCTGGTGATGCGATGAGTCGCATTGTCCTGGAACTACCGAGATATTGAGCTCTGTAGAGTATCAATATGATCGCTTGGATCACAAGATATGGTTCGATAGTGCACAAGATCCGACTGTGCAGAACGCAGATCTTCCAGCCCAAGATTATAGGGATGTTTGCGACTGGTAATGAGAGATCGAATCTCGCCTGTAAGAGGGTTCCGTGTCGAATTTATACTAGGCAGGGCAGAACGCACCTGTTGACAGCGTTCAGGTATAATCAAGACAGTTAGCATATGATCGGTCGAAGCGCACTTCAATTCACCTCTAGTTGTGATGCAGACCTCACATATATGTCTGCTTTGGGGCAGGCGAAGCTACACGATGCCCGTCGCCGGATTAAGGCGATCCACCGAAGCGAACCGCCCATCAAGTTATATCATATACCTTGCCCCGTAGATTACCAGGTGCCATCTAGTGGTCGCTTAGCCCATACTCAAATTCCTTCAGAGATCTCTCCGTGATAGGCAAGCTTTTCGCTTTAGCTCCGTAGTCCAGTCTATACGGCTAGACATGCACAACAACACAGATTTCAAGGTTATTCAATCATTGATCTTGGCATCTCGTATTTCGTGTCTACAACTAAGTACATCAATCCGCTCAACTGAGGTGTTACGTCAATTCCAACGAGTATGTACTCGTACACTCTCATAGACAGACCCGTCATCGCCAGGCTGTTGGGGAGCCGATTGTGCAGTACTTCCAGGCGAGTTTCACACCAAACGGTAAGATCATCCTGGTGAATTCCTTCGTCCCTGTTGCCAGATTGAGCCACATCACCCAAGTCGATATCATTCGCGGTAGATCCATCTTCTTTGGGCGTCGTACTGCCTTCTCGGCCCTCCTGGGACAGACACAGACATCAAGGAGATGCGTAGTTCTCGCCATCAATGTTTCGTGAGCAACCCACCCTTTCGGCAAGAAACTGTTTGCTTTTCCCGCTCATCCCTTAACTGTTCACGCTCATTGTGTTCTTGGATAAGCGTACTCTCAGTGAGTTGATCCTCTCGCTACGATATCGATGGGCCCATAGGCAGTCAGGAAGAAGCTGCGTCACAAGTAAAAAGAAGTCTGCGCGTTCTCACCCTGATGTCGTTCCAGTAGACACGTCCCCCCTATAGAGTGATGTTCGTTAGCGACCCGTAATACTAGAATACCTAGTCAGCCCCATCGATCTCCTCCGCCAAACCCTGCTTGGAAGCCCTTGCTCAAAGGTGCCAAATCTCTGACACTCAGCTTGCAATGAACAGCCCGCATAAAGATGATCTTGGACAAGGTAAGATCCCCAATATCGCCGAGGGTGTCAAGCATGTCGGCTGCGACTTGTTGGATGTACTCAGGCGCATGAGGAATTGGATGTTGCAAGGTCAAACTGAGCTCTTGACAGGTGATCATCAGATCCTCGGTGACGGTGTAGAACTTTTCCATTGTGCGCGATCTGCAATCTGTGGCTCCTGAATTGTAGTAGGATATTGAATTGTATATTGTATAGTTTGTATACCATATGCCACAATCAAATACAAGAGAGCGAAGGATGTATGAGGGCATCTTCAATCTCTTTTGCTCTCGAGGGGAATGCACTGGCTGCCTGGTAGTGATGGAACGAGTGCTCCTGGCTGCATGTCCTGAGCCTTGCCGCCTGTCATTCCGTGAGGTGTCGCCGATCGCCAACGAAACTTTCCCCCCCCCCCCCCCCCCCCGCTCTGATTTGCTCCGTCACTTACCCTAATGGTGACGCCGAGTTTCAGCATGTCGATGTTACGGCTGTTGTAGTAATCCGTAAGCTGACACTTTGCATCTTCCAGATCATGGCAAATCGGCCCTATGGTGTATACAATTGGCGTGATGTCATTTCTTTGGCTTTTCATGTTGTTTGTCCTTAGGTACCGTAGGCGAGTTGCATTGAACAAGGGAGACCAACCGATAAAGATATGGTACGGAGCCTCCAGGTTTCGCTTTAAAGACCGGCTTTGACCCTCAGGGCTGTGGCGGACTTGATCATGCACTCATAACAAAGAAAGACGGGATAAAGGCGTTCTTGTGGACTCAACTCGTGGTGCGGCCGAGTACTGTGAGGGCCGCCATTCAGAATGTTCCGAAAACTTGCCGTATGGATCACGTCTCATCAATCACCTTTGAGCCTTTCGGAGGATTCTCAGGTGACGGAACTTCAGGGTCTTGGCCAAGCAACCAAGTCGCTGACGTCACTTGTGTACTATAAGAGACACGTTTCTCCTGATCAAGATTTCCCTCGCTGGTAACGCCCATCCAAGATCGCTCTCGAGGCTTGCAAGTCAGCTGTTTCAGCCCGAAAGCTTACACGCGCGCGCCAATCATCAAGCGCCCTAACCTGAAACAACCGTTCGAGTCACGCGCCCCAGCCTTTGGCTCTGATCTTTCGTTTCGATCGTCGGAGCGGGTCTAAAGTCAATAATGTACTAGTACGCGGAGTAGGGACACGCGCAGGAAAAGAGGTATAGAAGGTGGACGTGCAAGCCGAATCATCGAAGTTCTGCTAGCGAGAGTGCTGAAAACAGCGCAAGATGGATACACAAGCAGTGACAAACAGGCCGACAAACAGATTGACGAGCTTGATCACAATAGATCACCATGATCGATCGAAGTCTTTGCGAATGTACTCGAGTACACTGATCAAGGAGAAAATGGTCTAGTTCTGACTAGATTCGCCTTTGCTCCCGGAGGCCATGGATGAACTCGCTTCTTCAGTCTCTGTCAGTTCTTGCGACGTTGTCGACTGCTCGGGCTGGCCGGAACTTTCTTCACTTTTTAGCTGTTGGTTCTCTAGCTCGTCCTTGATCTCCTGTATTACGCATAATCAGCCATATAAATAGCGCAGCCGGCTTCTTAAGAGCTTGGAGTAACTGATAAAAAGACCGGTACTTACTTGCCATTCTGAAGAGCCAAAGTTGATCCGTTTGTTCCGGATCTTCAGAACAGATCGTTGCATATCGTCATATGTATGCAACCCGGATGCAACAATCAATAAAGGGAACTGACCGTCGAAAAGTAGTCGCATTTCCTCCTGATATCGTCTTCATCCGAGTAAGAAGGAAGCTTGAGTATACCTTGGGAGATTGTCTGTCGACCAGGGTCATCGAGAGGCGCTCCTGCCCTAGCGGAAACAGACTGGGTTTGGCGAGGCATATGTATGTTTGGACGCGAGCAGAGGGATGAGGATGTGGCGATGCCGTAAGCGCGGCGGCACTGACCATAATCGATGTCGCTCTCTTGCGAGGGGGTGTATTTATATCCATTTCGACAAAAACGTCGATTGAATCGTGTTTTCCAGCTACCGGTCAGAAACAGTAAAAGGACAGCATATCCTACGTGCGGTCAAAGGAGATCTGAGACAAAACAGGGATTCCTCATTCGCTTCAAAAGAAGCGGCACGGCTTGCTCCAGCAAGGGTAGAGGTTCGTCGATAAGGCTCGCTCAACTTTGCTGCATCGTGATCCCGACACAAAAGGAGAGTCGCAACATGTGATAAAGGATCAGGGCGAAACCCAAGCGAGGATACCCGATCTGCTCACCTTTTTCCATGAAAAGAAGCCAAGGCTCCGCATAACTCGCTTCTGCCAGCCTGGCGAGGAGGAATCAGGATAGTCGACAACGTTGAAGCAACAAGGCGCCTAGGAAATAGGCCTCACAGCTGTCCGGTTTGCACGACTTAAGTGTGATACGGATAGGTGGATGTTCCATATGGTTATCCCTTGAAAAAGCTGGGTGTTGAGGGTTGTGTAATCGGGTAGAGTTCATTCGTATGCTCTCTCCAGGCGTTCTTCCTTGGCAATGGTCATCTATGTAAATCAATCTTGATGGCAAGTGATCTCCTCCGGTCAAGATCAAGAAGGGAAGAGGTACTTCAGGGCCTCAAAGAGCTTGGCCACTGAGGTCCGAAGTTTCGGCAATTCTGAGGTTGACGGCTGGGTTTCCCGTCAGTCATCGAATGAATGTTCTTGCCGTTGGTCGCCCTGTTAGTCCTCGGGCGGGCTCTATGTGATATCTGGTACGTCGAAACCAAGCCACAAGGCGGCTGACGCCACCGCAGAAGGCTTGAACAGAGAATTGGCAGACAAGCCATTGCGCAAATAAGTTGGTCTGCCTCCCTTAGAAGCGCTGCCGACTCTTGGGTTGACATTGGGATAGTTGTCTGTAAATTAAACGGCGACGATGGGGGCGATGGCGGAGAGCTCGACGGGTGGTGAATCTAGACGGCGCTCTGAAATGCTCTCTAATCAGAGCCTCATGCAGAGCCGCCGTAGCGCTGTGCATTTGAGAGCAGTTCTGATATCGATACTCCAAAATCCACTCATTGCGGCCGCTACGGACGATCACGACTGGAGGTCACAATAGAATACTGTGACGAGATTAGCTGGACGGACCTGCTGCAAAGATCGGTTTCATGTATCAGCTCGCGAGACGCCTTCGGTCAGATACCAGCATGATGTCGTCCGGACCGAAGACTTTGAATAGGAGCCCGGATGGAAGTGTCCTGCTATCGGCTTTCTGAGGAGGAATGAATGCTCGAAGCCGTCAAGGTGTTGTCTAGGGACCTGCTCGAGTTTCACATGCCATTTTTCTGCTCTGAAAGACGAGGGAAGCGCGTGCACGAGGTATTAATCATTTTACTATCACCCCTACGGCATAGGCTCGATCACGCCCGGGCCCATCATGAAGCTATCAGTTCAGGCGCTGTCATTATGACGACAAAATCGTGATATCTTCCTACTTCAGTACAACTTTAAACATTCTGCGAAGAATCCGCCACAGCCGACACAGGTCAACACGTGCTTCTGGCGCCTTCACACGTCGAAGCGGGACGAGCACAGACAGAAGCCGATTCGGAAGTCGAGGCTGTCTTCTTCGTAGTAATGGTACCAGTACTATGGATGCTGCTTCTCTCTGACGATGGAGAGACTGACTCCTCGACGGGCTGGGCGAACTTCTTGGCTCTCTACATAGCAAGGACCTCACCGCGTGATAAGCGCCATCGTGCTAGACAGTCGTTCCAAGGTATCTGACTCACGGTGAAACTCGATGATTGCACAGGTACATGTTTCTTGACCTGTGCAGTCATCTCATGAGTACCAATTCACTCGATGGTCTGGCAGAGAATCTCACCAAGGATCCCAACTCTTGCTTCCTCAGAACTGAATCACCCGCCTTGTTGTGTTCGTTTCGCAGGTCAGAAGGCATGTCGCGAGAACTGGAGCAATCTAGAACAGTGACGTTGAGGCTGAACCACCACAACAAACGGCCTCGATAGAGGTGACCATTGCCTGTATATGTACGCGCGAGATGTAACTTGTAACTCGAGAAGCTTATTGATCTCGCTGACGTACTGTATATCGATGCACTTCTGACAGCTTCTCGACTTGCACCTCCTGTTTACGCGCTAGTCAATCCCTTAGAACCTCGAGCGCTTGCTAATAAGAACTCGATGACTGAAAGGAAGGTCTGCAGGAGCTATGCAGCTCAAGGTCGCGTTCCAGTCTGAGAGCAAACTTCTCGGTGGGCCTGGAGCGTGCTTTGCGGCCAACCGGTTGACAGCAAACATGCTCGTGTTCGCTGTCGCAGTTTTGTATCACCGGGCTTTTCTGTCAGCTACGATCCTCAGATAGCTTCGCATATACGTAACGTGTCATCTCGATTCAGATCTCTCCGCTTTTTTTCGGCAATAGACGTCTTGCATCCCCACGACACGAAGAGATACATCTTACATACCCAACTGACTACCTCCTACTTGCTCTCGCAACTTGGCATGATCACTCGGATTAGCCTGAGCTTCGTATAAGATGATCCCATCCGGATTCCGCGTAAGCTAAGGACGCATCGCAACCAGAATCAGTACCGCAGTCACCTATACCGAGCCTATCGTCGAAGAGGAAGCATAAACCACTCACCTCGTTCCACTCTCCCTTGAATCCAACATAATAAACCCTCGTAGTCTCGTCCTCGCCATCCGAGATGTTGTTGGGGAAGACCAACTGTATCGAAGTCACCGCGGAGAACTTGCTTGGCCTCAAGGCGTATTCCACAGATTCTCGTTGCGGCACGAGCTGGACGACTTCTTTTGCGGGTCTGTCGGAGACTGAAGAGAAGTCTAGGCCGGGCTCGTTGACGTACTATAGGATCATATGGTTTTGTCAGCGAGAGGCAAAGGGCTGCACAGCGAGGCGGAATCGAAGGCTTACGAGGTGGCATGATTCAGGTGTCAGATCTCCGGGTCCCGTTTTCAGAATGATACTTCGGAGCTTGATCTGAGCCGTAAAAGGGACTGAACTGAAGTAACGATTAGCGGAGTGCGTTGCTGGAGAACAGTTGTGATAGACTCACTGTTGATGATCAAGCTATCATCCGCGTCCGATTCGCAGTGCTGATATCCAGAACGTCAGGCGCAGCGATGGTACATGACCAGCCGATGGCATCCATGATTGTGTAAATGAGAGTTGAAGAGGTTTCGTTCAGGAGAGTCGTGCGTAAGGTGATCCAGTAGCCCCGAAAACAGAGAAGGTTGTGGAAGGAGTGGTATCCAGCGAGGATAAGCCATTCAAGATATACGGATTGAGGAGACATTAGTTGCGGTTCCGATATATCAGATGAGGATATCATTATGATTCAGTAGAATGTTCTATCAGCGATGGACTACTATTTGCCTGTGGTCGATTTCTGAGGCAAACTGACCTGCAACTCGTCTTCCCGCAAATCCCACGGTCTTAGGATAAATAGCAGGATCAAATCAGCATTCATGATCGCGGCTCCGTATGAAGCTATATTATACGGCGACTCACTTGATCACATTCTTTCCAGCTTCATCTCCTCCGGCAGCGTTCAGAGCCCTGACATGTTCCCGATCGATCTTGCTGTAGAGCGAGTTCTTGTCACCAGCATTCGGATCGCTGCTGGGCAGGTCGTGGGCGTGCGAATGGTCGTGTGTGTGATCGTGATTGTGAGCTTCGGATTGGCAAGACATCGCGGGTATGACCTGTAGCACTGGACTGCTTGTATAGTGATATCCACGATAGCATGGGATGCATGTGATGAGCATGAGATTATGAAAGGCTAGGTAGCAAGCTAGCAAGATGACCACCAGCCACCAGCCTCGGTTTGTTGACGATTCGTCATAGAGATCACGTGATGCACGATCCGTACGTGCGAAGACCGTGAATCATCTTTACCTCTTAAGGGGGCTAATGCTCAAAGCTTGATCACTTTGAGGATATCACTCGAAATCTATCGTTGATACTGTTGCGGGTCTCTACTGAGCTACCCAGCTGCTGATCTGCTGCGTATGTGATACGGCACATCACCACTCTCACTACGTACAACTCAACACAGCACACCGACGACAAACGAGTCCGGGGTGTCGACCTACTGATCCGGACTGATCAAAACGTCTAGCTTCGAACAGATCAGCCGTTTCGAGATAGCTGAGCGATTGTGATACAAAAGGCTACACCAAGCCAGCCACTGTGAGCAGGTCCTACGGAATCTCGTGTCTATCTCCGCTAAGGATTGTTTGGCTGTTCTCCGTAGATTCTTCTTCCAGCTCGGCCCGTAGACCCATCCGAGGAACGCCGGCCCAATATGACCTCTGATTCTGCATCAGCCGACTCTGCGGCCCCCGACTATGACTCCTCGGAATCTTCATCGTCCGCCTCAGAATCGGAACTATCATCGTATGCGAGCGATATTGGGATCCCTTCTGCTGCATCTAGGGCTATCGGAGAGAACGATCTCATCATGGGCCTGATATACGACCATGTGCCCAAGCACAAGGGAAGTGACATACTCAACGGGATGCTGCTTAGTAAACGGAGATTCTGGTCGATTGCAGCCAAGCTCTATCGGTTATGTAGCCCGAGCATTCTATCAACGATATATGACAGAGGATGTCCGATGGTAGGTCTGGAATCATTCCCCTTTCTGCCAACTTCGATCGCTTATTCGCGATGTAGGACCGTTTTATCCGTTACTGTGGATTGGTCGAAATCATGCGCGAGCCGCAAACCCGCAAAAGACTCCCGGTCGAATTGGATAATCATGTCTCGAGAATCAGAAGAAATCGAGCTCAGGCGCCGAATGTCGAAGCAATTGAGCCCACGGTTGGAAGTCTATATCGGGCGAAACATTACGTTGCTTGCGATGCCATTGGAAGAGGAATCATGGTAGAGCGCTCGAGTGACAATCTCGAATTGGTGATTCAGCCGTTCACTCGTTCAGATGGCGTTCACGATCATGTGGAACTCGCCGAGGCAACTTGCTCCACCCTTATCGAGCTCGCGATAATCCAGGGAGGCACCCACCTCACCAGCAAGGAGTTCAAGCATATCTTGAAGACGGTGGACCTGGCTTCTGGTTATCCAACCAATAACCCTTTTGTGAACCTAAGATCTCTATCTCTTAGATGGTCGGCGGGACTGCGCTATGACACGCACGAAGGTATCGCCTTGAAAGACGTCGACGTGTTGCTCGAACTCTGCCCCGAACTTCAAGTATTTCGCTGCCGTTTAATTTGCGAAGACTCGATTCAGGCGACGACGTCACGACTCGACAAAACATTCTCCACTGCAAAGGCAATGCACGACATCCACATCGAGACCTCTGGTCAGCTCGTGGAATATTTAAGTGCAATGGCTCGATTTCCCAAAGCGACACTGATTAGTAATCCCGGACCGGGTAAAAGGCTCAACGAGATAGTCATGGGGAAAATCGGGATACCGGAGCTTTCATACCGCCCCATGCTGCAATATCTGGTCTTGGGAGCCTGTCCCGATGTCACCGACCGGGCCGACCCTTACGCGATAGCTCGGGTAATTCAACGGATGCTTCCTCGACAGTGCGTCGTATCCTTCAAAGAGGAGTCCGGCTCTAGGCATGATTGGTGGGAAGCCATCAAATCAACTTTGAGGCTTCTGGTCAAAGAACATGCGCCTCAGCCCCGCGTGTACGAACCGATGACACCGGAAGAGTTGGCCGAGGCCCTCATGATGAAAAAAGGTTGAGAAAAGTTTAGGTTGAGAAAAGTTTAGGTTGAGAAAAGTTTCGTCCGGCGGGACGCTGAAAAGCGATTCGATCCGTGAGTGTTTCGTGTATCAGATCAACGCGGCGTTAGGGAACTAAATTTAAACGTTTGACATAGCAGCCTACGGGGAACTTCCTTCCAACGGCCACGTCTCGGGTCTCCTGCAGACGCAACGACAGTTCCCAGATTCTAGCTTCATACGATAGACAATGCGTTTCACTAAGTACTTCTACGTCGCCCGTAATGACGGCCAGAACGCGCCGATTTCTACATTTCCTTTTATTTAGATACTTGGTTCGTCCTGAACCCTCTATTACCATCATATGGTCGTAGTGACAGTCCGATTTATATAGAAATATAGCAGCGAGCATGTTATTATACAATCCAAAATGCTGCCATCAAGAAGTAGCCAAAGATCACGTGATTGACTTAATGACGCAAGCCGCAAACTCCATGGGAGTCTCATATCATCAAGGATCAAGAATGTACATTTTATCGCGGAGTGATATCTTGTGAGCGATATGCTAATTGCTAATCATGCCTCGTGATCCGAGACGTACGTTTTCATACACTTTACGCTTGGGGCTTGAGACCTGCGCTTAGTTGGAGCAGGTATAGTTCGATTCGCCCAGCAGCAGGACGATCTACCGGTCGGTCGGACGAGTTGCGGCGCATCATTTCAAGGTTGATTCAAGGCAAGAACGTGAGCCATATTGACCTCTATGTTTGTCTATCAACCTGGAAGCTGATTCCTAGTGATGTTATCCTCGAATGTAGGTACTCGTCAGCCTATACTTGCATTTGGCGCTGAACAGACAGCACCCTCCGGATCACTGATTGCCTAGACAACGCGAAACCCTGACATACTACCTTCTCTGCTGCTGTCTCACGAATTGCCAACATCCTCTGGAAACCCTGAATAGGGCGAGCTGTGTTGCCTCTGGTCAGGGGAATATCGCTTTGGCTTGACTACAGTGAGCATTTCTCAAATATGCTATCGATCAGAAGTCGGTGTCGGACTGCAGCTCACTCAAAATCTGTACTATCTTCAGCTTCCTTTGACCTCCAAGCCGTCAAAATAACTCGTCATGGTAGACGATGAGCCGAGAATTCAGGAGGTCTCAAATACTCCCCCTGAGAACGTCGAATACTCAGCAGCTGGCCAGGCTATCGGGGAAAACCACTTGATTATGCAGATGATTTATCGTCACATGCGTCGGTATGGGACTCGAGCACTACTCGACGGGATGTTACTCTGCAAGAATACTTTCTGGCCGATAGCTGGTATTCTATACCACTACGCCCGCTCTGACCTCCCGGAGGACGTTTACAAGCAGGGTTGTCCTTTGGTAAGTGGAATCTAGTTTGTCCTCTTAATCCGCCTGCTGACCTGAAATTGCCAACATGTCTCTCTGATAGAAGCGTTTCGTCAAGTACTCAGAGCTGACCAAGATCGTTTGGAATTTCGCCGACAGGATAAGCACACCATACGATCTTGATCTCGTTGAGACATGGCAGGGCCAGTTGCCAAATCTCCAGGCTATAAGGTTCTACAGTGCCGCTTACCGCCATAATATCCAGCTGGAGATACAGTTCGATTGCATTAACCACGGAGTCATCTTGGAGCATCCAGCCGATGCAATACACTACGAACCGACTGCTCTCGAAATCGCAGACGGTGACGACGACATTCTCCACTGGATCGAACCGGAATACCCTCGCCAGTCTGGGTGCCTTCACGAACACTCTAATCCGCTCAATGCGTGTCCGGTCCTATGCGGAATAGAGGTGCGACCTTCACGTCACGCTGAAGTCGGTCCAAAGATCGCGCGGCAGTTGAGATTCGCTATGACCCAGATGGCGGATCCCGCGTCGGGACTAACGATCCCTCATGAATGGATATGTCTGCGAGCCCTGACCTTGCTCTGGACCCATACCCCAGACAATTCCGGGATAGAGCTAGGGGAGTTGGAGCACATCCTCAAGCATTGTCCAGAGCTAAAGATAGTACGCTGCCGCCTCATGGGCGAGGAAGCGCAAGAGGCGGATGAGAGTCGCCTGGTCCGAGCATTCGCTCCTGCCAAACATCTTAAAGAGGTGCATCTCGACACTTGCGGACCCATATTGCCGTATCTCAAAGTGCTCAGGCAGTTCGAAGAGGCTACATTGGTCTGTAGTCCTCGACTCTCGCTTCTGGACGTAGAGTACTTACGCAAAGTCGACGGGGCGGATCGAGACCGCTCGGCTTTACGACATTTCACGTTCGGCGCACATCCACTGCTTAAGATAGTCTCGCAAGAAACCTCACATCGTGGGAGCTGCCCCACCACGGCGGCTTTGATACAGCGGATGCTCCCTCGAAGGTGTGTCGTAAACTTTACGATCGTACACTACGGCTCGGCGGATCCGATTAAGGGCAGCGAAATTCTCTGGTGGGAATGGTACTGCTCAGAAGTGAGATCCCTCATCAAGGCGGCCTCTATCTCGACTGGCGTTCGGGACTATGTTCCTATGACGGCGGAACAACTGGCGGAGGCGATGAAGCAGAAATAATGAGCGAATCGACTGGACTTTCGCGGCGGAGCTCACAGTGAGTCATCCGTCGTCAATAAAGCCGATCCCGAGCTTATGTCAATTCTAGAGTGTCAGCTCGCCGTGATTCAATACGATGAACACACGAAACCAGACCGACCGCTCACAACCACAAACAAGAACGCCGTTAGTTGAATCATACGAATCAAACCCATCCGACAAATACGACGTGTCGGACTAATTCACGAGGCAAAACACGAGACCGAATCCTAACCTCACGATACATGGCGGAAACAATGACCTGGACTTATCAACGATATACGAACCTTCTACGAGTTTATGAGGATTACGAACAGAGACAGCTATACAACAATATGCCTAGGCAACGCGTAATATCATTATTGTATACTATCACCCTTAAGCAACGAATGGTATGTCATGAAACCGTCTCAAGGCAGTTTCACCTCGCGTCACGTGATCACCCTCGGTGAAGCCATGGTTCGTGGCCGATGCTACTCGAGTATCATATCAACCTCCTTGCACCGGAATTGCAATTAGTAATTTAGTGACCGTGACCACAGCATATACAATATATTCATGTGGCCTGTGGTCAACGATACCAGAGGATCAAAGGACGCAAACGGATCGGGATTGACAGGCACCTAGCCTGTGAGTCATAAACCCGTCCCCTCACGTGTATGGGACGACTGCTAAGTCGAGCCCACTAAGCTACCACAGTATATCTGTTCTCGGTCTTTTCACTGAGACGGAGAGCTCGCTGGGTATCGGACGGATCCAAACAATCGATCTGAATGTCATCGGAAACCGCTCTCTACGTCTCGTCGAACCGACAGCTTGTTTGAAACTCAAGCAACCGACCGGATATCCCCGATACATTCCTGAGAACGAAAATACCACTCCAGAGATCGCCGGCCCTTTCTTGATCGTGTCGTACCGTGTCATAAGCACGTCTACCTGTCTCCTAGCATGAGCACGCCCGAACAGATGTCTACTCCGCCTGTCTGGCGGTTCGAACCGTCGCCGGCATCAGAAGCGATATGGGCAAATGACCTATTGGTAGAAACCATTTACCGGCATGCATGGGACACCCGGTCTTTGGATAAAGAGCCTACCATAATCAATGGGATGTTACTCTGCAAGAGCCGATTCTGGATGATAGCAAAGATCCGCTTTGAAAAGTGTTGGTATAAGGAATTGACGGATGCACTGCAAGCGGGTTGTAGTCTGGTGAGCCCGCATTTGCGCTCTTGCAGTTCTAGCTCAAACTAAATAGCAAAAATAGGATCGATTCAACGGCTATAGTGGCTGTGTACGAACGCTACTCGTGCGGGAGACTGCGTATCCGGACGACGAGCCGGAAGAGGCTGTGCCCCCTCGCATGCATAGGCATAAACAAGACCTCGCTTACTTGCGCAAACATCGAGGTCAATTGCCTAATCTCAAAGCGATCAAGGTGCTTCCTGACCCAGATTACGAACCTTGCAACGTTCAAAGGCTGGTGGAGTGCGACGGGACCTCGATTCATGTCGACTACGCTATTCATTCCTATATTCCCCGACATTGGGAATGTCGTCATGGCATTGAAGCAGAACCAGGTTGCTGTGACAAACTCCTTGGAATCACTATAGGCGGTTACGAGGATGATGTGGAAAGTGAAGAAGCCATCATGGAAGAACTGATGGAAGTCCTCAACACGCAGACAATGGTCGTTGGATCAGTAACCTCTACCGTGCACCTCGGACATCTGCGGGTCCTATCTTTCTTGCCCTTCGATCATCAAGGGGATGGCAGAATCCATCTGGATATGATGAGCAGCATTTTTGACTCTTGTCCGGAGCTTCAAGTTCTACGTTGTCGCTTGAGGGGATCCGCAGCGTACAACGCAGACGAGGTAGACCTGGACTGCGTCTTCTCGAAAGGCAAAATGCTCCACACCATCCACCTGGAAACTGAAGGCGCTCTAGTCCCTTACCTATCTGCTTTGAGTCGATTCAGGGACGTCGAATTGACTTGTCGCATTCCGTTACCATCAGACGATCTAGCTCGCCTGAACGATCCTTCTGGCCGCAGGCTGCCTTTCGAAGCCCGGACAGAACGCTTCGAGATGGGTTTTCACCCCGCATACTTCTCCGTACATCCGCGGGCAAAGATGCTCGATGTGATCCAGATCATTGAGACGCTTCTTCCGGCGAATTGCGAAATCAGCTATGACAAGCACGATCTTCGCTCTTTCCCTATCGACGCCACCGACTTGATGCGAGCGGGCTGGCGACACTTGGTCGCCGCCTTGTATCTCCTCCAGGAGGACAGATCCAAATCTCGTCCGCTACCCAGGACTTTCGTACCCATGACACCAGGAGAGCTAGCCAAAGCGCTTCAATCGAAAGACGAACGATTGCCGTTGTCTGGTTCGAGCGTCTAGCATGTGCGCTAGTTCCAGGCTTCAAAGTCTGCCGAGCCGAGCAGGCTCGAAAGCGAGAGCGGGACCTCATCAGCTCGCCCATGATCATGTATCCCTGACGGCCGATGGGTACTTCGGCCTGTCCCATGGATGCCGGGGACTCGTCTCACAAACCGTCGAGTCCACTATCATGACGTCGTTACGAAACGCGCCGCGATATTATTGAACAGGAGACGAACTACGACGGACAAAGTGGGTATCGCTAGGGAAATCGAACAGTTACGGAGAGGGACACCACTGCTTGCCATATAACTCTCAACATTACGACATTCCGACGAGTCGATAGGTGCTGTGCATCTTCAGCAGATCGAGGCAGGCATCCGCAACGCATGGGCGACAAGCTAAGTTGATCTCCGCCTTGTATCATTGTCGCGACGCTGCGTCAGCTATCGACGATCTATGTTACTAGAACGGCATCTGGGTCGCGGGTCTACCTGGACAGGGAGACCGGACAGACCAGTCGTTTTACGTCGATAACGAATCTAATGAGCGGGTTGAAGGCGAGAGCGAGCGATCCTGGTTTAGGGAAAGGGGTTTCCTCGTACAGCGAAAGTGTTCTCACGACCGCTCGCGTACAGCCTATCTCACGCCAGAAGACGCGGAAGAGATCCGGATTGGTGTCACCAATCTTTGCGCCGATGCGTGCAGCATTATCGCCAGCATGATCCACCTTGCCGTCCCGAACAACCCATAGTGCTCGTGGAGCATGTCTCGTTGAATCGAGCTGGCGGAAGCCACCCGGCTGAGGGTCCTTTCGTTTTCATCAGGTGACAGGGAAAACAAGGTTTAGGTCATTAAACCAACCACAGGCTTCGAAAGGCAAGGTATGAAATAGAACCCTCGGTTCCGCTCGCCAAAAGGTTCCGTGACGATTGTCGCATACCGATCGATAAAGTTTAGGTTGTCGTCAAAGCGGAGTTGTTAGTATCGACCCGCTCTAGTGGAGAAGGCGAGGAAGAACAATGAGAGAGAGATGAATCGGACACCTGAGACAGTTCCAAAGTCAAACAACTGGACCATCCTTTGGATGCACCGAATTGCGAATTATCGCTGCGGCGCGCGTTGCACAGCTTCGACGTCAAGTGGTCACATGCAGTGCACTGAATGCTCACAACTTAGGGATATAAAGCCTGAGTCCAAACGGTCGCTTTGAGAATTCGGACGGCATGATAAACCTCTTTGCACCTCACTGGTACCCAAGTACCTATAGGGTGAGTCCGGGTATCATCTTGCACGCCCACTTGGACTGACTGTTTTCTCACGATTGGTAGTATCGCTCCGAGTGCCGTAACCCCTACAGCAAGACACATCGACGCGATCTACTAGATCTCGGTCACCCATACAGTGAGCATCATCTTTTGGTCATGATCGGTCACGCGCTAAACCATCACCATTTACTCGCTTTTTTGCAGAACTCTCATATCCCATCCCACGCCGACGTCCATCATGACCGTTCGTATCCAACGACCCGGCTGGGAACGAAAGATTCGCTTCCATACCCTCAACCTCCAGCAATGCATCATCTCGGGCGATTTTGGTTATGTCCACGCCGTCAAGGCTCATCAGCTCTTCAACACCGTGGATCAATTGTCCGTCGCCGACGAAGACACCCAGAAGGGCGAGGATGCCATCGTGGAGATCGAGACCGCCAACGCTTATACCATGCAGACCATCATGGGCGAGTTCACTGGCGAAGTCGAAAAGCTCAAGCAGGCTGCCCCGGACGCTGAGGCGTGGAAGGAAAGGATCATCGAGCAGCGAAACAAGGCTCAAAAGGCCGCTTCCGATGCCATTGGCGCGGCCTCGCAGCAGGTTCTCAACACCATCGAGGCGCTTCCCGCGGAATCGAGGAACGACGCGGCGGACGTCTATATCAAGGCTAGCTCGTACATCGGCGATCTCTTGAACGTCTTGGCTCAGCAATTACAGGCGGTCCTTGGACAGGTCGCCGAGTTCTTCAAGGGGATCTGGAGGGGAATCAAGACTGCCTACGATACCGTTGTCGGCGGGGTCAAAGCGGCCGTTGGGTTGATCACAGGCATCTTCGGCCTCGATATCGAGACCGGTGTCAAAGGAGGAACATTCATCGGTCGACTCAATTGGCCCGCTGCCGTCGGGATCACCGTCGCTACCACCGGCCTTGCTTACGTCTGCGGCCACCTCATCGAGAGGGGTGTCGAGTTTCACGAGCAGACCGTCAGGATCGAAGAGGCCGATGGCAAGAAGACGATCGTCACCGAGACTCATATCGGGTTCAAGAAGCCGAAGCTGGGACAGGGAAAACAGCTCGAGGCGGTCTGGAAGGATTGCGTTGGAGATCTCGGGCAGGATGGGCATTGGATTCCCGCTCAGGCCGTTTGATCAGCCTTTGTGATGGGTTCGTCCGCATATGCGTTTGTGGTGGGGGTGTTCTTGACAGCTGACTTATCGCTCGACCCAGTAACAGCTATATAACAGATCTCACTAGCTCTTGTCATCGACCGTCCTCTATCTCTATCTTCTTTTTCTCCCTACTTCGTTCGACCCTTCTTTACGTTTCACAAGCCTGCAGTTTGGGTTGCGCACGGGGTACTCGAGATGCGGACTGTGTCGCTTGTAAACTATGTTGCGTGCGGCCTTGTACAAATATCACCTACGTATTTGATTGAATGGCGTCCTTTCGAACCTTTTGACAAGAACCCTGCACATTCCACGAATATCCTCGCAACTCGTCCGATAAGCAATCGCTATTGCAAAAAAAGCTAGATCCTGCATGATTTATCAGGTTCTCGTGGTGCGAATGACATATTACCGAAAGTGCTAAGCTTGATGGCGATTGAGACTTGTTTTCGCATATGGCTGTTTCTGAATTGGTCAAGCTCAAAAGCGTTCTTGCCGACACCTTATCTCTCCAGTGTCAGAGTAGTGTGTTCATAAATCACGTCAAGCGCCTGGTTATCGTACAACAAGACTTGCAAATCCACCTAGACCGGCCTTACAAGACCCTCTGCTGCCCAATTTCGCTGACCTTTTCCTTCCCCTGATTCCTGCGACGGCGTACCCCATCCCGTCTCTGCCCTAAAAGAAGTCTAAGAATCTCCCTCATCTCCGGGAGTTGAAAAGCGGACGGAGCGATCGTGCAGCGATCTACTCGGTGGTCTCTCCGTCGGCCCTGGCCTGCCTGTTGATGACCTGGATGGTACCTATATTCGTAGAAGACGGGCCGGATCAGCTTCGTGTACTCTTGGCCACTTTACGGCGATACCGAGCGGGAGGTAAACGAGGACGAGGACGAGGATAGGCTTTTAGATGTCGATGTAACGTGGTGTGTGAAGCAAAAGAAAAGGATAGGGGAAGAGGACAACAGCAGACAGAGCACTCCGGCACATAAACTCACGGTGCAACAAGAAAGGCGTAGCCGTCCCCCTCTTCTGACCCTCCTCGGCGGGTTGTTCCTTCATGGTCAGGTCAGCCTCGACGTACACCGTAGATCCCTTGCCGAGCGTCAAGAGTTTCTTGTTGGCGAACTCTTGGAAGGACCAGACGGAGTGCCAGGAGGTGGGAGGGTCGGCTCGGTCTTTGTGGGGTGGATGAGGTGTCGAGGGTTGGGGTGGTGATGGTGATGGATTAGCCTTCTTGAGATACTTGTGAATGAGAGTCTGGGGGGGACTTACTGCCCTGCTCGTCGGCGGGTCCAAGAGGTCCAGTCGAGGTAGCAATCGGGTACCTATATTCCGAACAACAGTCAAGTATCGTCCATCAGCCATCAAAGTACCATAGTATCCTTGCTTCAAACGAGCTTCTTGCAAGTCACATCGCCTCGAGATCGAGAACAAGACGATATGACCACCCAGGACGACCACAGAACGAGCAGCAGCACTCACACGCAGTACTGAGTTCCCGTCTTCTCCGAAGTCCTGATAACAGGATCAGCTCCGAGCCTTCCGACGAGGGTCACTCGGGCTACATCTGAGCGGATGGAGGAGGTGGAGATGCCCTGTGATCGCAAGGGCACCCGCGGGTTTGGTTTGCAGTTTCGACAACGGTTTCAATGCGGGTGGTTATAGGTGATTAGATGTGAAACAGATCCATGTAGAGACAAGGGGAAGCTTGATCAGTATCGTACTCTTCAGACATGTTGATGCGAGCTTGTTCCCCTTGGTCGACTCACCCTGACAGAGGTCTTTGCGATTTGGGAGACGGATCGAGAGAACATCGTGCTAGTAATCGTTCGTGTGTTGAGTTAAGAGAGTGTGGGTATGTAGTGTAGTGCAGTGAGATCTAGTTTGAATCGAGAAGGGGATGTTAGGACAAGAGGAAGATGGTTATATATACGGTTCTAGTTGATGATGAACAAGAACAAACAAGAAGGTCGAGGGTCTCTCGAACTAGATCGAACTTGATGAGCCGAATGATACGCGATTGATCGCGACCAGAAGCGGAAATTCGCCGAAAGACCTTCAAGTGGCTCGTCAACCCATCACCCACGAGCACACCGATGGTGGCAGGACAAGGAGGGTGAAGAGGAGAATGAGCTGATCGCTGTGTGGTGTCACGTTTCATAATCTATTCTGTACAACGTGGGAACGGGAAGACGAGCTTCGTGATCACCGCCTCTGCGTCTTCAAGTACCAAACCCCGGCCGTCCCAGCAGTCCCGAGCACTGCACCCATCAATCCCACTCCTAACACCTTCTTCCTCTCCTCGTTCAACCCCACCGCCTCCTCTACCGCACTCCACCACTCCCCCACCCAACTCCTGCTATTCACTCCCAGATCCCTCGGTCCCAGAACCCGCTTCTTATCCCACCCCTCGTCCAACAACCTCTGCCTGACCTCATCCGTCATCCCGCCCAACTCGTCGAGGTTCCATTTATCACAAATCCCGATCATCCAGTTCATCCTCCTCTGCCCCAAAGGTCCTCCTACACCCGGAGCACGCTTCCTCAAGTCCCCCCTGAGTTTCCCTACGGAATCGATGGCTTGTTCGATATCCGCAGGGAGGGACTCTTCGATCCTCTTCCTGATCAACGCAGCGATCTTGGGTCCTCGTCCAGAGGTGCTGACCATGATCTGCAGAGGACCTCTCCGGAGCTGAGACCCGAAATAGAAATCGCATTCTGGGGGGACGTCCGCCACGTTCACGGGCACCCTCTCTTTCCGACAGGCCGTACAGATACGGGAAGAGAGCCCTACTTCGTCGATCGCTGTGAGGACCATATCGTAATCCCCGACTTTTATCTCATCTTCTTCCGGCCCGAGGTACTTCCTGTCCAAGTACGTGATGTCCTCGGTATTGCTAACGTCGATCCGATAAGCCGTCTCCGGGTGTAGTTGTTCTCTTGGGGAGATGAGAGTGACTCGACAACCGGTTTCCAGCAAGTAGTAGAGACGCCCCGAGGCGACGAGGCCTCCGCCGATGAGGAGGACGTGACGGTTTTCGAGACGCCAGGCGAGGAGGAATGAAGAGCCTTTGACGATCGTAGGGAAGTGGTGGGATTCCGAGGTAGACATGGTAATTGAACTTGAAGTTCGAGGAGCGAATTAAGGGGATTAGAGGCTGTTGTATCGAGCTGTTATGATCAAAGGCATGTAAGATGAGCAATATATCTGACATTGCGAGTCGGTTCAACCCGCGAGCGTGTCCGTATACCTACTCAGAGTTGCGATCCGTTTCAAGCTACTGCTTTTCGAGTGATTCCCCAGAGCTATTTACGATGAGATTGAGTATATACTTCTAGAAATGCCGAGTCGAGATGTAGAGATCGATCGAAAGGAGACGAATAGTCGAACACGAATGTCGATCTCTTATCGGGCTGAGTCCCACAGCTAAGTCACGTGATTGGATATGACGAACGCCTTAATGTGAAACGTCAGTCAATCATTGGATTGATGTTCTCGTCTGCTGCTGCCGCTAGGACAATTTACTCCCCTATCCTTCAAGCGGTGAGCGGAGCCCTGGCTCGGGTCTTCAGATGTGAAGGAAGGATTGGTAAACGTGGGAAGAAGGGGTCCGAGCGCCACCAACAATCGATGCGCCAGCAGGGCACCCCGAAGACCGCATCGAGGCATCACGTAGCAGCACCTAACACCCCATCGTGAGCACTCACCATCTCCCATGGACTAGTACGCACCTAGTCTGCTGAGGATTCGGGAGGGTACCTGACTCCTGGTCATGGCAATACGATCTTACATCGTTTCATCAGATAGTAATATATGTATACACAACCGCAAGACAGGTTCCCTTTCATACGGGGGGAAATATGAGCAAGTCGAATGGGCTACTTTAATTGTCCAAACAGGCACCAGAATATGTCCATGCTAGCGGATGGGGGCGAAAGAGGGCTACGTTATGTCGTCGTGTCGTACGTGATCATGTCGCGAGAGAATCATCATCACTTAGGGGTGTGAGGTCTCGCCTTTTTGGTAGGATGAGGCGGGCCAAGGGCTTTTGCGTTATTGTTTAGGCGTGAGGCGGCGAGATCTCCTTGCCCTGTGCTTGTGCATCCCGGTCTTGTCTCGAAAGGTTGATGTGCGACCTCGGGAGGTCGGAATGATGTCGATCGAGGCGGGGTGGGCCGGTCCTCCCGCCAACGTGTTTGCTCGCTGCGAGGGCAGCGGCCGCCTCGTAATGCACCTTGGCATGGCGTTTCAGGTTGGACTGGACCGAGAATTGGCGATGGCAGTGTGGCCAATTGCAAACATAGGGTTTCTCGCCAGTATCTGAGGGAACACACAGTGAGTCTAGGCGTCAGTGTGCTGTGTCACGGGCTAACACCGTAGGCCTTATGACTAACGGGTATAAATATGGATCTTCAAGCTGCTCGGTCGACTAAACGTCTTTCCGCAAAAGTCACAACCATATCTAGGTCCGACGGTGGGGTTCCCAGTCTTGTCCCGGTTGATCTCGTCGGGCGAATGCGTTAACACGACCCCATGCGGGATACCGAGCGTCGCAGTAGCCTCCAAGTTGGTCGCCGACAACGAGGCCCGCCTGCCATTGGGATCCGGCAGGGGCAACGTCGATTGTTGTCCAGGTCGACCGAAATGGGGGAACAAGGGTGCGGCCGAGGCGACATTTCGCTGCGGTCCGGGTGGACTGTGTCGAGGCGAACTCGCGAAGCTGTCGATCCCAGGCAAGGGCATTCCGAAATACCCGTTGGATCCGGGTTTCGTCTCCTCGATCGCCCTGAGCGGTGACGACCCCCTGCTGGCGAGTTCGCCCGCCGATGTCGAGCTGGGAGCCAGGCTCGACTCCCGTAGGGTCGCGTGCATCGACACGGGCGTAGGCATGGCCGACGTCGAAGGCGAGAGGGCGTCTGAGGCGAGCCTCGTCGGTTGTCCAAACAGGCCCTGGCTGTAACGTGATGCCCCCGATTCGCTCGGGGTCTCGACCGTCGAGCGGATGCTGGAGAAAGACGTCATGGATCCGAGGGGCGGCAAGGTCGGACGTGCCACACTGCCGAATTCGCGAAGGTTCAAGTTCAAGTGAGGGGTCGATTCGGATCTGCCAAAGAAGGGCGCCTTGGTCAACGAGACCCGGTCGAGCGGGTCGGATTCGCGTCGGTAGGGCAAGGGCGATGCACTGCGTTTGCGTCGTTTCGTGCTACGCTCCTCGTCGATGTTGGGATGCTTGCCGTCAGCGAAGCCGAAAAGCGAAGAAGTAGAGGAATTGGGAACGGCTGCAGATCGGAACGTGACTGTTTAGCACTTCTATGCGAGAATGCCAAGAATACAGCTCGAAGATACTGACTATACGGTCTCGGCCCTTCCTCGTCGACCTTCCAATCTTTGCTGACATCCATCAGGCCATCAACTCCCAACATCGACGTTCCCGAAGCTGCTCTCGACGCGAGCTTGTGGTCGGAACTGTTCGCCCGAACGTCCATGGCATCCGAAGGCGAGTCCATGTCCATATCTTCAAGACCATCTCCGTCAAGATTCTCTCGCAGCGATGCCAACGCGTTGCTATTTGCGGTATCTTCTAGCTCCAGTCCCATTGTACGGCGCTCCAACCCATAAGGGAGATTGGCAGGCCACGAGTTTTTGCGCGGATCTGACCCCACGCTGTTGTCCCGCTCGCAGGAGAATGAGAATTCGAGCGGACCCCGTCCGGGAGTCATAATGTTCAGACTACCGACCGAGTCCCGGAAGGTAGACGCGCTGAACAGGCTCGGTGCGGTACTCGAGGAACCTCCGGTCGAGACGGTAAAGCTGCCCGAGTCCAAACGAGATCCGCGCTGATATGATGACGACGATACATCGGTGGAGCTGGAAGCACTGCGATTCGTCCGCCATCGTGCGAGCGACGAGTCATTTGAGCCGGGAATGGGTCGGCCTGTAACAATCAAGATCTATCAGCTATTGAACGATTGCTCGACCTGGACATCTAACACCAACCTGATTCGACATCTCCTGCCATAGTAAAGAGCTCCTTGATCCCAGGTAGACTGACTCTAGCCTCGGCAGAGTCTCCTTTCTTCTCCGTCTGCTGCATCATATTCTCTGCCCACCCAGATGTTCGCGTTCGAGCGGAAGACGTTTCACGCTGATAAGGCGATAGGCCCGGACGGACGAACCCATCCACCGTCTTGTTGCGAGACATGGATTGCGGTACTGGGTCGGTAGGTCCTATCTGGGATTCTCGTCGACGCGCTCCAGCTAGAGAATCTGATGCGTCGGCCTGGTCGAATTCCGAAGCACGTCGTTTGCCTAGAGCTGTTGAGGACATTGCAGGGCTTGCGTTGATGGATTCATGCATCCTGAGGGGCTTTTCTTTGACGTTGACGAATGGCTCGTTCCAGCCTACCAGAGCTGGGGGACGTGATGTAGTCTGATCGGCAGGGCGATTATCACGAGTGGAAACTAGCGAGCGACTCGTCAGAGCGGGCCGGATAAAGGGTGTGGTGAGCCCGGTTTCTTGTAGAGAGCTCCTTCGACTGATGTCGAGCTCTGGGCCTGGAGTGAAATGAGCCAAAGGAGGCCGTGCTGTTGTCTGTCGAGGATACAGTGGACTGGCGAGAACCGAGCCGGCTGCTTTGTGAGCGGGTGTCAAGAATGATCCAAAGCCAGGAGGAGGCCAGTTGACAGCAGGTGTGTGAAGATTGGTGCCGGGTATGTACCGTTTCCGTGGCCAAAAGGTCGAGCTCGGGGACGACGTGTGTATGCCCGTGACTCTTGGACGAACCTGTCGACTTGGGGTGTTGATGGCAGCAGCGGATCTGTGGTGGGCACGATTCGAATGAGGCCAAGTCGAAGGTGTTGCAGTGTTGTATGGTGACGAGGAGCGATCGAAGTGATCGTGAGCGTCGGATGGTCGTCGATCAGGTGATGATGAGGAAGACCGAGAGCGATGAAGTGGTGACCGTTGTCGAGGTGAATACGGTGTAGTTGATGAGGACGACCCGGGCGACAGGTACGTGGTTTGATTCAGATGAAGTGGGCGAGGTCGACGGTGGTTGAGAGCATGTCGTGTGGGAGATGGTGTGCGAGGCCAAGCAGATTTTGCGATATCATCGTTTGATGGGGAATGTGATGAGCATATTCCGGTAGTGGTGGGGTTGGTGGTGGTGGAGGCCGCCGGTTCGGTTGGACGGCGACGACGATGGTGATCAGGGGGAGACAACAAGATCGCCGAAATGTCGTCATCATCAACATCATCGTCGTGATCGGAGTGAACCATCCCATCGTCGTGGTCATCCGGGGACAGGACCAGTCGAGGTGTAGACGTAGAGGAAGAGCCATGTGACGGTCGGGAGGGCGATGAGGATGGAATGACGAGCGGTGAAGAGGAAGTCATGGTCGTTTCCCAGGGTTAGAGGTGTACGGACCCGCGTAGGAGGGCGCGGGAGAGCGAAGGGTGTATACAAGTTTATGTCAGTTCGTGTTCTTGGTTGTTGCAACGTCGGATAGTTGAGATTATGAGGCTAGGACTAGAAAATGTCAAGAGGATGATCGACGGGTAGCGGGTAGACTAAGAAGCAGGTGTAGGCAGAATGCAAGAGTCACTTTGCAGGGGATGGGCTAAGGGTAAGATGATCGGATCGATCGATCTTATAAGTTTATAAGACCCTTTATCGCTATCGCAACGATCACGATCTTTTCGATGTGCGTTTCGATCTCCGCCAGTCTTTGTAGGTCCTGGACAAGCTTTCGATCATCCATCCCGTGGACGTCGTCTCTGATCTCTCTGCGATCTCTGCACAGCATCGGCCTCATAGCTCCTCGTCATTCTCGTGCCCGCTGACGAAAGCAGTAGTAAACCGTCGAAATGCCTTTCTCGCCAGGTGCCTTCGGGTCGACATGAGGCTCAAGGTTTCGAGTACGAAACGATCGATGAACGTTCAATTTAAACCCCTTTAACACGTATCCGTCGTGTCCGTCGCGAGCCTCTCTCTCTCTCTCTCCTTCTGGCGCCGTCGATCAGATTCGATCTGATGATGGGAGGAGAGGATCCTCGTTTTTCCATCGGTGGCTGTGATCGTCGTCGAAACATCACCCCCCCCCTTTCTGCGCATCGTGGCTTGATCTACCCTTCTATGGTCCGTAAATGAAATGGATCATCGCTTGATCTTTGTCCCTCGTCTACCGCCTGTGAGCTGTGTGCTCGGAGGATTGTTGACCTCGTGTTCACGTCGGTCATCGCTAAACGACGATCCCCAGAGGGTTTGAAACTGTATCATCGCATTCGCTTCCCAATCTGCCTTCCCGTTTCAATCGTCACTCGTGTTTTCTCGGTGAAACATCCCATGGGTGTGAATCATTCCTCTTAAAGACGACATGGACCGGCCCGGTTACGAACCGGACAAAGACGCCCGTCGACGATCAAAATGCTCTGATCGATTTCTCGTTTCATCACGATCCACCTGAGATTCCTTTTGTGTCTCTGACTCTCGCTTCCATCAGGAAGATTGCGGCCGAACGACGTCTTCCCACATCTCCCTTGATAGAGTTTTGAGGTTTTCGTAGCGAAGATAACGGTCCGGCCGGTACGGAGCTCATCCGTTTCGGACGTTTCAAACACACACGCATACACCCCGCCCTACACGATCGAGATCAGGCGAAACAAAGAAGAGATGGATGTACTGACCGTAGCTGAAACCGCGAATCTCCCCTTCTTGTTCTAACCCGCCACGCCCGAAACCTTCAGCGAGGGGGTACGGCGTTTCACTTTCAGCCCCCTTTTGTAAGTTTAGGAGACAATTGTCCGAGGTCGGTGGAGTCTCTTTCGTTTCAAGTAGAAGCCTGTGGATATTCTTCAGAGAGGGTTGTGATGACGAACGACGCTCGGATTAGGTGCGGGTTGTGGCGTGGATCAAAAGAGGTGTGGTGGATTATCGAGAGCAAGGGGTATAACGACTATTATGATGAATGCCGACACGAGATCCTCGCAACTGATGGGATGGTGACCAGTACGAGAAGAGACCCGTGTATCCTCTTTCGTCCTGGCAATCGAAGCAAAATGGGAAGAGGTATAACAGGCCGTTCGCTGGTTGATTGCAGCGAGAAAGCTTTGCTGATCATATGCTTTGCTGATCATATCATCACACCGTGCCATGTTGTGCGTCCGAGAATGATCGACAAGGATGACTGGTCTGTTGTGGGGAGGAGACAGGGAACCTCGTGTGGGTGGGTGCGAAATGAAGACGTGCGACAGACTAGCGCTCATCCCGTTCGACGATGTGCATGAATACCGAGAGGAGGATCGAGGTGGGAATCCGGGTATCGGAACGAGTCATGAAGTGGAGGGTGGCGTTGCCATGTGCGTGTCGTGACCCGGGGGGAAATATCCAGCACGACTCCTCGCTACTCGACGGCCTGGGCCTGTTAACCCGAAGGACAACGCTCGTATACGGAGGAAAGACCAGCGCGTCAAGGCCGAGGCGGACTGGAGCGTTCCTCCTCGTCAACTCCGCAAGACATCCTGGTCGGTCCAAACATCTGCTTCCAGCCATTGATACCTGCTACCCGATCTACGATCTGCGAGTGTTTCTGGGCAGATCGAGTCAAGGTACATAGGGAACACGGAAGTTGCTTGAGGAAACAAAATGATCACCAACGATCGTTCTCGTAGAGCTCTAAATATGCGAAGAGAGCGAACGGTGACCTAGCATTCGACCCAAAATCTGCGTTCAGACTCGATCGCGTTCAGCATGTGGCGTACCCATTGATCGTCCGCCGATCCCGAGCTCCAGGGTCTGACGATCGACCGAAACGGAACCGCGGGCGAGGGGCAGCGATGAAGGCCGAAGATGCAAGATGCGTTCCCTTTTCAGGCACCGGATCACAAAGCTTCAACGACGCCTTTCCGCGCCAGTGTCAGGTCCCAACGACGGCGTGTTTGCAAGGTGCAAGATTCGTAACGATTCATGTTTGGTACAACATCGTGGTACTTGCGACCCCGGCATGTCACAACTCGCAAGATTATCTACTCAAAACTAGAACGCGGAAGTGGCAACGCAAACAAAACCTAGAGACCAAATCGAAGGGGTGAAAGAGGAAATGGGCATCACGAGACTACTAGGCTACTGTTGATTGGTATCGCCCGAATTGATACCCATGCCGTTGTCGCGATTTTCAGGGAATGGGAAGCTCGCTCTCGTCCAGCGTTGAGCAGGTCGAATAGAACTGGCGGATCCGTTGGCAAAGTTCGCTTGTTGTTGTTGATGGTGGTGTTGCTGTGATACGCTCGCCCGATGTGAGATGCTCTTGCGCAGATCGGTAGAGTCTTCCATCGAGTCTGGAGCTCGGTAAACACTGCTTCCAGCGGGAGGGAATGGGAAGGATGGACGGTGCCTACGAAAACGTCGACGTGATTAGCAAAGATTCGTGATGATGACTGACGGTGCGATGCTCACCACCTTGGCGTCGAGTTCCAAGCATCTGAACCGGGTCCGTTGTTGGTGCTGGCCTCCAAAGATTCTCGCGAAGACTTGTCGAACGGCATGGCAAACGATGGAGAGCTAGCTGACGCCGATTTCGGGGCAGTACTGGCGGGTACGCTGACGTAGGAGTCCAGCGCCTGATCCATCCCGCCCGAGCCATTCTCGTGCCCACCGTTGAAAGCGCCCTCAAAGTACCCGTCGCGCGACATCCGTTTGATCGTCGTATTGGGCTGTCCTGGCAGCTGGACAGTCTGCTCGATCATGCCATCGGCCTGTAAGACCATCACGGGCGGTCCATGAGTCCGCTTGTGATGGTTGCCATCGGTGAGAGGCATGCTCACGGATGCGGAGCGGGTGCCCAAGTCATTGCGTTCTAGGCTAGGGCTCGAGGTGGTGTGCAGACGAGCGTCGAGACTGTACCGCCCAGGCAATTTCGTGTTGGTCGTCGATGACACGGGATCTGACATTGTATTCGCGGTAATCGCTGGATCGAGTTGTCCAGGAAAGGTGGCCGACCCCGGAGTAGGCACCCGGTCGAGCGGCCGAGCTGGAGGTGCGCCATACCCTATCGATCCGACCGGCGGTCTTGTCGAGGCCGGCGATGTGTTGGCAGACATGTTGGTAGGAGGCATGGGTTGTCTAAACTGAGGGTGCATGCTGTACCCGTTGTTGTACGCGCCAAAGGCTTCATCGTCGGGTGTCACGACCATCGGTCCACCGCCATAGCTCGGCGTGCGGAGCATCGTCGGATGGTTTGCGTACGCATGCTGGGGTGGCGGTTGATGCATGTGATGGTGCTGCGGCAAGGAAGGCGGCGTCGAATTGGATGGAGAAGCTGATGACGTCTTGCTACCTTGGTACGCAGCTGTAACGGTGTCGTATACATTAGCTAAATGAATATCATGTTCGAGTGACGTTGAGGAAACCCACGATTAGCCATATTGACGTTCGGGTCGTCGCTTGCCTTGCATCCCTTGACCAGCCAATGTCGACGCAGAGCGTCTTTTCGAGAGAATCTAAGGCAGGTGGAAAAGTCGCCGTCCATAAGTGTCGGCCAAAAACCCATATTTCTATACCTGCAGCCACTTCCGAGGACTCACTGCTTGCCACACTTTTCGCACGCAAACGGTTTCACGGCCAGATGGATCCTCTTGTGCCGCTTCAAATCATGGTTCCGGTTAAAACTCTGCACACACTCGTCGCACTTGAAAGGACGCTCGCTCAACGGGGTACCTCTCCCGCCGACCATCTGAGCCGCATTGTGAGGCATGATCTGGCCGTTGGCACCGATGACGAGGACTCCTGGAGTGTTCCCGGTGGAGTTCGGGGTCGGGTGCGGGGCGGGATAGCCCCCGGTGGGTCCCGAACCGACGAACGACGGGCTGGCCAGAGTACCCGGAGCGCCTGGACCTCGGTAGTGTTGTTGAGGTGGGTAAGGTTGATAGCTAGAGGCATGATGATGCTGCATGGGGGGTGGGTAACCGGGAGGCATGTGCGTGTAACCCGGATAATGATGAGAATGCGATCCCGGCGGGTACATGGGCACCGCAGGGGAAGAGTACGCGTGAGGGAACGGTGGAGGTTGTTGAGCGCTGCTCGACTCGCCCGCGCCCTGTCCATACCCATAAGAGTAGGCCCGAGAATAGTTTTGCCCCTGCCCCGTGGTCGATCCTGGAGCACCCTGATGAGGATGGGAAGGGTACGTAGCAGGCGAACTCGACGTCATGGGGTCTTGAGAAGGCAAGACTGGTAGACTCGCAGAATGCGCCAGAGGAGCAGGTCGAGCAGGCGGACGATCGGATCCTGGGTAACGCATCGATTCGTCCGTGGTGATAGAGGCAGCCTGTTGAGCCGGAGGAGGCTGGGGGGAACTCGTCGCGCTCATCGAAGCCTGGTTGTACCCCGCACTCGCGCTGACCGGGTATTGGCTGGCTCGCCTTTCCAGTCTCTGAGCATAATGACCGGCGTAAGGGGATGCAGCCTCGTTCCCCGGCCCTATAGACGATCCAGGAGCCTGCAAGGTGGATGAATTGCTAATCGAGCGAAGGTTCAACGGCGCGGGTTTCGTGTGCGTCCGTGTGGGTCCGGTAAGAGGTTCTCGTTGTTCACCACCACCACCACCAAGACCGGCGTTGTCGCCCGTCGCTGTCAAGGATGGGTCGATGGCGACGTGAGAGTGAAAGGTGCCCGTCGTCGTCGTCGGTGAGACCTCGGTCGAGCGGGGATGATTCGAAGAGGGCAGTAGACTTAGGGATTGTCGATGTGCGTTGCTCTATGGCGAGGCGAGGTGGACAGATAAGCACGTTAGGTTCAACGACCGGTACAGCCTCGGAACAACTTGAAAGAGGACTGAAATACTCACTTGATCCACTTCCATCCTACCACCATTATCCGCTTGACCATCCAGCTCTCCTCGCCTTCGACCCGGGCTACCGGATTGAGGGTAGTTCCCCGCTGCCGCGAGTTGTCGCTCAGCGTGTTGGTCCATAGGGTCCAGTTTCTCTGACCGAGGTGTGGGGGTAGGTGGAGTCAAGCTAGGAGTCGCTGAAGGATTCGACATCGATATGTGTCTTGTCAACGATGGTAAATGAAGCTCGGCCAGTTTCCGGGTTGTGGTATGTGGATGTTCCTGGCTGTAACCCCCTTGGCATGTATATATCGCAGGGAGGTTTGACGAGAGAGATCAATCCTGGGTGATCGATCACGAGGTTGTGCTGCAGCTACTTTGTGCGATTCAGCCGTCGACGATTGATGAATAAGACGATCTGTACTTGATACTTGGTGATCCTGCGATCTATGGTCGAGGCCGGTGTCCCTCGGGGGTCGTCGTCAAAGATTATGATCGATGTTCGGTCGCGTTCCCTCGTTTTGTGGCTTTTTCCTACTGGCTACTAGGTCGAGATACCGGAATCGCGGGTCGCGTCGATTAGAGCGAGATGGGTAGAGCGAGGTGAAGCAGCAGCTACCTCGTTCGAACGCTCCGGCGATACTCGTCAGGGATCTGTATGTGGTGGATGTGGATGTCGTGACGACTGTGGTGTGTTAGCTGGGTAGGCAGGTAGGCAGGTAGGTTGTCAATCGTCAATCGCTGGATCGCTGGTCGAAAAGGTTTGTGTTGCAGGGAATCGGAATTTCTAGGCGCGTGCCATTTTTCTTAGATACGTGCCATTGCGGGGTAGAGGGTGGAAATAATTATTGCGTAATACTTGCTCCGGCGGAGCAAACATTTCTAGTTTTCTCACGCGTGTTGTTTCCCGGTAAATATCTCTAAGTCGCGCTGCCCCCGCCAAACATCCTATTCATGCTATTCACTACATGACCGACAACACACCCAATTCCACTATGTCATCTATTAGCTCAAGTGATACTCCCTCTGAAGATTTCGAGATACTTCCCGCGGCGGAACAAGGCCCTCGTCAGGCGACCCCTCTTGTCAGCGTCTTCCAAAGTCTCTTCGACCATCCAGGAGAGGAAGATTCCGCCGTAGTCTTTTCTCGCTTACAAGACGCCGCTAGAACAAATGGATTTGCCGTCCGGCGGGAAGGTGTCAAAACAAACTGCTTCTATGTTCTGTGTGTGCAAAGTGGGGAACATAGGGATGACCAACCATATATCCCGGCGGCAGGAAGAATAAGGAAAAATTCCGGCGCGACCACTAAAAAGACAGGTTGCACCTGGAAGCTGTACGTCGCCAGGACTAAAAGAACGAAAAATCTCTGGAAAGTTTCCCCTCGTGGTGATCTGGAGCATAACCACCCTCTGGTCGGGTCGGCGTACGCTTTCCCTCACCATCGCCGATTGACTCAAGCGGAGAAAGATGCCGCTGTGGTATCGATCAACAATAATGTTCCGGCGCCAGCAATCGTCGAAGAACTTCAACAGAAAGCTTACGCTGAGGGAAGGGAGACTTATGTGTCACCTCGGGAAATTTATAACTTGAAACACCAAATTAAATCGGTCGCCCTTCAAGGACGCACTCCTGCCGACGCTATTATTCGGGAACTAAAGAAGAAAGGAATCCCCCACCGCTATCGTTCAAACTTGATGGGCGAATTGCAATCATTGTTTTTTACTTCTCCCATGGCTATTGTTCTCGCGAAACTTTACGGCTACGTTTTTATTATCGACGCGACCTACTCCAGCAACAAATATCAAATGCCGCTGATGCATATCGTCAGCATGTCTCCGACGAACAAAACCTTCACTGTCGGCCTGGCTTTCTTAGACGGCGAAACGACGGCGGAATATATCTGGGGATTGCAATCGCTGGGAGATTTGATGGGAAATTTGCCGACGGGAGTCGTTATTACCGACCAATGCGATGCCCTAAGGAACGCTCTCAATATCGTATACCCACAGTGGCGTCAGCAGCTGTGTGTCTGGCACATCGGAGAGAATCTGAATAAAAATTTCAGACCACTTCTGCCGCAGAAGGATTTCCTGCGGGTAAAGTCGGCCGCTTTTACACTGCGTTGCCAGAAGAACGCAGACACCTATGAGGAGCTTCGCGAACACTTCAATGAAGCGTTCTTAAACGACGAGAAAACTTCCGCCGCTTGGCTATACGTTACCAACCTGCATGACGCAGAGGGGGAATTTTTCCTTGCGCACCGACTTACGGAGGTGCTAAATTTCGGGGAATTTACTACGTCGCGAGGAGAATCTCTGCACAGAGCCATCAAGAACTCTATCCAGGGGGCAACTTCGGATCTTTTCTCCGCCGTACACGCATGTATCTTGCACATGCGTACCACTCACCGGTCGATCTTCAAGGAGCATGCGACTGATGCTGTAGACCGCATCAAAGAACACCCGATGTGCATGGCGACGGTGAGTTTCTGAGGGAATTTTCCGCCGGAGAAAACTAAAATATATTCTTGTTCGTCAAAACTCAGCTTCAATCGGTTGTGGCGAAACGGGCTCAGCGAATTATGTTCAGGGGAGCCTATCGTTTGTATCAAGCCGCCGCAGAAAATCAGGCGCCATTGAACCCTTGTTCAGGGTCGATGAAGTGCAATATGGGACTGCTCTGCCAGCACGATTTCGCCAGAATTCTCGCGGCGGATAACCCCCACCCACTTCTTAACCCCGCCGAGATTCATGCCTTCTGGCATTTGCATCAGCAAAACAGCCTGCAGGCAAAGGCGGACGAGGTGGCGGAGGAATATGTTGAAAGATATTCTTCGGAGGGATCTTTCTTCATGTATTACCCGGAGGGAGATGAAGTACGGGCTTCTGTTCCTCAGCCGAACCGGGGCGCGGTTCCCCAGAACGAGTACTTGAGTGAGCGCTCCGCCGCCAATATTCGAGAGATGTCTCCCGACGCTGCGATTATACAGGAGCCACTGCATCGCCCTGCGTTCGTGAAAGCACAAGAGAAGAAAGACAAGGCGAAAAAACGAAAGCTCGGGGAGATACTCAATGGTATTGGTCCGGTGGAAGATATCGTGGGAAATATGACGTCGACAAATCGCCTGGAGACAGGAAATGAAACAGTCAACCGGCGAATGGACGCGGCGGAGAAAAAATCTAAGCAAAAGAAGGGTTCTTGCGGGTTTTGCAAAGGTACCGACCATAACGTCAAGACGTGCCCTGACTACAAGAAGGCCCAAGCGGCGGCAATTCTCGCCGCACAACGTACCAGGGCGGCAGAGTTGGCAGCATCTACCGGGAGAGTTGCCCCTTTGACTGGCACCCAGAATATTATGCCGTCTCAACTCTCCCCATTTTCTTCAGCTGCGCCAACTTTTCCTCGCGAATTCCTCTCGCAGGATTTCCCAGGAAATTTTCCGGCGCCAAGTCTTCCTCACGACTTTCCAGCGCAATCCTTCCCAGCTTACTACCCTACGGCGCAGGCCTCTTCCTCGTCTACACAACTGCCGCCTCCTCAATCTTGGGCGAGACCTCCGCCAGGTGGCTACTCCCACTCTTCCCCCGGAGTATATCGCCCGGAATATTCCCAGGTCACAGTTACTTCCTCATGGATCGCGCCGTCTTCCCAAAACGGCTATTACCCCTATTCAAGACAATAGGCTCAAAGGACCTTTTGAAACATTACGTCGCTTACGCGCGCGGTGAAACATGTCGCGCGTTTTATCGCTTCTTTCTATTGTACTGACGATCTACGTCTGTTCCTGTAGTAGCAGTGTTATTGTCGTTTACAGTAAGTGCTAGTATACCTCTAACACCGACAAAGACCGCCGTCAGCTGACGACGTTCATGTTCTTTGATGATCGACGCGCAGGAACGTTTCATGTTAAAGGACTTTTTTTCTTTTGTTCTCTGTCGCATATCGCGCGCGACAAACAGCTCGAAGTGGTAATAGTAGGATATCGGGTCCGATATCTGACGCAGGAACAAAGAAGACGAGTACTAACTCGGTAGAAGAACAAAAGAAGGCTGACGTCAGTCTTCTTTACGATGTCAAGACTCGCCCGAATCGGTTCTCGAGAAGGCTCACGTCAGTCTGAATACGACGTCAAGACTCGCCCGAATTACTTCTCGAGAAGCATATATATCTCGACGATTCTCGATTCCCCCCCCCCCTCTCGAACTTACTCTCTACTCTCTTCTTTCAAACTTAGCGAAATAAACACTCCGTACTAGTACCTTCTCCAGAAGACCTCCGCCGTCAACAACAACAGCAACAACAACAACAACAACAACAACAACATGCCTCGAATGTAAGTACAACGTCTTCTTTTTTTTGCTCCGACGTGGTATTTATCTAGAATTATTCCCACGTAGTCCTGGTACCGTTGGAGCTGGAGCTCCCCAGAAGAGGGCCGCCGACGACCACGTCGTATAGTAAGTTTGATGAACGCGGGAAGATATCTGAGAAAGTTTTCCGGCGCTGAATTTCTCTCGCTATATTCCTGCGTTAGCCCACTTCCCGACTCTCACTCCGACATCCCCCCGGCCGATTTTGAGGTCAAGAATATTATCGAGTGCGCGCGAGAGTTCGGGAACACCGACCTCTACATCTTCGACCCCCGGAAGGCTACGCTGGCGCATTGGTGGGCGGATATGGCGGAGGATCAAAAGCGGTGGACGAAAACGCCGGCGAGTAAACGCAAAGATTTTCCGACGCCGAAAATCGGGAAAGATTGGAAGGCGATTCGTTGTTCGACCGGGGCGTATTTGATTCCCCCAACCGGGAAGAAGTTAGCCGAGATTAATTTGGATCTCGAGCGTAAGTTATTCTCCGCAGCAATATTTCTTTCTTATCTTTTCCCTTACATTTTTATCTCTCGTTCTCACAACAGTCCAGAAGATGCTCATCAAAGAGGAGGCCCGACCGTTCCTGCCTGAAGACCCGCCGGAGGATTTCCTAGAACTCTGCGAGCCGGGTCGAACGGGGATAGACGAGCCGGCGATCAACGGATGGCTGGTGAGTTCTTTTTATCTTTCTTCATGTTCTCTCGTTTTTCTTTCCGGCGGAAGACTTATCTCGCGTTTCTTCAGGCCAAGTATCGCGGCGGCTGGCGAGTCGCCTGTACTCATTGCGATACGAAGTACGCCGACGTCGGCAAGGGGCACCGGGACTTTCGCGCTCGAGACGGTTTCCGACAATTCGAGCTCAAGATTTCCGCCGACGCCGAATCTAAGTGGAAGGATCCCCTCGCCTTCACTTGCAGTTACGGCGACCTCGTCCTTTGCCGCGCGGCAATTCCCCTCGCCAAATCTTCGGCGTTCTCTTCCTGCGGCAGGTGCAAGTCTCTCGGCGACACCTGCACCGACCCCGGTGGCGATGCGAAAGACGACTGGGACTTCGACCTCAAGGACGACTCGCAGTCTGCGATCTTGCGCGTCGCCAAATATATCCGGGGATTTTACCTCGGACATTACGAGCTCAAGCACGAGAAGCTCTCCGCCGCAAAGGAAGCCTTCGAAGTTCTCCGCGACGCTTGTTGCCACGACTTCCAGTTGCCGGCGATCGATGGGGTCGTACAAGAACACGGCGCCGATCCCTCGGAGGAAGTCGTGAGAATTTTGACGGCGGCGATTGACGGGATGAGTAAGGCGAAGCCGAGGGGCAGCAGGAACGCCTAAGATATATTTTTTTCTTCTCATTATTTACTCTCGACTTTACGTTTCATATAATACTTGTATTAATTCTTGAGCTCGAATACGATTTATTTACGCGTCATAATATTTCTTGATAAACTTTCCGGCGGAAACCTTCGGGCAAACTACAGCGACGCTATTTCCACCCTTACCCCACACCAAATGGCACGTATCTAAGAAAAATGGCACGCGCCTAACAATTCCGGCAGGGAATCGAACTCTCGCTCGCTGCTGGCGTTTCTTTGGCTTGAAAAGCGTCGTCAAGGGGGCGGGGCGCACGCGGAACCACATGGAAAGAAGAAACTCGGCTCAATGCGGCCAGGACCTGCAAGGCGGCAGAGCCCAGAGAGAGACACTCGACGAACGCCACTTTCCCCCCTGGTCTCTGTCGTGTCGTCACCCACGTTTTCCCTCATCCCATCCCGTCCCCTCCTCTCGCGCTCGAACCCGGGCAGATAACTCGGTTCACACGCGTTCGCCTCCGCCATCCGCCGTCGCCCCCCTTTTCTGCGCGCTACCGATTCAGGGCATCCGGTCGTCGAGATCGAAGTGCCATCATCACGTTTGCTTCCGAAACAGACGAGGACAAGTCGATGTGTTTCACGACAGTCACAACCGATACACTGAACACCGACCTCTTGCTTCGAGCTTCATCGCAATGCTAGTAGCTGCCACAATACATCCTTTCTAAAGTGTGATTGTTGCCTGGATGGTACAGCTTACACACGCACCAAAGAACTACCTCTGCGCCTGCGTCGTAAAAGATCGACAAAATTCGGTTGATCAGTAAACTGAATAATAACGTCGACTTTGCCTTTAGTCGATCGCACACAGATAGAGGTACTGTCATCCTTTCTACATACATGCAAACAAGAGAAAGGCAAGAAGACACTTTTGTTCGTAGATGCCTGAGAAGGGGAATATAGATTTGTTGCAAAACTGACCGGAAGTCCGTACCCCGGTCGATCATCCTCAAAACCCGGTCTGTTTAATCGATGGCTGCATATTGGATACATACAGGGTTACCGGATCCATGGATCCCTGGAGGGCGGCTTACTGGAGATGATACACAGCCTCGAGTGTCGCAGTTGACTTTACAGCTCCGACAAGCCCTATTTCCTATTTTGTGCTATGTGATGAACGCGCACTATTGTAGACTTGCCTTCATACAGTACACTCTGGCGTATCCCGGATTTACCGAGAATCAAAGGGTCTTCAGATGTGCTCGCCAATTCAGAAGGATGCCCAGAATGACATCCTCTCTATCTCACACAAACGATCTTTTACCTTGGAGTGCTTAGAGGCCATCGCGCTAGACACGGCTTATTCTGCCTAAGAGCGATCTACAGAACCAGAGTTACGATACTCCACCATTTATCTCGCCTCAGATTGTGCCCGAATTGCAGGCACAACGGTATAAAACCGACGGCGAGCCAAAACTCCGGCGGGCTGGAGCAGGAGCGGTTTACCTGTCTACCAATCTCTTTCGTCAACTTTCGGAAGATCCTCCTGTACCACATGATCGCGCACAGAGGATATGGCCTAAGTAGCTGTCAAAACAATCGCCGCAAGAACATCGTCCAACCAGATCCTGCCAAAAATCAAAGCAGGCGAAACTCATAGCATGTGTTGGTTGTGCTAGCTGAGGAACCTTGTTTGGCCCGTTAAGAAAAGAGGATCGTTGCGGGCATGAGGGTACCGCTCTAGTACGACCTGAGCCACTTGTTGAGCCGCCCCTCACTTATCGCCACTCTGCTATCGAGTTAGGATCGGAATCGTCCCCGTGGCAGTTGAGGGTGAAAGGGGGCATGTGGCGACGCGTTTCATGATATTTGAACCCGTATGAAAGGGAAAGGATTAGCACATATAATCTGATGACATAGAGCCAGAGGTCTACTGTCTCTGTTGTCGTGATGTTAGGCGGATCGTCAACATTTTTAATACTTATATCTTACAATGCCTCCTACACCGTCCTTGCGAGCTCACGATGACTATCATCTCGAGCCGATTTTCCATCGCTACGATGTGGATGCCATCTTAGCCAAACTACTCGCCGGTAAGCCGACTACGTGCCATTTCGGGACGTGTTTGACAGAAGTGTTGAATGTATTCAATATCCTAGTACGAGGCGGCCCGACCGACGTTTCCGTCATGCTGACTTTCGAAGAGATCAAATATCTCTGCTTAGCAGCGCGGTGAGTTGCGCTACCGGACTAGCGCGTCTCTAACGTCAAACTCAAGCTTCGACCCGTGTGCGCATCGTAGCGAAGTTTTTATGTCTCAACCGACCTTGGTAGAGGTCGAAGCTCCTATCAAGATATGTGGAGATATACATGGCCGATACTACGACCTATTGCGTGTCTTCGAATTCTGTAGGTCCCGTATTGCAGATTCCGCATCGAGTTTTTGCTGAAATTTGATATAGCGGGATTTCCACCTGAGTCCAACTATTTGTTCTTGGGCGATTACGTCGATCGGGGTAAGCTTTCCAGAGAGACAGACTTATAACAGTGTCTGACATGAGCGTCTGCCTCGGACAGGTCGACACAACATCGAGGTCGCGGCTTTGATGTTCGCGTACAAGTGAGTTTGTTTCATGTTGCGACCAACGCGAGGCGATGATTAAGGACCATTCGGGCGTCCACAGAATCAAGTACCCAGAAAATTTCGTAAGTCACGTAGTAGTTGAACGGCTATCTCAGTTCTCTAATTAGAGAACTGAAATAGTTCCCCTTAAGAGGTAACCACGAGAGCGCCGGTGTCAATCCTGTCAGTTTTCCTTAAATTCTGTCGGTACAAGTTAATTCTGACGCGATATCCCCAGAAATATGGTTTTTTGGACGAGTGCAAACGTCGATACAACATGAAGGTGTGGAAGCTCTTCTCTGATACATTTAACTGCTTGCCAGTGGCAGGACTGGTCAGCGATCGCATCTTGTGTATGCATGGAGGAATCGTAAGCAGTTTGCAGTCATTGGGGGCGACAGACAGCTACAGCTGATCCCTGAATTTCAGAGTCCCGATTTGCACAGTCTCGAGGATATCCGAAGGATTGTCAGACCTACCGAGATACCTGATAACGGTTCGTCACTTTTGTCTTGTTGGCGAAAGTACTATTCGCGCGTTTCAATGGACGAAACACATTGATAGCGAGCTACTCGCGCGGGTTTCGTCCAAGCGCGGACATAGCTGTACATGCTGCTGATGCAAGTTGAATGTGGATCAGGTCTTCTCTGCGACCTACTCTGGAGCGATCCCGCAAAGGACCAGATCGGCTGGGGACCCAGTGAGCGCGGGGCTGGGTGGGTCCAGCTAAGATTCTGAAATGTGTTGCAGTCTCTTACCTTTCCTCTGACCCGCCAGTTATGCTTTCGGGCCCGACATCGTCTCCAAATTTCTGCAGAAGTTTGATCTTGATCTCATTGCCAGGGCCCACCAAGTTGTCGTCGATGGCTACGAGTTCTTTGCGAATCGACAACTGGTCACGCTTTTCACTGCGCCGAATTACTGTTCAGCGGTAATGTTCAACGGCAATGGTTTTACTATAACGTGGATGCTGATCTCTCGCAATATCTTCAACAGCAAGATAACGCAGCAGGTGTAATGACAGTAGATGAAAATCTGTTGTGTAGCTTTGCTGTAAGTTACTCTTCACAACCAAGCGGTACCAGCGATGCTGATGACAACGGCTCTTCTCGTCTGGTAGATCCTAAAACCGGATGACGAGAACTACCAATTCCATAGGTTCGGCAACAACATATCAGGTAGGTCGCATTGCAGGTCGGACTGGCAATATCACAGACTACTCATTCTGAGCGCGAATTCCCAAAGGTCGGAAAGCGCCTATCAAGCCACCGCGAGCCAGAAACACCCGGATCGCAGCTTGATAGCAGGCAGGAGCAGCGCAACGGAGATCGCTACCCATCTCTAATAGTCGCCATTGGGATTGCGATCCCAAATTGTTGTCTACCCTTCGAGCTCCAGCCTACTTGTAAGGGACAGTCTATCACAAAGCTCGTACATGTACAGAGTCAGTCCATCATCATCGTCTGTATTATTCTTTAATGCATGTCCGTCCCAGCGAGCTCGTATTGGGGTCGAGGTGGATGCCGAGTGCCGGCCAAAAAGGGGAATTGAATTTGCTTCCGCGTTCAACGATCGACCATATCCGGCGGACGGACGACGTTTGGGAATTTGTGGGAAGTCGTCGTCGAAAGCTGTTGCACTAATTGCACTGCACTTGCGCAACACACGGACACGCATCCATTCCAAGATAGCAAGTCGAACGACTGGTGGTGTTCTCATTGTCGATGGCGTCTTCGTGATACATCGCCCTTGATCCGCCTGTACCCGATAGACAAAGCACCTCTCGCTGCGGAACCGAAGAACAAAGACGTTTGCAACTATTCCAGGAGAAGAGAACAAACGGTTATTACGATCTGGCGTTTCAAACTGTATGTCAGCTATATGCTAGATGATAACTTGGCCGATGTAAAGATACACTAGCTCATGCTCAATATGAATGAAGGATTCAAGACGGACAGACGGCCAAAGTCGCCCATCTGCGTCATTGCGAGTCCCATACCGAGCCCCCTTACAATCGGCACCTCGAAATCCCCTTTGATAAATACGTTCGGATGACCAAAACCTAGAAGACCTCACACCTACATTTGGATACGATCGGTTATGGTATCACCATGTCTCCGATTCGGAAATTAAGCCTTGCGTATCGATCGCCTACCACGGCCAACTTTGCTTCACCCACTGGGCCCCAGCCGCCGTTACCGTCCACAAGGGGCAGCATGCAAGTGGAACCGTTGCCTGGCGATAGGAAGTCGCCTACCACTCAAACATTGCCGGCTAGGCCTCCTTTGTCTCCACGACGAGCCGAGGATTCGAACACGTTCGAGACGCCCAAACGGAAAGAGTCACTAAGGGATCGCAGAGCGAGGCACCGAACGGCTCAGTCGCAGCGCTCTTCGTATGACGCTCTCAATGGCACTCAACCTGGCTCGCCCACCGCGAATGCTTCGTTGCCGATACCACCTGTCACCACGATCATTCCCCCTCCCATCGACCTAGCCATCCCGCACCTGCCCAACGACAATATACCCATCATAGCCACATCCTCGACATCGGACCCGGCTTCTGCCGAGACCTCGACGAATCCTATGATCATGTCCGGCAGATCCATGCCAACAACGATGGATGCCAGGAAGCTGACCCGGATAGCTCAGGCCATGGGTCTGGTCAGTACCGGTCCGTCGTCGTCGATGCACGACAGACGTCCCCGTTCGAAGCGGACATCCGTAGGCGATCACTCTTTACCTCGTCGCAGGCCGTCGGTGAACGGAGCGTTCCCCAGTCCAGCAAGGTCCGGGTTCTCCGCCGCTTCTTCGAATCGTACTGGACGAGCACATGGAGCAGGCCGAGCTGCCGATCTGGGAGGACGAGGTCATCTTGTGCAGATAGTACCTCCGGACCACCTTTTCGTCCCATCGGGATTCAGCCCGACACTCAACCTGGAGGACATTGAGCAGAAGCCGGGCTCTTCGAGTACGCTTTCGTCGGATGAGAAGGAACTGCGACGTTGGCGTAGAGGAAGGCTGCTGCCATTGCGGGGTACGATGGATGGGATGATCAAGGACGTGGTCAGGGAATGGGGATTGCCTAGCGGGATCGGGATGACGCTCTACCTCGTCAACGAGGAGGAAAAGGCCGTTGCGAGTTCAGAGGAGGATGAATCGGGGCAAGAGTACGAAGGCGGGATGAAGTGCTCGCCCGAAGCGTGGAAGATCCTCTGGGCCGACCTCTTCAACCCGATCAACGTCAGGCTACCGTCGTCTAGATTCCCGTCACCTAGGGGCCAGGCGATACCGGTCCGGAACGGCAGCCTCTCTGTGGTCAGAGCGGATAGCAGAGAAGACTTGGCAGATGATCTCAACGCCAACCCCTTCCGAGCGAGCGCCAACAATAGAAGCCTGTTCGAAGGTTTTCTAACGCCCGCTAGTGCGAGGTCGTTCCAGTTATTCAATTCGGATACGGGCAACTCGCCAGGAAAACGTAGCTCTCTGGCTCCATCGGCTTCCGCCTCGCAGACCAACTCTCCGCCCCGCAAAGTACGCAAAGATTCCAATTGGACGGACGATCAGACCAGTCCCACCTTCGAATACGCGCCGCGGTCCTTGTTTCAGTCATCGAAACGGCCAAGTCGGATTGTCGGCAAGATCGAGTTTGACTTCGATCGGGATCGTGCCAAGTGGTACGAAGTTTGGAGGGAACGTAGGCAACAAGCTGCTGAGATTCCTCGGAAAGGAGGATTGAGGCCGCTTAGGCTCGGCGTGGAAGACCAAGAACTCGATAGTGGAGATCAAGAGGCGGCGGTGGGAACGAGAGAGCTCGAACAGCACAAGTCGATAGAGCTAGAGCAGGCCGAGCCGAAAGAGCAGTTGGAAGAGGTCAAGCAGGATGAGCCGGAAGATGCCAAACGGGAGGGGTCCGAAGAATTCAAGCAGGAAGAGCCGGAACAGCTGCAGCGGCACGAGCTGACAGAACCGAAACAGATTGTACAGGATGAGACGGGACAGGATGAAGTGAAGGAGCTGGACCCGGTTGAGCCTGATCATCTGACGCAGACTGCGACGACATTGGCTTCAGTAACCGCAGAGACCTCGCCTGAGACACCAGAGGAAAGCGCTTCGGAATATAGCGCCGAGCAGAGCCCTGAAGGATACGCTCAACTTGACGACGAGTCCCTCGAGGAAGAAGTTGCCTCCGAATCTAACGCAGGCAACCTATCACCCGATGATGACGAGGAGGAATTCGCTATCCTACGTGCAGACCGTCTCACCAACGAGAAGACCGAGTTCGGTTTCGATGATATCGGCAGTAACGCGATTCTTGATGACAAGATACCGGACGCCAAATTGGCTGGAGATTCCGAAGAACAAGACACGGAACCTCTGTCTGATGTGCAAGAAGTCGCAATGTTGATTGCTGAGCGTCAACAAGCTAGTGCTGCCAATACTCCCCTGCTCAACGTCCCAGATGAGCAAGGTCAAGGTCTCGCTAGTCCTATCAACCTACCTTCTCCACAGACTGCCAGTACTGGTCCCGTGGTCAACACGCCCACGCTATCTTTCACTCCAGCGCAAGACCGCAAGCTCTCGATAGAGATCCCTGAAGCTACCACGCCAGCCATGTTCGGGCTCGGAATGGGTCTAGACATGGCATATGATAAGCGAGGTAGCTCGCTGGTGATGAGCGATCAACTTGATTTGCTCGAGCGAGGTGAGTCTAGCATCTTTGAGACATAGTTCCTAGCACTGCTGAAGAAACTTCCTGCCCGTTCTAGCTATGAAAGATCTGTCGCCTCGCGAGATCCGCATGTCCGTCTTTGGTCCATCTTCCACCAATCAACCGGCAACTAAACCTGCAGGACAGCCTCGACAAGTCGAGGATATCTCTCCCAAGACGATGGATATCGCGACTATGGAAGGAGAAACAGGGTGAGTCGAAACCTTCCAGAGTTCTGTGAACGACCTGAGCTGACCTCGTAATGTAGCTTGGAATCTGTCCCTGCACAGACACCCGGCACGTCCCCGGCCATGCCTAACGGCATCTTGACCGCAAAGCAGCAAAAGTACACGCCACGCAGTATACCTGACGGAACGGCTCCAGTTTCCATTTCCCCCGAAACCATGGCTCGCATGGAGTACGAGCATGTCCCGAAGCAGCCCAACTTGTCTGCGGAAGGGGGATGGCGACCACAAAGACCAGCTAGACCTCCTTCGCCGCGGCTAGACCAGTTTGCTGCACCGTCCCCTCCTGTCGTCCTCCGCGACCTCTCACGGCAGGAACAAGAGTTCGTGATGCCACCCAGGGCGACAGAAGGCATGTCTCCTGATTTGGGTGACGGCCGACCACGATCCAATAGCGGCAAGGGCAAGTCCCTGTTCAACAATGGTCCATTGAACAAACTCTTTCAGAGGAAGACGAGCGACAGGAGCGATCATGACGATGTCGGGTTGACCGTCACGCATATTAGCGGACCCATCATGATCCCCGACGGCAACGAGTCCATGGTGCGCCCCGTCTTGCCGATGTTCTCGCCCACTCCGAGCCAGGACGAATTCGGCGTCCTGCATAACTCGAACAACGGTTCCGCGCAAACAGCTCAGTCGACGTCGGGGAAATCGCCAAAGACTCCTGGTTTCGGTCGACGGTTATTCAAGGGACCATTCGGCTCTCATGGTCGATCGGTCAGCTCACCAAAGATCACGCCTGCCATAGGCAACGGTCAACCTTCGAGTGCCAAACCTGCGCGGATACCGGGAAGCACTGGCCGTTCTCCCTCGAACCCACTACCTCAGCGTGGTCGCACGTCCTCAGCTCCGACGATCGAGTCGGCCGAAGCGACCTCGATGCGCGTGGATGCTACCACCCCTCGTTCGCCAAGCACGAGCGATGCCACCCCGGTCTCACCCGGAACCACGATCAAGCGTAAACCCGTCCCACGTAAAGAAGAGGACGCCTTTCTACCCACATCGCAATCCACCATGAGCCTGGCCTCGGTCTTGATGGACGATGTCCCGCGAAACGCCAAGAACCGCAAGGCGTCCGGTCATACCATGCAGGATTTGATACTGGTCAAGAGCAGGATTGATCCAGCGACCATCGGTGCTCCTACTAAGCCTGTCATTGTTGAAGGGCAGAGCAAAGAGGCAAGCCAGTTCTTTTCATAGCATTCGCCCCCCCGCCCCCCAGTTGTATCCATATAGCACATTCTTCCAAGATGCCATTTCGCCGCCAACCCCGATCAAGTCGGACGTGCTCCGTTCAACCGCTCAAAGTCAGTGGGGGTAGGGCGTGCCTCGTGCTCTTGTGGTTCAACGTATGGAAGATCGGCGGATCGCTTGACTGTGAACTTGTGCTGACTATTGAGCTACTGAAGAGGATGGGGGGAATCGAAAGGTTCGGACCCGAAGATCTGATTGTTGTTGATTTGATTATGTAAGCGCGATCCTCCCTTCCTCCCTCCTCCTTCTTCCCAACTGAGATTCAAGGGGTCAAGTTGATATCCGTTGTGACAGCTTAGCTTACACTGATCTCGAACTCTTCGAGCATATCCTGATCATATACATCGCATCGTCTTGCCCATCATGGCCGACATTCAAGCTATCGCGGAGCAGGTAGGTCGGCTTTCAACGCTCATGGATTACAGGAGTAGATCGCTCACCCCGACTTGGTATGAACATGCATTTAGTTCACCAGTAGGTGTCGATGTCTGTTTGGATACATATTATGAACCCGACACTCATAGCTACATTCCGCAGACTACTACTACCAGACCTTTGACCAGAGCGGCAAGGATCGATCTTCGCTCACCCCTCTTTACGTGGGTGCATGGCGGCCAACGGATCAATGACCGCAAGCTGACGATGGTTACTTCGTCAGAGGGAGAACTCGATGCTCAGCTGGGAGGGGGAGCAGATCATGGGTAACACGGCTATCATCGCCAAGCTCAACGTGCGTATCTCATACTGGCATACCGTGTCGAAGTCCCGGTGCTTAAATCTATTTCTCCGTTTCCATAGTCCCTTCCTTTCGAGAAGGTTCAGCACAAGGTCACCACTTCCGACGCTCAGCCTTCGTCGGCTACCGTCGCCTCGCTCATCGTCCTCGTGACCGGACAGCTGATCGTCGACGACTCGCCGCAACCCATGCCTTACAGTCAGACCTTCCAGGTGAGCTACATCAAATGTCTGGATAATCTCGCTTGTTCAGATTGCTGACGCCTCTGATCTCACTTTACAGCTTGTTCCCGATGAGAACGGTGAGCTATCTGTGGATAACGTATACATGACTGGTCCTGATGCGTTTCGTCCTTTTCTTTGTCTGTGCTACGTTTACAGGCGGTTACTACGTGTGAGTCGAGCGCAGGGGCAGATTACAGCTTGCTCGGGACTATCGCTGACCTGGTCTTATTTCGCTGTAGCCAAAACGACGTTTTCCGATTGTGAGTATCGCGCAGCACTGCGAGGGTTACGCCCCCTTGCATCATTGATTCTAACCACTGTTATCTGTGCAGGGTTTACGGTTAAGCTTGTTACGCGGATTTAGGAGCAAGTTCTGCAGACCGAGACTCGAAGGGCAAGGAATGGATCGAATGTAGTATGCGTTCTTGTTTACCGGGATAACGATCGTGATTTTTGGTTACCCTCAAATTCGACTTTAAATGCTATTGGATTGGTCACCCCGGTGATTCGCTGGTTACCATCGACAAGAGGGGCGGGAACGAAAATCTAGAAGTCGCTCTCTAGGCTTGCAGCGGCAACCTTTCCCTACGCTTCATCCAAGCTGTCTTTCAGGAATTTCGTGAGACCCTCAGTGGATGTTTCATGGGCTCAAAGATCTTTCGGACCAAAGATGCGGAATTGTTTGTCAACATCATCAAAGTCACCCTCAAGGAAGACGATATCATCCCCTTACGAACGGCGGTCGAGGTTGGCTGGCGGTTGTAACCTCTGTGCTGATTCTTCGTCTCTCTCGACATGTATTTCTGACGGAATTCCCATCCAGTCAAATGCCCCACAAGGTGTTCCGTCTTGACAGACCTCATACCAGCGCATGTCGTTGAAAATGACCTTGATCAACTGTTTGTATTTGTCCGAGAACAACTTAGTAGTAGCCACGCTGCTGCTCATAGCTCCTCCGTCCCCCGCCTCGCCCTCCCCTACGACACATACGGTCCTTCAGCTCCTTCTCATCGACAGACATTCCTTGCTACATTTCTTCCATCACGATTCGACTCTTTGGTATGCGACGAGCGCCGCTCGCTCCGCTCTATTCCTCTTGTCCTTGCCTCCATCCTTGAGTGTTTTGCAACAACTGGTAGAAAAACTTGATGGTCGACAAGTGGCCCCGGATCGACATTCGCTCGTCGACGGTGTGAGGGTTCTTGAAGTCAGCTACGAGCATGTGATGTGTAAGCGGCAAGACGTCAGGTGAGGATAAAGCGGACGTAAGACTGACCGATAGCGGCCGGAGCGAATCGGTAGAGGTTCTGGGTGACATTCCAGTAGGCCCGAGTATCTGTTGAAACAGCAAAAAGCGGGTAAGCTCGACGTGATAAAGTCAATCGTTTTTTGGATGACATACCGGTGTTGGCGAACATCTACACGATGGGATATCAGATGTCATTCAGTACGATCTCAAACTTGTGTTTCGATGAAGACTCACCGCCGAGGGAGCCACGACAACGTCATCCCCAAAGATCTTCTTGATGGTAGCACCCATCAACTGGAAGCTCTCCCCGTCGCTAGGGGTGATGGGGGCAGGCTCGAGACCAGCCGGGTTCTCGTTCCCGACCTCGAGCCTCATCTTGCCACGGTAAGGACCCTTGCTTTTGCGGTGCTTGCAAGCCTTTTGCGTTTGGTTGAAGGCTACAAACTCGAGGTCGTATTTGTGTGCGACCGAGAGGAGCGTCTCGGTGACTTTCGCCTTGGTCTCGGCGACCGACGATGTGCTGCGAGGGATTCAAGTGGTGAGACGGAGAATTTATACACCGACTGATGCGTCTCCCTACTCACAAGTCGATACGGTAGTTGACGGTAGCTGCAACGAGTAAAGTAGTCATCATCAGTCAGGCATCCGGTTGACAACACTCTCACTAAACAACACGTACCTTCGGCCTCTTCGGGCAGGGCATTAACCTTGACCCCACCCTTGATCAGGTCCACAGCCTGAGTAGTTCCCAAAAAGGCCCTCTGTTGAGGATCCTTGCTCAGACCAGCTGCCAACTTTTTCCACTTGCTAGGCGTTTTGATGCTCTTGCGCAGGTCTTTCGGGAGGTCCGGAGCGTAGTCGGCGAGACAGGTTAGGTACTTGAGGTAGGGAGAGGCGGAAGTGAGGGCGGTTGGGAAAGGGTGGGATTCGAGCTTGTTGATGGCTTGGGCCAGGAGACCAACTGGGGCAGACAATAGGGTCAGCCCGCGGAGATTTTGAGGGACACCGACCGGCGCAACTCGACTCACTTCCTGTGTGCTCAGGGGGTACCGAGGAATGCCCACCAGCGGTCCTGGAACACCATATCGCATACATCAGCCCACCTTCTTCCTGTGATTGTGTAGAACCCGCACAACTCACTCGATGCTGACGACCAGGTCGACATTCCCCTTTTCAGCCATTCCCAGACTGGCGAACGTCTTCCCGTACGCGACGTCCACCCCGCCGAACCCTTCATCGACGAGAAAGGCGATGGAGTGTTTCCCGTACTTTTCTTGGATCGCTCGCGAGAGGTAGTTGGCGCCCTGGAACGACAGGTCCTTCAGTCCGGTCACTCGGAAGCGACGCAACTACAGAGAACAACCTAGTACTGACTCGTTTACCGCCGATCTCTTCGTCGAACCCGAAAGAAATCAAGATGGTACGTTCGGGTTGGAACCCTTCTTCAATGAGCTTGTCCAGGGCGGACATGATCCCCATGAGCTGTCGGGACGCGAAACGAGAAACGAGACGAGAAGTGAAAGACAACGGGTTAGCCTTCGCGAAGAAGGTTGAGAAGAAAATAGATCGGACCTGGTACTGACCTGGTTCTTACAATCCGCAGCCCCCCTCCCCCAAACCCACTCATCATCGACAACCCCTTCAAATGGCGGATGAGTCCACTGACCCAATGTACCCGGGTTGACAGGGACGACATCTTCATGAGCCATCAGTACGATGGGCTGCAGAGAGGGGTTGGTGCCGGTCCAGGTATAGAGGTGGGCATGGGTGTTGACGTGGGTATGGGTGAGGGTGTCGTAGCTGTAGTTTGCGGATTAGGGGCGAAGAAAGAGTTGTTTTTTTGGCGTCAATGACGAGCAGAGACGGACAAGCAGAATGCTTGGACGGAATCGGTAACAAGATCACGATGGAACTCACACTCGAGGATATTCGGCTTGAAGGAACTGGGCAAACTTGTAATGGTCGTCCCATCGCTTATCTTCCCCGATCGGGCCCATGTCATCGTACGAGACGGCCTACATTGGCGTTGCGATCATGAACAATTGTAAGGGGTGAAGAGAGTTTAAGAAATTCAGATTGGCTGTTCCTGCTCGTCAATAAAAGGTCAAAGGGGAAATTACGGGAACTCGGACGGATCGAGATAGCCTGCCGATGACCAGGTCGGTATAGTTGTCAGGTACGTTCTGCGGTACGAGGTATTGAGACGATTCGATCGGAACATCAGTAATCGAGATCTAAACGACAGCCTCGACACGAGATCGAACGAGAGACAGCAACGTACCCAGCCATCCCCCTTTCCAAGAGCCTTGGGTTGAGAAGGACATTTCGCCTGACTCTCCTTGCCGTGCCCATGCCCGTGATGATGACCATAGTCCTCGGTGGCCAACTTAAGAGCGTGCCCGCCGAATCCTACTACAAAGTAGATGAGGACTCCGGCTAGGATGATGAGTCGGAGGCGGGACGTGTGCTTGGGTCGAGACTGAGGTTGAGGCTGGGGTTGTTCGTTCTCCTCCGGGGCTTCGACCTCGGCGAGGGGGAGAGGGTATTTCTCGTCGGTATACGGTGCGGACATTATCATGACTCGATTGTTATACTTGCTGTGTATATTATGAAGTGACGATGTAGCTTTGCAGTGACACCTCGAACGAAGAGACTGAGAAGTATCCAAGTCGCTTTCTAGATCGAGGTTCGACCCCAACTACGTGCACGTCTCATTCGTCACATCCATCGGTCAAACCCGAAAACGAGCTAGTGCGATAAAGAGCTAGAGATGACATCGACCCATACTCTTTATCCCATAACGTACATCGCACAACTATGAACCTCTATTCTCTCCCCCAAACGTCCTCCGTGCTTTGTCCTAGGCGTTGTTGACTCCAAACTCGGAATCTGCGGCTTTGATCGCTCGAGGACTAGGTCAGGTGGACAGGGAACCAAGGATCAGAAACTTGCCCGATCTAGCGCGTACTAGTGAGCTCGGACTTACAGCCAGTTCTTCCTCCAAGACTAAAGTGATCACATCCAGCACAAGCAGGCAGAGAATCATAATCAATTCAAGGGATCCGAAACGAAGTCGAAATCCAGTCCACATCGTCGAAAACCCAACTCACATCTCTCAACTTGACAGGATCCACGCCCAACTTTTCCGCTACGACCTTCAGTTCGTCTGCATTGATCAGCGTCAAAGCGTGTTTGACGACATCCGCAGCCATGATGATATTCGTTGCACCCGCCTTTCCAGCACCGCCTCTTCCCCCACCGCCGGCTTTTTTCGCCGGGGACATCTTGGAAGGGGAAGAAGAGCCGGTGACTTCGGATTTGACGCTAGGAGCGGTGGTGCGTTTCTTGGGAGTAGATTTGGACTTCGAAGGGGAGACGGGGATCTTCTTCTGAGGGGTGGGAGAGTCTGGGAGTGAGGGGGAAGATTGGTGAGAGGCCGTACCTATAGGTTCATCGTAAAGCGAAGTATAGTGAGCTTCTCGATACGAGGCTTCTCCTAAGGTATAGTTTGCCTATGTGGGATTTGATGAGCTTACCTTCGGGAGTAGGCTTGACGTCTTGTTCATTTTCCGAAGACATGGTTCCTGCTACTTCTCGTATTGACTTAATCGCGCTGGCTGTCAATCTTCTCTAGGTGAAGTAGACCGTATGGATTGAGAATGCAAGATATCGTTGAGACGGGTCGAAGTGGAAAGATAATCCAGATCGAGCTTCTCAGCTTCTTATACCCACCTTCCTCTTGTTCATCGTCTCACGATACTTTGCTCTTCTCAATGTCGAACCAGGATCTGGGATGGATCATGGCAAACGGCTCATCACCCCAGCTCCAGCTTCCATTGTCCACAATTGCGATGGCAACAAGCTGGCAGAGGAAGCAGCATCGAAGTAGGACTCAGCGACGGAGCGATGATCCGATCTAGAAACGATCGGCGCGTCGATCCCTCTTGTTGCCGACTCGAAGCTCAAAAGCAAAAGGCAGGGAGGCTACAGGAAGGAAGGAAGGGGCCGAGGAAAGGAGCCAGGGGGGGGACAACACGGTAGAAGGAGTCTCTTCTGAGATGATCACCGGGCTACCGAGAGATGGTGAGCTCAAGGGGAAGGACGATGTCCTTGTCTGGACAAGGGATTCTCATAGCAGTCGAGGATGAAACGCGCGCGATCGATAGGTCTTTCTTTCTCGAGCTAGGTAAATGTCAATGGTCAGGAAGGAGGCGTTGTGGTAAAAGTCATAAGGAGCACAATGAAGTCACAAAGCAATCTGTCGAGACGATCAGCAACCTCGTTGAACCCATCACACTCGTTAATGAATCATGTCGTTACCTAGAGTCAACGAACCCTCTTGATCTCACTCCCTGGGTCTTACACCCCTCACACCTCTCAATCCCGGTCAAGCCACCTTCAAGCTGGCCTTGGTCCTGTCAACGGTCCATCCGATCAATCTGGTACCTCCGCTTCATGACAACCTCTCCCTCTCGCGGTATCCTTGATGCACACGTATTACACGAAACAGCGGGTCTACAGTACGATGAAACGGGACCTCTGGCCTCTGGCCTCTGACCGTGATCTCTGGATCAAAACGCGTCGAACCGGGTGAGGCGTCTTCGCAAGCCACCATTACGTAATGTCTCTCCCCTCCCTCTACGCTTCCCCCCGCCTCGCAATCCGGTGCCGGTGTATCGATGCCGAAGGGGGGGGGGAGGGAGGTAACCCTTACGTCACTTCGGCCATCGCGTTCGAGAAGCGAGACATTTTCTGGCTCTTTTGTCCCCCTCGGCACGCGACTCGCACTCGCGAGGGAATTGTAAACACGAGGATCGTCACTCCATCAACACGATCTCCTTGGCTTCCCTTCTGTCTGGAAAATCATACTCCTCTTCTCCCAGATCATCCTTCATCCCTTCACCTTCTCGGTCCCTCTCCTCCCCCAACTTCTGTTGTCTCTTTGCGCTGGTCGCTACTCTGAGTTATCTTCGAGCCTTGACGGCCTTTTTCGATACGCGATTCTATTTCATCAAATTCTGCAAGCGAAAAAAGACAAGAACGAGAATAGCTGGGATTGTCTTCGTGGTGTTTCCGAACAGGTGAGCCGGAGTGTCCAGATCGAGATGGGAATGTGGAGGTTTTCGTCAGGGCATAGAGGACGGGAAGGAATGAGATGGCCAAAGGACGGCGACCGTGCGTCACGGGGTTGATGATGATGGTTGATTACGGGGTAGAGATGAAACGCGTTTCGAGTCTTGTCGAGTCGAAACAAGGGGCTCAAAGGGCGATTGGAGAGAGGGTCCCGCCTCCACACAATGCGGTGTAAACAAACAAAAGGAGGGTGGGGGGGATGATGACCTCCAGTTGACCGTATCCGACCTTTTCATCCCAAAGACTGACTGACCTCATCTCGTTTTCTTTCTTGTTGCTTCTCCTTCACCTCGGCCTGGTTGTTGTTCTCGACTCGACGTCGATTCTCGACAGACATCACACACACACACGCACAACACACACTCCTTCCAACATTTTTCACTCGTTGATCGAGTCGACAACCGTACAACCGTACTCCTTTCGCCTTTCACTTTCCAGCCCCCAACCTCCAGATCATCTTGCTCGACTTGGATTTCCCTGGCGGAAACAACATCGATCGAGTTGAATTTGAGCAACACCGTTCGAATATCGTGACATATCACTCTCGTTGCCAGATAGAAATAAGAAGCAATGGTTTCTCTGTCGATCTCCACCCTCAGCGCGCTCGTCCTGGCTCTGGTAGTCAAGGATACGGCCGCTCATATCGTCCTTTGGTGAGCCTCCGTCGAAGAAAGACAATCAAAGCTCAAGAAGAACGCTCACACGCTATCTCCTTACTTCCTTTCGCCTGAACCTTCTCTCGCAACTCCCAATTTGAACTCCCTTCCATCTTATGACGACGACGACCACGACGGCCCGTATCGATTGACAGGCACGACGCCATGTTCGGCTGGGACCAGTACAATATCAACCAGAACGACGCGGTCACCCCGTTGGCGGATATGACGTTTGACGAATGGTGGTTCCACGGGTACAAGGATAAGAAGCCTGCCGAGGGGAAGTTCATCGAGTTGCCCGTCGGAGGGGTCTTCAAGGGGGAGGTGGTGAGTCGGCTCGCTCGGTCGTACTCGTTCTATTGGCTCGGACACCGTACTACGAACTCGGTTGAACTGTGGCTAACTTGGCTCTTGATCCCTTTCGTTTCGTCCTCTCTCCTTTGATCTTGCGGTAATCTCTGCAGGCCTGTAACAAGGCGCAGACGACCTGGAATCCCGAGATCACCGATGAATCCCAGTTGGACGAGTTTGCTTGTCATGACGTCGGGCCGATGCATACGACCGATGCCAAGGGGAGCGAGAACCCTACGAACGTTAAAGGTACGTTTTGTGCAACTTCGCTTTCTTCTCTTTTTAGATGAGTTGCGTCCTCCTGAATCGTAGCTAACGTTTTGACCCACACATACATCCCTTTACATCCCGTTATGCCATACCGTTCCGCCTTTTCTCCCGCTGCACCTCGACAGGCTGCGGACTAGCCATCGCCTACACTTCGGACGAGAACACCGTCAAACCCTCCGATTTTACCGTCTTTAGCGTGGACCACGCCTGTCCATGGAAACGACGGGTGGATTTCCCGGTCCCTGCGGATCTGCCCGCTTGTCCCGAGGGAGGATGTCTTTGTGAGTAGAAGGGATGGGCGCGTTGGCTAGTCTATTGGGGTCATCGTCATCGGGTTACTGATGTGATCGTTGTTGTCGCCGGGGTGGGACAGGTTCTTGGGGATGGGTCCATTCGCCAGAGAGCGGATCTGAGCAGATGTACCATACCGTGAGCATCAACACAATCGCCCTTTTCCCTTCAGCGCTTCGTTTACTAATAGTGCGACGATGCTGTGTTGCTAGGTCTACCGATGCAAAGTCACCGGAGCTACCGAGACCCGCGCTCTTCCGGCTCGTAAGTCAGAGAGACCAAAGCATCAAACGACTTCCACTTGTACCACCGGCTGATCGTTTTGAATTGATTATTAGCTTTGACTGCCAACAAGTGCGACTACCCGTCCGACACCGCCAACTGCACCGTCGGTGGGAAACAGCCTCATTATTGGTTGCAGAAGGAGTGAGTCGCCTGTGGCGACAGGTGCGGTACTACGGACGGCTTGAACTGATGGTTATTGTTATATTGCAGGGGCAACAACAACTTTCAAGATTACTACGATCCTCCTTACTACGTACGTCATCCCGAATCTACGTCTTGCGCTCCTCGTGTGCTGACGATATGTGTTGATTCGTGCCTGCGCAGAACGAGAAGTACGGTTTCATGCAAGGAGCCCAGACGGACTTGTTTGCCGGTATCGCTCCTTCTCGTCCGACCGTCGTGGCCGAGAGTTCTGTCGTCCCGACAAGCACTGTGGCGACGGTTGTCAGCTCGAGCGAGGTCCCTAGCGCCCAGCCGACTTTGGTTGTCGAGAGCAGCACCACGGATGTTGCTTCGTCCGCATCGACTTCGGCAAGTGTCGTATTGTCAACCTCGTCGACGTCGTCGTCATCCATCGCCAATTCTTCCTCGGGCGCCGCTCCGACGTCGGTAGTGTCGTCTTCGTCTTCGGCTCAGGCTTCTACCTCGGCTTCTAGCTCGTCGGCACCTGCTACTACAACCAAGTCGACGGGCAAGACCTGCAAGCGAACTCTACACAACAACGTAGTCCGTCAAGCTCGACGACACACGCGGGCAGCAAGGGTGGCAGCTACGGTAGAGAGCGTTCGTCAGAGAGACGTCCTGCTCGACCGACAGAGGTTGTTGGCGGAAGGGCTGGCTATCATGGCCAGGAGCAAGCTCGTCTAGAGTTCAAGTAAGGGGTTCGACAGGTTCTTTTGAGGGTACTTTGTAGCTGGATTACAAACTCGATATATAATAAAGGTGGGATACGGTACAAATCATTCCGGGTTTCATCTGTGCCCGCGTCTCAAGTGTTTACCGCGTTTCATCGCGCGTAGCTCAAAGGAAGGGATTTTGGGCGGCTGGAGGTATTTATACGGATGATAATCTTCAGTCGCAAGCAGTCTCGTGAAGCAAGACTACTCCCCCCTATTCGGCGTACCCCTCTCCTAACCCTCTTCCATTCCCCCCTCTTCGCCTCCGATGTTCCACATCGCCCTTTTCCTACTGACCCTTTCTACTGTCGCTCATGGATCGCCATTCTTGCGCAAAAGAGATGGTCTGAAGGCGATACCCCTCGAGCGCTTGGGTTCGGTTCAAGACCTTTCAGTCAAGACCGTCGAACAATCCACCCGTCACTCTGTCGAAAGGCTACACCGCAGCCTCGACAACTATGAACGAAATACCGGCGCTCCCTTGTCTCACGCAGGGAGTATCGCTGAGCGCTCCTTGTTGCGGAAGCGTGCTGTCTACTCGGACATACACGAGGATCTCGAGCCTATGTCCAACGGTGCATGGTGGTCGGGCAAGATCGATGTAGGTTCGCCTGGATACACCAGAGTCAATGTGCTCTTGGACACGGGATCTACCGACGTTTGGCTGGTGTCTGCCTCATGCAGCAAGAATTGCGGAACTGCGCCCAAGGTGAGTCAGTCTGTTATGTCGTCATTGAGCGATTGCCTGATTATAGTGTATCGCCAGTACATAGCACCGGCGGGTGTCCAAAGTGAAGGTACTTTGAACTTGACGTACCACGACGATTCTCATGTGTTTGGGAAAGTCTATCGGGATACTATTCGAGTTGGTGATCTCCAGGTCGAGAACGTGGCGGTCGGCGCGGCGGATATAGTCCATGATATGAAGGATATCGAGGGGTGAGTTGCAATTTCTCGCTCATCCCGGCATCAAGCTGAACATGCCGCCAACAGGATCTTTGGCTTAGCTTTCCCTGCGATTTCTACATTCAAAGCCGATCCTTATAGCCAAAAGAAAGGTCAAACTTATGTATCTTTCTACGGTAAGCGCGATCGGAACATGCGTGCAACTGACTTCGTCGCGTTGAATACGATTGGATTTGATGCTCCAGATACCATGCTGCAGCAAGGTTTAGTTCACGGAAAATTCAGCTTCTCTTATACCGGTGACGTTGGCGAATTTTACCTCGACGGATGGAATCAGGAGATCTCGGATGGCAACTTTACCTGGCTAGATTTGGATCTGGCCGAGGATGAAGCTCCAGGTCTGTGGAAGATCAAGGCAGATGCCATCAAGCTGGATGACTCAGATGTACTCCTGGAGCAGAGGATGATCGTGGATACCGGCAAGTTATGGACATCGATGCCCAAATTACTGAACAAGGAGGTCTAACTCGATCGCCCCTGCACATGTTACAGGAACGAATTATATGCTCGGCCCGATGAACGCTGTCGAACAATTTTACCAGTGTGTCAAAGGAGCCAAGCCATTGAACAGTGAGTCAGAACTTTATTCGACCAGATAAAGGGCTTCATAAGCCACAAGTTCACCTCTTTCGCCTTCGGTCAGACGGTTTTTGGCAGATCCCTTGCGATACACCAGACGTAGCTTTCAGTAAGCGATCGGTTCAGATTTACTGGATCACCTCGCTGACAATGATGACAATCCCTGGCAGCGTTTGACGGTAAAGACTTTGTCATTACCGGATCCGTCTTTGTGAAGTGCGCTCCTGGCGGTTATCAGCTAGACGAGGGCTACTGCGTTGGCAAGTCCAGACGCGATCCGTACTCTGCATGACCTTCTCGCTGAACACTTTGTCGTGGCCGCAGGCATGTTCAAGGGAGATCCTGGTCTTAGCTTCTGGATCCTGGGTCAGTTTGCGATGCAAAACTGGTACACGACCTTTGACTACAAGGATCAGCGGGTCGGCTTCTCCTCGTTGAAAACGACTACCTAGACGATGATGGCACGAGGAAAATCCTTGTTATGCAATTTTATCTAAAATGTTGATAAGCAACCAGACAAACAGGAAAGACATCTAGAGTACGGTCGCGAGTCTGGTGAAGAATGGGTCAGATCAGCATATCGATCAGGACGTCGCGCCTTGGTCAAAGAAGAGAGAAAGGGGGTATAAATCTCGTTCGATCTGGTTCATAGGGTCTCGCTGCTAGGGGATACGAGCGGAGATCACTAGCTCGAGGCTTTCTTCTTTTCCTTCATTTCGTTGCGTGTTTACTGTCGAAAGCTCCCCCAGACGATCCCTATGAACCCGACGATCGATCCCGCCACAAGGCTGTACGTGACCACGTCTCCCCACCCGACCGCGTTGACGCTGCTCGAACTGGCTGTCGTGCGCTTCTTTCGTTTGGCCTTTTCCTTTGGCTTGGTAGCGGAACGGGCGGTCGACGAGGAGGATGAGGACGTCTGGGGGACGTCCTGGATGATACGAGAAACGGTAGGAGAAGTCACTAACCCGATCTGCTTGAACCTGTCGTACAGAACCGTGCGAAAACCCGGATGATCAGTTGTTGTTTCAGATCGGTCATGCGTGCAGGCATATCCGAACTTACCCGTTCACGTAATAACCTTCAAGAGCGCCGCGTAATGTCTCTTCTTGACCCTTGGGCACACCTGCGAGGCTCCATTTGACTGCGAAGAGCGGACGTCGTATTCAGATCAGCTTCGGATGGGGACTGTCTCCGTTACTCGCACTCACCCAAAGTCGAATCGCTACCCTGGTCAAAAGTGGTCGTCATCGTCGCGTGGTGTTCTGCATCGCCGGAAAAGAAACAATCCCATCGATCAGCATCAGCCCCTCTCGCATCGTCACGTTGACTTCGAACGAGCGACACTCACCGGAAGGCCAGTTCGGACTCCTCAATTGCCACGACTGCACGAGCTTCTGACCCGGTTCGGCAGAGATGATCTTTCCCCGAATATTTCCTCCGAACATCTCGAATTCCGAACCGACCTGTGCCGAGATCTAGCTCGGACAAAGCGACATCACAGAACGGATCAGTTTCAAGGCCGAAATCACAAGAACGAGAATCACGCCGGACGACTCACCTTGGCAGGCGACCGAGTCCACATGGGCACCCTCTTCTCGTCGGTCAAGAACAACCACATGTCCTCGGCACTAGCCGCCAACCGGCTCTCGACCTCTACGCTGCTCGTACCCCCAACGAGCGACTTCTTCTCTTCCACCACGGGCTTCTTTGCTTGCGTGGATTGGGCCTCGGGTTCGGCCTCGACGGTGATATCCTGAGGGGTCGCGCTCCCACTCCCCGAACCCGATGGAGTTGTGGTCGTGGGCTGACCGTGCTTCTCGACGAGGACTTTGGGGAATGAGTCGAATTTGGCCGCGAGGATAGGAGGGAAGTTGGACCGGAGGAACGTGCGGAAGGCGTCGTCTTTGATGAGCGAGAATTCGTACTACCGTCCGCACGATGCACACGAGTCGTCGACAAGTCAGCCGTCTTCTGCCTGCCTTTAACACGATTAGTGAGCCAACCTAAGGCTCACCTCGTACTTGCTATGCCCATCGATCATCTCGTGCGAAACCTCTGGGACGGTCACTTTTCCCTCGATCTCGTCGCCCGCCGCGGTCTTTCCTGTTGCGCACGGCAAAATGAAAGACGAGAGATGTTCAGCTTTCGATCCTTGCGAGAGAAGATATCCAAGAAGAAAAGAGGATAATTGAGGAGGAAGTGGGAACTGACCTTTCCAGGACATGACGATCTTGCAATCATAGATCGTCAAGATTCTACAGTACAATGCAGTGTCTGACTGAGCCGCCTGCTCCTGAAACCTCTGATCTGGACGACAAGTGACTCACTTTCCCTTCCTCTGCCCCAGATCTACATCCCCCTCGACCTCGTCTACGGTAGTGATCTCTGCCGAATGTCCTTCGTTTTCGATCGAGAGACCTGGGAGGTTTGATTTGAACTGTCGGTTGAAGGTTATCGTGATGCGAGTGCGATTGAAGAGCATATCGGAAGAGGAATACGGAGTGGGTAGGCAAGGTAAGATGATGGGAGGTAAGCGCTCCTTTCAGTACATCCAGCACGAGTGAGAACGTGTGCGAGACGCACCCATTGAGCTGCCCAGGGGTAACAGTTCTTGTTCCTCCAGTGGTACGTCGCCTATATCCCAGGTGAGACGTCGTCGACATATCGAAAATGGAAATTTCATAAAGGGGAGCAAGTCCAAGTCAGTTTACGCAGGTATGACGAATCTACCCTGCCGACGATAGAGCTGGCTGTTGAAAGGGAGAGAGGGGGCTTACCTGGAACGGCGTGAGGGTGGTCGGGCCGGATACGATCTGGTCGGAAGGCATGGTTGCGTGTGGTTGTCTTTGGTGTGGGATGTTGGTGATGGTATGTCCAGGTTGTTACGGTTGAATGCTAACAAGTTCGAGGTCGATCAACCAACTTCGAGCTGGTCGCGACGGTCGAGGTTTCTAGAATCTCGTGGGAGTGTGATACAGGTTTGCTATCCGCGGTGCGCCATACAAAGATCAAGTTTGATTCCGATGACGTTTCACTTCTACCCCCTTTTGATGATTTATACTGCCGGCCATCAAGATCCCTTTGATCAACAATTTTGATCAAGATTTTCGGATCCGAGGTCGCCGTCTCCTCCGAGTACAGTAAGATAGACCTGTTATTGTATGTCTCCCTTCTCCGGCGTCCAACCATGGCCAACCATGCGTTAATCATGGTGATTGTGCCATGACGACGTGGCATGTTTGCACCGCCGACCGCGGATCCGAAGATCGTCTGCTGGATGGTATCCGGCGGCAGCTGATCAGGTCACAACAACAACGAGGGAGGAAGGGGTCCTTTGAGAGAATCAGTTCTCGCTTAGACGAGAAGGAAAGGGTGAGGAAGGGGAGAAGGGGCAGATGTGGAGCCGCGGAGCCGGATGAGGTGAAGCGACGGCCGGCGCTCAAGATGGCAAACATCAAACAGTCGATGCTGAACAGTCGATATCCAACGACATCTGTCTGCATATCTGGACTGTTTGTGTATCATCGACTCAGGTAACACCCCGCATACGGACAGGTGAAAGAAGACTTCCGGGTCTTGTGGAACGAGCAAGAACCGACCATGCTTCCCTCGCCATCGCCGTCCTCGCCCACCCAGCCTCTTCCCATACCCATACTCGAACGCCAACCAACTCCATCCAACCCACTCGTGGCGCAAGTCCCCGTCGTATCCTCAGGTCCGGATTCTCCTGCTGCGACTATCTCTCCACTCGCTGAAGCTGCACGGAACGATATCGAGGTCGAAACACCTCCGTCTGCTGCGAATGGAGTTGGACTTGGAGTCGGTACTGGGGCTGGTAGTCTTGGTAGTGGTAATGATGGGGCAGGAAGGAAACGGTCGGCATCCTTCACCAGCCTCTTAAACCGGCTCAGAGGATCTTCAGCGAGTGAGACCGAGAAGGTACCTCTTAAAGCGGATAGCATCCTCGAGGAAGATCATACTAATACTTCTAAACAAGAGGAAGATCGGGACAATCTGGACGACAAGGCTCATTCGGGTTCGGGACATCCTAGCTCCCCCGATCCTTTGGTCGAGAGCCTGGGTGTTCGAGGAAGATCGACCGCATCCGGATCTGTTAGTACATCTGGAACCAAGCCAAAGGTCTCCATCTTCGGGTTCAATAGCTCCAGTAAGAGCCCTAAAGGCAAAGAAGCGAAGGTAGCGGGCAACGTAGAAGGTGCAGGTGGAAAGCCGAAGAGGAAGACACCGGGGTTGTGGATACAGAAGGTCTTGAAGAGCTCGGGCTCTGGATCTCTATCCGGAACGAGTGACAGTATAGCTGGGAGCTCAGGCTCGGCTGGAACACAACCTCCAGAACAAGGAACGCCACAAGGAACCACTACCAGCTCGATTATGACATCCACCTCGACTTCAAAACCACCCTCCGAGACTGTCCACAACGTAGCCTCGGGTTTATCTACCATGATGTCCTCGACCCTCACCCCACTCTCTGTCCCACCTCCTGCTGAGCCGCTCTTTCCTCAGCCCGATCCGACCTTCATCTCTCCTTCCCATGACCTCGACTTTGATCGCCAAGCCACCCTCCAGCGGGTTCGAAAACGATACGAGATCCTCTGCCACATCGGACTCGCTGTCAACCTGACCACAACGATTGGCCAAGCGGCAGGTGGAGACCTCGTTGGACAATGTTTCGTCGCCGTACAGTCCATGTGGGGGATGATCCAACGGGTCGGGTTGGTAGAGACCAGCGCATGGAGATTGGCAGAGCGGTGTATCGAGCTGTTGATTGCTGTTGATGGATGTGTCAAGGGGATCAACGAGGATGGGCATTCGATCGGGGTGGAGATGCAGGCGAGTCTGATCAACTTGACCGGGTGAGCAGTAGGATCCAATTGAATACAGAGGAAAGGGACTTCATCTGACGCTTTTACACGGGTCGGCGGCTTCGATAGCACCCTGCAGCACGGAGCAGACCTGGTCAGGAAATTGGCAGAGCGCAACTTTCTCAAGATCTTCTTGCGATGCGACCAGATCAACGAAGGTATCCAGGACGTTACTGAACAGCTGGAAGATTGCGTCAAGGTGTTTCACGTGAGTTTCATTCTCGTGTGTTGCCTAAAATCCAGACTTAAGATCATGACGACATGACTTGAACGCCGTGCGAACAGCTTCAGACGGCGTTGAACTCCGAGCGGTGGAGGATCCAATCCGAAGCGGACAGGAAACGGGATATGGATATCTTGCTTGCCAAGATCGAAGAGGCGTCCGAGAACGACGAGAAAATGTGGGTCGTCCATGATCGGCTTACATGCTGTAAATTATTGAAAGAGACTGCTCGCTGTTCCGATCATGATAGGCTCAAAGTGTTGCAGGTAAAAAGTAGGTGCCAGATGGATGGTTTGGCTCGTCCGAGAGGGATGGCTGATCGTTCGCTATAATTGTCCTAGGTGACGATATCCAGGAATCGATCAAGACGATCCAACGAACTCTAGATGCTGTCTTCGCGCTCCAAGGCAATAACGGGAACGCACATCCTACCCACCAGGCACCCAACTCGACTCGACCCAGCTCTAGCGCATCTTCAGTCCAGCTGCGCCTGTCCACGGTGTCTCTGTTAGCTGACAAAATTACGACAGGCGATCCTTATCATGCGTCTCCAACTTCCGTACATCCGGTGGCGTTGGGCGCGGTAGCTCCCAGTCGATCGCGCACGCCGGCGAATCACGGCAAGCGGTACCGCGATGAAGCTATCGCTACACCGATGGTCAGGCAACACGTTCATTTCCTGAGAAGAGGGTATGTTGAGCGATACTATCAGCGCGTAGAGAAATCTTGACACTCACTGAAGACCTATCCGTGCGGTACAGATATGACGTACTCTGTCGGAGAAGCGCTAGTTCGCTCGATGGCTTGCCGAATTGGACCATCACGCGGCTGGAGATCAGTCGGGACGAACAGGTGGCGTAAGGGTTCACTCTGACATAAATATTCAACTGAAGCACCGCTTGACCGACTCAACTGTTACAGGTATGGGAATTATAGTACCGTCTGGCGAGGGACGTGGCAAGGTCAGATCGTTGCAATCAAGGAGCTTAACGCGTTGACCGACAAAGACGTAAGCATGGTTTGGCTGGAGAAAGGCCGCTAGCTGATTCCTTAACGATCAGCTTTTCTTGAGGGAGGTCGAGATTTGGAAACCGTTGAGACATGAGAACATCCTGGAGCTTTGGGGAGCGAGCTATAGCCGTCCGTTCTTTCTGGTGTCTCCCTATATGCTGAACGCCAACCTGCTCAGCTTCTTGCGCTCGGAAGTTGGTGCTGACGCGCACAAGATCCGATTGATGCTGGGTATCGCGGACGGCATGAGTTATCTACATAGCCGTGATGTTTGCCACGGAGTAAGTACCATACCCATGATAGAGGTCTCCCAGATTAGAAACTCATACCTTGTTGACTCACGCCATCCAGGACCTCAAAGCGAAGAACGTGTTGATATCCAACAACCATGTACCGATGATATGCGATTTCGGTCAGTTGTCGCACTCAAATTCCTCGAATCCGCTTCGACAAACTGACATGCTTCCTCACAGGTCTTTCTGAGCTCAAGATGGACATCGAGCGCAAGTCGACTGTAAAGCCCACGGGTGGGACCTTGCGGTGGACGGCCCCAGAGGTTCTTCTCGGGCAACGAATCTCGTTCGCTTCGGACGGTAAGTGTGACGCAAACACATTATATTTCCTTCGACTAAGTAGGGACAAAAAATTACAGTCTTCGCTTTTGCCATCACGATCTGCGAGATGCTTGCCCCGAACGATATCCCGTACGGTTACGTCAACTCGCAGACCGTTCGCGCGATGGTTCTCAACGGCGAGAGGTGTCAAATCCCGGCCACCGCTCCCCAGATCAAGGCGTTGGTGATGAAGTGCTGGGAGCATAGTATGTCGTAGCTAGTATCGTTAGTGGCAGAGACTGAATGCTTTGTTTCTTAGAGCCGGCGGATCGACCGTCCTTCGAAAATCTAAGCCCGACAATCGAAGAGCTCTTGCCAAATGGCGACCGACGCCACACCGTATCGACGGTTGAAGGACGAGGTATGATGATGCTCCGTTCGAGCTCTTGAATATCGCTGACCAATCAGTACCACGGCTCACAGACTCGGACATTACGTCACTAGAGAGTCGAGACACTCAAGACACTCGTACAAGCTACCAGACCGCTGGAGAGGAAAGCGACCTGGAAGATGATGAGGATGACCAAGCTGGACCCGAGGAGCAGTAGTAAGCACGAATCGCAAGGAGATGGCGAACCGCGCTTGCGCTGATCTAGCTTGTCAACAGCTTGATATCGCCTCAAAATATCTCTCTTCCGCTGGAGGATGACGAAGAATCCCTCTTGAGCGAGAGCAGCAGTCCGTCTGAACCTTCTGTCGAGGATATCGATGCAATCGAGAATGACAAGCTTGAAAAGCTGGCTCGCAGCTACCGTCACCACCTCACTCACGCTTTCGATGACCGCTTCCGCGAGCCATTATGGCAGCCTACCGCTTGCGAGATTGGCGACATTGGATACTTGACATCATCAGGAGCATTTCACACGCTTTTCAACGTGAGTCTCGCTCAGCCCCGACGGAAGCATCAGCTGACGATAGAGGATGATAGGCGAAGCAAGGGCCGCCAGCGAACATCTGTCTGCCCCTTCCCATTCCTACCTTACAAGACCCACCCACTGGATCTGGTCTGACCGAGAAGACCGTCTCCATGCGCAATGCCGCTCTCAGAGCCATCGACAGCGTGACGTCGCTTACCAACAGTGTCATCCGATTCGTCTCTCGCCAGAACGGCCAGGTCGAGGCGTGAGTTGCGCTCAATCATTGAAGTTTGCGCCTAGACACGCTGACAAGCGCGACTTTCATAGCGAAAGAGACATCGAGTGGACTTATAGCGTCCCGCTGTCCGCCTTGGCTCAGCCGAAACGAGCCGGTCTAGTCATTTACGAGGGCAAATATGTCTTCTTGAACGATAGAGAGCCGGCGAGGGAGTATCTCAAAGTCAATGCCGAAGCCATCCCGGCGGCCTATGGTGATCAGCATCGTATCAAGAAGGAGGACGCAAGTGTCTATCCCAGTGAAAGAATAGAGAGCGTAGCTGATATCGGTCGTTCCCACAGATCATCATCATCGTTGGAGGGTTATTCTCCACCGAATGGGCGCTGATGATGGCCAGTCGAGACTATGGCAGCACGATCAACTTCAACGTGCACAAACAGCGTCCTAACGGCGAACCCTGGGGAACCTGGTCGATCGTCCAAGACAGCAGGAAACGTCTCGAAACCAACGATGAGGCCAACGCGCCACAAACGCGGTTTGTCACCAAGGTTTCCAAGTCGAGGCAAGTCGCCGTGTAGCAAAATCGCCTTGAATAAAGCCGGCTGATTTGCGCTGCGACTCGTTTTCAGCGACACTCCCCAAGCGGTCTTGTTGGCGAGACTGAAGTTTCCGACATCCGGTATCAACCGAGACGTGCCCACCCTGCACTGATATGAACGGCACAAACGCCGCTGTTTCGATATACCCCGCTCGTAAAGGAACCTATGCCACTGCTCTATACATATATGATTAGGATTGAACGCATCTACGAACCCTCAGCCTATTCTCATTCTACGGGATTCTCAACCTCCGTGCAACGTCGAGATGAAGACGACCTCGTCACCGTCTTCCAATCGGTAATCCAACTCTCCTTCGAGCTCCCAGTCGGTATCATTGACGAGCACCAAGATTCCCGGGCGTCTGAGTAGTATGTCACATGTATCAGGTGTACTAGCTCAATAACCGTGAGGAAGCAGATGTCTCGCCCGACTTACACTCCCTCGCCATCCCCAAACATCTCCACCCGCTCGCTCAGCAAGTTGTCCTTCATCCACTTGATCAAGTAGCGTATCGTTACCGGAGCGTCCTCGATCGTCTTGGGCAATTTGACCGAGTGTTTCGGCTTGGACGAGAACAAGAGGTGCAGACCGCCGCTGCGAGGTTCGGTCGTACAGAACAGATGCGAAGATCAGTCAAGGGTGTCGAATAAGAGGTGGAACATTTGCTCACCCAAATTCAAGCTTGATCTCGATCTCTTCTTGTTTCTCCTTATTACCCACGCTCAACCCTTCGACCCCGTTGCTAACCTCCTCTACCTTGTCATCCCCCTTACTCTCCTTGACCTCCCCATCGCGCGGTACCTCCAATTCCCTAGCATCCGCCCACTTGGCCCATTCCTTCCTCCCCAGACTCCTCAAAGCTACCCTGACGTCCTCGTTGATATCCTCGATCAACTTCTCTTTGGAGACGTAGTTCAGTTCCGGGCGGACGTAGCCGAGGAGGACGACCGAGAGCGGGTGGGCGTAGAAGGACGTGGGGAATTGGTGCATGATGTGGACTTCCTACGAGGTCCCAACCAAAAAAAGGCAGATGGATTTGGTTTCAGCTACAAATTAGGACAAGAGATTGAGCGGAGATCCAGGAGAGCGCTTACGGCGGTCATCTCCTTGTTCCCGTAATAAGGATTATACCCCACGCTCATGACCATCGGCCAGACTTTATAATCCTCTTCTCCCAAGGCCGGCTGTTCTCCCTTGTCATCTCCGTCTCCACCTCCATTCTCAGTGCCGGTACTGGCACTGGCTTTGTCAGAAGAAATAGTCGAAGGCCGGTCGTTCTCCTCGCCTTCCACCTGCGATCGAGGGTACGCCGCGGTCTTCCCCGGAAGACTTTCGATGGCCTGTACGCTCAGACCTTTCGATCCATCGCTGGAGTTCCCGTTCTTCGGGATTGCCTCGGCAGTTGAGTTCGAGTTCGACTCCGGGTTTGGTGTCTGGTCGGTTGTGGACGACGATGACGACGATGAGGGTATCGGATGGAGCCTGGCGAACCCAAAGTAGATGCCTGTAGATGAGAGTTGTTCGAGAGGAGCGATGGATGATCGAGGTAGGTTTGCTGCGAGGGATTAGGGTGGAGAGATAGCGTTGAAGATAGTTCAAGGGTTATACCAACGTGGTAGATGATCCAAAAGAGTTTCGAAACGGAATGAAATGGTATACAAGGTGTAAAGATCCAAAGATCAGCTCCATCCGCATTACTGCTTCCTCCACAATCCGACACGGGACTCACCAGTCGGGATCCCCAACTCCTTACTCCCCCTCCCGAACCCCCTCTCAACGACCCCGAACATCTTGATAGGGTAAGGCGGTTCGGGGCCGGATTCGGTTCCTATGATGGACGGTCGTGCGGGTTGTTGGGTTTCCGAAGACATGTTCGTTGATGAAAGTGTTCTTTTCTGTTCTGTTAGAGAAGAGTTGGGAGGTGCGAGCTGAGATGTGAGACAAGGGGCAGGGGGTGTATAGATTGGAGCTTTGGAGAGATCGAGGTTGTCCTAGGTTGTATTCGTCGCAAATGATCGATGAGTTATGAGTTATGGGTGGTTTTACAAGAGCAAGAAGCAAGAAGCAAGAAGCAAGAAGCAAGAAGCAAGAAGGCAACTCGCAACTCGCCAAAGTTCAAAGCAAGAAGATCCGGTCAGGCCAAACGCGGCATGCCGGCCCTAGGCAAAGAAAAAGAAATGGCTCAAGCCGCAAACGAGAGGAAGGGCTCACCGAGGTCGACGATTCTGACTGTCGACCACCTGCGGCGGGGTGGAATTCTTTGGCAATTGAAAATCTCCAACGCTGTACTTTGGCTCAAAGCGTTGTGGATTGCAGGGCGTATAGCGATATTGCTAACCGACATTCGAGCATCCTCTGGCCATGCAGCTTTCGACTCGGTATCTTACGAATCTCTCTGTGCGCGCGCGCGAGCGAGCTCACGTCCCGACCGAAATATCTTCTGTTTTGCGAGGAGGGGATGCGATTTCGGTTCGTCGAGTCGAGTTCCGTTTGGTCACGAGCCAAGGGGCGGCCGGTCTAAAGTGTGTGGCAGGGAGTGGGAGGGTGAGAAAGGAGAAAAGGCGAGAGTGCCAAGGGGTGACGAGGCTACGAAAGGCGAGCAGGAAGGACCTCGATACACAACCACCTCTTTGAGTTACTGAATCTCGACAAACCTGATAAGTACGAGGCTTTCGCGCGGATAGCGAGCAACTAAGCATTTCCCTTGTAACGAGGTGTAAGTCCTCTTTCTTCGGTAGATCGAGAGGTATGTCGTCGACCGTATCTTTCGAATATACGCAACGAAAAAGCCGACATCATCACAACATCCTTTCCCACATCATCATCGACCAACCCCCCTCTTAGATCCTGATGGACCGACAACAGCAATCGTATCCACCCATCAACATCAACCACAACATCCGACTACCTTCTCCACCTAGACCTCATCAGACGGGCACGTCACCTACCTCGACGTTGCGCGAAAACACGTCCGGATCGTCATCACGGTATTCGAACGTCGTCGAGGTCGTAGGTTCGGCGGAAGCAGATTCGGAAAGTCGACACAACTCTGAAAGTCGACATCATCTTCGAGCTATCAGCCCCATGGCGACCGTCAACAACGATACCGACATTGCCAATAGAGATCTAGCCACTAATAGCCATGACAAGGACTACGACACGGAATCTGGCTCACGGTTCGGGTTGAATCCCAAGTCGAGCACGAATCTCTCCCCGCCCGCGATACCACAACCTCGACAACAACGACAACAACAACGACCACGAGCCCGATTCCACATCCCAGCATATGGCAGTGGTAGCCGTATCAAGGATAAAGTATCCTCTTCCATGTTTATACCCTCGCCCGAGAAAGAAGGACAAGGCCAAGAACAAGGGCAAAGACAAGGTTCTCACTCGCAGCTCTCACCGCGACGTACTCCTATATCTACATCCACGCCTGTATCTCCTCATCGTTTCGGACAACCCAGTCATCTCTCCTCGAACACGAGCATTGACAATATCAAATTCTCGCCCACCTCGAATGGAAACGGGAATCATAACGGGAAGACAGGGATTAACGGGAATGAGAGGAGGACTTCGAACGTCCACGCGTTGACGGACTTGTTAGACCCTGAACCTATTCCTATTGCTGGGGCCGAAGCATCAGACTCAAGAGGAGTGACGCCACTAACAGGACAGACGGACTTGAACTACTTGAACACAAAACCAAAGAAGTCAAATTTGGCTATGATGATGGACGTCGTCGATCTGGAGACGGATGAAGTTAGCGTTGCGGGACCGAGCAAGGGTGCAGAAGTGCCAGGGGAGGTGGGTAGGAAGAATGGGGGAGTGAGATGGGGAGAGGACTTGGATACGCCAGTTGGAGTTACAACGGGGCAGGAAGGAGAGGGCGGAACGGACCATACCGACGGACAAGACGGACAAGAGGGAGAGGAAGATGATGAGGATGAGGAGGATGAGGATGACGACGATGAAGAGGATGGTGATGCAGACGAGGAGGAACAGGTCGACGGCGATATTGCCGAGAACGCCGAGGAAGATGATGAGGGCGAGAACGATGACGACGATGATGAGGAAGATGAAGAAGAAGACGAGGACGACGACGAGGAGGAAGAAGATGATGACAAGTCGGTCGATCTGTCTGATGACGAGCCCGTCTTTCTCTCTTCTCGTAAACCGTTGACATTGAATCAGCTCCTCTCCGGGACTGACGAGCGGGTGAACGGCAATGGGGAGGCAGGATCCGTAAGGGTCAAGCAGGAGAGTCAGGAAGAAGTAGCCGCGAGGACGGGTCAGGGTCAGGAGGGCCAAGACCCGGATGCGCAAATGGTCATCCTCGACCTCCCTCCTCTAGGCTCTGCTGGGACGCCAAACGAGACCGGACTCGACCTGCCGAGGAGCGCGACGGTAGAGGCCATGCAGGTGGATGAGCAGGCGACGGTAGCTACCCAGGGATCGCTACTCGGTGCGGCTTCGGTGCAGGATTCGAGCTTGACCGATTTACCGGATTCGGTCCCGGCGAGCCTGAACAACCAAGTCGTGCAAACCACAACGACCGAGACGCCGGCTGCGGCGGTCAAGCCAAAGAAGAAACGTGCCGTCCTGACCACGTCGGTTGTAGCGCCTCCCGAGCCCGCCGCTCCGTTGCCCATGCAGACGGTCCGACTCGAATTCGATCTGAACAACCCGGCGAGCTTTCCCAAACCCGTTGGCAAGGAGAAACCGGGTAAGGCGTTGATCATCAATTTCAAGCAAGAGGCGATCGATCGCGGGGTGGTGGAAAAGGGATATTGGGAGGGTCTTTGGGGGTTGGGTCTGACGGCCGAGGGCGAGGGCGAGGGTAGCGACGGCGATATGGACATGGAGGAAAAGACGGACAAGAAGAAGCAAGGCAAGAAGAACGGATTATTGGGCCAAGTCCCCGAGCCAAAAGCGGGACCTGGGCCGTCTTCCTCGTTGGCCGCTCTGATGGCCGCCGTCGGGGACGCTCCGGACGACTCTGCTGAAGCTGAACGGCTCGCCGCCGAGTATCATAAGCATTACGAGGAGAGCGCGCCGGTGAAAAAGACCATACGGACCCGCAAGTCGAGAGATGCGGAATACGACGTCAGCGATCCGTTCGTCGACGATTCCGAGTTGATGGTGGACGAGCCGTTGTTTTACCAAGAGCCAAAGCGGGCCGGGTTTCATGTCGCGCTTGGGGATATCGAACTGTGCGGAGTGGTCGAGGATGAGTGAGTCGCATTTCACGATCGAGCGTTGGATCGGACTGACTGATTCGATATCTTTCTCGTAGACCGATCGTAAAACGCCGAAAGAAGCGGGTCGAGGGAGAAGAGACGGGTGGACCGGTCAAGAAACGCAAGACCAAGACGATTTTGGGAATGGGAATTCGACCGGGAATGCTCAACGCCGAGATCAGAAAGAACAGCTTGAATAACATAGTGGATGGCATGCCGGGATCGCCCGACGTCGTGGCCATCGAATCGAGGCAAGAGAGTCCTGAAATCCAGGTGCTGGAAAATACCAAAAAGGGTAAGTCCTATGAATGCCTAGAATCGTTCGTCCGCCTCCGATCTAACGCACGTCCGCGTCTCCTCGCTGTAGACACCCCCGCTGAGGCCTGGGTACCAAGACTATATGCTGGTCCAGTAAGCGATTTCGAAGTGTGTCAGTTGCCTGTCTGCTAAACATTGCATATGTCATATACGCAGGAGGAGGCGCTGGCAACGATGCCCGAAGCCATTCACGCCGAACTTCGTGAGCTCTGGCGGCAGGACACGCCGTGTGAGTCTTTTCCAAACGCCCGAACCCAGGGATACCGCTAAATTGTTTGATCGCCGAGTAGACCGTGAGACACAATATTACAAGAACAAAGAACGGAAAAAGGTATTTCCCCAAGACTTGGTCGCACCGTCCAAAGCTGTCGGTCACAAGGCCATCGACTTGCGCATCATGGACGACCCGTTCTTCGACGTGGTTGCGCCATACCATATCGGATACAATCGCTTCACCATGAAGAAATGGTTGTTGAATAACTGCAAGGATTATTTGGCGGTTTCCATTGCCAATCTGGAAGAAAAAATCTTGGCAGAGTTACAGATCGAGATCGACGTCCTCGCCGTCGACTACATGCAGGCTTTCGAGGAAGAGAGCAAGTATTGTCGTAGCTCGCTTTTACCGCTACTTCTTTGCTAATAAGTATCTGATCCCGGTCTCACAGTGAAAAAGGCAGCTGGAGAAACGACGATGGAAGTAGATCCGGTGACGGGGGAAACAACCGTGGTGCCAGTGAGCCGTATAGTATCAGGCTATTACGTACTTGTTGTTCATCCGTTACCCTTCTTCAGATCGTCTTACCACAGAAGAAATGGAGGTGGACGGCTAGGCTTCGCGAGCTGTTCGCGGCGGCGGTCGAAAATGTCGAATACGAGATCCATTACGTCACGAAAATCGCGTGAGTTCAAAGGTTGGTTGTCGGTATACTGCCCAGCTCATTGATCATTTCCTGCACAGCGAGGCACTGGAAGAGAAGAATAAAGACAAGCCCAAGAAAGTGATCCCGTTACCCAAAGGTCAAGCGATTCGTACCAGGCTCTATGGACGAGTCGTCGAGTTGTTCCCCGAGGGATGGATGACGACAGGGTTGTTGTCGCGAGAAAGTGAGTCAAGGTGGCGAAGACAGCACAACCGGGCTCGAACTGATGTATTCCGAATTACCAGTGAGCATGATGAAAGCGAAGAAGAAGCAAGTACAGGCCTGACGCTTGCAGCAGCGCCTAGATACCGACTGCCATGACCGTTGTCCTTGATGATACGCCGAGCGACAAACCATCGATACCTCGTCTACCGAGTTGTACAAGACAAGAAACTTGCATGTCACCAATCCGAAACAGATTGAATCTACTTGCTTTCAAGCAGCCAAGAAGCAGCAGTTGAGATGTATCGAATGTTCAAATTCTGACTCTCGGTGGCTTGACAAGAGTCTCGGAAAGGGATCCTCGTGTTGACCCTTCTTTCAAACAGATTCCAACCGCAAGTTGGGATCCTTAGAAGTGCTGTGCGTCCTCTCAGATGATAGCCATGTTCTCGCAAGTGTCGTCACAAGTTCAAGCAGCGAGAGGCTTTGAGACCGGTACTGCTACAATAATTGAGCACTACTGGTGCTCCCTTTATGGGGTCTCAAAGTTCTTGGTCATTGGGCGATTCGTTCGCGCGTAAGATGCCGTAAAATTACTTCCGGGTGACTCCGCGAATGGCTCAGCTTTGAGTACCCGCGGTTCATAAGTCAGTTCATTCGCGAGGTCACCCGGTTATGCTTTCCGGTAAAGTCGGTGAATCGGTCAATTCGAGAAATCGCGGACTTCACAGCATTTAATGTCCGTTGCATACTACTTTTGCTTCCTTCTGCTTCCGTCTCTCGTACAATCGCCTAAGTCGACCTCGAGAAGGTACCTTTGTCAAATCGAACACAACCTCGACCGTGTTAACCATACCGGATAGCCCTTCTTTGCCAAGAGATAGTAGCGACCATGCCCAACATATCCGAGAAGCAACGAGTTCTCACCCAGCTTCGCTCTCAGATCGACACAGCCTTTCAGTACTATGCCTTCCAGGATCTGAAGTACCGTCGATTGTCACGTCAGCTACGCAACATCTCTTTCGGGGTCGAAGATGATGCCCTTGACATTGCCGATCGAGCGGGATGCCAACGAAAGATCAGGAGACGGGCACTCACGATGCTCCTCGGCTTAGCTGCGGAGATCGAAGGCATAGAGAGTCGTCGTTACCTGCACCGTCGAGTCAATAGGGATCTTCGGTCTAGACGCGACGACCTCTTCCGGTACTATCTGAACATGAATGAAAAGTGGTTCAAACAAACAGTTAGTATACGACTCTCACCGTGTTATACCTCCATGAAACGTACTCATGACGAGCGTTTGTTAGGCTCGGATGAACAAAGAGTGCTTCTGGACCTTACACGATATCATCCAGGCCGACCCAATCTTCTCGAACAACTCCCACAACCCCCAGGCCCCCGTCTTGTATCAGCTTCTCGTTACTCTACGTCGGTTAGGGATGGCCGGAAACGGAGTCAGTTTGGGGCAATCGGCCATCCACTTCAGTATTGCAGGTAAGCCAAGACGAACCTGCTTCGATCTTCTCGGCTAAGACGCCTTGTCCTGTCGAATCTACAGAAGGAACCGTCGAGCTATGGACACTGCGATGTATTCTTGCGATCACTCGGAACCTTAGCGGTTGGATTAAATGGCCGGATCGCAGAGCCAGGAGGATGATCGCAGGCAGGATAGCTACCCGGTCTCCCTTCCCCGACTGTGTCGGCTTTCTCGACGGGAGTGCGATTCCGCTAGAATACAAGCCAGGGTTAGAGGACGCCATCGATTTCTACAACTATAAACACTTCTACGCCCTTCAGCTTCTGGCAATATGCGACGACCAACGGAGGTTTACTTACGTGTTGTTGGGGTACCCCGGCTCAGCCCACGATACTCGGTCATTCGGCCGAACTGCTGTGGCGACCAATCCAGGCGCCTTCTTCGATCCTGGGCAGTGGATCATGGCGGACTCTGCCTTCGCTCAGACGGAGTACTTGGTGTCCCCGTTCAAGCACGCCCGGGGAGTTAGACGACTATCTGCGGAAGTCAACCGATTCAACAGAAGCTTATCGTCGGTGCGAGTCGTGGTGGAACACACCTTCGGTATGCTCAAAATGAGATTCGAATCCCTACGAGCCTTGAGGTCTCAGATCGACACGCAGCTAGATCTGCAGCGAGCTCTCAATTGGATTCGGGTTGCGACGATCTTACACAACTTCTTGGCCGATCAGAAGGAGGAAGGCCTTGACGATTTCTGGGAAGACTGGGACATGGAGGTCAGTACCAGATCGATCAGTAGCGGCGTGGGCAGAAACTGACCACGGTCCATCTCCTCAGACTCTGAATCGCCAGTTCGAGTGGGAGGCGGCACAAAATAGAGAAGCATACGAAACCTATCTGATAGAGGAGAGACTTGATGAGGATCGTCCCCCGGGACCGGATACGAAGCGACGGTGGCTGAAGCAGTTTGCCGAATTGCGGCAATATCGCCCGGCGTTTGACTTGGAGGACATATGATGTATAATACTCGATACATCAGCATATTAGATCGACATGACATGTTGGGGCGTACGCATAAATTGGAACCTTATCCGCCTAGCACAATTCCTCCTGATCCAGCCTCCTTCACTAATCTTCGTCCATCTCGTCGGTGATACCGGCCAACCTCTTGGCCTGTTTGGCACTCATGCCGTCCTTCCTCAGCTGGAGATACGCGTTGATCCTTTCCATCCTCTGCGAGTGCTCGTTCTTGCTTCGCTCCTGTTCTCGAATCGCCTCCCTGTCCGCCAATTCCTGCTGCAACTTCCTCTCCTCGATCACCACCCTGCGTTCCTCAAACCTCCTCTCCTCCGCCTTGGTCTCAAGCAGCTGCTTGCGGTACTCTTGGTCCGCCTCAAAGGTCTTCTCGTCGATCTCAGACTGCTTCAGCATCGCCGCTGCCATGGGGGCACTGGCGTCATCCTGACCCTTGCCTTTCTTCTTGGCGCTTTCCTTGGCGACCTGGCGACTTGCGGCGGAGACGGACGCAGAGATTGATCCCCTGGAGCTGGTGGAGAAGGAGCTAGGAGAGCGCTGCTGGATTGGTGTTGCGGCGAGAGAACGGAAGCCAGGGCCGGTCGGTACGCCATCGTCGTCATCAAACTCGTCGGTCCCGTTCATCATCGCAATGATATCAGGATCACTCTCCATGTCCCCGCTGACACCTCCAAAGGAGTTTTCTTCGGTGGGAGGAGCGTTCCTCTTCTGAGGGGTGCGGGGAGCCTGACTACGAGATCGGCTGCCAGGTAGAGCAACGCCATCCTCGATCCCGAGTTGTTGTTCAAGGGGCCGTTGATCGGTTCGGGAAGAGTCGAGGACGCACTTGGGGTCGTAAAGGGTTCGGCTGCCCAAGATTGGCTCGAGCATACGATAGTACGGGTATCTGGCTTCAAACTTGGCCTGCCAGGCCGCCGTCTTGACTCGTTCATCGGGGTCCTGGCTCTCCATATCCGAGTCCGTACTGCCGCTCCCCGTCTGCTGCAACTCCTCGTGCGCTTGGCTCCAAACCTTGATGATGTACTTGATCTGATGGCGCAACAGTCCATTGAGGTTCAGAATACGGCGGGTCAGTGGATGGTGTAGCGGAAGACTCACCTTCGAGATCAATCCCGATACGTTCTTACACCCCGCCAGATCAAAGCCAGCCTCGCCCATCTGGTCGAGGATCTTCTGTCCCATCCCCTCTTTCCCAACCCCGTTGGTGTTCTTCCACCTGGTATAGTTCTCTCCATCACACAACCACTCGACCAAGTACTCCTCAGCCGTCCGTCCTTCCTTGGTTTTAACCTTCTTCCATCGGGCTTGGCTGCTGACCCCGCCCTCGTTCGAGCTGTTGCTCTCGGCTGACGGCTTTGACCTAACCCTCCTCTCCTCCGGCGAGGTCTCAATGCTGCCTGAAGCGGCACGTTTGTTCCGGGAAGGAGTAGATGCAGGAAGAGGAGGAGGAGGCATGAGTTCTTGAGACGGCGTGCCAGTCAAAGGTCGGCTTTGCGAGGTGATCGAGTAGGTTTGCGAGGCTTGCGACGCTGAAGCAAGAGTGATTTCTTCGCGGGGGGAGGAGGGTGCAGTGGAAACGGAACGAGAAGGGGATTGAGAGGGAGACCTAGCTGACCGAGGATGTGGGAAGCGGACTGTGAGGTGTGAAGAGGATTGCTGTATGTCACAACAACGGGCGGAAAGGATAGCACATATGGCAAAGGGAGGCTGTCAGTCACGTCCGGTCGAATGCGGTAATTACGCGTTTTTGCACGCGTTTTGGGGGGTATCGACCTGAACCGAGTTTTCGAACGAAGTACTCACGCCAGGGGTTTGGGAGTTGCTCATGTTGACGGATTGGATGCTTAGGTATCGTGAGACACAAGTTTGACAATTGTGTGATGTGTCTATGTAAGGCCCGGGAGCGGCCCCCGATGGGGGTCCCCCTGGACAGGCTGACGGGACGCAGGAATGAGGCAAGGTATGGGTAGACATCTAGATGTAATAACGGATGTAGAGCTATTACAGAGGTACTAGTTCTACATCCAAACAACAACACCGAAAAGTACCCCCGACGGGAGTCGCATACGGGAGTCGCGTACGGCGTGTCCGACGCGTCACGTGACCGCTATAACAGGATCCCCCCCTTAGATGCGGTCTCCGAACGCATCAAGCGTCGGCGTACTCTTGTCGACCAGGCTGCGGTAGATGAGGGTAGCGCTTGTGAAACGCTGCGACGACCTTGTCGTCGTGATCGAATTCGGCGGGACTAACCCACTCGTTCGATTCATCCCCGTACCCTTCGAATCGCACTAGGTACTGGGTCTTCTTCCCGGACCTCCCGGATCGCAACGCTTTCGAGTGTACGATCTCGGACACGACATACCCCAAGTCACCGTTGTCGAGGACTTCGGGGGTAGGCGGTTCAACCACCTCTCTTCCTTCCAGCTCGTTGGCCCGATAGGGGATGAGCAACGACACGTGGAAGACGGGATGCACCCGGCGTAACTGCGCGGGGAGTTCCAGCCTCCTCGCCATCTTGCTCTGGCCGATGACTTCCGTGATTCGGAAGGGCCCCAGCGTCTTCATCGAGAGCTTCTGGCTGGGGCGCACCGACGTCAAGTTCTTGGTAGATAACATTACCAGGTCCCCTACGTTGTAACCCTCGTCAGGGACGGCGGTACGCTTCCGATTTGCGTACTTCGCCATGTCCTCCCGCGCCTGTTCCAGCGCCTCCTTCACCGACTTGTAGATCCCGTCGAGTCGGTCTCGGTACTCTCCCGCCGATTCCACCGCCTCTTCCCTAGTGCCGGGCACTGGCAGGGAGAAGGTATGTTCCCTTCCCTCGGACGCCATGAATGGCGACATCCCGATGGCAGAGTGCTTCGCGTTGTTGTACGCGAACTCCGCCATGGAGAGTAGCTCCGCCCAATCGTCCTGGAGGAAGTTGACGTACGACCGCAAGTACTGCTCCAAGGTGGAGTTACTTCGCTCGGTCTGTCCGTCCGTCTCCGGGTGGAACGCCGTGGAGTAACTATTCTCCACGTTCGCCATGCGGCACAGATCTTTCCAGAAGCGCGAGGTGAACAACGTACCTCGATCCGAAATGATCTGCTTCGGGAACCCATGCAAACACACCCATCGGTCAAGGAATAACCGCGCCAAGAATGTGGCGTCGTTATCCTTTCGACAAGCGACGAAGTGCGCTCGCTTGCTGAACCGATCGACGATCACCAGGATCGAATTGGACCCCATAGACTCGGGCAGGTCCGTGATGTGATCCCAAGTGATCGATTCGTATGGTCCCGCCGGTACCGGCAGCGGCGCTAGTTCGCCGACAGGCTTCATTCGGGGTCGCCGGTTGCGCTGACATATGCTGCAGCTAGCGACGTACTCCCCGATCCACTTCGCCATCCCAGGCCAGTAGAAGTCCCTACTGGTTAGCTCCACGGTCTTGTCCCGCCCCCAATGGCCGGCGGCTTTCCCGTCATGTAGGCGCTTCATCAGCTCTACCTTGATGTTCCCCGCGTTAGGAACATACACCAACCCGTTGTATAGGAGAACCCCGGTGGGGCTCAAGCTGTATCGCTCATTCGCCAAGGTCCCCGCCTTGAGCTGCGCTACGAGCTCTTTCGCCACCGGGTCGTCCTGCGCCGCCGGTATCAGCGCTTTCACCATCCAATCGCCCAGTGCGGGGATGGTGCCATTCAACCGCAAAGGCGGTCGTTCAACCGGACTACACCCTTCAGGGGGTGCGTCTTCGACAGGCCGGAGCAGAGTCTCCGCTCGCTTCGGTTCTGTCTCCTCCATCAACTCTTCCCGACGACTCAACGCGTCGGCCTTCCCGTTCTCCGTTCCCGGCTTGTACTCCAGGGTGTAGGAGATCTGGTTCAACAGCTGCAACCATCGCGCCTGCCGTTGGGACAATACCTTGTCCCTCTTGAAATACTCCAAGTTCTTGTGATCCGTGAGAATCCGAACGGGGTACTTGTTGTCGAGATAATGTCGCCATATCCGACTGCAATAGACGATGGCCAACAGTTCCCTGTCGTGCACATCGTAGTTCCTCTCGGCGGGCGTCAGACTCTTTGACATGAACGCTACCGGGTGGAGCTTCCCATCGTCCCCTACCTGGGACATCACCGCGCCGATCGCTCCAGAGGAAGCGTCGGTCTCGAGCACCACTTGGCGCTCCTCGTTGTAGTGCGCCAATATAGGCGCCTGGGTGAAGGACTCCTTCAGTTCCCGGAACGCAGCGTCAGCGGCTGCCGTCCAGGAGTACTTCACCCCTTTCTTCGTCAGGGCCGTCATTCCCTGAATCTTCTTGGAGTAGTTCTGGATGAACCTCCGATAGTAGTTTGCAAATCCTAAAAAGGACTGCAGTCCCCGAATGTTCTTCGGGGGGGCCCAGTCCAAAACGGACTTGACCTTGGAGGGGTTCATACTGACCCCCGTCGGGGCAATATCGTACCCCAAGAATTCGGTAGCCACCGTATCGAACTCACACTTCTCCGCCTTCGCATACAGGCCATTTGCCTGCAGCCTCTTCATAACCTCCTTGACCTGACCGTCATGGGTCTCCTGGTCGGAGGAGTAAATAAGTATGTCGTCGAGGTAAACGACGACGCACACATCCAAAAGGTCCTGGAAAACCTCGTTCATCCACCGCTGAAAGGTAGCGGGGGCGTTGGTCAAGCCGAACGGCATGACCAAACATTCGAACAGACCGAAACGTGTAGTAAACGCGGTCTTCCAAATGTCTTCTTCTTTTACGCGTAGCAGGTTGTACGCGCCTCGGAGGTCCATCTTCGTGTAGACCTTCGCGCCCTTCAACCTGTCTAGCGTCTCTGAGATGAGGGGTAGGGGCGTCCTATCCTTCACCGTAATGTCGTTAAGGCGACGGTAATCGATGCACATACGCATCTCGCCGCCTTTCTTCGGTACGAACAGTACCGGGCTCGAACAGGGCGACTTCGACGGCCTGATGAACCCCTTCTCCAAATTTTCTTTCAACCACTTCTTTAGCTCCTCGCTTTCCCGCTGGGAGTGGTTGTAGAGCTTCTGGTACGTCGGCGACGTACCGGGCTTGAGTTCGATCGCATGGTCGATCGATCGCGTCGGGGGCAGTGTATCTGCCTTCGTCTTGGAGAACGCTCCAAGATGTTCATGATACTTCTCCGGTACCATGTCCCTCAGCTTCTCCATATACTCAGGAGGATCCAGATCGTCCTGGAACGAGTCCGTGGGTTTGACGTCCCAATCCCACAGGTCCGGGCGCCTCGCCCGCTCGTCGTCCTCCCGGGTCATCTGCATCTGCGCGACGACCAAATCCTCCGTGATCGACCCCTTCATCTTCTTGAACGGGTCGATCCCTCGTGTCTCCACTTCTACTTCGTCCGGAGCATACACCGTCTCGGGCCTCTTGAGGCATCCCGTGCTGATGCAGACATCCCCGAACGTTACCGCGTTGGAGTCCCATTGGATATGCGGGTTGTGTCTCCGCAACCAAGGGATACCTAGCACCACCGGGTACCCACTCAAATCGGTGAGGTGGAACTCGGTCAGTTCCAGGTGCACTCCCGTACGTACCAGCGTACGAGCCTTCTGGGTGATCCTTCCTCCCTGGATCTCCCGACCATCGATCACCGTCACTACCCGCGGCGTCTCGAGGTCCGTTACGTCGAATCCATGTAGCGACGCGAATGTCCGATCCATGAACATCCCGGTCGCTCCCGAATCCAACAACATGAGTGCTTGGACCGGCACTCCTTCCGGGTAGAACACTCCTACCAACGTCAGATGGCTATCTGGACCGTTGGGTACTCCGCTTGCACCCAGCTGCAAGGGGATCCGGCTACCTCCTCGTGCTCCCCCATTCGGGGTCCTTTGATGATCCGTTATTCTGTAAGGCCCGGGAGCGGCCCCCGATGGGGGTCCCCCTGGACAGGCTGACGGGACGCAGGAATGAGGCAAGGTATGGGTAGACATCTAGATGTAATAACGGATGTAGAGCTATTACAGAGGTACTAGTTCTACATCCAAACAACAACACCGAAAAGTACCCCCGACGGGAGTCGCATACGGGAGTCGCGTACGGCGTGTCCGACGCGTCACGTGACCGCTATAACAGTCTAGGTGGTACAATAGCGATTTGTTCGGAATTCGACTTACGAATGATCGAGGTCTAGACCCCGTTCATTCGTAAGGTCGCGAGACAATTCATTCCGAGCTAATCACGTGACTTTTGGAGCCTGACATCTTTCCTAACCAATTGTCTCGCGGAGTGAAAACAGATATTTGAGACCCCCTTTTGACGCCAACGTGATCTGGAAGCAAATTACTTCCGAACCAATTCGTCGATCTCCGATCGTCCACTCCGTCATGCATGGCTTCTCCTGACCTGACCAAACTTACTCAGATACTCAAACCATCACGATCAAGCCGTCATCCCATAGTGTCAAGCCAGATTGTATACTCTCCAACGGTACACAAATACTACTATCACTATCGAGCTATCGACCCGTCAAACCTGGATGGCGCGATGGGCATCCCTGCCGGATGACGTTCTCAGCATCGTTTACGACGGATTAGAGGTAGAAGATGTTATCAAATTGACCCAACTCTCAAAGATCGATGCAGCTAGGGTAGGTCGAAGAGCGTGGATATGAAACGACCGGTACAAAGGGTGTTGACCCATACCCACTTCCAGGTTCACAACTTGGCTTTGCCCTCGCTGCTACGGCGTACAGCATGTCATCACATCACGGTTGACCCAAGAGAAACAAGTCACACGACCTCAGCAACCATAAAAGACGGCCATGCCGGCGTGTTGCAAGTGACTAGACTTGTCAGGCATAACCGAAACATCGAGGAGAATTTCCGGCGAAGGAGGTTTCTGGCTCGACAGGTCGGCAACACCTGGAACAGACCTTGTCGACCGTCGATCGAACTCGAACCCGATCGCCTGCTCATCGCCACTGGACCTTCACTTACTGTGCACGGTCTGGCCAAGGATGATTCGTATGGAGAATCTGTTGATGGCAGGAAGGGGGTCGTCAGCATCGAGACCGTACCGATCCCCTTGATCAGAGGTCGACAGGTGAATAGTTCGCAGGGGGGATTCGGGCGGTTCGCTCAGCGGACAGCTGTGGCGTCTCCTCTCGACGATCTTACCGGGGTGGTATCTCTCGGAAGCGACGAGTACATACTTTCCACGGTGGGAGGCAAACTCCAAAAGGTTCAGCTTCGATCACAGCAAGTTCACGGACCGTACCAAAAGCGGTTACAAGCCGTATCTACCGCCTTGTACCCTCACACGGCCAACGTCCCGATAGAATCTCTCACGAGCTCGAGGAACAGCAATGACCCTCAGAACAAACAGAGGTTTCTTACAGCATCTCACAACGGGTTGATCTCGCTCTACAATGCAGCAGCGCCTTGGTCTGCTCCCGCCACTTTCAGCATCGGTTCCCGTCCGTGGTCGTCTCACCTCTCTTTAGGAGGCTCACAGCCATACGTGGTAGTTGGGTCTTCGGGCCTGCAGCCTCTGCACGTATATGCTATGGGTGAAGGTGGAGCATTCGATTCTGCCAACCGACGCAGGAACGTCAGCGTTACGCCGGCCAGATCGCTCCTTGGCGCTCGAATCAAGTCTGCAGTCTACGACATCGTTTCTCCGCCGACAGACATGGCCAATCCGTTCAGCAATAACCCGAGCTCGATACTCCTATCCGCTTGGTTCGATGGACGGGCCCGTATACACGACCTACGAGTCTCGGGGATGGGCTCTCTCGCATCCGGTGCTGACAAGGACGACTCGGCCAGTATGCGGACTCGTCCGATAATGGAAATGTTTGATCCGTGGCTCCAGTCATCCCTGTACTCTTGTGCATGGACGGGACCTGGAAACATCGCAACGGGCTCGTCACGCCATGGGATGGTATCCCTGTTCGACACGAGAATGTTGATTGAATCCCGACACAGCCTATCCGCAACAAGGGCGGAGAATACGCGTCAAGCGTTCGATCAACCTTTGCTGGAGGATTCGACCTCGACCAACGTGGATATGCTTAGATGGCACCGTGGAGGCTATTCGGCATACTCGCCGGGTCGACCCGAGAGTCCCGTTTATTCTCTAAAAGGCGAAGGAGGAAGGCTGTGGGGCGTGACTGATCGCCGGGCGTTCGTATATACGTTCGATGTCGAGGGAGACGGTCCGGGTCTCCCACAATCGCGAGGGTGGAACATTATAGGGCCCGGTTGTGAAGCCAGTCCTCCCCTCACGACCTGGGCGAGACGGAACGGAGGCTTCTCGACCAGAGGCGAGACGGTTGATGATGTCAAAGATTACGCTGCGGGGTATGCGATGGACGATCGGCAGCTACGTTTGTTCGAAAGTTTGCGGTGATGATCAATGGGATTCATTGAAACGCATATCGAACATGCCGACCCTACAGCATGTCTGCAGCTGAACCGGCCAGCCGGAAAATTAACAAGTTTCTGAGCGCGGCGTACTCTCCTAATCGCACTTCCCAGCCTGACTTGACCGATGACATGTAGAGTGCAGGGCTGTTGTAAAGCAACGGGCCAAAATGTTGAACCTCCCCCCGGCTGTCACAGAACCGGGTAATCGGTTTACGTCATCGGTAGCTCGGTAGAAGAATTCATCTGGTGGCGGCAACTTTTACTACTATGGCGGTAAAAATCTAGCGTTTTTCATCGGCGCGTCGCTATATTTAGCGGTGACACATGGCAATGAGCATATGGACACAAGGAAGCAGATTTACTTCCTGACAAACGCGCTCAAAATATCAGTTTCAAGCACCTGTATTGCCTTGTCAAAATTCACCCTTGTATCTGGCTTCGGATCACTCATAACTTAGGGGACACAAGGTAGAACATACAATGTATCAGAACCATTTACCAAAAGCGATTTTGAAGAGGGTCTTTATAACAACTTTGGCCGAGCTTAAAACAGGCAAATAAACGCGATTCTCGGCATTTGTTGCATCCGGTTAGCACTAGATCTGCTTCCGACTAGCCTGTCACCTTCAAAATCGAGGTTTTGCGTCCGAAAAATCAGAAACGCGTCTTTAGGTGCAATTACCGCCATAGTAGTAAAAGTTACCGCCACCAGCTGAATTGTCGCTCGGTAGCCGGTCCGGTTGTCGCGGCGGCAAAGGGCGTCATGATGAGCAAGCAGCAGCAAGCATCCTTTGGATTTAAGTTTCCTTCCTTTTCCGCATTCAGGCTCCATCGCTCGTCCACTCCCTTGGGTTCTCACCAGGAGATTCCTTGCCATTCACCTGCGACGATTGATCTACGATTTACAATCAGGTCGTTTCGGGAGGATAGTGCAAGAACAAGCGGTCCACATATCGCCCTCTCCGTCGTACAAAAGATGCTCTTCTCTGCAGGTCTCATCGGTCTGCTTTTGCCGCTAGCAGCTGCGACCATCGATGGCCAGGTGCACCAGCTCCATGCTCGTCAGGCCATTCCCTCGTCGCCTTCGGGGAGCAACAGTACCTCCAACGTGACGATCACCCCTACTCAAACTGTTTTGACTGGTGATGGCGCCAACGTTACTGTGCAAGGTGGGTTCGCTCGAAGGACGGCTGTGGACAGTGCGCCTTTCAGAATCACTAACATAGCGCTTGTGGCAATCCAGGTGTGACGATCGATAGCCTCAACGTCACTCGTTACCTGGGGATCCCGTTCGCGCAGCCTCCGGTTGACGATCTGAGGTTTGCTCCTCCTCAAGCTGTCAGCTACAATGCATCTACCACGATCAACGCTACAGTCAACGGGCCTGCTTGTCCCCAACCTCCCTCGACTCGTTATGGAAACACCTCGGAGGACTGCCTTCACTTGAACGTCTACACTCCTTCCGCCCGGGCTTTGACTGCCCTGAACCAGACGGCCACCATCTTGGCTGGCAACAACACCAATCTCACTAGTGCCTACGAGGATGGATTGCCTGTGATGGTATGGATCTATGGAGGTATGTGATGCCTTTTTCCGCCTGACCGCAACCTCTGAGCTGACATCCAGGATGTCTCATGACCAAAAGGTGGATTCACTTCCGGATCTACCTTGCCTTACGATGGATCGGCCATCATCGCCCAGTCGATCGCCAGCTACTCTCCCGTCATCCTGGTCACGCTGAACTACCGTGTGGGCATCTGGGGTTGGCCGGGCGGGGCTGAAGCCGCTGCCGCTGGAGCCAGTATGCTAGGTCTGCAAGACCAGCTACTCGCTCTCAAGTGGGTCAGACAAAACATCCAGAGTTTTGGCGGTGATCCTGAGAAGGTCACTGTCTTTGGTGAATCGGCGGGAGCGATCTCCATCGGCCTTCACCTCATCAATCCCGAATTAGTCGCTGCCAGCAACTCGTCGTCTGCCAGCAACGCCACTCTCCCGGCCGGCAACTCTACCACTTCGGCCGTCAACGCCACTGGACCCCAGCCGGTCTCTGTTGATACCCCCTTGTTCCACGCTGCGATCCTTCAATCCGGTTCTCCGTCCAGTTACCCCCTTAGCAATTCGAGCGTCAGTCGTCAAGCGTTCTACGATGGCGTCGTTCAACTTGCTGGCTGCGGCAATTCGACCGAGGGGTCTTTTGAATGCCTCAGACAAGTAAACCAGAGCGTCCTTCTCAACGCCTCCAACACGGTCTTGGCTCAGAACCCCTACGCGTGAGTTGTCACATTCAAACATAAAGCCCGACCTGCTCGCTGATCTGCCTGTCGACTTTCTGTGCACCTCATATTAGAGTCGCTTATGGTGCGTATCAAATTGCCCACGAAAGCTGGTAATTTTGTAACTGAGATCTTTCGAATTCCTTGGTCATCCAGGACCCTCGATCGATGGCCGCCTTGTCACTGGAAGCCCTACCGAGTTGATCGCCGAAGGCGCATACGTGCACATTCCGACCATTGCAGGCGACGTTTTGGACGAGTGAGTCTTGCCAAAGGGCGTCATTCAATGTCTTTCGAAACGCTAATCGCCCTACTTCGTGACAGGGGTACCATCTTTGTGCCACCCACGATCTCTAACGAAACCGCTTTCCAAGGATTTGTCGAGGCGGCTTTCGAAAGTTCTGCCTCGATCGGCGTCAATCAGACCGTCTTGGACTCGATTACCGAGTACTATACCAACGGCACCGGCTCACCCTTCCGAGCGCCTGCCAATGAGACGTTCGGCCGTAGCCCATAGTACGTATGAAACGGTCAAGATGAGGGGACCCCGGAAGCTTATCCGAGACCTTGGACAGCTACAAGTACATTGCTGCGGCATTTGGCGATGTAATCTTCCAAGCGCCTAGGCGTTACTTGCAAACTCAGATCACCGAGCAGAACGGCACCACTTGGAGCTACCTCTTCACCCAGAATCTGAACGCGAGCTCCCCTACCGGAGTCGCCCACGGAAGCGATGTGCCGTATACGTTTGGCGCTCCCTCCGCATCGCCCGCAACCTATGGGGCGCCTGCTGTTCAGTTCTCCAGGCAGATGGTCGCATACTGGTGAGTCCAACGCCGGTTTGCCAGAACGACCCATGTGGCTGACCGAGACGATCTTGCCAGGATCAACTTTGCGACCGCGCTCAACCCGAACGGCAACGCAGCTTCGCCCGTCAGCCAGATCGTCAAGCGCAGCCTCAACCTGACCGACTGGCCCGCATACGGGGTCAATGGGACTGTCGACATGCTGCAGCTGGAAGCCGCCAACCTCACGGTCATCCAGGACGACTATCGCGAGGAAGCGATCTCGTACATCCTTTCGATCCCCGAGGCTCTCGGTCAGTAAGCGTGAAGCTAGGTCCGATCAGCCGAATCGTATTGGGATGGCGACGTGCCTTCCTGGAGATCGTCTATGAAGACACCAGGATATGTAAAAGTCTCGAAACATACTCTCATTCGATATCATATTCCATGTTCTTGATTGCTTGCCAACACGCCAATTCGTTGATCCCACGCAAAACGTACTCTTGCGATGTCGGACTTCATATCAGTCGCAGCGAGGTCGGTCTACCCGTCGGTGGATTTCCGGCGAGGGGTGTCGAGGCAGATCGCGGCGTTGGAAGACCGACCTTGTTGTACCTCGTATTCTGTCCCCATTGGAACCTCTTACCGAGCACGAGCTAGGACACAGACGTGCGAGATCGATGACGATGCCGACTTTTCCTCTTCTTTTCCGTCAGCCTGTGACGTGATAAGGTCGGTCCGATGCCGCCGGGTTCGCATTTGACGATTGACGGGTTTTTTTCCCCGACCAAGTCGAATTTTTTGGTCTTTGTTGTTGTTGTTGTCCGCTGAAAGGTGGCCTATCTAAGACGATCCACCCAGATATGAAACGAAAGGACCTCTGCCACGATCTGACAATTACTCCGGGGCATGCGTGTTGTGCATGACACCCCGGGCCGGTTCGAATGATCCACCGGGGTTGTTTCTTGTGTTTGGACACGACGAGATTGTTCGTTGCCGGCTATTCCCGAGCGTACGCGCGCGATAAAGAGGCTAGAGGAGGCAGAGTGCTAGAGTCGAAGCTAACAAGTTCCCCGATGATGAAAGGGCCAAGAGCACGGAAATCCGTATCCCATCTTGCCGCCATCGTCGTCAGCTTCGAGATCATAGTATATTTTACCTACGACCCGTCATCATCCTTGTCCATCGTTCGTCATCAGCATCCATATAGCCAGCCAAGTCGTCGAAACCCCGGTCATCCACTTCTACGTCGGACCCGCCGAATCGCAACTTTTATACCCTACGATCGAACGCGCTCGAGAGATATCGCCTCAGCTCTGTTCCGGTCTCTATCGACATCGAATCGATTCGACAGGACACCCCACGACAAACTTTTCGACTGGTGTTCTACTAACAATCTAGTCGTTACCCTCGGCCATACACTCAAGCCGGCAATCTCGATCACACTCGACTTGTAGCAAAAACTCGATCAATCGCCATCCGTCCACTTTGTTACGGACGAGATTAAGACCAGGAAACGATCCTTGACCGGAGAATAAACGTCAACCATCGTGCAGTGATGGACGTCGAAGACCTCATAGCATCGATGCATGTGGGTAGGGAGGGCTACGAGCTTAAAGCTTTGCAGGTCAGTATAGATCATCGAGCCGGGGTCGAAACGTCGATCAAGATACTCATTGTGGTGCTTTTTAATCGCGACTACAGGCTCATCTATCCAAGACGCTCAACTATAATCCCGAAACGACGACCTACCAACCCGTGCAAGGTGTGCACTACATCCCTCCACCACCCGTATCTTCTCTCAATTCGATGGCTTCCACATCGTACGGCACATCCTACCACCAATACCCAACACATCCCAACTTGGCAAGCAACCAGGGTCGAGCCGTGCGACCGCAATGCACGCCGGTGCATAGCTATCGAGGGTTTCAGCCTTCGAACGACATGACTGAGGAGAGGGGCCAGGAAGGACAGGCGATGGATACCGATATGGACGACGTCTCACAGACGGATCATGCACACGCCAGGATGAATAACAATGGGTTCACATACGATTTTCAACGTCGCCTCCCATCGCCGCCAAACGAACACGACGAGGGAGACTTCGCAGCGTTCTCATCCGATGCGTTCGCTCCTGTCTACGCAAGTGACATGGGGTCACAAAAATCCGACGAGGGAAAGTCGTCAGACGGATGGAGCGCTTTCAAAGCCAAACCGCGCGATCGCACGGACAACCCGGGAGTTGCGCATGATGATGCTTATCGAGGCTTTTCCACATCGCCCTCTTGGACGCTCAATGGGGCCGGAGAGCAGGGCATGAGGGATGGCCGATTCGGTCTGCCGACCCCGCCAGAAGAAGAGCCTGAGCTGAAGGGAAACTGGTCAGGCGGGAGGTTGCGGAATACCAGTGCTAGGGAGCACCGGAGGTTGCATGGAGACGCTCAGAGTCGACGAAAGTAATCAGGTCTGCGCTTGCTTCTGAGTCGCTCTTGTATAGCAGCTTTGCCGAATGATTTGGATTGTAGACACTTCGACCGTTGTATACTCTATCGAATACTCGACTGTGTTTCACGCTTAATAATCGGAGTTTGACAACATCGACAACTCTGCACGTCGTCCTCGTCATGAAACGGGTCGTTGATCTGACAGTCGAATGCCCATGGCAGGCAAGTATGGTGCGATAAGGATTGGCATTAGAGGTCATGAACGATATATACCCGGTTACATCAACAAAGATTTTGTGGCAGGATTATCGCGCTCAGGAATCTCAAACGCATCAAATCGTACCTGGCCCGCGTCGACTGATCAAGGACTCGCTTAAGCGGCCTCGGTGACCTGGAGCTGTATTAGACAAGGTGGCTCATTGATTAGGTACCCGATGATAGGTCATTGTGGGTCGCATCGAACTCACGAGGTCGGAGTCACCGGCGTCAACAATGCTCATAACACCGACTCGGTAGAGCTTTCCGGCAGCGGTTCCGAGCTCGACGTTGGAGCCCTGGTAGTGGTGCACGGAAGTCTTGGAGCTGTGTGGTAAAACCCAAATGATTTGCTATAAGCTGCCGCCCCACGATGCTTCCACAGTCTGTCAGAGACGACTTACAGCATGGCGTAGTACTCGATCTCAGACTTTCGCAAAGGGGGGCAGTTTTGCGAAATGAGGATCAACTTGGCTATTACCGCCAGACAAACCAGGGTCAGCATGGGGACCTTCTCAGCCATTGCTCCAGTCCCCCTTTATCCCGCATGCACATGCAGGTGACAAAGGCTCCGTAACGAAGGTCGATTGATTGCTAGAAATGACGCTCACCCTTTCCGTTACGGAGGTTCTTGAGAGCCTGCTTGTAACCGAGAGTGTACTGCAGTACGAAAGTCAAGTCAATTAAGCCATTCATAATAGCAGACGAATACGTGTCCTTGCAACCAACCTTTCCACTCTTGACGACGAGCTGCAACTTGGAGTTGATCGACTCGGAGGTCTTGGCAGCCTTGGACTTCTTGACGGGGGCCATTTTGTTGGATGAACTGGTTTCTTGTCTTGAGGTGTCGAGAAAGGAACGGCTGGATCGAATCGAGAGGGTAAAACCAAGCTCGATGCTCTGAAGTCAACGCAATGGTTGACCTACGGCTCAATGAAGTCGAACGACCGAGGTCGCGCGTGAGGGAAAATCGAAAGCACAAGATCTTGAAATGGGGTCGTCAGGAAAAAGCGCACATGAGGCGCGCGTCTCTAAACGTTTCTCACGCGTACAAAATATCTCTGAATGCCGTACTACAACAAAGCCGCAACTTAGAGCTTGGATTTGGGTTTCGTCGAAGCTAGCCAGCCAAACTCCAACCTGTTTCAGGTCAGCACACAAGGGCAATATGCGCGAAACGTCTGCAATATGACTCACTTCTTTTTGCTGCCACTATCCATCAGCACATTGATCAGAGTGACCCTACCTTCATTCTGCTTGTCGATCCCGTCTTGAACTGCCTTTTCTAGTTCGTCAATCGTTCGCACACAGTGACCCAGTCCGCCAAGGGAGATGCATAGCTGATCATAACGCAGTTCAGGGAGTAAGGCGGTCGGCGGTAGTTTCTCTACGGGAATGTCATTGTAGGCCTTGACGGGCAGTCCCTTATAAACCTGGTGAGAAGCGATATTAGCGAGACAGCATGAGGAGACATTTTCGAGGCACCAACTACGTACACCACCGTTGTTCATCACTACGATCAACATTCCCAACTTGTTGCGAACTGCAGTCTCGATTTCGAAGCCGGAGAAGCCAAAAGCCGAGTCCCCAACGACAGCCACTATGGGTCGGCGCTCGGGTCGCTTCTGCTCGTAAATCGCTGCGGCGATACAGTATCCCATACCAACTCCCATCGTTGCTTGAGTACCAGCATCAAGACGGGACCGAGGTAAGACCACATCAAACATGCTGCGAGCGATATCCATAGTGTTGGCGCCTTCCCCGATAAACACGTGATCCGCCGGTATGTTTTTGCGAATAATGTTGAAGGATTGGTGATAGGTGAGCGGAAGGGCGACTTGTCCAACGTTGCCTTTGGCGGGCCGAGGAAATACCATGGCTTTTTCGATCAATTTTTGCGAATTATCATGACAGGTCGAGAGGAGCTTTTTGTACCAGCTCGCCTGACTGTCAGACATCTTGGCGAAAGGATCGGTAACGCCGTGTTCCGAGCCTAGAGCATAGCAAAGCTGGTCGATTATGGCCGAAGCATCTCCCACAAGCGCAACTTCGGCGCTCTTGTTGTCATCAATCGATTCAGCGTTGATGTCCAATCTGATAAGCTTGACATCCTTGTTCCACTTGGGCGATTGGCCATAATGCAAGATCCAGTTGAGCCGCGCGCCTACTATGAGAACCACATCCGCTTCACGTAACGCCGTTGATCTTGCTGCCGAAATACACATAGGATGCTTGTCCGAGATCAAGCCCTTGCCCATGGGAGTAGGCAGAAACGGGATGGGCATCATCTCGAGCAGCCGCCTCAACGGATCTTCTGCACGGGCATACTGTGCACTGGACAGATAGACATATATGTGGTCAGATAAACGTCTCCGCCAGGTACAGGAGAGGACCGCTTACCCCTTTCCGATGACAAGCAGAGGGCGTTGAGCAGAGCGAAGGAGAGCAAGCGCATGAGCTACCTCTCGCTCAGGTGCTACGCTTTGTGAATGCTTGGCACGTGGAGCGACTCTCGGGCTTTCGTGCTGCTCTACCTTTCCTTGAATATGGTCCGCAGGCTAATTTCAATGGGATCAGATGAGCGTTCGATATATGGCTTGCCTAGTCTAAGTCTGCCAACTCACCAAGTCGACGTAAGTGGGTCCTGGTCTACCGGAGAAGGCTGTTCTATATGCCTTCTCCAGCGTACCCGGAAGTTGATGCAATGAGGGTGCCCTCGCAGCGAATCTGTACTGCGGAATTCAGGTGCTTGTCCCGAAAGAGTAACGGCCGACGGTGTACCCACTTTACGTGCGGCTTCAGGAGACCTACTTGATCCAACTCCTGAAATGCACCCATACCCTGCTGGTAGGATTCGCTCGATCCCGCCATCAGCATTAGCGGCCATGCGTTTGCTTCTGCGTGATGCGTGCCCGCCATAGCTGAAAGTCGGAATGCCTGAGATATCAGTATTACTCCATACATATCCACCCACAAATACACTTGCCGTGGATGACTCCAGGGCCTCCAACGACCAGGCAGACGCCTGGGCGTTTACTAAGGTAACCATAAGCCGCAGCCGCCTAGGTGACCGAGTCAGCGAATAGCTTGCGAACGAACTCAAAGTGGCTCGAAACGGCTTACATAGGCTGCACTCTGCTCGTTTCTGAAGCCTATAAAGCGTACTCCGCTGTTTATACACGCCTGCGCGACTTCGATCACCGGTATGCCCACGATACCGAAGACGACGTCCACCTCGAGGTCTTTTAGCGTTCGAGCGACCAACTGAGCACCGGTGATGTCCGACATGGAAGATCAAAGTTCTGAAGGGTGTGTGCGGATGAAATAGAGGCAGCTGATAGTTCAATGAGCGATTTGCGACCTCAATCGATGATCTGGTGATGCTCTGTTATGAGATACGAGCTGGCAGGAAGACCACTCGCAGCAATTGTGCAAGTCTAAAAGAGCTCGCAGTCACGACCTCGGCGTGCCCCGCAATCGATATCGATGCGAGTTACCGGTAGGTAACGGAAGCAAAGGTGAAGGATGACGAAAGAGCTTCCGATGAAAGGATCGCCTATCAAAAAAGCTTCCGGACGTGGTAAATATCGGAACGATCTCCTGCATGCAAAGTTACTGCTGCTTGACGATTTACGCATCTCCTCCTGCCTGCTCCGTCCTGTCACACAGAGCCAAGACGGGAGATTCTACGTCTCCACTTTCTCTCTTCTCTTCTCATTGTGCTCAGGCCTGAGGCCACAAGGGTCGTTCGACATGACAGACTTCGTGGAGCTATCCCGAAGAAAACCCAAGAAGCGACCCGGTGCGCGATATCGAGATCCAGCAACCCTCTCAGTGAACGAACGGCTCGATCGACTTTTGAAGACATTGGAGACCCGAAGATCTCAGCTCAGAGAATGGCCACTCTACGAAGCAACATGGCTGAGTGAGGACCAGATTAGAAGCCCTCCGCGCGTTTGCGCTTGACATTCCATTTGAACCTCAGAACAGCTTAGCGAAGCCTCCACAATCATGTCCTGCCAGGACCCCGAGAGAAGTCGGACCGATCCTTCTGCTATCAAACAGGAGGAATCCGATGAGCATCAAAAACCTCCTGGCGCTCCGCTCGACTCGGGGATGTACGAGTCTCCGCCCGTTTACGTGCTTTGTCTCGGCATCGGAAAGATTAGCGAATCTCGCGAAAGTCAATTTCAGTACCTACAGCTTCAGGATATAGCCAAGTTTTTCAAGGTGGGTTCACCGAGAACTGTATCTGCAGGAACATCCGACTGAGAGTTACTGCAAAAAGACGAGTGACGTTTGGGTTTATGACCCCATGCTAGATCCCGTGGACGTCTTATTACTCGAACAAAGCGGTTTCCATCTGGTCGAGAGAAATCAGGTGAATATTGTAGACGAGCATGAACAATAGCAGAGCTTATCTAACGGTGTGCCAAATTCTCATGTCCAATTCCGCAGCTGGGACGTCATCGACTACCCATCGATCGACCTGCGCTTGCTTACCTTCCGCATTGTCCCAGGGGTCTTTACGAGGCGTTCTTGCGTGAAAACTGGTCCGGATATCGGATCGGATGGCGAACTAAAGAGAATGACACAAACTCTAAGCAACACTCAGCGGGACAAATCGTAATGATTGCGAATGACTTCGGTGACTACAGTCTAAGGTGAGTAGGCAGGATATATCAGTTCATCGCTCAGCGCCCTGAGCGCAACCAACTCGTCTCCAACAGCCTGCCACTGGATCAACTGCGAGCAGAATCTCCATGCATCGCCACGATTGGTGAGAGCGTTGGGCCGTCAAACACCGCCAATAGCGCTGATTTGTTGACGGATATAGCTCCTTTGCTCATGAAATCGCCCCTGCCGCATCTCCCGACAAACCATGCCGCTTTTGCCGCGTTCTCTTCGCTCGCATGGCAACATGTGCCAGCGATTCAACAAAATCGAATAGAGGAATCGCCTCCTGTCAACGAAACAGACCACGCAGTAGATACGAAACCATCAGGGGAGATGTTGGCTTCCGAGATCGGTGAAGACCCGTCTTCATCGGCACACAAAATACAAGACTCGCCTACGGTATCCGTTGCAAAGCAACCGGTAATCTAGTCCCACATGTCAGGCAGAAAGTCGCCCTATTGAGCAAAGTTTTGGATCTGCAGTGACATGCACGGGGAATCTTGCTCCGAAGACTTGGTCGCGACATCAGAGCGGTGTCACAGGCGAAGCTCAGCCCGTGAAATCGTCTTGTCTTCGGTGGAGGAGGAAATCTTATGATCGGCGAGATGTGAAGCCGGTAAATATTTCACCGTCGACATAGATCAGCAATCTTGTATTGTCTCGCCCCGTAGTCGTCATAGTCATCTGCTACGCGTAGGTCACGAAACTGGTCCAGTCATGGTTCTCTCTTGTAGAGATCGCACTTGCATGCTGTAATATGAGGCTGTTCTCCGGGTTGAGTGTCCCTTGAGTACCTATTTTCATAGCAAAGCCGGGAGCGCTGAAGTATATTGCAAAGCGCGTGGTTTGGAGGCGCGCGTGGCGCAAGGACAATTCAACACGGGTATACCATAGCAAGCCTGTCCAGCTATTGATTGCTTTAGACGCCTTGATGCGCTCCTCTCGACAGATAAGTATATTGGAGTCTTAGAAGCAGGTGCCGGATATTGGACACCGAGTGACTCACAGCCCAAGTGACGGTTGCCTCAAACTTGTCTTGGCAGGGATAGCTGTGCGTGCCAGGGTGATATGGAGAGGACTAGGACGTACTTTTCGGGAATGAAAGGTACAAAAGGATGGTTCACCGTCAATGAAGTGACCTATCCTTTGCCAGGATAATCACATATTGAAGAGACGTGATATCCATACTTAATCATCAAGTGGTACTCAAGCATCTAAAATCTGATGCGCTATGCTATGAGGGAATTAGCTCGCCCAATACTGACAATGGTAGTGATGTGACGAGTGGCGGTCTCTCGCTTCTAGCGAGGCTGTCGTTTCCTTATAGCAAGATTGTCAAGGAAGGCGTCAAGGTCTTGATCAGAAGCTTGCTTCATGAGCGCAATCCATGCGATGTTGCTCTTGGCAATCATTTGAAGGGTAGATTCTGCAGGCAGCCTGTTCTTGCATACAGCGGGCCAACCATAACCAGTCCACTACGAACTGCTCCTCTCTCTTGTCCAACTGGACGTGCCGATTTTTGTATCTGGCAAGATGATTACAGAAGCAACCCGCAAAATTGCACTTCCACTTTCCATTTGCCTGCTTGCCCTGCTTGCTTGTCATCTTGATGCTGATCTCTCTCTTGTTTGCCACCAAAGTTTCTGTGAGATAAGAACTAAATTCACAAATGTTGGTTACTTGATGTAGCTAGGCAGCAGCAATGGTATAGTACACTCTTACTAAGCTGATTTTGTAAAGATGCAACTCTGATCACTCATTTGCAACCACTAATCACATGTTGCAATTCCTGTCACACTGAACTTTTGTAGGTTTAGACTAGTGCGTATGTTATGCTGGGCACCGTTATTACTATATAGATGTATACTCCTACCGTCATGTCTCTCCTGCTCACCTGTCCGGTAGCCCAGTCTGAGGCAGCGGCCTAGCGGGCTCACCACCGTGACAGACAGGCCAAGGATGTTTTTGGAAACACCGATTTTCACAAGTTGCAGCAGTTGACAAATAACATCGCTAAGGTTGTGGGTAAGAAGTCTCGCTCTGTGATCATTCTGTACGGGAAGGTGATGAAGAACATCATTCGGTCCACTCACAAACCTCTTGAACGAGCGTTTGGTCCCTTTCAGAAGGGTGAAACTCCTTGCAGGAACAGAGAGTTCCGTCACTTTGCTTTGATCAACCGGTAAGTGGTAGTGGTTAGAGAGCAAGTCCATCGCATTGATGTTTCTGATACACTATCGTCTCCCTCTTGACTCCCTCGTGCAGAGATGCCAAGTTCGTCACGTTATGCATGATGGAGAACAAGAGAGAGGTCATTGCAGAGGCCGGCAAAACTATCTGTGTCCTATACATGCAATTAGGTCGTGCGCGCTGTCCCTCTAGGCTGATGATAGCTACAGTCCTCTTCTCACATGTACTAGATAGCACCACCTTGTATGATTATCACCATCATCATCCCTGTGTGCTTTTTAGTGCCCTGCCTCCTTGGCGGCAGACGACCTTCAACAAGATCCTCTCGACCCTCATCTCATGCTTGAACGAAGTCATGCGTCTTGGGTCTCAACAAGCAAGAGCTGGAAGACTTGATCAAGCTTCTACGAGCCCGATGCCCACTGGCTATTGACAAATTCAATCTCAGGACTGACCCTTGCCTTTGCGTCACATTTCAAACACCCAAGATCCGACTTCTTTGCAAGGATTTGCTGCAAAAGGTGGACGTCAATGTGAGGTCATGACTCCCTTCCACCCCCCCTCTCAAAGACATAGACTGACTTTCCAACCCAACAGGTTGCCTTGCAAATGTGCTGCATAATCCTTGCTCTCTACTATACGGCTGCCCAGCCTGGGTCAATTGTCTATCACTAAGCTTCTCCAACCTGCTTCAAGATTGGAAATATCAAGGTCACCCGTGAATTGCACCCAATTGACTCTGATGTTGGGCCTAGCCATGAGCACCTTGTCTAACAGGTTGTGCGTGTCAAAGACTTCTCTGTCAACAGCTCAATCATTCTGCCCTGGTTTGGTTTCCACCTTGCTGAGGCCCCTTGTCCGATCGCTTTTTCCAGCTCTCTCTCCACCTCAGTATCTTCTGGTAAAATCCCATCGCTTTTGAGTCCATGTTGTTACTAGTAAATCACTCTTGATCTTGGGGTACAAATGCACAGGTCTCAAGGGGTTGTGAAGCCATGGAGGCTATTGTCGGGATAGTATATATAGGAGACCAGTCTGCCTTTTCCCATGTACTACTTTACTTTTATGCAAGCAACATTGATTCATCTTCACCATAAGACAAGAGGTACACTAAAGACACACCAATACCATTGCCTAAGTACATCAAATAACCGACCTTGATGGATCTAGTTCACAACAACAGATGTGTGACTGAAGTTGTAAATGTGTGAATAAGGGGTTGCAAGTCCACTAAGGGAACATGCTCATCAGAATAGCAAATATAGCAGACCATTTGGATATGATTTCCCTTTCCCTTCTCCTGCACTACTTTAATTTGATGAAAGCAAGCAGATACATGTTGTGATATCAGCCCGAACGCACAATCTGGCATCCCTTGCATAGAGCGAGTCGACGGGGCAAACATGCAGATGGCGTTGACTGGCCTGCACATAACAGTTCAGGTACCTGAACCCCTCTTCACCGCCACCTTAGCATTGGTCGTTTAAGCCCAATGACCCTGAGCTGGACATCAGCAAATCGGATGAGGAAGACAAACAAGGTCAAGGAGATACCCTTGCACCTGGCTACGTCCCTCTCTGCCGGAAATGTAGGGGTTCCAACATGTCCGGCTTCTGGATGGTCGAATTGCCTGGCTGGCCCTGCCCTCCTTGGATACACTGGCCCCGCCTTTCTTGGATACGGTGGCCCCGCCTTCCTTGGGTGGACTTGGCCTGCTCCTCCCGGGACCCCCACCCTCCTCCTCCTCCCAGCAAGCTAATGGTGTAGCTGTTCCTTCAATAGTGTTGATTAATACTCTGTCTCGTGTGAATGACTATGTATCTGTTGTGAAGTAACAATTAGATCCACCAAGGTTAGTTACTTGATGTACCTAGACAATAGTAATGGTGTGTTACTAGTTGTTACGGAGTCATCACGTGAGTCGACTACCGGCATGCAGGATGGTTCTACGGACATCAGCATACACCTAAGTCCGGCTCGGCAAGACGAACCCGATTCCCTCGGAGCAGATTCGGTCGCCCCTGCCATTTGCCTTCACCATTCACCAAAACAACAAAACCTTCCCGACGCATATCACAAACAGGTACAGGGACCTCAAGGTACACAACAACCTTACTCATAACCTCGACAACCTTACTCAACGTACCTAGAGACAAATGCAAACCCAAACTCGCCTCTTCAACCGAATCCGGTTGCTCTCAACAGGATTCGCCTGTTCGCCATCTTGCCCTTCCAGTTTTGTCATCTCGCGCCGTTCTATTGTTCTTGGGTCTTTTCAGTGTTCGCCAGCCTCGTCTCCTTACTCGTCTTCGTATAAATAGCTAGAGGAACTTGACTGAATTCGATAGAGGACGCTCTGTAATAGTAATAGGTCAAGTTCCGATATCACATTCAATACATGCCTATCTGACTTGTTACAACATCTTCAAGACGTGTTGCGGAGAGGTTACAAGCTCAAGGACGTCGCTAAGTATCTACGCTTCATCGTTTTACCTTAGAACAAGCCCGGTACCCCACACCTCGTGATCGCCTTCCTTATCCATATATCTCTGGATTCGTATCCCTTATCCGAACCCGCTTCATCTAAGCGAACTTGCAACAATATCCCGACTACCTATGATTTGACTTAAGCACCCTACGCCTTACGATTTAGGACCTATCGCCCATTAGCGTCTTCTGCCGTAACAGATTGCAAGACTCAGAGTTATCCAAGCAAATTCTATCACAGTTTAACAATTTAGAGGTGGCAACAACAGAACCTTTTGGAATCCATCAACCAAGGTATGAGATCAAATGAACATTCAACCTTCGAGAAGCGGGAAAAGATAAAAATAAGCAGTACCTTGTCAAATGATAAGGATATGAGGAGCATGGTGCTCCATGGGAAGCTGCGCTTCTTGAAGATGCCGCTTGCCTCTGTTCATTGAGTAGCTGTCATTGGGGAGTTTGGTATTGTTTTCAGAATCCACAGATCATCTTCTGTTGACAGACATAAGAATCATTCCTCTGTCCAAGTCCAGATTGGAATGGACTCAAACAGCAAACATTCTGGGGCCTACATAATCTATATCAAATCATGCAGTTCCTGAGATTTGAGAAGAAATGTTTCATGTATCGGAATTATCATTGAATCAAGGATGTTGTGCATGCTTGCTCACTTTTGTAAATGTGATCCCTAGTATGTTGTGAAGTAACAACTAGATCCACCAAGGTTGGTTACTTGATGTACCTAGGCAATAGTAATGGTGTGTTACTAGTGCTGATCTTGTCTTGTTGTGAAGATGAATCAATGTTGCTTGCATAAAAGTAAAGTAGTACATGAGAGGGGAAAGAGAAATCAGGACAAAATGGCCTGCTATATATACTTTTCTGGGAAGGGGCAAAAGGCTGCGGTCTTGCGGTCTTGCGGTCTTGCGGTCTTGCGGCCTTGCGGTCTTGCAGCCTTGCGGTCTTGCGGCCTTGCGGTCTTGCAGCCTTGCGGACTTGCGGTCTTGCGGCCTTGCGGCCTTGCGGTCTTGCGGTCTTGCGGTCTGGCGGTCTTGCGGTTTGCGGTTTGCGGTTGTCAATTGCAAATTGCCCTTTTTGCTTCCTGCTGTTTACTTTGTGGTTGAGATTGCTTCCATGTGCTGATGTCCAATCATCACATGCCTATTTCCAACATAGTAATTAGCTATATATCATCAGAACTACTACAAGTTATGGCTCACCTGTGATTCTAGTATTTAGCTAGAGAACACAGGTGTAAAGTAGTCTATGGCAGTATAAATGATAGAGAGGTGATTATCTGGACTAGGGGGGAGTAAGGGCGAGTGGTGGCAAGTCGCGTCGACATCTAGTCACGTGACAGTAAATAATTAGCATGCATCATCATCTCTCTCTCCCATGACTGCCCCTTTTATGTGCAAAAAAAACCAGTTCTACCTGTATCGACGACCTATCATGAAGTACAGGTTATATTGGCAACGGGAGGAGTACCAGGCAACTATCTTTTTGGGCAGGCAGGACCAAGTGGACCTCTAGAAAATCAAGATGGACTGTCAGGGATATACAGATAGATATGTACCGAGTACACTATGTGTAAGCCTGTACCATAGGAGAATGACGAGATGCAATCTCAACCTGTATGCACTATAGTATCGACCTGGTCTGCGCTTCAATTATGACCTAACCCTAAATCACTAAATAAATCTGTCTTGAGTTTCACTTATCAGTTGCAGGGATGACTTAGCGAGACCTACCTCGAACAAGAACTCTGATTGAGGTCATAGCATGAATGCTTGTTGTTGAAGGTGAATGTTGGACGTGAAAATCAAAATCTAGAGACCCGTTGTGGAAGATGTATTGGTATGCTTGATGGGAGGATGTTGTAAGCATTTGAAATAGGCACATGATGATCAGTCAGCACTGCATGAAGGCACTCTCAATCATAGACTAAACAATAGCAAGCAAACGTGCAATATACAATCCACACCTTAAACTTGCAACTTGCGATGGACATCTGTATCCAAGGCTTACACTAGGCTTATCTGGCCACAAGGGAAACGGTGACTTTCTATATGCGGCAGGAAGGGGTGCAACCAACTGCTTTTAAGGTTGAAGCAGATGTGGCAAATTGAGGTCGTGCGATTAGATGTAGCTCTGGTTCCTGCTTCCTGGACCTCGTTTCCGTAGGTTTGCAAGATCTGACATAGTCAGGACTGAGGTGGCGGTTCTCAAATACGTGGTGCCACGCTCTGCAACAAAAAACTTGGTCTTTTGATGTTGTTGGGTGACTCCCTGACCCGGTCACATGACTATCAGCAGATGCAAATTCTGTTGAGCAGCTGTTTTGCAGAACAATTGATGCCAAATACGACTACTCGTCCTATGCTTTATGACAACACCAGACATCTGGTACCCGCTAGTGTCCCCCATCTATCCGGCTTGAATTGTTTCTTGCTCCCTGTAACTTTATTTCATGACAATCAATCATGATTTGCATTATACCACTAAGCAGGCATACACACACCATCCCTGCCGTCCCTGTCTTGCCCATATGCTTTGCCATGACCATCCTTATGCTCTACCGTAATTATTCTTTGCTCCCTGCTTTGGTACCTCTGGTCAAAAGCTGCTTCAAAACTCAAAGGATAGCTGGGACCACATCAGCACTCACAGTGTCTCTGTAGCTGGTGCAAAGTTGTCCCTCAACTTGTTAACTAAACGCATATATAGCACCTCTTTGATAGATACTTGTGAGTTACCCTCATCTGGCGATTTAATTCATGCATCAAACAAAAGCTGCCCTGCCGCCAACATACCATATTCTCCTGCCGTTTCCCTCTGGCAGTCCTCTTCCTTGCCACCTGTGCAACTGACTGTCTCACTCGACCAATGGCGCAACTGGCATAGCTGCCAGATCTTTGTGGCTTGAGGCTCCCGTCTCTGCTCAAAATGCTTCTACCACACCTTGCACCATGCCATTTTGACTTTGGACTCAAGGTGCTGTTTCAGCCAATACCAGCTGTGCAATTGCTCGCTTGAATCAAGCAAGAGCTTCATACAGAAGACTGTACCGCCCAGCAACCTTGAACCATCCTCCCTCCTGTATTCTGATTACTGCAAATTATGCCTTGCTCAATGTGCTCCACCACATCAACTGGATGTGTTTCTTTGCATCAATGCGATGGTTATGTCTCATAACCTTACATTCCGTTCCTCAATCAGCGCCTTCCGAGGATCTGAGGACAGCACTTTGCTAATTTCCTGTGAATCTGAATGGACTACAAGCGGCTCATGAGAGGATGGGATCCCATATGCCGTTCTGGACCAGGTATGATGCGTGACAATACCAAGCAAGAAAAGGGAAAATCAAAGGACAAAGCAAGAAACAAGAGCACTGAAGGAGGATGAGGAGTAGCAGATCAGGGGTAGCTTAAAGGTGCAATTGTAATTACAACATGCAGCAGCCAGAATCACAAGTCCACAACTACAGTCATGCATCTGCATCTGCATCTGCACTTAAACTCAGACACATTTATGATACGTCTACAGACACACATTCACATCTAGAGACACATAACAGTATCTAAAGACACATGTTCTGATATGCACTATTTCATCAGATTGTACATATGCAAGGAGTCCCCAGAAGGAGGGATGGGCCATCCCTTTCTCTTCTGAGAGGACTCATATCCCTTATCACTAGATTCATTACCATTACCATTATCATTATCATTATCATTATCATTGCCATTACCTTTCATTTCATCCCTTTCACCCTTTCCCTTTCCACCTCCACCCTTTCAACATCAAAAAGGATTAGCTACACTTATTGCATGACAAGCAAATGACATCAAGGATCACCCAATAGGACAGTGTTTGAGACAACTAAAATGTATCCGGTTATAAATTCAGGTGTGAGATTTGCTCCTCACCCTTATGTGGGTTGGCTGCTGCATAGGTCATCTGTCAATGACAAAGGAGACATGAACAGCATGGGCAGTTTGTTGAGGTGCGGTTCCAATTACAAATCCTTAATCTGCAGAATGTACAATATACTTTTACTTTGTGTATTGCACATTGTACTTGGTTTAATCTACAGGATTCCCTGCAAGATGCATAGGTTTCAAGGGGCTAGCCGCAAAGGCTACCATTAAAATAGTATACATAGGAGGCCAGACTGGCCTCATTCCCCTTTCCCCGTCCATGTACTACTTTACTCTCTTGAAAGCAGCCAGAATGCTAGTCAATCACACAAGAAATAGTATTGATCAACATTATCAAGGCAACAGGTACATCATCAGCTTAGGAAGATATCACAACAGCCCAATCATAAATTAGTACTTGCACCAAACAATCAGCATGAGTCCTGCTCAAGCTTGGCTGCACTCCCCCTCCACCCTCACAATAGCAATGATGACCTAGAAGCCTATCCACCAAAAACGCAAAAGACCAGCACTGAGTTCGGGAGGGGAGTTTCCCAATAATAAAACCAAGTAAGGTGCAGATTCTTCTAGTAATGATGAGGAGAGGCTGAGCCGTTTAAGCATTACAAATATGCAGCATAAAGTACAGGTGTGTTGAACAAGCTCAGCAGCCATCAGTCAAAACCTCAACCAAGTTCTTTGCCTTGATAGCGGCTCTTTTGTGCTGTTGATTTGTTGATGGACGCTTCCACTGATATCACCTCTGGACCTTTCCTGCTTATAAGCAGATGAGTACTCAGATTGAGGGTCCTAAACCCTTCACCGCCCAAATCGACATGGACGATTGGGCCTTCTATCCCATATCACCTTCCACTGTGATTTGATTGGTAGTGAAGGCTGAACTATCCACATACCTGCCCATTAGCGTCACTGTTGAAGATTGGCATGCTATGACATCATTGATGATGCTCAAAGGTGCAATCTCAAGCACAAAGGGTCAACACGTGACCAGGATCACATGTTGTGACTGGAGTCACACTTATGTGACTGGAGTCACACTTATGCGACCAGAGACACACATATGCGACTGGAGTCGCATATTGGTGATGTCATTTGTGACTGGAGTCACCAATACGTGACTGGAGTCGCAATATGCGACCAGAGTCGCAATTATGTGACTGCTCTAGTTGCAAGTTCACTAGGGGACATGCTCATCAGAATAGCATATATAGCAGACCATTTGGGTCTGATTTCTCTTTCCCCTCTCATGTACTACTTTACTTTTATGCAAGCAACATTGATTCATCTTTACAACAAGACAAGATCAGCACTAGTAACACACCATTACTATTGCCTAGGTACATCAAGTAACCAACCTTGGTGGATCTAATTGTTACTTCACAACAGTCACCACCATGACTTTGCTGGCAAGACCACCTGAAATCTTCCAATCCACTCAGAGACATCCTTGCTAAAGTGTATATATCTACATGTTTGATTCAGATATCATCAGCTAATCCTTGGAACTCTCCAAATCTCCTCAATGTGCTGCAGCCGCAACCAAGGCCAATCACAGGCACACACATGCAGTCAGTTGCTGTCTGCTAGCAAGCCACGCCTCGGCATCAGCAAGCGGCATTCCAAAGCAATCACTGGTGGTTGAGCATCTTGGACTATCTGTTTTGGCTCAAGCAATGAGGATGCAAGAGCAAAGGGGAAACGGGCTAGAGGGGAAGAGAAAGAGGAAGGGGAAAGCGAAGGAATGAAAGGATAAGATTGGGGACGGGAGCAAGAGCAAGACCAAAACAAGACTGCCAAACAAAAGGGATGCAACAAGCAAAAGCGAATAGTTGCAAAACAGACAACTGTGAAGCAGAATCTTCCAGCTGAATGATATGCAGGGTATGCAACATTATTTTGGGTCAAACAGGCAAAGGTTGAGCAGGCAGGGGTTGGGCGGATAAGATCATGACAAGTTGAATGCCATGATTATTGACTGCAACTCAGATGTAACAGTCATTGATAGCCCCTAGATGTGTGACATCACAAGGCCTTGCCATCTTACAATTAGGCAGTCGGTTTTTTGCAAAGGTTAAGATGTCCCAAGCTCACAAGAACCCACTCTGTAACTGGACTGGATGTTATCAATTATCAAGCAATATTTCACTCCCATATATGTCATCATCAGTCTCCCAAGAATTTATGTGGTCGGATGCATGGACATCTGTGCGTCAACAGATCAACCCCATTATCCCCAAGACCGTTTCATTGAATTGCCAGGTGAGGGTGTTTATCACTTTGTTGGCTTGCACAAGCAGGGGTAATGGCGGTTGTTGAAAAGACATGTTATCACATGACTTCAGGATGAGAGTTGTGTGTCTGGCCTGTTGAACTTGATCCTTGTCCTTACAAATGTCTGCTTGTGTTTGCTCTCAAACATGACTCCTGTTGTGATATCAGCCTAAGCTGATGGTGACGCTGTTCCCTTGATGGTGTTGATAAATGCTGTCTCTTGTGTGAATGACTTTGTATCTGATTGCTTGCTTGCATAAAAGTCAAGTAATACATGAGAGGGGAAAGAGAAATCAGACCCAAATGGCCTGCTATATATACTTTTCTGGAAAGGGGCAAATGGTGGCAAAAGTGGTGGCAAAGGGGTTGAGTCATAACTTTTCCAATGGCTGGTTGTGAACTGTCTCTCAGATTTGCCACCCAATGGCAAAAGTCCCTCAGGTTTGCCAACCAATGGCATTGATGCCTCAGTTGCACACTCATTCCACCTACCATGTTTCATGCTTTTGCTTCCACTTTGCATCCACTTGGCATCCTGTTTGAATCCACTTTGCTTCCACTTTGCTTCCTGCTTTGTGATTGATATTGCTTCCACAAGTTGATGACTATTCATCACATGCTGATTTGCAATAACTCTCGACGCACTGTAATTGGCGGTTCAAGTAACCCTGCTTTCATAAAGCTGATAGCAGAGCTCTTGAGCCCCAAGCGCTTGGGACAGATCATGTATCAGGTCATACATCCAGCAATCTTTGAGCGGAGGCGGACAATTGTGAATGATTGGCGTTTCGAGCGGTAACATATCGCAGAGACACAGTGACAAATGGGGCAACAAATGGAGCAACAAATTGGGTGACATATTGGGAAAAAGAGCTCCTAATTGTAGTCAAAGGTGTTTGGCAGTGTAGGTATCCACGGCCCTTATGCATCGGTCCGGGAGTATACTCCCCTTGCAATGGAGGCGGGTTATTGGTGACGACATGGACCTTGGCCAAAGCCTTCCTGTGGTGACATTAGATCTTGGGTGCAATATCAGGCAGGACACTACACAAGACCAAGTGCAACTCCTTCAGTGGAAGCGCAGAATTGGCTTCTAGTTGAGATCATGCAAGCAAGTTGAAGAGTTTGTTGCCTAGCTGCTTGAGTAGAGAACAGACCATTCAATCCAGTAAAGCAAAACCGGAGCGGGAGGTCTCTGCCTTATACCCGTCTAATAACTTTTCTTCCTCTCCATAGCCTCAACATATCCCTTGGGTTTCGCAACATCGACAGTGTTATGCAATGAGCCCAAGGCATCTTTCCCAGAGTTGTCGTTGTTGTGACACCTTTTTGACCTTCTTCGCATTGGTAGGCTTGACCTCTAGCTCCTCAACCTCCAATGCGTAGTCCTCCAGGAGCCCATCTTTGTCATCCTTGTCTTCTTCATTGTCCAATAAATATTCACTTTAGAGCATGATTGATTGTGCTAACTGACAAAAGCGAACCATGGCAGATGGCAGAAGTGTGAGTTGACTCACTTGTCCTCTACTACGGCCACTACAAGCCTCAAATGTGAGCTCTCGCCTTTGGTACTTGAGCCCTTAACAGGGCCCTCATCATCCAGCATCAAGTCGAGTGAGGCAGGCGCGGACAGCAGTGTTTGCTAGCTTCGGCTTTTGCGCTGGACAGACCCTCTGCTAGACGTGTTTGACAATGACGTAACAGAGGACAGACAGCCTTCCAAGGTTCTCTTACGTCTGGCTGGGACAATCTCCGCGTTGCGAGACTTCTTGCGCTTGGTGGGCGGGGGCTGCTGTTAGAGATTGTAGGGCTGAACATTGTACGGTGGGATCACATTCTCTTCACCATCGGCACCTGATTGGGACAGGGGGATGGGGTGGGGGGGGGGGGGGGGGGTAAGTAAGCTTTTAGTGCCGCCACGGCATGCAAAGTTATCTTACAGTTCAAGAGAAGCAACCACCTGATTTGACTGGAGGGACGAGCTGAGGGCTGAGCAGCGAGCAGGGCCAGATTCTCCTTTCCGGCAGCTATACAAAGGTTGAATTGGTACAATCGAATCGCCAGAGTGCCATGTGGAAAGGTAAGCTTACCATGATTTGTGAGCTGGACAGGGGTGAAGGTAGAGCCTAGCGGAGCATTACAGTAACGAATCTGCAACCCGTGTAAAGGTGCAACTGCAATCACAACTTGTGACCAGAAACACAAGTTTGCGGCCACAGTCACGCATCCGCGTCTGCAGACACATTTGTGCGACCAGAGACGCATCATTGCGACTACAGACACACATTTGCGTCTACAGTCACACATTTGCGTCTACAGTCACGCATTTGCGATTGCAGTCACATGTTCTAGTACATGCTATTTCCTCAGATTGTACATAGATATAGAAGTCCCCAGAAGGAGGAATGGGTCATCCCTTTTCTCTTTCATGAGGACTTAGACCGCTTATCACTAGAATCATTCCCATTACCTTTACCTTTCACTTCATCCCTTTCACCCTTTCCTTTTCCACCTTCACCTCTTCAACATCAACAAGGACTAGCTACCCTTGCTGCATAACAAGCAAAGGTTATCAAGAATTACCAAATAGGACAGTGTTGTTACGGACCGACCCAACTCGGCCTGCACACAAGGTACAACCTACAAGGTACAACCTACAACGTACAAGCTACAACGTACAACCTACAACGTACAACCTACAACGTACAACCTACAACGTACAACCTACAACGTACAACCTACAACGTACAACCTACAACGTACAACCTACAACGTATCGATTACAACGTACAGCCTACAATGTACCAAGTACATCGCCCAAGTACAATGTACTCCTCTCCACCTCCCGCCTACCAGCGCCACTACCTGGCTACACTGTACACAACACAATGGGTCACTCACATTGTCCCCGACACAATGTACAGCACACATTGTGCTGTCCCTTCCCTTCCTACCCTTCAGTCCACAACGGACACCACACAATGTGAACTCACAATGTAATTACACATTGTGATACTAGGTCTACGTTCTCCATCTCAACTAGTATATATAGCTGGCCAGTTCAGCCTGTTTGTACTACTCCCCTTTCATGTTCTCTCTTCTTTCCCAATAAGAATTATCATATGTTACATCCCTAACATACTCGCCACCCAACCACCTCTCACTACTCAACACTGAAGCTCTCATCAAGCCCTTCACGGTCAGCAAGCAGATTGTGCACCAAGCACTTCCCGTCGAGTATCTCTGCCTTAGCACAATTACCACTGACGCTTTCCACCTAGGCTAGCCTTTCGCTACCACTAGGCCCGACCGTAACAAGTGTTGAGACAACTGCGACGTATCCGGTTATAAATTCAGTTGTGAGATTCGCTCCTCTCCCACATAAGAGTCGGCTTACTTCACACTCTGGGCTTGGTGAAGGGTAGTGCTATACCACTCAGCAAACCCCATGGTATGACAGACTCGATCTCAGGATTGGTCTTTGGTGGCATGGTATCAGCGTACCAGTGTGAAGCTTAAAGATTGATGTCCATGCAGACTTGACAAGACTAAACAACTCGGTTTAGGGTGAGGAGATGAGCAGCGAAATTATATGGGCGTGAGGGTTTTGTTTTTGCCATCTACGCTTGCCGTAGTCCTCACTGCGCTTTTGGAAGGTATGAGGTGGCAAGCAGACGCGTGAGAAAGCCTTCAGCAGTCGAATCTCATTGCGCAGTGCAACACAACGCCCCTTGGTTGCTCGCAATTGCTGAGCGGTAACAATAAGAGGTATCCGGTTGCTGTTGATCTGCAATCTTTGCATCTTTCATTCTGTAAAGCCTACAGCTTAGATCTTGAGGCCTTGAGATCCACACTTTGCGACTGCTATACCATTATACCCTTGCCTCTAGCACGTCATACCTGCCAATCATCCGTAATATCAGATGGCTCACTACAAGCACCTGTTCTGGATCGCTTCACAAACTGTACAGCATTTCTTTCTTGGTTCTCCCTTTGCTTCCTTCATCATTCTTCAGCGGAAATCCTACCATCATGTTACGGCGGAAGTCGCTGATCGAGATAGGTCCTAAGTCGTAAGGCGTAGGGTGCTTATAGGTAGATCGCAGGTAGTAGGGATATTGTTGCAAGTTCGCTTAGATGAAGCGGGTTCGGATAAGGGATACGAATCCAGAGATATATGGATAAGGAAGGCGATCACGAGGTGTGGGGTACCGGGCTTGTTCTAAGGTAAAACGATGAAGCGTAGATACTTAGCGACGTCCTTGAGCTTGTAACCTCTCCGCAACACGTCTTGAAGATGTTGTAACAAGTCAGATAGGCATGTATTGAATGTGATATCGGAACTTGACCTATTACTATTACAGAGCGTCCTCTATCGAATTCAGTCAAGTTCCTCTAGCTATTTATACGAAGACGAGTAAGGAGACGAGGCTGGCGAACACTGAAAAGACCCAAGAACAATAGAACGGCGCGAGATGACAAAACTGGAAGGGCAAGATGGCGAACAGGCGAATCCTGTTGAGAGCAACCGGATTCGGTTGAAGAGGCGAGTTTGGGTTTGCATTTGTCTCTAGGTACGTTGAGTAAGGTTGTCGAGGTTATGAGTAAGGTTGTTGTGTACCTTGAGGTCCCTGTACCTGTTTGTGATATGCGTCGGGAAGGTTTTGTTGTTTTGGTGAATGGTGAAGGCAAATGGCAGGGGCGACCGAATCTGCTCCGAGGGAATCGGGTTCGTCTTGCCGAGCCGGACTTAGGTGTATGCTGATGTCCGTAGAACCATCCTGCATGCCGGTAGTTGCTATAGAGATCACGTGACACGTCGGCCGCGCCGTACGCAACTCCCATATGCGACTCTCGCCGGGGGTACTTTTCGGTATTGTTGTTTTGATGTAGAACTAGTACCTCTGTAATAGCTCTACATCCGTTATTGCATGTAGATGTCTACCCATACCTTGCCTTGTTCCTGCGTTCCGTCAGTCTGTCCAGGGGGATCCCCGTCGGGGGTCGCTCCCGGGCCTTACAGTAGTCGACTCACATGATGATCCCGTAACACAGTCTGATGGTAGGGTGCACTGTTTTGTGGTCAGGTAGATCAGCAGTCTAGGTAGTTGGGCTAACTTTTGCCCAAACTTTGGAAGGGTCTAATCCACTTGCTACAAAATTTCTCTGACTCCAAGGTTTGCAGGAATGAAGGTCAGATGTAATTGGTTTTGTTTGGGGTACTAAATATTATGCTGGATCATTGTGTCTATGCCAGACAGAGACTGTTGCTTTTGCTGTACTGATGAGCTCTATCTCCTGACTTTCCTTAAGCTGCTCCTGAGCCATTTGTAGTGTAACCTTCTGCTGAATCGATAGACTTGTCTACCAAGTGCCATGGCTGAGTGTAGTGTTGGCGGGTCGTTCGCCCTGAACGCCTGAACGCGTGAAAACGAACGGCGCGAAAACGGGCCGTTTTGCTTCCGCCGTTCGAACGTGAACGGCGTTTTGCTTCCGCCGTTCTATTTTGCCGTTCACGTTCTCCATCTTATGATTTCCACGTTCGAACGTGAACGTTCGGCTAGAACGTTACCCTGACCTGCCACCTCGATTACTGAACTCTAGTACCTCTTAAACATGCATAGCTCTCCACCTGTACGTCTGTGGAGACGTTCCGTTTGACCATGACGTTCAGAACGACTTCAAACTGATCGTCGGCTAGCGATAACGCGTGAGAAACGTTTCCCTAGGACGGTTTGCATCCGCGTCGAGAAGCATGTCGACATGAACTTCGAACGCTAAACGACTTACTACACCTTCTCTAGTCGTTCTAGTATCGTTCTCTCTATCAAACGTAGACATCATAGCCACGATGAACACATAGACACGTTCTCTGCATGGCCGTTCCACCCGTTCGCCTCAAGTTCCCGAATCCGATGGCTCTAGAACGTTCTGCCGCGGTAGAAGGGTCAAACGCCCTCGCTTCCGGCTCGCAAGGCTCCCCCCGTTCCCCACCCTCTGGCCGTCTCTACCCTGAATGGAACAGCGTCGAGGGAACGCCAGGGTCGTCTAAGAGGAAGAGGCTCGCGGCCATCGAGTCCGATGACGACGACGACGATGAGTTGGGCGACGAGGATGAGGAGTTTTTTATTGGTACGTTCAAATGTTTCGAACGTTCTTGATCTTTGAACTTGTGAACTGACTTACATACGTATCCATGAATAGAAACTCCTACTAAGTCTAAGAATAAGGGTAAGGCCAAGGCCCTTACTTCTAATAAAAAAGTTAAGAAGACGGCGGTTTCGAGTCAGCGTAAGCCGTTCAACGATCAAACGTTTATATGCAGGTTCTTTGCTAACCGTTCTGAACGTCCCCCAGCCGAAACGCCTACTGTAAAGGTCCCTCCGGTTCCCGACAAAACGGCACCCGGAGAAAAACACCTCGAACACCTCGAGCTATGGTGTCAACGGTGGTACAACGATGGCGCGGCGAGCCAATATAATAGGGAGTACCTACGACCTCGTGCTGCCACTGTTGGGGAGGTGAAAGACGAAAATAAAGACGTCTCCGAGTTTTGGTGGGTTTGGGTCTGCCGGTAAGTAAACGTTCAAACGTTGAACGTTCTCAAACGTCTGAACGTCTGAACGTTGAACGTTTACTTCTCATCATGAACTTCTAGTCACTGCAAAACATGGAAACGGTTGAAGACGGCCAAGACTGCCGGTTCCGGTACCGGCCTGAACCACCATCCCGGGAGATGTGCCAGCAACCCGGCCAACAACAGGGACGGTCTGCACCAGACCACCCTCACGTTGGCGACTGAGCTGGGTCCGGAGGTTCGAGCCTTGCCGACTCGACACGCCATCGCCGTTTGGGTCGCCCGGAACAATCACCCGTTCAGTATCGTGGAGCAGGATGGGGTGAGTTCTTTTTTTTCGTGACGTTCACACGTTCAGAACGGCAAACATTTACTCGACACTGAACGTTTGAACGGCTTGCATATGTTCAGTTCAAGGACATGTTCACGCGTTCCTTCCCGGCGCTTCAAAAGGTTCTGCCGTCGCGACGTTTGGTCGCTCAAGACATCGACACCGTTTTCACGGTGAACGCGGAGAGGCTCAAGAGGGCCTTCGCTGCTTACGTCGGTGTCTTCCACATCGCTATCGACGGTTGGACCGATCGTCGAGGTAACAAGTTCGTTGGGATCTATGCCCATTGGACCCCCATGGACGATAACGGTACCTCCGTTTCCCCCTCGTCGTGTTTGATCGACTTCGTTCCGTGAGTCCGTTTTCTACCGGTGAACGCATGCATCACGCTGAAACGTTCGAACGTCTGAACGTCTGAACGTTTTTTTCAGGGCGAACGCGAGTCATACCGGCGCCTACCTTGCCAAGATAGTTGGCAAGTCTCTACAAGACTGGGAGATCGAGGACCGCGTTCTCTCCATCATCTGCGACAACGCGTCAAACAATGACGTTATGTTGCAGAACTTGGCGGGCAAGGGGTTCAAACGGTTGACCGAGGGTGGTCGGGTGAGATGTTTCGCCCACGTTTAGAACTTGGTCGTTGGGGTGAGCCGTTTGAACGTTCCGAACGTTTGAACGTCAAACGTGAGCTAACAGTTCTTGATGTTTGAACTTCTCAGGCCATCATCGAAGGTGCGACTGGTACCAAATGGTCGAGCGACGACGACGAGGTCGTTCATAAGTTCCTCCCCGGGGACGATCTCGACGAGTTCGAGACCGAACCTGAGCCGGAAGAGGAGGACTTCGCCGTCGACCAGCCGATCCTGGACGAGATCCGTTTGCCGCGAGTGCCGTTCACCCAGCAAACGGCCGTTCCGCTTGGAACGTCGACTCGTTCGGGAGCAGGTGCAGCGTCCCAGGTGACCGTGGAGGAGAAGAGTGCGGCCGCGACGAGGGAGAGTCAAGGCGTGATGAAGGGGGCCTTGGTGAAGGTGAGTTTGAACGTTCGAACGTTTGAACGTGGAACAACCTCTGAACTCCGAACGCGTTTTCTACTTACAGGTCCGAACATTGGCGAAACGGTTGAGATACCGTTCGTCTTACCGACAAATCTGGGGAGAATGTGTCGAAGCTCTGGTCCAACAGAAGAAGATCAGGGCCGGCGCTCACACCGTCCCCGTTGATATCGTCACCCGGTGGAACTCGACGTACGAGTGCATCAAGGCGTGCAACGAGAACGAGGTCGTTATGTGAGTTCAGAACGTTCAAAACGTTCAAAACGACTGAACGTTCTTGCGACTGAACGTTATCACTTGACACTCCATTACAGCAAGAGGTTCTTCCTCGAACTCGACGAGAAGATGTACCTCGCCGAGGACGTCATGACGGACGGTGACTTTGCCGCGTTGAGGGACCTGGAGCCGGTGTTGGCGGTGAGTAAACTCAAACCGTTCAAAACGTTCTGAACGTTTTGAAAGTTTGAACGTTCGAACGTTCAAACGGATCATAACTGAAACATCGTTCTCTCCATCCGTCAACTATCACACAGCTCTTGAACGCCGCGACCAAGAGGTTCTCGACCTCGACGGAGATGAAGATCGACAACACCTCGATCGCCGGTGTCATCCCCGTCATGGACGCCATCACGTCGAAGTTCGACGTTTCCCGTTCGACCTGTCGAACGTCCGCTGTTCAGTACGGCATCAAGCGAGGCCAAGAGCTGCTTGATAAGTACTACAGCAAGACGGACGATAGCGTTCTCTACCGGATTGCCCTGCGTGAGTTCGGAACGTTCTATGCCGTTCAGACGTTCTGACCCTTGAACTTTCGAAACGTGTTTAGTCCTCCACCCCGGCTACCGTGTTGCATACATGCAACGGATGAAGTGGGAACAGGAGTGGATCGACGAGGCGAAACGGTTGGGTCGGGAGATGTGGGAGGCGTTCTACCGCTTCGACGAGGAGAAGAGGGAGGACGTTGATGCGATGGAGGTTAGTCACGTTCAGACGTTGAACGGCTCACCGTTTCACTGATCGCGTTCAACGTTCAAACGTTCAGGTTGCCGATGAGCTCGACATGTTGTTGGCTGTCGACTCGCAGACCGTCAACGATCAGGCCGACGCTTTCGATGCCTACATCAACGCCCCCAAGATCGATATCGCCGGAGCCCCCTTCCACGGCCAGGCGTTCTTGTGGTGGGCTCATCAGCCAACGATGTGCGGGATGAAGCAGATGGCGATGGATGTTCTTGGAACGCCAGGTAAGCCGTTCGAACGTCTTGGAACGTTTGAACGTCCAAACGTCTGAACGTGTGCCTCTACAGCTACCTCGGTCGAAGTCGAACGGGCCTTCTCCAAGGCCGGTCTCATGATGTCGGTTCGTCGTACGCGACTCGACCCCAACACCTCTCGTGCGCAGATGTTGGTAGGGGACTGGAAGAAGAGAGGGCTCTTGTCGGAGAGGGGGTTCGTGAACGCCGTTCAGAAGGCGAACGCCAAGGCCCGTGAACGTGCCGTCGGGCAAACGTTCCCGAAGCCGAAGCCGACCGGAACTGCCGAGGTGATCGAGATCGACGACGACGTTCAGGCCACCCAACCTCAGTCATCGACTAGGGGACCGAACGATATGGACATTGACATTTCATAGATGTGTTTTAGACGTGTTTGAACTTGTATAATGACGTTTTGTATCTTGTACCGGCTGATTCAATAGACGTTCGTGTTGCGTTGGTTCGAGTTCAAACGTTCAAACGTTCTGCACGTCTCAGACGTTCAGGACCTACTGAACGGCCCTGCTCTGCTGCTGAACGCCGTTCACAGATTGGCCGTTCACGTTCACGTTCACGTTCTGCGACTTGAGGGATAAAAAAACGGCGTTCACGTGAACGCCGTTCACGTTTTGAACGGTCTGCCAACCCTAGCTGAGTGTCTGGCTGTTGACATGATATGATGCTATTGTGGATATCATTGCAAGTCACACCCAGGGTTTCAGACCCGAAGAGGGATCGTGAAAATTGTTGTATGCAAACTCAATTGTGGAGAGTTGCTCAACCCAATCCCAAAGCACCAAAGGGTGAAGCTGGGCTGTCAAAGTCTTCCAATTTGTTATAACCGCTTGCTTAATCCCTGTATAGTGTACTCATAGCAGTGCAATACAGATATCCATCATGAAAAAGTCTCACAACAACCCCACAGGGTATATCTGGGACACCCCCTATGCAACTTATCAGATGCAATACCTGTTGTACTACATCTGTACCTTTACCCTATGTTATGACCACCCATGGTGCAGATAGGTGACTACCAGACGGGTACTATGTCAGCAACTCTGGCAGAGCAGGTACTCATATGGTATAATAAGTGATGTTTAACTACTATAATCGCTCTTGTATTTCGTAGTTCATTTGCTATCACACTCATTTGTATATGTTATAGCCATCCGCGGTACAACTAAACATATTGCTAAACGGATGTTCTGCCAGTAACTCCATCGGAGTAGGTACTTATATGATATGCGATTACTCTTGTACTATGTGTCAGGTTGCCAGCAACCTATGAGTTCTCTGGGACTTGCGTAGGGTAGTAGGTAGGTAAATGAGTGTGATAGCAGATGAATTACATATTACAATAGTGATTGTGGTAGATAGACATTACCTATCATATCTTATAAGTACCTGCTCCACCGGAGTTGCTGGCGGAATACCTGTTTAGATGTGCGCTCTAGTCGTACCGCGGATGGCTATAACACTATGTAGTTCATCTGCTATCACACTGATGTATCCACCTACTACCCTAGGCAAGTCCCAGAGAGACCACAGGTTGCTGGCAACCTGTCACAGGGTGTAACCAAATGGCAGCACGCATTGTTGCAAGTCTAGGCTACCAGACTGGTTCGGTCGATACTTGGCAAATCCGCCTGAAGACAACAAAAGAAGAACACAACTTTGAGTAGATGACCTTCTATTGTTTGCTTGAATGAGCAACCGATGAGTGACAGCCTTATGTTCATGAACAAAAGAAGCAAGTGCAAAGTCTGACAAAATCGGCAAACATTAGCAGATTCGGTGGGGACAACGCAAGTACCGTAGTTAGCATATAATGGAGCGCGAATTGTAGAGGACTTGTGCGAGTCTGTTGTACTTTTATAAGATTCAAGCGCAGTTATCACATTTGACATATGCCTATACCCTAGCTCACACTACAGAGACATATTAGGAGAGGTTACAATATGACCGACAAAGTTGCAATCGTCAGTACAGTGTTGCAACTTCACCCCGAAATCAAGAAAGACCGTGAGACATCGTAGTCACGTGATCTGACTTCGCTTGCATCTAGGGACCTGTAACTCGCCATATAGTTGCGGCAGAAGTAAACATGCGGAAGCAACTCTTTAGATGATTTTCAAGGATGCCCGTAACACAACCTAATACACTACTACCATGCAGTCCGATGTGATACTATCTCAGGCTTGCTGGCTATCCCAATACCAAGCACAATGTCGATTGTGCCGCAACAGACAGCTGTCTCACATCTCCATGCCCAGCCTGAAAACATGTGTTTATTGCTCAACCAAGCAATAAAATTCTCTCATTGGCGCAATGCCCGAGCGGTCTAAGGGGAGTGATTAGAACTCGTTTCTTGACATCACTTATGCATTGCATGCGTTGGTTCAAATCCAGCTTGCGTCGGAAATAAAGTTTCTTTTTGCCATTTTTCTTGTTCTGGTAAACAGGTATCATCATGTTAAGACACAGTGGACGCTATGCTATACGCAGACATTCCTGTTTGAGATTTCAGAGGGGTACTTTGGGTGTGGTTGTTACGGTACAGAGCTAGTAACTTTGTGATCAATGGGTTCATATCCATCATGACCTAACAGACATCTACCTTTAACTTACTCAGTCCTGTTGCCGTTGGCGGGATGTCCAGACAGAATGCTTGCCTTGGGTCATAGCTGACCCTTGCATCAGTATGAGATCATGCGCAGCTGTCGCGGTTGGATGGCCTTGCGAAACCCTCGGCTTGGACCTTTATATATGCCTCAGCCATGCCATTTGATACAAGCGAAATCCATAGCACGATGTGTATATCTATCGGCTATTTTACAAAAACAACCCGATGTAAAACGATGTGTCAGATGAGAGAATGCGATCCTTTACGAGCTCAGGTGTCGCATGATCAGCTCATACCTATTGCGCGAACATGGACATCGCGATCAGCTATGGTCTTGGATCCATGCGACTTCGCGACAAACTCACGTAAGCATCGTGACCGCGCTGGCGGGAACTGTTCGAACCAAGTTGATGCTGATGCCCCGATAAAACCCTCTCCACCCGTCTTGTTTCGCAATGACCGACACGGTCTGCCATAGGCCTCGTGACGTCCGTTCCAATCCCGCCGAATGTTTACCATCGCCTTTCACACTGGAAGAAAGCTGGGTACCCGGACTGGGCCGTGTTGCGGTGCGCTGCGCGTCCTGATCGGCTCGCTCTCTGCGCTGGATTTGCAGACGGGTCCTGAGCACCTCATGAGGGTACGTGATGACCGACGCGACCATCTTGGAGAGTGCCGAGCAGACCAGAATCCTCTGCGAATTCAGGGGGCCTCCATCTTCTGGCGCTGTAAACATTAATGGTCGATAAGTTGACATGCTCTATCTGTCTGTTCTGCCGAGGAGACACTCAATGCGCTTACCTGCCCACGCCTTCATCTTTTCGTATAGGGGAAAGTGCACGGCGACGTGCGTTACACCGATCAAACTAGGAGCTAGCCCACGGTAAAAAGCTCTCCATCCTTCGGTTTTGTAGATCGATCTAAAGGCAATCCACGTATTCGTATATCGTTCGGTCACATCAGCCGATGTTGCTTGCGCCTGAGTGGAAAGTTTCCTCTGCGTCAGCCTTGTAAAGACACGTTCAGCAGCACGTGGCACTGACCATGAAACGGGTTCTGATAAGCCACAGTGGGTTTGTGACAATAGTACCCGTAGCTCCAGCCGTCATAGCCGCAATTATATGAACTCCCCAGTGGTCCGTCCCATCCGGAACTACGATCCGTATCGATTGAGATCAGTAAGGTCCATGTATTCCACAATCTCAACGGACTTGCCATCAGGTGTTAGCGAGTTTTTGATTTGGTCGTAGACGCTAAAGTATATACCCCAGGTCGGTAGATACCCAAGCACTGTCGGACCGAGTCCCCTGTACAGGCCTCGTACCCCAGCGCTCTTCCAGATCCTGCTGATAGTTTCCTTGACACCTTCATAGTCGGCTGCCCCCTTCTTGCTGACTTGAGCTTGTAAGCGGGTTTTCACTACGTCAAGGGGGCAAGTGACGATGCTGGACACGAGACCAGCTCCCGCTCCGGCGAGCATCGAATGATACGCTTGGGGGATAGTAGATGTGCGTGGAGGAACGCTCGCAGAAGTGCTCGAGGACTGCTTAGGATCGGGGTTCGAGTCCTGCCTTTGCGCCGCCAGACGTTCGCTTGAAGAACCTTCATTGTGCATATCATGCATCGTGGTGGCCCAAGTCGAGGTTGGTTTCTCGTCGCTCAACTTTTGCATTGTCTCTGCCCGAATATCCCAAAAGTCACCCTTTCGAGTGGACCCGACGTCGCTCGGGAGCGTGTGAGCTAGGGATATCGTTCCCTTGTTGATGATAAATGATCCGAGATTCGGATCGGGCGTTCTCGGTGTCCGGTCGTATGCATTTTCTCTTCGCAGGTTGATATCGCAGAGAAACGGGAGTCCGGAAGTGCTAGCCAGAGCGTTCAGCTGCACGAATAGTTGGTCCATTCAAAAGTGGCCGAGAGCAAGGCGCTCTCCTCTGTTACAGAACCCGGGCCATCAATCAGAACAGACGGATTGCAAGATCATTTTGGTGTTCCATTTTACCTGCAAGGCTGTGTGCTGTGGAGGAAGCCGAATCCACAGCGTGGATACACTGGAGGTCTCGAGGACCCGACGATGACTTGATCGTCAGACCGGCGTGTATCAGCCACCAAGTTAGGACTATGACCGGGCGAGCAGGCAATCTAGCTCTATGTTTTCCCAATGTACTGCAAACCACCTGATGGTTACTCTGATTTACGACGTTGTAAGCTAATGATATGAGAAAGGAGGTTCGGAATGTCATGTTGCATATGGGTAGCTGACTGGGTAACGTCGGACCCGTCCAAGCCGGCGCGTCATCCATCCATCTCCGAGGCCAAGGGTCACTGCGTATCACTAGTATCTGCGTTCACTACCTCCAACCCCATCTCGCAATCCTGACCTCTTGGAATCTAACATCCCTCATCAAGTTGTCCATCATGCCCGCCATCGAATTCGTAACAGAGTTGCCGGGTCATGCCGGGCCCGCTTGGGCTGTCTCCTGGAACCCTTGTCGACCGATTCTGGCATCTTGCTCTAGCGACAAGACGGTCCGCCTGTATGGATATAACGTCAAACAGTCTACCGACTCGGAGGGCGCCAATGACAGGTTCGAATTCCGGTTCCTCCAAGAGATCCCCACCGCTCACAAGCGTACGATTCGATCGATCGCATGGTCACCTAACGGCAAATCTCTGGCTACCGGTTCTTTCGATTCAACCGTAGGAATCTGGGAGGAAGTCGACGAATACGAGGGGGTGGAGGGCGTCGAGCGGTATCAGGATGATTCGGTCGAGAAAGAGTGGGAGTGTATTACGACCTTGGAAGGACACGAGAGCGAATGTAAAGGCGTGAGTTGGAGTTCGGATGGGACACTCTTAGCAAGCTGTTCCAGAGACAAAAGTGTCTGGATTTGGGAACGTGAGTTGCAACTTCAGTCACGCACCGACAGCTCGGCGACTGAGACATATCTCCAATAGTACAAGCGGACGGCGATTTCGAATGTATCTCGGTCATGATGGAGCACACCCAAGATGTCAAATCGATAGCTTGGCACCCTTCAGAAGAGGTAAGGTAGTCGAGACGTCTCGAGCGAATGTCGAGCTGATCCGAAATCTCCGCGTCTCATCCTAGATCTTGGCTTCAGCATCTTATGACGCTTCCATCTACCTGTTTGCCGATGACCCCGATTCGGACTGGTCGCCTTTTCAAAAGCTCAACCCGAGTCTGCCTGCTGCTCCCGCTTCGATATCGACGGAAGGCTCTACCTCTCTCTCGGCTGCCACGGTCGAATCTACTCCAGACTTCGTGGTACCACCGTTGCAAGAGCCCGAGACTGTTTGGTCCCTAGCTTATAGTCCTTGCGGACGATATCTGGCGAGTGGCGGTGATAGTGGCGGGATTCGGATCTGGGAACGCAGGTCAGTCTGCCGACAATGAATGCATCTAGGCGTACCCGTGCTCATCCTCATGTGGCGTTCCGTAGTGGAAACGACATTGACTCCAGGTGGATTGAAAGAACACACGTCGAAGCTCATCGGGCTCGAGCTTGCTTTGCCTTGTCCTGGATAGCCGGCTCAGGTCCTGCTGACGGTGCGGATGAGATCAGTGTCGGCAGGCTTGTCAGTGTCGGCGGCGATGGCCGTATATGTCTCTGGAATGTGGTGAGTGGCGAACATGGTCACCTTTTGGGTCATAGCGTTTGACCTTTGCGGCGATGTATAGGCCAAGGGAGAAATGCAGCAGGATCAGACCTCGCAACCTATTCAAATGCAGCTCTTGACCCTTCGGGAACAGGCTCACACAATCTATGACATCAACTCCGTAGCGGTGCTTCAGCGAAACGTATCGCCCGGTGCCCGGCTGTTCGCCACAGCTGGCGATGATGGCGGCGTCAAGATATGGCGGATATCGGACATGTAAATTAGGCTAACCAATACACGACCAGAAACATAGAGATACTTTTATTCTGGCAATTAGAGTAGTTTACTGTTTGATACGGTACTGGGCTCGGCATTATCTAGGATGCGGACAGGTTGTTGTAAAACCCTAAGAGAAAGGTAGAGATGGAACCCTACGCTTCCTAAGTCTCCTATTTGTTTACCGGGTGCGCTCGAAGCGAATGGATTTCACCGTCGTTATCGAGCCTCTCGAAGTACGAAGCGCCGTCGCCTTCAGGGCAAGAAACATGACAAATGGACAATACCAGCAGACAGAGCGGAAAACCACCCGTCCCGTTACTCAAATTGTGGGTATCAAACATTTTCGACTTCGGTTCATATTACTGGGAATTATGACAAGGTGAACTTTTTCTTCACAGCGGGACTACGTAAATTATGATCAAAGTCCTTTATAACGAACGGAAATCCGCAAGGGAGACAGCCTTGGATGACTGCATGCAGACTTAAGCCGAGGTGAAGGTAGGAGCCGGGTTCGAAGCGTATGCATCGAAGGGGTTGGCAACAACGGCGGGGCCGGCGATGATGTTGTCGTCTGAATGGAATAAAGGGAGGATGTCAGCGCAGCACGAAGGTGAAAATTCGGAGGGTCAACGCACCTCCAGTAAGAGTGGCGTTCTTCTCGGTCGAAACGGTAATGTAGGCGATTCCCTGAGTCTCGGGGAGAGAGACGCTACCATCGGCACCAATCGGGTAGGTGGCAATGTTCAATCCCTGGTACAGGACGACGTATTGGTTCTGACCCGAAAGTCCCTCGAAGGCGACCTTTCCGTCCATGTAGGTCAAGGCGGGGAAAGCGGTGAAGGGGAGGGCACCGTTGCTAGCGGGGCACGAGCCGTTCTTGATGAACTGGGCGGCCACCGAGTAAACGGGGGAGAAGGCGACAGGGGTGTCGTAAGGTCCGGACCAAGGCTCGGCCTGGTTGACGGCCGACGAAACCCAAGCCTGATGACGGGCTTCGGTGGTCAAGATGGAACCGGCGACGGTCAAGTAGGTCTTGTCCATGATCGAGGCGGCGGCACCGACGTAGGCTAGTCGAACGATGATTTACAGTTTAGAAAGGCGAGACGAGTGAGAGCAACAGCAAGTCAGACTCACCAGAGACTCCGACGTTCTCGATGACCGCAGACAAAGCGGCAAAGCTCTTGGGGTCGGTGTAAGGGAAGGTGTACTCGCAGGCCTGGACGGCGGCATCACCCAAAGCGCCCGAGAGGACGGCGACGTGCGAAGCCTCGTGCTCGGCGATCTGAGAGAATCGACCTCGGACCCAAGCGGGGAAACCGGCCGACTCGAAGGCAGCAGCATCGAACTGGGCGAGAGCGTCTCGGTAGAAGGCGTTCTCGAGGTGCTCCAAGGTGACTACGAAAGTCGACAGGATCAGCAAGGGGCAGTGGGAGACTGAGACGCGTATCAGGAAGCCGACTCACGAGCATAGTTCAAGATGGTGGTGTCATCGATGGAAGAGGCGGTGGTGTTCTGCCTCTTGGTGACAGGAGAAGCAACAACGTTGGCGGCGCCAAAGGCAATGGCGAGAGCAGCAGCGGCAGAAGTTCGCATATTAGATGAAGTGTTGGTGATAGAGTGAGTTGGAGTGTTAGCTGATTCGGATGGTTTGTTGATTTATGGTAGAGAAGGGGAGGCGAAATGTTTGTACAACGGTTCAGAAAGGCCCAGCTCTATATACTCTACTCTGTCCCAGAACCATCCGACACCCCTGGACCAAAAAGGGTGGTACGATGCGGCCTCGATCGCACTGACAGCGCATGCAGAGAGCAATAGAGGGAGTGACGAGTTGTGATCAGGTGCCGGGGTTCGCTCTGGAAGGAGAGAGAGAGAGAGAGGTCGAATTGCGCGACGATAGATTGAATTTCTAAATCCGCCCGTCGCTTTCGTCTCGATCGGGATAAATAACCTCATCGAGAAGCGCATCACGGGACCAATCTGATGACGATCCTCCGGAGAATCGCTTGCGGAACCAATTCGGCACCGGGTGACGCGCGTGGGGAAGAAGGGAGTCCCCAGCGTCCCCAGCTTCACGCAGGAGAGGATCAAACGCCGGGCAAAGGTGGATCCTGCCCACGCCTGGCGTAGAAACCTTTTGTCAAGCGTCATCGTTGACTGACCCTAACAACCCTGCCTTCCTGCTTGCCCACTGGATCGCAACCGGGACGAGGATCCGGGAGAGGCGCAGGTCCACCCCACAACACTCTCGAGGTCTCGTCTCGCAACGCCGACGGTCGGTCCCTAAGTTTCACGTTGAACACGTCACAACTCTCGTATTGCCCCACGTCACAAGTCTCGTATTGTGTACCATGCATACCTCGTCAGACACCCTACTCGCCATGGCCACTTTCGGATGGCAAACGGTGCTTACCATGGCAAGACCAATCACAGGCCATACGTCCCACATCGTACGACGATCTGTTGCATGTGGCGTCTTGATTTAATTTATAACGGCGTAATTACAGGGTTCGCTGTGTGGACGCCACCAACGGGCGCGCTGCCGGAAATACCTCCTTGTGATTCGTCATACGGGGGACAGACCCCTCACCCCAGATTCGTCCTTCTCAACTCGTCCAGATCGGGTAGCCGAGAGACAGGATTGTTAAAGGTTGCAGGACGAGAGCAAGACGGATGGGGCATTGCCGTTTCATCTTGTGTGCGCACGAAGTGATGTCAAAGCTCAAAAGTCGAGGCGATGCTGTTTGCTAAGCTGATACATGGTGGTTACAATCCCGTGTGAACGGCGGCTTCTACTATACAATATTTATACGCGGTGCTGTACAGACGCCGGTGTACAACCTTGAAGACGTGCCGAGTCCGGTCATACAAAGGGTTCTCCTGAGGTGGCCGCTATTCAACCTTGTCTTGCGATTCGCGCTGGAATATGCCAGCTACGTGGTGTTACATACAGTATGTTTGCCTGTCAAGAGAGTGAATTCGTACGAGTCAAGAAAGATATTGTCCATCCACCAAGAAAAGAGTTTCAAGCCTTGATGCGTTTCCCTCGAGCTCGGATACTGACCCCGCTTCGGTTACTCGCGACGCTCTCGCTTCGGCGTCGACGACGGGGCCGAGCGGACGATCCTCCCTTTTGGGGACTCGCGCTCGTCCTGTCGAGCACGGGTAGCTTGGAGAGAGTCGAGCTAGTGATCGCATTGGAAGAAGCGACAGCAGCAGCGGTGGGTGGAACCGCACGAAGTTCCTTGTGAATGCTCTCGGCCAGGCCTGTCAGGCTGGGCATTGAGCTCGATGCGAATCCGCCTCGAGGGGACGACGAGTGGTGAGGGTGCACACCGTGCGTCTTGAACGGGTTATGCAGGGGCATCGTGATCGGAGCGAGAAAGGCGGATTGTCTTTTACGTGCCCAAACCGAGATGAACAGGATGCGCCGTTGACGTCTGGATGCGAAGACGGCGTCAGTGTGAAACTCTGGGTCTAGGCTTAGACCGATCATCTCCCGACTCACTTGGAGTAGAAAAAGTAGTTGACGCTCCACAACAGCCCTCCACTCCCTCGTCCGGCCCGACCGGCGTCCAACATGCTCTCCCTCCTTATCCTGTTCCTACTTTCCTTGAGAGCATCTTGCTTCAGTTTGCGCTCCTTCTCGGCCGTCGGGTCGTCCAGCTCCATCTCCATGATCATGCCCTCCTCGTCGTCCGAAGACGCAAACACATCGGCACTGTCGAACGTCTCATCTGGACCACCATTATCGTTGGTAGAAGTGTCCCGTCGATAACCAGAGGATGGGTCGTCAGCCTCGCCGAGTTCAACGTCTTCGTCGTCCGGGTCGTCGTCTTCCGCGTGCGGGTCGCAATCGGCGCTAGGGTTGTAGGAATAGGCGATGCAATCATCTAGGTCGATGACCTCGCGAAGGATCTTGAGCAAGGTAGGGTGGGCGATGTTGGAGAGGTCCATCATTTGCTGGGTGGTCCCTTCGGGAAGTGAAGATGGAGGTAGCGAAGACGAGAATTGGGGAGGAGTGAGGATGGCCGTCGGGTAAGATCCGTAAGACCGGCTGCGCGGGCGGAGCCGACCGAACGTGTAAGCGAAGCGCACGGTGGATTCTACGCCAACCTCCCGACTTCTCACTCACGGGCTACTCCCCGTCCTATCGACACCACCTCGAACGACTCCACTCAGAGCCGCGAGGATCCCGATGACTCCAGCAGGCTCCCTCTCGAATTCGTCGGCGCCGAGATGGGTAAAGTCGTAGTCCGGGTAAGCTTGATTGAGCGTCGACACGAGCAGGAAATGGATCTTGCGAGCTGACGAGGCATGGAGGTCGCCGAATGGCGAGGAGAAGAGAGGGAGCTTGTCTTCCGGGGAGATGGAGAGTCTGCAACGCGTTCGTTCATGTTGGGGATGTCATTAGCCTCTGCAATGATCCGATGATCGCGCCACGTCACGCGTGCATCAGACTCACTCATCGACCTCTCCGACCTCGCCCTTCCAGACCTCTTCGAGCTCTCGCCGAAGTTTACGCTCCTTCTTGACTTCCTTGCAAGTGTATGCTTCGAACCGGGTGTGAACCTTGCATTCGGGGCTCGAGTAGGACAGGGCCGAGGAGAGCAGCGCGAGCGAGGGGATGTCGAGGTACTTCATGCTGCGACGGGGTCGGCGGCGGGTTCTCCGTGATTGGTAATGTACGAGAGTTGTTCCTTTGTTATGATATCCGATGTCTCGTTAGGTTCAGTGGTGAGGATAGATCCTCGCCAGAGAGATACGGAGTGACTGGGCGGGGCGGGGATGTTGTTGTGTTGATTCGATGACGAACGTTGTCGATCAAAGCACGGTCGTGGACGATACGGCAGGTTCAAAGCGCGACAAGATGGAAGATGAGGTGGGAGATGATAAAGGGGAGTTGCGACGAGTAAGACCTGGATAGGCTACCCGTTACTGCTCCTCTTTGAGATGGGTGGGATAGGAGCGGGAGGAGGTCAAATAGGTCACGAGGACAGACAGATGTGTCGAAGTCGAAACCGGCGAGGGTCGTGTTATCAAAGCAGGGCAGCGGAATGTCGAACGGAAAGCGATAGAAAGGTTCCCCGTCACTGGCTTGCCCGGGGATTGATTGTATATGGTCGGTGGGTTGTTGGTTGACTAGTGTTGTCTACGATTGTTAATGTCGTTGTTGATTTCCTAGGACGATAGGACCAGAAGGTGAAAGGTCGATCAAGGTCGATGTCGAGATTGAACGTTAGTGCTGGGTGGATGGGTGATGTCGATAGAAGGGATGACCGAGTTACCCGATCGGGAATGTCCGCTCATCCCCTCGCTTCGCGCCCGCGCTGAGATAAGATTGCATGAAAAGCCCCAAAGGGGAAAGAATAGAAAGGGAGGGAGTGGGACCCCGTCGAATCGGAAGCAAAACTGTGACGCGAGTGATCTTCGAGTTTCAGATCGATTAGCGATTAGCGAGAGCGAGAGGAGGCGCAGGAGGGGAGAAGAGGAGAAGGACGTTGATGATCAAAGGATGGGTGAGTGGGTCGTTCGAATGAGTCAACACCCTCCCCTCTCCACTGGTGCTCGTCGAAACCCCTTTGGAAATAGTTTCTGTCCCTCAGGAACGAGTGATCGAGTGATGATGATGATTGACCGTGAATGTACGCGTGAGCTGTGCTAAACCGGGGGTCGTGCGAATGATGTGCGTCCCTAGCCTTCCCCCCGCGAACTCACCCTTGCGCCCTTGCTCGGGCTGTCGAGGTTACCTGCTCTGAGATCTAGGATATGCCTGATGCTGTGCTATATTCTGTGATTTTGTGATGACCTGCTCCTATATAACACATATGCCATCACCGCATTCGAATCGGCTAATCAATCTACGAATACCGCCCCTGCTTGCTACCTTGGCCGTATACATTCAAGCGTTACACTTGAAATCCAGCTCCGGGCCCCCGGCATACACCGTCGACCATGAATCTCTCTCAAGTCTACAATGTCACGGTGCCATGCACATCGCCAATGATAAAATGGTCCCCCGGTAAAGAACTTGGAGACGTTTGGAACTTGACTTATACAGGTGTGTAAGCCCTGAATCTGACACTTTAGCGAGATCACTTAGACAGTGTTCCGTTCACGCTGGACATGGAACGTACCAGAATCCGATTGGTCAGACTACGTCAACAACACCATGGGCCGCGGTAGACCTGGACACTCGTCAGCCTTGTCAGGCTCGTTTATGTCGTACAATTTCACCGGAACGAACGTCTGGATCTATGGCACTGCAGAAGGGTGGGGGACGAGTGGAGATTCTGGATACAATGTATCGTGCGACCCGGTCGGGACAGCGGAAGGCTACGAAACCTTCGGATCGCAAGATAATCTGCTGGGGGGATGCCGCGGAATGACAGATGGAAACCATTCGGTTCTTCTGTTCGTTCAAGGAGGAAAGAGTGTACAAATCTGGAGCGTCACCACCGAGGCCATTGCGGAAGGATCCGGGTTAGTACAAGTTCTTCACTATGCGTCTGGTCCGCAGGGGGGATCCGTGTGGCTAATCGCATATCAATCAGTGTAAGCTTGGACCTGGTCAACATCACGCAGAATGCGACTGCCGCGATGGGTAGTATCAACGATCCCTTCACCGTTACAATGGGAGATTGGGAGACTCGATCAACAATGTATGGCCCAGAAGGCAAGTACCACTACATGACCCCATCGTTGTCTGTCGGTTGAGCGGCTCATATGAGCACGTATAACCTTCTTACCACCCGCAGAAAATAGCCCTTCTCCTCTCGTCAGATACCCTAGGATTCAGACAACCTTTCCCGGATCCAGCGTAACCATTGCCATCCGCAACGAGTCGAGCGCATTTTATCTGTTCGGGACAGTCAACTACGATCACGCGAACTATAGCGTTCAAATTGACGGCGGCCCCGAATGGATCGGGAACGCTTTCTCTTCGTGGGGAGACTATGATCAGATTTTGTAAGCCGTTGATATGACGGAACTCGCGACGTGTTAAAGCTCAATGTTTGCGTTTGAATGAGTCCCACAGATTCTATTCACCCTTGGATCCGACCGTGCCGCATAGCATAGAAGTGACCAACCTCGGAAAGGATAATTCCACTTCATTCGAGGTATCCCGAATCGTAACCACATGGGTCAAATCTAAGTGAGTCGAAGCAGACTGTTCGCAACCTGAAATATCCCATTTGATCTCGAGATTTGTGTGGGATCAGTGCCTATATCGACTATTCAGGTCGCAATGGGCTCGCGCTTTCCGCCGGCCGGATCGCTGGGATCTCCGTAAGTACGCAGTCGAGCCATGCGGGTACAGCTCACTGACGAATCTGCCTGCACGGTCTTACAGATCGGCGGAATCCTTGGTCTGGCTCTCGCCGTGGCCCTCATGTACCTCCTGTTCAAGCGCAGGAAGAACAAGTAAGCTACCTATTCCTGACACTGCAATAAAAGGGGTTCATTCATGAGACCATTGATTAGCAGTGCCAAGAAGAAGGAACGGGCGGCGTGGGGACCGGTCGATTTGACCGACGAACAGCTCGCAGAGTTTCCAAAGCAAGGGAGATATACCGCCTTGTCACAGGTACAACCGTGTGAGTCAGGCATGAATCTATTCTGATGAGACACTGCTAGACCATGTGGAATCTCTTGTAGATCTCGTTCCCGCGGCTCTCGAACACGCGGCTCCTCAACAGAGCAGCAAGGGATCTAGACCGGGATCTCAGGCCGCTCAGGCCATTGAGGCGGCTGCAGATCCGGCTGCAGGTTACGACCCGACGGTTCTACATAATCCATTGATCAGAGCCGATGCCGACGTGATCAGCCCTGCACAAGGAGGAGCTGCAGTCTGCTCTGATCTCCCCGTCACGCAAGAGACGGATGCTGGGCCACTGCAGCCTGAAGTCATTCCTCCACGATACAACGAGAAGTGGGCGCGACGAAGAGCTTGACGGGCTTGGAGCGGGATTGGAGCAAGTGGACGCCCGTCTGGGCGAAGCGGTCAACAATAAGGGGTGTCAAAGTTGCAGCGTGGGATGTTTTCCGGCGATGTCTCAGATTATGTAATCATGCCGTAAACCTGGGGCCCCGCACCAAAAGTTCCCCGCGCAGACCCATACATACCTCATCAGATCAAACGCCAAATTTGGTCGTTGATCTATCAACCTATGTTCTTACGAAAGTCGTTTTAAGATACTCAACACCACCCAGGATAGTTTCAACGGTGCAGGAAGTTCCCAGGATGGAAGGGCAATCGGTTGAAGTGAGTTGATCGGCATTCCCATCATCGTAGCCCGCCATCTTTTGCAGAATCGTAAACTCCCTCTTCCGGCCATCTTTCTGAGCTAACTCGATCCGTCGATTCTTACCTATTCGACCTAAACCTTTAGGACCAGCCTTCTACTGCCTTCCAACAACCTATAAGGCTCAGGTTCAACACACCGTACATCGCCCAGGACCAATCTCAGGAAAATATGACCTCAAAGGACCCCGTTACTCACTCACCTCAGCGCCCACAACCTCGTACAACTCGACACTCCAGCACATCCTCTTCTCGAGCCTCCATGCCGCCTCCTCCCACCAGACTCAGTTCCTCTACCATGCCCGCTAGCACCACAGTACCACTCCAGCCTTCCCGCAAGAGGAAGGCCACCCAGATCGAACCTACATCCTCTCTTTCCTCGTCCGCTTTAGCCGGTCCCTCCTCGTCGAGTATCGACAACGATCCCTTCCTTAGCGACACATCTACCTCAAACCCCACAACCACCCGCAACTCTACTATCCGAAAGAAGACTACACAGGAGACGAAGCAGAGAGACTACACCCGCTGGGACCAGCTGCTCACTCCTGACGGCAAAACCAACGCTGAGACGATCCTCGTTCGATGGTTGTCGACAGGCGAGAACTATACGAAGTGGAAGTTTAACAAGGAAGCTGCGGGAGTCAAAATCGTCGAAGAGCTACAAAGGAATGGAATCGAATTTACTAAGTCGTTGGCCAACATCTCTGACAAGGTGAGTGGGCGTTACCTTTTCCATTTTCCGCCGGGACCGGCTAGCTGACAGCAGAGGGATGTTCTCCTTGATCGCTTTGATAGGTGCGCAACCTTGTAGATAACTGGCGTAAGGCCGACAAACAGATGAAGCAGACTGGGAACGGGTTGACGAATTCGGATATCGAGGATGACGAGTCGCTTGAGGAGGAAGTCAGGGTTGAGCGAAGTGCGAAAAGGCAGAAGAGAGCCACGCTTGAAGGTGAGACCCATCCTCTTGTGATCTGCTCGAGGCTAGAGAGCTTATACGTAGCGATACCCAGCTGTCTTTGCCAAGAAACACCCATACTACGAAGACCTGAAAGCTGTTCTCGGGAGCAGGACTGTCGACAGTCCTGTTACCCTCATCGACTCCACCAAGCCAGCAGCACGCGAATACCTTTCTCCCACTCCTCAATCTTCACCCACCAAACCTGCCACCGTCTCCGCACCTATCCGCCAGTCGAATTACGAAGCGTGGCAGGTCGACGATGCCAGCCATGACTTCGAGAATGATGCAGCCTATCGAAGGCTCATGGACGACGACGATTATCCGGAAGACGAGATCCCTCAGTTCGGAAACCTTCTACCCCAAACTCCTAGCCGCCAAACATCTAAGGCGGCACTCCAACCTTCCCCTAGCGACTCCCTCCAATCCAACACCACCACCGCTTCGTCAAAGAGAGGAAAAACCTCGGCGGCCAGTCGCCCACACTCTGTGACTCCCTCTCCTGCTGGACCCGACAAGCGCCGTGCAGACAAGCACAGCGAGCTGGCTCAAATTGCCGAAGTATGGGCGCAGAGTACCCAGCTCGAAGCAGAGGCACAGCAAAAGAATGCGGCGTTTGAGCAGGCGAAGTGGGAAGATCAGAAGAGGTTGGACGACAGGCGACTGCGATTGGAGGAGGAACGATGGGCTCAGCAGAAGGAAGAACAAGAGATGGAGCGCAATCAGAAGAAGCTAGCCCAAGAGGAACAGCTCTTGAATGCCCGTACTGCTGCGTTCAAGACGTTCAAGGACGCAGGTATGGATGTCGGCGCTGCTATGAAAGCGGCTGGTCTCGCGTATGTTACAGGCATGTCATCAGGGCACACAGAGGCTAATATTCATCTTCATTCAGGTAAGCAAAGGCGTATCTACGATCTTCGGCAAATTTCTTTATGAACGCTCTTCTGGAGTCCCCATCCTCTCGGCCATTATTCTCTTCATCTACGTATGCTACCCAGGCGTCCTGTATCTCACGCGCATCGGCTTCCCACTGCCGTTCCTCTGCCGCCATGTCATAGTCATCCCAGAAATCGTCCGTGCTGTTCTCGGTCAGATAGTTGTGGAGGATGACTACCGCCTGAATCCACCTCAACGCGTGCTGAAGATCGCTGTCATTACTGATCTGCGCTCGTAGGCACTTCAAGGACTGAAACCGAAGCTTCAACATCCCAAAGGCATGTTCGATCGTTACTCGTATGGAGGCGAGTTTCTGGTTGAAACGGTGCTGGTCGGGTGCGAGGTAAGCGTTCCCGCGTCCGCGTTTGAAAGGTGCAACCATATGTTCGCTGAGCGGGAAGGCTGCATCGCCCATAAGCCACTGTCCGGGAGAGAAGAACTCTTCTGCCCGAAAGTTGATCTGTGATTTCGCTGCCTCAGATAAGCTTACGCCTCGCCGCTCAAAGACAGATCGTGACTGACCTCTGCGAAGCTATAGATTCGGGAATCATTGGCCGCTCCCGGAAAGCCTAGGAGAATATAGCGGAAGCACTTGCGCCGGTCACAAGAGGCCATCAACTGGAGGGAGTAGAACCCCTTGTAGTTGTAATAATCGACGGCATCGTGAGTCCCTGGTTTGGCGTCTAGCGGTATCGAGCTTCCGTCTATGAAACCGACGCAATCGGGGAACGGAGAGACCCGCCCGACCTCGGCTGCAATCTTCCTCCTTTCACGCTCGTCTGGCCAGGTAATGAGATGCCCTAGCCGATCGATGATCGCACTGACAACCCTCTGTGTCCATAGTTCGACGGTACCCTCTGGATTATATAGTCAAATAGCAAATTCGAGTGGTCAGTTACGAGCTCAGGATATGTAGAAACCGCAACATCTTTCACCCTGGTCACTCACCGGCAATCGAGAAGAACGTCGCCATTTGGCCCAAAGAAACTCCATTCCCACTCATTCCAAACCTCCGGACGGCAACAAGCGTTTGGTATTCGATCGGTGCTTGCGGTACGTTCGAGTTGTTCGTGAAAATCGGATGGCCTCTGATGTGGTTGACGAGCTGATGGAAGCAGGCTTTGTTCATTCGGGCCTGTACACAAATAGTCCACGTCAACAAAGGTTTGTCTAGAGATTGGTTTCGGCTGATGGATCTAGCTTACCATCTGCTTAAACCATATGTCGTTCGTGCTTAAGTAGTGCTCGAACACCGGTGTCCTCCGCTGTCTTAACCCTCGACCGGGTACCCGTGGGAGGTAGTACCGGTGGGCATGCACCTGGGCAAGTTCGTGAACGACGGGTCCGATGAAGTTCAAAATGAGGCGATACCGTTGCTGACGGAATGCCAGCCGAGTCCGAAGGAAGGTGTTATCCTTATCCCTCCAGAGTTGATGTCGAGTGTGATTACGTTGGGTCTCAAAGATGGCAAGCAGGACCATCAGACGTTCCAACTGCCGCGTGAGTCGTATGATAGCCTCTTCCCGTGCAGACTTCTTGGGCATATTGAACGTATTCTGATCTCTAATTGAGTATGATACTGTCGCAGCGAAGGCAAGTTGATACAGGATAGGCCGTATAGATGGCGAAGTAGCGTCGAGTTGTGTTGTCTGCCTGATGCCCGAGGTTCTCAGAGTAATTCACGGACAGTAGCTCATTTCATGTCCGCATTTTCACTCAATTGCCCCCGATGCCGTATGTCTCACCCGGCAGCGCCATGTCTCAGCCACTTCCGGTAGTTACCACTCTAGATCCTCGTTGACATCCCAGAAATTCTCACGGGGTGTCAAAGTGAGGCATCTTTTTAAGGCAGATTCGCGCTCGCTTACGTACTTCCCAGAAAACATCCGAAAATCGACTTTGACACCCCTAAATGCAGATATGCCATGATGGGGCTCCTGTTTACGATACAAATGCAATAGAACTACTGATGTGTAATGTAGAGGTATATTGTTCTGCCTTACGACAAAACAGCGATAAGATGACTTGACAACACGTCGGCTTCCTCTGCCGCGACTGTTAATTGAGTAGCGCCCGGGTCAACAAACAAAATCCGCTTGCAAGCCGCGAAGGCAAAGACCGAGCGAAACTTACCCTTAAGGACCAGCTTGATAAAGTCTTTAGCAACATCCGGCTTCTCGCGCTGTAAACGTTCGAGACTTTCGATGCTCAGTCTCCAAAGCTGCGCATCTCGTTCCGCTACGGCAGTAGCGTTTCGATGTGTTCCGCTAAGCGCAGTCATCTCTCCCGCAACGGTTCCAGCCACCATTGTCTCTTGAAGCGGCTCCGTGTGGTCCTCGTAAGTATAGGTAGCTCTGAGGCAGCCAGACTCGATGAGATAGAGAGCATCCGCCATGTCGCCTTGGTTCCAGATCACGTCTCCAACGGCCACTGAGACGGGCGTAAAGTAGGGCATGACCTGGTAGAAGAAGTCATGAGGGTTGTCGCGGGTATGGTAACCGGCAAAGGTTTGCATGAGCAGTGGCAGAGGCTGTTTGAAAGCGATTTTGGCGGGACCTGCAGGCTTGTCCCTATCTTCAGCCGGAGTCACAGGGGTAGCTATTACGACGGTCCAATCTCTCAGCTGTATGCTCTGATAGGTTTATGTTCAGGAGCTTACATTGGAAAGGCCGAGTCGAACCGCCAGCTTCGGCCAGATGACTACGCCGTGGGCTATGCGAATATGAATCGCTGAGGGCGAAAGGTGGTTTTGAAACGGTAGGGAAGTCTGCGAGACGGCCGTTCATGAGCACTCTCAGCCGAGACAGCTTTGGAGCGAGAGATTACGCACCGATCTGCCGGGTAGGCTCCTTTTTGAAGGCAGTAGATTGGTAGAATGCCGTTCTACAGATCAAGTTTGGATTGTAAGTATTAGCAACGACCGACTTGTCATAACTCTGGAAGAATTGCGACCGGCTTACAAGTAAGCATTCTCGCACCATTCCAAAGCCGAATTCAAGCCATCGAAAACTTCGATTCGAGTACCTTCCTGGTCTGCCCAGAGGTCAACCGCTTGCAGCGCTTGTCCGACCAGTCCATCAGGGCTGGCGCCACATAGGATAAGCAAGACATCCTTCTGGCTTAAGAGTCGCTGGATCCGCACAAAGGCCTCTGCCGAAGAGTAGTCGAGACCCCCCACCAGGGCAAAGTCCACGACTACCGCAAAGGGTAAGCAGTCTTCTCGCAGCCTGATTTGTGTACAACTCACTGAGAAAGCGGATCGGATTGTGTTGCCATGCAGCGATATCTAGTAGCCTCCTAATCTCGTCTTCGACACGAGTGATGGTGCCAAAGAAGACTAGAACAAAGAGGAAGTCAAATTTTCGCCCTCACCAACCTTGTTCCTATGCGCACTTACGGAATCCCTGCAACTTCATGACACAGGTTTGACTCCCGACTTGTTGGATGAACTGCCTCTGAGCGTGCGGTCTGCGGACGGTAGACTTGGCGGTAGCCCCGCTGAATACAGCACGGATCGGACGACGTCGCGAATTCTGAATGACGAAGAAGAGAGACGCGAGTACGACGCCGAGCAAGAGTCCCAATACGAAGTCGAAGCTGCGCGTGGCGTTGGGGATCAGGTGAGATAAGCGGAATGTCCGCGAGCGGCATATCACTCAAAAAACTCACATTGTCATGCCGATAGCGATGGCCCAGACAGTGATATATTCCATGCGGTTGACCCGGTTCCTGGTGTCCCAAATCGCTTCGGTGACAAGATCGATACCGAGCACAAAGATCAGGGCTCCGACAACACAGACAGCTGGAAGCGCAGCCTCATCAGCATTGGCTCAGAAACATGCGATATTCGATCAAACCCACGCAAGTAGCCGATGACAGATGGTCCGACCGTCATAATAATGGTCGTAGCCCCCGCCAGCATCAAGCCTGAAAGTCGAGAGCCGCCTCCCACTCGGTAGACTAGAAAGCACAATCAGTCAGCTTTGTTGACCCAGACCTTCTAGCGAGATCGCTTACACAATACTGTGTTCACGTAACAAAGATAGTTCGGAACCTGTAGAGATGAGTGCGGGATTAGCCAGGCAGAGGCGAAGGCGCAAGGTAGAACTGACAGTGCCAAAGAAACCGGCTGCCATATTGGACACTCCGTGAGCTAGGAGTTCCCGGTCGAGTTTGACATGATCCTCCTTGAGCGAGACACCAAGTGCGGGAACCTGTTTCGATGAAGCAGATTAAACAATGACCCAAAGTTTCTGGAAGTGGCCGGGACTCACGTTGAGTGGTACATGCAGAATTCCGAAAAACACAAGCGCTAGCTGGGTGGGAATGCACGCCCAGAACGCTTTCCAGTTTGTTTGCTTGAAGTCTGCAGGTAGCTGGCGAGATTAGCCGTGCGAGGTGTCGATGCTATGATTTCGTCTGACGTACCGAACAAGGTATAGAAAGTGTACCATGGTCGGGACTGCTTCCCGACATCTAGCACCCAATTATTCTCTCGCAACGTGGCCATGTCCCAGCGACCGATGGCAACCACAATGTAGAACACGACCGGGATGATGAAGAAGTATGCGGGAAAAATGAGTTGATGATGAAAGCGATGGGTGATGATCCTCAAGATGATTGCCAGAGCGAGCGGAATTCCCCAGAGTGCGATGGCGTGAGGAGATTCGAAGAAGAACTTGAGCGTTGTCAAGTTGTATTCGAAACCTTCTTCTTTCAGTCCACGAGACACTTCGAGTCTTTGAGAGGACCGGTTTAGCGACCGGCGATTAGTGATTAAGAAGCGATAAGCTTACCCTGTTTCGAGCAAGAAGATACCCACGCCCCCGATACATCTGTAAAGCAGGAATGATTGGAAAAGGCTCAGCCACATGAACCAACTCACGGACCAGTCCGATTGCTTACCCGACCAGGATATGTCTAGGGAAATAGCCGATCAGAGCGCCCAACTTGAAAGCACCCAAAGCGAAAAAGACCAGACCTGTGAAGGAAAGGAAAATTTCAATCTAGTTGCACCAAGATGATATCGAGGAGATCGCTTACCTGTCAAGATGGCACTAAATGCAAATGACACCATGGTAGTGGCGATGATAGCACGGTCCTATGGATGACTGGTCAGCTAGCGATATTGATCCTGGTACTATCAGCTCTCACATTGTCTCCGATCTCAGTAGTGATGATATTTGTCAAGATGTGAAAGAAGGGCTATGGTAGCAAGGGTGTGAGCTGTCGAGCAAGGACGCTCAGCAGTATCTCCGAGGCTTACGACAGCTTCAATCATCATGGAACCGTTTCCTCCGCTACGAGACCTCACCCGTTAGTTTGCAAGCTCGCCCTTACCCAATAGTCAGTCGACAGCTGCTCACCGAAAGATACTGCCTCCCAAGGTGTAAGAAAGCTGACTAATGATACATCTGCAGGAGCAACGAGATATCAATATCGCAAGCCGAAGTGACTAGGAACGATATGGGACGGCTACTGACGACATGAAAAACATGGAAACCCCGATGGAACCGAAATCCGTGAATACCGGACTCGCTGGAAATCTGTGAGGCCATCAGCAAATGGGTCTAGCCGCAATGATCAGGACTAAGCCAACTCACGTGATCATACCATAACTGACGCCGTCCAGCACATTCAACATTAGACCCAGGACGACGGCAGGAATGTTGGACAGAGGTTCAAGCACGACCGCTCTACCGACATCCTTCCAGGTCGATTTTCGAACGACGTTGACAGCTTCCTTTGCGGACGAACTCATGGTCTTGACGAGTCCTCGAACTCGGTTTGGGCCGGGGGATGGTCCGTCTGCATCGTCAATGTTCTTGGTGTCGTCTGTGCTGGAATAAGTCGGCTGGGACTGAGAGTTCCCAATCTTGCCAGCGATAGAGTCGACGCTGTTGGTCGAACGAACGGGCGGCGATCTAGACCTGGATCCTGATCGTCCCGTCTCGCGAATGGTATGCAACAGCGGAGTCGACTCCGATGCCTTGCCGCTTCTCTCGACGACGTCTTCGTCCGACGTCGGGGTGATCGCCCTGCCCACGGGTCCACTCGGTCGGATGGTCTGGGTGGAAGACGACAGGCTAGCCAGCGTCCTATATGCTCCGGGACGAGGCGTCTCTTGGCCCAACGAAGACCCGGGGGAAATCTCTTCCTTGTCCTTGTGCCGTCGAGCGGCTGCGTCGGTGTCGAGTAGACCAATAAGTCCATTGGCGCCGCTAGCCTGTATGTCGGTGCTACCGCCTTTCTGCAGTGTGTTCCCGTCGTCTTTCGGTAAGATAGCCGACCCGGCGTGCTTGTTGGGTGAGCTCTCTGCGCTCTGGTTGGGAGAGGCACGCAAAGAGGCAGACCGGCTGAGCATCAGGCTGAGCGCGCTGGGTCCGCTCGTCGGAGATCCCAACCGACCGTCTGGACTCGCACCCGTGCCAAGGGTCTCTTTGGCATACATGTCTTTGCTCGGAGAGACCTGATCTTTGTTGTTGGCAGTATTGGTGAGGTCGAGACTAGAGTCAAGGATCCTCGACAGTCGTGTTCCACCAAACGGCCGTCCTATCGAATCCTCATGATCCTCCCGCCGCTGACTGGCAGGCTCTTCGAACCCTGAAGAACCGTACGATTGCGAGGCGAGCGAGGCGGCCAGATTGAGCGTCCGATCACGGATGGCGGCTGCGGTCAACGAGTTTTGACTAGGCGGGCTGGTCGCATCCTCGACCTCGCCTCCAGCTTCAAACGTCACGCTCGACTCGCCCTGTCGGTCGGCGTCGTCCTGTCCTAGGCCGTACCAACCCGTCCGCCGTTTCCCCTTGGAATTGCTCGTCATCCCGGTCAAGCTCTCTCTACGAGCTCGAGGTGCACCGATGCTCCTCGACAATGAACTGTGGTGATGGACGTTGGAACCGCTGATCCCGCTAGACCCGGGGGACGTCGGTCGATGAGGGTTCTGCGGGTCGTTCAGGTCCTTGATGGGTCCGGTATGTTGTATCGAGGTTCGTCGAGAGGGTGGACCACCCGTACTCGAGATGTGCGGCGAGGCCGTAGGATCGCGTGCGGGCATATTGAGATGTATTCAGGCTTGTGATTGTTCTTGTTTTCTTTTTCTCAGCCTCAGGCGATGGTGATCAAAATGATGATGACTGCGAGGACGTTGTGCGTTTCACTGCCTGCCTGGCTATCACGCGGGAGGATCTGGCTCGTGTCCAACGATCGACTGCCGACGTTTCAAGCTGCAAGCTCTCTTGTTCCTGCGTCTAGACTGCAAGAGTCTGATAGGTTTCGAGTCGAGTGTGGACTGTGAAAGATCGTGTAGAAGTTTCCCAGAGGAAAGGAAGTTGCCCTCGAGTTTATATGACGTCAAGAAGGAAGGAAAAGATGGGATGTGCTCGGAGGATTTGCGTTTGATCGTTACCAGGACATGGGTCGACAAGGGCAGAGCGAGTGACGGCGTTGTACCCTATCGTCTGATTACTATTATTGTTCTTGATTGTTGGCAGCTGTACGCTGTATATAATAGTCTTGGGGTCGCTATTCGATATCTCTCTCATTCCCAGCTCGGGGTAGCGTCTTAGCGAGAGATAACGCACTCGACAACCTCGGCCACAGAGAGCAGAGCAAGGATTTGCGAAGCCAATTGATACCGAAGGGTGATCACCCAACCCGATAACGTAATCGAGTGACGTAAATTCTCCGCCGGCCCCCCTTGTTCAAGTGCTCCCCCCTTTCATATGCCCCCCCTCCTGGCTCCCCTGCCATCGCCTCGCAATCGATTCGATTCAACGATCAGCAACTCGCTCTAGGCTCGCCTAGACGTACAGCTATCGACCTCGGCTTTCTATCACGGCCAGACAACCAGCAACTGATCGTGCTTGTAGTGTGCGCACCGACAGAGTTTGCTATCGGTCGTGGTCCCGGGCGGTCATATCATGGCGACGGAATCGCAGGAAGACAAGGTCAGTTCACCACCTAGAATTTCACTTACTCTGGACACCCAGATCTGACAAACAGTCTTTTGCCTATTTCTTTGCAGCTCGCACGTCAAGCTCGTCTATCGAAAGCTCTCTCGGCAGCCTACATATCTCATCAGATCACACAGCTCGAGGATAAAGTACAAGGCGGTGAAGCTGGAAAGCGGTCAGGATCCCCGTCGACCAACAGGCGAGGCGGTCGAGGTGGTCAGCGAGGGGGCCATCGCGATGGTCGGGGAGGCAGCGGAGGAGCAGGTAGAGGTCGCGACCGAGAACGAGGTCGTGGAGGGCAAGGGCGTGGAGGACCCGATAGGGACAGATGTCGAGAGCAACAATCTCGCCGGGTCGTCCTCGACACCTCGGCGCTTCTCTTCGCCCTCCCTCGAGTTCGCAACTTGATCAAGAATCAAGCCGAGGTGGTCGTCCCTCTCGAAGGTGATTCAAACTACTCCAGTCCGAGCCTCTCTGCCGGGTTGTAAAAGCTTACGTTGGGTACACCGGTACTCTTTTACGACGCAGCACTCAACACGCTCGACCTGCTCAAGAAATCCATGCATTCCCTTAGCGTCAAGGCTCGTCAGGCGACCCGGTTCATCGAGGACGCTCAGGAGAAGACTCGCGATCAAGCTCGGCAGGAGGGCAACCTGGACGATTTCGAACCTGGAGAGTTTAGGCAGGGGTTGTGGATTCAGGACGAGCTGGAGACGGACAATAACCTCGGCTGGGAACCTTTGGCCGAGATCAGGGCGGACCAAGACGACGGGGTCGGGATCGGAGACGATGCTCATGACCCGCAGGGGGAAGAAGCGATGCCAAACTTTGTCGCTTCGACGCTTCAATGTGCCTCGTACTTCCGACATGTGTGGGAGTTTCCGGAGGAAGCACCGATCTTGGTCATTTGCCCTGAAACGCAGAATACGATGGAGGACGGGGTGAAAGAGGAAGAAGCGTCGCACATCGTCAGATTCGGTGATAGGGCACGAGGACACGCCATGAAGCAATGGGCCGAGATCATGGGCATCGGATGTCTCGATTTTACGGTGGCTCCCGCGGTTCAAGGACGAGACCATAAAGGCGGGAATGGCCAAGGGAGGGAAAATGGGAGTCGAAATGATGGGAAAGCGAACGTGAAGCGCGACGGAACCGCGGTCGACGGGTCCGGACATGGGTCACAGTCGGGTCGTCCCGCGACCAGGATCCCTGCGTCTGCCGGCCAGTCCGCGCAGCCTATCAAGCTGCTCCGGCCCGAAGTCTCTGCGATCCGCCCTCAATCTCCAGTACCGCCTGCTTCGCCTCAGAAGCAATCCTCCTCGCCTGCGCGCGGCGGTGGACTCACAAAGGAAGCGTTGGAGCGTAGCCAGGCGATCCTCGAAGCGCAAGAGATGGAAGATGCTGCCAGACGTCGAGAGGCGAGCGAGATGCACCGCGTTCAGAACGAGCAAAGACGCGGTCTCGAGCGTTCGACACCCGGATTGATCGTTCGCCCTGCCGCTGCAGGAGGAGCACCCATTTCCCTGTTGACGCGTCCCAGGGCACAGGATGCTAGGGGATCTCCGGGTGGTCATGGTCGTGCGCCTGCCAAGATGGACAAGGATGGGATCAAGCTCCTCCGTCCGGATCCCAATCAGCCGGTCGCGGTCCTCCCTCGTCAACCCAGTCGAGGTTCCGCTAAGGCGAACGGGAAATCGGGCAATCCGCCTCAGGCAAAATCGGTTGCTCAGGCGAAAGAGAGAGCTCCTCCTTTTGTCCTGCTACAACGACCTAAATGAGGAAAGACAGTCGAGCAGTCCACCCCTCTTGGGATGGAGCTTGCGGAACTCTGATTATAGGCGACAAGTCGATAGTACCTGTCAACCAAATAGGTCTTGTAGGGCGCGCCAATCGTGGTCGCAAGAAGCAAGCAACCTGCTGGACTTGCCAGTCGACCATACAGGCGCTGGCTGGGACAGTTTTGGCAGTCTGGAAGAGGATTTTGGGTTGCTTGACAGTAGACACAGCCTACAGAAGGATACACCTAAGGGCTGTCTGAGGCGGAGGATCACTACAGCTTCACAAGTCAGGCCACCAACGCGGCCCCACTAAAGACGACGTAATTGCGCATCCGAGCGATAAGTAACAACAATCTGTAGTTATTCTTTCAGACACATGCCGTCGCATTGAGACAATAAAATATGCGTAGAATATGATGTACAAGTTTACCTGGTTCGGATGATTCCGGCGGCGATAAGCTATGGTAAGGGGAATGCTCGTCAGTAAGGCTATGGCTTTGGAAAATCAACAGTCTAGAACGGACCTTTTGAATCTTAGCTTTGATCATGGGGTTCTTCATGTGATCCTGCAGAGCCTTGGGGTCGCTCTGACTCTGTTGCAGAATCGATTGCATGACCGGGTCGTTCTGTAAGGTGAACAAGAGGCGATGGAAGATCAGTAACATACTCTGGGAACAGAAGGTCCGCAACCGGAACTGACCATAATCTTGGCGACCTCGGGATCTCGCATGGCTCGCTCCAGTGCTTGCTCATCGGTCTCGCCCTGACGTTGCTGGTATGTATCGTTGGCACACTTCATCATTTGTGCCTCGATCTCGCGAGTGTGCTTCTTCTCGCTGTCGGCTTCCGTGGCCTGCAACGTAGAGTAACATCAGCAAGAGGTCGTGCCAAATCTGCAAATGCTCTAAACTCACGGCTTGACAAGCCTCCATGGCCTTGGTGGGCTCCTTCATGCCGAGCAAAACGGTAGATTGACGAAGGTAGGCCTTGACGAATGAGGGGTCGATCTTAACGGCCTCCTCAGCATCCTTCAGGGCTTCCGGGAGGGCGGCCAACTTGTTGTAAGCGGCGGCTCGGTTGTTGTATCCACGCGGGTCAGAGGGCAGTCGCTTGATGGCTTCAGTGTAGGACTTGACGGCGTCGGCGAACTGGCCTGCCTTGAACTGCACGTTACCGGCCTCTCGGGCCTGCTCCGCCAATTCGGGGTTGATGTAAGCCTGCTTCTCGGCATCGGCCTTGGCCTTTTCCGCATTATGCAGTTTTGTCAAGGTTTCGGGAGTCCTGTGTTCGGTCAAAGCCTTTCCGTAGTTCTTGACGGCTAGCTCGAGGTTCCCTTGCTTCTCGTATGCCGATCCGATACGGGCCATGGCCTTGGCAATGACCTTGTAATCGGCTCGAAGGGATCGGCCTTCCTCGACGGCCTTGTTGCAAGCCTCGATACACTTTTCGTATTCTCCCTGCTCAAAGTAAACGGCCGCTAGGTTGGTCAAGAAGGTAATATCTGAAGGGGACTCATCCCACGCAGACTGGAACGCCTTGACGGCAGAGTCAAAGTCTCTCGACTTGTAAGCAGCGGTACCCTCCGCCTTGAGTTCGGCAGCCTTCTTCTTCTTCAAGTCGTCCTCGGTCGGCTCGACATCCATGGGCTCAGCAGCGGGTTCCGGTGCTTTAGGCTGGGGCTTAGAAGCTGCGGGCTTGCTAGCGGAAGGTTTTGATGGCTCAGGCTCGTCTTCCACGGTGGCCGATCTGCGGGGAGCCGAGCTCGAAGAGCTAGCGGATGCGGATGGTCGCGCATCGGGCATGTCGGTGTCCTCGTTCAGCTCCTTCTTGAGTCCCTCCGGCATCTCATTCGATCCTTCAGGGCGCTCAAAGGATTGCTATGACGGGTAGTACTCAGGATCAATCAAGGCCTCCTTAACTAGATACGTCAGCGTATCTGCTTACCATGTCGACGCCCATGGCGACTCCGAGAACGGCGAGCATCCTTTGATCCTGAAGGATGTTGGCCATGTCTGCGTTTGCTTTGCCACTCTGGAGGTCCCTGATCTTTTGAACAAAGGACGGGTCGGCCATGAACTTGCTGGTCCTGGGGTTGCTGGCGAGTTTTCCAATGAGGTTGGGGTCGGAAAACATGCTCGCCATGGGGTTCTCGCCGGCTCCGAAGGGGCTGTTCGAGTCCATTGCCTTTTTGACTGATTCGAGTCCCGACTTCAAAGCGGTGTTTGTGGGCTCCTTTTCAAGCCCCTGGTCGCTATAGACGTAGCAGTTGAGAATTAGCATGTGCAAGAGGTATCGATTGATATTGCGAGAGATTATAAACATACTAGGCGAAGACGGCGTCCTCGTATCGTCCGAGTCCGTGCAGTGCAGCTCCTTTCCTGGCGTAACCCTTGACGAACCCGTCGTTCAGCTCGATGCACTGCTCAGGCGGAACGGTTTGTGAGCTTCATGTCTAGAACCGTCGCACTGCTCTTCGAAAACAGAACTCACCTTCTCAGCATCCTCCAAAGCACCAGCAAAATCTTTCAGCGAGGCCTTGCTAGCAGATCGGTTCGAGTAGAGGACATGGTTGCTTCCATCAACCTCGATGGCCTGTTTGGATTCGTCGAGAATGATTCAGCACAAATCCATTATAGCAGGCACAACAGCTGAGAACAGCTGCCAACTCACCTGCGAATACAGGTCAGAGGCTTTGGCAAAGTCCTTGGCGGAGAAAGCAGCGTTGGCTTGGGCTTTAAGAGCAGCAGCCTGAGGAGAGGAGGTGTAGACATCAATAGGTGTTCTCCTCGGTCGACTAGCTCAGTGAGACTCACGTCGGCCATGTTGGTAGTAGTTATTATTGATTCTGGGTCGAGCGAGTTGCGTGAGAGACAGTCGTCGTTGGCTCGTGACTCGATCCTTGGATGATGTAGAATTGGTAGAAGTATGTATGTGCCTTCCTAATTCCCAACCCGCCTTCATCATCCATCCCGGACATTCTAGAGGTTTCGAGTGTGTGGAGGTCACTCCCCCCGGTCAGATTGGGTATCGCCGTAAGCTTTCCGTAATTTTGCCGTAAGCTTGCCGTAAGCGGATGTTCCCACTCCGTCCGGCCGACGACCTCGACCTTACAGACAACATTTCACTACTAATTCTACTAACTTGGCGTGCCAGTTTTCATCCAATTCCATCAGTCTCTTCTATCAAGGTATAATAGTATAACAGATAAACACCACTTCGCCACAATGTCTGGTCCTGCTTCTTCCGCCGCCGGCGCTCGGGTATCGAGCAAGTTTGCCTGTAGGTCGAGCCGTTTCCGCGATATGTGGATAAGAGCGCTGATCTTCTGCTTCAATCTACCTCGGAAATGCGATACAAACTGTCTTAATCCACTTGGACGTAATATACACCTAATCGGATGCCTTATGTCAACTTCGGTATTGGATAGCGTTCATGAACCACCCTGCCGGTAAGTCGGGCTCCGCTTCTCTCACCACCATCCCGACATTCTTAGCTAAAACGTCTTTGGATTTGCGGCTGTATAGGGCCCAAGTATGTTCCCGCCTCCGGATATCGTATTGAATTTAGAGAAGCAGCTATTGACGTTCACCTCCCGGGATGCTGCGTGAATCAGGACCATCTTCTTCTGGGCTCCTCTCGGTACGTCCGCCCGTTGTCTTACCTCCGTATATGCTTCTACCTGAACTGGCCCCCCATCCCATCTTTATTTCGCATACATACCTACAGCCAAATGGGCTCTGGTAGCCGCTGGTCTCAAAGACCTCTCTCGACCCGCCGACAAGCTCTCGGCACCCCAGAACTTGGCGTTGGCAGCTACCGGTTTCATCTGGGTCAGGTATTCGTTGGTCATCACGCCGGTCAACTATAGTTTGGCTGCTGTGAGTACCGAGTCTCGTATTGGGGTTTGATTCTGGTTGTGGGATGAGGAGGCTCTCGGTGGCGGGAGCGGGGATTGACTAGGGCTCCAGTTTGGCTTGGCCAGAACGCTGATCATGGGTTACTTTCCGGGTGGTCTTAGGTCAACTTCTTTGTCGGCGCTACCGGTGTTGGACAGCTCTACAGAATCTGGGAGTAAGTCCTTCAGGTCTTTCTTCTCTACACCTCTTCTGCTTCTACAGCAATGACAACGAGAAACTTCCGGAAATTTCCGAGTATACTGAATTTCATGGACTGAACTCTTGTGACCCGACTTGTTCTCCTTGTAGTTACCGAAGGACACACCCGATCGAGACCGCCGTCAAGGACAAGGTCGCTCCCGCCTAGATCTGAACCCAGACTCCGTTCAGGTTTCACGTCGCTCCCGTGTACGACGCCCGGTTCGTCGAGCGGGATACTGGTCGAGAACGTCTTTTTGTTTCGCTTGTCTCATATGTGCTTGTATCGATTCTATGAAATTATGCTACAGATATCCTCAACAATTCAGCTCGTATAGGCATGCCGCAGATGGCTGTGACAGCCTTTTTTTGCACTTCTCTAAAGCAGCTCAACACCTCCCGGCCTTCCCGATGTCCCCCATCGCTCTCATAGCTGACTTTTGATCAAGTCATAGTAAAGTGCTTGTTTCTCTACCAGATCATCATGTGTCCCTTGTTCCACCAGCTTCCCCTCTGCAATGACAAAGATATGATCGGCATTTCGAATCGATTGTAGCTTGTGTGCGACCACAACCACAGTGCTGCGGAATAAATGCTATTAGCAGTTGTCTTTCTGACATTTGACATGCAGCTTACCGGCCTTTAGACGCATTCTGCAGGGCTCGCTCAACTTCAGCTTCATTGGCGGCATCAAGAGACGATGTGGCCTCTAGCAACCGTGAGGTTGCAATAATAGTATGAGCAATGTGCCTTGCTGTTGATAAAAATGATTGCTCACCATCCAGCAAAAGAACACTTGGATTCCGTAGAAGTGCTCTTGCAATGCACAATCGCTGTGTGTGTTAATAGATCAGTTACAGCATATAAAGAGCAGGAACAACATATGAAGAGACAACCTTCTGAGAGACTTACTTGACGCTGTCCGCCAGACAGTCGAGTACCTTTCAAGCCAATGTCTGTTGCAAACCCATCTGGCAAACTCTGTATGAAGTCCAAAATACTACAGATTCAGACAATGCATCAGTCAAATAGGATGTGATAGTGACTATAGACGGTGCGAGCAGACTTACCAGGCCTGCCGGCAAACATGCTCAAGTTCAGCCTGCAGAACTTCTTCTGAATCTTTGGCGCCCAACTGCCAATCAATATAGTTTAGTGACCCAAACACACAATGCTGGGATAACAGTACCTACGCTGAGATTGAACCTTATATCACCTTCAAACAAAACAGAGTTTTGCGAGACAATAGCAAGATGTGATTGAAGTAATCCTAGAGGAATTGCCTGAGAATCAAGACCACCAAATGTCAGACACCCTTCAGTAGGATCATAGAAGCGCTGTAACAGTGCAAGTATTGCTGTAGGAAGATCGTTAGCATGATACTAGGAGGAGTGAAGAAAGACCAAGCCAACTCACTGCTCTTTCCACCTCCACTTGTCCCAGTAATTGCATTGACTTGGCCTCCTCGCAAGCGCAGATTGAGTCCATCAAGTGCAAGATGAGTTTTGCGGGTTGGATATTCCATTGATATAATCTCACTGAGCATAATGTTAGATTATAGTAGCACTACCATTCTCAATGGCCAACTTACTAGACAATATCACCGTGCATCGCTTCATGCACTGAAGCACTCTGCTTCTGTGAGAGGTCCTTCTGGGCATACTGAGGTTCTCTCTGAAGATAGCTCTTCAGAATTGTCCAGCCATGAAGAGCTCTGGTGACTGCATTCAAGTAGTGCAAAACTCTGTAGAGATGCATGCGGTCAGCTTTAGGTTGCAAGTTACTTGCTTGTCCAGCAGCAAACACGATATGGTTACTGACGGTGAAATCACAAAAATGACTCCAAATGCACCTTCATAGACTGCAAAGAGGGCAACTGGTGACTACAACTTGCCAATACATCAGCGGAGTGCATCAATCCTTGAAACTCATTGTCTCCACTCACAATATCACCTCTGACGTATAGACGTGCTCCCCACCTTCTCAAATTACAAATCATAAGCTGAAGTCTTGTGTCTTGTAATAGATGACTGACCAATGTAGCAAAGCTCCAACAGCAAAGGCAATACATTCTCCAACAGCTTGAGCTGCATGATTGGTATTCTGCCACATGCGCAGGTGTTTTGCATCTGATTTGCACATGCTGATAGCATGGACAGTTTCTCTCTCCTGGCCAAGTATTGCTATGGTTGCAATTGCATCTACCGCTTCATTAATGATTGTTGATGCGGCATCTTGGGAAGCTTGATGTAGCTTCTCTACATGTTGGAGTGCCCTGACTTGTAGCCAACCTGCTGCTCCTGCAATCAGAATAAAGGGGAACACCATGGCACCAAACTTGGCTGAAAGAACCATGCTCATTAGCAGAGTTCCAATTGTGGCTAGCGCCACCCCTCCAACCTGTGATGTAGTTTGTGGGTCAGTCTGACCATGATCAAAGTGCCAGCCCTGCTTCAATTTACTTACTCGAGTTAAGCTAATAGTTGAGGTTTCTGCAATACTAGTTGTATGTTTGGCTAGGCTAGCAGTAAGCATTCCTGCTGATAAGATTTCCTGGTCGTAGTATGAGATTTCTTGTTGAAGCAGTGATTCTACACTGGCAGAAATCAATTGCCTTTCCGCTCCCTTCTGTGCAACCCCAGCAAAACTCTCTTGTCCATATGTGACCCCAAACCACCAGAAAGCAAAGGCAGTCCAGACCGATGCACGAGCTCCTTTACTCAAAGAGTTGGGAGCGCCGCTGAGATTCGCATTTGCCTGTCCCACCTGCCATTGGAACACAACAGTGGTGCAAGCGTGCAGCAGAACAAGAAGTATCATCACCAAGAATGGGAATCTCCTGGCAGAGACATGGTGGAGTAGCCCTATCGAACTCTTGCTTGCAGTGTAAGGCCCGGGAGCGGCCCCCGATGGGGGTCCCCCTGGACAGGCTGACGGGACGCAGGAATGAGGCAAGGTATGGGTAGACATCTAGATGTAATAACGGATGTAGAGCTATTACAGAGGTACTAGTTCTACATCCAAACAACAACACCGAAAAGTACCCCCGACGGGAGTCGCATACGGGAGTCGCGTACGGCGTGTCCGACGCGTCACGTGACCGCTATAACAGGATCCCCCCCCTAGATGCGGTCTCCGAACGCATCAAGCGTCGGCGTACTCTTGTCGACCAGGCTGCGGTAGATGAGGGTAGCGCTTGTGAAACGCTGCGACGACCTTGTCGTCGTGATCGAATTCGGCGGGGCTAACCCACTCGTTCGATTCATCCCCGTACCCTTCGAATCGCACTAGGTACTGGGTCTTCTTCCCGGACCTCCCGGATCGCAACGCTTTCGAGTGTACGATCTCGGACACGACATACCCCAAGTCACCGTTGTCGAGGACTTCGGGGGTAGGCGGTTCAACCATCTCTCTTCCTTCCAGCTCGTTGGCCCGATAGGGGATGAGCAACGACACGTGGAAGACGGGATGCACCCGGCGTAACTGCGCGGGGAGTTCCAGCCTCCTCGCCATCTTGCTCTGGCTGATGACTTCCGTGATTCGGAAGGGCCCCAGCGTCTTCATCGAGAGCTTCTGGCTGGGGCGCACCGACGTCAAGTTCTTGGTAGATAACATTACCAGGTCCCCTACGTTGTAACCCTCGTCAGGGACGGCGGTACGCTTCCGATTTGCGTACTTCGCCATGTCTTTCCGCGCCTGTTCCAGCGCCTCCTTCACCGACTTGTAGATCCCGTCGAGTCGGTCTCGGTACTCTCCCGCCGATTCCGCCGCCTCTTCCCTAGTGCCGGGCACTGGCAGGGAGAAGGTATGTTCCCTTCCCTCGGACGCCATGAATGGCGACATCCCGATGGCAGAGTGCTTCGCGTTGTTGTACGCGAACTCCGCCATGGAGAGTAACTCCGCCCAATCGTCCTGGAGGAAGTTGACGTACGACCGCAAGTACTGCTCCAAGGTGGAGTTACTTCGCTCGGTCTGTCCGTCCGTCTCCGGGTGGAACGCCGTGGAGTAACTATTCTCCACGTTCGCCATGCGGCACAGATCTTTCCAGAAGCGCGAGGTGAACAACGTACCTCGATCCGAAATGATCTGCTTCGGGAACCCATGCAAACACACCCATCGGTCAAGGAATAACCGCGCCAAGAATGTGGCGTCGTTATCCTTTCGACAAGCGACGAAGTGCGCTCGCTTGCTGAACCGATCGACGATCACCAGGATCGAATTGGACCCCATAGACTCGGGCAGGTCCGTGATGTGATCCCAAGTGATCGATTCGTATGGTCCCGCCGGTACCGGCAGCGGCGCTAGTTCGCCGACAGGCTTCATTCGGGGTCGCCGGTTGCGCTGACATATGCTGCAGCTAGCGACGTACTCCCCGATCCACTTCGCCATCCCAGGCCAGTAGAAGTCCCTACTGGTTAGCTCCACGGTCTTGTCCCGCCCCCAATGGCCGGCGGCCTTCCCGTCATGTAGGCGCTTCATCAGCTCTACCTTGATGTTCCCCGCGTTAGGAACATACACCAACCCGTTGTACAGGAGAACCCCAGTGGGGCTCAAGCTGTATCGCTCATTCGCCAAGGTCCCCGCCTTGAGCTGCGCTACGAGCTCTTTCGCCACCGGGTCGTCCTGCGCCGCCGGTATCAGCGCTTTCACCATCCAATCGCCCAGTGCGGGGATGGTGCCATTCAACCGCAAAGGCGGTCGTTCAACCGGACTACACCCTTCAGGGGGTGCGTCTTCGACAGGCCGGAGCAGAGTCTCCGCTCGCTTCGGTTCTGTCTCCTCCATCAACTCTTCCCGACGACTCAACGCGTCGGCCTTCCCGTTCTCCGTTCCCGGCTTGTACTCCAGGGTGTAGGAGATCTGGTTCAACAGCTGCGACCATCGCGCCTGCCGTTGGGACAATACCTTGTCCCTCTTGAAATACTCCAGGTTCTTGTGATCCGTGAGAATCCGAACGGGGTACTTGTTGTCGAGATAATGTCGCCATATCCGACTGCAATAGACGATGGCCAACAGTTCCCTGTCGTGCACATCGTAGTTCCTCTCGGCGGGCGTCAGACTCTTTGACATGAACGCTACCGGGTGGAGCTTCCCATCGTCCCCTACCTGGGACATCACCGCGCCGATCGCTCCAGAGGAAGCGTCGGTCTCGAGCACCACTTGGCGCTCCTCGTTGTAGTGCGCCAATATAGGCGCCTGGGTGAAGGACTCCTTCAATTCCCGGAACGCAGCGTCAGCGGCTGCCGTCCAGGAGTACTTCACCCCTTTCTTCGTCAGGGCCGTCATTCCCTGAATCTTCTTGGAGTAGTTCTGGATGAACCTCCGATAATAGTTTGCAAATCCTAAGAAGGACTGCAGTCCCCGAATGTTCTTCGGGGGGGCCCAGTCCAAAACGGACTTGACCTTAGAGGGGTTCATACTAACCCCCGTCGGGGCAATATCGTACCCCAAGAATTCGGTAGCCACCGTATCGAACTCACACTTCTCCGCTTTCGCATACAGGCCATTCGCCTGCAGCCTCTTCATGACCTCCTTGACCTGACCATCGTGGGTCTCCTGGTCGGAGGAGTAAATAAGTATGTCGTCGAGGTAAACGACGACGCACACATCCAAAAGGTCCTGAAAGACCTCGTTCATCCACCGCTGAAAGGTAGCGGGGGCATTGGTCAAGCCGAACGGCATGACCAAGCATTCGAACAGACCGAAACGTGTAGTAAACGCGGTCTTCCAAATGTCTTCTTCTTTTACGCGTAGCAGGTTGTACGCGCCTCGGAGGTCCATCTTCGTGTAGACCTTCGCGCCCTTCAACCTGTCTAGCGTCTCTGAGATGAGGGGTAGGGGCGTCCTATCCTTCACTGTAATGTCGTTAAGGCGACGGTAGTCGATGCACATACGCATCTCGCCGCCTTTCTTCGGTACAAACAGTACCGGGCTCGAGCAGGGCGACTTCGACGGCCTGATGAACCCCTTCTCCAGATTCTCCTTCAACCACTTCTTTAGCTCCTCACTCTCCCGCTGGGAGTGGTTATAGAGCTTCTGGTACGTCGGCGACGTACCGGGCTTGAGTTCGATCGCATGGTCGATCGATCGCGTCGGGGGCAGTGTATCTGCCTTCGTCTTGGAGAACGCTCCAAGATGTTCATGATACTTCTCCGGTACCATGTCCCTCAGCTTCTCCATATACTCAGGAGGATCCAGATCGTCCTGGAACGAGTCCGTGGGTTTGACGTCCCAATCCCACAGGTCCGGGCGCCTCGCCCGCTCGTCGTCCTCCCGGGTCATCTGCATCTGCGCGACGACCAAATCCTCCGTGATCGACCCCTTCATCTTCTTGAACGGGTCGATCCCTCGTGTCTCCACTTCTACTTCGTCCGGAGCATACACCGTCTCGGGCCTCTTGAGGCATCCCGTGCTGATGCAGACATCCCCGAACGTCACCGCGTTGGAGTCCCATTGGATATGCGGGTTGTGTCTCCGCAGCCAAGGGATACCTAGTACCACCGGGTACCCACTCAAATCGGTGAGGTGGAACTCGGTCAGTTCCAGGTGCACTCCCGTACGTACCAGCGTACGAGCCTTCTGGGTGATCCTCCCTCCCTGGATCTCCCGACCATCGATCACCGTCACTACCCGCGGCGTCTCGAGGTCCGTTACGTCGAATCCATGTAGCGACGCGAATGTCCGATCCATGAACATCCCGGTCGCTCCCGAATCCAACAACATGAGTGCTTGGACCGGCACTCCTTCCGGGTAGAACACTCCTACCAACGTCAGATGGCTATCTGGACCGTTGGGTACTCCGCTTGCACCCAGCTGCAAGGGGATCCGGCTACCTCCTCGTGCTCCCCCATTCGGGGTCCTTTGATGATCCGTTATTCTGTAAGGCCCGGGAGCGGCCCCCGATGGGGGTCCCCCTGGACAGGCTGACGGGACGCAGGAATGAGGCAAGGTATGGGTAGACATCTAGATGTAATAACGGATGTAGAGCTATTACCGAGGTACTAGTTCTACATCCAAACAACAACACCGAAAAGTACCCCCGACGGGAGTCGCATACGGGAGTCGCGTACGGCGTGTCCGACGCGTCACGTGACCGCTATAACATGCAGTCTCTTGTCTTCTTTTCCTGTAGTCACAGCTGCTGCTGTCCTGCTTTCCGTGTGACACATAAGATCCCAAAGAACCATTGGTAATATTGTTGGTCGCTGACTTGTGGCTAACTTTGCTGCCCTTGTTTGGCACTGGGTCTATGGTTTGATCCTTCTTCAAGGCTCCCATATTCACAAGCTGCGCAAAAGTTTGGTCTGGCCGATCGGCAGATAATAGCTCAGAGTATGTGCCAGTGTCAACAATGCGCCCTTGCTGCATGACTACTATTTTTTGAGCCAGCTGAGCAAATTGCAGTCTGTGAGCAATGGAGATGACAGTCAAACCCCTCTGCTGCTGTTCAAGTTCAAGGTTGTTCCGGATTTTGAGTTCCACATCGCTAGATAAGGCGCTAGTTGCTTCATCCAATATCAGAACAGCTGGTTTACCAATGAGAGCTCTTGCTATTGCTAGACGCTGCTGTTGTCCCCCTGATAGTATACCTGTGCGGCCACCAGTTATTTGGGTATCCATTCCTTGTGGCAGGTCTTGCACGAATTCCCAAGCCTCAGCTTTCTTGAGCGCCTCAATACACAGCTGGCGAGTAAAAGAGACCTTCTCCTGATCACTGCTATCCAAGTCTTTCCGATGTCTAAGAGGGGTACCAGCTAAGCCTGATGCTATGTTCTCAAACACACTTCCAGACAAGAGTTGTGGTTCTTGATGTACCACACTGATCTGGGATCGAAGTGAACGGAGATTGTATTCACGTAAATCGATTCCAGCTAATATTATAGTACCACCACCTTGTACAGGCTCAGTACCAGTGACCAGTTGTGTGGAAGTGTTTTTGTTGAGTCCTTTTTCAGTTTTATTGATGGTTTGTACATTGTCGAGTTGATTGCTAAAATCTTTCCTTTCACCGGTAGCCATGAAGTCATATGGATGGGGTAGATTTGCAGTGGAGGGATCATATTGGCGAACAAGCAGTCCAGCAATTGATGATTTTCCCGCTCCTGAAGGGCCAACAATAGCTGTTAATTGCCCAGCTTCTGCACTGAATGATACATCATCAAGTGCTTTGATGTCCGGCCTTGATGGATACGCAAATGTGACATTGTTGAACATCACAGTGGGAGTGTATCCGCACTGAGCAGAGAATGGCGCCAACTTGATGCCAGATTCATCACGGATGTCTATGTATGGCTGCCTTTCGATGTGATGCCGCAAGACTTTGACACAGGCCACAGCACTGCTGAACCCAGAGATTGCAGTAAGACGGCTGTTGATGATAAAGTGCATGGCAGTGAAACAGATGATGGTCTGTGGGTGTAAAAGTTGATCAGCATTGCCAGATGAGAAACTCTAAAAGCTCACTTACATTGAATATAGAGCCAACTTGAGCCCCATTATCCATGAGAGATGAACCATAGTAGTATCCAACACCAAGAATTGTGCATAGCGCAAAATGGCACCATCCAATCTTGATGGCCCGCACAAATATTGAACGAGTCTGCAGTGCTTCAATATCTCCAAGAAGAGAGTTGTTCCAATATTGTCTCAGAGGCTTGGACATGGCAAAGGTGTGGACCACTCTGATGCCTGAGAAGCATTGTTCCAGAAAGGTGTTGGCACGGCCAGATGCATCTTCAGCTCTGACCTCTTGCTTCTTGACGACCAGTTCCACAGATGTAAACAGCACTAGCAGCCATATGAAAAATGGGGAAAGCACTACGGCAAGCTTTGGTAAGGATACAAAGGCAACCACCAAGTTCTGCCAGCAATTTGCATTGAATCAGCCAAACATGATGTTATAGTCTGCATGATGTGTCTCACCGTGATCAAGAAGCACACAAGGTGCATTGTCCAGCCAAGCTGTTCTCCATACCCATTGTTGATTGTATTGATATCCTTGTCTGCACGAGTGGTGATTTCACCACATCCATGGGTATCGAAATAGGCAGTATCCTGTGATAGGATTGATGACACGTATTCTAAACGCATTGCTGTTGCCAACTGTTCTGAAGCCTTGCCATCTGATGAGCAAAGTATATTCAGCTTGATAATATTGCTGGTACCACAAACAGCTAATGAGGAACTCACAACATAGGAACCAGACAAAGCTTCCAAAGAAAGCAGCAAACAAGGGGCCCAGCATCCAGATCGCAGCATCAGTCCCCACTTGTTCTCTTTCCTGTGGGCTCTTGCTCATGTCTGTGATCCCATTCATCCAACGTCCAATGACAAATGTGAACATTGGAAAGCAAGCGCTTGCAATCATAACCGCAATCAGGCCAATAGTGTAGAGGATCCATGGGTGAGAGAAGAACAGCCTTGGTGAAATCCAAGGTGGTGGAAGAGGACCAACAAATGACAAGGGATAGAGGATGTCTGGTAGACTTGACTGGTGGCCAAATTGTTTGGTAGCAGTGGTCTGCTTTGCAGTGTCGGGCCTCTGCTGAATGGCGTCCCCGCTTAGGGGGCCCGATTCTTGCTTGGCAAACAACATTGCGAGAAGGTTCGAGTTGTCTGATCGGCTGTTTCGACAATTCGAGAAGAAGGAGATTCTACACGGCAAGCTTCCTTGCTGCTCCTATATAGTCAAGATCTAGCCTTGGAGTATTCAATCACGCTATGCCCACGCTAAACAAAGGTAGGCTCCCCCTTTCATGAGTCGCGGCGTGTCGCGCCAGAATGGTGCGATCAGGGGAAATTCAGGCTGTTGCCGCACCGTGTTTGACTGTTCAGGTAGGACTGAACGCTTCTTCGACAAGTACATACAGGTGATCCAGTATATCAGAGCGCTTCGAGCGTCGTAGGGTATTCGCGCAGGGTCTGCGTTGAACTGTTCTGGTATCGCCCCCCCGCCCTTGCGACGACGATCGAAGCGCGTGCCGCCGGGGAGCCGGAGCCGGGGAGCGGTGACTAAGAAGAAGAAGAAGTCTGCATATCATGCATCTACGAAGACGACCTCGCTGTATCTACTGTCAGTATCTCGTAAACAATCCCCCTCAATAAACAACGGTGAATCCTCGGGATAGACTTGATTTAGACGACGTGCGAAGCGGTCCTGCGATACCACCAGAATGCCAACATTTCGAGGCTTCCAGCCACCGGCCCTCGTCAACTCGTTTTGCGGACTGCTAGATATCAAGTCCGGTGAGGGGGGTCGATATCTACGCTGTAACCCAACTAGCTTACAATGACTTACCAGCTTTCGACTCTACGACTTGCAGGTGCCAAGATCATCCTCCTCTTTGGCGCTCTCAACAAGGTCGCCGGTGTCTATGGCCTGATATCTGCATTCACGGGAGGGAGCATCTCCCAAATGAGCTTTTACATTTATTCTTCGGTGACGCTCTATGTGGTCGTCTGGGGCTTACGAGCAGTGGCAGATGTGAGTCGAGGATTGTCCAGTCCAAGATGTTGGTGAGACTCGGAGCTGATATCGTGCTGCCTCAAAGGAATCCACGCACAAGTGCCTCAAACTCGCCCACCTCTACGCTCTCGACCACATCATCCAGACGATCTATGCTCTCCGGTTTGCCCGACATCAGTGGTACGAGATCCCTCACGATGGAGCGAGGAGTTTCAACTCTCAAGCGCAAAAGGATCTTGTGGACCTGGCCATCTCTCGACACGAGATCCCGGCCGAGAGACCGTCGAACACGGCAGAGATTGCGCATGGATTGTGGGAGCAGGAAAAGGGGTTCACCGCTTTCGTCCTGATACTTGCATGGCTGCTCAAGGTGAGCCTGCAGCCGGTCTTGAAGTGAAGTTATCGGCAAGCGGGGGATATCGATTCTAACTTCCACGATGTGTCGCGCAGATCTACTTCATCGTGGTCATCTACTCGTACGCCGCCCATCTGCGTACAAACACCTACCACTCGCTCCCTCTCTCCTCCTCATCTTCAAAACCGACCGCTCGATCGACGACGGACCAATGGGCCTCGACAGCTCCTGCAGTACCCACAAAGCCTGGTTACCGGGGGTCACTGGATGACGGTCTGTCAATTGACGAAGCGTTGAACACGACGGGATCGAGTGCGGGCTCGGGACGGCCGGACAAGGGGAAACGTCGAGCGAGTGCAATGCAGGTCAACGCGCAGACAGAGGACGTGTTCAAGTGGGACAGCGATGAGGAGGAAGGGGATAGCAAACAGGGAAAGAGGTCGAGCGACAAGTGATGGGAAAAAGGGGAAAGCAACAAGCATCGATCAGTATCGGTGGGAAACGAGCAGGCAGTATGGTAGAATCGCATTCGTGGTCACATCCGGACATCGCCTTATAATGGAAATATGCATATTGAAGACGTCCCTCTACCCTAATGTTTATACGCTCGCGACCCATCTTTCCGACCCTAGTTGAGGGTCTTAGGCATCCCATCCTCATTCAACAAGCTCTCGCCATCGTCCAACTTTCGAGGTCCATCTCCGACCCTGGTATGAATCAAGCTCTTGACGGCTCCCTTTTCCCATCCACCCTCAGGGACAACCTTGGTGTTGAACCCTTCCGGGACCTGGGCCGACTGCCAGTCCATCTTGAACGGGTTGGCGAACGAAGCCTCTTGCGGGAAGAACCTGTTGATCAGGTTCAACACCTTGGGCATGTTCTCCTCCAACGTGTAGATGACAGCGTTTGGACCGGCGTCGAAAGTGTACGCGGCGATGGGCTTCCCTGCGGCCCTGTTGAGCTCCTCGACGACCGCAATGACGCTACGCGAGACGTCGTTCAGGTAAAAGATGGGAGGTTCCGTGTCAAGGCAGACGGCGTGGAACGAGTTGGAATCCCTCATCGTGATCTTGGCGAACGATTCGAAATCTTTCTCTCTGATCGCCTTGGAGATGTCGTCCATCCGACCGGGGACGACCTCTTTGATCCGGTGCTGCAACAATGGCGAGGTCTGCACCGTCCTTTGCATCCCCGAAGTCGAGGAGGTTCCCTTCTTCGCGTCGCTGACTACACAGATCAAAGCGTGCATCTCCGGCCAATGTTCCCTAGAAGCGACCTCTTCGGCCAAAGAGTCCGAGCCGTCCTCTTTCTCTCCCATACGCCAAGCGACGTACCCTCCAAAGAGGGACCGACAGGCGGATCCGGAACCTTGACGGGCAACGAGGGAGAGTTGAGAAGGAGTCTGAGGGAGGGAGTAGAGGTGAGAGAGTGAGGCGACGAGGGCGGCTAGACCGGAAGCGGACGAGGCGAGACCGGCCGCGGTGGGAAAGTTGTTATGCGAGGCGAAGTGGACGTGGTAGGCCGAGATCTGTCGTGCAGGTACATCAAGACGATCAGCTATACTGTCTCCTGATGGTATGCCAACCTATACATTAAAGCGGACCTACCTTGTCCAAGCCAGAATCCGCCTGTTCCATCTCCTGCCTCCACTTCCTCAACGCATCGATGCAAACCCACAACCTTCCATCTCGCTCGATCTCTTCCTCCTTGCCGTTCAACCAGAGTCGATCTTTTTCGAATGAAGCGTCGGCTCGGGAAGAGGTTGTCGATCGGAGGTGATCCTGGTCGAGGGTGACCGAGAGGGAAGAGTTGGTAGGGAGGATCAGCTTGGTGTTACGCTTGCCCCAGTATCTGATAGGTTGCAGAGTGAAATGTGACCGGCTCATCAGTACAGGAAAGAATGAATGTGTTACATCTGTGATTCGCAAAAGAGGGAGGTACCGACTTGATACAGGCAATGTTGACGGGCGCCGAAGCGGTAGCTTGGTAGGTGGCCATTCTGAGAGCTTTGTCGAAGACTGGCGTGTACGATACCGATGTATGAATGGTAATAGATGGTCGAGGATGGTATGGGTGATCAAATAAGACTAAGTAGGTAGAAGTTGATCGATGCAGGTTCGGGGGTACGGTCTTTGTTTTCGTTTTAGGCGCGCACCAAAGTTGCAAGTTCAGAAGTCGGGGGGACTGGGGAAATTCTTGGTTCATTTCTCTAATTCCATGCAACCTCCCCACCACCAACCGTCCCACCTCACGACCATAAAGAGCCAAGTATAGATCCTCATAATGGTCGATCTCACTCCTGCGAGCAAATCGGCGCCAGCCGTGCCACCAAAGATGATGTCCTCGCTCAAAGTCACGGACGATAGCGTGCTGGTCATCAATCAGTTGCTCTTGCCGTAGGTATCGCTGATCGCAATCAAGTCTGCTTCACAGCAGCATCGCTGATCTTGACTACGGCATTGCAGCCATGTTATACAGTGGGACCCGGTTCATACAATCGAGGATGCCTTTGATAGCATCAAGCAGATGAGGGCAAGTCGAGAATTGGCGGGGTGAACATCGGCTGGTGTGGCTGATGGCCAATGTTCTACCTATGACTCTAGATCCGTGGAGCACCGGCGATCGCCTCGCTTGCCGCTCTGACGGTCTCTCTCGTCCTCACTCGACGTCTCCTGAACCCTCTGGATGCCTCTACGGACCCTGCGACCACCTCGGCTCACGCTTCAGCCTACCATGTCCCAGCTCTCAATTCTCCTGAAACCCTGAAGAACTGGCTCTTGCCCGTCCTCGACTACCTCGAGTCGTCCCGTCCAACCGCCGTCAATCTGCAAGAAGGGATGGACAGGATCCGAAAGACTGTCAAATCGTCGGCGACTTCCGCGGAGGGATCTTCTCAGGAGCAGGCGAAGGCGTTGGCGGAAGGGGTCGTCAAGACATGTCAGAACATCGAAAAGGAAGACTTGGAGCGGTGCAAGGAGATGAGCAGGATCGGGGCTGAATGGTTGGTAGAAAAGATCAAGAGGGAGAAGGGCAAGGACAAGTTGAAGGTCATGACCGTGTGCAATACGGGAAGCTTGGCAACTTCGGTGTGTCTCTGATTGGCTTGTCAGGTGCACGGTTAGGTGTGACTGACGCAACATCGACTGCTTTCAGGGGTACGGAACCGCTCTAGGTGTCATCACCGCTCTACACGAAACTGGTCACCTTGACCGAGCCTACTACACGCAATCAACCCCTTACCACCAAGGCTCTCGATTGACCTCGCTCGAGCTGTCCACATTGCAGATCCCGAGTTGCATGATCTGCGACACCATGGTTGGATCGCTTTTCCAGCACGAGGACGTCGACGCTGTAATTGTCGGAGCGGACAGGATCGTCAAGAACGGTGACACCGCCAATAAGGCAAGTCAAATTGTAGAATACGATCTGAGATGCGGCTGTGAATTGCCGACTAATGTCCAGCTTTTTCCGAGCAGATCGGGACGTATCAGGCCGCTTCCCTTGCCAAGATGCATGGGATCGATTTCATGGTCATCGCTCCCGTCACCACACTCGACCTCACCAAGGCGACCGGAAAAGAGTGAGTTTCTCAAACAGGTAGATCTTGACCTGTTGGCAAAGCTGACCAAGCATTCGCAACAGGATCCACATCGAGCAGCGGCCTGCTGTCGAGGCGACTCAGGCACGAGGTCTGGACCCCTTGACCGGCTCTCAGGTGATCGTCCAGATCACTCCCGATGGTATCGGTTCGGGATCCGAGGAATGGCAGAAAGTCTACAACCCTAGCTTCGACGTTACACCAAACAAGCTCATCAGCTGCGTCGTTACCGAAAAGGGTGTTGCGGTCAATCAGGGTGGAGAGCACGGCATAGACCTCAGCGGGGTCTGCTAGACAGCAGGGCGAACAAGCAAAACATTATAGACAAGGACAACGAGGACGGCCGAAATTGTAGCGTACATATATATCCCACCAGCGCTATGATATCGGTCATTATATAAATACAAAAGTAGACTTGGTTCGTAACAACAACACGTGATATATCGTCGATGGTAACTTGCAGGCGTAAATGATCTCGAACTCAATACTCTCGTAGCGAGGCTGTCTCTATAGTTTCATATGGACCAGCGGCCTCATCGCCAACCCACTAACCGGCGCTCCCGTCGCACTCCTAGCCGAATCACGATCGCTGTCGTTCCCGGACATGGACGCCATCGACGGCAGCCTGCGCAGAGAAGCTGGCATCGCCTTGCTTTGACTGGATAATGTCGGCATTGCCGCTCGGAGTGTGGGAGGCGCGACCGTGGGCGAGTTGGACGTCGTTGGAACCTGGTTGGCGGGTCGTACATAGGCAGAGGTGGCTAGTTGCGAAGGGATAGGCGGTTTGATGGATAGTCGACGCGAAGCTTTGCGGGGAGAACTTTTCTTGCTTGGCGAGAGGAGTCCGCTGAAGAGCATCTTACTATGGCTTGCACCGATCGACGCATCGCCATCTTCGAGAACGGGCAACAGCGAAGTACGGCTCCTCTTCTTCTCCGTCCTTATAGGTCCTGCCGATGAGAGTCGCCTGGAAGGTGGACCCATGGAGGATCCCGGGTAATTCAAGCCGGCGCTAGCGTTAGCCGTTCGTGCTGCGCTGGTGGCTGTGGGACGGGTCAAGGTAGACATTGATTCATTACCAACGGCAAAGCTGAATGGTTTAGGCTTTGTCGGTCCCGCCGATCCCGCGAGCGAAGTTCGCCTGGAGGAGGCCGACGTGGGTCTTGAGTTGGCAGCCGACGACGATTGCAGCGGTTCGGCAGGACGCAGGGGAGCCAGAGATGCACGACCTGGACGAATAGGTCCGCCCATCGCGGTAAGACGAGCGTTCTTTGAGGCGAGTTTGGGCTCGGGGAAAGAGTCGAAACTGCTGTCTTCGGATACTGCCATCAACTGGCTTAGCGCGGTACGGTTCGCGAGCCTGTTCTTCTTCCATTCGGGGATGGCAGGGACTTCTTTGGCGACGGGCTTAGCGCTGATGTTGGTCTTGAACACCAAGCTAGGCATTGATACGTCTCCGCTCAACTGATCCTCGCTGTCGTCTATCCAGGCCGTTTCTTCTGTCTCTACGGCTGGAGTAGGTGTAGCAGGTGGCGTATCGTCCTCGCTCGAACCTAGACCTTGCATGCCCGAATCATGTCGGACATCATTGATGGTTCCGTCGCCGGCTTCGTCCCGCCATACGACTTTTTTCTTCTCCGTTCCCAAGCTCTTGGGCTTCATGAACGAACTGGTAGGAGGCTTGGACCGCTTGCGGGGCGAAAAGAATGCCCGCACAGGCGATGCTATTCGAGCAGCCGATGGTCCCATAATACGTCGCATGGAAGGGGAAGGTTTGACGGCCGAGCCAGGCATAGGCGCGAGCGACATACGCTTGTTCGGACGAGAGGGTTGTCCCAGACTGGCGACCGGAAGACTAGCTGTCGGCAAAGAGGGCGGGAGGAACAGCTTTTCTCGATACGCCGGTGAGGTCTGTCTAGCCGGGCTCATCATCGGTGCGGCTTTCATACCCAACAGGCTGGCTGTGATAGCATCGGCTTCCCTAGCGAATTCGTCGAGCAATTCGGCAACCGCAGGCGATTCCCTTACGTCCAGCGCGCTGCTCTTCACCTTCGTTGAGTGCCGGACAAACGCTCCAAAGAGTATAGCCATCGCTTCTGCCTGCATCTTGATGCTCGCTCGGTACGCCTTTTCCCGCTCTTCCAGCTGAGCCTTGCTACTTTCGGCCTTTTGCAAGGACGCCTCCAACCTGATATTGACAACGTCAGATTCTTCCAGCTTGTCAAACTTTTTCTCCTGCATGCTACGCAAGAGCATGTCCATAAAGCTCGATTGCGTCGAAGCGTCTCGCAACTTGGTCTGCACCTCGTTATTCTTGCCATACGTCTGTTCCTCGCGTCCGATCAGTTTCTCCAGTACCGACTTCTCCTCCAACTCGGCCGGTCCCGCTCCACGCTCCATCGAATTGATATCGGCCAATCGTTTCTTGAGCACCTCGATCCTCAACTCGGCTGCGTCCCACATCGCTCGACACGACGCTCCCGCGATCATGGGCGGGAGGTAAGACGCCGTCTTGCTCTTCATCTCGCTCATGACCTTTTCTGCCTCTTTCCTCGCCTGATCCGCCTTTCTCTGCTCGGCGACCGATCTCTCGCTCGTCTTTTCGTTCAACTGCGCTTGAAGCATGGCGATCGTCGCGTTCTTCTCCTCGATCGCCTTGAGATACTGGGTGATATTCCTCTCGACCCCGTTGACATTGCGCGAGACCTTGGTGACAATGTTCTTGGCCCGATTGGCGTACTTGAGGGTATTGCCCGTGTCTTCGAGGTGCACCGAACAGGGAGACACGCAGACGATCATGACCGTCCGACAGTTTCCACCGAGCGAAAACTTGAGAAGCCGCGTGAGTTTGCTATCCCTATATGGGATATGTTGTCCGCCTCCCCTCGAGGGCGGCATGCAGAGCGCATTGATACAGTTCCCGAGGGCGAGTAGAGACTTGTTGATATTGGCTCCTTCCTTCATTCTGTTTCCCATGTTTTGTGTCGCGCTCGCTCGCTCACTCCCGGCCAAATCGATGATGGACAGGGTCGCCGAGCTGATCGCAGTCGTCACTGTGCCCGCGGCCATGTCGACCTCGTCCCCTCCCTTAGGCCTCCTGCTGATGTTCACCTGGAGCACCGCATGTGATCGAGAACTCTCGGCGTTGGCATGCGTCGGCGAACAAGTCCGCCTAGAGTTTCCCAACAGGACGTGTTCCAGCACGTCGTCCGCCGATCTGGGCACCTTTTCTGCCAGCCCAGCCACCTTGACCCGGTTCTTCTCGTCTTCCCGCAAACTCAGCCCACCTCGAGGACAGGAAGGGTAGTCGTCCGAGAGCAAGTCTCTAATCAATTCGTTGTAGATCTCGAGGAAAGAGACGGTGACCTTGGTATCCCACTCCGCCTCGCTCTCGTCGATCTGTCTGAACAGTTCCTGCATCGTCTTGTGGATAAGACCGGGGTCCTCTTTCGTCCCGCTGACTGTGTGCGTCTTTCCACACCCGGTTGCCTGCCGCGAGAAGTGTCTTGTCAGCTCTTGTCACCGGTCGATCCCTGGCATAAACAATGTGATGACGCCTACTCCGTATGCAAAGACGGTCGCGTTGAAGCCATCAAATAGACCGGGTAACAACGGTTTGGCCGTTTTATCGAACACCTCGTCCTGAGTAGTTTCCTTCGCGAAGACCCTGTCAAACGCATACCTGCATTGTCCAAGGTATAGTACAGGTCAGCCTTCTCATCTGTCCTTCGGAAGTCGCTTTAGCGAGCAAGACTTACCTCTGATCGCGGTACCGTTTCGCTCCAGGCGGTTGTTTACCACCGGAAAGAAACGATCGAGTAGGGTTCGGGTCGGGTTTATCGAAAATCAGAGTCCTGTGATCGACCACGTCTGGAAAAGCCATCGTATATGTACCCAGTTGTGAGCTTGGCTGTGACTGAAGCGCAATAGGGTTTGAATCGAGATTCAATGGCTCACCAACGACCTCTCTCCACATTCCCCCTACGTTCCCGTACATCCCACTTCCTCCAGGCACGTTCAACAACTTCGAAGGCGTGCTATTGGTATTCCCGCCTGCTAGACCACCGTCGCCCATGAAGAATGCATCGCCGGTCTCTTCAGGGATCCGGGCAGCTTCAAAGGTCGTCAAAGGCCTGACGCGGACTGCAGAGGCGTGAAGTTATCCGCAGAGGTAGTAGCACGAAAAGGGCCGGGGGAGGGTCAAAATGTTTAGCTAAGAAAACGGCTGTACGAAAAGAGGTATTCAAGTGGAAATCTGACTTGCCTGCGACCTGAATAGCGTTGGAATCCATCATTTCGCTCTGTTCCCCTTCTCACGATATCTTTGGTTCCTTTCCCTAGCTCTTGCTGTGATCTGGACCGTAAGACGTGGCCGATAGCTCGATAGGCTGTCTGATCTCGACCGAGACAGCTCTAGAAATTAAACGAGTGTGGTGTCGAAGCTTTGTTGAGTTGTAAGGTATTTTTTTGTTGCTGTTTCGACCTCAAAGGACCATCATAAGTTGTACGACCCGATGTTCCAACTCGGTGCGTTTAGATCCGTCTTGCTTGCTGATTCCGACTGCAAGTGCCGGGGCGGTCTATCTTGCCGCAATTGTCTACTTGTCGTTTCCTCAGTTGCCTCCTCTGTTTGATTATTGATTGTTGGATGTTCGCATTTCGCATGGAGACTCTGATCAAGAAGGACCATTTCTTTGCGACATGCACTTGCGACTTCCTGGGGGTTTGTTTACAGTTGAACGAACATCTACTGCTTTTCAGAAATGACGGCATGGATCACGGCATACGATGATGCAACTATCCGCGGTGCCAACTTGTACTGGCTGATCATCTGCTCTCGCGCTCTCGGCAATCTCCCGCATTCTCCGTCCGCGCCCGGGCTTCGAGCGGCCGGTTGGATGCGAGCGAGCGCGCGAGAAAAACAATTCCATACCCATCCACTCCAAGTCCCCGCTCATGCCCACGTCCCCCAAAAGATAACACACACACAAACGTAAAGCAAAAGCTCACAAAAGTCAAGTCCTGCGACCTGATCTACAACCACAAAAAAGGGGCATATACTACTTATACCTTGCAAAAATGTTCGCCGTCAGGACCGCTCTCCGAACTCAGGTCAGTTTGCGAAGAACGGATGACGAACGAGCGAGATTTCGAGTACTGGATGAGCTGACGATTATTCTTTCGCACTTCGTATCCTCTACTCCTTGCTGTTTCATGATGCGGTTGGAACGTCAACTACGATCTCGACCCTGATCTTTCTCTGGATGCTATATGCTGGTCTGGACATCCCGTAGACCTCGGTCGCCTCCAGGGGTTACGCTACCGCCGCCAAGGCTCAGAGCCTCAAAGAGCGTCTCGCCGAGCTCATCCCCAAGGAGATCGAGAACGTCAGTGCGATCGTCTCCCGCGTCTCCTGGCATGCATTGTCAACATAGAGATTGCAGACGTAGCTGACTAGACGTTAATGTTTTTTTTGCCTGGATGAACAATAGGTCAAGGCCGTCAGGGCTGCTCATGGACACAAGTCTTTCGGCGAGGTCACCGTCGACCAGGCGTGAGTTATGGTGTCTCTCTCGTTGCTATTGATTCTGCTACTGTTCACAAAGAGATGCTGATGACGTGTTTCCTTCTCTTCACGATGATCGATCTTGGCGATTTGATCGATGATGTAGTTACGGTGGTATGCGAGGAATCAAGGTGGGCATCACTCAGCTACCGTCTGCAACTCGTAACCATTGATGCTCAGCCTCGACTCTCCTGACAGGGAATGATCTGGGAAGGATCCGTCCTCGACTCTGAAGAGGGTATTCGATTCCGAGGAATGACCATTCCCGAGTGCCAGGCCGCTCTCCCCACCGCTGAAGGTGGCTCCGAGCCCCTCCCCGAGGCCTTGTTCTGGTTGTTGGTCACCGGAGAGGTCCCCACTCAGGAACAGGTTAAGGGATTGTCCGCCGAGTGGGCCGCCAGGGCCACCCTGCCCAAGTTTGTCGAGGAGTTGATCGACAGGTGCCCCAACACTTTGCACCCGATGAGTCAGTTCTCGTTGGCTGTCACTGCTGTGAGTCGGCCGTCTGCTAGAGCTCGAAGGAGATTTAGAGGGGGCCTGTTTGGCTGATAGAAGTTACGTTCGCGTGTCTGTAGCTCAACCACGACTCGGCCTTCGCCAAGGCTTACGCCGAGGGTACCCACAAGAGGGACTACTGGAAGACCACCGTGAGTCTGAGACGCAACGATACAAGGTGTAGCGCACAACTCACCCCAAGAGTCGCCTTGCACCCCGCAGTACGAGGACTCTATGGACCTCCTCGCCAAGCTCCCCGTCGTCGCCGCCAGGATCTACCAGAACGTCTACGGTAACGGCAAGGTCGCCGCCATCGACCCTTCCAAGGACTGGTCCGCCAACTTTGCTACCATGCTCGGATACGGTGACAACGCCTCGTTCGTCGAGTTGATGAGGTTGTACATGACCTTGCACTCGGATCACGAGGGTGGAAACGTTTCGGTGAGCCTCTTTTGAGTGGCGTCGGGTAGGAAGCGATTCGCGGAAGGCTCATAAGGGCGGACGCTGTTGCTAGGCCCACACCGGTCACTTGGTCGGTTCCGCCTTGTCGGACCCCTTCCTTTCTTACGCCGCCGCTTTGAACGGGTAAGTAGGCGCTTATTAAAGGAAATCCGTCGACCCGGCCGCTAATCCCGCCGCCAACCTCTCAGTCTCGCCGGTCCCCTGCACGGTCTTGCCAACCAGGAGGTCTTGAGGTGGATCCAGAAGATGCAGTCCCAGATCGGAGAGGACGCCACCGACGCCCAGGTTGAGGAGTACTGTTGGGAGACCTTGAAGACCGGTGTCATTCCCGGATACGGTCACGCCGTCTTGCGAAAGACCGACCCCCGATACACTTCGCAGAGGGAGTTTGCGCTCAAGCACATTCCGGATGACAAGCTCTTCAAGCTCGTCGCTCAGGTCTACAAGATTGCGCCCAACGTCTTGTTGAAGGCTGGAAAGGCCAAGAACCCCTGGCCCAACGTCGACTCGCATTCCGGAGTCTTGTTGAACGCCTACGGATTCTCCCAGCAAAACTACTACACCGTCCTCTTCGGTGTCTCGCGAGCTCTCGGTGTGACCGCTCAGCTCATCTGGGACCGAGCTCTCGGTATGCCCTTGGAGAGGCCCAAGTCGTTCTCGACCGAGGCCATCAAGAAGATGTTTGCCGACAAGGCCTAGACGCAGGACGCGTACGCAGATGTGGTGTGATCGGTCTTTGATAGATATGAAATACATTTTGATACCGCACCGTTGACGACGATTCCAACCTGATCGGTTCCTGAGAAGACTTGCCGATTTGCTCGTAGTCCAGTACCCCTTCCCTGCGAACTGCTGCCATTATTGTTCAAGCGTGATCGACAAGTTGCTCCTTGCAGGGGTCCGAAAGACTCCTCATTTACCAGCTTGAAACGTTCGGCTAGGGGGCACTGTCATTTACATGATCAGCTGGTTTTCTAGGAACATCAGCGGCAGATATTGAGCGAATCGACCAAAGTACCTCCAGAACATGAGACGAGCGTAAGGAGGAACTTAACCTAAGGTATTCGTGATCAGATGTAGCGAGGCATCAATAGTCCCAGACGCAAGTCCGTACGGCGTCTCAGCGCCAAAGAGCATGATGCTCAGCGAAAACTGAAGGTAGAACCGAGAACGAAGGCTTCACCACGAGGAGTCGTCCTCATTCCGCCTTGTGGGACTCTTCATGGCTCCGCCGATATATATCACATGACCTGAATAGACCGAGAGCATACTTACAGTCAACAAGCGTATCAACAACGATGATGTCTAGCAAGCGCAGAGGCGCGTTGGTGGAATTGGTGGGGGGGGGGATTGTCCGTTTTTTGCTTCCGTGCGATAGAGGCCGCTGCCGCCGCTGGTGTGATCGTCCGAACGAGATCTGATCACTTCCTTTCATGAATCGCTCTCCAAAGTTACGAGGTCTATACGGTCCTGTCCAGATCTACAGCATATTCAGTCAGAAATCCGGTACCTCTTGCCTCGATCTACTCGTCGATTGACAGATCGACAATAATCGTCAACTCACTCGGAACACACGCATCAACCTTCTTCCCCGGTCGATCACCACACTCTCGCCTCCACTTTTTCGGCTTTCGACCCCGGCGAGGGTTCAACCCTTTGTCAATAGTGTAGCGAACATTGACAACTGTAGGACACACAAGCTCGCTCAGGTGCAAAGCTCGAAACATTCTTGAACTCACCTGAAGGAAGAAGAGGTCGGAGGCATGCAAGCGGTTCATCCATTCCCCCCGCCGGGCATGGATTCCCTACCCTCGATACCGATACCAACCGCAAACATAAATACAGACACAGCCGACATGTTACCTACAAACCATACCTTCACCTCGACTCTAGGCTCGCCGACTCCGAGCTTGAGTCGAGGATCTACCGGCGGATCAGAGTCCGATCCCAAGTCGCCTATCAACGAAGATGGGGAGGTCGAGATCGAGTATGAAACGGACGGGTCGGAATTGTCAGGAGATGAGGAGGAGGATGAAGAGCCTGAGGAGAACGCACCGCCGATCCCCCAGCCAGCTTCTTTGTGAGTCTTTCGGTTGCTGAGAGCGACTTATGCTCTCGCTGATTCATTGATCCTCTACTACACACTACGTAACAACTCACTCCAACCCCCATCAAATTCTCACTCCCACTCGCTCCGCCTCGATCTTCAAATATCCATAGCTACCAACACGAACACACCCAAGAGATCCCTGCTGCCCCTGGTTCCCGCTGGTTAACTCCCGAAGACGACCCTTATGCCTCTCGTGGGATTCCGATTTTCAGGCCGGCGATGGACGAGTTTAGGGATTTCGAAGGGTACATGGAGAGGGTCGCTCCGTGGGGACATCGGAGTGGAATCATAAAGGTCGTTCCTCCAGAGGAATGGTGAGTGTACTAGTCTTGCATTTATTTTTCATCGCCAGCTTTGGCTACGTCTCTTTACAGGCCACAATGAGACTGACATCTACATAACGACGATTAACCGTAGGACCTCTAACCTCCCCCCAATACCTACATCGACCATGTCCAACCTGCGTATCAAGAACCCTATTCAACAAAACATGCTCGGGCGGTCAGGACTGTTTAGGCAGAGCACGATCGAAAAGAAGAAAGGGTTGACCGTGAGAGATTGGTGGGAAAAGGGGAGGACGGCGCCCTTTCAGTGAGTCTTGCGGTCTAGGTAGCGCTGGGGCGCAGAGGAGCAGGAATAGCATTCATCAAGAAGAGAAGACTGATATTCTGGATCTGATCGTACAGTTACCCCGGACCGAAAGATGCCGAGCTTAGAAAGAGAGGTAACCCGGCGGGACCGTCGACGAGGACGAACAAGCGGAGAAAGGTTGCGGGTTCGGGATCGGGATCGGGATCCACGCCGGCACCTTCCGAACCCGGGGTCGATGAGGCCGAGGCGGTCAAGCAGGAAGACGGGGCTATGACGATGGCGATGGAGCTGGATGAAGTGGGCGACAAGGCGACACCTACAGCTGCGGCATCTGACAGGGCAGCCTCGTCCGCACCTAGTACCGCAGCCGAGACCAAGACCGAGGCTACCGACCCTTGGTACGACACGTTCAACCCTCATACCGACTGGTTACCCAACGAGACCAAGGAGGAAGACTATACCGAAGAAGGCTGTCGCAATCTGGAACGCAAGTTTTGGCGAGAACTAGGTTTGGGTGAAGCTTGTTGGTACGGAGCGGACATGAAGGGGTCGTTGTTCACGGACGAGACGACGAGTTGGAACGTCGCGCACTTGCCCAACCTCTTGAACCGGCTGAATTTGAAGAGAAAGTTGCCAGGCGTCAATACACCGTATCTTTACTGGGGGATGTGGGCAGCCGCGTTCGCCTGGCATGTGGAGGATGTGAGTCGAGGCTAAGCGTTGAATGCAGGTGACGTGAAACTGATCCTGGCTGAATCGAATAGATGGATCTCTATTCGATCAACTACATACACTTTGGCGCGCCCAAATTCTGGTATGCCATCCCTCAGAAAAAGGCAGACGCGTTCGAGCGACACATGGCGGGTGAGTTCAGTTCCTCGTATTCATCCGCTGTACCCTCGAGCTGACTTCAAGAATTATTCTAGGCTACTTTCCCTCGGACGCTCGCAAGTGTGATCAGTTCCTGCGACACAAGTCGTTTGCCGTCTCGCCTTACAATCTGGGTGGACAAGGTAGCCGACCAAATATCATGGTACAGAAGCAGGGCGAGTTTGTGATCACCTTTCCACGAGGGTATCACGCCGGGTTCAATATGGGCTTCAATTGCGCCGAGAGCATTAATTTCGCGCTGGACGACTGGATCGAGATGGGTAGGAGGGCCAAGATCTGTCGATGTGAGAGCGAAAAGTAAGTTCATGATGAGCATGGACTTTCGTCGATGACTAGAATTGATACGGAACCTCTCTCCCGGCAGTGTTCATATTGACGTCGACGCCGTGCTGGAAGAGTCGGCCCTACGGGAAGCTGCAGCTCAGGCTAGGGAGGAAAGACGTATCAAGGCAGAACAACGAAGGCAAGAGCACAAGCCTCGGGTGAAGCGGTCACGCAAGGACCCGAATAAGCCCAGGGTACCCAAGATCCGGATCAAAGCGGTGGTCGAGTTCAAGCCACCGCCAAAGCCGGCCAAACCGGTTTATCCGTGTTTACTCTGCCCTGATCAGTCGACGACGTCTCTGCTGCCTGTCTATCGGGAGCCCAAGCCAGTCGTCGAGGCGATTGCTGAGCCTGTCATACCTGTCGTGGTCACCGGGGTCGATCAGTCCGCCGAGTCATCACCGCACAATTCGAGCGTTGCGGCAACGGAGGCTCCTCCGGTCGTGCAGCCGGTCGATCGGCCGCCACCACGCAGGCGTCATGAATACGCTCATCTCACCTGTGTTCGGTCGACTCCCGAGCTGTGGATCGCCGATGTATGGGACGAGGTTACGAGACGGAGTGTGCGTCGGGTGATGGGTATCGACAAGATCGGTCGAGAGCGATGGAATTTGGTTAGATTGCGTCGTGTCTAGCGTTTCGGCTTGAGCATCGTAGCTGACGACCTCTACATTCACGTCTACAGAAATGCGCCAGCTGTGCCGATGATCCCAACCGGCAAAAGTACGGATCCAAGGTCCAATGCACAAAGGGCAAGTGCGTCAAGGCCTATCACGTAACGTGTGCGATCAAGGACCCCAACGTCGAGTTCAAAGAGATGGAGGTGGACGAATGGGTCGTCCAGCCAGAGGTCATTCAAGATGGCGTGCCTACGTCGTCGCAGGAAGCGCTTACCGGCGAGGCAGGACCAGGACCTACCACGACGACAAACAACGCCGCCCGGAAGTTCTCTCGATTGACTATCGTGCATGCGCATATCCTCTGTCCGTCTCACAACCCGGCTCTGGCCGAACAGAAGCGACTCGAAGCGCACCGGGGCATGTTGCGGCGCTTGACCTCGGTGCCGTATGGCACTCCTGTCAGCTTAAGGTTGGGCACGGGTACGTGGGGGAGTTATCTTTTGAGCGTGGACGCAATGAGGGAGGTAGCGGTTGTTACCAATGATAAGGGGTAAGTCTGGCAGGGTCGACCCGTCTTCCTGGTCCGCCTAGCTGACGACGTGCTCAATTTATGCTTCCCGCTATGGCGATCGATAGAGTACCTTTCGAAGTCAAATGGAGTCAAGTGGTGTATATACCTCCTGCCTACGTCACTGCAACGACGAACGAGGGCGAGGGCGGTAGGATGAGGATGGTTCAAGACGTCTCTGAATCAGCTGGTATAGCTACGAGAGCTGCATTACCGGAAGACATGCACAGAATGCCGGTGAACGGTCCTAATGTGCCGACCGATAAGACGGACTCGATTACGGTGCCAAAACCACTCGAGGACACAATACCGATCACCTCATCGGACGACATCACAAAGCAGACGCATGACACCACGTTGACGCCGTCAACTCCGGCCCATTCCCTTCGGCTGGGCTCGCACGTCATGCTGACACCAGGGCTGATCGGGATGTTAAGCGAGAATCCGTTACTGCGGGCCTCCTTGAAAGGTTTAGGTCTCGGTGGATAACTCGAGTCCAGGCGGCCCGGCGACGCAGAAAGAAAATTGCAAATGATACAGCCCGAGGCAGCCGGTTCGGGAATGCCAAGGGAAAATCAATCATACCTGAACGCAGCAGGGATCATGAAAAATAATCGAGCGCAACACGTAATAATGCGCAGCGGAACGCCATGCAGTGTATCTTACCATTTCTGTAATAGCATCAGCGAGAGCTCTTGAATAATGTAAATCTTCTAGCACAAGGCATTACTATGATGATGACCCGAATGAAGAGGAAGACTGCACAACTTCATATGGCGCAAGCTGCAAAGACGAACGGTGCTATCAAGGTGGGGCTATATGAACTTTGCTAGGGTTACGATAAGAAGATTCAAAGTGGGCAAGGGAATGAGGGAGCAAGAGTGCGAAACGACCAGGTCGGATGGACTGTCTATCTGATTCTTGGGTACACAAGCAGTGGTGCACTACTATAATCAAGACTTCTTGTTGTCACGCTCGAAGTTATCTGAGGCTGGGGGGTTAGCAGAACAAGCAAGAAACAAATGAATCACATTTTCACCATCGTCATCAATGTTGATCTTGAGGCCTTCATCATTGGGCCTCCTTAGATCTTTCTTCCCTCGCCATCGTCAGCATTTGCAGGGCCTGGAGAACTTGCTAAGCGCTAAGATGTCGTTTTGGATTGGATCTGTATCTGTCATCACGCCAGAAATTCGCTTGTAAGAAGATATGATGGTTCAATGGTAGAATAACCGCCTTCCATCTTAACGTGGTCGTTAGCGGTTGACCGGTGTTCGATTCACCGTCATGTCATACATAACTTTTTGCCTTTTTTGCGAATTCCATCGCGAAACACCGCCAAAGCTATCGTGTCGAAACGGCGCCTCCGTTCTGGGACAAGGTACAGCAGTACGCAACATACTATGAAGTCGGAAGTTGCTTGATATTGAAATCGCACGAGTCGCTAGTCTCGTTCTGATCCCATCGTCAAGAGATTTCAGTCTGCGCCGCAAAACTATCTGTCAGATGCTAAGCATTTCGCATGGAAAGACGCATGCAGTAGTGTGTTTCGAGCGTTGCCGGCCTTGATTTTTACATCCACTGTCTTTGTTCACTTGGCTGATAGGCTTTATTCATCTCCCTACGCAGGAAAGGGTGGCAAAGCTAGAAATATTTTGTGGGAATTGTTATATGGACTCGGGAGATCTGACTTACAGCTATGTGTTCAGCTCCGCTTACTTCCAGTGTGTGGCTGACTGACCATACCTCTCTAACAGAAGTCATGTGGTCCTAGGTGGAATCGTTGAATCGTGTCATTCGTGTACCTCGTCGTGAGGCCAATTTGACTCACAGCGCTAGATGTCTTGCGCTTGCCCCGCCTTTCGAGCGTCTGTGATCCTGACTCATATGTTCTACCAGATACTGACACTGATGTAGTGATCATTGGTACATGGGCGACTGCGATACGCTTTCAGCTTGACAGACAACATCACCAACTACAATCACCATGCTTCCATCTAGCAAATATCATCTTCGCTGCGCCTATGGACCGTATGATATGGAACTGGGGCGAACGTGTGACTTCAAGCGAGCAACGGCGCGCAAATCAACCTGCTATGGCGCGGTCTCTTACGCCGACGGTGTCAATCAACGAGGTAGCGGCTTTCTTGATACCAAACTCGCCGTTGTTGCTCAAGAGCGTGTGTCCATGACCGCAAATACCATCTTTAACAATGTGAAATACAGCCTCGGACTGGCGTTGTACTTGTGCATGTCCAGTATGCCATCTCGAGACCCACATGTGCCAATATTTGAGGCTACAGAGGTTGACGAAAGAGCTGAGGGACTCCCGGCTACTCTACGTCCAAGCTACTTTTCGACGGGCTTGTACATCCTCGTCCATGCTCTCTCGTACTGAGGTGCAGCCTGAACCGCCACCTCCAAGTCCTGCGCACAGACAAGAGGGAAATCGGCGTGTCTCAAGAGCTCTCGAGCCAAGAAGATGACGTCCGCCTCGTCCTTGTCGAGAATGTCATTGGCTTGCTTGGCTTCGGTGATCAGACCGACGCAGCCGACCTATAGCATATTTCGGACGAGGTTTAGCTTTCACGGCTTTCCCATCACGTTTTTGTCAGACTTACTAGGATGCCTGGGACTTCTTGCTTTATATGAGCCGCAAACGGTACCTGGTATCCGGGTCGGATCGGGATCTTCTGGCCAGCGTAGTTGCCTCCAGAACTGATGTCGATGAGATCGACACCACGGTCGCGTAGTTGCTTGGTCAAGATGGTCGTCTGGTCCAGGCCCCTAACAATTTCACTTGAAGATCAGCTTCCTTACACTTGGTTGGCTCTTAGATCGCTAGCCAGGATCACTCACCAGAATCTCCATTCTCCATGGCCTTCATTGTCCTTGACGTTGGCATCGTCAGCCCGCTCGGTCCCGTCATACCAGTCCGTAGCCGAGACCCGAAACATCAGCGGCTTCTCCCATTTGGAGCGCGCGATATCGGTAATCTCGAGCGCGAGGCGCAATCGGTTCTCGAGCGATCCTCCGTACTGGTCCTTGCGATCGTTGGAGATAGGCGACAGGAAGTCTGGAAGTGCGAGAAGGTAGAGGTGTGAGAAGCAATCCCTAACGAGAAACGGTTGCTTGCTTTCTGCTCACTATGCAACAAATACCCCTATACGAATCAATCGCGATCAGCTCTGTCGAAGCTGCGTCTAGACTACGGCAGCCGGACTCACATGGGCTCCGTGGATCTCGATAAAGTCGAAACCGATCTCGTTGCACCTATCAACGGCATCCGAGAAGGCCTTTTTGAATTCCTCGATCTTTTCCGAAGTCATGGCTTGCGGCTGAGGATATCCGTCAGAGAAGGGGATCGTCGAGGCGGCTTGGACTGGTAGCGATAGAGAAGAGGCGGACATCCCGTTCAGACAACGAGATGGGACGGTCCAGACGCTCCGGTCTCGTGCTAACCGTTATCAGGCCATCCACCAGCTTCCTTGCTAGCGACATGTCCTCCCTTGACATTCTCCTTCCCCTCGCTAGCGTACAAAGCACTGGCTCTTTCCTGAACCCAAGGACTGAGCGTAGAAGCTTTCCTTCCGGCGTGTGCGAGTTGGATTCCGATAGGAACACCTTGAGAGCGGACGAAATCGACGATCCGCTTGAGCGGGGCGATCTGGCTGTCAGCCCACAACCCTGCATCCTCAGGGGATATACGCCCTTCTGGTACAACGGCAGTGGCTTCTATGCAGATGGCACCGATACCCCGAGCAGCCAACGAACCGAGGTGGACGAGGTGCCAGTCGGTGGCATGACCGTTGTCCGAAGAGTCTAAAGAGGTCGAATATGTCTAAGAGACAAGCGCTTCTGGTATCTGATCATCATGAGACTCACATTGGCACATGGGAGCCTTCAACCCAACCCACGACCAGCCGTCAGCCAGACCATCGCGCCGACGCACTGGAATCACCACAACTCACAGCCATCATCCTGTTATGAAATTTGACTCCCCGGATCTCCAGCTCTTGAAACAACCTGGGAACCTCCTTGTTCTGAGGAAACTTTTCGACATCCTTGAAGACGCTACCGATAGGTTGAGCAGGTTTCGGGATAAACGACCGGTCATACCCGGGAGCTCGGGTGGACGAGATGGAGGGCGGTGCGGTAGGTCGATCGGATGCCATGGTTGCGTACAATGTGGAGCTTGGAAGATTCGGACGGAAGAAATGTAGAGCGTGCTCAGGCAAAGAAGATGATGATGGTAGGTGAATGATATCGACCCCTTTGTACCGGATGGATGATGCAACAGTCGACAGGCTACATTAGCTGGCATCTTTGTCAGCCAACCCGAGCCATTTGTTGACAAAATGTGGAGGGTGTCGTCGGACATGGCCGCATCGTTCAATCGTCCCATGTGAAAATGCAATGCTATATATCTGATTCATTCGCTATCGCTACAAGCATCTCTTCGATCGGCCTGTGTCTACAACTCGGTCATGGAGACATCCTCTGCTCTGGCACTCTCTCCTGTCTTCTCGTTTCCTTGTCCTGAGGCGCCTACAACGCGCTGTCGGATCGTCTTCATCAAGCTCTTCTTGGTATCGTTCGCAGCCTGTTGATCGGGCTTGCCATCGGCATCCAATGCTCCGCCGATGCCACCGACGGCATTGTCGAGTTGGAGTTTGGTCTCTCCGAGCTTATATATATCTTCCTATTGATGCAGATAGAAGTAAAGGAGTCAGCTTCCGTATGGTCACGGCAGATCTGGGTGCTTCGTGCTTACCTCGATCGTGTTGACTGTGATGAACTTATAGACCAGGACGTCCCGTGTTTGGCCCTAGAACCGGTAGCATCAGTACCATGTCGGTAGCAAGTCGAGGATAGGACAGCTACTCACAATTCGGTAAGCGCGATCCATCGCTTGCTTGTCATTATGAGCTGAAAGGATGGCGGAACAGATCATCAGACACGCTGTGACTCGAGCGCAAGGATTGAGGCGCTCACGATTAAAGTCTTGATCAAAGATGACCACCATGGACGCGGCCACCAGGTTGATCCTACAAACGATGAAGTTGTCAACTTTTTTCTCCAACAAGAGGTTTCTTCGAATTTGTGACCAGTGACTCACCCCATCCCACCGGCCCGCGTTGATAGCAGGAAGACCTGGATACCCTCGTCTTCCGTGAATTCGTCCACCATACCTTGACGCTCGTCGACCTTGGTACTACCGTCCAGTCGCATGTACCGTGTGTTCAGCTTGGCGAGGACCACTTGCAAGATATTCAGGACTTGAGTAAACTATATTGTGTGGTCGATCAGTTTCGCTCCTCTCTGATAAGGGTTCCTTTGGGTTTGAGAAGACCTTGTACTCACTTGACTGAAGAGCAGCATTCTTCGGCCCTCCTTCTTGCATTGTTCCAGCTTTTCTATCAACATGGCCGTTTTTGCCGATTGGAAGAACGCGTCCTCGCAAAGTGCTGCGTATTTGTTCACGCTCTGTGCTCGGAATCCGTCAGCGATGTTGACGAGTAGACTTGATTAGGAGTTTCAACTTACGTCGTAGCGGATGGCAAAGTCGTATAACTCGCTATCGGTCATGAACTGGAACAAAGAGTAGGTGAGGGGTAATAAGCACGCGCGTCTGGCTCAACTCGAAAGTGCGTCTCACCTCCATATCCTCAACGATCAGGTCATACTCGGACGTCATGAATTCTTCCTCCTTCATACAGTCTCGAGCCATCTTGCGGATGACCTTGTCATCGTAGATTCTCCGGAAGAGCAAAGGGTGGAGGGCCGCCTTACGCAGATCCATCAGGATGTTGGACGACGCGCTCGCCTTCTGCTTGGCTTGGTTCTTCTTGGCCTTGCTCTTGGCCTTTTGCTTGCCATCCTCGTCGTCATCATCCAGTGCGGCCTGTTCGAGCTCCTCCTCAGTCTGGGTAACCAAGATGTCCCGTGAACGCTGCACGATGTCGTTGTAAAGGGCTTCCTGAGCCGTTTCCATGGGACAGGATACCTTGCTTTCCAATTTGTTGGGCAAGTCTTTCAGGACCTGACAGCATGCGTGAAGGTCGTGAGCCAAGTCCACATCCAGTCACGACAGACTCCACGTACCTGGGCCTTTCTCCGCCGCAATACAAAGGGGGTCATCATAGTCCTCGCTCTTGATACACGCTGAGAGGACAGCAGGTTGTTGGCGCCCTTTGCGTGGACCTTGAAGATTTGCCTGAGCGATGCTTCGGCATCATCAAAGATGTCTTCGTGGATGAATTTCAGCAAGGACTGTATGTAGCAAGAGCTTTAGCTGATGATAGCACGATCACGATGTTGAGCGACTTGAATACGCACGACCAGCTCTTGAAGGTTATTCTGTAATGGCGTTCCTGTCAAGAGTAAACGCCACCGAGGTCGGATCTCAATCAACTTGTTATAACGTAAGCTGTTGTAGTTCTTGAGAGTGTGCCCTTCATCGTAGATGCAGGTCTGGATGAACCATGTCAGGTTAGCAGGTGGGCTTCTCAGAAGCTCTGCGACAGGCCACTTGCCTCGAACTCGAGCTTTTTCTTCAGGAACTTCTGGTCGTCCTGCCGGAAGGCGAGATCATACGTCGTGATGAGTACCTCCAGCTCGCCGTTACGATGCTGCGTCTTCAAGTGATATCGCTGCTCTTCCCTCTCCTTTTGAGAGCCGTAATACGTCTGTACATCGATATCTGGTGCAAAGCGTTGGAATTCTCGAACCCAATTCTCCAACGTAGATGATCTGGCAGCAGGTGTGGTTGTTGGCGAACCTGAATGAGAGCATCTTATTTCATAGTACTCACGGAACCACAATCAAGTGCGAATGGCGTTTGCCTTTGCTCTTCAAGCCGGCAAGGAAAGCGATGACCTGGAAAGTCTTTCCGAGACCTGGATGGTCGGTATCAGGGAATCAGCACGTCATCTTGGCATGCTATTTATTGTGCTCTAACTCACCCATCTCATCCGCCAAAATGCAACTGAGCTCCCGCTCGTACATCATGTTGAGCCAGTTGACGCCGACGATCTGGTAATCCTTCAGCTTGACGCCATCCGCCAGTCCGGCAGGCGGCTCAGCCTTGTACGACTTCAATATTCTTCGCTTTTTCGTATCTATTTCGGTTTCGGCCATCTCGCGAAGCGCGGCAACGTCTACAGTGGCAATATGCATCCCGGTATCTTGTGATGAAATACCCAGAGCCTGAGATCCGCCCTCCGGTGTCGACGTCCTGCTGCGACCCGATTCGGCGCCTCTTCGACCACCGCCCCACAATCGCATGATATCGAGGACCTCCTTCCCGATATTCTCGCACTTGTTCAGACATCGGTCGACTTGGATGTATCCTTGCATAACCTCCATATACTGCTCGAACAGGCCCACAGAGACGCCACGCTTCTTTTGTAGCCGTGTGCGCAGGTCCTGGACCGACTCAAAGGGTCGAAGTGATATGATGATCTTGGCTTGCTCTTCCGAGCATACTGCGGTATCAAATTTCATGTCAGTTACCATATCTTCGGTTCGCAACGGACTGTCGATTCTCGACCTACCGATCGATCCAGTCAACTCCGCCGGCTCGCATGTGTTGAAGACATTGAGCGCGTTCGTCTCGTTCATGTCTTCCACATCAACACCGTAAGACCTCTTCCCTCGCGAGCCCCCAGCGACATCGCTACCATCGGACCAGTCAGCGTCGGACCCTGAATCATCCCCTCTTCTTCGCTTGGCCCCAGTCTCTACGGGTTTGACTGTTGACGAGTTACGTCCGTTGGCACCATCTCCACGCCTGTTTGCGTAAATGGCCGATTTCTGTTTCATATCTGCTCGTGAAGCAGCAGCTGCTGCGACTTGCTGATCCGGCTTTGGTAGGTATTTTGGGACTTTCCCGTCATTCAACGTAGAGATAGGTGATGAAGGTGGCTGAGCCCTGGCTGCGTTCGGGCTACCGCCAGGACCCAATGCCTTGGGTTTAGCAGGAACATAGGGTCTCCGATCCCTCATAGCGTCGAGCCTTTTCAGGAAACTCTTCCTATCACCATCACCGTGCTGAATCATGGCCTGCTCGATTTGTGAGTCCGAGAGCTCGGGCCAAAGGACTCGGTACGAGTTCACCAAACCCAATGACGGGTTACTCGATTGCGTTTGGGAAGATTTCGGACTGGGGCTGGGGCTTCCTGGAATTGCACGATGCTTGAAGCGGCTAAGGCCGCCGGGACCTAGCGGAGTCTCTGGAAGGCTAGACATCTTGGTCTTTCCTGGAGTGCCCATGTCTAAACTGGAAGTCCGTGAAAGTCCGCTAGGAGTGTCCGGGGTGCCGGGTCGAGTGTTCACATCGAGCTGCGCCATTTCGCGGCCTACGCTAAAGCTGGATCCTTCCCGAGACGTCATGGCTCGCTTCTTGACAGCTTGGCCGTTCTCATCCCGATCGATCACTGAGCTAGACATCGAAGATGGGGCTTCCGAAGTTGCCGTACTGCTACTCGAAGTTCGTGCAGCAGCATTGGCGATCAGAGTGCTGAGCGAGTCTCTGTCTCTGGGTTTCGCAGCCTTCCGGTTCAGCGAGCCGATGTGGTCGTCCCCGAGGATAGCTTCGTTGTAGCTCTTTCCCGGATGACGTTGCTGAGAGTCTTGCTGTCCATTGAAGAACTTGGACCCCACACCTCTCGGGCTGGTTTCTGTCTTGTAGGTACGACCTAGAGCGGGAGAGGAAGCGGGAGCGAGAACGACAGCCGGAGGGGGAGAGCTGGGCATCTCGTCATCCGGGTCGGGTTTAGGAATCTTTGCTGCTTTCTCAGCCTTTTCTTGCCGCCTGAGCCTGAGCTGGTCAAGAGCGTTGGTTCTGCCATCCTTTGTGGAAGTCTAGGTCGGCCGTTACGATAGTGAGCATTTGCCGGGTTAACCTGATAGCAGAACCCAAAAACTCACGCCAGACATCGTGTCTTATAGGGGTAAAGCAAAACGTTTTGCGAGTCTGTGTAGCATTAACGAGCCGATCGAGCAGACCGAATCTCCCGATTCTTCTAGCCGTGGTGTGCCGATAGCGGATGAGGAACAAGAAAGAGACTGGAGAACCGCCAGTGTCTTGGGAGTGCAGCTGTAGCACCTTGCGATTCGCAGATCTAGGGTTCGTTCTTTGGTAGTTCGGCTGCTCTAAAATATTATGAAAGGCCTTCCGGGAGATCGCAGCCGCCAAGGTATACAGTGGTCTGGCAGTGGTGATGGCTCGCAGCGATCGACGAGTAGGAATGTATCCTCAAGAAGATCTGGCTTGTGGTTACCAAATCACCCAACCAAGTGCCAAGGTCGGTCGAACAAATTGAAAGTTGAACCGCGAACGCACAGGAGTTCACGCGTGGACCGTTTTACCCCCGTTGAGAGGAGTTCTAAACGGGCTAGTTTAGACGCGCCATTTGTTAGGGGACAAATCTCTAAACGGGGGGGTACACGCGGTCACTTTAACCCCCGTTCGATGCCAGTTTATGTCGCTTTGTGGACCGGTCTCAACCGCACTCTAAACGCGCTTCGAACACGGTCTTATTGTTCTCGATTATTTGTATCCGCACCCCCGTACGCGTCGCCCCCCCCCCCTCATACTCGACCGAGAAGCTCGAATCGACTTACAACTTACTACATACTACTCGAAATCGTTATTTATCTATAAAACATCAAACAAAGTCTTTACGAACCTCTTACTAGCCCATACGAACCCCCTTACGACCCCCTTAACGTTACTATCTTTTTTTACGACCTCTCAAGATGCCTGCCGCCGTAAGTTCTCGATGTTGTTGTTTTGGGCTTCTCGGAAGGTGTTATCGAGCCTGAACAATCCCCGTTTGATGTTTGTTTCTGTCTATAGCCTAAGACTACCATCAAGGACCTCGTGAGCCTATGAGATCGTTCTGTTTGACTGCTTACTGATCGTGATCCACGGTCACACCCATCTTGACAGTTTAACACCCGTTCCACCCCCTACGAGAAGCCTGCCGACCTCGCCGCCGCCAAGACCCGGTTCGACAAGAGCCTAAGGTCCGTCAACAAGTTGGTCGAGAAGGTGTCTGATGCGGTCGGTTTGATGGCCGAAGGGAGGGAGGTTGAGAAGTTGCAGACGAAGGAGTTGGTGTCGACGTTGAAGCAGACGCTTCCTGTTCTCGGAGTCGTTGCGGCTGGGTTGGGGGAGATTCAGGGGACTTTGGTGGGCGTTCAGGCCCTGTTTGGTGAGCTCGACGAGCGCTACGAGGAGATCGAGAGGCTCCGCAAGCGAGTCGACGACTGCGAGGACAAGGCGGAATCGGCCGTCGAACAGGCCTCGAAGCCACTCGTTGGGGAGATGAACGCTGCTGGTGTCCTCCAGCTTCTTTACGGCAACCCTGAGTTCGCCAAACTCGTTCGGGACATCACCGGCAGCGCCCGCGCCTCGACCCCGACCAACGCCCAATCGGGGCCCGTTGGTGCTTCGTCGTCGTCGTCGCCGAAGAAGAAGGAGAAGGCCGGGAGGAACAAGGTTCTGGAAGTAAGCCTATTCTTGCTTGTGATGCATACGTTTAGACCCCGTTTAACCCTCGTTTTGCAGGCACACGCTCACCACACGGTGAAGCTTCTCGTCGGGATGAAGACGAAGTTAACCGGCACCCACCCGGAGTGGAAAAACGACGGTTTAGACCCCGCTGTCTTCCCCGTTCCTCGCGGCGACGGTCGACAGACCGTCAAGATCACTCGACCGGAAGGGAAGGTGACGTTTTGGCGCCCTGACTGGAAGAACGTGAAGAAGCCGTGAGTCCCTAAACGCACTCCAAACGGACTCAACTAACGTGTATCAAAACAGGGAATGGGCACCCTTCATCGACGCCTGCGTGGCCAACGTCAAGAACGATTGGGAGGAGTTCAACGGGGATCAACCGGTCCCTGGACGGGATACGATAGTCACCGCTATCTATAAGTACGCGGAGACGATTCGGACCAAGGCCGGTCGAGCCCCCCAGAACTCTGAGGCTGGTGGAGAGTCGAGGGTGACGTGGTCGGACCGTCAATCGCTGAAAGTCAGTCCCGTTTAACCCCTGTTTGATGCCCGTTTCTGTTTTCTAAGATCCTTCTTCATCTCCGTATAGACCTGCGCCGACCGAGAGAAGATGTGGGGGAAATCGATCCTCCATGACTGTCAAAAAAGGGCCGTTTATAGGTACTTAAGGCAGAGGTGCTTCGCACCGTCGTTCTACAAGGCCGACGAGCCAGGGCTCGACGCGAGGTACCCCGGGGTTCCCGACATGGAACGGCCCGCGAACGGGGATCAAGAGGCCGAGGATATCGGGGTCGACGCGTGGCAAACGTACCGGCGGATCGTACTCGGTAAGGAGAAGGCCGAGAAGGCTTGGGAGGTCGTTTGGCCGAGTTGGATGTCCGACGAGGTATGTTCCAGCCTGTTCAGACCCCGTTAAGATACCGATTGTGTTTGAGTACTTACTCGATAACATTATCTCTTCCTCTTCCTCTCGTTCGATACTCTGCCTCGTCAACCCCCATCAAACACACCATCAACTACCTGCATCAGGCTATCAAAGCGGCCAGTGTGATCGACCGGGAGTTCGCAGTGACTCAAGAGGGGAAGCAAGCGACCTGGCGCAACCGTTGGTGTGGTCCCCGACGCTTCTGGCCCATAACGGACCTCAAACGGGACGACTTGGCCCCCCCTTCGGCCAACGACTCGAACGTCCCCAACGAGAGCGACCCGAGGCTGTGGGTGATCTACCGGTCGATGATTCGCCAGGACGTTCGGACGAAGATCCAGACCCAGAAGCCCGAACTTTGGGCCCGTATATACCCCGATCCGATACCGTCTGCGAACGACGCCGCGATGAAGAGTCTCGACGAGTGGCTCGAGGAGGGCGCGAACGTCGCCATTCGGGACACGATCGGGGTCTATCAGAGCCCGGTTGGGGCCACTTTAAACTCGTTCGAGCTCAAGGCCGCCGCCATCCAATTCTACAAGGAGGATACCGGCGTCACCTGCACTTGAGGTTCGTGCGAGCAGTGGGGTCTGAACTGACACTAAACGGGCCGAGTCAGCGGCGATACGACGACGTGTTTTTTCTTGTGTTCGACTTACGTTACGGCCTTTTTTCACGACCAAGTAAGTATACGACGTCTTTTCTCACGACGATATGGGGGCCAACGCAGGCAATAGAGGCGGGTTTAGAGCCCGTTTTATAATGTTAACTTACGAGGTGCTGTGTCTTTTTACGAGTTCTTTACGACATGTATCAATATCTGTTTGTAGCATATATAGAAGTCTTTGGGGTCCGATTAATGAGCGTTCGATGTCCGTTCAGACGTTTTGAGCGCTCACCTGAGAAGCGATCACTTATCTGCTATAAGATACTAAGCTCGTAAGCGATTCCGAATCGATTTATCATGATTAACTAGAAGGCCTCAAACGGTACCCAAACGAACAACAAGACGGCCTGTTTGATGAGAAAGTCTTTTCACTGGCTCGATCAAGTCGGATCAAGTCAGACCCTAGTGCAAGGAATACTAGCCCATACTAAACGGGGGTCATTCAGGGTTGGATTGGCCCGCATCGATCGCAAGGTGACGGGTCTCAAGGCAGTGAGAGTGTGTGTATTCAGTTCCCAACAACAAGGCTCCTCTTCGAACTGGTTGGGTTCCCACATTTGTACACCCAGATTGGGGCTACATAAGAGGGTGGTTAACACGAAGCTGTGAGAGTGATTGGTCGATTGATACTGACTGATCTGAGTAGACGTGCTCGGTCTCTCCCCTGTAAGCAATGCTTCTACGGCCTAGAAGCAGTACAAACTCCCGCGATTGACCCCCGTTTGTGGCAGCCTTCACCGTAAGGATGTTATCCAGCAATATCAAGGATGGCGAGTCATAGGTACAGTAAAGTACGTTGCGAGAGGGCTGATAAATGGCCATTCGATCCCTGAACGACTCCAAGTTGGCAGTTGTAGGATCAGCCTTCAAATTCCACGTATTGAAGCCTTTGTAATGGGTGTCCAATCGGGCATGTTTCTTGACCATTCGTTGGATGAAATAGGTGTTGTCCAAGTCTTCCCCTTGAGGTACTTCAGCCCCTCGTTCACGGAAGGCGTAAGTAACATTCCCGTCATTTTGTTCACTGTTCATGAGAGTTTGGAGTACGATAGGACGCAGGTTGGGTTCAAGATAGGACAGCGGTGCTGGAGTAACCTTCAGTGGACCAAGAAGTCGGCCGTTCAGGGACCGATAAACGCCAGCTTCTACTTGGGCTGCGTCGGCTTGCATCTCGGCATAGAGCTCTGAAGCAGATGACCCACGAGCCTGGTCGTTCTTTAGGAAACCTGACTGGAACGAGGCCAGTTTGAGTACCGCTTCTTGATCTTCTGGATGTTCTGTGTAGCGTGACAGGACTGATTGTATGAGACCGGCTGTACTGGCCTTTAAACGGGCATTGATTGCAGTAATTTCGAGGGTCTTTTTGTTGGTGTTGCCATTCTTGATGCACTTGCCGCATCGCTCGCCACACATACACCAGTGCGAGTAGATAGGCCCATGCGCCCTGATGTCGTCTATAATGTGTATTAACTGGTGTAGGTTACGGGTGGCTCTAAGGCCCGGTCGGATCTTAAGGGCCAGAGGTACCAAGCGCTTGATCAACTTCTCTGCTTCTTGCAGCTGTATCTCACTGATTTCGGGCCTGATTAAGACCAGATTGATGCCCGATAGTAGAAGCAGCATCTCGACCTCTTCTGGGGTGATCCGAGTATTTGACTTTCCCCTATTGGTGGTGTTTCGGGCCTCGTTCGAGCGGGATAAGAGGGCAATTTCGGGGAGAATCAATGGGACATAAAACTCCATGAAGCACCGCCACTGAACGGCCGACATTGACCCCCCTTTGAGGTCCGAAAATGTCGATGGCAGACGTGGGAAGACAGATCGATTGCTAGGCGTAATCACCTGTGCAGATGTATTGAAACTCAGCATAAACGCACATTAAACGGTCCTTTAAAGTTCCACTCACAGTGCCGATTGTATCTTTGATCAAAGACAACTGATGGGCTGTCAGAGTCAATGGTTTATCACCGACTCGATCATCCAGTCGTAGGGTAGCAACGCGGGGGGGACGGGGCCCAAACAGGCCTTGCGAACCACGTGTAGAGCCCTCTCCATTTGACTCCACATCATCAGTCTCAGTTTCCGATGCCGATCGATTTCCAGACTCAACCGGGCCTTTGTCGGTCTTGTATTCGCCCTGAACAACGCATGATCGCCAAAGAGTCTTGTTCACGCCCAAGAGGATGTTGTGCATGGCATCGAAAACGCCAGCAACTGCAGTCGCCACGTAGGGGAGGAGATACAGGGCGCTCAAGTGGCCCGGTGAAGGCCTGTTTTGAGGTAGATTGGCTACACGTTGTGCAGCTAGCCTGCTGAAAGGCATGGGGCGATGAGCGGGGGGTATTCGGGCCCCTAACTCGCGCGGTTGAGACCTGTGTGTTTCCCGACCTGCGTCAAACAAGATTTGAAGATTTCTTTGGCGTTCTTCGTGCTCTAAACGGGCCTCTTCGACCGCCGCTGCGACTCGGGTTTCACTCTCTAGAAAATCACGAGCCTGTTTGACCGAATCTCTAGGCTCCCCAACTGGAACAGCCGTCAGCGATACATGTGAAACTGGAACGAGGATCAAACGCACCTTGATTGGCCGCAAAACCATCCTCAGTAAGGGTGCATCGCGTACAAATGTGATCCTTCGACATCTGTCCGGTAAACCCAGCGAGCGACGTGAAGGCTGGCCTATCACAACTGATTGTGGCCAGATAAATGCGACATAAGACCCCGTCTGGGTGCTTTGGCGTCCTGATCAAAACTGGCTTTTCCCAAGTCCGACGAAGTTGCATGATGATCGGAAGCATGAATTGCCAAAGGGTCATTTTACTGGGTTCTTTCGGGCCTGTTAAGAGTACGTTTAAACCCAATGTACACGAATGGCTAGCGATCAACAAAGCTTACCTGGAGTCAAACCGCAACACATAACCATGGCCTGAAGCCCCCTCATTGACTGCGGAAGATTGCCCATTTGGAGTAGGATTGGGCCGACAGAATATCCAGGTCCATGCGATGACGAGTTGATGTTGAGCCAGTCGAGAGACAGATTCACAAATATCTCTTTTACCCCTTCAAACGGGCCCTGATCCACCCTGTTCCCGTCAGGATCGAGCAGTGAATGTAAATATGAGCCATCCGTCTGGTCCCGGTAGATTTTCAGGTCGGGGTAATCATGTTGAGCCAGTTGGGTGTCGACCTCGTGCCTTTCACGCCAGTTAAAGGCCAGTTCTTCTACCCCTGGGTATGCTAGCAGTCTCTCAATCTCGCTGGTGAGGGGAAGTGTCGGAAATACTGCAGGGGTAGATGGTCCTCTAGTTGAGCCCGGTTGGGCCCAGTCTAGGCCGCACTTCGGGCACTTCTCTACCCCCTGCAAAGCCCCAGCGGCAGTCGACATCGTGGTAATTTCATACAGCACTGCTTGACAGTCCTTGTTTGGGCAAACAGGATGGGCGATTGTAGACAGATCGATGCCCATTCGCTTGCGGACTGTTTTGAGAGTTTGTGCGGGCGAGTCGTCGATGATCTGCTCGTCGGTGAAGTCTCTTCGGGCCTTTAACAGTGTCATATTGGCCACACAAATCATGGCTTTGAGGGCGTATTCTGCTTTATCCCTAGGTACGCCGACAGCCTCCAGCGTAAGCGATACCGTGTAGATGAACCTTTCGACAAAAGGCAAATCGGCCGTTTGTTGGTCGCTAATCAGACCTGATAAAGGCTGACTAAGGGGGCTGTCTTGCAAGCACTGAGGAATATCGTTCGGCCAGATGTCGATCATGTCGTGTAGACCAGGAGCTGTGTGCAGTGCTGGGCCGGTTTGGTCCGTTCGATGGTCATTTGAGGACCGTTCCACATCAGGATTGATGTTCTCGGGGAAGTCATTGAAGGCCCGAAGATGATCACCCAGGGACATTTCTGCTGGTGCTTCAAACGGTGTATCAACACCCTCTGATTGGGGTGTAATAGGCCGCATTTCTGGCTCTTCTGGCTCAGGGGGAGCTGGAGGGGGGTGAGTCGCTGCGGCGAGTCGATCCAGATCTCTCTGCCTGGCAAATTCCCGGTTGTCAATCAGGGTCCATTCGGCCACTGAATGGGCGTAATAAGTCCGTCCTAAGATAGCGACGCCGCCCGGTCCACATTTGGTACAGTAGCACTTGCCAAATTTTCGCTTTGGCTGATGCTGGTAATCAGTGGGGGTTCAGAGAGGCCCGTTTGACGACCATCTAGCGTACCACTCGTTTCAATATCTCGTCCAACCCAAGTGACAACGGGTACTGTTGATCCCACCTTGGAGCGTTGTGTCTAAAGCCGCTCATTGTTGTCAGTTTGAGGTGGGTTTAGAGTACCTTTGTAGGTCGATTACTAGGATTTGGTACAAGTGGTAAAGTGAGAGGTATGAACGTATGAACATAGTTGGTCTTACATGAATGTAGAACAGGTCGAATACATGCCCGGTTAGGCCCCAAACAAGGCTGACGTAAGCTTGACTTTTGATAAGCCCTAAACGGACCCCAAACGGGGTTTAGTTCGCGACATGAAAATTGCGGAAATTTGCGGAGAGTGCTGGAAAAAAGTCATTTCTAAACGGGCATCAAACGGACCGCGCGTAACGTCTAAACGGGCCCCTCGCCCCGCTGTGACGCCAAACTCTCGCGACCGAAAGCTTTCACGCGACGGAGTGAGGTCCGGCCACTTCTCATCAGCAGCAGCCAGCAGCAGGCAGGGGATAGCGATCCAGAATGACCCGTGAGATTAAGATGACATATTCAATACAAAGCGCCTGGAGCGCACGCTCGTGGAACGTCGTATATACACGTCGAGAAGAAGGTATCGGTAACATATGCCTGTGAGACTATCCATGCGTCGTGTTTGTGTGGGAGAGAGAAGAGCTGCGGATATGCAAGGTTGTATGTGCCATGCCATGTGTGCGGATATGCGTGAGGGGAAGAATAGAGCGCAAATCGAAGATGAGGATAGAAAGTGGAAAATCCTGGTGACCACAAGTCCGTCGGATTGCCGTTTTTTTTTTTGGTGTGCCCATCGATGCTCGCTCCCATCCGCTCATGTAGACATGGGTGCAAGCGTCGCAGAAGCCTTTTTGAGAGGTGTAAGGGCTGGAGTCATCGCACCAGGGGTATGCGAGACGGGTGTCGCAGCGGTACTTCGGTTGAACTTGAGACTGTAAGAGAGGTTGTCGGATCAGTATTGCCTAGCGGATGGCAAAAGGGGTCCTGATTTTGAGACCTACTGTGCCGAGATCAACTGGTTCGCTGCGAGCGCCGACATCAGACTCAATTCTCCTGCCATGACGGCGGCGCAGATAATCCTGGCCAGACGACGAGCGTTGGCACCCGGTTCGGTAGGGTGTGCACCCGCCACGCCCAAGAATTCGAGCATGGCGAACTGAGGTCCAAGGATGGTTCCGCCTCCAACGGTACCGACTTCGATACAAGGCATCGAGCAGCTGATCATCAAGTCTTGATCGTCGTTGACGGCTTCCATCAAGGTCATGCACATGGAACTCTCGACGTTCTGAGCCGGATCCTGACCGGTGGCCAAGAACATCGCCGTAAGGATGTTGCTGGCGTGCGCGTTGAACCCTCCGATAGATCCAGCCATAGCGGAACCCATCAGATTCTTCTTCCAGTTCAGGTTGACGAGAGTCTTGACATCGGTCTTCAGAACCGACTTGACAACGCTACCGGGAATGATGGCCTCGGCAACCACGCTCTTGCCTCGGCCTTCGATCCAATTGATAGCTGCAGGCTTCTTGTCGGTACAGTAGTTTCCAGACAAGGCCAAGATCTTGGCTGTCGGGAACTGCTCGCAAAGCGCGTCTAAGGAAGCGTTCGAAGCCTTTCCAGCCATGTTCATGCCCATCGCATCTCCGGTCCTCAGGGTGAATCGGATGTAAAGCGTTCGACCGGCCAAGGCACACTTGAGCGAGATCAACTTGGCGAAACGCGAAGTCGACTCGAAAGCGGCCTTGAGAACCTTGAAACCGTCGCCCTCTTCGATCCAAATCTTGGCCGAGGCCGCCTCTTGCAAACTACCGAATTCCACTGCAGGTCCACGGGTCATTCCATCCTTGTGCAAGACGGTCGTGACACCTCCACCCGAATTGAGGGCCTTGCAGCCTCGAGAAGTCGAAGCTACCAAGGTCCCCTCGGTAGTAGCCATCGGGATGTGGGTCGAGATGCCGTCGATGTTGAGGGGTCCAGCAATTCCGACAGGGATCGGCATATATCCGACGACGTTCTCGCAACAAGCACCGATGATGCGGCTGTAGTCATAGTTGGCCATGGGAAGGTCAGACGCCTCGAGCGTTCTCGTCACGGACGCACGCGACATGACCGCTCGTCGAATCTTAACAGCACGTTCAAGATCCTTGAGACCCTTTTCAAGTCCGTATCCGGGAATCTTGCCCTTTTCGACGAGCAAGATGACCTCTTCGTCAGACAAATCGAAAGCACCCAATCCGCCGGCGTAAATCTCCCAACACTCTTCCAAGCTTCGTCGGCCAATGTGCGTCGAGCGGAGCTCTATAGAAGAATTGTCATCGTCATCGTCGGCGTCCGTGTTGGTGATGATAGTAGTAGGGTACGGGACGCGGGGAGTATCGTTAACAACGAGACGACCGACTTCGGCCTTGGGATCAGGTCTAGGTTTGCCACCGTCAGATCGAGGAGTTGCCTCGCCCGATCGGATGTCGTCTCCAGTCTTTCCGGTCTTGGGTACCGGTGTCGAACCGGCGGACGCTCCGCGAGATTTGTGAGTGACGGGATCGGCGTGCTTGATATGATCGAGCTTGTGCTGATGCGAAGCTCCACCTTCCTCGTCAGAATCGGTCTGACGGGTGTTGCTGAAGCGTTCGAGTTGAATGCCACCGCTCCATCGACGACGGTTCCTCAAAGAGTCTCGGTTCATCGAGGTTGGGTCCCAGACACCACCGGCGCCGACGAGCCTGGCAGCAGCTGCAGCGACGGCGACGGGCCCGGTCGATTGACTCGGTGCGGAACCGCTAGCTATACCCTTCATCAGGTAACCGTTGAGCAAGATGCTGACGAACAAGGCGACCACGATCCACTTGCTCAGCACAGGGTCACCAACGAGACTGGTCCAGCCTGACATGAAGTGATCGAGCGAAGCCATTCCCTTGCTTCGGTTGAACTCGAGCGGAAGACCAGTCCCGATGTCGACGGATTGCAACGTCGGGTTCGAGGCAAGGGCGATGGCGTGAATGGCAGGCAGGATCTCGAGGGTAACCTTAGCGTCGACGCCAAAGATCGAACCGTGCTTCTGCACCCAGGCGAGATCCTTGTTGACCGGCAGAGGCCCAGTCGGGGCGACGTTGCGCTTGACCGCGGTATGTTCGGCGAGCGGAGTACACAGGTTGGCGACATGGAGCACAAGGAAGGCGACAATCTAAGCGATGTGTTTCAATCAGTGATCAGTCTCAGCCTCAAACAAACTTGGTCAACCGAACTTACCAAGGTCAACTTGAGCTTTCCGGCGGGACTCCTCTTTTTCGCTAGATCGCTGACATTTTCGTTCAAGTTGGATCCCTTTTGACCGATCAACGCGTTCTTCCATTCGCTAGGCCTGAACAACAACGACGTCGGAGAAGAAGAGGCCGACGACGCAGTGTCCTCCTTGACAGGGGAGACGGGGATTAGTCCGGACGAAGACGACGGGGTGACCGAGCTAGTCGGTGCGTCGAACAAGGATCCTCGTCGGTTGGTGGTTGACGGGGTGAGTTTCCTGGCAATTTTGATCCTGTGAACCTCCACCATGACGGTGAGGATGGCGATATAGAACGTGAACAAGCACACGCAGTCCATGACCAGAATCAAAGCGGCGAGGTGACAGAACTCTTTCAATCCTCCAATCCCGCTGGCCCCACCAAGACAGAGTACGGCAACCTCGATAGCGTAGTCTCTGACGATCCCCGTACCGACCTTCTTCACGGCATCGATGACGATAAACTTGGCTCCGATTGGTGCAGCCCATCGAATGCTGCGATCCTTGGCCTCGGCGATCTCTCGTTGGATCCTCGCGTGTACGGCCAACTCTCGATCGAGCGCCGACAGGTCGAGGTCGTTGGCAAACCCGTTGGGCTGGGGCGTCGTCTCGTCGTGATCAGTTCCATCCTGTTGTGAATGCGCTCCCGACTTCCTGGCTCGTTCCTTCTTCTCCAGAGCAGCCTTGGCTTTGGCGATGAACTTTTCCCCGCTCAAATCCGGGACGGGCGCGGCTAGAGGTGCACGTACGGGTGCGATTTCTGGATTGTTGAATACGGCTCGGGCGAGGAGGAAGGGCTTGTCGAACCCGACGGTAATGACCAAGAAGGGCAAGGCTTCCGAGAGCGAGATCAGGTCGACGGGGAAGCTGAGGAGGTAGGCCGAGAATATCGCCAAGAGGAACCCAAAGGTGGACGAGATCAGTGTGGCCGAGGCTGTCAACCAGTAGCAAAAAACACCGTTTTCGAAATGTTAGCTATTATATGCAGACATCATCCACCCTCCCCAAAGAAGGTACTCACGCAACCAGAAACTACTCCCCATCTTTCGCATGTTGAGGAACAACCTCACAAACGTGAAGTGCATCAACACATAGCCCAAAAGCACGACAAAGATGTCGGCAGAATCGGCATTCTTGGCCAACATCCAGAATCGGGTGACCAGCGCCCTCAGCGCATAGGCTAGGAACTTGATGTGCCTCGCCGGGTTGGTCTCCGTTCCCGGGATGTGCGAAGCGGAGTTGGAAGGCGTCACAGGGAGACCCGACCCGTGTTCCTGCGCCGAAGAGGAGGACGAGGGGAAAGGAAGATGAGCGTGATGTTGTTGCTGTTGTTGTTGACGATAAGCTCTGCGCTGGGAAGGCGTAAAGACGTCGTTGTTCGTCCTCGTAAAGATCGACAAGCTGGAGTACGGGTAAAGACTGAAGACTGATTCTCCTCCTAGTCGTTCCTCCGACCTCCCGGCACCTAGTCCCGAGGACAAGACCGATGACGATGATGCCGATGGCGACGAGAACATACCCGTCGACAGAGGGATGACGGAGAGGACTATCGAGTTCGTAGCGTCCACGCCAAGGGTAACGTGTTGCAGCTCTCTGAGCGTATCCAGGTATTTCCGACCGAGGGTATCATCGCGTAGGAGGAAGGTGACGACAACATCTTCTGATTCTGCCGTCGAGGCCGAGGAATGGGTAGAGGTCGTTTCCACAGGCACGTCCAGGCAGTCCGAAGAAGAAGAAGTAGGTGATTTGTAACAGACATCTTCGTACCCCACCGTCGTCCCTTCCTTGACGTCCACGATCAACCTGAGCGCTTTGAGCTTTTCATCCAGACTCGCCGACTCGGTGTTTGAGCCGCCGGCGACGATGAAGCGTTGCACCAAGACGTTCTTCAACCCGCTAAGAGGAGAAGACGGTGAGAAGATGTCCGAGTTGTCCAGGTCCGAGATCTGGGTCCATTTGTTTGCGGGATTAGAGGGAGTAGAGAGGTGTAATGTGGGGACGTAATAAGTCGATGGGACGGCCGGTGTTGCCGAATGGTCCGGGAGCGTAAAGCTGTAGATGCCACAGAACAAACGGAATATAGCGAGCAAAAGAATAAACGGCTATTAGTTCGTCTGCCCGGCCTCCAAACGATACCAAGCACCACCAAACACCAAGATAAAACGCCTCTCTCCTCCAAGGTTCGTGGACTCACAATTCGCTACCCTCGATAGCGTGCAATAGCTGAAAGTAGACCAAGGTGACGAGCACGAAAAAGGTGGTGATGGCCTCTATGGGCGCGGCTGCTGCCGGCGCGGCGACTGCACGCAATAGCTGGCGAATCATCCTAGAGATCCTCCTCGATGCCTCGATCTGAGGTCGGTAGGCAGGGTGTTGCTAAAGAGACAGACGAGATGCAACCTATGGAGTCGAGGCGATCGTTGTTGATGTCGATGATGTTGATCCGGAGAATAAAACGTGATGTGATTGCTTTTGAATGGAGGTGCGCACAAAAGAAATACGAGCGAGCGATCCCGGGGGCGCGTCTGCTAAATCGCGGGGGTTCCGTGCCAATCGACGATCGACGAGATTGCTACCCAGCTGTAGGTCCACCAAGTGCTAGATGCTAGATGAGCGTACAGGTAGACAACCTCTACCGAACGTCCCGATCTATCGTTGTGGCGATGTCCAAGGGCAAAAGTGGAACGACCCGGTGATTCCAACCCTGGCTGACACCGGGCTCTCAATACCATGCGCACATTCATATCCTGTAGAGGCCTCTAGCGTTTTTAGATACGCGTCGCCGTAACAAACCCCCCTTCCCCCATAAGTTTACCACGCGACGACCGGAAGGATCAAGAGCAAGGGGAAACGCCACGATCACGTAAATAAATGAACGCGCCGACCGCCGAGGGTGGAGGTATCCCGGGGCAAGGTGGCGTGAATCCAATCGTACCACCTCGATATATCATCGATATGAACGCTGTCCCGTCACCTATGAAACTCTATCAGATGGATCGATTGACGGGTGGCAAAGGTAATCAGACAAGCAACAGGCACTGATCAAATGAGTGCTGCAGCCCAGATCCTTCCGTCAGCAATCACTGATGCTGGGATCAGTAACAACGTTGTGGATTTGCGATTGTCTGCGGTCAAAAGTCTCGACCTTCGATTCTGGTCCGTTACGGCCAGTTCTGAAGGAGAACAGCGATAGTTGCTGGATGTTCACTGTTCATGAACGAGACTTGGTGCAATCTTGTTCCGACACGTATCCATGTCTTTCGGACTCGGTAGATTGCATATTTGATTATCATGTCGAAAAGCCATAGATACTTGCCTCGATCGATACACACGTCCTTGTAGACGCGAAACCCCCTGTAACCCCTTGCTCTCCCCGCTTGCATTCTTGTCAGGCCATCACCAACCTGGATCCTCACTGCGTCTTTTGCTTCTTGTTGCCTTCTTCCTGCACGGGCTCGGGAGCGACCTCGTCCACCTTTCTCTTCCCCTCCCTCCCGACCCTCTCGATCCCTTCCATGACCTCTTCTGCGGCTCCGACGACGTCCTCGACGGTCGACCTCGTCATGTCCTTGCCCTCCTCCATCACCTCGTCTACCAACGCGGTACCTGCCTGGACCGCAGCGCTGTATGCCCCCTTGGCCTTCTTTTCCGCATTCTCGACCAGTCCCTCGGCCAAGGAGGTGGTTTTCGACAAGTCGTCAGCGACGCCCGTCAACGCCTCGACCCCACCTTCTGTCAACTCTTTACCCTCTTGCATGACCTCGGCATAGACCCCCTCGGCGGTCCGTTTCAACGCGCCGATCGTATCCCTCAACGTGTCCTGCCCGGCATGTTGAAGCTTCTCGATTGCCTCTCCCGCCGAACGCAAGGTCTCGTCCATGCGGTGTTTCATATCCGACGCGGCCTGTTCGGCACGTTCGACCAGGTCCTTTTCCACCGACTGGGCAGTCTGGGCGGCAGAGTCGGTAGCGGTGGAGACGCTCACAGAGACCTGATCGGCAGCAGAGGAGAGGGCGGATTGGGCCTGGGCACCGACATCCATAAGCGCAGATTGAGCTTGGACGGCTTTCGCGGCGAGGACATCGGCAGCTTGGTCAGCCTTGTCCGCCAGGACGTCTGCTAGCCCACTGGCCTGGTCTACTATGACGTCCTTGGCCTTGGTGGCTTGTTCCAGTGCGACTTGTTTCGCCTGTTCAGCCTGATCCAGAGCGACCTCTTTGGCCTTCCCGGCTTGGTCTAGGACGACATCCGCGGTCTTACCAGCCTGGTCCACCGCAACCTCCTTCCCCTTGCCAGCCTGATCGGCAACAGCATCCCCTGCCTTCTTTCCCTTTCTCCTCACCATCCCCGTCAAGTCGTTGACCTTGGGCGCCACCTGCTCAGCCACCTTTTGACCGGCCCCAGCGATGGAAGAAGCGACATCGGCGTTCTTTACAGCGTCTACCCCGCTCTGCACGGCCGAGCCGATAGAAGCAGGGATGTCCGTCGGGGCGTTTCCGAGGAGGTGAGCGACGGATTCTTCGACAACGTCTCGCTGTTGAGGCGAGGTCTTCAGGTCTTCCAGCTGTCACCAGATTCGCAATCGAGAGTCAGCGTCCCAAACCAAAATAGATGAAGGAGCGACGCGGTCTCACCTTGGCTTCCAAGTCTCCCAACTGTTCTTGCAAATCCTTGCTCTTCTTTTCCCTCTCCTCGTCGGACAACTTGATCCCAACCTCCTGCTTTTTTCCCTTGCCCTTGCCCGCTGACCCGTCCTTCTGCTTCTTATCAGGATCCTCGCCGCCATCGACGATCCCCTTTCTCATCCTCACGCTCTCGATCGCCAACCTGACGTTCTCCAATGCCTCTTCCCTCCTATCGGGGATGTTCTCGAGGACGATGGCGAGTTTGTAATGGGACGAGGCGATCTCACGGGATGACGAGGGAAGGGCGGTGGAATACGATTCGAGGGCGGATTTGTAGTCTTCAACGGCTTGCGGAAAATTTTCTGCGGGTCATACGGAGCGAATGTTGGTCATGTCGAATCAGCCTTGAGACATCACCGAAGTCCTCGACAACCGAGAACGACCGGAAACTTACCGTTCTCCAAACTGACATCCCCCAAGAGTCCGAAACACTCTCCCAACTCCCTTCCTACGTCCTCGCCAGAAGACTGGCGCTTTTGGTATAATATCCGTGCGAGGTCGAGGATCTCCCAGGCGATGGTGAAATCGTCGTCTTCCGTCTCTTCCTCCTCCTCTTGTTCTTCGGCAGGTTCGCCTGAAGCAGATGCGGTAGGTTGGTTGGTAGATGGGCCAGCTGCGGTACAAAGGAGGTCGTGAGAGGGTCATTCCAGGTAAAGTCAGCATTGAACGACTTTCTCCAGTCCTAACCGCCTGAAAGGACAGACAGCTTTGCTCACCCTCTTCCTGTCCCTCATCATTTTCTTTCTCGGGCTCTTCTTTCCCGAGCACTCCCTGGTTCTCGATAGCGATCTCTACCAACGCTTTTCCGTAAGGCAGGAGCAGAGGAGCGGATTCAGGTGCCGAGTCGCCGTGCATCGATCGCCTGGATCGCAAATCGTCCGATACGTGCACATGAACACGAACAAACACGCAAAGGTTAGAAATTTATCATCATACAGACGGAAAAATTTGCGAATATGTTGAGGACATGGACTATGTAGAGCAAGAGGCCAGACTCACATGATCTCCAAGGCCGCGGCATATTTCTCTACGGCCCCCTCCCAGTCCGAGAGCGCCAGGGCCTTCTTGCCCTGTTCGACGAGCTCGTTGCATTTGATCTGTTCTGCGGACATGATAGCGAGGTGTTGAGAGTCTGATCTGTGTGAGGGATGTATGTTTGTCGCCAAGGGATGCAAGGCAGACTGAAATGAAGTCGTCATGCACGAGTATTCTGCCCTTTGAGATGAGAGGATGAGAGGTCGACGAACTGGAAACGCGTCGCGTCTTACGCGTTTGAGTGGCCATGAGGCGGACATGATAGTATCATAGGATGTCCGGGGCGAGAGAATACACCTTGATGTCCGTCAAACCTCAGCCCCTGGAACCGATGAGCAGCAGTAGCAGGGCAAAGGGGTCGAGGAAATATCCGTCTTGGATCTTGGACAACTTCAGATGACCTGAACTTGATGTGCTACACTCTCGATCGATAGCAGCACTGCTAGACCTTCATCTACCATGTCATCAACGACGCCCCGAATCGTACGGACGGCCCTTCGCTCGGCGTCGTCCGTCAAACCTCGACGACTCGCTCTCCGCCATGCCTCGAGCTCGACATCTCCAGCATCCACATCCTCTGGAGACCTCTTGCTCGACATCCTCCCCCCACGCATTCAACCTCTCATCTCCAAATCTTCCGCCAAACGTCTCCTCCTGCCCCAATCGTCCAAGATCCCCTCTACCCAATCTCAATCCGGCAACGAACTCCCTCCTCCCAACGCACCCAAACATGTACAGATCAACCATCCTACCAGGTTGTTCCAGCCGCCTTCCGGTCAGCTGAGACAAGAGTTGTTGGGAGGATTCACGGAGGCTCAAAACAAGGAGGCGGTCTTGAGTACTCTGACGGGGATGAGCACGGACGAGATTAGGGGGTTGAACAGGTATACGGTGATTATCAAGCGGGTAGTCAACATGACCAAGAAGGGTAAAATGTAGGTCGTCCCCGCTTTACTTCTTTGATACTACTGCTCTTATTGATCGTCAGCTATCAAACCCCACTTCCTCCCCTCATTCCTCTCCGCATTCTCCAGGCCCTCCCTCTTCGCAATGGTAGTAGTAGGCTCCCCCTCCCGTGGCCTGGTCGGAATAGGTAGAGGTCGAGGCGACGCAGCCCCGGTCGCCATGGATTCCGCTTTTCAACGAGCCGTCTTGAGTATGGACCACGTGGACAAGTTTGAGGGGAGGACGCTCTGGGGAGCAGGAAAAGATCTGAGGAGCAAGTGGGGTAGTACAGAGGTCATCATGAGGGGGAGACCGGCTGGTGAGTCGACTATCACAGCCATCTGGTGTTGTAACTCGTTCACTAACTTGGACTTGTTATTGCGCGTTTGAAGGATTCGGACTGGCGGTACCCCCTACCCTGCATCGACTCTTGACGGCCTGCGGAATTCGAGATTGCTCAGCGACCATCAAGGGGTCGAGGAACCCTATGCAGACGCTCAAGGCGGCCATTCAGATTTTGCACGGAGGGGTGAGTGCCGACGCTGTCTCTGAGTTTCTCGGTCTTTACTGATACATGGTTATCGTTGTGTCTTGAAACCGACAGTCCGGCGCTCCAGGATTCGGGGACGGGACGGGTAAAAAGGGTCAGAGGAAGAACAAGGGCGTCGGGATGAGGGGCAAAGAGGCGATCGAGCGGGAACGTGGGAGGTTTGGGGTCGAGGTGGGGAGGAGGTTGTGAGCATCCTAGAGGGGTTATATATCATGGCATAACTCATTTCGAGGACCGACGAGAAGTGGGTGTGAGACGCGTGTGAGAGAGAGAGAGAAAGACAGTTGGTGCTAGGTTGGGTCGAGCCGGATACCACCGAACAGGACGACTGATCTCGAACGGATGCCATCGATGAGTATCATGAAAGATCTGACCGTTATCTTACTTGACAATCGATGCAGTCCAGGCTCATCGTTCGCGGGCGCTGCGAAAGATGACCAGGAAAGCTGAAGAATAAAAAGAAGGACACATTGTTCTGCCTATCAATCGTAATCTTCTTCCCACGCACGCTTGTTTCATGAGCCGAAGACCAAGTCGCCTGGACTTGATCTGAGCCGGACTGGAGCGTTTCGGCGTGGAGATGTCGCCGTACCAAGAGGCAACAGGTCATATGCACGACTACATACCGAAACCCGATGCTCGTCAATGCAATGATATTCCCGCTCCGGGTCCGACGAGGCAACCAGGCTACCCGCCGGATATTGCACTCCTGTCTGAGACGAAGTGTCTCGCATTGAGCAGCGATATCCAGACATTGATGCCGAGGAAAACCTTTTCTGTGCCGCTAGTCCAGTAGCGGTGCCCTCGCCGGGCCAATCGACGGATATTGAACTGGTATTTAGTCGCCTGATAGCTCCTGGCGTCCTAATGAGGGTGTGAGCGGTACCTGAGAGAGGGGGGCCTTGGATTTGTGGGAATGTCGTGAACTCGCCGACGTTACTAACCACTACCTCGCCGACAACTAGCGTTCTCCACTTGCTGGTTATGCAAAAGATCAGAGCTTATGGCAACAGTTCACCTGACTTCGTTGCTGTCCGTGGACTGTTCCCACTAGTCCTCTTTATACAAGCCCACGACGAGGTTGGCAGCTGGATGCTGCTATATTCATTCGAGATTGGATGAAATGTCATTGTGGTACCTGCCGAGGACAAAAGTCTCCGATCTAAGGCGGCGGAGGTCGGTACCGCTACGACCGTCTTTGACCTCAATGACAGGAGAGATCGCAAAGATTGCCTGGTTTCTCTTTACCATCGCATTGTTTGCCAACTAGCTTAAGGCTGATCTGCCGTCCGACTACGGTGAGTTCCCGAACAGAGCAATACTGAGCGGCCGAGAGCCGAAGCCGTTTCTATCAATTCAAACGATGGTACCGATGTGACTCAACATTCTGTATAGAATGCGCAGTGGTCTTTGTGCGCGCGAGAACTGGTTACCAACATACGAGTCAAGTCGCCATTCTATACACAATAACACCGACCTTAGCAGCGGTCAAGTTGAACATGATCCAAACGCTCACCTATAGTTGACCTGTACTCGTCCTGTCTAATACGGGAGCATATCGCCATCCCGGGTCTTTTGAGTCGAACCGACAGGTAGCTTCGACAGCATCAGGGACATGACTGCATAACTCACAGCTATAGGCAGGGGATCATGTGGTGAGACAACCGGGTCACAGTTCGCGCCTAATCCCGCCTAGCGTTTCACCTCGCTGTCCGACCCAAATAAAAGCGCGCGTCTCTACTAAGCGCGTCAGACAAAAGGATCTTCTCGCGTCTTGAAACGAACCGGGAACAAAAGGGGGTCCGTGGCAGTTCTCGCGTTCTCGCTCCACCGGCAACGTCCCATGTTGTGAAGGGGTTCTTTGTACGCTGCAGGCCTGAAGAGCGACCCTCAGCTCTCAATGATATCTTTGTACTGCATGACGCTCTCGTATCAGTCCAGCCGCGGATGACCGAAGTGGCGTCCCGATCCTCGGCTCCACATGCCGCGTCCTTGGCACGATCGGCGACGGGAAAGCAGGGGAAAGGAAGCCTCATGTCGACGAAACGCGTTTCAGCGAGAAAAACGGCAATCACACCCCCTTGTCTCTGATGATGAATCGGTCGGTGGATACGGGAAGCAGAAGGAGGACAGGCGGGTGGATTGCTCGGTTCGAGTGTGGTGTGGCGTGCGTGGAGTAACCATCATGCGGTGATGGAAACAACAAGAAAAAAAATCGATCAATCAAGGGGGTTTCGATCGAAACAACACAGCGAGATTGGGGCGAGGAAAGAGGGATGATATAACGATCGACGATCAAAGGACTGATCGTTCGATTCGCGTTTCGCTGAAGGGACTGTTTTGATTTCCACCCACGATCTACCATCGCCCGCACGAAACACCCACGACGTTACCTAATTACCTTGCTAGCTCGATAGCTTACGACCTTTCTCACGCCCACGGATACCTTTGACGACCCATAGAACGATCACCCTCCTTTGACAGCTCTGTGCGACCTCACTCTCAGCGGCACAGCATAGCGTGAGACGGACCGGATCGCGCCATCAATCGGTGATGAGCCAGTTGGACTGATCGACGATGATGATGATGTTCTTTGCCTGATCGAGTAGCTTCCGCGTCAAAACCCAAAGGACCCCCTCGCCCTCTCGCGTTTCCGCGTAGGTACCCATCACGAGAGCGAAACACAACGACCAGCGAGCTCGTCCGAGGTGCTGATCTTCATGCTTGACCACTTCGCAGTATCGACTAGCAGTACCGGCCCTAATCGTGAGCCCTCTTGATCGTTCCGCAATCTCCATACTAATAACTGACGGATTGACCATCGCCCGATTTGCCCGTCCGACGGACCCATATCGACTTGTATCACTTCGCTCATCACCCTGGATTTCGGCCTTGCCCGCGCGCGCCTCTGCTGTCTCACTCTCACATTCCCCATATCTCGAAATCAGTTCATCTGGGTACTCGACGATTTTTCACGCTCTCCCCTCCCCGCCATCGCTCCAATCGTCGACAGCTCACCACCCTGGAAACAGGTCGTCGTGGAAGTGACCCCCGAAACCAATCCGTTCCGTGTACCGTGTTATTTTCTGCGGGTCATACCGTAGCCCGTAGTCTTCGTCGTCGTCGATAAATACTCGTGACGAGCCAATTGCCACGATCGGGTAAGTTTTTCACTCGTCGTCCCCTTCAAACCGCATCTTCGCTGACTCTCGACCCACTCAATCCACCTCACGGTGTTGTTTTCCCCATCACTCTCCTTCGCCCGTCGCAGTCGCGTCCCGGCCCCATACCCCTTGATCACTTCTCGCTTTTCCCTCATAAAGAAACGACCTCGCCTCATCATCAACATATTCCATCATGCAGCACCAACATCGCCAGCATCAACAAACACCACCACCATCATCTCCATCATCGCCGTCAAAGCGATCGATCTTGGACTTACCGGATCAACACCTATCACCACGACAAGATCACTACAGAGGCCCATCATCGCCTCTTGCATACGTCGCGCCCATCGACACCTTCTTCACCTCGCCTCGCCAGCCAGCTGATCAAGCTGTATACACATTTCAACACCATCGATCACAACGATCCAGCATCGACAGCACCGTACCCAGTCCTCAAGACCTTGCACGTGAATACCTGCACAGCCCAGGATCAGAACATTCCTCGCCTATTAGCGATCCTTCACCCATCATCACCACGCCCGTCTCGACCAAGTCGCCACTCCATCAGGCATCATCCGCGATCTCCAAGGACGTCGTCCATCACGAGCACAGCCACTACGATCAAACAGGTGATCGCCACGGGTTTAATTCTTCCGAGTCTGGTCGTTATCCTACACAAGGTGATCTGAAAGGTGAGCGTCACCTCGCCTTTATCATGTCGATCTACTTCGTTTCGTTGCGATCGAAGTTACCTGCAAAACTTCTGGTAGCTGATCGTCCTATCATGTGTTCGCGTCTTCAGGACTTGGAATCTATCCCTACCACACAGGTCCTATCACTCGCTCGAGTGTTAATCCTATCGCTATTTCATCGACAAAAGATCAAGCGAACGTAGCGTCTCCGACGTCACCTTCGACCCGTGGCCTTTCAAGTACGGCTGCTCATAGCAATCGCTCGGTTGCGTTCCACATTCACTTCCCTACTACCACCAGTCCTGCCAATTCCGATCGATTCGGTACCAAAGTCTCTCAGTCCACTCCAGCTTCTCCCCGACACGTCGAAGAGGTTCAAGAAGTCTCCATGGCCACCCTGGAAACACCCGAAGGCAAATCTACCCCTCGACCTATGAGTGCCAATGCTAGCGCTCGTCGTGCGCCTCCTCCGCCTCTGGTGGCTGATGGATCGTACAACAACATGTACGCCAACCCTGAATCAAACTACGGGCTTGCGCCTCCTGGTCAGCAGCAAGGTGAGGGTATGCAAAGGCCTCTCCAGCTTCGCGCTTCTGCCGATCCATTCGTCGGTGGGACTGGTTATACAGGGATGACTCCCACGCCGAGCCGACATACCTTCGAAAGCGCTGGTGTTCAGATGCCCGAAATTCAGAACCAGGCGGAACAGCAGGTCGAGCAGCAGCAGTCTTTGCCGGCACTCAAGACGGTCGTTCAGGACGAGTCTGCCTTTGGACCGCTCCCTCCTGCTATGGACCCCGGTTCCGCGCCGGCTCAGATGTACGAAGGACAAAATGGGACACCAATCGGGGAAGGTTTCCCACCTGCACGACCGTATCGAAGGTCGTTTACCAGCTACTCGGCCGGAGCCGCTACGCATTCATCGCGAAAGTCGTCGATGTCGTTCAACGAGCCTGGTCAGCCGCATACCCGTGCGCCTTCGTATCACGTCCAACACGTCGTCTCTCCCACTCAAGCTCCTACTTACTGGGCCTACGGCCCACAGTACGTGGCCATGGCTCCACCCCGCTCGTCTGCGGTACCCGAGGGTCTGATCCCGATTGCCAACCCGAACGAGGCGCAACATGGCGGTCCCGTCTCTCTACCTGGCTTTAACCAGCTCTACATCGAGGCTAACGTTCCGAGCCAAAGATCTGCCAGTGGTGGACCGCAAATGTCGATGCAGCAACAACAGCATCATCACCTCCAGCGACAAGTTCAAGGCCACCCTCAAGCGTACCAGCTAGCGCCTCAACAGAGGTTGCAGCCCATGCAGACGCGCCACTTGCCGTTCCCCCAGTCTGCGGGGATGCAGCATTACCCTCCGCCAAACGGAATGCAGCCGGTCCATTACTATTCTCATCCTCCTGGAACCACTCTTGTCGGGTGGGATGCCAACGGTAACCCTGAATACTCATTCGCCGGTCCCGTCAACGGGATGCCCGTTTACGTTCCGCAAGGCATGCCGGTCCAAGAGTTCATCTCTTATCCGCCTCACGCGTTTCAGAATGGCGTACCGCCTCAGCAACCCGCTCAGGAAGGGGGAGAGCCTAGACAAGAGGGCGGACCGAATCCGATCATCTTACAGCCTCATGCCACACATCACAACGTCTTTGCCTACCAATACGCACCTGGCGAGGACATGGAAATGGACGCGCCTACGCCTAGCGTGAACGGGGCTCACCATGATGAAGCCGAGCAAATTCAGGAGGAAGAAAGGCTCGACGAGCCAATGAGCGAGCCCGAGTCCGAGGCTTCTGCTGTGCCCGTCGACTCTGCCGAAGAAGAGTGGATCCCGAAAAGCTTCAAGAAAACGAAGAAGACCACCGCGGCTAAAGGCGGAGCCAAGAAGAAGAAGGGTAAAGGTGGTAAGGGGTCCCCCAAGACGACGCCCACCAAGAAGTCGTCAGCCGCGTCGAAGAAGGTGACAGGCTCTCCAGTCGTACATACGCCTCTCGACAAGGCCAACAAGGTCATTATCAAGTTACCACCTTTGATGCCGGTTGACAGCAACCTTGTCCGTTACACTTCGCTAGCCGAAGAGAAGCAGACCGATACCGTGAGTTTGAACAGTGCGACTTAGCGTGAGAATGAGTCTGATGGATCTGATTGGTTAACAGGTCAAGCGAGAGTGCTTTACGTGTGGATGTCGGGATCCACCTAGTTGGAGGAAAAGTACTCTTTCCCCCAGTCGGATCGTAAGTGATCATGGTCCTGTAACCGCAAGCAAGATGTCTTAGCTCACCTCATTTGACCCCCTTTTTTCCTCGGTTCGATAGCTCTGCAACCGTGGGTGCTCGAACCCACTCATTAGAAGACAGTATAAGGACTAACATAAAATCAATCCCTTAGGCTGCGGTATCTATGAACGATCCCATAAGAAGGTCAGGCCCATTGGTGAGGTCGAGATGCGCGCGGTGACCGTCGCCGCCACGGCCGCCAAGAAGGTGAAGGGAAAGGGAGGACAGAAAAAGTCTGCCGCCGGTTCCGGGAACGCCGCCACTGGAACGCAGTTGAGGAGCTCGTATGCTGCTCATCCAATGACTCCGGCTGGGTACGCCAACGGTCATGCCATGTACTCTTCTTACGGCCAGGAGAATGACGCTCGACGAGGTATGTTGCGCCAATGGCCTTCAGAGCTATTCACAGCGCTAACTCATCCATCTCGACCTATAGTGTCGGCCGTGTCGGGGCTCCCGCCTGGAATCACCGATCCCGCTGGCTACTCGACAAAAGCGACGAAGACTTCCAAGAAGGCTCGAGTTTCTGGCAGGAGCGTGATATCATCCCGCGAAAAGTCTGGCGGCTCTAGCTTCAAGACGTTTACCAATTGTGCGCCATATTCGGGAGTGCCGAGGATGGAACCGTACCAGCACGCCCTTGTGGCTCATCGATCCGATTTAACGAGCTCGGTGCCGTTGGAAAAGGCTCATGGGAGCGGAAGGCCGACTGCACTTCACCGAAGCGCATCTGCGATGCCAGCGGCAGTGCCATCCAACATGGCGCCTTGGGGAAACCCTTACGGTGATGATGACGAAGAGGACGAACAGTAGGCTGGAGAGATATGGAGTTTTTGGTCTTGCTTGCGAACGACTGGTCTTTACGATAATACACGCCATAGCTGTGCTTTAGTGATGCTTATATATTCTGTTGTTCTGTTGTAACCTACTATGAGTACGAGTCTGGTGAATCAGAGGTTCTCTTATAATCATCACGTGCCCGCTTGCTCCGGATGTAAATTTATATCCGAGACAGGTTGAGCATATTCAGCTGTCGTTATGAGGTTTGAGTTACAACTTCTAATTTAATCATCCATAGCTTGGATCGCATCAACCAAGGCTGTCCGCCCGCTTCAATGGGACGAGATCTGAAGCAATGTATGACGATGTCCAGATGGACCACGAGCCGGTACCGGCTAGACCAAGCGAAAGCTCTAATACAGCAGCTACGCCGATCTTCCCTTCTCATCAATACATCTACATCGCTATCGATACCAACGTCCTGATCTCGCATCTGGATCTGGTCAAGAAGGTCTATTTCAAACTTCAGGGATCATCAGTCGCCCAATCAGCAAGAACAACCCAAGCACAAGCTTCCTCCGCGACAAGACACAAGACTGATCAGCTTAAAGAGACATGCCTTCTGCTACCTTGCATTGTTCTAGACGGTCAGTATCGGCTGCTCTCCTCGGAATACATGATCGACTTGACCGAATGTGGACATGTTTTCGTGTCACATGCATAGAATTGGACAGGTTCAAGATGAAAGGTCCAGCTTGGTCGTCTCCTCCCGCAGCTACCAGCATGTACACTCCTTCACAAGGACAAGCGAGCGGCCCCATGCTCTCCCTGATCTCCAACGATTCTTTGGATTTATCGATGCATCGTCCTGGAAATCTCTCCCGGAACAGAAACGGCCCAAACGATCTTCAGTCGTCAGCGAGAGAGGCCGTTGCCTGGCTCTTCGAGGTGTTGCGAGCGGAGGAACAGCGACAAGTCAAGGTTGACAAGAAGAAATCGGGTTCCCCGTCGATCCCGCAAATATGGCGGTCGATACGGTTCCAGAAGAGGGATGAGAAGATGGGAGTAGGGATTCTGAATCTGGTAGGTTCGATCTGATCATATACAATCTAGTTTCGGGTGTTTGGCTGAAGCATCCCTCGTGGTTCACAGCCAAAGAAGGCGGATACCCAGATCCTTGATTGCTGCAGATACTTTTCATCTGCGTTTCAAGGCGGATCACAGGTCGTCTTGTGGACCGATGACCGTAATTTGAGACTGCAGGTGAGTTGTTGTTGTTGCTCTGGCCTACAGGCGAACGTCTTACGAACGCTTACAAGCTGGCGTCGCAGGCCGAGGTGCACAACGTACCTACCATAGGGTACCCATCTCTGTCTGCTCAAAGCATACTGAACGAAGTCAGGCAGAGGCTTGATCACGACCAAGTCTCGAATCGCGAGATCCCGGAGGTGTCGAAATCACCCACGGAGACGAAACCGAGACCTGTACTCACAGGCGATATCTCAATGTGGGATCCTGCAAACCGCCCGGAAGGCTCTTCCCCTGTCAAAGAGCTCTCGAAGAAACAGAAAGCTCGTGCCAAAAAGGCTCAGAAGAAGACCGAGGTTGCTGTCTCGCCGTCCCTTCAACCAACCTTGCGCAACATCGATGCGAGATTATCCCAAATCATACCTATCCAACTATACTCTTTTCTCCTGAGCAAGCTGTTCAACGACGACCCTGTGCGCTTGCGAGGGTTCTTGACGGCGGACGATCCTGGTCCCGGAATTTGGGATACGAGGCATTGCCTACACCTCATCGAAAAGAGCTGGACAGGGCTGAGCTTGAGCGGAGGTTTCCCACCCGAGACTTTGGCGGTGATGTGGGAGGGAACCGCTTGGTTGAGGGGATTCTGGGAGTGGTACACCGAACCCAGCCGAGCGCATCTCCGACCGGGCGGGACGGCAGCCGAGAAGATGAGCGGCAATCTCGATGCGATGCACATCGATGAGGCACATCCGCGGCAGCCTCAGTCCAATGCTGACAACGAGGCTCTGTGTAGGGACTGGACCTCAGCGGGACAAGCGTTGATACTAGTCTTTGGCGGGCTGATGAAAGATGATGCTCGACATGAGCTCGAGGAGGTTGTTCGATGGATGAACAGCGGGACGTGAGGGAGTATAGATCCTAACGGTCGCGATGATTTCGTAGAAGGAGAGACGAGGTAATCTTTCCGCCCATGCCTTTAATGACCAGCACGACCAAATAATGCCAACAATCATAGTTACGACTATGGCCTTGTAACGAACGATGCCCCATTCAGATTCTAGAGAAATGGTTAGCCTGCTCAGATGCCTCAAAGAATCTACAGCCGACAACCATTGAGAGAGACGGGAGTTTCTATACCCAAATCGCATTTCACTCTCATGTCATAGGCTCAGGGATTAGTGTCTACAGGGCTGGCGCTCAGGTGCTGGCTCATTGCAATGCGGAGAATTCCCTGAAGAAGAAGCGAATCGTCAAGGAGCACTGCCAATGCCACAAGCCGATGTTCCTCAATCGCGATATACAGCATCAAACACTACCTCAGGAGGGTCACGTCTTGGAAACCACTGTTTAGCTACATATACTTCCTATATAGCTATCACACTCAATCGTACAAACATCTGCCTACACAAGTCCCGGAGAAGACCCTTGGCTGTCAGCATCCTAATGACTGCCATCGAGATATTCAGACCCAAAGATATTGACTACAGTGGTAATCAAATACAAATACCGAAACAGTATCACTCTAAAAACGTGTGTGTGCTAGTCGTGTCGAAGTCGTAAACCAGAAGAAATCCCGAGCCTCTATTGCCGTTCCCGATCATGGTGTGATAGGCGGCGGTATGCTGCTTCCCAAGAGTTCGTCGCTCAACTGTTCCGTTCGGGCACCTTTAGGTTTCGTGTCACCGGCTACTCGCAAGCGGGCTTCACCCATAGCTTCTATCATCGAGGCTTGCTTGATAGGTTTCGTCAGAACTATGAGAGGTTTTTGTATCAATTAAAGGCTCGGCTATTCGCACTACCATAACGTGCAAACTCACTTCGATCTGCTCCTGCATCGAGGTACTGGAGCACAGAAATGTGAACAGAAAGATTAGTCATCTTCGGTCGGGCGGGTTCCAACTCTAGACTTACCTCGGTCTGATCGTCCTGCAAAGCGTTTCCAGTTGCGCCGCAGATGAAGATCGGGCATCCAAACGACCTCAACTCTCTCGCACACTCGACCCCGGTCATGACCGGCATCTGGTTGTCCAGGAAGATCATATCATACTGCGTGTCCGTCACTTCGCGGAAGTGTCGTTGTCGGACCATCTCGAGTGCGAGTTTTCCGTTTTCAGCTTGATCCGTCTGATGGCCCATCTTTTGCAGCATTCTAGTTAACAGAAAGAGTCGACTAATCAGTGAGAAGGCCGAGGAAGAATGGCCTCGGTTAGGGATCTGCGTACCGGCACATCAGTTTCCGCGTCATACTAAGACAAATGTTGATGGCAGTTAGTCAAAAATTTCAATGGATCCATCTACCTACCACCACATCCAGCTTACTTGTCATCATCCACTACAAGACAATGCAGGGGCGGCAAACCGTCCTTGGTCTTGTGTTTCATCGGGGTAATCGCTGGCGTCATCGCTCCCGCCATCGACTGAGCGTCCGAGCCTTTTCTGAACGCGTACGATGCATCCGATTGTTTCCTAAATACTGTGGACGTTTCCGACTCTTCGTAGCTTGGTTCATCCGATTGAACGATGGGGGTAAAGGTTGGATACTGTTGATGCATGACTTCGGTATGGACTTGTTCTTCAATGGCGTCAAAGACGTTCTCCGCCTTCATGTGCTTTTGGTAAGGGAGAAGTTCATAAGGGGGTTTAAAGGCTGTTATCGGATCGCGGTGCGGTCAGTTGCGTTCGATAAACGATCGCTGCTAATCAAACGCACGGGTCTGGGCAGAATCGCCGGAACTTTGGCTATCAGGGGTCTCCGCTACCTCTCCCGGTGATGACGGTGTCTGCACTTGCAGGAAAGGCGGTCGAGGCGGTTCGAGATCAGCCGGAGCCTCAGCCGTATGCAGATATGCCTTGTCGGAAATGTGCACGGGGGGATGGTCTTTCAGTCCGCGGGATGGTTCGGGCAGTGGCAGGAGATTGACAGGATGGGAGGAAGGTGGGGGCAGCAACAATGCGAGTTCGAACCTGTACGCGAGAGGAGAAGACGTTAGTTGAAACACGCGAAAGAGTTCCCTTTCGATGTCGGTGCTCACCAGAACGTAGAACCGACGCCTAGTTGACTATCCACGCCCATTCGACCGCCCATCAACTTGACAATCTGCATGCATAAAGCCAATCCAAGACCAGTTCTGCGAGGCGGATACCAGAGGTCAGGCTTGGGTCTGATCAGCTGATCACTTGTAACTCACCCTTTACCGCCTTGACGACGACCGATTTCGGTTTGCTGCAAAAAGAAGTAAATAAGGACACGCTCACAATCGGTGCTGGCTCAAAGGTAGCTTACGACATAGGGCGAGAATAAAGCCCCGCGCTTCGTATCCTTGGGACTGAGACCAATACCGGTATCCTTGATCTCGACGCGAATGATCGCCTTGTCGTTACTGCCTCGAACAAAGTCCTTTTGGTACGGTGCAAAGGGATTCGCGTCATCCCCATTGAGGGTCTTTTCGGTGGTGATCGAGTCGTGGTGCGATGCCGTAGGGTTTTCGTCCAGGGGAGTGAACTCTGCAAGACGGGGCCAGAGCAGTTTCGTAGTGACCGTGATTCCACCTGAAACCCGTCGAAATCAGCAAGTATATTCTAGCGTAATAGCACGGCTATATTTACCGGAAGGAGTGAACTTGGCGGCATTGCTGACGAGATTCGAAACCACTTGACTTTATAGTGATGCGGGCCATTAGCGATGGACGACTGCGATGTAACGGCGAAGTGGAGCTTACCGGAGTCGCATCTCGTCGCTGATAAAGGTTCCTCCAAGTTTGTCGATCTCGGGATCAAGCTCGGCCTTCAAGTAGAGCCCACTCGCTTGCGCCTGAGCGTTATGTGACAAGACAACAAGTTGAACCGACTTGTGCAAGTCAAAAGGTTTGCGAGATTGGGTGAACTGATCGTGCAACGTTAAGACCCAGTTAGACAAGCGTGAATACTGCCTCTACGCATGCACGCGTACCTTTCCGCTTTCCATACGGTTGAAGGACAGCACATCATTAAGAACTTTCTCCATCATCGTACTGGGAAGATCTTGATCCGTCAGTAAGGCTACACAAACGGCACACGTACACGCCCAACTCACAGGGAAGCCTGCAGGCCATCTACCATATCACGTTGATCTTTGTCGACGGCGTCATACACGCCTTCATTCTCCAGATTCTGGACGGCCAACAAAGCGGTGTTGAGGGGCACTCGGACCTCGCTATAGGTATTAACGTTGAGATTAGTGGATTGGTCTAGTAAGCAGCACGAAGTCCGGCCCAACGTACTGGAAGATGTAAGAAACGAATCGTCGACTCAGGGCGTTGGCCTTCTTCTCAGAAATCTGCGCTTGCTGAGTAGCACTGTTTCGAGAAGTCGTAAACCTTAGCACGGCTGGCCTCGTGTGGGGTGGTAACAAAAAACTATGGTACATACCGGTACTGCAGCTTCAACTGGGTCCGCAAGCTAAACAATTGTCTGTCTGATTTTTCCTTGAGGTAGCTGACCATGAGCAAGAAACCGTGGAACAGAAGGACTGTCGAGGGCGCGTATTCAGCCATTATCCGTGATAACTAAGGCGAGCATGTGCTCACAGTTGACGAAGTTTCGATACCTAAGCGTGGGAAGTCGGAAACGGATCAGATCTGGCATCGCATTAGTACCAGTAGACCCACTCACATCAATGCGGGAGAGCCTCCGACTGATGGAAAAGATTTCCAGTCAGTTCCTTGATTTGCTAGTACGTCCATCTGGATACAGACTCACCTAGAATCAAAGCGATGACTAAAGCAGCCCAAACAATCATGCCAAAAATGTGCCATGACCGTTTCGCACCAAGCGCCAAGATGGACAATACGGGCAGGGCTAAGAAGAATAGGCACAATTCGAGAGATCAGCTAGAGGTCTCTCTGGCCAGCCTGTTTTTCGCGACTACCCACAAAGACCCCAATAGAAAAGACCCAAAAAGTCCTTCTTCCCGCAGTTTCTATGATCCGAATAGAATCCGCAATCATACCTGAACCGGCGAAGACAGAATCACAGTGTCAGTCGACAAATAACGGTGCCCGTCCAGCGAGGCGACAGGTCTCGCTCACATGTCAATCAGGACGATAATGGAGAAGCCCCATGTGGCACACCACAACCAAGCCTGGTAAAAGAACGGTCGGGTCTTCACCAGGTCAAAGATGACAAGCAAGGGCAAGGGAACGATGAAGATCTATCACACGTGGAGAAACATTTCGATCAGCTCGAATGCCTCATGTGATGCCCAGGAAGATGTCGACTGACCCCAGTGGCGAGCATATAACCATAAGCGCCGATGGGCCCATACGGCTTGGCTTGCAGAGCAGCCGTCAAGATCCACGAGATGACGTAGACTGCCAATCAGGAGATTCAGTTCAGCCTCGACATCCGAAGCTCAACTCGCACAAACGCGTGTACTCACAAAGACTGGCACAGATCGCGCCTCTCCTGAGCGTGAAATGCACTTCCTTCAAATAGCTCTTCTCCTTGCTCGGTTCTGGGAACTTCGAATCGCAGAAATGCGCGACGACAGGCCAAGCCCGCTCAGCGATCATCTCGTACAGCCACGTCCGCTTGATGAGATTGGTCCTCCTGTCCCTCCGTATACTCGATCCGTCGTCCCCGTTCTTTCTCCTTCCCGCACCATCGCCCATGCCGAAACTACCTCCCTGAGCCATCCTAGCCACCCAGGAAGGCTGGGTCGTACTTCCATCGGTATCCGGACGATGACTCGACCCGTTTCCGCCGTACTGGGTAGTATTGTTATTCGGGTTGTTATTAACCACGCTGCCCGTATTCGCCGCGCTTCCATTGTCGCTCTTGGCAGCGGGTACGAATTGCCTCAGATCGCTCTCTACAGCGACCACGCTAACGGGTTCCGTCATCCCCCTATCACCCGACCCGATGATCTCGTCATCTTCATACCCACCCTGGCAATTCGAAGGACTCCTCCCGACGCTCGTCCCGCCCGTTACGCTCCTCGGATTTCGGGGCCGATGAGATCCCATGGCGCTGACGGAGTCCTCTCCCAAAGCGCTTTCCAACTGCGAACTCGACGAAGGGTGCGAAGGGTTCCTCAGACGTTGTTTCACCCTCGCCCAGGTTTCCTTCAAGGTCCAATCGAACGACCCGGGTTCCTTTTCGAATCGGGCCCGGTTGTTGCTATTATGAGCGTGAGTGTGTGTCGTCGGATTGTCATCCGCGAAATCCTTCTCCCCGATGATCTTCGGTACGACCCCTGAGCCCTTCAGAGCGTTCTTGTTGGAGAACCTCTCCTTGAACGCTCCCAATGCTCCACCCTTGTGCGCTCCAGCATCTCCACCTAATCCTAATCCCTTTTCCGGATCGTGCCCCCTCAGCCCGGCTGCACTGCCATTAACGCTGATGTTGTTATTGTTATCGTTGCCATGCGTGTTCACGGCACTTCTATTCCTCATGATTCCAGGCCTATCCTGGACCGCCCGCTGATCATGGTGTAAGCCCGGATGAGGCTTTTCCTGCGCGGCCCCTACTCCCGCCCCAGTCATCGCGTTCGGTTCGGTAGGCTTCAGGTTCATGGACTTGGAGTTGGAGATGGACTTGGGTGACGAGCGGAAAGGATCCGTCTCCAATTCGTCGACGACCGTCTGGCTACTCGAAGTGCTCGGGAGCGGGGGTTTCGGGACGGCCAGGTTATTGGTTTGCGAGAGGGAAGTCGTATCGAGGCTCTTGGTAGGGGAGATGGGTTCTGGTGCCGAACCGAGGAAAGGCAACCGGACAGCTGCTTGATCGAGGCTGGTCTTGCCGCTTGAGAGACCAGAATCCGGAGACGACAATGGTAGAGTCAGTCCCGCGTTACCCTCTGATCCTCGTTCTGGTCCTTGTGATGATGATTGTGCGTGGTGCGAGCCGTCGTGTGGAGCGTGCTGGGGGTTCCCGCCGGTCAACCTCCGGGCGAGTGGCATCGAACGTCTTGTCTGCTTAGTTCTGGTCTCGTCTTGTTATGTCACGGTAGCTCGAGACGTCAACGGTTCAACGATGACGGTGATGTTGACGATGGCGGCGATGCTGACGAGGTAGAGGTTTCGCTGCTTGTTCTCCGGATGAAGAGGCGACGAATGTTATCCGGAAGGTTCAACGCCTTGCGTTTGTCTCGTCCTTTCTTTGCCGAATTGGCTCGTCGAGTTAAGGCCTAAGTCCAATTCCACCACGCAACACGTTCCAGACTATTGTATTCCGATCCAATGATGGCGATCTCGGCTATCTTTCTGTCTCCAACTGGAGATTCGAGATGTTGCTACCTTGATCGAGATCGACCGCGCAGTGAGACGTCAAAGAGGGGCGGGAAGTCAAAAAGGGGGGGGGAGGGGAAAGAGGTGGAATGGGTTTGATGACGGACGGCCCGGATCGACGCGGTGCAGACGGGGAGAAGTAGAAGAAGTTGTCGCCTGTTCGCCGCTATAGAACAAGGGATTACTGAAGGCAAGTGGACCAGTTCGCAGGGCTGATGTCAAAGGAGTAGCCAGCCAGTACTACAGTACTACAGTACAAGTGACTGTTGCTGAGAGACGCGAGACCGACGTCGAAAGTTGACTGTGAAGGGGGGGAGAGGCAGGTCGCAGGCTCGGAGGGCAGATCATCACCCAAATCTCTCATCGTCGTCGTCGCTCTCCCTGTTTCTGCCGAGAGGAACAGCAGCAGCACGAGGAGGAGGGAGGAGGAGAAGCCAGGGGGCGAGAGAGGCAGCCACGCCGAGAGGGGATGCATGGTCGGTGGCTTTTTCCTTTTTTCTTTCGTGCCGGCATCACCCCCTCTGCTGCCTTTCACGCCCGTCGCAGGCTGAACCTTATCACTCTCGCCATCAATTTTCGTTTGGCTCGCGCGGATCTCGCATCGAAAGTGCGCACTAGCAAGGAGAGTAACTGACGAGTGGGAATCATGTCGCTCGCGCTCGCTTGCTCGGTGGACAGATGTTCAATTCGTACAGGTCGTCGCAGGTCGCAGTCCACGATGGTCGCGGCCCATCTCCAGGCCATGTTCGATCCGGGATCGACTTTCGCCAAGTGTTTCGATTCGCCTTCGTCACCGTCGTTCAGGTCTCACAGGGGCAGACGAAACCTCTGCGACCCCTGCGGCCGCGAAACATGAAGCCTGTGACGATTGTGACGATGTCCTACCAACCCCGGCGTAACCCTCCCGAGATCCCCCGAGCGGCGAGCGCGTCACACGGCCGCCAACGCCGCCACAGCCCCCGGGGCGCACACGATAACGTAAATTCCAGACACCCACCCCACGTTTGGGAGTCTGAGCCCTGAACCCTCGCTTTGATTATACTTTGTTATGTTTCGGAAACTAGGTATATATTACAACAAGGTCGACAAGCATGCAGGTAGGTAGGGTGCAAGCAAGCAAGCATGATCAATCCATGTGAACATCGCTCGTTCTCCGAACGAGGTCGCCGTGTTCGTCCTGGGGTTCGAAATCGTCCTCCTCGTCGATAGCATCTTCGTCGCCCTCGCCCTCGTCGCTATCGTCGAAACCATGTGCGAGGTTGGAAATGGGCTGTAGGACGGTCGGGTTATCGAGAAAGATATGGATTAGACATAGGTACTGTCTTGTCTGCCCGTGCCGGAACTTACGGCCATGGATTCGCCGGTATAGGTAAAGCCTCGGAAGTTGGCCTGTACGCTGCTCGTCAGGGGACTTCCAGTGGGGACAAGACCAGGTCGAGTGGGCTTGATGTTCATCCCGCTCGCCTGCGAGGACGGTTTCCCGGTCCTGTCGACTGAGATCCCGCCTCCAGGTCCGTTGTACGAGTGCCCCACGCTCCCGCTCATCAAGGTGTCGTCCGAGGCGCTCCAATCGAACGGTACGTCCCGGAGGTCAGACGACGTGAACAGCGGGTCAAAGTTGGACACTGATTCGTCGCTCTCGACCATCGGTTTGAAGGGAGGCGTTATCTGCTTGGCAGCGAGGAGTCGCCAGTCGATCGACTTGAAAAAGGGGTGCTCCTTGAGCTCGGCAGCGTCGCGTTCTGCACCGAGACGATGCTTGGGGTTTCGGTTGAGGAGCTGTAATCCATCCAGAACGGTATTAGCATCAGAGGTCAGATTGGTGTAAGTGAGCCTATGCGTCCGCTCACCCCCTTGACAAACTGCTTGCCATCGTCGCCGATGACGCCCCTAGGGAACCTAATCTTGCCGAAACAGATATTCTTGTACATCTGCTGCACATCTTCGGCGTAGAATGGACTCCATCCACAACACATCTCGAAGAGCAGAACTCCGAGTGACCAAAAGTCGACGAGCTTCGAATAGCCGTGGTCGTCGAGCAAGACCTCTGGGGCAAGGTACCTGCAGAATGTCGCACACAATAAGCTTGTGTCCTAATGCAAGGTCTTTGACGGTACACTTGAACTCACTCGGTCGTCCCGCAGAACGTGTTGGTCAACTGGCCGCTTCCGAGGTCTGGCTTCGAGAGACCAAAGTCGCATAGCGCGACGTGGCCAGTAGCGTCCAACAAGATATTTTCCGGTTTCAAGTCACTAACGACGACAGAAGAGGCAGACAAGGTCAGCCATCAAGTCAACGCACCAACAAGTCTTGGGCTCGAAACTCACCGGTACACGATGTCATACTTATGCAAGTGCTCAAGCGCAAGGACGAGCTCGGCGATATAAAACCTGGCCCTAGGCTCGGTAAATCTGCCTTCCTTTTGCAAGTGCCAGAACAACTCTCCTCCGCTCTTATAATCCGTGACGAAGAACAAATAATCTTCCGTCTGGAAGCTAAATTTAAGTCCGACGAGGAAGGGCGAGTCCAAGGACTGTTGCAAGATCTTGCGTTCACCGATGGTATGCGCGATCTCCTTTTTCGCGACGATATCCTTCTTGGACAGCATCTTCATCGCGTAGATCCGCTTCGTGTTACGTTTCCTGACCTGGAAAACCTTTCCGAACGTGCCGCGTCCGATAAGCTTGAGGATCTCAAAGTCCTTGGGTGAGAGGTGGATCTTGCTCTATCGAGTAGGAAGGCAGGAAGAACGACGTGTCAGACCTTGTAGTTCTCCCACAAACAACCCGCCCAGATTCTCTCCTCACCTTGAGCGCGTCATAGCTGATCTGCAACCAGATCTCACCGGTGACATGTTCCTCTCCCCTGGGCGAGAGCGAAAACCAGTTGTCTACCGTCACCCCATCCTTGAGGACAGGCTTGATCTCCTTGACACCCAAGAAACCTTCTCCCGCCTTGCTTCGGTCGTAGAGCGAAATTGTCAGTACCGAGTTCGGTGAGGTAACGTCGCTGTTGTTGTCGGCATTATATATTGATAAGCGAAGGTCACTCTCGACTCGGACCGGTATGCTATCGAGACTCACAACGAGACGTCTTCCTTCCAAACAGGGTCGGCCGTCGATCCCCCAACTTTGCCAAAGAACGACCCTCCCAACCCCGGACTGGCCGGTCCAGCACCTGCACCTGGTCCGCCAGCCCTAGGCGTCGTCTGTCCGCTAGTTAGACCACCCGTATTCTGCCCGCTAGCACCGTTCTTTCCACCAGCTGCGCTGGACCCCTTGGTCCGTCGAGCGGCATCGGCAAACGCCCGCGATATGGAAGCTATCCCCAAAGAAGGACCGTACGAGTTGGTCCGAGGAATCGTCTTGCCTGCAGCCGTACTGACACCCGAGGAAGCCTGCTGTTGCTGCTGGTTCGATTCCTGGACGGCGGCGTCCCCGACAAGGGCGGGGCGGGAGACGAACTCGTTCTGCTCGAATTGCGCTACGACGTAAGGTTCGGGTTTCCCCTGTCCGTTTGAACCTATCGCGGCGTCTCCAGAGCCGACAGCGAGGTTACGGGCGGAGATGAGCTTGACCGTCAAGGTACCCCGAATCGCCCGAGCTCGATCGTTGGTGTTGGTCGCCGAAGCCGGTGTGTCTTGCCCCTGAGATCCTTGTTGAGTCTGGCCCTGGTCTTCTCCCCATTCATCTCCGGCGCTGCTGGACACGCTCAATCCGCTCTTGACACCGCCGCCCACGCCTCCGCCGCTTACGCTCCCAGTACCACCTGTCATCGCCCTCCTCATCTTTGGTGGCTCTTTCAACCCGAATCCGATCCCTGACGTCCCGCCCATCGTATCTCCAATCGTAATCCCGGTTGTCGGTCTCGAAGCTCCGACATGAGCTGGAGGGGTCATCGGCCCTGTATGACGGAGATCCAGCGAGGAGAGAGAGGTGGGCGGGAGGTTGAGGTGCAAGTCCGGATGAGAGTGAGAGGTAGGTGTTCGAGCACCCGACGAAGGGGATTGGGACTGGAGGGAGAGATTGTCTAAGCGGGGAGACATGGCTGATGACTGTTGCTGGTAGTTTGACGAAGATGATGGCGAAAACGGCGCCTGCTGTTGCTGCTCGAAAGGGTTGGAGTGGTTGATCGCCCTTGGTGTCGTCTGGTCTGCAGGTCCCGAACCCGGCAAGGCTACATTATTATTCGAAGATGGCGTCGTCGGCCAGAATTGCTACGAGATGAAGATGTTTCGAGGTGAGTGTCAGCTTGCGTCGGACGTTGCGATTCGGACCAGGCCCGGGGTGGGTCGTCGTGGTCAGATGAGCAATCCTTCTTTCGTCAGTCGACGAGGAGAAAAGGATCCGTGTGTAGCTCTGTGACCCGGACCTGCAGCTGTGCAAGGGGAAGAAGGTTGGAGCAGCGAGGACATACCTTGAGCATGACTGGCAGATTATTTGGTGACTACTTTAGATGTCGATGGTGTATTGTATTGGATCTTTGGGATGTACAAGCGATTTGAAGGTAGGGTCTACAATCGACGACTATCATGTCCCTCGAGGTAGCTCAAGCTCGAGCCAACCAGCGCGCGCGTCCTCCCTCGGGCTCCACCCCACCCAAAGATTATCCACAGCCAGCCAAGACCCAGCCAGCTTCAACAATGATCTTCCCACACCATGACACCCACGGTTCTGATATACACGGATCACCTTGGATGCCTGAGGATCTGACATCCGTGCAAAGTCGCCCGACCGTTTCTTTCTCGACATCCTGAACGGTCATCAACCTGTGATCTCTCCGATCAAATTTGCCGTTTCCCTCTCTCTCTCCCTCCATGTGAATCGATGACGACATCAAAAAGAGCTCACAGCCACCCCGCGCGCGCCACCACCAGCACGGGTTTCAGAGATCCACCACAGATTTCCATAAAACCCGTTACACTTGTCTATAACTTAGCTCTCTACAGTTTGTTTCGCATCTATCTAGGGACGAGGCGTAGGCTCAGGCCAGCTTGCCAGTTTGCTCCTCCTCACCGGCTGTCCGGTACACACAGCGGTAGGTAACAAGGATGTAGCCGTCGCGTTGAAAGAATCCGGATAAGGGCAACCCGCGACAGGTACCCAAGCGCGCTCCGAATCTGCTGCGTTCGCCCATCCGCTACCTACTGCCACGCCGGCAAGTTGGCTGGGTTGAGCAAGGGTGATCGGCTCACCCGTCTGGGTGAATGTTGGTAGTAAAGCGACTTGGGCGGCATCGTAGCTCGGTGACGGGCCAAGGGATTGAGGCGGCCAGGCTGAGTAGTTGGCAATGCTTGCTGTAGCGATGACCCCATCGCCCTGCAAGTAGAGTCGAGTCAGAACGCGTGCTCGCGGAAAATCCATCCATTCGATGACCACTCTTACCTTGCCTACGGCGCTGCTGGGGAACTCGCCCGTGAACTTGTCACCTCCAACATTGACACTGGCACAGAATCCGACATGCGCTCGAGGATCCCTCGGGATCCACCCTTGCTCTCTGCCTAGTTTGTAATGCCAGAACGGCGAGGACGGCCAAGACTGCGATTGAGGCGTCCCGATCTTCCAGGTCCAGAACATCCATTCCTGTAGAGCATCCATCTCGGCGAGAACGAAATTGCTGATGTTCGCCTTGAGTTCGGGTGACCAGGACCGCCAGTCGTTCCATGCTGTGCAAGTCTTGCCGGTCGTTTCGTACGTGGCCGATCCTCCAACCCCAGTCAACCACATCCCGCAGTCATTGATGGCCGCAGAGAATTCGCCACCGATGACGATACCATGAGAGTTCCGGGTCTCGTTCGTCCCGCCACCCCAACCACAAACCACTTGATACTGCTGTTCCCAAGGTATGTCCATCCCGGCAGGATCGATGAACGCTCGGTAAGGGTGTTCTGTGGTTGTGAACAGCGCAAATCAGTCATTGACCTCTTACGAAGGCTCTGTCTCTTGTCGGTGACGCACGGTCTAGGGCCAGTCTATCGGCGCCGGGCATGAAGTCGTTGAAGGGTGCGATACCTTCGAAGCCTTCATGTATGGCTACAATGGGTCCCTTGGTTTCGCCGATACCGGTAATACGACGTATCATATTGTACGCTTCGTAGTAGCTGCAGCAGATGGTTCGAATCAGTCTCGAGGCACGAGTTAGCCTGGTCCCTACGTACTAGGATCGAAGAACGTTGGGACCAATATCTGCGGATACGACCTCGTTGACCAGGCTGACCATGGTGATGACATCCTTGTATTCTTCCTGACTAGCAAATTCGGTCACCGTTCGAACGACTTCCAAGCTACGTTGAGCGTTGGCCATTCCCATCACGCCGTATAGCCAGTTGACGGCTCCGCTCGACATTGCGTGATTCCACTTGTTCTGACTGCCGGGCAGCGCATGAAGGTCTGGAGCGGGTGGCATCGATCAATTCTGGATCTGGTCTTGCCCTTTAATGCAGTTTAAAGACATACCTAGCAAGACGCGAATACCGTACTTTCGAGCCCACCCGACAGCCCTCACGAAGTAATGCCACGAAACGCCCTGCTCGACCACGAAGAACAGGTTGAGCGTTTGCGACTGGTGATACGGGAAGGATAGGCACTCACCTCCAAGAAAGGCTCCGATTCGAGTGTACTGACAGCCCAAAATCCGAGAGGGATTCGGACGTAATTGCTAGAGATAGCAGGCTTCAGCGGGAGTCTTGGAAAACAACTGATCGATCAGACAGCCGATCACTCACAGACCAGCCCCAGCGATCTCGGCAAAGTCTTGCTCGGTGATGAACGTTTCGTAATGCTCACGCATCGCAAGCTCTCTACGAAAGATGGGTTAGCTAGGTGTCGAGCTTCGCGATGCTGCTTTTCGGTCTTACAAGGTGACATTGGAGACCGCTCGCATTTTCGCATGAAGTTCCCTGCGACACCGAATGACGTTAGTATCGGGTCATCGTGGACAAGTTGCAAAAAGGGGCCTACCGCTCATTCAGCGTTCCTGCCCATTGGCCCTGGAACATCGAGGGACAAATAAAGGGCTCTAAAACGAGCCATCCGCCCAAGCTAGATCACGCAACAGACATCAGGCCATAGACTATACAGCCAACCGATCTAGTCGACTCACTTGACCCCGCGGACGAGATCCTGTCCCCATACCCATGGTTCTCCAATAGCAGGCGACCAGCTCTGAGCCTGACCGCCCTTGCTAAAGGGATTGGTCGGGTCGTGGAAGAAGGTCCCGCCGAACTCGTTGATGTAGGTGAATTCGAGAATGTCTCCATTGACATAGGTCGAAACAGCGCTTCCATTACCACCTTGCTGTACGTCGGTCGAGTTGAGGGATACCAGAGGGTTGAATACGGAATCCGCAGCGTAGTATTTAGCCAGCTCGCTCTGTTCCGGCGCTTTGCTTGTAGTATTGTTACTGCCTCGATTTGGACGACGAGTCGCCGTAGGTTCCGGTTCGTCGCCCTTTCGACTCGTCACATATGCCACCGGGATGACCATAGCGAGCACGACGATCGTGACCACAACGGCTATCACGATGAGACGCTTCTTCCTCTGCCGACGGGCCTTTTCCATCATCCTTTCACGAGCTTCCCTGTTCGATTGTCGAGTGGCGATCGAAGCGGAGCCTGCACCCTGTCGACCTGAGCGTACACTGGCTGCCCTGCTTCCGAAATTGGAATGACCGTTGTCAGACTCCGACTTGAAAGGATCCTCAGCTCCGAACTTTTCCTGAATCGGCACGACCGGGCTGCCCGCACGGTAACCTTGACGCTCCTTTAATGCGTATGCAGGTTGCTGAACGGACAGGTGATCTGGAGAGGGAAAAGAGCGTTCGTTGGGGAGACCGAGACCCAGTCCCGTAGCCGCGGTATAGAGTTCTGGATATCGAACCCGATCGTCGGGTCCGTGGTGAAACGATTCGATTGACGGAGACGGAGAGATGCCACTGTTGTTGTTGGCGAGATTGTAGGGTAGGTCCCTGTCAGACTCCGAGAAAGTCAACCCCTTGGGATACGATCGAGGGACCGGGGCTTTCAGCTCTGGTTGGGCCGAGGGTTCGTAGTAATAGTCGGGGATGTGGAACGACTATGTGGCAGGATCCGGGAGATTTACAGTCAGCGTCGCGGTCCAACAAATTGTTCATGCGATAACGATCTCGAAAGATTTTGGTTCGAGAGAGCGACATGGTGGTAAAAGGTCGTCAGGCTGGATTGGGGGGTCTTTCCCGACTGGCTGGGCTCGGATGTCGACCTCTTTCCTTGTCCCGTCCCATCTCTCATTTCTTATTGTTATTCGTCGTCGTCATGATCGACCCGACAACATGTTGGTTGATCTTCTCTGCTCTCTGTCGATCCTCGTCTCATCCATCAAAAGATTCGTCCCAATCTTCCTTTGGAACTTTTCTTCCCCTTTTTCCTTCTTGTTCGCGTGACGATGAAACACCGAACCCCCGTGATGGCCGAACAATACGGAACATTCACTCGATCATTCGAAACTCGACTCACCTGAGCTCTAGTGCCAGGCTCGACATAATCGTTCGGCTCATCCTCGATGGTAAAGTTCGACTCGGACGGAGACGTGATCTTCGGGTTGTACTTGTCCCGGTTACCTCTCGACATGGTGAATGAACGGCGATCCAGAATCCAGCCTCAAGCCCGGATTACTGATGTATCTGGAGTCGTTGCGTCAGGGTCGTTATGGGTCGTTACCGATTGCAGCGAGATGTCGTCGTGATTAGCTATCAGCAAGTGGGCAGGATCCATCAGAATAATATCGTACACCCAGGCTGATTCCTCCTCCGTACCGGTCGCGTCCTCCTCGGCTTTCGTCGCGAAACGCGTGATGCCGAGAAGTGTGAAAGGTTATCGATCCGGAGGTCAAGAGGCGCCGGAACGAACGTCCCTGTTGTGGCTGAAAGTTTTCAAAGCATGGTACTTGTATTCTATCATTCTCGTTACATGATGATTTGCGCTCTTAGGCTGTTGAGTTATCCGCGTGACTGGTCTGGAGCCAGGTATGAAAAAGGTATATATACAAGTGCAAAATCACAGATATACAGAGAAAAGAGAGCAGATTCTTGAGAACGACCGAAGACGAGTCGTAATGCGAGAGGATCCGAATGATGTTTATCGTCCGAGATTGAGAGGCGGCATCGAGCCTAGAGAGGAAGTCCGGTTACGGGCGAGGGTACCGTTGGACGTGTGTTTGCGATTCTTCTGACGTCGAGGCCGCATATCGTGGCTGTAAGATTGCTCGTGCACCGCCTCGAGAATGGGCGAGACCATCATGCCGTGCGCATACCCGAGCGGACCGGTGCTCGCGCCAGCCAATGTCGAAGCCATCGATGGGCTGGTAAAGCTACCTCGAAAGGGCCCGACATTCGATTGTTGTCCTGGTGACAGGGCAGTAGCGTCTCCGGTATGACGACTCCGACGAAAGGTAGTGATCGGAACTCGCTCCCATCGCTGCAAGTTTCGGAGGTGTCGAGGCGGATCGTGGGTATCTGGCATGGCTTGATGGTCCATGTCATGAGTGTAATGATGTAGAGCGTCGACGTCGAGCACGTCATCGATGGAGATGGGTTCGACCATGACTTCCATGTCCGAGGGCGTGTCCTCGCGCTCAAACGGCTCGTGACGCAAGTTTGGGTGCAACGGAGAACCTCGCATCGAGCCGAAGCGACTGGAAGCCGGCACCGACGAGTATCTCGGTCTGCCAACAGGAGAGGCGGCAGGGCTCTGCCCAAACGTCCTCTTCTTGACACTGCTTCGACCACGAGCGGCCCCTCGACGGACAAACGGCGAAGGTGCAGTCTTGCCCGTACCATCGATGACGGCCACTCGCTCTGGATCCGCTGCGTCACGCGTAAATGATCCCATGAGCGGGAGACCTATGGGTGCGTTGGTAGACAAGGCAGTAGAGGGAGCAGGAGAGGCGACCGCTTGCGCCCCGGGCGATACAGCGTCCATCACAGGAGGCGTGTTCAACGACGCCGAGCTTGTACGCGATTGATTCTGGAGAGCGGGATTAGACCCGACGACAGATGCATGCGTGGTGTCGAAAGGCGTCGACTGGATGTTCGACACGTCTGACATGACCGTATCGGCATCCACATTGAGATTGGAAACCCCTCCCAGGATGTGTTGTTGTTCTTCCGCCCGAGCCCTTTCGAGCAAATGCCTAGCATCCGCTAGGGGCAGACCAAGGTCTCTGGCCAAGGCGGCCTCGTCGACCGTCGTCACTCCGAAAGCGGCATTGTTGGCTTCGAGCCCGGCAGCCGCGAGCGAAAAGGGAATAATGTCTGGCGGGCTCGGCATGTCCTCTTCGGGAAGGCTGTCCGTCGTATCGCCTCCATCACTCATACCATCATCGTATCCGTCACCTTCAGTCTCGAAAGCCTCGGCATCGACCAATAGAGCGGGACCTTCGCCGTTAATGGTGCTTCCCGAGCTCCCTTTGCTTCCCTTGCCGGACCTCTTGCTGCCCTTGCTTCGGGATTTGCTGGTTCCACGACTCGGTCGAGCCTTGTCTTCTGCTTCAATGACCGGTTGAGCAAAGACTAGGTTGCCGGACCAGTCTTCCATCAGAACAAGAGGAAGATCGCTGGCCGGACCAAATCCAAACTCGTCATTCATGAAGAAATCATCGTCTTCCGAGTCCGAGGAGAAGGTCGCACTGGATTCATCTTCGGTAGCATCCGTATCGTTGGCGCCATTGTCGTCGGTCTGGGCCGTGTCCTCGAAATCGTCGAGGGCGGCAAACAAGATCTCCTGTTACAGGCAAGATTAGTATCAGTTGATGCAGGTACTTGACGTTTGTCCACTGTTTAGCACTCACCTCTTCTTCCTCGTCAGTACTCCAAGCGAGGTTCGGCGGCGCAACATCGAGGAATACGTCTTCGACATTGGAAGGGTCAATTCCGTCCGGAAGCTGAGGCTCGTCTTCCAATGCTTGAGGTGGGCCCGAAGGAAACTCCATATCCGGTCCCAACGACCCGGCGAAAGCGGATTCCAGCGGGAGGTCGACGTTGCGCTATTGAAGGCGATTAGATATGAGCTATGCTTCATCGTAAACCGCGGTTTTCAGGCTCACCTCTCTACGTCGATGTCGATGCGAGTGGGATGAACAGGAACATCGCTTGTGCCCGTGTCTTCGTCGACGTTTTTCTCGCTTGATCTTGCGGTCAGCTCTGTTTGTCCTCAAACAAGTCAGCCATCGAGACTCAAAGCTACTCGTCAAGCTCCGGATCGACCTACTTGGCCGCTTCGTCTGCCGACTTGTATTCATCTGGCAGACTGCTCAATTCATCCGAATCATCCGCGAAACCAGACGCCTTGGCGATGGTCTGGATGCTTCCCATGCCCGAACTGAGCTTCTCCCTCCTCGCGCTGTTACGTTCGATAGAAGCTAACTTCTGGTCCTTCTTCTTTGACTTGACGACATCGGCCGTGCGCTTCTCCCTGTCAGTCTCTCCTTTCGCCACCGATCCGTTCGCTTTGCCCGTCTCGGTCGTTTCCCGAGCCACGCTCTTCCCCTTGCGATCCTTGCCTCCATCGGGTTTCTTGCTCACTACCTTCTTGTGCTTGCCTTCGTTCGTATTCTTTCTGGGAATGTCGGCAGAAGCCTGAACGGAATCCTTCCTCTTGCGATGAGAGGAGAACGTCCCGTCGTCCTCGGCATAATCGGCATCCCCATCGTCATCCTCGTCATCCTCCTCGTCATCATCGAGGATGATCGGGTAATGATACTTGACTGGAGGACGAGGACGAGGACCCGAAGGGCCGACTTCCGAGAAGAACTGGCTTGTCGTTGGAGCGGCGTTGACGTTATTGACTTTGAGACGGACCTTGGGGATGGTGGGGTTGGGATTGGGCTGATGGAGAAAGGAATTAGAGGGACCTTGTTTGTTCTCCGTGGCGGGGCGAGCGGGATGAGAAGCAGAAGAAGCAGATGCAGTAGTGGCTGTGAGATGCGAAACGAGGTCATGAAACCGTGATGAGCACGTGTAATGAACCATGATCGACTGCTCGGTCGTGCCCAAGAAAAGTTTCGGACAAGCCCGACAGCGACTTACTGCCAGGGGGAAGCATCTTTTTCTGGTTGGTCGAGGCTTGAGGGCCAGGCTGAATCTTGACCTGGGCACTGGACATTTCGAGGTAGACTATTGATTTGGTTTGCGTGGAGGTGGTTTGAGGTGTGTGTATGTGTATGGGAGATGGGTCGTGCGACCAGTTCGTTGTGCTATGCGTTCTATATAGCAGTCTCGTGATAGGTGAAGAGCGACCGTGGTTTGTTGTGCTCTCAAAGTTTATCTTCTAATCGTCGTAGGGAGGTGCTATATTCCCCCTAAGCGATGCCTGTTGATGTCAGTTTCGCTCAGAAACGGGTGCACAAGAGCTCCGTTGCTGATTTCCTTTTTTCTTCGCGCTACTCTTCCTCCTTCAATCTCTTCTCCGCCCAGCCCTGCTGATCCCTCTTTTCAGGTTGTTCGTGTAGTAAAGGTCGGCGTGTCTAATGCCAGTGATGTCGTTGTTGTTGTTCTTATTGAAAAAGATGTCTTTTCGGGAGGGGTAGTTCTGGCTAGAGAACGACGAGGGGGGTCCGAAGCGTTTTGACGAATCGAGCATAATCTCTGGGCGAAAGGGATGCGAGGCACTGAACCTGATCCGAATGGTATCGGCTCTGGAACTATTTGCAACGAGGGTGTCTCAGTAGTGTGACAGATGAAGATGAGGTTGATGAGCGGGTGGATAAAGACGCCGAAGGTTGAGGACGATGACAGATTGTCGATAGCAGGAGTCGACCACTTTGTTTCAGGACGATGTGAGGTTCGGTATCGCCCAAGGAAGCTTCTCGATGACTATGATTGGATAGGTCGAGGAGACGTCTCTTGCAGACTTGCTATCGTGATGAGAGATGCTTGTGATCTGAAGCGAGAACGAGTTGGAATGTGGGTACGGGATAAGAGAAGACGTTGATATATCGCACTGTTACGATGTCGACCATCGAACCAAGGCCGCCCGGGAGAAGAATGGGGGTTGGGTGAGCGAGTGTGTGGGTGTGTGCGTGATTTTAGAAATCTTCTCTTCCGGGGCAGAGGGGGGGGGGCAGCAGGGGCAGAAGAGAGAGGGTAACCAGGCGCTATAGTCAGCCAGCACGGGAGGGGGAGAGCATCAAGACGATGGCGTAACATCTGACGTAACAAAACAAAGCATGGTCGCCACGTTCCCATGCCTGCGCTAGGCTCACGTGGAAGTCACAATCACGTAATCTTGTCTCATACTCCCGAGTATCCGCCGGACCGGGAATGCCGAGGAAAGCTCGAGGTGGTTGTGAACACAAAACAGATCACAAATTGCAAGTTGCTCTTCTCCTTCTTCGTGTGTTCATAAGAAGTCAGCGAGTGTCCCAAGCATCACGATCTTGCGACTTGCGATTCCACTCTTACCACAGATCGCAGACATGTACGACGCCATCGTCATCGGATCTGGTTTCGCGGGTCTCGTCGCCGCCAGGACGATCGCTCGAGCCAACAAAAAGGTCGTCTTGCTCGAGGTGAGTAGGCAGACTCAGCCAGTAGTAGCTTGGATGTATCCACCCTTCTCGCTCACGGGTATGATTCCCTTGCTTACAGGCTCAATCCCGGCTCGGAGGACGTTGTTATACGAGCAAAGACTTGTTTCCAGCTCCGGTGGATCTTGGATGTTCTTGGATTCATGGTTACGCAGAGGGAACTCCGGTCAGGGATCTGGTCGAGGAGCTCGGCATCGTCAGTTCTCTTTGGTGTGACAAGGTCTCGAAAGCGGCTGATCGATCGATTCGCTATGCAGAAAGCCACCGTACCGCAAAAGGCACGCTCCGTGGTGATCTCGCAAGGCAGTGAGTTGGGCTTCTTGTCGGTCATCATATATCAAGCTAAAACATCTTGTCTGATCATGGTCCCACTCGATAGAGGTCTTGAATCCCGAGATCGTCTCTAAACTACAAAGCAACCAATCCAAAGCGCTGGAAAAAGCTTCAAAGTCCTCTGGCACGGGCTCGCTTGGCGCCTTCCTCTTCTCCGAGCACGACGCTGCAGGTCTCTTCACCTCGCTCTCGGACGAAGAGAAACGTCAAGTAGAGGGACTCACGAGAACGCTCGAGATCGGCATGGGCGCTTCGTTGGAACGCTTCTCCTTGAGGTGGAACGGATACGAGGACAGCTTCAAGGGGACCGACGCTGGGCCCGAAGGCGGCTATTCGAGGGTTATCGACGCCCTCGCCAAGAGCTTTACCGCCCTCGGAGGCGAGATCAGGACTGGCACGCCCGTGCTCGGCGTGAACCCGGGGGCTTCTGGTGAAGGCGTCGACATTCACACCTCGACTGGCAACGCTGAAAGTGACGATCTGTCGGCCCGTCTGGTCATCTGCACCATCCCACTCGCCGTGTTGCAAAAGTCCCACAAGGACCTGTTCCAAGCTCCCCTATCGTCGAAAAAGGTCGAGGCGATCGAAAAGACCCACGTTGGTCAACTCGGCAAGATCGTGCTCTCTTACGATCAGGCGTGGTGGCCGACAGATGTAGGCGCGTTCACCATCTTGCCTACTGCCTCTCCGGTATCCAAGGAAGAAGCGCCTCTCAAAGATGCCCGTGCTCTTCTCAACTCGGTATCGCTCGTGACGGCGTCGTTCGCCGTCGAATCGTCCCTCACGCCTCACCCGACCTTGCTCACCTATCTACCGGCTCCTGTTGCGGTACAGCTCGAGGCGATGACGACCGCGCAAGTGACCGAGGCGATCCATTCGCTGTTTCTGGATAACCTCCCACGAGCCGCTGGTGTGAAAGCCAAGCGACCGATCGTCTCGGAACTGACCTCTTGGTCGAAGGACCCCTATGCCCTAGGCGCCACCTCCACGCCCGTCATAGCCGCAGACGAAGTCACGCCCCTGAACTTTGTGGAATTAGGAAAGCCCGAATGGCAAGGCAGACTGCTCTTTGCCGGCGAGCATACCAGTTTGAACAATAGGGGCAGTGTCACAGGAGCCGTAGAAACTGGTGAAAAGGAGGGAAAGCGAGCTGTGAGGCTGCTCAACGCCCAAACTTGATGACGTGAATATCGCGAGAGTTGTATGATTCCCATACTTTTACATGTAGAGACCGCCGATGCGGCCGGGCCTTGCAAGAATTTGGATACAAGATTGAACTATTGAGTATGAAGTAGTGCACAACTGAAGTCTAGTGGGTAGCAGAGTAGGGTATGGCAAGACGTAGAAGAGATCGCGATCGACGCGCAGAGCAAAAGTAATATGGCGAGTGCTCTAGAAGTCGTCGTCCATGGTGAATCCCTTCTTGACTGCCGAGTGATCCGCATCGATACTCTGGTTGACCGAACTCTTCGAGTATGCTGATACACGAGACTCGAAGAAGTTAGCCTTGCCCTGGAGAGAAATCATCTCCATGAAGTCGAAGGGGTTGGTGTCATTGTACACCTTTTCGTTTCCAAGAGCGACGAGCAATCGGTCTATGGGAATAGCCGAAGATAGGTAAGCTTCCAACTGATGCCTTTGCCAACAACATTTTGCGAAACTTACCGGCAACGAAGCGGATGTATTGGCACATCAACTTCTCGTTCATGCCGATCAGCGAAACGGGCAGAGCATCGGTCAAGAACTCGCACTCGAGCTCGACAGCCTCTCGGATGATCTTCTCGACAGTGTCGGGGTGAGGGCGGCGTTTACTATAGGGTGGGGAAGTATATCAGCGATGTGATCTCAAGTCCAAGAGTGCATCTAGTAAAGTTGACTTACAGGTGAGTGAAGAGCAGGCAAGCAAAGTCGGTGTGCAGACCCTCGTCACGCGAGATCAACTCGTTGGAGAACGTGAGACCAGGCATAAGACCTCGCTTCTTGAGCCAGAAGATGGATGCCTGTTATGGAAGGGCAAGTAAGCATCCTGTTGACACAAACAATCTAGATTGGTACTTACGAAAGACCCGGAGAAGAAGATACCCTCGACGGCAGCAAACGCAATCAACCTCTCGGCAAAGGTGCTGCGTCGGTCCGAGATCCACTTCAAAGCCCAGTCGGCCTTCTTGGCGATGCAGGGGACTGGAACAGGGTCGGCCAGGATGAGCGAGAGTTCTGATCGAAACACAAGCCTAAACGGCTTACTGGTGTCAATGGCGTCAAAGAGGTAAGTTCGTCGAGCAGGGTCCTTGATGTAGGTGTCGATCAGCAGCGAATAGGTTTCGGAGTGGATGTTCTCCCTGAGACAGAAGCAGTGGCGAAAGCAAACCGACAGGTCAGTCATGGGGGATCAATGCGAGTTTCTCGCGTAGAAACGTACATCATGATCTGGAAACCGTAGAAGAATTTGGCCTCGGCGCATTGGACCTCGGAACTGAAACGTTCGACCAAGTTTTCGTTGACGATACCGTCAGACTGGAGGAAAAGATAGATTCGCACGTGGTAAGCCACTAATGGTCTACACATAGTAGGCACAAGAACAAAAGCGTTGAACTCACGGCAGCAAAGAAGGCCAGGACGTGCTCGATAAAGTATCGCTCGTTGTCGTTCAGCTTGTTCTCCCAGTCGTGGCAGTCCATAGCGAGGTTGATCTCTTCGGCAGTCCAGAAGGACGATTCGGCCTTCTTGTACATTTGCCAGATCTGCGGGCAGGAATTGCAGCGTGAAGACCGAATCGTGGTAAGCGGACGGTGCAGGACGACCAAACAGACGTGAGAATACTAACCTCTCTGTACTTGATAGGGAACAAGACGAATCGACTCTTGGACTCCTTCAAAAGAGGCTCCTCGCTCTCCGGCAGGTCTACTTCGCCGACAAACTTCTTCCTCGAGTCCTCCAATTCTTGAGCCTCGATGGCGGCAACCTTCTCATCAACAGGCTCGGTCTTCTCGGGTTCAGCGTCTGACTTGCTCGTCTTGGAGACGTCAGCCGATGCCTGCAACTTGGCGTTCAGAGCGGCCGAAGAGGTTGTCGATCCATTCGTGAGATCAATCCCGGAGAGGCCGTTGGCGAGAGGCTTGCTGGGGGTCTCGAAGTCGGTGGACATTGTGAATGTATCTGGGATGGACCTTGTGTATCTAGTTGTGAGGGTAGATGCGATGGCAGGACACGAAGTGGGATGGTTGATAGACCGAATCGAGATGAAGGTAGTTTGATGGGAAGAGGAAGGAAAAACAAATTGCGGGCGCGATCGATCCCCCGCCCTCTCTCTCTCCCTCTCTGCCTATATATCCGTCGCGTGCCATCCCCCCACCACCCACTTTAGGACGCGTTCTGACGCGTCTTTTCGATCTCTATCGCAATGACACGTCAGATCGTCAGAAAATGACAGTATGGATTCAACAAGCAACAAGCCCACCGCTCGGATCGTCTCTTTCGACGCAGATTCTATGTACCCACGGGTATACAGGCAGTATTTATCGAATTGGTATCCCGACGAAAGAGTCCGATGTATCCGTTAAGCAACCTCCGATGATGCATCGAAGACCGACAAGTCCATCCATCATTTATTTGATAAGGTAATTTAGACGACAAACAAAACAAATCGCGTCGCGACGCGTTTCTCGATCGACCGACCTCGAGTGATCGCGACTGACCATTTCGGGGATGGCGTTCCCTGTCGATCGTTGAGTTCGGCCGCATTATCAGATAAGCTTCTGAGGCAGCGTATCGGCTATGATCGCTCATCAGATCATTCAGATCAATCGCATGGTTTTACGATATATCTATTGAAGACAAGAGCTAAAGTTGCATTACATCGAGAGGACCTTGCGACTCATCACAGCCTTCTCGATGTCTGTGAGACGGTTGCACAAATCCTGCACGTCATTCACGTTCTTGACATATGCTTGTCTCACCACGGAAGTGATGTGGGACTGCGTACGGCGTCGAAAATCAGTTATCGTCATCATCATGTAGATATATCCCTTTGAGTTCGACTCACTCCCATGTCGACCTGCATGATCTGGTCGCCCATCAAATCTTCGTCATTGTCTTGTCCATCGAGATCATCGTCTAGGTCGCCCCAGCCACCGCCTCCGCCCCCACCGAGCATGTCTGCATAGAGGATCAAAGTATATCAGCGAAACCGTCGGCATATTATCAGTGAAACGACAAGCCTACCACTCAGCCAAGCCATCTCATCCTTTTCGTTCTTGGTGAGGTCGTCCTCCTCCTCCCAATCGTCATCGCCGTCATCAGGGGCGATATCGACGTCTTGCGCATTCTCGGCTTCGGCAATTTCCGTGTTCTGCAGCTGCGCTAGAAGGTATTTCAAAGCTCGCTGGTGGAAAGGGATCATCTCGAACCTGTGAGGGTCTGAAACGGAAAGGGTTGTGTACTGTCAGTATGCATATTGAACGTTTTAGGCGGTACGCAGACTCACTGTTTCGTGTACGTGATCGAGTCATGATCGCTGCAAGAAACACAAGGTCGACTCAGTAACAACACTCGCAGCCGAATCCGCCGGACCAAGGCTCACTGTTACGATTCTCCTCGTCGACGACCATATCCCCTTTAACCATCAGCGCGCGAACGGATGGGCGCTCGCATGCCAAGAGGTTGGACATAGCCATATCACTGTGTGCAACGGCACACGTCAGTCCAGCGATTTGTGATCAGGCTTGTTTTCCGTGACTCACTTGACGCGGATACTGTAGCTCCCTTGCACTGTGTCCACGGCGTCGTTGCACCAGGAGCACAGGACAACCTCGAGACCGGATTGCACTCGATTTGCAGACTCTTGAGAAGGTGAGGCGATAGTCATGCCCTCAAGGAGGTCCAGCGTCAAGTCTAGCTCGACAGTCAAGAGGTATGCAAAGGGTAAACACAACGTCTGCGGGTGTCGAGGGCCATTTAGTAGACTGATTTGATTTGGATTGCGGGGCATACATACATACCTGAGTGAAGATTGTGCTCTGCGCTACCGCTATCCTTCTTGCGAGCGCATCCAACAGGCTCGGCACGGTCTTTGTGAGATGCTGTCCAGCATTTCGGAGGAGGTGCAAAACCAGATCCCCTACGCAGAGACCGGCCGATTCGGAAAACGACGGATCGATGAGTCGCGCCAAGACAGCCAAGACAGCATCAAGTCCCGACCTTCCGCTAGCATCTTGCCTGTTATCGATGATGATAGGCATGAGTACTGTGGTCGGACAGGATAGGGTGAGACCAGGATCGATATCCTTGCTCACCAAGCGAAAAACTGGGGTCCGGATTTCCTGACAAAGGTTGTGAGGGCATTGCATCCGTACTGGCGCAAGAAAAGCGCCACGGTCAGTCATTGGCAACTGCAGATCAGAGACTTAACACAAAGTTTCCTTACCTGCACAGTGTCACTGTCTTCTGTGGTGAGCATACAATGGAAAAGAGCTGGCCAGATATTTGGTCCAAGCTGTTCGCCAAGATCTGTCTTTCGTCCACGCATGATAGCGTTCACTAGCTCCACCGCAACCGATGCTGACGACATGTCCTCTAGCGAAGGAGGCTTGGTGAGGATGCCCGAGAGCGGCGGCATAGCTGTTGAGATCAGACTGTCATACACAGCTTGCGATGGTGATGAAGCAATCGTCTCGAACACCTCTTCTACTATAGCCGTCAGAACGGGATCTGCAAGCGAGAGTAGGTCAGATCGTGCCTTTCACGGCGGATTGAGCGAGATTCACCTCTCGCGTTTGTACCCCAGACCTGCAAGATAGCGTTCACCAGTTGTTGGGTACTGCTCTCATCGAGTATACTCCCATCGACTCCAATAACAGCTCGAATCGTTTCGAGGACAAGAGCCAAAGTCTCTTCCGTGGCTTCCGTCAGGTAAGGGCCTAAATCGCCAATGATTCGTAGCGAAAGAGGTTGGAGCTCTTCTGGCTTGATATAACGACAGAAGCTGGATTGCGAGAGAGAGAGAGAGAGATCAGTACGTGCTCTTTAAAGCAGTCGTCGGCGCGCCGGCGCCGGCAGCACTCAAATATGCTCACTTCCTGATTGTCTTGATAGCCGAGATCTTCACAACGCTTTCGACACCAGGTGCTTCGAGCGCTTGCACCGCAGCTTCCAGGTACTGCTTGCTGATACCCGTCTCCGCCAACGTCAAGACGTATTGGCTAGCAAATACGAAAGCGCGACCTTGCAGGAACGGCGAATCTGGGATAGGATGGGGCGAATTTAGAAACTTTTTTCGCATGTCAAAGTTAGGAGGCGAATTACCTGACGAATTGAGCAAGTTCGGCACCACTTCCTTGAAGAGATTCTCGAGATCAAAGCTCTCAGTCACGCCTTCGTTGCTCTCTTCGTCTCGCATGTCCAGCAAAGCGTCGGCGACGGATCCTACACAGGCAAGAGCAGCCTCCAGGGGCTTCCACCTGGTTTACCATGATGTCAGTCATATCCACGAATCAACAAGTCAGCTGACCAACCAATCTTGGTCCCCGCTCTGATGCAGTTGATTGGATTCTTCCATCCGGCGACGGTAGGTGATCTGCAGGACCTTGGCGACCGTGGATTCGAATTTATCCAGGAGCGACTGATCCAGGGATGGACGTCAGACTGATAGAGCATACTAATATCAAACTAAACTTACACCAAGCAGATCGAAACCAGCAGTTCTCAAACTGTAAGCATCAGCTTCGTCGTCCTCGTCCGCCACGAAAGCATTGGGATCTTCTGCCCATACTTCAGCCTTTCGTAGGCGAGATCGAGAACATCAGCTATCTGTTACCTGTACTTGTGAGGCGTCGGCCAGACTTACGTCCTCTCGCGTAATCTGCGTCCATCCGAGAATCTCATACACAAGACTTTCAAGGACCTGAGTTGGCTTTTCTCTACTCATAGCCGCACCTGACCCATGGCTGGGACCGGCACCTTCGTCCTTCGTGACCATAACGCTTCGAAGGCTCCTGGCGCGGCTGATTCCGGTCAAGAAGTCTAGGATGCTAGCACCCAGGTCGACGATTCCAGCATTTTGGCCGTCTTCAGGGTTGGGGTCTGAGGGGGGCTCTGGGGCAGAGGCAGAAGTCGAAAGGTAATAGGCGTGCAAGTGAGGTGCGAGTGTCGTTAGGTGATATAACGATAGCTGCGTGAAGGAGGCTAGATGTGGCTGAAGGACACGGGGAAACGAGGCTTGCAGTACTGTCAAGGTCTGTTTGAGGGCTGCTTATCAGCCATGGCCGTTGCAGCAAGATAGACGACGACGTCGGACTCGCCCTGAAAATTTCGTTCCGCGTGTTGATACCATCCCAGTTGGTGTCCCGACTCAGTTCATCATTCAAATCTCTTTGCAAGACTTCGCCGATAGCGGCAATCCAAGCAGGTAATACCGCTTCCATCGCTTGCGTAACCACGGCGGGGTGTTCGTCCTTCATTGAATATAGAGTCTTGCTACTGGTTCTGAAGATCTTGATACAATGACTCCTGGTGCTGAATGTCGTCTCTGGAGAGCGTAGTACCGCCAAGAGAACCGGCATGCTTTCTCTCAGGAGGTCCAGCAGCTGCTCTTCCATAATGTCGGATCGGACAAACTCGGCCAGAACTCTCATCGCTCCATGGACAGCATTTTGATCCTTGTTGCTGTTCAAGATCGTGAAAAGTCCTGGGAGCAGCTCGGGAAAGTCGTTCGGCCAGTCGGAGTTGGCGATGCTGCTCAACGCAAAAGCGATGGCGATGCGTATCTTCGAGTCGGGCTCTCCGAGTGCTTGCAACAATAGGGTCCTAATCTGACGCTTGACCTCTGCATCGGTCATTGGTCCGATGAACTGCGGAAAGATCGCCGACCAGTATTGATTGACGTATTTCTTCAGCACAAGAGCAGACATCTGTCTGATCGGATGAGCCGCCTCTTGACTAAGGGCAACTCGACAGAGGCTGAGGCCGGCATCTAGCATAGTTCGGGTCGTGGAGTTGAGCTTACATCATGGGCAGACATCTGAACACAACCAGATCACGGACTTACCTGGTCGAGCCAGAAATGAGGTTAAGCTGCTTTCAGCATTATTTCGAATCGCTTGATCCGCTTGCTGGGTGGCTTCCAAGATATGATACAGCTCCTGATCCGAGTTCATCTTGCTTGCGAGACGAGTATTCTGTATGAAACCCGTATCCTCTAGATATATCGACGTCCTGCTGGTATAGCGTTCGAGTCAAAGTGGCAGTCGTACCTATAAGACATCATGCATCAAAGTCATGGTATGGACGAAGCTACAACTTGAGTGTGTTTACGATTCGAATTCCGGGCGAGCCAGGTTGAAATCATGAACGGACATGGGAAACACGTCGAGATCCGCCTCGGTCGTCGCCCTACTCGTTTCACTTGGATCCTCGCGCGATGTGCCAACTGAAACTGTGCGCTCTTGGATTTTGGTAGGATTGCCGAAGTTAGCTTTGATTCCGTAAGATACTAGAGATATGACGATAGTCATCAGACGCTTTGACATGGAGATTCTCCATGATCGCGCGGTCTCACCAATACTGTGGCTCTGACAAATTGATACAGCAGTGGCAACTTTTCAAACGGGAGTTTGGATCGAGCAGTCCGTTATAGCTGGTGTGCTCCAACCCAACGACGGCATCGAGTTGGCTTATCGGTACTGAAGCTCCGATGATAGGTCATTGACCACCGTGAGCATTACTCAGAGACCCAGCGTCAGGTCCGAAATAGGCTTGAAACGGCTTTGACGATGGCATATCAAGGGCATCGATTGAAAACTTTTCACGTGAGGCGCCTTTGGCCAAGCTTGCTCCCAGATGGGGATATACCGTTGATGAAATACAAACGTAACATCCCGGCCAAGGATTAGGCGAAGGGACCTAATCTGAAGTGGGAAAGGCAGCACGCCGAATTGCTCTCAACGGGGGCGCCAGGGACCACACTGAGGTGGCGACCTCCCGCCCGGACAACTTGCGCCCAGTCGTGGAAGGTCTCAGTGAGAGTCAGCTTCCACTGGTTTCCCTGATTTATTCAGGCAATTGGATATAGTCGGAGGGGCAAAGGTCCGAGACGACTGGGTAGCCAAGACCCGTAGCGCCGGTTCGTTTCGTAGCCAGTCGACTCGCTCAGGTATGCCTAAACAAGTCCGGGCCCACCAGACCTTGACGCTGATCAAGTCTACGATCGACTCGGACTTCTGCCTGCTTACAGAATACAATTTTCGCCGCGATACAAAAGACTATGAAGCCTTGCTCGAGAAGACCAAGAAGATGTATGGGTGGTGGAAAAAGACCAAGATCAAGTTGAAGGGGGAGCAGGATAATAATGGGGTTGATACGTCTGGTAGCAAGGAATTGAGGGAATGGAGGATGGCTGTGGTGGATCATTTTTTCACACAAGCGCAAGCCAGGGGAGGACGAAGCGAAGATCGAGCCTGGGATGTAATTATATGATTTGAGGTATTCCTTACCAGAACTCGTTCCATGTTCTCGACAGGGCAAAGTGATCATCAGCCGCGTCTGGGCTGACTATGACAGTCTTCTGTAGTGATCCTGCCTTTCGCTTCACAAGCTCTCGGAACATCATCGTCCGGCATGTTATCAAAGTCATATATTCAGATGCGCCGAGTCAGTCCGTGATCAATACCCTGTTGTGCGAAATGCCGAGGTAGGGTATACACATATTCTTCTTTCTCGATGTATCACAACGGCTTCTGGGCAACCAGGTGGGACTGGTGGTCTGTGTGTTCAGAGTCTGTCAAGATGGAACCATGAACGTCCGGTATATTATAGATAGACTCGACAGTAGTGTCTACCCGACCCGGTGCCTGTTCTTCTGCCCTCGAGACTTGGTCGCTGCTCCACTGCGCAAACCTGAGGGCGCACTCCGGGCCACACACGCCCTTCGTACAATTGGCGATCGATGAACTTGCATTCGCGTGCGCCTACTCAGGCAGCAAGCTTTCGAGATATTCCAGTCACTTCACATAGCGCTCTGTACGGAACAGCTCCGACACAGCTTCCCACCTACAGTACAGGAACGCGCAAATCTCAGATTAAGCTCACGCTCACCGCCTGGCGAGTTTGCGGCTGCTTGGTATGGCTAAAGCTGGAGCGAAGCGTGAGGGTTTCCCACACACCCAGGCTCGCTTGTTCTGTGTGAAACCAGTACCTACGACGACTCCATCGCGGACGAACGAGTTTAAAGAAAGCCACCTGGCACGATTTAAACGGCTCTTTTCGCCGTCGGCGAACTTCACTCCAAGTCATCTCCACTACACTGATAGTTGCCGAAACTCCCAACTGGATGCTGATCGCCACTAAGCATAAGGGCCAAGGGAAATTGGAGGACGAACCCGATCACCGCGGCGTACTCGATGTCCACGATGCCATTTGTGAGGATGTGGACACCCTGCCAATGGCGGGTTGACCAAGCTGCGCTCGGGAAAGCGAACGAAGCTTTTGCAATCCATCTGGTTCGGCTCAGCTGGGGTTTCCTATGTTTCCGATAGTCTCATAGCGATATTGATACACCATGACCCGAGCAGTCCGCGTCATCATCTTCCCCTTCTCTGTCTCCTTCTCAATTTCTAGTGGTGGCCGTCATCCCCGTGGCCGTGGCCGTGACCATCCCAAGGATGTTTGAGACCCTGTGTTCGGTATATCCAGCGACGTGTCCGATATGAAGAGATCAGTTGAGAAGAGAGCAAGGGGAGGTTTGATGATCGTGGTGGAAAGGTTCGTCGCAGTCGATCATTATTGTCATCATGTCACAGTAAGAAGAGAAAGAACAAGGAGTCGTCAATAACGTGTCCGGGAACGTCTCATACTAGGCTTCCAGCAACAGAGACGTACCAGAAGAGCAGCTCCGTCTTGCCTAAAAACAGGGAGGAGATTAGGATACTTTGTCAATATCTACGCATTATCCAGGCAGACATAACCGGTCCAACCCTGTTGATCCGCAACTCACCTTGCTCGGTAGAAGATGAAGAACCACATGCCAGCTCCGAGACCCTTGGCCAAGAATCGGTGTCCGAACGACGGGGGGTGAGGGTGGAAACCTGCAAATAGCAAGATTCGACCGGACGATCAGACGGATGAGTCCTTCTGGCGAAGGGATGCAGCAGTCGAACGCGAGGACGCACCAGGTCCGGCCATTTTGAGAGCAATATCTAAAGATTGTAGGTAGGGTGATCAACGATGAGACCGACTTGTGGGATCGTCTATCGCAACTGTTCAACTGGATCTCGATCATCCTCGTCGAGCCCGAGAGACCCGACCGGGTTCCGTAAACGTGAGGCGGACATGCAATGATGCTGTCCCTTCCAGATCAAATAGGATCATGTCCGTGAAACCCGGAGTTGCTCATAAATCCCCAAAGCTGAGACTCCGAGTCAACCTCCTGACCTATGGCAACCTGGACTCTACATCCCGCTAATCATTACAAGTAACTAGACTAGATATGAATTTGGATAGACTGACTTATCACACCGTCACGATTCTGTACAGCTTCTACCATAGCCCTATAGCGTCACAAGAACCGCTAGTAACATGGGGAAACCGGGCGTTCGTCTCGTCGACGAGGATAACTTTTACCCCGAAAAGTATAGCACGAACTGCAAGAGGTCAGTTAGGCGCTCCTTTCCTCATCAGTTGCAACCTAACGAGGTTCACGCCCGGTTCTTAGATGCTCGGATGTTGTCAAGAAAGTGTGTCCCGCCCCCGCTTTCTCTGGTCTCCCCTGTGATATTTGCATCGATGCCAACGTCGAGTGCGAATGGAAACCGGTCCTGCCTAGGGGGCTATCGAGGAACGTCACGGCTTCCAAGGTCATCCTGCAAGCCTGGCGTACCGGTGTAGCTATACCCAAGCAAACGCGGGGCAGCCAACAGAAAGGCAAGCATCAGGAGGATGATAGCGACGAGGATGATTTCTCGCCTCCGCCTGCAAAGCGCAGCAACACTTCAAAGAGAGGCAAGCTGGACGCCGAGTTTCTTCCTCTGCCGGAGTTGAGGGAGCTGGGCGCAGGAAGGCATCGGCCCGAGGCTACGGCCGGTCCTTCTCGCCTAGATCGAGGCAGGGAGGAGGAACCCAAATCGAAGACGTTTGATTTCTTCGATGGAGACAAATTCGCTCGACCTAGCAAGCGATCTCGACCGGACGACGTACCTCCAAAGCGGCCTGAAAGGGAAAGAGAAGTACAGAGGAACGCTCAAAATAGACGCGATTCTTCTGGCTCTTCCGATCTCAGCGAGCCTTCCCCTTCACAAGAAGTAAGGGCGACAAAGACGCCCAGGAAAGAAATTCGCGACGAGCCTTCTTCGTCGAAGCGTCGATCATCACCGCCTTCAGCTAGCTTACCCAAAGCCAGGGAGCTGGATCGGACAGTCTCGGGCACGAGCACTACTCACACGCCGGTTCCCTTGAAAAAGAAACGTGTCGTTCAATCGGACTCCGAGGACGACTACCAGGAGCCCGAACCGAGCAAAAAAAGAGTCGATGACGAGGACAAGGATGTCCGGAAGGAGAAGAAGCCGAGGTTGAGCTTTGGTGAAGGCGATGACACGCCGAGGAAGAATCCTAGGGGGGAGGATGGTCGACCTAAGCCTAAGCAGCGACGTGATCTAGCGGAGAGGGAGGTGGCGAGAACGGACCGCGGAGGTGATGTCGAGTCAAAGAAGGTCAGACGGGATGAAGTGGTGGATGTTGACAAGATGGATCGAGGGGAAAGGGAATTACCAAAGAAGGTTAGGCGAGATGAGCGGGATGAGACTACGAGAGTCAGACGGGACGAGCGCGACGAGAGCGAGAGAAGACCTCGCGACGAACGGGATCGCGAGAGGGATGGAGACAGGCCCAAGAAGGATAAATGGGACGACAGGGACGATCACAAGAAGATCAAGCGAGATGATAGGGATGACGAATCGGTGGACCCGGCGCGCAAGAAGCGCCGGTTGAGCGATGACGCGAAACCGGTGAACGAGCCGAGTCAACAGAAGAACAAGCAACACTCGGCGATCGCTCAACGAGCTTTGGACCCAAAGCGAGCCAAACCCGACACACCTACACAAGGAGGAGAACCGTCCCCTGTAGCCAGGAAGCCTGCTAGAGGTTTCGGTAGTACGTCAGGAAAGAGTACGCCAGCTGGAAAGAATTCGGGGTCGTCCGGGGACAAGGTGATGGATCTGTTGTCGGCGAGTCTTGCTGGAGCCTCTCCTGCCTATGCAAGTTCCCTGGGCGTGGTAAGTCGACCTATATTCAGCGGGATAGCAACAAAGATCCAGTACTGATCAGTGCTCCTCTGTGCCTTGTGCGTATAGACGTCTTCGTTAGGGTAGGTAGTTCTAGATCGCCAGTTCGGCTGCACACTCAGCTGAAGTCCAATCTTCGTGTAGGAGGGATCGATATAGCACCAGAATGGATCGTACGCCGGCTAAACCGATTGCTCCTGTTGTGCAAGTGGTGAGTTTCTGCTGTACATTTACCTTGGCAGGATATTGTCGCTGACTCGACTCGCGCGTCACAGACGAGGGGTACACTCAATCTCATGGGTACTATCAAGTCGATCTCGGATTTCCAGGTCAGTCGCTCTGACGCTCAGTGTGACATGGTTCAAATATGCTGATCAGTACCGCCTGTCTAGACCGCCGCCAAACGACGCTACGCGCATTCCTATGGACTCCAGCCCGTTGGAACCGCCAAGAGCACGCAGACGACCGCCTTTATGAACCGCTTTCGCGAGCAACGGGCTCGTGGAGCCTACCACAACAGTTTGGCCAACCTCTTGACAATACCCGACACCAGCTTGCCGCCCAAAGAAGCGAAGCCCCTCAGCGAGGTGCAACAATGGCTACAAGTGCACGGTACTGCCCCTTTGGCTCCATTGAAGACGTCAGCACCTGTCGTCCGAATCACACCGGCCGAATCGATCGAACCGGCATCTACCGAACCTGTACAAGGAGAACCTTCCGAGCCGATGACGAACAGCCCAATCGTGCTCTAATCAGATAGACATTCTAGATCATCGTCGGTGACCGGAAATCGTCCGGCAACATGAACAGGAACAGAACCAACCTAGAGCAAGAAAACATAACGACAAGAACGAATATGAGCGACAACAGCTCTCACTGTATCTATCATACGAACAGCGATTTGGCAGACCCCGTCGTGATCGCCGGCCAAATGCATGAGAGTTCATGCTGTCTTCGCCGTTTGGTACCGGACCACATTCACGCGCAATTGCATTTCGCTACGGGGTCGCACCTGATCTGGGAGTAAGACCATATTCGTGACGCGGAATTGAGAACGAAGTAAGATCCCGTTGTCGCGCCCACCCGATCCAGCCGTTCTCTGCCCTGCTCATTGTGCCCGACGGCTCTTTGGTAGCCGAGTCGAGGCTGAAGCTGGAGCTGGAAATGGTCTGACATCCTCACTGTTCCGGATTAGTATAACAGACGAATACTCTTGTGGAACGCTGAACTGATGTGTCCACCCCTCGACCCGGCAAGAGGCCCTTTTGAGGATCGCCACTTGACAACACCGGCTGCTTCGTCTTTTCTGGCCATTCCTTTCGCGAATTCTAACAGGCCCGTTGCTACCCAGGTGAATAAGGCGATACTTTACGGAAGCAAGGTCAACGGTGTTAGTGAGAACAACATTACACAGAAGGTTCAAACCGTTTGCGGCTAGGGGTTTCCTTTCTCGGATAAGAGGAATTCTATAGGGCACCGAGTATTGCTACCCTAGATATAAGTCTAGGTCAGTATTCGAGAAAGTAACAGTCCATAAGACGGTGATGTCCTTCAAAGAGAAACGAAAGAGCAGGCAGGAGGTTTCGCTGACCACAGAATCCAGACACGGCAAGGAACCCCTGGGTCCATAGCGAACTTTTCACCTCAAATGGAGTAAAGGTAGAGCCGCAGCTGCGGACTCGAAAGATTGTATGAATCAAATGTAATCCCAATGTACAACTCGAACGTATTATAGAATACACGGCGCATCGCGTGTGACAGTATCGCAGAAAGAAAGAACCCTTTACACCTTGTAGATCGCGCCGTCGGCCTCCATGACCTCGTTCAATTCGCTCATCTTGGTAATGGCCAGCCGAGCCTCGGCTTGACCGAACATGATGGCGTTTGTCAGCCCCTCGTTGACGTCGGGCAAGAGTTGGTCGAACGGCAAAAAGTCCTCGTCGGGGTATTTGCCAAAGACGGCTGATAGTCGCTCTCGGAAGAGGTCAAGTCTTTTACGGTGAAACATCAGTGCGTGTCTTTTGCATTTGACTGACGCCGAAACTCACCTCTCTGACTCGATAGCATCAGGGCCACGCTCTGGCCGGCCCGACGAAGGGGCACCTGCACCGTCTCCGCCACCGCTCTCCATCTCCCGCATAACTTCTTCGGCTTCGACGTTCATATCAGCATCTTGGACGCTTCTCGGCACACTTTCTCTTGGGGTAGTCATCCTCTTTGACCTGGCTGCAGCCCGTTCGTCCCTTGTCTCAGTCCGGCCGTTGACAACATCGTCATCATCCTCGCCGTCCGCGTCCGCAAGCTCGCCATCGATCTCATCCTCATCGTCCGAATCGTCGCTGTCACTTCCGTCTGATCGCTTAGATTTGCCCGTGTTTAGCTTACGCTTTTTTCGCCTCTCGGGTTTGAGCACCTCCTTGAACAGGGCGAATCGAAGGATTTCTTCAGCAGCCATGGCATCTCGCTCGTCGACCTTGGCCGACAATCGAGACTTGGCGTGTGCCGTCGAGAGACGAATCAGAGTCTCCAGAGTACGCGCTGTGAGCGGAGAGGTCTGTGTGGCGGAAATATGAGCCTTCATTGCCTCGACCCATCACGCCAGGAATGAGCTTACCCTCTTCTGGTTGCTAGCGAGATCGTCATTTCGCAAAGCCGCATACACGCCGACGATGTAGTCCGCTGCTCCCTTTGTCAAGACCGGGTGTATCCTGTTCTTGGCGTACTGAATGTACTTTTTCACAAAAGCGATTGACAAGACCTCCTTCTTCTTGCCCGTCGATCGGCCCGAAGACGTCGTCACCCCACCGTGCAAGAGCGGGTTGAATTTCTCGAAGACGGGGGTTTCGAGCGTTCGGGCGTCTTGTTCGTCCCCTCCGACATCTAGATGCTGGACGAGATTCTCTACGGCGGGCGTGCCTGCAGTGAGCAACGGTCAAGAAGGATCATGAGCTTGCTGCTCAGCAAATTCGTTCATGACCACGGTCGGACTGACCTTCCTCGACACCCGGCTGGAGGTACCGATGCATCCTCAAGACGTGCTCCGAGATGGCCCTGTCCCTCTGTTCGTCGGTATCGTCGGTGATGACAAACAGCAGATCGAAACGGGACAACAACGAATCCGGCAGGGCAATGTTCCTATGCGGATCCTTGTGCACGTCGTACTGCAAGAGATATCTCTGTTAGCACACAAAGCACTACACAAGGGCCATTCTCTGTGACAATCAACCGCACCTGACCGTAGATCGGGTTGGCGGCTGCCACAACGCTACATCTAGCGTTCAAACTGGTATGGATTCCTGCCTTGGCGATGGTCACTGTCTGCTGTTCCATGACCTCATGGATGGCCACCCGGTCGATATCGGACATCTTGTCGAATTCGTCGATACACACCACGCCTCGATCGGCCAAGACCATGGCGCCTGCTTCGAGACGTCGTTCGCCTACAGATCATATGGCACCTTTGGATAAGTATGAGATCAAGGTGGTCTATGATGAATCCTAACTGGACTCGCCTGTATCCTTGTCACTCGTCACAGCGGCCGTCAGACCCACACCCGAACTTCCTCTACCCGTCGTCGCGATAGCCAAAGGTGCGGTGTTCAAGACAAACCTCAACATCTGACTCTTCGCCGTACTAGGATCTCCGACCATCAATATATTGATATCTCCCCTGATATGCGTCCCATTCGCCAGGTTCTTCTCCTCCCCACCGAGAAGGAGGAGGAGGATGGCAGATTTGACATAGTCCGATCCGTAGATGGAAGGAGCGAGGGATTGAGAAAGGAGGTTGAAGACGTTGCGTCGTTTGGAAAGCTTGTTGATGTTCCGGATATCGGTGTCGGTCAGGGTGGATTGAGCGATCCCACCACCTGCTTTAGAGGAGAGGAGGATGACGTTGTTCGCGATCAACGAAGTGCTGTACGAGAAGACATCGCAGATCGAACATATCAGAATGTGCCTCTTGGCCGGGATACTTGTCGACGCAGACTCACTGGAACCCTCGTTGACCCTGCCCACCTCCTGCGCTCTTGTAGACCCCAACCAACTGAATCCTGTCCCCAGGTTTGCATCCATCCACCAGATCATCCGCCAAGACCACCTCGACTCCCCTCGGCAACTGCCCCGCCGGCGCTCGTTCCGGCATCTCCTGAATACTAATCGTCTGATGATCCCTGAACGTACTGAGACCGTATTCCATGGAAATAGGGTTTCCCTCGCCGTCGTCCTGCGGGACCACTGTGGTGGAAGGAGCTGCGGTGAAAAGGGTCTGGGCGGAGATGGTGCTGCTATCGTGGTACGTTCGGGAATGGAAATGCGCGGTGGATTGGCAGTAATGGATGGATTTGAGCATTTTGGGTCGGACGAGCGAGCCTGCATTTTGGTTTGGTCGGGCGAGATTTTCAGAAGCAGCGTCAGCCTATAACCGCAGATTGCAAGGGGCTGTGGAAGAGTACGACTCGCGGACTCACACCTCGTCACGATTCCTTCCAGGCTGACCATCTTTCCAATCTGATGACTCCTCAACGTCCGCGGGTTACAGTGTTGTTGTCCGAACGATCCTCTCAGCCCGACGTGGACTGATATATACAGCAAAAACAGAGTTTACAAGTCAGTGAGAAGGCAAAGAGGCGCACAAACCGAATGAGGGTGAATGGAAACGGACATTCTTTGCCCAGGATATCGTGTTTGATAGGATCGTGCAAGCTAGTGACGAGCTGTGTCAGTGCTCCGTCGACCGCTGGGATGTATTGCATGGGCTGTAGCAACAGCCTAGACGACACACAGACGATGATAATTCAGCCGAAATGATTGGTGAGTCCGCACGTTGCAGCTGATTGAAACTGACCCGTCGGCCATGGTCCGATCATAGTCCCGCAAATCGTCTAGGTTGACGATGAGCCTGTTTTGATTGTTGTCCAGCATCGTCTTGGTCGCATGCCGATAGTTGTAACCGGCTTGTGTCTGGTCAATCCACAGGCGAATCACATCAGCTTGTCAGCTAGTAGATCATAGTGGAGCGACAGGGTGATTGGCAAGGGTGAAGACTCACCTCGTCGTCCAAGAATTCTGTAAACTGTCGGATCCGATCTTTGAGGAGGTCGTCCTGCAAGACCGGCATGGGGTCCTGCGTCTGGGTGAGGAGGTCGGCCATGATGAAGGAGTGTGACGTCTAGACCTTATTCCTCTGGATGTATCAGCAATAGGGCAGGGGGGTATCGGACGACAGGTACGTTATCAGATGGATGGATGGATGGATGTAGCTGTAAAGTCTATGAGTCCGATGTCAACAACGCAACAACACAACTCGCCCAACACGTCGCGTCCCTGCAAACGCGAACTAAATGAAATCGCAGAGAGAAGGAGGAGGGGCGACGTGTATCTATTCAATCAACCAACCGATCCGCGGATGGTTCTGCACCTGAAACACCTGTCCGCCTGTCAACATCGCTCTCAAACGCTTACGAAATACCTGATACTCAGCAGGATCTATCAAGGCGCCCCATATTCCCCTGGAATGCTCCTGGTCAGGTCCACCGGTTCTTTTGTCAGATCTTGGAAAACCTCCTGTAACAAGTCTCAGAGGGGAGCAAAGATCAGGAGCCCGATCGTCTACCCCTGGTCCCTGACGACGATCAGTAACTCGGATTCAGAATGGGACAAAGGGATCCGAATGTTCTCAGACGTGGGTCAAAATAGTCTCGCTAAGAGAGTATCCGGAACTGAATCGTACAAAGAGCCACCCCCTCAGCTGGTCCAGAAACCTCTCGAAACCTCTCATCTTTTGCTCTGCTTGACATCTTATCGCAGCGATCTCTACCATCGTCTAGAGATACAAAACCGAGACAATCGCCAGAACAACATGCATTGGACAGCCACTTTACTCTTCTCCCTCAGTGCCATCGCCACGGTTGCTGCCGGGAGATGTTCGAACGCCGCGGATACATCAACCGGCGTCGGATTCGCTGCGTTTATGGACGTCGCGGCCTCTTGGGAAGAGGGTAGTATGCCCGCTGAAATTAAGGTGAGTCGAACTATCTGGGCGTCCTAATCTTGCGTCATAGATCACGACAAAGTCCAGTCGTTGATGGCGGGTCTGGTACCGCTTGGTTACGAATCCCCGAAACAGCCCAGCACGCACCGGGTCGCTAAAACCTTGCTCGAATGTACCGACATCTGTTGGTCTCAATCAGGTGAGGCTTTTTCTCCTCTTACGCTCGCACCGAGACGCTGAACCAGAATTATCTGTCCGCCCTGATGGGGACAGACTGTCAGGGAGTGATTTTCGTCGAAAAGACGGACGTTTTCGACATGTATGCGTGTGAGCTTTTCTACGAAGGGACTCCCACCAATCTCAGGTCTCCCAAGGCGGGCAAGGGTATTCAAGCGGTCGCTTGGCGTCGAGATGGGACGTGCGATGATCCGGACGCGCAGAAGTTTGCCAGTAAGTCTTCTACCTTGCCTACATGAGTACTGGAATGGGAAGCAGTGATGAGGCTGACCGAGCCCATGGTATTGAAAGAGGATCACAATTGTTGCGATATCTGGATGCCAAAGGATGGAAATGCATAGTACTTCTGTGAAGTCTGCGTTTCCGGAGGAAACTATGTGGTATCCAAAGACAGCTAAAGTATCTGCAATGGCATCACGTCGTCGCTTGGAAACGATATAGTTGTCACAAGACTCGTCGATCACATGATATCGTCTACCTTTGCAATGCCCGTTTTGTGCCTGAACGACACCGATGCCTGATGACCAAGAGCGTTCGCACGATGTTTGCCTGGTAATGTACGTGTTGTTGACTGAGCCTGAGTGAACAATGCGAGTCAATGCAATCGGGCCGCCTGCCTGAATGTCCGATCATTTTGAGTTGTGGATATTTCGTCTATTGAGACCCACAAATCTCTTACGCCTAAGTCAGCCGCAAACCAGGTGTGGGTCATTGTATCTGCTGCCAGTACTCCCACTAGCCGAATGCGATAATCACATAATCCTAACCAAGTTTCAAGGCTCCATACCAGGAATGAAACGAGAAGGAGATCTTTCGAAACAGCTGTCCAACGAGTCGTATTTTGTGTCATGGTCCGCTTCGTCATGCGCTCTAGGGTCCGCTTGCGCGCGCCTGGCAACCTATCACGTTTCAGCGAGCCCCATTGTCATTGCTATGCAACAGCCCCTGATGTACACCGAGGCTCCCTCACCATTGAGCCCTTCCCCTTCAGGGACCTGTCTCGGCAACGATAGGCATGAGAGTGATATATCCGCACTAATCCCTCTTGCCAGATGGACAGTGTTTCAGCTAACAAGCGAGAACAAATGGCGGTGGCAAAATACACAAAGGGACCTGAGAGCGCGTCAAAGGGCGCGACAAAGGGTTGCGCCCCGCTTCGTGTAGGTGCTGATACCAATGACATGTCCCTCAGGAAAGACGATATAAGGAGAGCGATGTGCAGAGGTCGAGACGTTTCTGGAACTCAAGATCGCAAGATCACAACATCCATCAAATACGAAAAGATCAATATTACACTTAAAACAGAAAACGCAACCTTCAATATTCAGCATGCTCTTCGGTGCCGCCACCTCCATCATATCGTTGCTCTGCGCGCTTGTCGTAAAGGCAGGCGAATGCGAGGGCTCCGATTCAAGGCCCTCCGATACAGGTTTCGCTGCTATAAGATTCGCACAAGGCGAATGGAAGGATGGCAAGCAGGCCATAAGGGACGGAGCTTCTTTGGGCTTTGTGAGCTTGGCGTTGACTTGACGTTGACCAATTTTTTTTTTTCGTACTGACTTCTGGGAGATTGATAGGTCTTGAACAGTACTCTCACCACCAGCTCGCTGCTGGAGTGCACGGACAAATGTTGGGAAGATGCCGGTTCGTTTTTTTATACCGCTTTGTTATGCGAAGCGTGCTGAAAGATTGCACTCATCACTCAGAGTGTAAGGGAGCTGACTGGCTCGCTTGGAAGACCAACCCCGAACGAGGTACATGCACGAAATGGCTCGGACAAGGGCATTTCGAGTTTGTATCTGCTCAACCCGATCTGCCGTTCCATGGATACGCCATGAAGAACGACAAATGCGGTTCGGAATGGGCGAATGGTCAAACTGGTAAGCTGTGCTCGAGGGTTTGTACGAGAACACGAGCGAAATTGATGACTTGCGTTGGAATGAACAGCAACGTGCTGCGACATTTTCATGCACGAATGAAGGTGATTGTCACCTGTGTCAAGCGGTCGTTTATCCCATACAGTTCCTAGTTGTGTATACCTGTACGCTGCTGTATCCAGCACAGGAGTGGATGTGTTGCGCGACCTCATGTCATGGGACTATCGATAGAATCAGGCTATGACGATGTAACGCTATTGAGTAGGACCTTTCACCTCGATGTTTGGGGATGTTCGATGTTGAGGGCGCGGATACGAGAGTCTGATATGATAGTAATTTGAAGCACGAGCGGTGAAAATGGCTGAAGGATTGACTGGAGTCTTCGGTTAATCAGACTTATTGATATTTTACAATGCGATCGTCTGCAAAACACAACACATGGCTCATTCGATAAAGGACACAATCTTAATGTCACATTTCGAGATCACGGGATAGATTACAAAGCGACCAGATATGCGGTTCGTGATAAGATACATAGATCGAATCAGATCTCAAGGCTAGAGAGCTCTCGCGTGACTTCATCCGCCTGTTCTTTGGGACAGGCTAGATTGTCTACCCACAAAATCACCTTGTGCAGATTGTCTCTCAAGTTGTCCAATTCTGTAATCGCCTTTCTTTTCCTCCCAAGGGCTTTCCTCTCCTTTGCGTACCATCTGATCAGGTAGTATGACATGCAATCGCGATCGTTCAACCCTGGTACATCCTGTATCTGTTTGTCCAGAAAGACCGCGATGTTTGGGACACCTGGAACTTGCTGTAGAGCTTGAGCGTCGTTTCTGTCTTGATTGTTCATGTAAGACCATACCCATTTGGCGTATGTTTGTACGAGATCACCATTGGAGTCCACAAATTCCTCTGATGGTTCCGCTCGCAAGTTGGCAAGAGCCTTGCGTGTCACCCCCAATATCGCGCCATGCATAACACTCCTCTCAAATGGCGTCGCGACCTTGAGAAAATCTGCGACCTGTTTCGCCTGGCTGCCCTTGTTCTCCTGCGGTTCAGTGTCCTCAGGCATGTCGGTGACACTAGTAGTAGCAGTTAGAGTGAGTTCCCACACGCCCCATAGACATAACGCTTCACAGCAGCTTTGGAAGGAATCTTTCAAGAGCTTTTCCGGGTTCAGAGCTGTATCCAGGGTACCTTTTGAGGCAAAGTCTTGGAACAACGTTTCGATGCTTTTGACATGGTCATGGTGATTCTGCGTTCCCACCAATCATGCATAGCTTCAACTCTTCAGCCACAGAGAGAGACGGAGAGAGAGAGAGAAAAAGAGCAAACCTCGCTTACCAAGGGATCTGTTCCGAAGCAGGATTTTGGAATCTCCATGTGGGCGAGACCAACGCTTCCGTCATCTCTCCTCACATGGAATGCCAATCTTATCCCACTCTCGCCTGTTTCTGTGGAATAGCGGCTTGGCTCTGGCGTCGCGGGGTCGTTTCCTTGCTGATAGCTCTGACTACTTGCCCAGCTTTGCAGGTCCGACGGCGCAGTTGATCTTCTTTGCAAGGGTGACATTGCGGGAGATACTGATCGACGTGGAAAAGGGAAGAGGTTGTTAAATGGCGGATTTCGGCAAATACTCCTTTACAATAATCCGGTTCTATACATCTACACGCGGTGCCTTATATAGATGTTCCGCGCTTTTGCGTGCTTGCTGCATATAAAAGGATCATCGTGATATCGTGATGTGTCACCTGACCCCTTGATCAACAAGCATTACATCAGCTGACACATCCTCGCGTTACACCTCATTCAGATATTTTACCGATACATCATGCTGCATGCTGACGATTTGACGAGCTCATCGATGAAAGGATCGACGCGCGCGTTTCAGCCTGTTATCATGAGAAAAAGATGTTCGTCATCCTCTCTCTGTGATCTCTCCTCGTCCTACTGTTCGTTTCTCATTCGCCACCACCTGATCAGGATGAGGCCATGTGTATACCGATGGCGACATTTTGAGAAGCTTGATACCATTTTGGGTCTCGTGACCGAGCATGGATCCTTTGTCTGAACTAAGATTTAGGTTTTTAGCGCGACCTCGTCGTCCGAGGCGGTGCAACGAACGCAACCGGGAGGTTGTCTCCACGTCGGGCTCGATCGTTGTAACCTCGACCAGCACGACGAATCCCAGGCAAGCGTGAACATGACGGGTACATTCTTTTTCGTCCCAGTATCCGGGATTTAAAAGTGTGAATGCGAAAGCTATCGACAAAGTTCAAAGGATTGCCGGAAGAGGCAAGTCTAGCTTCGGTGTCAGTTGCCGAAAGGAAAGCGTACGTACATCGGTGACATCGTAAACACCGCGATCGATGGGCGTCAACCACAAATACACCAAAGCACCTCTGATGGTCCTATCCCCGATACATCTTCCAGCTTCTACTATACAAAGTCGTACATCTCTTGGCTATTAGACTATAGTAACAACAGCAGGCTTGGCTACGGGGCCGGTGCTGCCATCATGAACCTCGCACCACCCGTGATCCCACCTCGAGCCAGGTCACGCCCGGCAGGAACGAGACGTACAGACAGACCTGATCTGAGCATCGAAAGAAAGGGGTCGGCCGAGACGATCGATTCTATTGAGTATGTAGTAGGAGGGAAGGGTCAGGAGAATGTGGGCGTGAATCAGAATGCTGGGAAGACAAGTTTAAGGTCGGAATCGGAGCCAGAGGAAACGACTCGACAGATCGTAAACTCGATCAATCAGCATCGCCCTCAGCTAGTCGACAATCACCATACGCCGCTTCCTGCCGTCATACAACTACACTCGCCGACGGTCGAGAGCTACGAAACGCTCGGAGAGCGAGATCGACCTGTCTTGGACAGTGCACTAGGACCGGCCAAGACCGGAGGATTGGATCATCAACGATACTCGATCTTGAGCAATACCACCATCAAGCCGGATACTACCCCGACAATTCCCCAGGAACCCGTCGTTCCTTCTTCTTCTACAGAAAAGCGGAGGAAGCCTTCTGCTTCTTCCTTGGTCATTCCAGAACGTAGCACATCGAGATCTCAACCTCCGTCACAATCTCGATCTGGACCTCATCAACCGCCAGCATCTACAACCATCTCCCCCTTCTCCAGCCCACAATTCCCAGACGGGTTCGAAATCCTCACACAACCCTACACAAGCTCCAGCCCAGGTTTAGGATCAGGGCTCCATCCTAACCTCGGCAATGAGTCCCAGCCTCCTATGCTCAGAGCGAGTCGGAGCGACAGTAGCGATTTAGAGGTTTCCAGCATGACCACGGGGACGAGCGGGTTCCCGAGTCCCGCGGTAACTCCTCCATACGGGTCGCCATTCAACGGGACCCCTATGAACACGGGTACGAATTCGAACACGAGTATGAACTCAATACCCAGCTCTAGTTCGGGTTCGAGTTCGCACCCGGATCCTGGACAGACCCATCTGAACGCTCTCCCGAAACTGTCTTCGAGAAACTCTTCCTCGTCATTCTTCAAACGGCCTTACCCGGTTCTACCGTCTTCTTCCTCCGCTTCCATTCATTCGGTTTCATCAGCTCACCATAACAATTCCCACTCGAGAGGATCGACGACGCCGTCCCTTGCAGGACACACTAGCGCTGCGGGTTACGTCAATGCCCGGTTAGCCAGGGAAGAAGAGAGGAAAGCCGAACTGGGACTCAAGAGGGACAAGGAGAACAAGGAGAAGGAAAGGGTCGGGCTAGTCAAGGACGAATACAAGATCGTAGATGGGGTTGAAAAGAAACGGAGCACGTCAGGGGTGTATACACGTAAGTCTGCGTCGTCGATGTGATCAAGAGCAATACACAGGAAGCTTATTTGGGTGGAGTTCGCTCAATGCACCTTGCAGCGGCAACTTTTCCGGGAGCGACAGGCAAGAAATCCAGGACCCCATCTATGACCTCTCAAAACGGTCTCCCTACGCCTAAAACCCCCGAAACGCCCTACTCGTTCCAAATGCACACTCCACCCCCACTCCCAGACTCGGCAACGAGCAATTACTTTTCGCGGACGCTCTCCGGCGTCAGTCCCGGTGCGGGCGGATCTTCGCCGAGATATACAGGGCAAGATGGGACGTCGTTGGGGAAGAAGAGGAGCATCATCGGGGCGCTCAAATCGCCCTCGTTCACCGGTGTCAAGTCGGCCATGTCGGACGGCTGGAGACGGTCTTCAGCCGATGCGGTATCGGGTCAGCCGTATACGTCTTACCGACAAGAAGACTTGTCGAGCCTCCCTCAACCTAGACATGGGAGTGCATCTTCCGGCACGGGAATGAGAACGGGGCCGACGTTCGGGCTCGAATTGCCAGTCGATCGGTCGAGGAGCGTTTCCGACCAGATGCCATATTCGATGGCAAATCAAAGGCAGACGGCACGAGATGGCCTAGGACTAGGGTTCGGAGAGGGGTTATCGCTTGATGACAAATCAATGCATACGTCGACTGAACCTCCCTCCGAATATGCATCGGCACGCACGTCGTTAGACTATCATAGTGTGCCTCCACCAGCGTTGTCTGCGTCGAATACTCGGCCGAGAAACGTCAAGAACCTCTCGCTTCCGCTATCCAACATGCATGGCGTGGTCGAAAAGCTCGAGGAAAGCTCGGTGAACACGCCGTCAGCGGAGCCGTTCTCAGCAAATAGTGTGGTGTTAGGAACCGTGGCAAAGGGGGTCAGGAGAAAGCCTGTTCCGCAATGCTGAGGAAAACAAGGCGTAGCAGCAAGTTGTACAACACGAATATTACGATGGTTGTAGACTACATGGGCATTGACATCAGGGACACAACACATTTCCGATTTGATCAGTTCCTGTTCAGATGAACCAAGACGTAGGGAGTCTGTCGCAATACATGCAAAGGCGTTAGGTGGATGTTACCACAAGACTACTGAAACTCGTCATACTTACCTCGACATCCTCGTCGTCGTCGTCCTCGGCCATTATCTGATGTATGGGATTTAGGTCGTCAATCGTCACCCTCCTGTTACAGCCAATTGAACGGCACTAACCTCGACGATCACCGCCTTTTGATGAGGAGGAATAGGCTTCTTGGAAACGTTCTCGATCACTTCCGACATCATCATTGGAAGACGCTCCTTGGCCTGAGATACCAGAGAATGAGAATGAGCGTTGTTGCATGATATTTGCGATGCGAGCTCGATTTACCTTTTGAGGAGGGGTAAAGTTTGACCAAAGCACTATTCAAGGCAGATCAGGGGCATCAGCGGCATTGTCAACATAGAGACGAGACCTGCATCGACGTACTGCTGACACCGCTGGAGATCATCGACACATTCAGACCCTGGGCCTTGAAGTGGTCGATGAACTCCTGCAAAGTCCCCTCTTGAACGTCGAAGCGGTCCCATAAGGTCCAGTTCTTCTCGGGAGGACCAAACTATGGACGACCCGATAAGCGCACACATCGCCTGCTGTCGACCCGATCCACCTACCTTGGGTGGTGCGATAGGCTCCGAGAAGCTGACGAAGGGCAGCGCCAAGTTGACGAAACCGTTCTTGTACTTCTCGATGTCCTTTTTGCCGTCAATAATCTACATGCGCGGATCCGTTTAGTACCCAAATCAATATCGATATGACACGTAGTTGATCGCTCGGTCTTACCTTGTACAACTGATTGGTGAGTTGACACGAGACAGTAAGCACGAATAACGGTCAAAGTGCTGATGTGCCCAAGCGAAAGCTTACCTCGAGACAAACCATTCCCGTCGCCAAAGCCGTGGTAGTGGCAATGGCAGGGATGATCTTACCAGCGATCTGCTTGGTGGTGTGGGAAGTCGCCGGGGAGATACCGTAAGCGATGGCTCGCAGGTTGGAAGCGCTGGTGATTTGGGCGATGTGGAAGTTGGTGTCATCATCCTTCTCAAACGAGACAGGAGTCAACCTGAAACCGGGCATATCGCTCGGCTTGGGCAGTTCGACCAGAACCTTGTCGAGATCCTCGTCTCCGCCTGTAAGCGAGTCGTTTGAATATCGCACGCCCCTATACTTATTCGGGAGTTGGACCTACTGGACTCGTTGGCAACAGGCTCATTCTCGTTGACCTGGATCTTGACACCCTCCTTCGGGTTAAACTTGGGTACATCGATCGTTGATAGCACCTTCTTGAAGAAATCGGGCTCGTTGTTTCCCTTCAAGCCGTAGTTGAAGGCGTGGAGGTTGGCAGTAGCAACGATGTAATCCAACATGACGGGCTGCAATGTAACGTATGGGTCAGTCGATACTCAAGCTATATAAACTGAAGTGATGTCGGGCTTACGTTTTCGGCGCTGAACTCGAGGGGCTCGGGCGCTCGCTTGGGACCCGACCAGAAGGGCTGGCCCGTTGACGTAACCTGAAGCAGACTGGAATGAGCGCGAATTCCAGCCAAATGCCATCGCCAACTTACCTGATCCCGGGGAAGGTTGAATAGAAGCTGCTTCAGGCTGTTGCTGTAGTCCTCCTCAAACTGGAGACGTGCCCATTTAATGCATTCCTCAAAGCTAGTGGGCTTCTTCGTCTTCAAGAACTCCAAGATGGTCTTCAGCGTCTCGTACTGCTGGCCCGAGGACTTCAGGGTGTCCACGTAGTTGGTCTGCGAAAGGAACAGGTTCACATTGCTGGGAGGGTTAACGAACAAGGCGTCAAATTGCTCTCGAGCCCACTATAGACGACAAGGTGATCAGCGCAGTTCTCGATACTGTCCTGCTAGATAACTCACCTGGATGGTGTGTTCGATGGCGTTGGGGAAGTTCTTGACGGTACACGAAGGGATCGACTTTTCGGGAGGGTCCTGAGACGACGAGTAGGACTCTGTCATGAAGGGGATCACGACCTGAGTGTTCGCCTTGGTACCCAATGTTCCTGACTCAAGCAATGGCTTCTGATAGTACACGCATCGGCGGTCCATGTATTGCCCTAACAAGAGAGAACCAGCCGAAATAAGTAAAGGTCAGGCTGACACCTTAGGGTCCGCAACTTACGAGCCGCAACATTGTCCAGAGCGTTGGTGACACCGTCAATCTTGGCAAAGAAGTCGTCGCCATACTTGTCTGAAGAAAATCACGCTCAATCAGATTATAGAAGTCGACCTGTCGAGCTTGATCGTAGACTGACCCTCCGTGTCCTCCCCGACTCGGTCCTGGTGACTGATGATCCTTCCTTTGAGGTCGGGGTTCATCTCGGCGACAGCGGCAGCAGCGCTCTCCGACTTGAACTTGCCCAAGTCCTTAGCACGGAACAAGAACTGCCTGTTCAAGTTGGACTTTTCAATGGTATCGAGATCGGTGACCTGGATGCATCCATCTCCGGCGGAACCCAGACCCATCATACTCCAGTTCTTCAGCATCTCGCATCCGATAGCTCCCGATCCGACCAAAAATTCCCTGGTTTCTTGGATCTTCTTCTGGAAGGTCTTTCCGAAGATCGCAATCTGACCGTCGTATCGGTTGCCAACAGGTGCACACTCCTCCTCGGTAGGGATCTGGTCGGGCATCGACTCGAGCGAGTCAAAGTACATGTTCTGCACCATTGGGTGGAACTTGGCACTGCATGCTTTGAGTACCTCCTGGGCGACGAATCCTCCAATAACGGCACACATGGGGGAAAGTTCTCCCTGAGATTGGTAGGCAAGCTCGGTGATGACCTTCTCGTCAAGCTCGTCCTCGAGACCGAGGTCTGCCTTGATCTTTTGTGCGATCTCGACGACCTGCTTGGCATCATGTTCGTGACGAGGGGAAGGCAAGCGACCGTGCTGGTCGGCAAAGGATGACAGTGCCTGGAAACCGACGTGCAGAGTGGCGGGACGGTCGAACTTGGCAAAGTCGGTCATGAAGTACTCAGGCTCCTTCAAGGATTGCTTTAGAGTTTTCTGTTTAGGGTCAGTGTGAAAAGATATGGTGATCAGCAGGGCTAGCGGGATCGTAACGTCTTTTGTTGTGCTTACGAAAGCAATGTCTTTAGGCATCTTGACCTGGGTGAAAAGTCCACCGCTAACATAGTCGTCGAAGCTGGTGGTGTCCCCGATAGTAAAGGTGTAAGGCCCCTTAACCGTCACTTTCCTCGGCTCACAGCCGTTCAACTGGGTCATGCCTTTGACTTCGGAGAAAGTAACATGGTCACCGTCTTCGAGACCGTGTCGCTGCTCATCCAGACACGTCACAACAGCATCTCCATCCTACAGTGCAATGTCAGTCTCGTGGAAAGGACGCCAACCAGAAGGCCAGACTCACCTTGTCAATGCTAGCCACGATTCCGCTCAATGGGTTCTCACCGGTAGGGTCAACGCAGGTGAATTTTGAACCAAAGTCGTTGAAGGCATAACTATCATACGAGAAAAGAGTCAGAAACAAGTCCTCATTCGTGTCGACTTTCCACATATCAAAGCTTACCCAAAGAGTCCTCTAACATCGGCGGCGATAAAAGCGATCCCATTGTTGTGGCAGAACTCGTCGATCTCGATCTGCTTGCTCAAGGTGGTGTTTGTCAAGACAACGACCTGGAACTTCTTGACCATGTCGGTGGTGACCTCTCCTTCCCCCTCCAGCAATGTTACGGGCACGTAGCTGTTCAGCTCGGCAAGGCGGGGTACGGTCACCTCTCCTCGGGGCTTGCCAACATCGGCTTCTCGAAGGAAGAACTGTGAGTCATATTCAAGAAGTATGAGCTTCGGATACTCGGTGATGTAGGAGGCTTGAAGACGTGCCTGCGAACCCAGATCTGCCACCTCGACCGGGAAGGGGTCATACACCGTGACCGATTTTACACCAGCCAATACGATGTTCTTGGCTGTAGAGCGAAGTTTTGTTCGTCAGGTCCCTGGAAAGGTATACTCGGACCACAGGATCTTACCAATCTCGACTCCCAACCCTTTCATTCCGACGACTAGCACGTTCGAGGTTGCCATGCGCTTCATGGCTATTTTGAGGCGAATCCCGAGCAAGGTGAGCGGGAACTACGAATGAGTCAGAATCAGGCCAAGAACGCTTACCCTCATGACCCAAAACGTAGCTGGTGAAAGCAAGAAAGATCAGCCGGGGTTCAGTTTGTGTAAGCTCACGACAAGCCAAACTTACAGCTGTCGAGAGTAAAGAGACTCTGTTAAAGATATCTGTTAGCTTGTTCACCGGCTAATGCTTGCTCAAGGTATACGCTTACCATCGACTGTAAGTGGGTAATATCGTATATTAGATCAGCTACACAATCATAAAATGAGTGGAAAGGCAGCTCTACTGACTCTGGTGCTCATCTACCTGCATCGCCGACATGTTGCTCTTCTGGTTGCGGGGTTTTCGATCGATCGGGTCCTGGGTGTCTTGCGTTTTTGTCTGGCGGACTGTTCAGCTCGTATGTATCTAGCCTAAAATTCGTTCGTCTGATACAGTAAATTTTACGTCTGTTGAGGGTAAAGGTAGCAACAGGCACTACGGCAAATGAAGGTAGAACCTTTGAGTAATGAGTAACTATGCAGTTCGATGATTCAGGCAAGGTGCGGTATGACAAAGGAAGCGCATCCGCGCTTTCGCTGGGCGATGACGTGTCGGGTCGCATGCTAGTAAAAGGGTTCTTCGGGGTCTCTAATTTGATTCATAGTGCAATGCTAATTGGGGACTGTACATGGACTGTATGATAGCAGTCGGTCGTTAATGCGTTCATAAATGGTAGCTTATCTAAGAGAGGAACTTGGTGAGCGAGTCTTTGATTCCCTGATCCAAGCGATCCCAATACGGCCTCATCCCCAAATCCTGTGCTCGCGTTAATCGTTCAGCAATGTATGCCTTGAGCGTTTGCGAGAATACCGGATCAACAGCTGAAAGTGCGTTTCGGCGGTTGTATTCCTCGGTACCTGTCACGGCCAGGTATGTTAGCGAGAAGCCATTGGACAGCGGATCGCTTTTTCAACGTACCTTCGAGGTCACTCGCCAAGAGGCCTTGAGAATCCTGCCAATTTCGCACGATCCTGTTGTCCCAAAAATGTCTGGGTCAGCGGTTCGAGTGGAGCTTTGGCATCGATGCACTCACTCGTTGCCGGCGTCAGGATTCTCCTTGATCTCTCCGAGCGTGTCCAGCCATGCGTTGGCTACGTGTGGAGAATGCGGCGTCAATCATATGGTTATGCGGTCGCATCTATGTAGTGGCTTACCGAACTCTCCTTCCATGTGCTCGAAAACGGCACCCTCTCCCTGAGAACGGTAGCGATTCGACAATATTAGAGCATCTACCTCTTGAGGGCGGTATAACAGGACCTACCAGTAGAAGCAAGTTGGCAAACGCCATGGCTACCATTTTCCGTCTCTTGGCGTCCCCGACATATTCGTAAGCGCGCCACATGGCATCGATGGTCAATTCGAGCTGCTTGGCTACAGCGTTGGCCGTCACCTGAGTTTGCGCGTAGGCGTTGACAAACGTCGCGAAAGCGGTTGGTTCCCGCAAGATGACTCTCGCCAAGAGGGTGTCATATGCTGCAAGTTCGGGACCGCCAGTCTTCGGGTCGTCGATAATGTCGCAAGCTTTTTGCGCAAGGCCAGTGTTGACAAAGTGCGAGATCCAGGTGCTCGGACTTGACACTTGCAGGACGACATCGAGGGATTCCAATAGTATTCTCGTAGATTCTTTCGGAACCTGGTTGAGCGCAGCCGCGTACGCCCGGATGACTTGTTCGCCATAAGCCTGGTGTTATGTAGCCAGTCAGCGCATCAACCACATCACCTCTCCTAGTCCTATCCTTACCTGCATCAGATCTTCTCCTGCCAAAATCATGTATGACTCCATGAGGGACACTGTTGTCCGTAAGACATCCAGATTTTCCGCAAGCAGTCCAAGTAGGCCGGTGAACAACTTTGCCAGGCCGGTTTGATCATTCAAGGGCAGTGATGGGACCGCTCGAAGTGCCACTTGCCACCTGATCGTAAACAAGCCATTCAGATTGGGTACGTGTTGGCCGGTGATAAGTAGTGCTACTTACAGTACCATGCCATCCTCCTCAAAGTGCTCCTTGGCAGGTCCGGTCAAGCTCTCTTCGATGAGAGGCACGATCAGATGCAGGATGTGAGACGTTTGGGACCCAGCAGCCTGAAAGCAATGGGGAACTGAGTATGCGCCTGTGTCGCTTGAGCAACCAATGAAGACCTGAAGACCTACGACAACCAACTTGGATGCCATGACGACCAAAGAGGCCTTGAATAGCCACTCTCCGTCGAGATCGACAGATCCAGCCCCTATGCATCAACAAATTACTCTTCAGCACCGGGCACGTATTTTCGGCGGAGCTGGCACAGTACTCACACAATTGCGGAATGGCAGCACTGATATCGGGAAGATATGGCATGATCTGGTAATAGCGAGTTGTCAACGTCAATCCCGATCAGTGAATCGTAAACTCTGACGGCTTACCTTGTCCCGCACTCTGTCGATCAAGATGGTCAAACATTCCAGGATCGCCCGTTTGCCTGGCAAGGTGACTGCCGTATCTATCGCTTTGAGGCTGTAGGCAAGGTAATCAGACGGTGATCGTCGAGCGAAATCGACGCTGAGACTGACAGATCGCGGGCGATCTGCCTGATGTACGGCTCGAATACCGAGACCTCAAGCTCCCACAACTGATAAAGAGGAAACATGTGTTAGTTTAAGCCTGAGACCTCTACGATTCGCTTTCAAGCTTACGTCAATGCACTCCTTCAAAGCCATTGCGGCCGAGATTGTCACCGCCATGTCTGACGATTCGTCTTGCCGTACAGTCAAGAGGTGTAACAGCATCTGCCAAACCACTTGCAGCCTCGCAGCGTCCTCGTCAGAAGAAACCCACTGCCCGATAAGCCATGCGGCACGAGCTTTGAGTATCCGATCTCTGTGCGTGGAATTTGTCGGTCAGTGGTCCAACTCAAGCGTGCATTGCATCGCCTGTACGTACTCTGTATTGCTGGAGGCCAAAGCCGGCGCCAGGAGAGAGAGGATCTGATCTAACTTGATATGGTCCATCAGAGCCCTCGACATCCTACCAGCAGCACAGAGGACCGCGTCCTGCTTCAACAAGTTGTTCAATGTATCTTTCGGTAGGGCTGCGATCAGACAAAAGGGGGTCAGCCAAGGGTAGGTATTTTCGCGGTCATTACCCATGCTGATGTACCCATCACTGCCTCCAACTTCTGCAACAGAAGAGGTTCCATAACCTTCCTCCCCCGAGATGCGGAACTCAGGGACATGAGGACCCGTTCAGCACAAGGCTGCGGTCATGACGAGGTGATCAACATCAATGCAAACCCATATGTGCAAATCCCCTCGACTCACCCTGAAGTCATAACTCCATGCTTGCGAAACGTCCAAGCTCTCGACCAGCCACTCTTCAGGTTCTTCGTTCCACTGTTCCCAATCACGGTCGGTCATGGGTAGTAAATGATCGATGAGAAGGTTGAAAGCGTCTGCAATGAATTGATCGGTGAAGACTGTATCGAGTATACGAGACTGCTGGATCAGTAAGCTTGCCTTCAAAGACCATCGCTGATGAGGAATTACCTTCAGGATGATCAACGGACAAGGTTGGCAATATATTCTTGAAGAGGATCAACCCGAGGAGCAAGAACCTTTTGGGATACTTGGCAGTTTCATCATCTGCAAGATCACCAACCTCGAGAATGAGCTCGATCGCTATAGCTTCACGAACAGCTTTATCTACTCACCTTCCTGCGGCATTTCGTCCATCTCTGCAGCACCCGCTACTTCGCTCCACCACCACCCTACAGCCCCAACAGTTCCGGGGATGGCAACAAACGTCTTCGGGTCGATATGCATGAGCGCCTCGTAGGTCTTTCCGATGACCCGGATGAATTTTGTCAGACTCTTTAACATCCTAGCGGGTGCGGTGCTTGCAGCCGGGTATTCTCTGGATGGGACGGTGTAGTAGGGAGACGAGAGGAGTTGAAGGCGAATGGTTTGGAGGGTCGACAAGTATCCCAGCGAGTTGGTCACCAGTTGAGTGATCTGGGGCGATAGAAGAATATGAGCGAAAATGACATTATGCTAGAGGCCGACCTCAACCCACCCGACTGGGATCCTGATCAACCCGTTTATCGGCAGGTCGACTGAATTCCCACTCCGCCAATCTCGCGCAGATCCTGGATACGAGCCGGTCAGCATAGATCATCTGAGAATGTCAATGTGAACAGATCCACTTACTTGAAACAATACCTAGCGCTCTCCCATAATTCCCAATCCTCCAAAACCGGATCCCTTGCCATGAAGAAATCCAGGTACTGATACATCGGTGTCCTCAATGAGTGAATGAACTGTAAACCGAAACCAGAATGATAAATGGATATTCGGCCACTACGAGTCCCGGACGCTCCTGATGAGCCCAGACATGCAACTTACCTCGGCCATCAACTTCTGCCCGACAGGTAACTTCACGCTCCTCCATTCCTTGACAAAAGCGTTCCAAGTCCACAGGCTGTTCAGAAGGATGACTTTCTGTCGATTCCGTTCCTGGTCTTGGAGGTCCCCGGTCGAATGGGAAGAGATGTGAGCAAAGGAAGAGGTAAGAGGGTTGAGTAGATCGGTTGGAAGTGATTGCCTTTTGAGGGATGTGAAAGACGATGAGAGGGGTAAGCCTCCCTTTGACGGCGAGATTGGAAGACAAGGATGGGTTAAACATTTTCTCACCAGGTTCGAGGGTATTCTTGACGAGCGATGGTGACGAGGGTCCTCAATTGAGCTCGAGCGATCTGAAAAAATCAACATGATGATCAAGATGCGATCGTTCACGGTTCGTCAGACTGAGCAATTCTTACCTGGTAGTCTCCTTCGTCGAAGAACTGGAAGAACCTTTGTCTAATCTCCGGTTTGAGCTCATCCGGTACGATCCTGAATGGAGATAAAGTGCAAAGGATTCAGCCCTAATATTCCTCTCGACTTAAATACAAATTGTTCATAGGTGTGGAATCAAGACCTACGCCTTAGCTCTCCATTTCTTGGGTAGCTCTCGACCGATTAACAGAGCTGACAGGAGCCTGACTTCTTTTGGGAACTCTCTTGTCGCCGAAATGGCTTGAAGCTGACCGTATACACCTGATCGCGTTGCCAGCAGACCTAAGATTATCAGATCGAACATCAAACGCTGCCTCGCATAGCGTATTATGGACTCACCCGGTTGTTTCAGACCTGCTTGAAGAGCGTTGTCTGCCTGGGTATAGGTTGCTTGATCCGTCGGGAATGCAAGGGCGTTCAACAGCTGAACCAGTTCGGGATTATGCCCTTCCATCTCGATCGTAGCTCGATACTATGCGCCCAGAAGGTGAGGACTAGCGGACTAGCTTGTGCTTGTCGATGTGGCCGATATGCGAATTAGTTACAAGTTGCACCCTAACTTACAGAATTACAGATTCGACTTTCGGCATATTCCCCAGATGCTCAATCGAAGTCTCCTCTCGAAGTTACATAAAAGGTGGAAATAAGCGCAAAAGGGACGATTGATTGATGTTGACAAAGTGAGACAGACGTCCGAGGGTACTCTTAGCCTTCTTATGGGCTTGCCTGTAACATTGGTCGATGGTATGTCATATCATCGACAGATCCCAACGGGTATAGCCTTGTTTCATATTCTAGACGATGTGTGCCTCGTATGCTACGCACGTCTTTTACCCGCCCTCCACAATCACGTCAAGAAACGTCAATCAGAACGCCAAAAACCATCCGACAAGCGGGTTCCGAACTATACATTTTCACCGGCTCGCCTATACCGACTCTCAGACGTCGTCCGCATTGGCCGGCGATGTCGGGGATGAGCTTGCGAGTTTCTCTGATGACTTGTGCGGCGCTTTGAAGGGAAAGACGAAAACAGACGTCGAAAAGATGGAGATCGAGCCGGACAACTCTATCGATCGTTCTGGCCGTTTTCCCGGCCGTGACTACTCGCAGATTCGAGCGTATCGCAGCTTGGCTGCTGAGGATACGAGACGTCCACTCGAGGACAACCTGATAGCAGTACAGACTGGCCGGTCGGCAAGCGACGGGGAAGATCCGGAAGGTCAATTGACGGACAGTATCAAGAGCTTCTCACAGAAGAAGAGACCTTCCAAAGATGTCGTACCGGACAGTACTAGGAAAGGGATAACGAATTGGCCAAACATGCTGGATTACCGGAGGTTGACGTGCTCAGAAGGAGTTCTGGATACACCGGAACAGAATATTCCTCGGTTTCCACGTCGCCATCTCCCTGCTTCGCCCTCTACCCCATTAAGCCGACCGCTCAGGTCAGAACCGGTCTTGTTGGCGAACGATACCAACCCCCGTCCCAGAAAGGTCTCGAAACTAGCGAAGTCTCATACGGTCGCATTAGACACTCCGAATCAGAATCAGGTTTCAGAAGAAGAAAAGTCCGCGATCTGGTTGGAACGGCTGCACAGCTTGAGGACCGGCTCGAGGTTCGGTCTTATGGGGAACACGATCGCGGATACCCCGATCTCGAACGCTCTGAATGGAGAATCGTCCAGAAGTAAGAGTCTTGTCAGCGTCTCTGCGACTGCCAAATTCGTCACTTCCACCCAGCGGGAAGATTTAGGTGCAGGTGATCAAGATTTCTTTCAGCTCGAAAACGAGTCCGGGATAGAATGGCCCGCGCCTATCTTGCCGTGCTCTAGGACTACACAGTTGGACCTGCCCAGCGGGATGGACGAGCGATCGAGGCTTCATGTCGAAGGGTCATCGTCGACACGAAGATCGCCTATCGCTGAAGACCGAGCTCGACCGAAGTCTCCGCTCCACGCAGAGCATCTCCCGATTTCCTTCTCCACCGACGGTTCCCGATCTGCTCCACAACGAGCGGACAAGACGGCCTCCCAGCGAGAAGACAACTCCACTTTCAACGAATCTGCATCGCTAGCTCCCGATTCGGCGACGAGGCCTGCGACCGGGATGGACTGGTCAGAAAGTTGGGAGATGACCCCGACCGGCGGGAAACAGAGCAAGAGACTCAGAACGCAAAGGAGTGGAAATTCGGGCGTTGCCGACGTGTCTCGGAGTGGTTGGATGTCGACGGGAAGAGAGCAGAGTATCAGCCAGGGTCAGTCTGCCTGGTTTTGTAATTCGATCGATAGTCTCGCTGATCTACTTGTGCTGTATCGGATTTCTAGGTGCCCGTCCGACCGGTTCTGCCGACTCGGACATGTTCTCGCAGACGATGAACCCTACGGGGAAGACGGGCAGCGGTCTCTTTACTAGCCAGTCGCAATCCATCTGCACATTCCCCTCGTATCTCGCCATCCCTGCTAATAGCCTGACGGACCTCACCGAACTCCTCAACTTGCCACCTGATGGAGATTCGAGGCGGGTAGACCTGTTGGCCGTCGTCTGGGAGGTCGGGGCGACAGAGAGGTTTAGTAACAAGTGCGAGGTTCAGCTTTGCCAGCCGATAGGAAACGGACGGGCCGACGATTCGGCAGGGTGGGGGACGAGGAAGACTCTGTTGAGGGTGGATTTTTGGGACGAGTATGCGGATGACGTGAAACGGCTCAAGTCGGGCGATGTGGTCTGGATCAAGAGTGAGCACATTATGGGATTTGCTGGACCATCCCGCTATATGGTGGTAGAATCTCGCTGATTCAAAACGTTGAGTTCGGGCAGACCTGGACCACAAGCGGAAAGCGGAAAAAGACGCCGCCTACCGGGCCCGGCCGCGTTTCATCAGCTCGGTCGGATCTCGTCGCCCTAACGCCAGCTATCCGACGAATATCACCATCATGTACCGTGCCATGCCCGATCGGTATCACAATCGCGGGCCTACGGACCGGTGTGAAGAGTGCGCGGCTGCTGCGATGATTAGAAACGTCGTCAGAGGCGAGACCAGGAGGAAGGGGGAAGACACCGACGCTGTCTGTGAGAGGCACAGGGGGGCGATCGCGGCGGAGGATCAGCAGTTTAGACCGGATCGACGGTTGTTGGAGGGAGAGATTGGGATGCGGAGGGTGAAGAAGCTTGTCGAGTGGGTCGGTAAGTACGGCTCTTGGTGAGAAGGGAGAGACTGGAGGAGCGTTACTGATGACTTTGGGGTTTTGCAGAAGCGACGTTCGTGTCGCGGTTCTGAGGGCGTTTCACAAACACGTCAAGAACGCTACGCGCGTGCATCTTTCGAGTAGACGACGTGCGCAGATAGCAACAGGGGCATGTCTGCCGACTCACCTTGTGCTGTACCTCCCAAACCATGATATGCCTTCCAAGAGGACTCTTCTCCTCGAGAGCCATAGTTTCGTTTGACAGGGAAGCTGACCTCGATCCGGAAGTAAAATTCCTTCGGAAGTAAATTCTCGCTTAGCGCATCGTCCCCTCGCCATCAGCTCATTCCCTTTCCCTCTCGATTCTCATCAAATTCCCATCAAAATGCTCGCAAACCCCTCATCAGAGACTTTTCGCCTCTCAACCCTCTACCACGACTCGATCAAACCGCCTCGACCCCATCCCCAATACACCTACTCTCTCACCGTACGCCATCGTACATACTGCATACCTCCGCAACCCTCTCATTACCTTGCCCCCGGGGTCACCTGAAACGCTCCTTCGAGGCGAACGAACATCCCACCTTTCGCCTCTCAATCTCGAACTGAAAGAGCTCGAACGACAACCAACATCTCACATATTTAATCACTGCCATACGAGGTTGACTTGATTGACAGAGAAGTCAAAGGTATGTCTTACGACTGAACACAAACCGATACACTTTCCAGGGTCTGATCAAAATCTCTGGTCCTTGCAGCGCGATGTCGAAAAAGGAGGTGTCCAAGCAGAGCAGTCCCGCCGGATCGTCTCAACCATCTACTACGACCGTCAGTCAGATCAACGATCCTGAGGGAAAGCAAACACCCCAAACCAAGCCTGCCGGCGATGCTGCGACCAAGGGTGTCGATGCACAGGAACAATCTTCGATCAAATCCCCGCCGATGGGAACCAGTTCTCTGATCGGCTCGTTCAAGACCGTCCGGCCCAAAAGGCAGAAGATGCAAAGACAGCGTAGGAAGAGTCAACAGAGTACTTCGTCTGACCTTGTCAAGCAAGACGCTGCTGGATCGAGCGCAAAGGTATGCCGAAATGGGTCATTCCGGAATAGGGGTAGTCGAGTGGATGTTCACGGAAACTGATACCTTTATCGTACTTATCGCCTCGTACTTCCCACGTTCCGAATCTAGAAGCCATCTGAAACCTGTGAGAAGGAATCCTCGGACGTCGAGATGGCATCGGTCCACGACAAGACTCTGTCGGACGTCGACATGGGATCTAGCCATGACAAGACTCTCCCCGACCCATACAGCCCCTCTCGGGAATCGTCGCTTCTACCTACCCACCTACTCAGCTCTCCTGCTCCCTCTTCCGCCCCGTTTGAAGGACCAGAAGCTTCCTCTACCCCTCATGCGATCAACACCTTGCCGACCTCGTCTGTCACGCCCAACCAGGAGACCCCAGAGGTATCCACCGACAGAATCACTCCCTCCAGTCAGCCCCGATCGATCCGACGATCATCTCGAAGGACCGGAACCACCTCTTCGAGGCTCGAAAAGGCCAGGAAGCTGTTTCAGGACGCCGAAGAGATCTTTTCGCCTCCGGCTACCGTCGCCAACAAGCCAAAGGAAGAGAGGCCGCTCAAGGATTTCGAATTGGATTATGATAGCGCTGGTACGGAGGTCAAAAAGGAGACGAGGTCGCAGATGTTGGCCAAACAGAGGAAGGGACAATTCTCCGGCAACGTCGAGCTCGAGCTGGGTGTGAGTGCGGGTGGAAGTTGTCGTCTTGATGAGCGTCGCTGGAATCGATGCTGATACCTTTCGATATGTTTCCGGTATAGGCCAAATCTTCTCTGCCACTTCACTCTTCTTCGCTAGCACGCACCGAAGCCAAAAGCCAGACTCCGCCGGCAGCGGTCGATTCGAGCTACTCTGCTCACAACCGCGTCTGGAGTGCCGGCCTTTCTGCGGCTAGTCCTCCCTTCGTACCCCAGAGCCTCGCCCAGACCGGATCCCAGCCATCTGTTCGTCCTCAAACTCAGCATCCTGATGGTACCGAGAGCTACTCGAACAAGGAGACCGGACCGATCGACACAATGCCGCAAACTACAGGTCAAGATCGCTCAATCGAAGGCTTACCGACGAGCCAGAATCAGGGAGGCTACACTAGCGCTATGAACTTTATCGGCGGTGTCGGCAGACAGGATATGAAGTACAACGACTTGCAAGCATTTTCCAGGGATTTCGGAATCCTTCCCGGCTCGGAGGAAGAAACCAAAGCGATCGTCAGCGGAAGGGTACGCAACTGGACCATGTCTCAATTAGGAAAGGGCAAGCCGAGTGAGTATCGCTTCGTCCGTCTCGCGCGCCTTTTTGCTGAAACGCGCTTTGCGTGGTGTAGGTATTGCTCCGTCGGACCGTTTCGTCAAGCGCGAACCTAGCATCTTGGAACTGGTCCACGCGCATATGGAATCGTCGGACGGCGTCGTTCTCACTCGTCAACCTCTCGGACCGGCTCAAGCCAAGAGACGGACTACCAGCTCGGGCTCTCTCAGTTACGTTGACCCTCAAAGACGATTGCGCTCGGTCACGCTCACCAGTATCCCTGCCGAAGGCGAGAGCGAGGAGGAACAGAGCAAACGATCCCGTTCCAAGGACAACAGGCACGGTCGTTCTCATACTTCAGCCGACATTCGAAGCACTCAACAAGACGTGCGTCCTGAACGCACTCTGCCCGATCAACCAGAATCCATCACTACCAGCAGCGATATCGAGGATCATCTTGCTGATGATTCGGATGTCGATTCCATTGGCGAGACGGTATCTGCGATGAGCACGACCTTTGGTCTCGGGCCGCGACAGAAGGCCACTTCTCCTGGTAGCGGCCAAGTTTCCGATGCGGAGACCGAACAGGGAGATAACGAGGCGGACAAGGGATCTCAAGCCAATCCTCGAAAGCTTACCGGAATCAGTCCTGCCATGCGAGGCGACTTCCAGGGGCGGGTTCTCCAATTCGGTACCAGCGAGGAAGAGTACCAACCCCTCAAGACTCGAATGAATTCCTCAACCTCGTCGATCGCTAGTATCGCTGGTACGCACGGATCGGTCATATCTCCTCCTCCTGGTCTCACAAAGGCCACCAAACCTTTCAAGTCCCCAGTTGCCAAGGCGCTTGAGACCAGAAAGTGCGATACTTGCGGTAGGGCTACGGCAACGAGCGTTTTGACTTTGATGGAGCCTTGTTACGTAAGTCCGGTCTTGTCTTTTTGGTTACCGTGATCATAGTACTGAGACGCATCCCCTCAAAAATAGCACCTTGCCTGTTTCGATTGCCTCAATGCCGTGCTCAACACTGTGTGCTCGAACGGACCGGGTGGTAACCCAGGCAGATCGCGATGCTCATCTTTCGGATGCGGGAAAGAAACTGTCGGCATCATCCCTTACCTCTTGGCTAGTCCGCCCGTGAGGCAGCAAGCGGACAAGCTCGAGGACAAGGAGACCCAACTGCGATTGGCGTTTGATGCTTTGCCCGATGAGAATGAGGAGACTGTGGTCGTCAGGATGGACAATGTCGCCTGGGTAAGTACTCAGTATGAATAGTTCGTTCGAAACGCTATGGCTAATCTTCCGGGAACCAATAGGACGTCACCCCGGAAGCGGTCGTTGCCTTTTTGCCACCCAACACGCTTGCCGACAATCTCATTCAGAACGTTCATATCATGCTCGATCGTAACGATGGTAAAGCCAAGGACTATCTGGTGAGGAAGATATACCAGAATGATACGCAGGATTGTTCACTGAAGCGAAAATACAGTTCTTTGAGTGCCGGGACAGGCAAGCCGCCACGCAGGTGTTGCGAAGCCGACAAAATGCGGTTCTGGGTCATCCTCCTCGAGCCCGCCCCGTCACGCTCACTCTCTCTACCCATGCTGCCTTGATCACCGAAGTAAGTCATCATTCTTGGCCAGCCCACTTCATTTTATACTCACAACGCCGTGTATCAGCTTCGCCCCTCCGGTCCGCGTGAACTCGAAAACCTGATGTCTCTCTGTCGCTCCATCGATATGGCTCCTGAATCTACCGTTACCGACAACCCCGCGGGTCTGCAGACCCCTCAGCAAACACCTCGACGAGGCGAGGGCTCTGTGATCGCCTCTCCGGCTCAGAGTGGGCGATTCCTCAAGAGCCCGCTCGCGCCTTTCCACAGCCTCATGTCGCTCCTGTCCAAGATCGCTGCCAATGACGAAGACAAGGCTGGTGGAAGCAAAACCTCGGTGATCTACTGGGATTTGTTTGCGTGTGCTGCCGGTAAGGATACAAGAGTCTGATGACTGTATCGTCACGTTTCTGACGGAAAGTCTCTGTACTAGGTGCTATCTCTGTGCTCGCAAAGAGGACTCTCGCCGCCCACCGATCGCAGTTGCCTCCCACTCCTCCTGCGTCGAAACTCGATCTTCTCGCCAAAGCCAACTCTTCGCCTTTTCATCAGACGATGCAATCTGTCTCTCCTACTCCGGCTTTCCACATCCGGACCGAGAGCCAGATCCAGCGTTCTTCCATCGAAGCCAAAGTTCGAGAGAAACTCGAACGAGACCAAGCGCGTCAAGCCGGACCGGGTCCGCTCGGCACTCCCAGGGCGCCTGGACGAGCCCGCGCCGACCCTGTTACTCCCGGCAAGTCCTACAACCCGATGGAAGCCACGCAGCACAGAATTCAGGAGGAAGCTCTCGCCCATCTCCTCATCGGCGCTTTCGAAAAGACCTTTGGTTTCCGCATCAATCAAGGAGGCATCGCGTCCAGGTCTCCCGCCTGACCATTGAAACAACGCTCATCAAGAGTGATCGGTCATCGCACTCGCTTATACACACGCTCGTTTTGACTCGTTCCACATATATTTGACCACATATACAACTGAAAGGAAAAAAGAAAGATCTCAGAGCGGAACGCTTGTACCAGTCTGTCGTTACTCGATCCGATCGTTCATATTCATGTCCATTTCCATCTGCAGGGTACCGAGTTCCATGGGATGGTGTTCTTGTTGGTGCATTTCATTCTGGTCTGGTTGCAGCTGCTGCTCCTCGTTCTGTTGCTGCAAAATCTCTTGGGCACGCGTGCCCTTCGGCTTGGCTGGCCGTCGTTTTCGTGGCGCAATATTGATATCTCCCCACATCGCCTGGGGCCGCATGACCAAGTTTTTCTGGTAGTGCAATCCACATGCTGTCGAAGAGGGTCGCTTGGTGTCAGTTTCGTCGACCTGGAAACGCTAGCCTTGACTCGTGACTCACGATTGCACACGCGATACGTCTGTTTCTGCGCATCTTCGCCGATCGTCAACTTCCTCCAGACTGACGTTCCCGTACGGCCGCAATTTTCGCACGTCAACGCCCTCACCGCCAAGTTCTGCATCTTGTCGAGAGCCGATGCATTGTCTTGATCCAGATCGGTCCTGTCCACTTGTTGTTGAGAAATCTCATGATCGAACAGCCCATGCCGCTGGAGGTCTTCCAATGAGAAGTCGGGTACGGCGTCCTGCCCCTGCTCAGCTCCGGCTCCCATCACAGCGTGGGATGGACCGGCTCGGTTGGGATCCTGCTCATGGTTATGGTGGTCCGTCTCGGGCAGATAATCGTCCATACTCACTCCCGGGACCGAGGCGACAAACGATCTGGCCAGCCTATCAGCCATTTCCTGCCGAGCCATCTGGATCTGATAGGGCACTTGGGTGTGGAAATGAACATTCGCCGAGGTCACATTTGGCGCCGGATCCCACATGGGGATGTTCGGGGGAGGATCTGGGTAGACGATGTCGTCCGGTAACAGAGACGACACATCACCCAATCCCAACCCCGAGCCAGCGCCTGGGCCTAAGCTCGACCCGTCTGTGGCTCTAGGACTTAGTTCAGCAGAGCGGGTCATCGTTTCGAAGATGGTCGGCTCCAGCCCCTTCATTCGCATATCCAACAAGCTCGGCCGACCACGTCTCTTTGGTACTCGAGGATCTGTCGCTGGTGGTCCGAGGGCAACGCGCTTCTTTCCCTTCAAAGAGCTCGATGGTTCGTCCTCTTTTGGCGCAGCATCTGGTCTCGCGGCGTTCGATGCCGATGCGTTGGCCGTCGAACTCTCTCCTTCTGCCTCTCCCTTCGGTCCCGATTCCGATTCCGGTTCCGAATCCAGCACATCCCCGCCCCCCTTAGCACGTCTAGCGATCAACTTTCTCAACTCGACCGGCATCTCTCTCATCGCGTTGGGCTTGCTGCTCGACGCCGGTACTTTCCCTCGACGGGTATTGTACATCCGTCTGGGCACGTAAGGGAGTGCAAAGACCGGGTAGACCGGGTTGAGATAGTCTGACGCTTCGGGTAGACGGCTTTCCTGTAGTTTAGAGATGATTCGGTCAATTCATTTCTTGGTACTAAGAAACAGCGCGGAAGAGATGATGAAAAGAAGAAAGAAAACGGCGGTCCCGACTTACCTCGCCCCACAGTTTCATACAGACCTCTACATACCCCCTCATATCCATAATGACCTTCTCCACCTCGCTCTGCTCAGGACCGTGGATGATCTCGCGCTCTTCCCTTTCCAGCTCTTCAGCCGAATCAATGTCGGTCTGCGAAATAGAAGAATCGGAGCCGTAGCCGGAATCCTGATTTTGCGTCTGATCGCGGTTGGTTTTGCGTTTACGGCCTGTAGCGAACTTTTTGGGTCGATCCCGCTCGACCCTCGATATCCCAGTGTCGTTCGAAATTTCTTGCTGCTGTTGTTGCTGATGGACGAGCTGCGCCAGTTCGTCCTGCAACGCAGCCAAAGACGCCGTTTGGGTGCGGAGCGAACGGTCTAGGTGGGTTATCAAAGTATATAGTGTCGATGTCGAGGGGGACGTGGATCCGACAGGCGATGTTGTTGCCAATGCTGAACTTGACGTGGTCGCTACCGTCTCCTTCGCCATCTCCGGATCCTGCACGATCTCGGTGAGTTCTCCCCGCCCGTCCATCCGGTCATCACCCACGCTCCCATCCAGCTTTGCCCGCAATGCCCGGATCTCTTCTTGCATCTCGTTCTCCAGGAGTTCCGCCAGCCTTGTCCCAGTATCTGTATCTGCCTCTGCTAACAGATCTGTCCTCGAATCCCTAAGACCGTGGCTCTCATGCCAATTCCCTGCACCTCCCAGGTCCCCGCTCGAGCCTCCACCTCCAACTTCAGCTCCACCTCCGACGGACATGACCTCCTCTAGACCTCTGATATCCGCCAACAACCTCCCGTTCTCCTCGACCAACAAGTCTCGGACGTGCGATAGACCGGCGGTCCGTTGTCGCAAATGAGAATCGGCCAGTTTTAGTGCGTGCGGGGTCGGTCTTTCCGATGGGGAGGGAGAGAACAATTCGGGATCGATGTTGAGGTTATCATCGATATCGAGCTCAGAGGCGAACTGTCGTTTGCGTTTGACCTTCATCCTACGTTTAGACCGAGGGTTGTCAAGACGGGTAGGAGTCGGGCGGAGTGAGGGGTCTAGGTTGGCCTCCAGTTCCAAGTCCAGCTCCATATCCAGGTCCAGCTCCATCGCAGGGTTCAAACCGGCATCGGAGTCGACACTCTGATCGGGAGGATGGGTAGGTGATCGGACCCGGTATTCCTCCCCATCTTCCTCGTCCCTATCTTCGTCACCTCGATCCTCGTCATCTTGATCCTGACCGGGCTGGTTCCCGTCTCCGAGCAGCTCATCTTGTTCGTGGTGTCGTGGCTCTGATTCGATGTTTGGGTCGACTCCCGTATCTTCCGCCATCTTGCCCCATCGACAAGGATATAAGGAGTGACTGCCAAAGTCGCAAGAGGTCGAGGTGAATACGAATCGAGGAGTACGACGACATGCGACATGGAGATGTTGAGTGATGTTCGATACACCCATCCCCCGCAACCCTGATATCGACTTGTGATCGACGAAGAGTCTCACCTCAGAGTCACTCTGTCTATATAAACCTTCGTTCTCCATCCCGTACTTCTCATCTACCCATCGCTCGCACCCCTTTCCTCTTCTTCTCTCTTCAAGCTTCTCCAAGTCCAGCTTAAAACACTGTTCATACACGACCTCAGCCGTACATATACCTCTACTGATACGACGAACACGGGGGAAAAGGAGTCTAAAGCCAGATCGATTTCGCAAGCGTCCTAGTTTGAAGTGGTCAAAGAAGAGTTTCTCCCAACGGGTGACTCGGATGTTAAGATCGCTATAAAGTGTGACGTACAATTGGTACTACCGATGAGAATATCTATATCATGTCGTGTTGGAGTCCTTCATGATGTCTGTCATATGTCAGTCTATGTACCGGTGATCGGTGTACCGTCGTCTGACAGAATTCGACAGAGAATTTGGCACTTGAGCACGGACTTGCGACAGACTAACCATGCCAGATCCTTCACATCACCCACCACCCTGTTCCGTCCTATTCCTTGGATGACTTACAAAGCGATTCGACGCCGATAGGTCATTCCTGTTCTTCCAGAAGACTTGTCAAAATCACCGTTGGCTGGAGAAAGGGGCGACGCGCAAACAAAGGACGTACGAGCGCGCGACCTCGTCAACACATCATACAAGTGCACAAGTGCTGTACATGCAAGATGGACAGGTAAGTCGACATACCAGACCTGCTTACCCGGCTCACCAAGCGACACCTCACAATCCACACAATCCAGCATTCCCTCATCAGTGACGCTCGACGCATAGAACGCTTTAGGCTTGACAGAGAGCTCGATACGCCGCTACGACATAGAGAGCAGCACGACCCTTTTACACGATCCTCCACATCTCACGACCACTACTGCAGTCTCGATACCGGTCTCTCTAGCCTCAATCCTAGACGATTGAACAGTCAGAATCTCTACCATACAAATAACATTGAAGGAATATTTCCGCAACCTCGACAAATCAACGCATAGCGACCATAACCCTGACTGCGACACGACCACAATCATGCATCACCTCAACCTCAACTTGCGTCTCCCTATCCTTCCCCTCCTCTTCCTAGCCGTAATCACCCTCCTCACCACAAGCCTGGTGCAAGCGCATCGAATAGATATCCCAGCGGGAGAGAAGGCTTGTTTTTTCGAGGATCTGCATGTCGAGGATCAGGTGCGTACCGCGTTTCTTTAGATCTCGATTACAAGCTCCCGTCTGAGTGGAAATACGATTGGCTTATTGCGATTTTGCTTTCCTTTCGTATCCTCTTTGTTCTTTCTCGGACCTATTCGGATCATGCTCGGATCATGCTCTCGACTGGACAATGACGCTTGAAATCCGGACCATCAATCTGAAACCGCGCTCGAACTCGACTCGTCAACGCTACGCTACGGCGAGGGTAGATGACGATCACTTATCAGGTCGGAGCGGGCGGGAACATGGATATCGATTTCTACGTGAGTTCGCATTCTCTTCGCCCCTTCCCTTGCCTCGATTCCTAGACAAGGTGCTCCGCTTGAGTGTGTCGAGAAACAAGGTGTGGTTGGGAGCTCAAGAGCTGATCCTCTCATCTCACGATCCCCCTCCAGCTTCAAGACCCAACCTCGGCGACCCTGTCCAGCATCTACCGCAAATCAACGGGAACCTACGCGCTCACAGCGGCGAAAGACGGGAGATATACGTATTGCTTCAGCAACGAGATGAGCAGCGTCAGTCCCAAGGTCGTCAGGTGAGCGCCCACAATGAGTTTCAGGTCTTTCCTCTTCACTTTGCATCATACTTGACGCTGATACAAGTGATAAACTCCCTTTTCGCTCGACCTGCAGCTTCAACGTCCACGGAGTGCTCTACGTGGAAGATTCTGGCGAGGTCGCACCCGTCGAGGCCGAGATCCGGGCCCTGTCTACGGGACTGCAGGGGGTCAAGGACGAGCAGGAGTATATCGTCGTGAGGGAGAGGGTTCATCGGGATAGTGAGTTTGAGTCTGACTTGGCGGGTCTTGAAGGCATGGAGGGTAAGGAAGACTGGAGCTAGGGTAGAGGCTGATGAGATGATGTTGGTTCTTGTTGTTTTGGTGTCTTGTTTGACATAGCTGCCGAGTCGACAGTGAGTCATTCGAGTCTCAATGTACCCATCATACGCCATGAGCTGATCCTCGTATACCTTCGCAAACCCGCTTCTTGCAGAACGACCGGGTGAAATGGTGGTCCATCGTCCAGAGCTTCTTGCTCGTCGCCATCTGCGCGTGGAACGTGACTTATCTGAAGAGCTGGTTCGAGGTCAAGCGGGTGTTGTAGGCGCCGAGGGTGCACGTATTATCTATGAACAGCCTCTCTCTATCTCTGTCTTCATGGGAGGAGAAGATGGTGGCCTCTAGTGTGTAATGTTTTCTGCTATGCAACTACATGCTCGATCATACCGTAATCAAGATGACCAGGGGCGACGCGCAACTAGTCATCGCCCCCTAGCTAGCCCGGCCGGGGGAACACTTGCTCATCGATCGACCATCTTCAGGTTGAGAATGGTCATCCTCATCCCATCCATCTCGACACTCCCCCCAGCTTCCCATCCCCGTCAAACACAAACACTGCTAGAGATCTTCATAATGGCTGCTCTCGGTAACACACTCTCCAGGTTGATCGGTGCGTGGATCACGTCTCGTCCTGGCCGATTGGGATCGGCTTTGGCCTGTCTGACGAAATCGATGGCGAATCTGGTCACTTACCCCATCTTCTTCTCTGCTTTTCTTTCCTCTCACTTCCCACCTGACCACCGCTGAAAACCCTTATCGGAATCGCATCGGAACCTCGATCTTGACCTGAACAAAACGCATTGACTGCGCCACATCCGTAGTCCCTATCGCGCTGGGTACGGCCGCCTTCCAAGCTTCGATCTACGATGTACCCGGTGGATACAGGGCCGTCATGTTCGACAGGTTCAGCGGAGTCAAGAATGAGGTCAGTCTCGGCCAGAGGTTCCGATCAGGTCCAGGTTATACGGTGGCTTATACAATCTTGTTTCGTAAATGCTTCGTTCTCCCGTTTCCAGGCCTCCGGGGAAGGAACCCATTTCCTCGTCCCTTGGCTTCAAAAGGCCATCCTGTATGATGTCAGGATCAAGCCTAGGGTGGGTTCATGTGTCCCTCGCATTGCTTCGTCAAGGCAGATCAGGCAGAAGGGACTAACGGGTGGTCGTCTTTGCGTCGGATTGGGTTGAATAGAACATTTCTACCACCACTGGATCTAAAGGTCAGTCCGCAATCCTGCAAACTCGCTGAAAGATCTGCTATTGTAAGATTAGATCGCTGACTCGTATATCCGCTTGTTACGATGCGTGTTGGCACTATAGATATGCAGATGGTCTCCCTAACGCTGAGGGTCATGTCCAGGCCGGATATCGCCGTCTTGCCCAAGATCTACCAAAACCTAGGTCTCGAGTGAGTTCAACTTTTCTTTCACCGTCCGGGCCTCCCGTCAATACGTTGAAACTTCGACTAACTTTATCCCGGTGTGGCCCGATAGCTATGACGAACGAGTCCTCCCCTCGATCGGTAACGAAGTCCTCAAAGCCACCGTTGCCCAGTTCGATGCTGCCGAATTGATCACCCAGCGAGAGGTCGTCTCGGCAAAGATCAGGCAGGATCTGTTGACAAGGGCGAGGGAGTTCAACATCCTGTTGGAGGACGTCTCGATCGTGAGTCAGCGTCTTTGGGAATGGCTGAGCGTTGCGTATTGACTGATACGTTCGAATTGGTTCGGTCCTGGTTTGCTATGTCACTCTAGACGCACATGACGTGAGTAGCATCCATAGCGGAAACTCGAGTCGTCGAACGCAGCCCGGACGAATCCCAGAGACTGATCTCGTATCTCCGTACCGAATAGTTTCGGAAAGGAGTTCACTACCGCCGTCGAGCAGAAACAGATTGCTCAGCAGGATGCCGAGCGAGCCAAGTTTGTCGTTGAAAAGGTTCGTCTCTGCCCATCCCCCTTTTCTTCTTTTCCTCCTCGCCTCGGTACACATACTGACGGATACATATGTGCGTCTCTCGTTCTATACCTCCGACCTTTTCGTGATCAACGCAGGCCGAGCAAGAGCGTCAAGCCGCCGTCATCCGGGCCGAGGGTGAAGCCGAGGCTGCGTTCACCATCTCCAAGGCTTTGGACAAGGCCGGCGAGGCTTTCGTTACTTTCCGACGGATCGAGGCTAGCAAGGATATCGGTGAGTGCTTGGCCATTTTTCTCGTTATTGCAGAACAAAAAGAGTGCTGATGAGCTCTTGTGCTTGAACGATCCATAGCCACTTCGTTGTCTGGCAACAAGAACGTAACCTACTTGCCGGCTACCAACTCAGGGCTGTTGATGCAGGTACCCACGTAGGCTAAAAGCCGATTATGCAGCGATGTGTGAAACGGTTGAGACTGTATGATAGAAGTAAACGACGATAATCTTCATCAAGAATGAAGGAATATGACATCACTCTGTTATTGGTTTCGTCCGTCAGGGGCGGGTTACAGCAGTCGAGACCGCTGCTCCTACAAGCTTCATTGAACGTCAAAGGGCAGCTCATCTATCCTGTTCGATCGTAGAGCTTGAGTACCCCGACAATTGCACGAACCAAGATCGAATTCGAAGGTAAAAGGTAATATCACTACAAGCGAGAGAAGGGGAGAGGAAGCTATCTGCGTTCAACCGGCGTCAACCGAACGTTCGTGTCGTGTAAATAATCGTAAAAGTCGTCCTCGTTTTCGTCAATTTCCATGTTCCTTTTAAGGGATTTCTCGAGTTTCTTTTCGCCTTGCTTCTTGAAGCGCAGGTTGATCGCAGATTTTAACGCGTCCGTATACACTTCGTACTTGACTATCTCTGAATGGATAAACAGAGAACGATGTTTCCAGTTCTCTTGCGCCTTGATGCTGTTGATCGACCGTGCGGGATACTGCAAGCCAGCGCGATCGGTAAGAGACTTGATCTGATAAGAACAAAGTGACTTGTACTTACGTATTTAGCAAGTGGCGCTTCGAGCGCCTTGTGAGCCGCCAAATCCTTCACCAGCGATTGGACATGCTTCTGTAGCGACTCTAGCTGGGCCTCTTCGTCGAGCTTGCTCGGGATGAGGGAAGGTTGTGGCGCTTTCCAATCGCTCAGATGGTTTCTTTCCGCTGGCATGTTTCGTCGGCCCAACGTCCTGTGCATCGACAGCCGACTCTTGGCACTCCGATTGCTAAAGACGCTTTGCGAGTCGGTGTGGTCTTCCGGCTGATCTGTACTCTCCAGAGCTTTCCAGCCATAGTCAAGGTTCGATACCCCTCCAGGCAGAGGAGGTCGACTGCGCCTCGCTGCCCAGTAATTGCAGGTCGATACCCATTCTTGTACCAATTCCTCTGTCCCCGCTTGGAAAAAGCTCATTTCGCCATTATGTAGGGTGAGACTGAAGCAGTAGGGTCTTTGCGTGTTGTAACCCGGCGGCGGTAGGGCAGAAGCCAGTGCGTGGGAAAGGTTCATGTCGCCTTGGCCGCGAGCATTAGCCTGACAGCGGTGCGGAGAGTCAGCTTCTACGCAAATTCAACCGAGTGAGACGCCGCTCACCATCCAGTTTCCTCCACCCATAGCGAGTCCTTTCGGAACAGCTCGTCCGGAGCCCTCGTCGAATGAGAACATGTAGATGTCCCCTTGCTGAAGCACGGTGAAGACTTGCCGCCAGTTCTTCTCCTTGGATCGTTTCCCGGGACCTTCCCAGTAGGGTTTGCGCTGCAAATTACCCTCCTTTGCCCAAGGCGGCCCGAGGAGTGCCAATTGGTCGTCTGTCATGTCTTCAGTGCCATCGGTTGTTGCAGACTCCGCTATGCTAGCCGCTTCGTCTTCGTGCTCTTTGATGACGGTATGTGTCAGATTATTGGCAAAGCCGAAAGCTGGGCCTGAAGGGTAATGCTTGTCGACATTCTAATATGATGAAAGGAAGGGGCCCGTGGGATCAGCTTTTGATCGTTATTCTCTGCGGTACAGAGGCAAAGGCTCACTTCGCCGATTGATGTTGCATGACTGGGAGTTGGGCTGGCCCGCCCGTCTTGGTTGAAATGCCCGGGTCCCAGCCCCTGCATGCCACGTATGCTGCCTCGCTTGTAGGCACTCATACGGTCGGAACCGCTGGTATCGGACGTGGTTCGCATCATCGGATTGCGCGCTCCGCGGAACGCATAGTCGTGAGCTGTCGGTAGGAGTATCTGTCGGGATTTGACGGATTGATATATATCCTAGTAGGAGAAAACAAGGCGGGTGACACGATCAGTACTGGATCTCCTACCATTGTTCCCATGACAATGCTCACTTTCAGCGTGGACTCCAGCTCAGCCTCCCACTTGCTTCCGTGTTGTGCCATAGATCCAACGCTTGCTGAAGATGGTAGCCGTCCTCTGGCATCGTGAGGGCTGGGCTGTTTTCCCAAATTGGTCACCACTAGCATACTATGTCGCTGACTCCGGTCCACAGTCCGGTCGATCGAAGCGATGGAACCCTTCCGATTCAGAACGTCCCGGTCGAGATTGATAGCAGGACCTAATCGGTGATTCCCGGCCGGGACTGGCGGTGAGGGCGCAGATGCAATGGATGTCCGCAACGTGCTGCTGCTATCGTTGTGAACTAGCTCGGGAGTGGAAGCATGCCGAGAAGTCCCTTCCTTGGCCAGATGAGACGTGATCGTGTCCATGGTGAGGCGAACGTATTGCTGTCTCGACATGTGCTCGCTGATGTCGGCGATATGCAAATCCGTGTTCAGTAAGAGGAAAGATCCAGTAACTGTATGCACCACAGCTATAATAGAGGATATTCTTAAGCAGACGCAAACGCTACCCCATATTGAGAGACATACCAGGCGACGCAAAGATAGTTGTAGGGTTGCAATCGAAGTACCGTTGACTGAATGCTTCGAGGATCCGATCAATTTCCTGCGTCTCTGCTTTGAGGTAGAGCTTCTGGCAAAGTTGCCTGTATCCAACTTGATCAGCATAAGCATTCGTCTTGACATGATTGGTGGAAAGCAGCTCGCCTGAACGCCTCGTCTACCCGTATCCCGTCGAAGTTGAAAAGTCGCATATAGTGTATCAGAGTACGTCGATTGATGGGCTTGCTAAATTCCCGACAGTCAGCACCGGACTCGACTCAAGCGGTCTGAGCCAGACTCACACGCCACCGATGTATTCTGCCAGCCGATCTTTCTTGACGAACGTTTCTTCGCCTTTGAAAGATGCAACCGCAATCTTTCCTGCCTCGGTATCGATGCTCTCGTCTACCTCAGGCTCGACCAAAGGCGGGTATGCGTAGGGGCTTCTTCCCATTGTGGTCGGTGTTCGACTCGTCTCGTCTAACGGTGAGTCAGCTGCAGGGCCCGCCACAGGCGTCCCACGACCGTGTAACGTGCTGGTGTCGCCGTCCGACAACCTCTTCCCGGCGTCTTTACGACTGAGCAAAGCCTCACTTGCGGGAGTATCCTCATCGGTGCTTTGCGTAGGATACCGCAGGTGTCTAGATGGCCGCGCAGGAGGAGTCAACATGGACATGATCTGTGTGGCCTGCTGGACCGGGGTGTTGGTCAAGTCCGCATCAGCCAGAGAAGACACGCGGGTCGATAAAGCGGGAGCCAAGGGGATTTTTGGACTGGATCCAGCCGATTTTGACCGAGAAGGATGCGATAGTAGGTCCTGCCCGGATTTCGATGAAGCAATTGGAGATCCTGGCAAAGGAATCCCAGAAGCAGACTGCGACGTTGTCGTCCGATCTCGAAGTGTCATGCTCTGAGCAGGAACACCGAGCTCCATAGCCAAGTCCCGTTCAACACTATCGCCTTCCAGCATACCCTCTACATGCCTGCGCCATTGATCCATTCGTACCGGTGTAGAATCTGCCGGACCGCCTTTCGCAGAACTCGATCCTCTGCGTATAGCCTCTTTGTCGTCGTCCTCGTCGCTATCGTCCCCCGTCTGCGTTGCAGGCTCTCTATGATGTCGAGAGGCCATTCTGGGTGGATGCGCCGAGGATGGTGGGGGTGTTTCCGAAACCGGAGACGGGACTTCACTCAGTTCCGGCGACCGCAAGGGACTGATCGGGCTGGTTGCGCTGACAGCAGAATCTTTGCGGGACGGCGCTGGGATCGGCTGAGGCTGGATAGCGGATACCGCCTTACGCTCGTTAGGTCGCGGTACGGTCGAAAGAGGCTGAGCAGAAGGCGAAGGTTTGAACGCGTTTGCAGGCTGGGATGACGCAACGTCAGACGCTTTAGTATCCATCCTAGGCAGTCACAGCATGTCACATATCAACTCACCCTGCTGGGAAGAGGTTCATCCCGATTCGAGCTAAACAACTTCCCCCAGAAGCCTTTTGTCTTGCTTCTTACGCTCTATAACGAGGACGCTTCGACTATCAGCAGCTGAACAATCAACAAGCACGCCCGACTGGGCATGAAACCGACCTTGTTGCCATCATCGCCTTGTGTAGTCGACGTCCGGTTCGTAATCGTGCTCCCTCTAGGGCTCTGCACACCATTCGACTTGCTCGATAAGGTGTTCGTAGACCGCTGCGTTCCTCCGCTCATCTGACTCGAAGTCTGGACCACAGCCGGCCCATGTGAAGCGGCACGATCCCGGTTCCCAGGATGTACGGGTTTCTCCTCGGTGCCCAGAGGTCCTGGTCGAGTCCTCACAGGTGAAGAGAGAAACTCCGAGGACCCTTGATTACCCTTCGATACGGTTGAGGGTGGAACCAAACCCCGAGTTCCGTTTGGTTCCTGTGATGGAGATGGCATGTTGTTCACGGTAGCTTGACCAGACGCCTTGTTCCGTTGTGTGAGATCAGGGGTGCTCGAGGTTCCAGCGCTTCGGAAGATGCTCCGACGTTTCGACAACTGAGCCCTGTCACTTTGGGGGCTCAATTCAGCTGAATCCGACACCCCATCGTCAGGGTCAGCTTCCATTATTTGTGCTTGTTCAAACATCCCGAGACTCACCGTCGATTCCAAACGAAGCTCCTTTGTGGCTCGCCGACATGGACCTCAGGGTACGTTGTCTCTCCTCCTCGTTCAAAGCCCTAGAACTACTAGCTTCGGATGTATACGATCGGTCTGAAGTATACGAGGGCTTGGATGGTCCCGGATCAGGTCTCGGTAGACCGACAGGTCTGTCGTTGGTACCTATTATTGTTTCCGAGATCCCAGGCAGAGCTGTCCCAGCCGAGCTTCCTTGTCTGCTTCTCGAGATGCCACCGTGATTAGGTCCGGGTAAGATCCTATCTGGGTCGCTCGAGCTGACATATTGGGTATTGGCAGGCAACTTGAGAGCACGCTCAAAGTCTTCTTGTGATCGGCGGGGTCCAGAAGGTTGTAGAGACGGACGCTGGGACATTTTGTTATGCCCGGATTTCGATGATGTTCGATGATGCCGCTGTGCGATGTCGGCGAGGCTCCCCGTCAATGATTCAACATGATGACATGCTGAGATGATGGCTATCCTGTAGCTAGTGATAAGAGACGATGCTGTACTATCGATTAATGGCTATGGTACTATGGTTAACTAACAACTCTGAATGAGATTGATCGCTCTCTGATCTCTGAATCACAAAAGGTCAGCGATCCGCGCTAACACGAAACGAGAAATGATAACAAACGATTCGCGATATGGGGAATGCAGAATGAAATCAGGCGACATGCAGAGCTCCGGAACCGTTATAAGATAGACAAAGAGGGGTCTGCCAGATGTCTTGGGCATGGAAGTGGGCTACAGAAAGGGTCCAAAACATCATACAGTCTGATGGGTGAAACGGGGACGGGACAAAACGTGGTACCGAGAACACGGCCGTGTTCGACAGCCTAAACCTCGTCGTTTTCGGTTTGTTCCTTGATCTCTGCAAGGCGACGCCTCATGGCCTTCTCGGTCTTGGTAGGGGCGACCTTTCGACAGATCAGAGCGCCAACCTATATGAATGGGCGAGGAAGCATACGATCAGCGTGGTCAGGGCATGGCTTCGCATTGTCGGACCACTCACGACTGCCATCAAACCGCCGAAACGCAAGGTCCAAGCGACGCCACTGGTCTGGGCGTGATGCTGCTTGACGAGGCCTCCAGTAGCCGGGGCTTCGCCATCGACCCATTTGAAGATGAGAGAAGCAATAACCGCGATCTAATTTGAAGAGCAAGAAGCAGTCAGCCTCATCTATCAACAACTGTGTCGGCTCAGACTCACCAGGAATTGAGGGAAGACGATGGCAAGGTTATGGATACCCATGATGGTACCACCGGCGGGCTTGGAACCAGCATAGTCGACCTCTTCGTTGAGGTCATCAATGTTGGCCATGGAGAGACTCCTGATCAGACCGGTCCTCTCGGTAGGAGCCGAAGGCGGGTTCCAGACGACGGGAGTCGAAGCGGCACGAGCATGTCCGGGTCGACCGGCAAAGCCGCCCGCCGCAGTATGAGGACGTTCCGCTCGACCAGCCTGAGGCTTCTCTCCGCCCTCTTTGCCTCGGTCGTCTACCTCTTTCAGATACTCCATGATGATGCTATCATGCGGTAGAGCCAGTTAGTCTCGACATCTGTATTGGCGGCACTATAAAAACAGGCTTACGCGAAAGGAACCCAGCAAGCAACAGCCCAGCAAATTCCGACCAAAGCAATCATCAAGGTAGCCTATAGATCCCGGTCCGGTCAGTAATAAGGCAATGTGAATCAATCACCCAGTTCGACGAGGACGACTGACCTGCCAGACCTTGTTGATAAAGAATGTGGTGAACATCAAAAAGGCAAAGAGCAGCAAGGTAGACGTCCAGATGTTTCGGAGCAAGAACGGCACTATACACGGAAGACCATTATAGTCAGGTACCTCATGACAGTTCGTTTCGCTGACGCTACTTACTGATAGGAAGCTTGAGCGGTTTGCCCTCCCGGTGGGCTTCAGCCTTCCATTCTCGAACCATGTCTTGAATACGCTTGAGCTCCTTGTCGTCTTCATCCTCCTCGTCTGACTCGTCGTCATCATGTCCGTGCTTTTCGTTATCGGGTCTCAAAAGACGGTGGTCTCGTGCGGCCAGGTAAGGCAACAAGACACCGGCAACGATAGCGACTGCGATGGAGACGTTAGAAAGATGCCTAAGGAGTCACAGCGCCCTGGGACCTGGAGCTTACCGGAACTGTAGATTAGCAAAGCAAGACTACCCGCCCGAGTCGCGTCATCGACATTGGGGTCTCTCCCAATTTCAGTAGCCATGACCTCGGCAACCCAGGTGGTGGAGTAGAAGAGGTAAGGGAACCATCCCATAAAGGCGCAGATCTGCACGTAGCAGACCCGACGAACCGGCTTGGGCAAGTGGATGACGGCCTCGTAGATGGTGGAGAAGACGTCGGTGAATTTGCTGTATGTATCGGTAAACCTGTTAGACGTGCCAATACGGTGAATTGCCTCCCAATACTTACGACTTTTTCTGCCCAAACTGCTCCTCACGCTCTTCTTCCTCCGTAAACCAGACAGTGGCCCAGACGGTAGTCACAAGGGCGACGATCGCGATGATGCAAACTGGTTCAAGCGGGACGTACTCGCATCAGACATATCCTTCTTCACTGATCTCGATATGGCTGAACACTTACTCTTTCGGAACTGTCCACCTCCAACGTATTTCAAAATAGGTGCGTTTGCCAAGTTCAGACTGCCCAAGGCGTATCCGAGAATGTTCCCGAAGTGACTGAATCGACCGTGCCAGGCGCTGGCTGTAGCAAGTTGTTCTCCGGGGACAACGTCGAGGGCAAGGTTCCGCAGAGATCCTTGCAGACTGAGTTCAATGCCGCAAAACAGAGTCAGCTTGAGGTTCGCGACGTCATTGTAGTCGGTGAGAGTTGGACTTGCCCGTTCAAAGCAAAGTCGAGAGCGTAGAAAGCAATGACAGCGATGGCAATTGCGGTGCTCTGAACTAGTTCCTGCCTCTTGGGGTCCCAATCAGCAACACCACCCCTGAACAAGTCGACGAGGATATCCGCAAGCGGTTCGGTGAAGGCGAGAGCAAGGGCCGAAGCAGCGAGCAGGATGGTCGCGCCGACGATCCAGGAGCGACGACGGTATTTTGAGAGGGACGAATCGGAGATGGCTCCGATCAGAGGCTGAGCGATAAGACCAGAGACTGTTAACAGGAGGAGCATCTGTAAGCTTCAACATTCCGTTGTGCAGAGAAACTTCGAGGATACGTACTCGGTCCGGCCAGCCAGACGAGGGATGTAAGCTGTTCAGAGAGACCGAGGGACAACAAGTACGGCGTTCCGTAACCCAGCTCGACGACCTATTAGAAAAGAGGACACCGGTGAGACCCGTTCTCTCTCGTTGTAGGTAAACGTTGCAAACGTACCCAAGCGATCTATGCAAGTGAAGTGAAGAGGAATCTTGTGAGCTGGAGTGGGCGTCAAGGGGTGACAGGGCTCCTTGTCTTACCTGACTACCACCCATGGAGACAGTGAGAGCAACTAACTGCTTGAAAGAAAGCTTCTTGTGTCGGTTCTTCTCCTTCTCCTTCTTCTTGGCCGCAGCAGCATCGGAAACGGCACCATAGTTCTGACCACGTTGACCGGCAACCCTCGCTCCCCTGTGCCTGTCCGGCGAGTCTGAAGATTCTTGACCCAGTCGCAGAGGTTGCGGTTTCGGGTTGGACGAGGTTCTGGGTTTCTTCTTTTGCTTCATCAGGTCGGAAAGGGAGGTGTAGGCTTCCTGAGAGTTCGAATTTACGGAGCGTGGAGAATCGAAGGAAGCTCGATGGTCCGCCGACTGCGGCGGAGGGGTCGAAGGGCGATCCATGTCGACTAGCAGCTAGCAGACGATCAAGGCTCTGACTGTTATAGCTAGGTAAAAGACGATGGGGTTTCGATGGACGGTAACTTTGACGAAGAGAGGAAACTCCGAAAGTTCATGGAATTCTCTGGCCACTGGCACTGGTCGCCTCACGCTCCCAGAGGCAAACGGCGAACGAAATAGGTTCCGTGCACGAGTGGACTTCCGATCACATGCGCCCAGATGCGACGTCATAGGTAGTTCTGCAAAATATCAACTCGCATGCGTCTCTCCTCTATAATACACATGGACGAGCACTAGGATATAAGCTATAATACAGTACGTTTGCAGGAACGAAGGACGCCGGCGGACCTGACACAAAAGCACGATCGAAATGACAGCCTCGCGATCGCCTCTATCGGTTTGACGACCGGGATGCTACACAAGTCGTGGCAGCACTCGACGAGACACGATGTCTATCTTGTCCAAGTCAAGCCAGTAGGGACCGCGACCATGCCGTCCTGCCGTACCAAACAGATCGGAAGTCGGTTGTTTGGTCGCCCTGAGCGTGCAGGCGGGGTCCTCGGAACGGAGGCGCACATGACCTCGGGGCATTTGAACTCGTTTTCTTCGGCAGGTTCGGTTCCCCACCAAACGGTATAAGTGGGGTTACCCTCATGGTCTTTCGTAAATCCGCCACCATAGCTAGAAGAAACCCTCATGGGATATCAGTGCCGCCCAAAGTTCACTCATCGTAGACGAGGTCAAAACAGGCACTTACAGTGTTGCTTGGGGTAACGTTGACATGGAGGAAGTGGTGACCATGTGACGTCTACCGGTATCGATAGTCTGGCCCGGTTGCGCACACTGCTCCGCAGACGGCATTGGCGTCACAGGCGACTCGATTTGCAAATCGGGGTTGACCCAGAACGTGTAAGCCTTTGTCTCTGCGCCGACAATGGTCCTGTAGTCACAAAGCATTCAGAGGTTATCAGCCTATGCGCAACAAGAACACTGATGCGAGGCAGCACGATACGCACCAAGTAGCTGTTTCAGCCAATTCCACGAACCATCGCGTGGCCTCTGATGACGGTGACGCTTCCCCAGATATGGTCCTCATCGGTTTTGGGGGAGCAGGCGGACTCATCGTACTGCTCTTCATGCTTGAAGAAAGCCCCAAGGTATTTCTGCTCGAGACGCTTGCGTTGCTGCTTGTCCGTCTTCGGCGAGTGGGTCCCGGTCCGCTCGTCTCGGCTCTGTTCTCTCTCGAAGGACTCTCGGAAACGCCATAGGGTGTTCCAGCACTCCCAAAGCCTTGGGTCATGGATGGTTGCCGCGCCAAGCCTCCACCAAGAAATTCTTGACCGTTCGAACCAAAGGTGTTGGGCAGGGTCGTGGTCATTGTAGTGGGAGTGACAGGTCCAGTCGCACGTGACGTCAACGGTTTCAGGCCCGTCAGGTGGATGTTCGGCGACGAAGGTAAACTCGATGCGCTTCCCGGTCGAGATCTGGGTGTCGGAGGAGCGTTCTCGGGTGCCATCGTTCGAGCAGTCTTGCCGAGTCGGTACTCAATGCGGTCCTTTTCTGCTGTCATCCATTGTCCCGAGTACCTAAAGTCTTGCCCGTACACTGGCAGATTAGGGATATTCGGTAGCGCGTACAGTTCGAGGGCAATCTGGCGGGACATGGAGCGTACGTTAGTGTCGCCCTTTTCGATAGCGGGATGAGAGAGAACCCTACCTTGTGCAGCTGGCTGACAGGTTCTCCCGGCAGTTCCCCCGGTGCACATTTGCCCTGATATCCGTCTCTCCTAACCGCTTCACCTCCATACGCCGTGGTTCCATTGTCTACTCTTCGAACAACCAGCATCGGCGATGTCAATCCAGTAGCAGGACACTGTAATCGGATGGTGTTGTTGTAGCAGATGACGGGTACCGGAACGTTGTCTGGCGGCTTGATGACATCGGCAGGAGGGGGATACCCATCCCAAGCTTCTCTTCCAGAAACCGGCACTGGCGGTCGATCATGCGCTTGAGGATCGACTAGCCATATAAGCAGGGCTATGGTTTGGCAATAGAATCAGACTGTGTCAGTCGATCGATTGACGTCAGAATCCGACTTACGATCCCAAGATGCCTGATCAGCTACAAACGCAGGATCCGTCCTCTTCATGCCGGAATGGGTCGGAATCGCCTTGCCGTCCGAGCCCAGATGCCGTGTGATATCGGTCGCCACCGAGAGGAACTTGGTCGAACTCGTCTGTGATCGAATGCGGTTGTACAATGATACGGGCGTTCCGTGTTGCAAAAAGACTGACGAGGCGAGAGAACATGGGTAAGTTTGAGGCTATATGACAAACAGTACAAGACAGCTTGGACCTGCTCACGTTCGCTGTTCTTGGTGTTCTGCCGTTTCTTGCTCGGCTTGCTGACGATTGTGATCGGTTTACTCTCAAACGTGCCTATCACTGGTCTCGGTCCGGTCGAACCCGACGACTCTCCCGCGGCAGACATGATGGTAATCATGGCCTGTACCGAAGCCTTTGCCTTTCGAGCGGGTGTATCCGAGATATGCAAAGCTTTCCCACAAGCCTTGCCGATGAATGCAGCTTCACCGTTAGGAAATCCAAAGTCGATAGGCTCTTCCAAGTACCGGTTGCTGGTCGTATGCCAGCTCGACCGGACATCGGGAGCGCGAGCCTCGTCGGTAATCGATATATTGATCACCGGTGCAGATTGCAGGGTATTGCTCTTCTTGGTCCACCACGTCCGGCCGTGCAAAACCGCTACAGGAGGAGGACAGATGAATCTGACTCGGTAGCCCGGGGATCAATAGTCGAATCAGCTTTGAGTCACGTGTCCATGCTAGGGCACGACATCTTGTCGAACCCACCTCTTCTCGGTCCCATAACTCTTTTGTGCAACTCTAGGCGAATGGATGACCAGCTTGCGTTCTCCAAAGGCATACCGGTTGGCTGCTGAGAGGTACCCTTGCACCGTGAACGCGGTAGCAGGGTCGATCGTGGTACCCTGAATCGGGAACAGGGGACGTGATTCTGCCGGTTGTGGTAGCTGGAGAGTCGGTTGCTCAAGTTCTCGATCGGTAGGAGGTGGGACGTGATGTAACGAAGGGTTCAAGTCGTGTTGGGAAGGCAGTTGGGGCTGGGTCGGATGGGCAAATGCAGATTGCTGCTCGGTGCCCTGCACTTGATGCGTGGCCATCTGCGGTGAGCGGGAGGACTGGATCTGTGGGCCAGCGTCCGGTACGGGAAGGTACGTATAGGCCTGCTGCGCATGATAATGACTGTAATCTTGGCCGTCACCGCCAAAGTCTGTCGGAAAGGAGCCATGATGGGGGAATTGCTGAAAGTGATACTGTGCCTGTTGGTGCTGATGCTGGGGGTCTTGATGATAGGAGGGTGCGTGAAGAAGGTGATCGCCGTTGTCCGATGAGACGAACGAATTGCTGCCGGAAGATTGCCAGTTCGACCCAGGAGCCTCTATTCCTATGCCCAAGGTCGAATCATAGGGGTTCCCCATCATCATGGTCGACATCGAACCGAGACCGAGGCCGTCGTGCTCCAATCCGAGCCCGCGAAATGCTGGCGGGTTGGGGCTGACGCCGTCCATTGTCACGTCACCGGTTGGCAAAGAAGCGTCGGGGCGGAAGAGATGGAACCCGTCAAAGTGACCGCCGCCGCCATGGTGATTACCGGTCAACTGAGGTGTCCCAGTCGAGTTGAGCGTTATCGTCGAGGTCGTCGCTGCGGCTCCGTGCGGATTCGCTTCCAGGGTCGTCGTCTCCCCTGCGCTAGCGGGTGAGAGCAGAAAGGCCGAAGTGTCGATCGTGGGCGAGACGTTCTCTAACAAGTGCCCCGAAGTCATGGATGGGAACGGCGAATAGGTCTGGTTCTGATGTGCGTACGACCATTCTAGTGGGTAATGATGCTGTTGCTGCTGAAATTGAAGCTGATGTTGTTCGTAAGGAGAATGAGGTGGGAGGAGCGAATTGGCCGACGACGTCGAGGCCGGGGTAGTAGTGCTGCTCTTGTTCAAGGTCGACCCTGAGCCGGCGAGGTGCATCAATCCCGAACGAGGTGTGCTCGTGAATCCCGACTTGTGGTGGGCACCCATGTACATTCCGGTCGAGGGCAATGACGAGGAGAGAGTGACAGAGTGGCCCGGAGGTGCCCTCGATTGACCTTGACCATGATGCATCGAATCTATCGACCCGTGCCCCATCTGGTCGAGATGAGGGTCAGGCAGTTGAACGCTCATCGACAAGGTCGGTGTCGAAAAGGTCGGCTGGCGAGAGTAGACATGTTTCGGCTACGGTACGATGATGGGATTTGATGATGATGAGATGATGGCAGACGTTTGATCAGATTCGTCGTCGACGTCGGCAAGCGATCAGATCAAGGAAGGGCGAGCGCGTAGATCGACCGTTCATGGACCGAGAGCGATAGAGAGACGAGCAGTCGAAAAAGAATGGACCGACGAGTAAAGGTCGGATGCAGTAGGATAGGAACGAGGTTGTTTTGCGGCAGTTGTCGTATGCAGAGTACGGTGGACGGTACGGTGTTTAGCAGTGGAGGAGGACGTGGGGGAAGCGTGGTAGGAGGCGGATATGTGCTCGTGTCAGCGAGATCTGCGTGGTACGTGGTGTTCGCTTGGACGTTTGGACCTGACCGACCGGGTAATGGGAATGCCCCGTGAAACAGAGCGACTCACCTCGTGGACTCCTGACCTGTCACCAACAACAACGACATCTTCCTCAGTCTTGCGCTGCTCGGGGTACTGGTGGTGCGATGATCCACCAGGTCGACGACTGTGTTGATGAGCCATAGTCGTCCCCAGGTTGAAGCACGACGCTTCGGGCGGGCGAGTTTCGGGCAAAGCCACACCTCAGATGCGACTATACGTATGCTGTGTCCTGGCTCAATTGTCAACCATCGTTACGATTTCGAGAGGTGTCACAGAAGAGTTCATATAGTGTACTTTTGCATCTTAGTAGCGCCCTGTTTGTTTATCTTCATATTCTGCACTGGAGGGTCTTAGCGACTAGCGGACCGGCATCATCGTGCTTTGCATGACACAAACGATCGACCACGAAAAGAACGGTAGAAAGTTTGGGGAGAAGGAGAAAAAAGGACCGCGGGTCTAGCGGGTCTCGGCTGAGCTCTGCGGTTCTTACGTATCCCGCACCCTGTCCGCTGTGAACGTTACGTTCCCTGATCGAATTCCTGTCCGATATCGGTGGAGTCCACATCGCGCCCCAATAAATCGAACGAAACCCCATGTCCCAGTTCAAAACGAGCTCGGTTCTGCAAGCTCGCTCCGTACGACGCTCGGCCCGGCTCTCACAAAGTCGAAGCGCTCGGTCTGTGTCGTTCCTGCGCTCCTTGCCCGCCTCGGGTCTGGTTCAGGGGCGAAACACGACCAAATCAGAAACGCCACATGGAAGAGGGTAAAAATTCGACCGAGGTGCCGGCGGAAAGAGCGCAGAGGAGTTGTCACAGCTCGGTGACCTTCGGCCTCGCGAAAACGAGGTCTGATGATCCGGGGGCTGATCAACTGGTCCCGCTGAGAACAAGAAAAAAAGGTTTGTACCGTTCATTTCGGGCATCGTGGTGGGGCTGTCGATGACGGCGCGACGAGCACCGCGGCGGTTGGAAGGGTTTCGACGGGTTCAAACTCAAAGCTCGATTCGCACTTGTCCGTCGGGGACGCATCGGAGTTGGTTGACGAGCGAGCACAGCGGCGAATCGATGGGCAGAGTGGTAAGTGTTCACGACGGAGGAGCCATGTTGCAGCTGATCATCGGAGAAACACTAGTCCCGTTCATCATGTCGCGCTCGATAATTGCAACGGAGTCGCATCGTTCGGGTCCCGGATCATATAATCCGCTCGTGCCCAGTCAACACCACCGTATCTCCCACCACCAATATTCTACTTCGTCGCTCCTCCCGCTCCCACGCATTCGCTGCAGCTCGCGCCTCTGCGTTGTCGCCAAGACCCAACTGCCAGACCGACCGCTCCCCATGTCCTCGGCGAGGATCTCTTCCATGTCAACCGCGAGGCCAAAGGGATCAACTTGGTGATCGAGCGGTTCAGTCGGCCCACTGTCAGAGGCGGGTTCCAGTGATGTTTCTGATTTGGATTCGGTTCCGGATTGTCGGCTCGTCTGCGGACTATATGTCGTCGTCGTCGTCGTCGTCGTCGTCTTCGTCGCCGTTCCTCCTGTCATAGCTGATGATATGGGTGCAGAACTACGAGGGGTAGCCCGACCCGACGAATTGTTGGTGGAAGGCACATGTTGTCTCGTATGCATGTCGTTGTTGGGTGTGCTCCGTCCGCTCGAAGACGTCGTGTTGGTATGAAGCCTGCTTAGACGTGCAGATAGTGTTGACAACAGACCGTTTGATCCGGCTACGATTTCGTTGGAGGGGTTCTTCCGCAGCGCTTCATGTCGCGCTCTTCTCTCGGCACGAGAAGGCAGCAGGTGCGAAGCTGGGAACGCCCGCACGATAGATTCCGTCTCTGCGGCATATGTCGGTCTGATGGGGCTCAACAGGTGCTACGTCGAGGTATGCCAATGCCAGGCAAGGCAGACTGATTAGTCTCGATTCGAACGAAGAACAAGTCAAATATGATAGCTTACCAGAACTCCTCCTTCTCTCACTATCTCGTCCCGCTCATTCAACTCGGGGAGCCGCAAACACCATTTCACCACATCCCGGATCATCCCCGCATGTCGTGTATCATACACGCAATCAGCAGCGATGATAAGATCCCAAGGAGAATTCAGCGTGTCCCTCATCTGTTCCGTCAACAAGGAATCCGTGTGAGAGATGGACTCGGGCAAGGTCCAGTCTCCCGGTCCATTTGCTGGCGTATTCGTAGAGGTCGTCTGAGTCGAACCAGACCATTCGTCCACGATCCCAGGGAAGGTGCTCCAATCCAGCAACATGGACTCGAGGCCTGGAACTCCCGTACCACCAACAGCATTGCCTCTCTTGTGCTGCACTTCCGCCGAACCAGATCCAGCGCTCAAGATCGACCTGGACCTCGACCGGCGTTTCGACCCCTTCTTTGTGTGCCCATCCGGGTGCTCCCTAGCTTCCCCGTCGTTGGGAAAGTTCAATCGAATACACTTGCTCAGATTCTCGAGGACCAAAGGATGATAATCCGTGGCCAGTACCTTGCCTCGCCCCTTCATCCCGATATGATCCAATATCCGGCGTGTTAGGATGGACATGACCCCCGTTCCCGCTCCTAATTCCAGGATCCTAGGATCTCTTGTCACACCCTCTGGCGGTGTCGACGAAGAGGGAAGATCGGACGGCATGAGGTACTTCCAAGGGTCAAGCGCATAGATCCTCCCTAGAAGAATCGCGGATCCCCATGTCTGAACGCCTACAGAGGTATGATCGGAAAGAGGTGCATCATAGATCTTGAGGACAATCTCGGAAGCGGCTGTTGAAGGGTCCGTGTCTGCTTGAGTATTTTTGCGCTCGTGATAAGATGCGTCTTCTACGTGTTTGGACCGAGAGAGATTGAGGGGAAAGACCAGATCCCGGGTGATACCGCCTCCCGCTAAATTGCTCGATGTTTAGCTTGACCGTGCTCACCCAACGTAACGCGACTCCAAGGCGTGTCTCGACTCACCCGCACATCCAGCCAGGCTGCTTATCAGCGCACTTGCGTCCATTAACACCTTTTCCCTCGCTGTATAAGCTGCCCATTCCGCCTCGGTTGACTCATCCATCTCAGCTGTCCGTCCCTGCTCCAGCTCGAGTTCATCATCGTCTTGATCCTCTTCGGGTTCCACTTCAGCTAACCATCCTTCTCCACGGGTAATTAGGCCGTGAAGCCATTTCTCTGCCCAGTCTCTTTCGAATTCGTCCAGAACGACATGACCTGCCTCGCTGTCACGAGGAGTCGTCGAGCTTTGGCTAGCCGCCGAGATATGCGAAGCGCTCGACTCGACGCTTCGGCTCAAAGGTGAAGTCACAGGCGACTGTGCTCCGTCCTGTGCTGCTGCCTTGGAGCTGGACCCGGCCTTAGTGTTCGACGCGGCGATGTCGACGCCATATATCGAGGGAACAAGGAGGGTACGGAGATGAGCGACATGTGAGGTGATGATGTCTGGCGTGAGCGGGGAGAGGGTGTTGAGCGACTGGCGAGGAAGAGGAGGTAAGAAGATTGTCGGCAGATCGTGAGGGTACGTCATGATTGCGGCTGGTCTGACCTGCTCCATCTTGATCGACGTTGCTCCATATCGCAATACTGCTAGGGACAATGTACAATCGAAGATGTCATTCAGACCTGTCGTTCTAGCTCGATCATCCATGCAACTGGGCAAAAATCAGCTTCCGGAAGGAGTCGCTTGCGGATGTAATTACCGGGATGACCGACCTTGTCTTTGTCACGTGATCGACTAACCACCTTGCGTTTCACTCCATCACATCTGATACGTATCACGCAGCGGTCAACAACCGACCAGGTGGAAACTCGTCGTTCAGAGACAGAATGATCCTAGATGTATGGATACATGAAGATGTGCTGTGCTACACAATCCTAGCCAGGAACCCAGGTCGATCGGGTTTCAACCTCGACATGTCTTGAGTCGATTACAGTGGTGCGAAGATGTATGTCAGGTAATGTCTAGCTCGAATGGGCAAAGACACATCGTTCCGATCTCACCTGGCGTTTCGAACAGTCGAGGAGGATCCCGTACACATATAGGCATATGCATGTTTGGATCACCGGCCCCTGAGCCTTAGGGCGTTATCGGGCTCATTGCTTGGGCATGCTGCCCGACTATGTGTCCAACAGAGATGATCGGTCAAGCCCTGATGCACATAATTTTGTCGGGTGACCGGCATCTTAACCTCAGAATTGGGCGTAGACAGGGAGGCTAACGAGTGGATTACCATCCTGGAGATATTGTACACTCTCTGCAGATCCCTCACGGACCGCTTACGGCTGCATTGGCCTTGGGGTGTTAACGTTTGGTTTGTGCCGCTTTGACCCTGGTAACATCCATAGTCAGGCTCTGACCGTCATTCATACGCTTCCTGAAGCATCAGAAGGACGGAAGCCTAATGCCAACTAGGTCGAACATGTACAAGTTGAATGATGTCCCTCCTCAATCCTGTTCTTGTTCAAATGCGTCATAAAGAACTATTGTAGCGGGTTTGAACTCAGGAAGAATAGACAGGACGAGGACGGAGATGAATTAAATGAGACAGTTGCATCCGGGGCTCGAGTAGGTAGGCGGGACGCACCTATTTTCAAGATCGATCAGGGGAAACCGTCAATCACATCGGTCGACCGATTACCTCAATCGCAATCATGATCAAGGCAAGCTTGCATGATCTAACTTCCTACCGCTGGTATCGACACTGCCGCCGCTACTATTGTTTGGAACGCCTCTGCCAATATCCTAGACTACCACAATTATGCAACGTGTTTGTGGCATTAGTCGCCTGAAGTACAGATCTTGATGAGTCAAGAAGACCATCATCACAGAAACGAGCAGAATGTAAGCCGCACAGCAGATGGTCGCATTTCTAAAATGATTTCGGAGACTGGCAGCGTGGAACGAGCTGTTCGGTTTGGAAAACACACATCATCTTTATCTTGCGTCCCGGATGATGCTGTCGAGACTACCCCAATACCTGGTCTGCCCGTTGGTTAAGAGCGTTAGGCGCTTGCGGCCACAGTCCATGACGTGGAGATGGCTGGCTTTATGTTGAAACAACCGCTGTTGGCTTTGGTTCATGTCCGAGGGATCACGCAGCCAGCCGTGACAAACTGGTTCACCGTTGCGGCGCAAATCGGTTCTGATAGATCGCTGAGAGCAGCCTTTCAAGCGGGCAATATCATACAGCGACAGCATTGCGAGATAACAGTCAACTTGTAAATTACGTATCCTGGATGTTGTCCCTAAAAACAGGAATACTCCTCAAGAGTCGCTTAGATCACCAATCGCTGGCGTGGGTTCGGTCGCTTGCGGCAGAGCTGATATGTCGCGGGGTATCGTCACCGAGCCTAGAGAGAGCGGACAACGGCAACACAGCCTCGTCGTGCACTTCCCGTTTGAGGTATACTTGGTCGCCCTGCGAATGTTGGTATAAGGTGAGCGATTGACCACAAAGAAGCTATGCAAACGACACGACTAACCTCCAGAGGGGTGGTCGAGGATATGTGAGAGGAGTTGAAGTGCTTGGTCAGGCATGCAAGAGCCGTGTCAAAGTCGATATGCCTGTGCATATGGATCATCAGCTATGAGCGTGTCATTTGACTTGAACGATCCGACCTACGAAGTGAGCTTGTACCGCGGCTGGACCGACAGAGTATGACGAGCTGATGGAAGGCGAGATTAGTCCTGGGTGACGGTCTTCAATCGCGGGGTCGGACTTACCATCGACAGACGAGTCAAAGACTGCGTCAGAGTGAGCTCCCTCGGAAGCCGCCAATCTGGAATCAGGACTCTTCAGATGGATCCTCGGGGCTACCGCGCGTTTGGGCCCACTAACCTTATAGTAAACACTTTGTTCCCTGAACCCGTGACTCGCTCGTACAGCTCGACTATTCTGAAGATGGTCAGCAGCTATCCAGCATTGCACGATGCATAAGGGTGCCAACTCACGCGTAAGATGACTTGCATAATCTAGATGGGGCAGCGATACGGGCAAGAGCGGCAGACCGGAGGTTAAGAGCAAGTGCATAAAGGTCTGGATATGCGACTCCCTGGAGAGTCAGATCAAACGCACGTCAGTGAATAGTCGAGAAAGATGCGGATGATGCAACTCACTTGGTGAAGAAGAACTGGGCAGTCGAGCTACTCGTCTCCTTGGCTTCGATGAGGATGTTAACGATTTTTCGCAATAGCGGAAGCGAAGTCAAGACACCAATTTCCTCCTTGTCTGCCATGTCGATTCCATATTCCTGGGGCGCCACCAGATCGAAAAGAGCCTTTGCTCGCGCGTAAAGCTCATGAAGCCCTGTGTACATATACACCTACTTCAGTAGACGCATAAGCTGATTCAAAGGGAATCGACTCACTCCTGTCAGGGTTCGTTTGACCGTCCTTGGTTCGAACGCCTTCTGGGTTGAAGATGGAAAACAAGAATTGCCGGTTGCTGTGATATTACGTCAGTCACTTGCTTCTCATGCGCGAGTTGCTTGTTATGACTAACTGAATTCCGTCGTGCTTGAGCGAGTCGTACAATTCGGAAATCTGTAGAGGACTCAAGTGGTGAGTCATCCCGGTATACCGACCGACCTGTATGTTCCAGACTTACCCTAGCTGGGTCAAACTTCTCAATCTTCTTCTCGTCAAAGTCGTCGAACAGCTTCTGCCAACGCTCATAAACGATCCGAGCGTCGTCCCCCGAGCACCATCGCTGTGGTAACATCTTGTCAACAGCGCCGGATTCAAAGTTGCGTCGCATGATTTCCCGCAGTTCCGACATTTGCTGAACGGTTTCCTGTAAAGGTATCGGCTATCAGCTTCTATCGCCGTGTGTTTCATTCCGAAATCCCACATACTTTGACAACTTCGAACGGCTCCTTCTTCAAGGATTTGGGCCAAGCTAGTTCGGGCCGCTTCTCGGACTCGCCGGGCCGAAGCAGGACCTACGATGCGATGCGGATCAGTGTAATCCGCCGAATATTCAAGAAGGTATATCTACCTTGAGCTTCTTCTTGGCTTGATCCGTGAGCTCCTTCGCCGCGTTATTGTCATCAAGCAGGTCTCGACGCTGGATCAAGTGCTCGATCAAGGGTGTATTGTCCTCCCCGTCTGGCTTGCGCAAACCACCCGTCATGTTTGATGACGAAGACTGTTCCCGGCCAAGCAACGCTCGTGCGAAAATTTCTGCAGTGTTTACAACACGTCTTTCCGAAGACGTGTAGATTTGAACGTTGTTCAAGACGTCCTTGTCTGCGAAGCCACGCTGGTTAGCATACACGAGCATACGCTCTCGGATGATTGTCTTTGATTCTGCGCACTCATAATCATCAGATCCTAGATTCGGTAGATCCATTAGCAATAGTTTGACTGAGAAGTCTTTAACAGTCGAACTCACCTTCTTGAAGGTATCACCGAGATCCCTCGCTTGGTAACGCGCTGCGTGAGTGCTTTCTCCTCCCCACTTGACAACCAACTGGAGCTTCTCCAAGCCCTCCGGAATCGCCTCCTCGTCGTCCATCTCCTCTGGCGTAACCGCAGACATCGATTCGTGCTTGTTGCTGAGCGCCTCCTGAGGCTTGGGCAAGGCGGGGTCGTTGGGTGCAAGGACAGGAGAAGCAACAGCGGAAGCTGACTCGAGCTCGGGGTAAGGCGACGTAAGCCCACTTCGATGCTTGTCCTTGGCGGAGGCCGACGACTTGCTCGGACTTCCGGGAGCAAGTAAGGGCTGTGCATGTCCCGGAGTAGGCGTAGTCATAGATCCTGACTCTTCGATCCACTCCTTGACCCGCTCGCGAGTTTCACTATCGGTAACCTCGCCGTCCTCTTCGGTTCCCTTCTTGTCCTTGTCCTTCTTCTTATCCTTGTCCTTTTTCTTGAAGAACGCCGGCTTGAGCTGGGCCTTGGTTCCAGGCAGACTCATTTTCTTGACGAGCATGTCCTTGAGCTGCTCAAGCTTGTTCACAGCTTCCGGAGCGCATTCCAGCTTGAGCGCCTCCTCAACGGCTGAAACGATAAAGTGCAGTTGACCCGGTCCACGCAAGATGATTTCTTCTCGGTATCCCCGCAACAGACGCAAAAACGGCTTTGTCCAGGCCTGGTTAGCTGGGAAAGAGAACTTGAGCTTCATCTTGGGCGTTCGGTCGGCGTGTCGGAACACTGAACAGCGATGATGTCAGCTTTCGCCCGGGTTTTGTAGGGGTCGCCAGCGCTCGTCTTACCAGTGACAGTAGCTCTGAGGGTACTGGAACTCAAAACTGGCATTTCGCTCTTGGTCTTGTTGACGGAAGCGCCGCCGGGAGCTGCGACAATGTCGGCAAACTTGCGTTTCTTCTCACGAGCGGTCTGACAGACGCTAGACAGGATTTCCGCAGCCTTATCTGTAGAGTTCAATTCCATCAGCGAGCGAGCAAGCATGGACAAGTCCAATTGTTCGCAATTACCGTAATAAGACTATGTACGCGAACGGATCGATCAGCGTTAAACGTACGGCAAGAGCCCGTGTGCATGTTAGCTCACCTGATTTCCCTTGACAAAGCTCCAACCGTTGACATCGATGATCAAACTTCTCCTACCACCATCCTCGTGGGTACACCTGAGCAGATCGAAACCGCACACCCTCTGACCGAAAGCCTCGACGATATCCTTGGCCCAGCCCTTTTCCTCGTCGTCGAGTTGAGTGATGAACCTCGTCTCTTTCCCATCTGCGTTTCGTCTAACGAGACCATCCACGACAGGCGATTTCCTAGTCTCGGCATGAGAAAAGGTGGGACCAACGGTATAGATCTTGATATCCTCGGCATTGTCGACGTTGATGAACTCTTCGTAGATGAACGAACCGGTAGTTCGAGGGTGAACGAGGTTGGGATCGAATTCCGAAGACTTGTTTCCGACCTGTCGAGCGATGTCTGTGGTCAGCCACATCTTCTCTTCCATACGAAGTCTGCCGGTGAGCACTGCTGACCTTGCGGAAAAGACGTCTTCCTCCACCCCCTCGAAAGTAGATATACACGTTGTGATCTTCTCCATCAACGGGCTTTTCGACGAAAGGCTTCTCGATGACTTGACCATCGACAATAATGGCATCTCCATCTTCACGCAAGATGACCTCTTTGCCTCGAGGGACCTTGCCGTACTTTTTGTCCCCGTTACTGTTCCTAGCTCTGCTTTGCACCCAACGTTCGGGAATATTAGGAGGACCCCAGGCGTCTTCACCCTCTCCGAGAGGCCCCGGGAGGACAAGTCCGAGATCCCTCCTCACCCGCTCTCGAAGTCTTCCATTGACACGAGGTCCTCCGTCTCTGGTAACCTCGGCTCGGGCGGGAGTGGGTACGCCGATGTGATCAAGGATAGCGAGGACAAGTCGACGATCCCAGAGCAAGGCTTGCATGGCGAGCGAGTTGATACTGATAGGAGGAGGACGGGTCGGATTGGGGAGCTGCGTATAGGCAATGGCCTTGGGAAGGGGAAAGTCGGTCGAAAAGAACGAGATGAGGACGTCGACGGGAGGCCAGTGGGTGATGTCTTCGAGTGACGAAATGGGACCGTTAACACATATCCCGGAAATCCGAACTCGACAACCTCGATGTACCTTCTTCAAGAATAACCATGTCACCGAACAGCTTGACGACTACTCCACCCTTTTCTATCTGGACGAGTCTCGTCAAGATCTCACGCATGGCCTTGCTCCTGGCCTTGATATCCATCGCACAGATCCCCAAGACGACCGGTTCTTCATCCAATCGAGGTTCCTTCTTGTCCTTTCCAAAGTCTGAGGGTGCCAAGAAGGATTTACCTACGCTCTCCGACTCTGTCTTTTTCGAGGTAGGGTTGAACGGGGAGATGGCTCGACCTAAAGGAGCTCCCGCTTGAGGAGGATAAGGGATCGCAAATGGCCTGTACTGATTGGGATCGCTAGGAGACGGAGCGCCGTTCCCACCTCCGACCGAGTTTGGCGGCGAGGTCATCCCAGGTGAAGTCGTCCCGAGAGCTCCGATCCTGGTAGGTACAGCGATATTGATAGCTGTTCCCGAGGGAGTTCTAGATAAAGCCGGAGACCGTGCGGTCGAGCGGGATGGAGAAGGGACACTGTCCCTCCACGAACCGGACATGTTTCGGGATTCAGGCAATTATGAGGAAGATTATCTAGGGCCTAGTGTATCAAATCGGGTCCTTGGGCAGATACATGATGGTTTGCTTTTCGTTTGGTAAGTTGGAAGCTGCAAACCGCAACTTGCTGAGATGAGCGAAAGGGAATATGACGCGATGCAGGTCAGGCACAATATATGGGTATATCAAAATCTTGGGCTTCAAAATTTAGATTGGGCGTGTCCCGTAGTGGTCTATCGGGTCGGCCTTAAGTTCTTGTTAAATGAAATCCGATGTTTTTAACTCGCCGGTTCAAATCCGGCCGCGCCCACGGCTTTTTGCTCTTTTTGCGCGGGGTCGACTGTCTTCAACTCGACGAGATCCATCCTATGAGTACGGACGACGGATAGGCGCATCGCAAGCAAATCAGAGGTGATCCGGAAGCGGATTTGGAACGAAAGAGCATCGCACAAACTTCGACTCGATCTCAGTATCGCGCATATCGTCGTCTGTCTTTGGTCCCAGACCTCGCTCTTTTTTGCTTCATCACATGATCCCACAGGAGACTTGGACGTTGTAAAGGAACATCATGGCGTCAATAAAGCTCTTCCAGCCGGACTCGACCCTGTCGTACCCACAGTTCAACACCTATCGCCTATCGGACCTGCCTCCAACCGCTTCCTTGTGTACACATGAACTTCCCTCTCGAAATGTAGCGACAGCGTCTCGGATCCCTGCAAGTCGCCAGCTAGCGTTCAAGGAGATTCAATCGAGGGTCGGGTGGGACCATGCGGCGGGAGGATTTTCGCCGAACGAGATATGCTATATTGACGAGGCCTATAATATCGTCACGGTGTCAATCGGAGTGAGTTGATCGATATGATACAAGCCGAACAAGTCGCTCATATCTAGCATTTATATATCCACCTTTCAGTCCGATCTCTCTCCGTCTTACCGTACTGTGGTTTCTTTGCCGATACCACTTCAAACGGCCTCGAGCTCTGCCCAGGATGCCACACCAGAGTATCCCTCGGTGATCGCCGTTCCCTACACTACCCAGACGCACACGTCATACTACATCGCTTCAGCGGGAACGGGATCGCTATCAGTAATCAAGGAAACCGAGTCCAAGACGGTCTCCGTCGCAGAGTATGATCTGTCAGCAGATGAAGCCCAACCGTTCTTAATCAGGGCTGTGGGTGCGGTTCAGGACGATCGAGCAGAGGTGGTCCTCTCCCGGGCTATCAGAATACCGCAGGACGAGCCATCCGGGAGCAAGAGAGCTGCTCTCAAGCACAACATTTCCTATGAGCTCGTCTGCGTAGTCATTCCACTTTCAGAAGGTTCGGCTACGACGGCAAGCCGAGAATTGTCGGTCCTCTGGAGGCTATCGGGAGAGGAATTCCCGACCTATGTCGAGCGGGTCGGGGGCCGTTGGATCTTCGGAGCTAGCAAGACCTTTGTGATGCATGGATCCACGAAAGACGACTCTACCGGAGGTGACGTTGGGCGGGATAATTTGACCTCAGACCAGTCTGGAGCAGCGATGCCAATGGACGAAACCGATTACCCTTACTCTTGGTCGCAAACCAAGACCTCGATCAACCTAACGATCGAGAAGCTACCCACGGATATCCTTCCATCGCGAGACATCGTCTGCCTTCTCCGTCCAAATACCCTCACCCTCCAGATTCATGCCCGTGAGAACGCTTCCCTGAAACCCTCGCTTCGGCAGCTCTTGCGGAACGGGGGAAAAGATGGTGTTCACGATTGGTGGGATACGATTCAGGGCCAGGAATCTACCTGGACGTGGGAAAAGGAAGTCGACCCTGCTACAGGCATGACTCTCGGCAAGCTCGAGCTTAGCTTGGAAAAGGCCAACGAGGGAGTCAAGTGGCCCCAGCTATTCGCCCCCCGTCAGGAAAATGACGAGGACGACCAAGGCTTATTACCGGTCCGAAAAGCACGTCCGGCGGGAGGTGACGAGGACCAATGGACGTATCAGGAGATCGAGGTGCCGGAAACGATGAGCGAGGAAGACCGAGCCTATGTCAAGGCGAGTCTCGAAGGGTTCCACCAGACACCCACCGCGCCGCCAAAGAACAAGTACGCCGGTTTGGGCCACCAAGATCTGGCGAGCTTCGCTCAGTCCAAGCCTGTGGCAGCGGGTCATGGCGAAGCAGCGGATCGTGCCAGTGCCATCCTTCCCGGTCTGCTTCGCGAAGAGATCGAGGAAGAAGACGACGATGGGTTCGACGACGACGATCATATGGACGGCGGCGAGTTCGCAAGCCTGGGTGGCGCAGGTAGCAGCAAGGCTGGCAAGGAATCGGTCTTTACGTACCTCGAGGACGATGCCGATCGAACCGGCTATACGGTCAAGACGTTCAGCAAGACCGCTTCGGTATCCGTCCTGTCAAGGCCTATGAAAGGGCGACTTGACCAACCCGATCAGAGTCTGTTAATCAAGGCCCATGTGGACGGGAACCTATATGTCCCGCCGCAAGATCTGTCAGAAGCGTCATGGAAACATATCGCCACAAACCCCGCCATATCGTTCGTCCTGGCTTCGAAGCGGGACGCACAATTCGTTTACCATCAGACCGAAGCCGATGGCGCGGTCGTCTTCATCTTTGAATCGAGACAAGCCCACGGCCTGGGAGGGAACATGTACGTCTACTGGCCGCCTGTCAAGGACACTTCGTTGGCCCCGGGGGGCAAAAGTCGGGCTACCGAGGCTAAACAGACGGTCATCAAGTTTGGCGAGGGTTTTGAGACGGGTCAATTGTTGGGCGTCAAGACTGTATCCTTGGATAACGGTACTCGGGCGGTCGTAGGACTTGCTGAGAAGGCGATTATCGTGTTCTCTTTGCAACTGCTCACGCCATGATTTTCCGACATCTATGGAGCCATATTATGAACGTGAAGCTTGCGATTCGTGGTGTGACTCTGTGGACCTGCCGTACATGATGCTTGATGGGACTGTGGCCGCTTGATTGTCATGCGTATATGGAGAATCGCGACGGTCGTTCAGAACGTGTTCACTGTCGCTTTGGCACGAGTCGAGAACATCACGTTTTAACAAGGATGATCTCACCCAGCCGTGATGGATTTCAAGACAAATGTAAGACAGAGCGAGTAGATTATTGAATTCAATGACGTGATATCCCGTATCGCACGCGTCGCTCAAACAACTATGTCATTGATCCGGTCGGGTTGCGCATCTAGATCTATGGCCACTATCGCGCAACGATACGACCGGACAGAGGTGAGTGACTGATCACCATGGTAGGCGAAGGCACGATGACTCGAGTGGCGAGAGGAGCAGATCGAGGGAACACAACAAGATGCGAGATCAAAAGGGACGAAGGATTAGAAGACTCCAACGAGGCAAAGCCCAAAAACAACGAGTTGAAAGATAAAAACATCATTGTATCGTCAATCTAAACAAGGTCATCCCCGTCCCAAAAGGCGGTCGAGAGTAGAAGAAAGTGACAACAGTAGCGATCTCTCTAGGCGTGACCGGCGTAAGCAGAACCAGAGCCCGACATTCCACCCCTTCCACCGTTTCCACCCCCGAGGTTGAGCAAGTCGGCGTTGATGAGTCCCTCTTGGTGAGTGACAGCGTTACCACCCTGGGCGCTGCCGCTCGCGCCACTGTCGAAGGCGGACAAGCAGAGCGAGATGAGCGTCGGTGACTCGTGGAAAGCGAGAGAAAAAGTAATGACTTACGTGTAAGCGTTGCCACCAGTGCCAGCCATAGGAGCAGAAGCGGGAGCCGGAGCCGGAGCGGCGTTGTTTTGCTGAGGAGCAGGAGCGGCGTGGTCCTGTTGGGGAGCGGGAGCCGCATTGTTCTGCTGGGGAGCGGGGGCGGGAGCGGGTTGCTGCATGGCGGCACCACCGTTGCCTAGAGTTGCAAGATTTATGATCGAGATCAGCGCCAGTCAAAGCGATCGAGCGAAAGGACCGAAGCGAGCTTACCTCCGTGAGCGTTGCCAGTAGTAGATTGTCCACCTCGTCCGCCGTTTCCGCCCATGTTGGCAGCCTTGAGGTTGAGCAAGCTACCGCCGAGCAAGCCTCCGTTGCCTCCGAGCAGGCCTCCGTTGTTGGCTCCGTTCCTGTTACCCTGGCCCATTCCTTGGTAAGTGATGGCATCCCCTCCATCGGTGTTACCGGAAGCGCCAGTGTAAGCGTTACCGCCCATCTGACGTTGTCGGAGCGAGTGTTCCTGCGGTGAGAGACGTCGAAGGTCAGCGGTGATCGAAGACAACGACGATGACGAATGACGATGATGAATGATGATGATGGAGCATGTTGATCAAGGCGAGGAAGGTCGAGGTAAAGGTAGACTTACGAGGTCAACGTCGTTCTGCTTGAGGTGGAAGTCGCCACCAGTGAGGCCCTTGATCGCGATGTCCCTTTCGTTGACGGTGGGAGCGGCGGTGACCGAAGTCATGGCGACGGCCAAGAGGATAGAGGTGATGATCTGCTTGGCGAACATTGTGTTTGTGTTTAACGAGTGTGGTTGGTTGTGGTTGTGAAGGAGTGTAGTGAAGGTATCGAAGGTGAAGATCGATGAAGGAGTAGTGATGATTAGGTTGCTTGTGAGAAAAGAGAGTAGAGTGAAGGTGGCGAGGGGGGATGAACCGACCAGACGGTCAGGGTTATATATGTTTCCAGGAGACGCTCGAGCCCGGAATGTGGTGAAGTTTGTATCCGCATTTACTTCCGATTTGCTTCCGGAAAAGCCATCAAACCTTATAAGACCAATAGGTACAAAATTTTCGAAAACTGGCGGCCAAGACAGCAGCGCAAGCGAAGCCACGACGCCTCTGAGCGCCACCATACGTAATAATCCTCCTGCCCTCATGGAGCGTTTCCGCAGAGTCTACGGACAACGTGAGCCTAACGGCAGTATTGCGTAAGCAGGCGACTTGCAGCAGCAAAGCGATGGAGAGGAGGCGGTGAAGGAGCAATAACCTTGATATCCAAGACCAGCATAATGGCATCTGTCCGCACAACCCGAAAACAGCCAAGGGTATCTATAGATGGAGGGCGAGATAGCGACTACATAAAACAAGTTCATACGGTGTGGACAGCGCTCAACCGTTATACAAATTCCTTCGGCTCCATTCTTCGGTCGTAAGGCCCTGACTGGCAGCTGCGCTAGGCAGATCAGCACCGTCGTCCATGTCGATCTCTCTATCTCGTCCTCGGTCGAACAGTAAGTACCCATCTGCACCATCCGCCTCTTGCACTTCGGACAACTGCGCACCGCGTCGACTGGCGTTCTCATCGGTCCCGCCTCGACCAAGCGGTGGCAGATTCAGATAGTATAGTGACCCACGCATAGTCCGGCCTGCATTCAGAACTGAATTCAAAGCGCGCGACATTCGAAGCATGTAGTATGCTGGTTTGCGGGGGTTCGAAGCCTCGGGATCGACAGGCTCGTTGGCGAGCTCGGTGGTGGGATCCTCCGTGGTGTTTTGCGAAGACCTCAAGCCATTCTCTGCACAAGAGGCGTATTATCAGTACCTCGCTCTGCCGGACGTCGCATCGCGCAGGTGTGCTCACCGAATCGTTTCACCCGCCAATAACCACCAATGCTTGTGAGGAAGATGAACCATCCCACCGCCATGAGCATAAAGCTCAAGTACTCGTTGGCCTGCCCGACCTGTCTGGCAGTGGGTTCTTGCAAGATCTCGGCCATCGTCATGTTCAAAGCGGCGTTGTCGAGTTCCCAAGCCTTTGCTTCCTCGGGAGACTTGAAAGAAGGGATCTCGACGGTTCCGTCTGACGACCAGTGGGCTGGTGTGCGGTAACCCGGCCTCCAGTATTGCCGGAGAGTGTCGACGTTTTCGAAAGGGTCAAAGTTGGGGTCGGTATCGTCCGAGTCGTCATGTGGGAATTTCCCGGTAGAGATCATCTCCTCGGCACGGCCACGCAGGTATAACCCGTACTGAATGAGAGTGATGCCAAGACCCGCGCGTGATCCGTGTTTGGCTGCGTGGCTCGTATGTAGGACGTAGGTAAGAAGGAAACCTGAAAAAGCACGAGCAAGCGATCAGCTCTGGGTCGCGAGAGCCGTCTCGATAGCAGACTTACCGACAAACTGGAATGACAAGCTAACAAGCACTGATATCCAGACGCAATCATCAGCTCATGTCATTAGGCCCACATGACAAAGGGTACTTACTGTTCCAAGCAAAAATGAAAAAGTTCCCGACAGGCATGCCATCGATGAGGATCTCGTCTCCGGTGATCGAAGACGTCATCGTACCTAGCAGAATTGCGACACTCGTCAGTAAGGCAACACGCGGATTGGATAGGCCGACCCTTCACTCACCGAAAGGTCCTGATGAATTGGGCAGTACGACAGTGGTCTCCCAGTAAGGAGGCACAGCATCTCGCAATGCAGCATCGTACGTCGGCGGAACGTCTGTGCCTTCCATTTCTGGTACCCATTCGGGACCTTCAGCTTCGCCCGCTCTCGGCGCAGCCCTTGGCAACTCTGGCCTAGCCGACAAGTTGGCAAACACTCCCGTATGACCGCCGCCCAAAGCGGGAGCCTGAGCGTTCCTCGTCCGAGGATGGAAGAATGACGGTAGCAACGCCCCGATGAGCTCGAGCCGGGTAGAGCGATGCGAAGGGTGGCCTCGAGGGTAATCCGGTGCTGTTGTAGGGACGATCCCGTTCGAGTTTTGGGGCGCAGGGTTCATCGTCCAGTAAGGGAAGAAAGGAGGGGGTGAAGCTGGTCTAGCAGGAGGAGCTGAAGTGATAAACTGTGAAGATACTCGTTAGCGAGATTTACTAGATCGGCGCATCATTAGAATTCACTCACAGGGTCCCTGTCGAAATCGTAACTGCCTGGCATCCTGTCGGTCGTTACGATCGGTGCTGGTTGCGGACGTTCTACATTCCGCTCGTCCCTCAAAGGGTCATCATAACGATCGCCTCCGCCTTGCATATTCGATGGATTGCGTGGGGTTTGATCGTGATCTTCCTCGTCGCTATCATCTCCACCGAGCGTAAACTGCTGTTCCTGCTTCCCTCGACTAAGCAGACCCCTCTGATCCGCTCGCACATCATCTTCTTCATCCTCATCGTCACTCAATTCAAAGGCGGCGGCCATTTCCCTCGTATCCGGAAAGTTGCCATTTACTCTAGCACTGTTGTTGCCATTCATTTGCCGTCCTGTAAAGACTGATGACGTCCGCCGAGAGGGATTGAGATTGAAAGACGAGTTGCGAGTATGGGTTGGAGAACCCTCGACAGGAGCATATCTGGCCATGTCTTTCCAGACTATCTATCCCTATGTTGGATGGAGCCGCCGTTTGCAATTTAGGTCGTCAACTGAGGGTCGGCTGTGTCCTTTTATTACTAACTAGGCGGAAGTTATTGTCGAGTAGGATGTCGTAGACGTTCTGACTGAAGACGTCTGCACTATCGGACGAGACTGTATGCAATGATTTCTGCAACCTAATTGCAAGCCGTCTTGCCGATCCTTTGATGGAGATGCAAGGGTTTGACCACTTTCCGCAGTTACAAGTCAAAAGGAACAAAGGTGAGGGAGTGACGCGGCCGACCTAAAGAGGCGAACGGTCGGACGTGGAAGGTAGGCGAAACGTCGAGACTTGCGCTAAAGTTCGTCTAGGTTGAGTGAACTGCTAAAAGATACAGTCTGTTGTATACACTGTCCTGGGCCTCGAGATCTATAGATCTGTAGAGTCGCATGAACGAAAGTCGCTACATGGGCGATCTTGATTGCCAAGCGGACCGATCCGCTTCGGCCGGCGAGAGGGCGCGGGGACAAACTTGATAGAGGCCAGACCGTTCCAAGTCATTCTGGGTCATGAAAACGACATGTTTGTGGTAGAGGACAGGCGTAATACCTCATACCTCGTAACAGCGTGCGACCCTCTATGAATGCTATACATCCTTCAACAGCGATCTCGCAGGCCGATTACTCGACGACCTGAATGTCACCTTCCACCGGTTGCGCATGACTAATCCTTGCGTCGTTGCCCTCGCCAAAGATGGCAAAGTTGAGCCTGCAATCCCTCACCGCCTGCAATCCCTTTATTCCGATATCGTCGCTCGATACCATCTGCCTCACGTAGTTTGGCGTGCTGATAGCGTTGGTGGTCAATCTCATCATCCTGCCCGTCTTTCGATTCTTCCGAGGTCTCCCTTGAGCGGCGTCGATGGCATCCTCTTGCTCAAGCGTATCATCGATCGCGACCATGCTGGATATGGCTGGAATGTAAGTCGTGAAGAGGACTGGAGAGGGTAAGAGATAGGATTCGAGGGGGATGACAGGATCCAGGAAGGGGAGAGTTGCGAGTTGGTAGTCCTCTCTATAGAAGGACAAATAAGCAAATGAGATCCCGCCTCAAGAGTCGGAAGGCTGGTTTCACACTTACCGGTCCCTCGCCAAGCGCGAAATCAGATCCTCCGCCTCGATCTGCATGTCTCCGGGATTACCCGACATGACCCATATCGTCTGCGCCAGCTCGTCCGACCTCGAAAAGGCGGGCAGGATGGGGAGGTCCGGAGAGAGGAACGGTTTCTGTACCAGATGCATCCCTTCTTCATCGTCCGCAGAAGGTCTGTATCGATCGATCTCGATATTCTGTTTGGAAGATTCGAGGTCAGCCTGGTCGTATACGGCACCACCATCTCTCAGTACTCACGTCCAAAATCATACTGGGACTCATGCTAAGATACGCGTCCACCTTCGATCTTGCCTCCGTCTGCAATCTTGTCTCCTTCCAAGTCGGGCTTTTTGATGCGACGCCGGTCGAGTGCGCTTGTTGTGGTCCGGTACCGGCTCTTGCTTTTGACCGCAAAGCCGAGCACCTGGAGTCGAGCTGTAGTTGCATGATGCTCCTGCGCAGATCAATCCCCTTCACCTGACGCAGCGTGACGGGTGCCAACGGTTGCTGCAGGACAGTGTCGGTCGGGTGATTGTAAGCAGCCGCTTTCAGGAGATTGGACAGATAGGTCTCCGGCAGAGAGCCACCTTGTTCCATCCGATTGATCTCTGAGAGGTAGCTTTGAAGTAAGGGTGCGTCAGGTGGCGAAAACAGGAGCGTGCATTGTAGTGGCAGTTTCTCGAACGGTATCAGACCGAGATCTGCGGGTTCAAGTGGCACCGATCAGGATACACGATGAGGGAGCCTATGTCAGTCTGGCTTACCGTTACAAGTCATCACGACTGGTCTTTTCGAGCCCGCGATCAGCTCCACCACTTGCGGCCAAAACCCTTGATCCTCCTCGTAAAGAATGTCTACTTCCTCAAATAGTATCAAAGATTGTCTGATACTTCTCCCTTCAGCGCCGCCGTCACCCTTCCCATCAATAAATCCGAAATTCGCCGTCTCGGCGGGATTTATGCCGTTCTCGTCAACGACGGGATCATGGGTTGATGGCGTAATGAAGGGATTCGATTGTGTATCATCCGATTGACCTGCAGTGCTGACGGACAACGCAGATTTCGAAGAGGAGCTCGACGATTGTTTTCCGTTCGCTTTGGCAAAGGCCTGGAAGAGCGCGTTCCGCCTTGGTTCCTTAGCACTTTCAGCCGGCTTTACCGTCTTGGCAGGCAAGACGTCTTGAGCAGCATGTGCAGAACGCCCTACCATGTGGTTCCGCCCAACTTCGCCTACCAAGGCACTGAGTTGCGCCCCGCTCCTCTTAGCACCTGCATTCACTTCAAATACCTCCCAGCCTAGCTCTGCAGCCGCCGCATAAACCGCCGCTGTCTTGCCGCAGCCGTGTGGACCTTGCAGCAAGATCGAGTTGGCAAGTCGCGAGCTGAACGTAGGGTATATCGGAGGTCCGAGCGATATGTCAATGGCGTTCCCGTTCTCGTCTTCCGTCACGCTTCCGGTAGTATCCGTCCCATCCGCACTGAGGTAGTCATCAATCGGGTCGAGCGTATCATCGACGATCCAATCATCCTCTTTTTCTTTCTTCTTCCGTGTTTTTTTCACTTTCCTCATGATCTTCCTCTTTTTGGGAGTCACATCGGCGCTGGGCTTTTCGCTTCCACCAGGAACGTTCTTTGCCTCTTTACCTAGAGCAAGCTCCTTCATCCACCGGGCTAGATAGTCAGAGGGAATCTCGTTCCCGAGGACCTGAGAAGAATCGGTCGGTCTGTATTTATCGGTCCAAAGGCGAGTGCTATAAGGGGCGGCTTGCTCTTGTTTGGTAGAAAGAGCTTGGACGGCCGCGTTTTCCTTGTATGCCTGATCATTAGCAACGACTCCGTCAAAAGCGGTCGACTCAGGAGCTGAATTCCGCGAAATCGTGTGCTCGTCCTTGGGATAAAGCCTTTGCCAAAAGCTAGAATCGGCTGATTTCTCGGTCTGAGAGCGTTTCCTCTCCCTTCTCGGCATATCGAGCCCTCCCCTTCGAACGCTCATTCCCGAATCTCCTTCTCTCACTGGCTTCATATGACAAGCCTGTTCCTCTTGAGTCGGAAATCTCGCTGCGCACAAGCGCGATTCGACGTCACCTTTCCCCCATCCGGACTTCCCTACCAAAGGAGGGGCGACGGGTTCCCCAAGGACAGCCTTACGACCCATTTCCAGCACCGCTTCACCTGCATCTGATGCCTTCCCCTTAGATTTGAAGAAGACGTGAGTGGCCCTATCGGGATGATTGGCTTCCTTGCGGACAGGCTTTGGGGTTTCAGGGATGGTGTGGATGACGTGGGACTGTTGTGCATCCGGATTATCGTCCACCTGATCGATAATCGATTCAGCTCTCGGTTCCGTTCGCGTAGCCGAGGTCCCGCGGGATTTGGATTTAGGCCCAAAGAACGGGTGAACATGTCTTCCTTGGCCGGCTGCGAACACTGAAGTTGCTTTACGGGTCTCCTTGTTCGGTGAGACGGAGCGCGAGGCTTTTTGTAGGATCTCAATCCCATCGTCATCGTCGAATGATGTGTCGAGGACGATCGCCGAGTCTTCGTCGTTCATGGCTTCCAGCTTGCGCCTTTTCGAGACGGGTAGTTTTGAGACCATCACTTGGTCAGGAGAGTCAGGGATATGGATGGCGGTGTCTATGGAGTTGGTGTGCGGTGAGGAGATTCTCGAAGCCGGGGCAGCTGTGGATTTCCGTTTAGCAGTCTTGCGGCCTGATCGTGAGACGGGTTTCAATTTGTGGTTTAGTTTCAGTGGAGATGGTTGGTTTGAGGCATAGTAACTGACCTCGTACGGTCTCTCCTTCATCACCAATATCCGAAACACCTTCAGCATCCTTCTTCTTGCTACCCTTCGTGACCGTAGCCTTTGGTTTAGCAGCTGGCTTTTTCTGTTTAGCAGCCCTCGCCATGGCCTTGATCTCGCGATCTTCGTCGTCTACAACCCGCTTCTTCCCCTTCCTTCCCGGTTTCTTCTGCTCGCTACTATCCGGTTGACTCGGTCCAGCGGTAGCAGCATTCATGTCTATATCCTCCTCGACCGGCACGTCCGGTTGAACCTTGACAGGTCTCAATCCAGCTCCCAATCTCGTCTGTTTAGCGTCCCCATCGGCGAGACTCTTCCTCTGCCTTGGCGCCCGCTTCTTGGGAGCTTCCGATGGTCCAGGTGTCGTAGTATCCGCTGCAGGCCGTCCGCTGAGAAAGTTGAGCAGGTTTGGTGCGGGCTTAGCGATGTCGGTCGCAACTTCGGGAACCTCGGCATCGAGGTTCGGATCGATGTCCTGCTCGATATCAGACATGTTGGAGCTGGCTAAGTCGACGGAGCACGACCGTATAGCTATACCATCTTCAAGGCAAGTCGGGATGATGAGCAGATGGACTTGCAGTACGTATAGAGATTCATATAGATTCAAAGCTAAAGCTGCCCAAGCTGAGTCGCCTGGATCTAGGACGCGCTCCTCGGCGATCCCGATCCACAGCAAGTTAACTTACGTATTTCGTCATCCATGACCTTGCTTTGATGTACTTGCACATCGAACCCTATACGACCACAGCTGTACAGCTATAGAGAGCAGGAGCTTCTCTCTTGTCGCTTTCAAGAAGACTCCGAAAATATCCGATCGCTGGGTTGCCAAGTTACCTAAAAAGACGACCGAAACCCTGCTCGAATGCGTGTACGTGACGAATCGCAGGCTATACTTCGCTGTTCAATAACTGAATGGTCGTCCTTCGTTTTTAGCTTTTGTAATCTTGCTCTCATCCGCAGCTACCTATGGATGGCCTGGAGTTGCCAATTGTCAGGCCCACAACCGATCGACTTGGCGAAACTCTCGGCATGCCTGCAGCCAAATCTCCTGTCGACAGACGGAGGGGTCCGACCAAGTTTACGGTCAATATACCAGAATCGTATCCCTCGCAGGCAGTTCAGACACAACAGCGGGCCCAGAACGTCCAGGGTAAACCGTCAAGATGGAACACTCTCGAATTCAAGATCTATGGCGTGATTTTCGCGATCGTAGTCCCCATCATGATATGGGTGCCCATCCGGCTCAGTCAGCGTGAGCATATTTCGGCGAATTCGCTGGCCGTATCACCAGCTTATAATTTTCAACATGGGCAGCCTCGCACCCAAACTTTCCCTTTTACCGGAACCGTCTATCTCAAGGTTGGCTCTTTGGACGTCAAATCGTAAGCTTGCCCTTTCAGCCGATGGCGCTCAGGGTGTCAAAGGCCGCATGAATTGAGTGATGCTGATCCTTATGGTGCCTTTCAGGACATCTCGGACCCACAATACCGGTCGTTCAGAGGCAACATTCCGTCGCTCTTAGGTCTAGCACTGGCTCATTTGGGATCATCACGGATCTTCTTCAACCTCGTCAGGCCTGCGTACCCGAATGTATCTCCGACGACGTTCCTCTGTATCTTCAACGTCATCCTCATAGCAGTTTTGCATGGGACGAATGCCATTAAGGTCTTGGTCATCATCTTTGGGAATTACGCTGTTGCCAGATGGGCGACCTCGTCTGCGGGGATGACTGGCGGGCAGGGCAAGATCGGTATCGCTGCTATCTGGGCGTATAATATTGCCGTAATCTTCGCAAACGACTATTTCGAGGGATATCGGTTTGGCGCCGTGTCAAGCGCCCTGGAGTTTATGGTAAGCTCGAAGACCCTATTCTGACTGTGATGTGGTGCTGCGCGTCAGCTGACAGCGTCGGTTGCAGGACAGGTATCCGGGACTGTTGCCTAGATGGCACGTTCATTTCAACATGACGATGTTGAGACTCATCTCGTTCGGAATGGACCGATATTGGGCTACTACAGCTTCGCTGCCGGAGGATACTAGTCAGATGAAGACTACAGATGCGACCAAGGTAAACACTATCCGCGGAAAGCCGACCGTGCACAATTCACATCTGGGCTGATAGTCGTCGCTTTACAGATTTCACCGTCAACACACAAGGAGCGTGTGCGGACGAGCCTTCCTCAAAACGAGTACACGCTAAAAAACCTCGTCGCATATACCCTCTACCCGCCTCTCTACATCGCCGGACCCATCATGACATTCAACGACTTTAGCTGGCAGGTTCGTGCGATTCAAAACGTCTTGCTTGTGTCCTCCGTCTGACCAATTCTACGGGCCCGACACAAAGATCCGGAATCCAATCCCGCCTACAACACGAAATCTCCTATCTTACGCCTTTCGATTCTTATCTTGTCTCCTCACGATGGAGTTTGTCCTCCACTTTATGTACGTCGTAGCGATAAAGGATACCGGATCTTGGGGAGGGGACTCGCCGGCGGAGCTCAGCATGGTCGGATTTTGGAACTTGATCGTCGTTTGGCTCAAAGTGAGTCACCACTTGTCCTTTTCGTGCTATCGTGCAGGAGTTCAACGGCTGAGTCTCAAGTCCTGCAGCTTCTCATCCCTTGGAGGTTCTTTCGATTATGGGCCTTGGCCGACGGGATGGACCCACCTGAGAACATGGTCCGCTGTATGGCGAACAACTATTCCTGCAATGGATTCTGGCGCAGTTGGCATCGTAGCTACAACCTTTGGGTGGTTCGGTAAGCCGGGATTCCTAGCGATGACCGCATGAACTGACAGTACGGCACTGCACTTTGCTCCAGCTACATCTACGTCCCTCTCGGAGGAGCAAAAAACGTCGTGCTAGCGACTCTCTTGGTATTCACCTTCGTAGCCCTGTGGCACGATTTGTCGTTCCGCCTCCTCACATGGGGATGGTTAGTGAGCTTGTTCATCCTGCCAGAACTCGTAGCGAGCAAAATGGTACCGGAAAGCAAAGTTAGTCTTGGCTTTGTGCAGCTTTCTCATCGCACGAACTACTTCTTGCGGACTAATTCTTGCGGGCGATCGCAGTATTGCAATACCAGTTGGTACCGACATATCGCTGCACTCGGAGCTGTCCTCAACGTGCTCATGATGATGACGGCGAACCTTGTCGGATTCGTTATCGGTGTGGACGGAGTGCGATATCTCGCTCAACAGCTGATTTCCTCTTCTGGCGGTGAGTTCCGTTGGAGGCGTAGTTGCGATAAGTTAGCTTGTTATCGAAGAGCGCTTATGTCTGGCTTGTAATGCTGCGCGGCTTCGCAGGGCTTCAGTTCACTCTGTTCTCATGTGCCTGCCTCTTTGTAGCGGTACAGGTCATGTTCGAGTATCGCGAGACCGAGATACGGCAAGGGATCCAGCGCCGTTGTTAGACATATCAGATCTACATTGTATTCTGCATGGCATCGGAAAGTCAAGGTTATACATTATTCGGCTTGTAGCCTGTGGATCGGGGTATCTTTGTCTATCCTTGGAACGAACGGTCGTCTAGTGCATTTTCGCGCTGGCGTTCTCTCTGAGTGTTTGCATCCCGGCGTATGCCTTGATCATCAGAGCGTTCTCTAGGCTGTATTTACCGTGATCCTTGCCGGTAGGTGCAGTCTCCAAAGGTTTGCCTACGTAACGATTGACTCAAGTAAGCGAATCATACACCTAGATATTTGAACCGCGGTCCGACTGACCAGAAAGAATCAGGCCGAGGTGGTGCTTGGCCTGCTCCTGATCGGATTGCTGTGAGCAGAGTCGGGCCAGCTCATAGTGGGTAAAATAGGGGATCCAGTGATCAAGTGTGATTTTGGAACTGCTATTGAGTGCTGCCTGTAGAGCGGCGCTGGATTTCTGACTTGCTTCTTTTGATGTCATGCTATACGTCTTTTCGTCATCAGCCGCAATGATGGCCTCCTCGTGCTGTGCATCGCCGCATGTAAATCAATTGCCATCCCGTTGGAAACATGGTTTGCTCCGAACTCACCGGGTATGCAGCGAAGGAATAGGCAGTTCCAAGTAGGAAGTGTGCCAGACAATAATCTTTATGTATGTGTAGCGAATTGAATGAGCTGTTGTCGTATCATCATTTTATCGAGCTAGTAGCCTACCATCCCAGTACCCTATTCCACCCTCGTAGTTTTGCTCGTCGCTAGCCATGACCTTTTTCAGCTGTTGCTCGATCCGAGGTATGACTTTGTTGTACAAGATGCGCGGCGGTGTGTTGGGCAACTATGTCGCGCAGCAATTCGCGTTAATCGCATCCCTTTATGACTGTAGGGGAGGAAGTGACTCACAGCTCCAAAGAAGTATCCAAGCTCGATGGCAGGCAGCATCAATCGGTTACCCTGAGAAATGAATTTTCGGGCTTTCCGCGAGACAAATTTCTAAGCCGGCAAAAATGGGCAAGTGAGTGCCGTGCAGACACGTCCTGACCGCCACGTAAAACCTACCTCGACCGGAAGGGACTTTCCGGCGATCCTCTTCATGTTCTTTGGTACTTCGAGCATGATGTTTGACAGAGTCTCGTGCTCGTTGAACGATTCGTCGCTTGAGCTCAGCTCGGCCAGACAAGCAGCTTCGGAGCTGGAGGAAGATGGTCAGCCAAGGCAATCTACAAGCCCTAGCGCGGATATCTGACTTACTACATATAGGTGGCTTTACTCCAAGAACTCTCGTTTGCCAAGATTTTGAAACAACCGCGCGATCGCTTGAAATGGCTCATCATAAGGTTGTTCACCCCCATGTCCCACTGTTGAGAAGATCGAAGTCAGGCTTTCAATCTTGAACAGGATCAGCACGCTTTTGATACTGACAAGACAGATATGTTGAAGCTGCGGTATGCAAAGCATAGCTCAGAACTCGAACAGTAAAGTAGCGTTGTACGGCGATGCTTACCTGAACATACTCCAGCGGCATATTTAGCGCCTTTTGCAGCACATCATTGGCCTTCTCTGGCTGTGCCTGAAGCGTGAGCAACCTCGAGTGGAAGTACATGAAAAAGATTCCTAAACAAGGCAGGGTCGAGTTGGTCAGCTTTCATTATCGTGCACGAAGATGGTGGTATCACACAAGTACCGTCAGGGAATCTGCCGGTACAACATTTCAACACGACGAACGATCAGTTTGTGATTTTCTGAGTGATTTTCTGAGGAGACACGAGGTATATCACTGACCTCTCCATGTTGAAATTGAGCACGTTCTGGGCTAAATGCACGTCTACCCCTGCGACAGGCCTGACGTTGATCGCAATGTCAGTGGCTGTCAGCTTTCCAGCGAGAGCGAAGCAAAGACTCACATCAGGAATGAGATGACCAGATGGAATCTACGGGAAGGGAGTGGGGCGGATCGAGATCAATATGTTCAACCCTTCTTCTCTTAATCAATTTCGGAGCATACTAAACCCACGTAAGAATCCCCATGTCGCAGATAGCTCTTCGTAGACCGTCCTCCTCAGCCGAGATAGCGGGCTCTTTTCGATCCGCTGACCATCCACCAGCTGCCATCAATGTAGCCAGAGCTGTCTTGCGATCGCCTGCGTAACCGAGCAGTTCGGCCACCTTCATTACCTTGCTAGGCAAGAGACTGAGCATTAGAGAGCTCAATCCGCTACCCAACTGGACACCGGACTTGAAATGCTGATCCAGCGTGGGATCATTGCCGGTTTCAAGGTACAACTGGAGCGTACGATAGATACCGTACGCCGTTCGCATGTTGAGCCTGGATCAAGGCAAATACATCGTCAGCACCAAGTCTCGGCCATTTAGCCCCCACATTCCAACTCACGCCTCTTTAATCAACCCGACCCAGTCGCCGCCTGCGACGATACCCAAAACGGCCTTGATGAGAAGCGTTTCCGCAAAGACTAATTCGGCATGTTTCTCTACGAGCGTCATCGACTTCACGTGCGCGATCCCGCTTCGATCCCGTACGAAGCCTGCCAGACGACCGGTCAACGACCCCGCCGGCTTTCTCAAGCTGTTCGAGAGCGCCGAAGTGGTCTTTGCGATCTCCAACGCCGCCTTGAGATCTTCGCCATCGAAAGTCATCATCGCTTTGATAGCCTGCATGACGGCTGAAGCGTTCCCGATGTACATGTGTACGCCATCGGGGTCCGATTCTTGGCACAAGGCCTCGGCCTCTTTCATCCGAGACGTGAGGAAGAGGTGAATGATCTGCTTGCATTTCTGGATATCGGGTTGCAGTACGGCGTTTTGGTCAAGGTCGGTATAGGCGGAAGGGTTGTGCGCTTGTATCTTGTGTCCGGTCTTCATATCGGGTTGCGTTTCGACTGTAGCCCTTTGGATCACGGCAGAGCTGGATTGTCTCCTCAGGTCATGATAAGCTGGAGGCGAGACGTTGGCGGATTGCGTTGAAGGTTCAGGCAAGAATGCTTCGCTCGGTATCGCTTCTTCTCTTGGCTTTGTACTAGCGGGCACATCCGAGCGTGTTATGTTCGCAGGTCGTGCAACATCTTCCTCCTCGTCTTCTTCTTCGACCTCGCTTAAGCCTTCAGCCGGAGTTCCGTATACCTCCCCGTCACTGTCGCTCTCATCCCCAAAGTCGTAACTCCACTGACTGTAGACCGAGTCGGACCGGTTCCTCGGCTTGGATCCTCCATTCGAGGGGGAGCCATTCGACGAGGTCGCTTTTACAGGAGATGCTACCGGCGAGATGATTGTGGATATTGATTCAGGCTCAGTCGTCAAAGGGGATAAGCCCATAGAGGAGACAGGGGTGGCAAGCGCGACCGGCGAGGTGTTCGCTGATAGTGACATGGTCTGTAATCTGGCCTCGACTGCGGTCGGGGAGACGCCTTCCCGTGACGAATTGCCGTTTGCGACGACATCTCTACGTTCGACGGGCGTCTTCGTGCCGATCCTGGTGGGTGTGCCCAGACCGCTGGACGGAGCCGGAGGAGGCCTGTGCGTCGAAGTTGACAGTTTCCCACTGTTTGTGATTGACGGGTCCACTGAAGCTAGGGAAGATCGATCGTCCATACTGGCCACGGATCCTTCACGTCCTCTACTGGAACTAGAGGGTTTGAAGATCGACGAGAGCCGTCGTTTCGAGCCGGACCTGTTACGTCTCGAGCTAAGCTTCCGGCAACTGTCTTCGTCAAGAATCCTCCAAACTCACTTTCGTGACTCGTTGTCACCCTCGACCACCTCTCCCGTGCCGACGAGCGAGCCATTAGACGTTCTTCTCTTATTCCCAAACCTCATCGAGAGAGACTTGGACATCTTGCGCTCGGCCGTCGAAGAATCGTCATCCGGGGCCGAACCCTTTCCGAGAGCTTGTTGCTGGACCGATACGGATGAGGTGGATCTACGAAACAATTTGGACATGGCGGACTGGTTCAAGAGAAAGACGAGGTTCAATGTCGTCGTCACTACTTCTACACGATGACCAGGTCGAGTCGTCTCCTATAGAGAGAGGCAGAGAGTGTGTGTGTGTCTCCCAAGCCGATGTCAACAGAGAATCGGCAAGGGGGAGGCTCATTCGATCCCAAAGCGGTGAGATCTGCGGAAGCTAATTCTCTAAAGTGGATGACTAACGGAATTGTAATGGCTCGACACAATCCAATACGTATTGTGAGTCTTAGTTACAACGCTAAGAATGTTATACGGATACCACTGTAGGTCATACTGTTCTAGGCTCTTCTTATCGAAAGTAGAGAGGGATCCCGTACGCGACCGGTGCAGCCCCCGTCAGGTACTTCAACTTGCAACACTCCCGCGCCTTGCTCAGCGCCTGAGCGTTCGAGATTGCTGAATCGGGCAGATCCGTCTTCCCAGCTCGGATCTCTTCCATGTGGCTTTCGTCCATCCGAAGTTGGGACGATGTGGACTGAGCGATCTTGTCAATCTCGGCATCGGTCACGTCCCAAAGTACGGCCGTGAGGGAAGGTCTAACGAAGAGAAAAACAAAATCTCGTTTCAGTTCTGGCACTCGCGCGTGCAAAAGGTCCCGATTGGATTCATATCGACTCACGCTCCGCCGACCATGTAATTGTACGGCGTACCGATCCTGTCTAGATCGCCTTGATCCTTCATGAGACCCGACGAGCAGCCCCAGATCATGACAGAGGCGCTTTTAGGCAGCTCTCGGATGGCTCTAGATGAGATGTATTGCTCCATCCCGCCGTGCCCGAAATACCTGAACGAAAGCAGCGTGTCAGCACGAAACCCTCTATGGTTGTCTCCTTTGGACTCACAAGACCAGCTCATAGTTCTGCAGAGCAGACTTGATCTCCAGACTAGTCGGCTCGCGACCAACGATCCCCTTCCAGCCGCATTTTTCAACCATGCCTTCCAACCAAGGGCCAAACGTCTGCTGCGTCTTCCCAAGGTCTCCGCTAGGGTTGAGGATGAAGAACGTCTTTTGCGGGTTGACGCCCTTTCTTAATGAATCCGGGTCGAAGTCTGCACCAGGCATAGGTTTGGGCAACCGATCCACCAAGAACGTCAAGGAAGGAACCCGGCTGATAGCTCTGCCACGAAGGATCGGGAGGGATTCCCATGGTATCTCTTGCACGTTCCGGTCGAGGATCAGGAAGATGTGCTCGTCTGCCACGGGGGAGATGGATTCTGCTCTCATACTCTGTTCGAATTGTTGCAAGGCGTTCTGAACGTCCATCGCCAGCTGTTAAGGAAAGATCCAATTCTTTCATAAGCGTCTGCGTGGCAAACAGTATAACGAATGATGCGCACCGTTTCGATATCGATCTCTGCCAACGCGACCCCTATTCCGTTAAACTGGTGGAGATCCAGGATGAAGTAGACGAGGTCTTCTAACTCCTGATCCTTTGACTTGGAAGACAGAGTTGAAAAGCACTCGACGATGCTGTCGTCCAACTGGATGCGAGACCGCTTCGACTTATCTCCGTGGCTGAGTGTCCGAGCGAAGGTGTCCTCGAGGGTCTTGCGGAAGGCGGCAAGTGCTTTGGGCGATCGTCCGCCGGCCGGGTTGAAGATGGCCTATTACCGGATGATGATGATGAGTGTTTGGACAGCAGCGCGATGCAACAAGAGATGCACTGACCTTGAAAGCACCCAACCAGCAGAACTCGATCGTATCCAGTAGGTCCTTCAGTCTCTTGTCCAGCTCTTTGCGCCGGCTCCACCATTGTGTCTTCGCCGTCCGGTCTGTGCGATCTACATCCTTGGCACTCCTTGCGCTAGCGTCGCTATCCGCAATGATCTGACGCAACTCTGTCAATGCGGTTTCCAAGGTAAAGCATTCGTCTTCCTCCTCTCTCTTGCCTTGACGATCGAGTGGCAGAGTAAAGATGACTGGAGGCCGGTTCCGTTGGCGCCGGGATACGAACATGGTCGTGCCATCTTCGGTAACGTTCACCGAGATGGCGCACCAGTTGGAAGGCATGTTGGAGAGGTCGGGTTCGTCGAACATGGTCACCGCGGCGGCTGCTTCAGTCGGTCCAGTCGGGTTATCAATGGCGAGCTCTGTATCATCCTCGTCAGAGTCGGCCGAAGGACTCGGCAGAAATAAGGGTCCGGGTATCTCTGTGGACCACACCATCTCGTCCAGCCGGCTATCGCGATCTCGATTTGACATGATCTCCAATAACTCCCTTCGGAGGGTGATAGAGCAGCTGGAATCTGTTTGCCGAAGTCAGTATCACCATACAGTGCGCGATACATGATCCTTACGTACCTAATAACGAGGCCGCGCCTCTCGTGTATTGTACCGAGTTTCGTCCCAGAGAAGCTTGGTATGCTCGCAGCATAGCGATGGTGACGGTCGCTTCGCGTACGTCACTAACGTTTCCCGCATTGCCACGAAGTGAAATATACGATTGGAAAGCCGATTCAGCGTCTTGCAACGTAGCCGATATAGCGTTTCGACTTTGCGCAATATCTCCATCCACGTCGTTCACCGTGCCGACCGGCATCGAAATGGCTATAGGTGAATTCGAGGTGTTAAATCTGGTACTTTATGGTTATCATACGCAGCGCATGCTTACTCGATTCGGTCATCGAGTTGAGAAACAAATCAGATTTGAAGCGGTTGAGAGCCGCAGAAAATGATGTTGTACCGATGATATGAAGCTCGTCGGCCCCAAACATTGCCCCTTGTTGAATGTTACGGGCTTGCTCGAGTAACTCATTACTCTCGTCCATCCGGTCGATTCTGCGTAGTAAACGTGCTAGACAAAGGATTGCAGGAAGCGATTAGTAGGTGGTCCGGCTCAGCGCCACGTCGAGACTACACACCTTGCTGAATTAGTACTCTTGTACGAGTGGCAGCTAGCAATGTATTGCCGGTATCGAGGAGGTTTGCACGTTTTGTGGGCGTGTCTGTCGCTTTGACGGGACTGAAGCAAGGTTAGATACGATTCAGCACATATCGATCGCGTCAACCATGATCCATTTCAACGTACGTTCCCGCTAGGCGGTCCGAGACGGTGAAGGATCCTTCAAGTTTGGATAATACCTGTTTCGTAGCTTCGAAAGCCTCCTCCGCGGCTTCGATTAGCTCAGAATCATCTTCCGTGGTGATCTGCCGGGATTGCAATTCCGCGAGGATTCGGTGTGCTTCCGCGAACTCTGGACCTTCAACCTGAAGACACCCAAAGGATTCAGGATTTCATCATCTACTATCATCGGTCTTCGCAGCACGTACCTCCGACAAGATCTCAAGCGACTGCTCTACGTTCGAATTGGCTTCTGCATATTGCCGTAGAGCGATATTGACTTCAGCCGCAGCGCACGAGACCTTTGCCGACCAATAAGGCGATCCGGTCACTTCGGCTAAGCTCCTGGCTTCGTTGACAAAGTTCATTGCGTCTCTAGCAGATCCTCTTGAGAGCAGATCTCCGGCAAGCTGAAGCGAACTTGTGAGGAGATCCTAGACATAGACACGAGGGTCAATACTACCCTCTAGATCAACACAAGAACACTCACGCCAATGAGACTGAGATGCTTTCCGATCAGCTGTTTGCCAGTAAAGTGAGAGGGCTTAGTATCTTTGTTGATATCATCAACAGCCGGGGCGTCTTCCGGCTTTGCGTTTTGTAATGGTGGTCCGAAAGGGTCTTCGTCTATCGGTTTAGGCGCGTCGACCGCTGACACCGCTCTTGGCGCTATCCTCGCCAGATTCTCGGCAGCACGGCTTAGTAGTCGGAATGCCACTGATCGGTAGCGGATCGTTGCGGTCGCATTATCCTGTACATGAGCGATCTCTGCCAGAACGAGATTGGCCAGAGCAGCCCTCTCGAGGACAGCGCATCTATGTCGGATCTTAGCAGTCGATGAGCCCCCCTTAGGAGCGGCTTCTGGCTGGGAAAGCCTTCGGACATCGTTGTAGAGCTCGCCGCTGAAACGTCTCAAGCCGTTAGCACAACGTTCTGGCAGTCGGTATATCTGGAGACGTACCTCTTCGACGTGTTACCAATGGCAGCGAGGTAGATTGCGTAACGAAGCTCGAAATCCACTCGCTGCTCAACTGATAGTGTACTCGCAGCTGATTTCGACGCGGCATTCCGGGCGCTCGCAAAGATGGCGCCCGCTCTTTTCATCTTGCCCAATCTTGCATACTCGGCCGCAAGGCGAACAGAGCTGACTAGATAGTCTGTGTTACGTTTTACCGGTTATTCCAGTCAGCTTGATCATTCACTTGACTGACTTTCCCGATATCGGCTCACCGCTCAGGAGAGACGGGTCGTCCCTCTCCAATCCCCTCTTGATTCTAAGAAATTCTAACTGCACCAACGCATGACTTTGCATACTCAGAAGCCCAATGAATTTGTCTACAGGGATCGCAAATATAAGCGCGTTTGCTGTCGTCAGTTAAGCTGATAGACCTACCTAAGCGATTGCAAAGGCTTGCACGATCATCGATTGCTGGCAGAGGCATTTCTAGTCCACATCGAAATAGTCAGACGGTGAAATGCAACACAGATCCGTTGGTCTCGTCTTACCCTCTTGTATCAGCTTGAGACCAGACCTGGCGGCTGTCTTCCTTGCCACAGGGGAGAGAGGTAATCGTTTTTTGTCCACGAGTCCGATCAAACACTGTCCAGCTTCAGCAGCATGATCTTTCAGTATGTTCAATAGGTCGGAATCGCGAGTAGCACAGGCTTCCGTGGCCACGAGCATGTGAAGCTCTCCTTTATACTGGTTCTTATATGCCACTAGTTTAAGGTCTTGACCCAAGTCCTGAACAGAAGCACAGATGATCAATGAAGCGGTCAACGAAGGGAATCCAGCTCCACTTACCCCCTTCAGCAGGTCGAAAGCGCGCGCTACCATTTCATCAAGTCCTTGTAACGGCGCGCCAATTGCTAGACAGTGTTCTAGAAGCCGGGCGATACATCTGCGCGGGGTGGGTAGAGTGTGTCAGTATATACGTGAAAGAGGTAGGCCGCCTCCTGAAACTAACCTGACTTCTCGTATCGGGCTTTCCGATTCGCGGTAAACCGATATTGTCTTGTGCAGCAACGCCTGCATCAAAGCGGCGACTTCCGGACGATACTCAACATGCTGCATACATGTGACGAGGTGTTCTGCCATCGCGGCCGAGGCAGATCGATCTCTGTAGTTGGCGAAAAACTTATCTTCAAATCGCTCCTCTGCATTCGAGAGGAACAGACTCTCTCCTATGAGGACGGAAGCCAGTCGTGCCAGGACTGCTGAAATCTTGTTGGCAGGCGTGAAGAGTATAGATGGCGGTCGAGATTTGGATTGATTCTCGAGGCTTTGCAAAATATCTGGCTGTGCTTGTATGCAGCTTATCCGTGCGTTCAGGCTGTCCGTCTTCCTGCCAGACCTCATGTAACATACTGACAATGCCTCCCACCGAGCCGACATAATGTTCCTCAAGGCATCCCAGTCCCTTTCAATCTCAGTGAGACCAGATTGACTTGCGCGGTACGTTTCCAGCGCGTGGTCGCCAAGCTCGACCGCCATCTGGACGAACGGTGTTGCAGGCACAAATAGTTCGATACGGTATATCCCTGCACCGCAAGACCAGGCGGCGTTGGAGAGACATCTTGCCCAGTCTTGCAAGTCCGAGGTGGGGGCACGGCTTGCTCGAAACAGGCTTTCCGATCGTTTCAAGAGGTCGAGCGACCTGTCCCTGCTGTCTGGGTCTCGCGGCATCAAAGCAGACTTGCTCAATGTCATGGCCGTATCGATCGCAATGGCCGTGAGGTCCGCGTGCCGTTCGTGATATTCGACCTGCGAACATGGCCCTTGAAGCAAGCTTTCGATCATGTCGAACGTGCTCGCCAACCAAGATTTGGATCCATCGAGCAGCGTCGGAGACACGGAAACCCCCTGCTTCGCTTGGTCGATGATCTTGACCAATCGACTGCGAACACGGTCGACCGCTCTAGAGATCTTGCCCAGCGTGTAAAGCAATTCTTCTTCTGGGAGTCCTTGACACGCCTGCTTGACAACTCTCAACGGCCTAGGCTCCTGTAACAGTTTCCCGACCTCCTCGGCGAGGTCGCTCAGGTTCGGTTGATCGAGGAGTGTCACAAGCTTGGCAAGCTTTCCACAGACTACCGAGATCGAACTTGAACCAGAGTCTCCGTCCAGGCTGAGTTTGGCTATTCCCGCGTCCAGCACATCTGCAGGATCTATTGGAGCGCTTGGGGCAGTCTGCAGATACGTAAGGGCCTTTTCTACTCCCTTGACATCCCCGAGCTGTAATAGAAGAACGTTCAGAGCAACTTCTCGGCTCGATACCTTAACCCCTACTTACTGCACGGCACAGCCCGACCCATAGATCCATCAACCCCTCCCATTCTTTACCGGCTTGCCAATCGCTCAGCTTGCCTTTTCGCCCATCGGTGACGACAAACTGTATAACATCGTCGATCATCGCCGCGATCCTCCTGGCCATGACCATCTCGACGTCTTCCCGGTTGGCCGAATTGCTGCCGGGCGAAGAAAGAGCTTGTCTCGCCAACCTCTCAGATTCACGCCGGACCTGAGCCCATACGCTAGGGATGGTGACTTTGCCTTGAGACGACGCAGAACCTGCGCATACGAGTAGCAAGAGATGCGTCGTGTCCGCGTCTAATCCGGTCCCTGCGATACCAGATACTGAAGCGAGGAGTTTCCCAATCCGGCTGTAGAGCATCATCAAGTAGTTCTTGCAGATGTCCAGTTCGAGCCCCCGGGTCAGGTCTAGCGGGTGTAAGCACGATACCCCAGATCGGGTCTTGAATTTCGAGAACGTCTCTAGGACTAGACGCATCTCTTCTTCCGAGGCCCCGTGCAGAGCTTTATTCGTGATTGCCAACCATAACATGGACAACCAACTGAATATGGCCATCCTTGTTCGTGAATCCAGATTTTCGAGATCGATGCTTGTACTGGGCAAGAAGACGATATCGTCAAGCTCACGCCGACTTTCCTCCTTTTCCGATTCGCGTTCGAGCAAGACCATAACAAGCGGTCGAGTCTCTACCATCAGCTTCACAGTAGATGCATGCTGTTCGACTTTGGTTCAGCGTACGGTCTTGCATTTATGACTGCAAGCTCGTTCACGTCGACTTACCAAACCGAAATCAGAACAAGCCTTGGCGATCTGCATCCTCAATTGAACCGCCGCAATTGCCTCGGCATCCCAATCCGGAGCCCCACTCTTCGTTGCTAGTAGATGCCCTACCAAGCCCCTCAGTGCTGCAGAACAGCTATCAACGATCTCCTTGACCTTAGGATCCGTCCATTGTTTATCTTTATCCGTCTCGGGTTCCTTTTTAGCTTGCGCAGAGAGCCGTCTGCCAGCGGTGGGTTTTTCGTATCGATATCCCTCCACCTGAGCAGATTTGAACGATGCTATACATTTGTTGATGGTCATCTTGGCCTGCTGTATTTCTGCTGGATCGAGAAGATGCGCTGGGATGTGCAAGGAGGTACTAAGCGGGATCACGTTGATCCGGGCGGGGTCGGAAGTCGTAGTGGAAGAGGTTTCTGTACGAGCGTGCCGGCCTGTGTCTAGAACAGTCTGTTTGGAGGTTTGCGCAGGAGCCAGTCGGCTTGCAATGCGAGGTTTAGGGATAGACCCAGAATTGCTGATGGATTTTCCCGAGGAATCCGTCCTGGTTCTGGCTCGTGCAGCACTGGTATTGGTTGTCGAGGAAGAGATCGTCGAGCCAGAAGTGACCCTTGTCCGTCGGACTGCAGGATTTGCTGCAGCGGGTACTGATCTGGCTCCAGAAAGCACCTTGGTATCGACTCTGGCTTTAGGCTCCACTCGCAGATTGTCCTGAAGCGCAACAGCTAGTTCGTCCACCTCGTCTCCCTTCTTCGCAGAGGTAGTCGCTGACACCGTTCGTGTGGGTGGTCGAGCTGTGCGAGCTGGAGCACTAGTGGTCGGTTTCTTTGAAGTTGCTCCAGTACCACTGGCGGCGATCTGGCTAGTAGCAGCTGCAGCTGCAGCTCTATCTTTGAGCGACATCATGCGTGTAGCCGTCGGAACGGTCGAGGAGGCCTTGGTAGGAGATTCATCGATGGCCGGCTCGACTCTCCTGCGCGTTCGGGCTGGAGGTGGTATAGCGGCTGGTACCACCGCCTTAGCAGAGCTTGAAACTGCAAATTTGGATGAAGCTGAAGCGCTGGCTATCTGAGCCCTAGACCTCGTCGTCCTGGTCAAAGTTGAAGCCGTAGCCGACCCTGTTGCGGACGAGTCCGAAGTGGTAGTTCGTGAGCGCGACATGGCGAGGTCCTTTCTATTGTGGTTTGAAGGAGCAATACTACGACTTGAATGACGCCATAAGATTGCTGTTTCTTGATCGTGTGGCTGGAGGTCATAACGGTTCGTCCGAGTCGGTACTATCACGTTCAGCCTGAATACCACGATCTCAAAGTTCGAACTTACCGAGCTCCAGCGCCAGACTTGGGTTTGTTTACAATTCAGGGTGATCATCAGATACGCGTCGCCCCCTTTCAACCACAACATCGGGCACCACTTCATGATCATCAACTTGAAAGATGAACCCCTATAAGACCTTTGGCCACAACTGAAGTCGACCTAGCTCACCATCGCTGCGGTTGTCTACCGGACTAGAGGAATAGAATCCATGCCTCCGCTCAAGGCCTTTGCCAGGACCGATCTGAGGACACCGAATAAATCTCAGAATGATGGCTCCAGATCATCAGCTCCTCATGGACGGTCCTCGCTTTCGACCAACGTCGTGACAGTCGATGACACGGGTTCCCCTATGGTATCAAGCTCTTCCTCTAGACACCTGCCAAATAGGCTGGAACAGCCTTCTAGCCATGAAAGCACTCCAGTCAAAGCCATGCCCCGCAGCTTTGGAATGTCGACCTCGAAGAGCATTCCCAACATGCGGCACCTAGCAGAGAGGCCTACTTCGATGTCGACCTCCACGTCGACGGAGATACATACACCAATAAACCAGATCCGAACGAGATCCCGTCAATCTCTAGCTGGGACCCCGTTACATGACCACGGCCACCTCACCCCATACTATTCGCCATCTACTCCATCGCAATTCTCTCGATCTACCATCCTCCCTTTCGACAGGGAGAGTAATCGGCATGACGCTGAAGAGGCCATCAGAGAGAGTGCGAAGAAACCTTCTCCTAAACAAGTACAGGATGTTGGAACGCCACCGGTCGAAGGAGGTTGGAAACGAGGTCTTCTGAACTTTGGACGGAAATCTAGCGAAGACGCCTTTTCGTCACGGGCGAGCGTCAAGAGGAAGGGGATTGTACGGAAAGCCAAACTTTCGGACAGGTGGGTCAGGTGTTGGGAGTCCTTATCAACGGAGGTAGACACTCCAACTTTCCTTTTGACACGCTATAGAATCATCGCATACCCTCGATATGCTTACGAAGAAGCCGTAGATTTTATCACCGACCTCACTCTCCCTCCCCATACCGCACCCTACATCTCGCTTCTCCTGCACACCCTCCACTTTCTTATCCGTGCACCTCTCTGGCAGATCTTTCTGTCCTTTCTACCTCTGGGCCGATCAAGCCGTTGGACGCAAAAACCGACGGATAGCGTGTTCGTACAACCTGATTCGGGGTTGAAGAGGTATGATCAGATGGTCGAGGCGGGAAAACAGGGTTGGAAGATCTTGGGCTGGCTGGGTCTGGGTTCGACCAGCGTTTGGGGGGCGTTCGGGGTAAGTCCTCTATCAAGATCGATGCTCGGCTCCAAGGTGCTGACTGACGACTTGGTCGATTCGCGTGTGCAGAACTGGTTGTTCTTCCTGATCGTCTTTGGTATATCTTTTGCCAACGCTTCATACCTCTTCAACTCGAGAAGGCGCTACGACATGCGGTTCCGAAAAGTGGGTCGATTTCGACTTCAGACACCGGTTGATTGAGTGCCAGGGCTGATGGGGTCGTTGTTCAGGACCAACTCAACACACCGAATGCCCGAAGCGTTCCCGTCCCTAATTCCCGTGATCTTGAGATGGAAGACGAGGATGTTGCCCAATGGACGGCCAAGAAGGTCTTCTTCCTCGTATGGTATGTGATACCTGACCTAATCCCGCTTGCCCGGGAAACCTCGATCGGTATTGATCCTAGCTGGTTGTCTTGCTAGGTCGTATATCAATCCCCTGACGTTGATCAGAATCATGATCGGTAAACCGCCTCATATCAAACGGGAAGAAGAGAAGCGAGCTCAGGAGATGATGCAGAGCTTGACCGTCTGGGATCCTCCTGAATTCAACATGATCTTCTTCATGTGAGTCACCCGATATGATCTCGGTCTGGCGTATCGAACCTGATCAACGATACCCTTCTATCGTAGCTACTACTCGCCCATCCAACCAGTCCTCTTTCAGCTTATCGGGTATACGAACCCGATCATCGCCCTCATCTGTAACGCTTGCATCACGGCACAGACGATCTTTGTCGTCAAGGAATTCGAAAGGCTTGTCAAGGACAGGCAGATTTTGCAACGCGAGGTCATGAGGGAGTATGACCAAGTGTTTGTCTACAAGCAGTTGTTCAAGACCAAGAAGGATGCGAGTACTCAGACGAATGAAGGTATGTGAATGCCGAGTCGCTTGAGAGAACGGTGCGGGAATGCTCACGTCTTTCTGGGTGGTATCGCTCCTGAATTGAGTGCAGCGGAGTTGCTATTTTGATCCATACGCATGGTGTAATATATCTATCGGAGCCTGGACATTTCACGACATGAAACGAGAATCCTGCCTAGCATGCAAAATACCATGTTCTTGCTCAGAGACGCTTATGAAGAGCACGTGACCTGCTGGCTACTACCCGATGTTTCTCCGTTGATTGCTCGGATCCGTGATCGAATGGTCCCGCGCGTGCTTCATCATAATCACGGCAAGCGGCACGGCATGTCAAGCAAGAAGAGCCTCCCACCGATAAGAGGAACGATCAAGGGAACCTTACACTCACCAATTCTTCGTCCCTACGAGAATTACCGCATCAAATCGACATGCCTATCGTCAGCACTACTATCGAGATTGCTGCTGCCCCAGCCAAAGTCCGCGAAATCGTAAGCCGTCGACCGTGCCACATTGGTTCAAGCCGAACGATAACGAAGCCGACTACGACTCCTCCCTGTGTCCTGGTACAACAGTTTCTCGACTTCGACAGCTATCCCGAATGGTCTAAGTCCTTCTTTCAGAGCATCATTGTCACGCCCCGGAAGACTGGTGAAATCAATCAGGGGGATCAGCTCAAGGTCGTTCTTCCTGGGGCTACGTTCAAGCCGGTCGTCCTGGTGAGTCAAGGCAGACTCGAGTCGATCTGTCTTGAAAGCAACATACTGAGAACGAGATCTCATTGTACAGACTAATACTCCTTCAGTCTTTTGCTGGCGAGGCAGCATCCCCTACATATTCAGCGGGGACCATTCGTTCCAATTCAACCCTTCCCAGAGCACCCCCGGACATACCACCTTTGTCCACGGAGAGGACTTTTCCGGGATGCTGTCTTTCCTCGTCGGACCGACTTGGTCTATGGGAAAGTCTACTCGGGACAACTATGAGAAATATAATGTGGAGTTGAAGGCAAGGGTTGAGGGGAAGTCTTTCTCTGGCTAGGAGTAGGCGGGAAGGGGAACGGGACGGTCGTTATCTTTTGTAGCTTATGCGCCTGGCAGAAGATGGCTTCGCAACGGGGACCATTCCTTTTTGCTTCTTGTGAATGGGTTCTCACTATCTCTCCAAAGCTTCATGTGCTCATATGCCGTGGCATACTTGTCCTTCGACTACATCAGCTACGTTAGTACGTTAGTACCCTCTCCCGCTCTGCACTCCATCTCTCTCATTCTCGAGGTCCTTTCGATGCGACCGTCCTACATGAGCCCGGCTCAGTTTACGCACGTGACGATCGCCGAAGCTCGTTGTTTCCACCCGAAACCATGTCGCCTCGCCCCCCCACCGGCCGCATGGTTGCGTACGACTATCACCTTGTTCAAAGTTCTTGCGAACCGACATACGTTGCAAGATCGAATAGACAAGGACAATCATCTACTGACTGGCTATTCATGATGCTGCTCATCCGTGCAATCGTCCTACTTGGACTGGTGCCGTCCGCCTTGGCCTACCCTGGCCGACAACAACCTCTGACTCCCGCCACCTCGAGACCTGCTTCACCCCGTCCTCTGGTCGTCTGGCACGGGTTAGGGGATACCGCCGCCAGCGAGGGAATGGCAAGCATCAAAAAGGATATCGAAGGAATGTACCCAGGGATCTTTGTTATGAACGTCAAAGTGCCTGGTGAAGGGAGTCTCGATGACGAGCGCAAGGCGGGTTTCGTAAGTCGCCCTCCACTCGGTCAGGAGGAGGCAGCTTGGTCTCGGTTCTGATCGTCTGTCTTGTCAGCAGTGGGGTAATGCTACAGACCAAGTTGATATCGTAGCGGAAAAGATCCTTGCGACACCGGAACTGGCTCAAGGATTCGGTAAGCCTTCCACCCCGGTGCCAGCTACATATACATCTTGGCTAAACCTCGGCTTTTGTAGATGCTATTGGGTTCAGCCAGGGCGGCCTGTTCATCCGGGACTACGTCCAAAGGTACAACTCTCCCCCGGTTCATAACCTCATCACCGTAAGTCCACCTACGAATCTCCTTAATACCGCACCGTACGTTTCGCTGATCTCAAACCCGTACTCCTCTTATTCATTTCCAGTTCGGTTCACCTCACATGGGAATCGCCGCATTGATCCCGTGTAAATCGAATCTAGACGTTACCTGTCGACTCGCACAAGCGGCTGCCAAACGGGGGGTTTACGGAAAGTGGGCTCAAGATAACATCATCCAGGTAAGCGGGCTGCGAAAGCACATTGGCGTAGAGGATCTCTCTAGATGACTGACGGAGAACGCATATTCAGGCGGCTTATTTCCGTGATCAAGATCGGTTGGAGGAATTCCTTGCTGCGAACGTGTATGTCTGTCGATTTGGTCATTCATATTTTCAAAGCTGATCCTCGAGCGATATGATTGCGTCTCCCAGTTACTTGACTCGCCTTAACGGAGAAACAGAGGACCAACCGGTCGCTAGAAAGAACTTGGCTCGACTGGACAACTATGTCATGGTCATGTTCGATAAAGACGGTGAGTAATGTTCTCGGCCCTGTACTCAACTGGCGAATGGTAGATTGATCCTGCCTTGTAACTCATAACAGAAACTGTCTACCCGAAAGAATCGGCCATCTTTGGTTCGCTCGCTCCGGAGACACACGAGCTGATCCGGATGGAAGAGCATGACTTCCTTTACAAGGACGATCATATCGGTCTAAAGACGCTAGGAGATCTCGGTCGAATCTTGGTCGTGCAATGTGCTGGGTCTCATATGGATCTTGAGTGGGACGACGAAGACGGGTGTGCAAAACAGCTAGTCAAGCGATTCGTAGGCCGGCAATCGTGATATCGAGGTCATAGCGCTCTTGTGCCAAAGTTGTAAAAAGATACAAGTCGAAAACGAGCGAAGATATAGGTCGTCAGAAGCCGTTGAAACGAAACATTATGGTCGTCAAAGTTGAAAGTCGTAATTGCCGCCCCCGCTGGGTCGATCCCATTCTCTCGATAGAGCCACGTTGTTATTCGCGGTATCGAGGAACCCACCACCACCACCTCCTCCTCTAGCAGCCGCTTCGTATGTCGTGTAAGAAGTGCGGTCTTGGACCCTTTCTTCGCGCTTCCTGTATTGCGCTGGTGGTGCACAGAGGAGACGCTGGACGGGATAGGACAGGTCGAATCCCACATCGACAATGAGGCGGATGAACTTGGCGACTTCTAGGTGAAAGTGAGGGTAGTATTCGTATGACGCCTTGCGCACAGTCTGTTATGCCACGCGACCTTCTTTCAGTATCGTTCGTCGCCCGCTATACCTTGAATCTACTCACCACCAATGTTCGGTCGAGACCGCTCGCAGCCATATCTTGGAAGAACCTCCAAGCGTCTCCCTTCTTTTCGTTATTTCGTACCGCCGGATCCTGTAGGTCATATTCGTATAGAGCTCTGCCGAGTGCGTTAAGCATCTGGAAGTGTGTTGTCTACAGCACAGGACACGTTAGGCAATATGTCAACGTCATGGGGATTCACAACACGCGCGCGACTGACTAGGTAATCCATGGCTTCAAATTCGACCCCGCCTGACGCCCCGCTAGGTGCCTGCGGCTTGATACTATTCATGTCCACTTCGGCTAGCTCCCATAGGCCGTTTCCAGAATGACACATCACCCTGCAATGGCGATACGGAGATTCAATTCGACTAGAGCAGTGAAATAGACACAACGCAAACCTACCAGAAATAATCTCGGCACACATCGTTGATTTCGTCCAGGTACTGCCTGTACGCCCTATCCTTGTGTGCTTGTTTGACGAAATCGTGCATCTCTAACTTGGGTGCCGGAAGCTCGGAAGCCGGGCATAGGATCCTGGACCCGGACCGATCATGCGCTGGCTGCTGGAATATGTCTTCGAGCGCTTTGACTTGAGGCCGGTGTTTAAGCAGGCTTGCGATGTAAAGAGAGATATGGGGGTGGTTCTCGGGAATTGGCGGTGATCCGAAGCCCGCGCCTCGAAGGTTGGGTCGTGAAGCTGTTCGTGCTATCATAGGCACGGACTGCTCGGAGAATGAGATGGTCGTTGGCCTGCTACCGGGTCGCGAGGTAGAGGCAGGGAGTTTGACCTCTGCCGGGCTGTCGGAGTAAACTTGTAGGAGCGACTGGACGATCTCGATAATGAATCGCCGGGTGACCACCTCTCCGGGCTTCTTCGAGCTGTAGAGCAGTTCTACGAGCTCACGGAACGGGCTGGTACCGAATGCCCGCATGGTCTCTCTGCCAACCTATTTTGAGTGACGCAACCATGTCAGGGAGGTCAATTTTCCGTAAAGAGCCATGAGAAGACCGACCTCGGCAGTTTCGACCGCCTTGATGCAACGTAGTAGCTCGGTCAGCAGCTGATCGTCGTGCTGTTCCTCGCTGTTCGAATGTAACCGCGTTGCATGAGCGGTATACATGTACGTGGGCGATATCCTTTGACATACCGCCATTCGACATCCAAGAGGTCCTTTAGTCGAGCAAGAATATAGTCATACCCCTTGTGAATCAAGAAAGTTTCTACCCATCTGCGCAGCGAAGATACTGAGCTTGAACCACGCGGTGTCAACGGTGCTATTCCAGACTCACTCGGTCGTCTCGTGCCGCAACAACATTCGCAACCTCTTGACTTTGCCTATATCCATCTTGAAAGTGTCTTCCCCAGCCAACCATCTCGCCCACGTTTCCGGAAGTTCTTTGTTACTCTTGCCGTTCATGACTGGAGCATCTGGTTTGCTCCTGGTTCTTTGTCGTTCTTCCGGCTGCTGAGCCCGGCTCAAAAAGCCCGAACCTGAAACTGCGCCGGCACCCGGCGTCTTACTAGATTTATTCTTACTGAAGATGCTTCCCTTGCTTGAAAAAGAACCACCGGCCAAGCTTCCGGCTCGTTCTTTCATACTCGTCAAGTCGAAAGAAGAGCGTTTATCTCTTCTCCCTGTAGCGACCACCTCGTCCGGCAGCGAATCGCCAGGTAGAGGGGGAGGCATCGGGAGACCGTCCGTGGTGAGACGTTTCCGACCGACAGGTGTCTGAGCCTCGGACCTGACCATGACGAACTTGTCATCCTCGACCGTAATAGTGGACCGCCACGAGGGGCTTTCCGGCATCGAGTCGGATCCCCTGATCGGAGTTCCAGGAGAGCCGAGCGATGATCCCGAGCGAGTCTTCCTTAGCATAGGCGTAGATGGTGGACCGGCAATTCTTGAGGGGGATCCAGGGTAGAATGACTGGGTCCGAAGACCTTGAAGACGAGGTTGTTGGGAGGAACGGAGCATGGATTCTTTGATCGGGGTGTCGAGAGGTGTCAACTTGGCACGGACGGTCGCGGGGACCTGATATTGGTCCTATGAGAGAAAGTTTGGTTTCAGAAGCGACCAATGACAGCTGAAATTGATTTCAAACCTCACCAGGAGTTTCTCAAATTCACTATTGATGTCCATCCTGTCGGGCTTTGCCATAGCCCTCACATTCCCTCTCATCTGGCCCGGGCTTCCCGGCCCTAGCCTGGATGGGGTACTGGGCTCATCGAACTGCATGTTCTGCCTGCTACCGGTAGCCGGACGGAGCATCGGAGTCGAAGGGGCTGAGGGTATTGACGATTGCGATCTTGCTGTAGTCAAAGGAGGTTGCGAGAGGTCTCGAAAAGAACCGCTTCTTGGCAAGGGCTGTGGTGGATCCGCGAACCGTGACATTCAGGCAAGGTGATCGAGGGCCTTCTTCCTAGGCTTTCGAATCTGCTATTACTTCTGAAGATTGTTGTCTAGATCTCAAGTAGTTCGTGTCTATAGCCCGAGGTGTAGTTGGGGTTTGTGACTTCGAGCCAACGTCCCACCCGTGATCAAGAAGGTCGACCGACGAAACGGTTTACGTAAAAACGGTCGTTCCCGCGTAGAATCTACCTGAACATCACAACACTCAGATGACGCAACGACCGATGATCGATGTGAACGAAGTCGGTTGTGAGCAACGCAAACCTGCATCCACATACTCGTTGTACAGCGTCACAAGCTTGTATAGACTTGTCCATCCTATCGGGGTCCTCTGTCTCGAGTGAGGAGTTGGAAGTAACAAGACACTTGGCCATCATTCTGAGGCTGTCGCGATCATCGTTGAAGTCGCCCAGCTGTCAACTGTTCCGCTTGAACGAGTAAAAAGGAGGAGGGTGATTGCTCGGCCAAGAAGGGCAATCCAATGCATACACCACTTACATCGTACTATCTAGCAAAATCTGGACTCGATCTGGAATAAGGGGCAGCGCTGCAGCACGATGATTGTCTCGAACACGGAAGCGGATCGTAAGATAAAGGTAGACTTGGATAGTTTGCGCCGGCCGAAGGCCCATACCCAATACCGACAGGGCAGAGGCGGTAAGAACCAGTAATCAAAGAGAGCCAATACATTAATGTCGAGTCTGAGTCTTCACAGATCACAGATCACGGGACGTTTCCCGGGTCAAAACACGGTGTCGATCGTACGCATTAAAGGCATGGCCTAGCAGATCGCTGATGAAGTGTTCCATCATGTGCAAACTTGACTGTACAGACCTGGTTGGAAACTTTCAAAGTTGGGCGGAAGTTCACACATCACCTTACAACTCTGCAAGGTACCAAGGCACTTTCTGACTTCTTGCTAGTTTCACGTGAATTGATCCTACTGTAGCGCTATATTGGTAAAACAGACTTGTTGAAGATCATGACGCACGGACGATGGATGATGTATTACCTACTCATTAGACCGACAAGCCGGCCGTATTCCAGATAGCTGGCGTATGTTAAAAAGAGGCTGATGGCGTGTGCGGAAAGTCAGTACTTGACGTCCCATCAGTACCGCTTTTTTCTGCACCTCACGACTTTTCTGCCTCCCTGTTTACTTTTTCGGTGTCAATCGCCGATGATGCTGGCTGGTTGATCACTTGTGCTCGGATCGCTCGAATGCACTCTGCAAACCATCAACGTCACCGAGAAGCGGTGATCCTGGCTCGTTTATCAGATATATCGATCCGGATCTGATGATATCCCAACAGCAGTCTCGTCAGGGACGAAGGACTGCTTGCACGAGTTGCAGGGAAAACAAGGCGGGTCTTCGGGAGCCGCGCTCGGACCCGCGAAATAGCCCAATCTCAGCTGCTTACATCCCTCTTTTGGACGAATTAGCTGAGATGCCTGTATGCTCTACCTGATTCTGAAGATCAAGACCCATGTCATCGATGTGTCCGGCTAGCAATACCCTGCCGATATCAACCCAAACGCAAGAGAGGTCCTCAGAACGGAGGAGCCCATGAGCCGGGCGAGAGCGAAGTATCAAGCAGGACGAGAAGCCGGCCCGAACCGTATACCAGACCAGAGCGGTATTCGGGAACGAGAGAGAGGGCGGCGAACCCAGAGATTGAATGTGGATATGTATCAGAGCCAGCCGATTTCGTTGGCGAGCAGGACAACGTCGAAGACAGCGAGGCGGGCCAACCTCGAAATGAACCTGGTTCAACATCGAGTTCTACCGCTACTATTTTACCCGGAACATACCCGATGGCATTCTTATCAATGTTGGATCTCATGGAAAGTGATGTGCGACGTTCGATTCCCCTTCCATCGTCCGATCATCCGCCTCAAGCAGGGTCGAGCGGAAGGAACCGAAGCCCAATCGGGATCGAGCCTTCAACAAGCAATGCAACGCGGGCTAGACACGAGTCAATGGAGGATAGTCTAAACGACACCATAAGAAGCGTCTTGTCTCCAGAACACGAGACCTATCTGTTTGAACGGTGAGTAGTCATCTATCGAGCTGGAGGAAGGACGACTCAATGAAATCCTTTGTTATTAGCTTCTTTGAGAAGATGAATGCCTATATCGCTATCTTGGACCCTGAACTTCATACCATCGATTATTGTCGACGCACCTCTGTCGATCTATTCCTAGCGATTATCACTGCAGCTTCTCAAGTGTACATGCCACGACTTTACGAAGCCCTCTTGAACCTCTTCAAACCCAGACTCGGAGAAGCCCTCGTAGAAGGCCACAGCAGCATTGGGTTGGTCCAGGCGATCAGCATTCTTTGCGTATGGAAGGCTCCGAGGGACCACGGGTCGTGGCTGCGAGTCGGATATGCAATACGGTTGGTCTTGGCTGGGGTCTATGTCTACCTTGAGCGGTTGAAGTCTTATCAAACGGCGGGTCTCTCGGTAGGATGGCTTATGAGTTGGGTTTGGACATGCCGAACGCTCGACCCCTTCCTCTTGATCAGCATGCTGCTCGCGAGATTTTGGTGAGGCCATTGTGCTTTGTCAAGGCAGACGTGATTTTGACCAATGGCGACGAGTTCAGAACAAAGAGCGGACTTTCCGACAGCTTGCTTGCTTCGATCGTACGTGAGTAGCATACGGTACACCAAGTTCCGAATAGTGGGAACTGGGACTGATGTTGAACGTTGTCTGAAGTATGTCTCACTTGCACGGTCGGACCCGTCGGATGATAGATGCGCAGGTCCTGGACTCTATCGATCAATGGCTTTGCGACCATCCTACAGTCTATTGCTATGCGGACACCATGCTGGCCGCCTCTTTTCCACATGGAGAAGCGCTCATCGATCTTTTGAACGGTTCTCAGAAAAGCTTTGACGTTGCCACACGGCTACTTGTCATCAGGAACATGGAGATACAAACAGATCGATGGGAGGAACGCTGGTTTGGCAACGAGCGCAAGTCGAAATCAGAGCCAGAAGCGGTACACAGGGTAGTAACGCTGATGTGCAACTCGCTGTATCATTAGCTCCAAAGCCGATGCACCCTACATCAAAGGCAATCGTCGGGTTCTATCACCTGGCAGCCCGGATGGACATAGCCGAATGGCGTCTCCGCTCGTCAGATCAAGAGGATCATGTTGCAGCATTGGCCCAAGCTATAGGGCAGGGAATCAAGGGGCTCAACTATGTCGTGGACGTGTTGGGTCCAGCAGAGGTCCTACTGTTTGCCCCTGACTTTATCACATACAAGGCATCCAAGATGGCTGTGCTGCTCACGCGAGTGAGTGTGAACTGGCGAGGATGATCCACGTGCACACGCGCTGACTCGTGTCTCGATCGATGTTCAGTTAGGGGAACAAATGGATAGCCAGTTGCTCGAGAACGTTGAAAGGCTATTCTCTTCAGTCTCGACCACCTGCTTTCGCTTCAGTCACAGCGAAAACATCCCGCACTTTCAGGCAAGATTCTTTGATCGATTGGCGCACATTGTTAGAGGCGTTTGGAACCGCTTGGTTTCCGAGCCGGAGGAGACTCCCGTTCTGGAGAGACCAGCGATATCGGATCAAACTGCATTGAATGTGAACGTGAGTTATTGCACGAGGTTCTCAGAAACGCCCGCCACTTTGACCTGGAATCCACGTTTACTTTTAACTCGGGCTCAGATACCTGAGTTCGATTGGTCGGATCCGGGCGCCCTGACCAGACTCTTGGAACAGTCCCAAGAATGGTCTGTTCAAGTGTCCTGCGGGTCAAGAGCTCAGAAAGTCTGACGAAGTGTTGACACAGGTTTTCGTTCGACCTGGATATCGGCGACAGTTGGAGAACGTGATCCTGATAGGTCCGCTCTTTGGGATACAACGCAGGAAACTACACCCCCATCTATCTACTTCTTCTCCCTCAAAGCTTCAACTTCGATCTCAATCTTCATCGGAGGAAAAGCTAAGGTTGGCACTGCGATAGAGGTCCAGATGGGGCGATGTCCCGGGAGACGCTTCTTGAGTTTTTCGACCACGAGAGGAAAGGACTCGCTGATATCGACGTGATAGGATCTGACTGAATAGACATCCTCCCATCCGCGCAGACCGACGGCTTGCAAGACCCTGTCGACGTTGTCGAAGGCGTTATCGACTTGCAACTTGATGTTGTGGGCATCGCAGTATCCAGTGTTGTCCCAACCACCTTGACCAGAGCACTTGACGACGTCTGCAGTAGCTGGGATGATGACCGCCTGGGAGTAGTGACACTCGTCGCTGTGCTTCTGGCCAGCACCGGCTTCGTTGGTGTAAGTGAGGGAGGACATCTAGTGCAATGCAAAATCACGTGAACCGTCATCAGAATCGTTAGCGGGCTCTTGTGTCGCGCGCATATCGATAAGTTTGATGCTCACTATCGCGATATTTCGCTTTCTCTGGTAAGTAGATGTTTTCGGTACACGTCCTATCTCTGCAACGAACCCGAGTCTACTCTCTCTCTATATATACATTTCCGATGTCGTACCGCTCGGCTAGGCCCCAAAGCGAGTCTCATGATTTCCAGGGTCCAGGATTACCAAGATGTCATCTCAACTCCTCGGAGTTGACATCGGAGTTGAGATTATCTGCTTCCGCGGTTCTACAACTGCGGAAATACAGGGGTCGACGAATGTGATGCAGGTGTAATAATACAAAGGTATAAATGCCGTTCGAGGCGTTACGTGATACAGGTGCTGGGGGTTCTCATCATCTTGACCCCGTTTCCAAAGCCTTGAGATGGGCTTGCCATCGTTCCTTTTCCCCACTGGCCATAAACGCGCTAGCCATCCTCGTAAAGCTCGTATCCTTTTTCCAGACCTGTAACGGGTCCAGGTCGTATAGGTAGTCTTTCATTTGCGATTCCCACAGATGGTAGGCCAGCTGTCCCGAACTGAAGAAATCGTATTCGTTGCCGTGATAGACGGCGTCAATATGGTCGTCTGACCACGTTGGCCAGAAAAAGGCGCGATCGGATAGCACCGTGACCTCGGTCGGGAAGCTTTGCGCGAGGTGCCAGGGAACTTTCTGTCCGGGTGAGCGATGACGAATCTTCATTTCAGCCTGCCGTTCAACAAAAAAGCCATCTGGTCAAAGACCCGAATACTCACCACAGAATGATCCGCCCAGACGTCCTGGTCGAAATAATCATACGATTCTAACCACTTCTGCAGGAATTGGCTATCGTTCCTGGCAACGATGATGGCGTTGCAAAGTCCCTTTGGCCGCATCTCGTCATCTTCAAACCCGTACTCCCAGTCTGTAGGCTCAGCTTCCATAGCCAGGACCATATCCCGGGTGAGGAGACCGTTTTGGGCAAAGGAATCGAGGACGAAGGTGTCGATGTCGAGGTAGATTCCGCCATATTCTCGTAGTCTGCGGAACGAATGTGAAGCGATGATCAGAGAGACGCTCGATGCAACCGACTTTGCTCTCGAAAGGCTCACGCTTCTAGTCGCAGGATATCCGCCTTGTGAGCAAACTGAACATGAACCCCAAGACGAATCGCTGTCAATTCCCATGTATCCATGTCTGTCGCAGACCCTCTACTCACACTCGATACCGGTCTTCTATTCTTGCCCACCCACGTCGGATCCCTCGTCATGACGACCTCCACCAGTCCTCCTATCCCGACTCCTTCCCCCTGTCTATCTTCCTCCTCTAGCCCCCACTCCTTGACCTGGTCCCACCAGTATCCCCTCGGTTCCTTTAGACAGTGAAACAAGATCCGCTCAGGCTTCAGTGACAGCAAGGCCGACCTCATCCCCAAATAGGCGTAATAAGGGAAATCCTCCTCATGGGCCGTATCCAGTCCATAGACATAATGTACGATGTTGGGGATTTCCTTCCTAGCGGGAGGAAGAAATGGGAAGGAGGAGTCTAATGCGGGTACCGGGGATGTTAGGCGGGGCGGGAGCAGGGAGATCGGATTGAGGGCAGGTCGGCGGGAGTAGATATTGATCCAGGTTGGGTAATGCGTGCCGATGATGGTTCCAGAGGTGAAGACGAGGGCGATGAAGATGAGCTTGATTATCGGCGGTAAGGATTGTCGGATCACGCTCTGCGAGATCAAGATCGAAACGGAGCTTTCAAAAGGGTCAGCTTTCCCAATCCGAATCTAAGCATGATATGATGAACAGGCGATCACGCAGTTTGTGATCACTCACCCGTCCGTATTCTACCGGTGTAGATGTCCTTCTCAGTGCGATATACCCATTCTCTCTGTCTTCCTCAAAGCACCGACTAGCGCTCCATGGTGCCATCTGCCTTGCGGTCCACTCGAAAGCGTCCTTTGAAGAGATCGATATCCCTTGTTGAACTTGAGCTGTTTGTGCTTGAGACTAAGGTTGATGATACTCCAGCTAGCCCGCTGAGAGGTCGACAAGCTGGTGTTCAATTGTAGCGAGCCCCGATCGCGGATCAACTACCCAGAGCTATCGTCCGTTCAAGTACGTTTCGGCTGGATCAACCTCGGCCAACAAAGTTTCCCTTTATACAAAGCAGGTAGTCGTCCAGGCGACCACACGAGCAAGATCGAGGAGCCGGTATGATGAATCTGAGGCTTGCCGATCCCTGTAAGCGTGGTTGCGTTGGATCGCTTGGCGTGCTGAAGGGCGGCTAAAAAGTCCTTGTTTGAGCTGGGATGTCGTCTAGCTCTGTGGCGACGATGATATGCTACTGCTTTGATGGGCTGCATGGCTATCATGAATATGTTGATGGATGTATATCGTGCTGCGTGCTGAGAAAGGGAGAAACCAAAAGGAAAGGAAGGGCAAGAGGGGTCCTTTCTTCGAAGATGATCATCCTCGATCATCAACAATCCAGGGGGAGAGGGGCCCAACTGCGAAACAACGAATTACCGCCGGAGCACGATGCCCGCGGCGTTTTCGCAGAACACCTTTGGCTATTTTCACACCCCACCTCCTGCAACATAGCACCACGATCCTCAACGACTGCGGCTAGGAGCTTCCGTCTCACATCTGTCCCTTGTCCGAAACAAGATGCACAGCGGTCCGTGATATTGCAGGCTTCGAGACCTGCAAGACCCCGATCCAAAGTCGTTCTGGACACAGCAAAAAGCCAAGGAATGCGGCATCATCTCATCCACCAACCTCGGCCTCGTTCGTCATCGCGGGCGCTAACGATCTCACTCGCCCGAAGCCCGAAGTCTCAACGTTCCGCAGCGAAAAAGGGACGGCGCCATCGAAGGAACCGGTATCCGGACCGTATGTCGTCTGACCGGACAAGACGTACAACGTCTCTTGGTATACCACCTGATCCGAACATACAACTTGGAGCGAAAAACAAGCACACTACGTCCATAGACAACAAGCCGACCCATTCTTCTTGCGTTCTCAAATCCCGGAAACAGTCGTGACATGTCATCTCGCCTCGCGCGTGAACAAATGCCTGGCCTCATCCACCCTACTCGAATCTAGAATCAAGTGCCAAACATGTCAACACCTCGCTCGTATCATTCGATCGACCGGATCACCTCCATGAGACTCTTCATGCGACCCACCTCGTAATCTCTCCAGGTCGTTCTCGACCGTCAACCTCCTCCCCTTTCTCGCGCTCGCGTTGCTCTTCATCCCCTCGTGCATGGGAATCGGACGAGGAGATCCCGTCTGACCGTGATTGTAGTGCCAGAATCCTGGGGACCCGGGAGATTTCAGCATCGACTTCGAGGTCCCCGTCTTCTCTTTCGGTGTCGGCGTGGTCGGTAGCTGTTGATCGAGATTGGAGCGGATCGACCGGGATGGAGTCAAGACTCGATGGGCGGGTGTGACCGCTGTAGGGGTTGGGGTCGGTGATGTCGCCTCGTCCCCCATCATCCCTACAGTCAACGCTTGAATCTTCTGATTCTGGTCCAAGACTCTCTGCGGAATCGACGTGGTACGAGCGTTAGTTCCCGCCACTACTAGCTGTGAGCACCTACGCCGACTCACCTGCCGCCAATCTTCCACCTTTGCCAGCAATTCGTCCTGTACCGTCTTCAACCCCTCGATGACCTTGTTCAACCGATCGACCTCCTCGGCTTCCCGACTCTTCGCAGGTTGGACCATCGAGGCGAGTCGAGGTTCCTTCAGTGATCCCGCGTGTCGAAGTACCTGTTGCTTTCCCGCTGTCGGGCTCTGGTCTCCCTCCGGTTCCGCAGGTGGTCTGGGTAGACCCATCTCGTTCAACCGCGAGACCCGGTCGTTCGCGCGCGCCGTCTCCGTCCGAGCCAGAGAGACCTGCTGTTTCAGCTTGGCGATCTCCTCGGTCATCGCTCTCATCGCCTGATCCTTTTGCGCGCCAGCCCGTCTCTCGGCTTCGAGTTCCTCTTCGAGCTCCATCCTGGCCAACCTTTCCCTCTCGTACTTTCGCTCGACCTCGGTCTTGTCGTGAACGAGTTGATCGATCTCGAGCTGCATCCCGGTCCTGGACAAGTCGGCCACCGACAGATCGGCCGCGAGGTCGCTGACTTGGTTGCTGTGATTCCGTCGGTGGTACCGTGCGACGTGGGCGATGTCCTCGGCAGTGAAACTCGGAGCGGACTCGTCGGCGTCTCCGACGTCCTCGAGCAACATAGCCATGCTTCCGCTCACCGCTCGACGACTGTTCCTTTGCGGAGTCACAAAAGTTGTGAATCGGCTCGGCGAAGACGTGCCGATATGATCGCTGACACGTCTACGCATTCGATGAGCGATGTTGTTGCCTGAGCCGTTCGAGCGACCGGAGAGGATCTGTCCGTTCAGTTGCGCGAGCTGCGTTATCGCGCGATTTCGACGGGCCGCCAGTTCTTGTAGTTCAAGTGTCAGCTAGATAGTGTTTCGCGACCAGGTCAGCCAACATCGAACATGTGCAACTTCGCCGACGCTCTCACCTCGGCGCGGGCATCGAGTCCGTCACTGTCCGAGATACTAGGCGGTCGCTGCCGTGCCATCTCGTCAAGTTGCGATCGCAAAGCCGCGATCTCTTCCTCCTTGGCCAACAGCATAGCCTTTTCCGAAGAAGCCACCTGTGATGCAATACGATGTCAGTTTCCGGTTGACGGAAGACGATCACAAATCAGGGAACTGACCACGATCCCCTGTACTGCTTTCGTTTGAACTTGTGCGCAGCGAGACGCGAATTTAAGGGTCTCCAGCGTTTCTGCTTGATGCCTCTCCTCTAGTGAAAGGGTACAGATGACGGCGATGTTCGAATTGCCACCCAAGGCTTGTTCCAGTAGATGCGTCAACTTGCTGTTCCTGTAAGGGATGTGTCCACCACTGTCCGAGAGTAATCCTTCGTGTGAGCCTTTTCCGGGATGCTCGAAGGAAAATACTAGCTGACTCACGGTTTTCGCGTTGCATCGGACAAGGCCTCGATCACCGTTCCCAACGCTAGCAAGCTCCGGTTGATATACTTGCCCTCGGCCAACCTTTCCATATCAGAGACGGCCTTTTCACTTCCCGCCAGATCGATCAAAGTCTACTCGGTCGACTATCTGTGAGCACAGGAACAGCCTATGGGGATCGTCAACGCACTAACCAACTTGGACCGCCGAACGTCGGTGCCTTCCCGGCTCTCTACTGTCTGTGTAGCAAAGTGTCCGATCAGTCATGATCGTCCACGAACAGAACGTGTCTGTACGACTGAGCGATCAGACTCACGAGAGTGAAGACGCAATGAGACCTCGAACTTGAAAAATTCCAATCCGTCGCCCCAGTCTTCCTGTTACTGGTCCCTCGCTGTAACAGCTCCAAGATCTCTTCCGGGCTCTTGACGATCTCTTCCACCAGTGGCCGGACTTGCACGAGACCCTACAGAAAGAGATTAATGCATTTAGGGAAGCCTAATTGAGACGACCTGAAGTTTCTATGAACGGGGCATACCTTCTCGACGTGGATGTTGGGACGCTCGTTCTCTGGCACGACCTTTTTCGGCGAGACTAACAGATCCCGGATACTCTCGTTGTAGATCTAGGAAACGCCGAGTCGCTCAGATACATTTCATATGGGCAGGTCGAGCTTGGCTGAAGCTGGTAGGAATGACTTACTTCCAGGTACGATACCCTTAACAAATAATGCCTTTCCGAGTTCTTCTCGCCATATATGTGGCAATATCAGCTTCTCCCCGTCACGTCTTCACTTATATACATGTCTTGCTCACCTCCTCGATAGCTTGGAACACGCTGCTGATAGCCAAAGGGATCACCCCGATGTCCTCCCTCGTCCCGCTCATTGTATGCGTCTTCCCTGATCGACCCCGACCCAATCCACCAGAGGGTAATCAGCACTACGTATCACCTTGCTTTAGAGAAGACGTGGATATACGAACCTGATCCCGTCTGACCGTATGCAAAGATGGTCGAGTTGAACCCTCCCATGCACTTCATGACCAACGGAGCGATGTTTTGTTCGTAAAGCGAGGTCGTCTGAGCCGGGGGCAGATGGAGGGCATCTACACAGTAAAACACAACACAGTATCCCACCATCGTCATTTGAGTCAAATACGGTATGCTCAGCAACAATGCTTGATACGGAAAGGGGGAACGAGATGGGACTCACCAAAGGAATAACTGTATTCCCCCGCTCTCCCTGATTTCCGACCTCGCTTCATCACCCTCGAATGCGTATCGGATAAACTTAGAGTGGGAAACTCCGGGTCCAGCTCGTAGGCCTCCAAGCATTCCGGGGATGATACCGGTCGAGCTCTGTTCAGAGGTGTATAGCAGGTTGCGGGGATCAGCTCGGCAGATACGGTGAGTATCGCATGTGATTGTTGAACGGTGACTCACTTGACGCAAACGATCACCTTGTCCTTCCCTAGAGCTCCAGCATCCTTCGAGTTAGGCGTGCTGCCGGAAATCAGCTTGATAGGCGAATTCAGACCCATCTGAGCGACCGCTTTCGGACTGAAGAGGTCGCCCTTGATTGGGGTGGCCATGAGCCTCGAACTGCGTGCCTTTGTCGGGGTCTGCATTGGCAAGGGGGGTTCCGCCGGCCGATTGTCTACAGGGTTCGTCCAAGCAGGATGTCTTGAGTCGTTGGGCTATGTAAAATTGATGTAGTAGCTAGTTTTGACGCTTCATTCGAGTCTGTGGACCTTTGATGAGACCCGACATGCATCAAAGGTCGTTGTTGTGATTTGGTTGATCCATGTTCTACGCGGATCGACCTCCGTCAAGGGTTGGGTGGACATACACTAAATTGGTATGTCCACCTTTACGACGCCGATGACGTAGCGATACTAGCTCCCGAAACGCGAAATGAAGCGGGTAATTTGCATCCGATCATCACCCTTGCCCCCCGTTTTTGCCTTATCGCGCCCGATCAGCTGCTCCCTCCTCCTCCTTGTGCCATCCGCAGTGCGTATTGAGGGGAATCATCAAGAAGAAGCAAGAAGCAAAAAGATCTTCTCGCCTCTCGAAGTACTGGACATACTGGACACACAGACTTGTTGAAAACCCCTCAACATCAAACCTCGAACCGTTATCACCAGCTACTAGCTAGCCTCTTCCCGTAACCGTCAGCTTGTAAGCTCGGCTTCTTGTTCGGGCAAAAAGATCGAACGCTGAGGTCCATCAGGCATTCTCCACAAGAACGTCAGATCCAAACCGTCCAAGATGCCCATTTCCGTAGTCCACCACAATAGGTCTTTCAACATCATCCCCGGTGTAAGTAGTCCTCCTACTAACCGTTCACCAACCTCGCAAAGGTAATTGACCGCTCATTTGTGTTACGTCCTGTTTCACCGAAACAGGTCTTGAAGGTCGACCGCATCGGTGAGCTTTCTTTCCGCTTTGTAATTTCTCACTCCCTTTTCGTCAACATGTTTACTGATTCTTTACTCCTTGTGACCCATTCTTTAGGCGGAAGACTGTCGATCGTGGTGTTTAACAAATTCCGATGGAGCAAGTAAGGTAGACTTGCTTGATAGGCCGGGAATCCAGTTCACGTAAGCACGTTCCTTGAAATCCCCTTTCACACCCTACAAACACAATCCTTAACCTGTACTCAGCTAAATGTACCACCTTTGACTCTCCGCAGATAGCTTCGAGACTCGTTTGCTTCCCGTCAAACGTCGACCTTTTTTACGTCAATATACACGAACCGCCTCAACCTCCCACTGGGCACAGGCGGGCATGACGACAGACTCTTGTCCCGCTCTTACCGATTCGTCCTTCTTCTATAATACCGGTCATCAGCCTTTCATCTTGGATTGCTACGCTTCGTCTGCCTTTCGAAACTTGGAAAAAAGAATGGATGGTTCGATCCGGGGTATGGGCACCGCCATCGTGTCGCGAACCTTCGTGTCGTATGGCTCTGCGTTGTAGAGCTAGAACCGGTCGTCCTCTTTGTGCTCCGTACTTGCTTCTAATGCCCGCTTGTGATTATACCCATTTGAATACTGTTCTTCTCGCTGGAGAGCCAGTTTCTGCTGTCAGGGCATGAGGTCTCGATAACATCCTGCCTGACCGGTCAGAGTCTAGCAGTGTTTGAGATCACCCAGCTATTCGTGTTCGTCACTGTCGTCGAGCACGATCGTTACATACTCTGATGACACGTTTGACAATTTTGAACGAGCCGGACCAGAGAAGGATCAGTTCAACTGACCGATGATCGGGAGAATATGATATAATCACAATCACAATCAACTGAAAGCAGAAACAAGGCAGGGACTGGATCCATGGCGATAAACGAGCGTTCTATATAAATGATAGCCAGAAGAAACAGAGTCCATGGAAGAGTAGCGGTATAGAGATGGCGATGAAGATAAAAGTGTGCGTGTGTGTGTATATGTGTCGGCGTCCGTGATGAATTGGTGATCTGGTGGGTGGCCGAGACAGACGATAGACCTAGCGGTCTGATGCGAGTGCGAGATGATGATCGACCCAATCCCTCCAGCGCGGCAAGGCGATTGCGCTTCTTCGACGATTATCCCAGCAAGATGCGAGATCAAACGGAAAGCTTGCGGGTCGCTCGCCCTTCCCCTATGCAGCACTCCTCCCAGCGATTCCATCCCTTCCTTGCCAGTTCCTCCCCAGCTATCTCATTACACCCCATCAAACCTTCCCTGCCTCGTCCCTTCGTCTCCCAATCGTGACTTTTCCTTCGATTTCTTTCCTCCCTCCCGTGTTCCCGTGCTCCGTCTAGAACAGTCCAACAACGCCCACCACAACCCCTCCCAAGACGGTCAACCCCATCCCCAATCCGAGGTCAACCTTCAGACTTCCCGCCCCGTTGGATCCATCGTTCAGAGCAGAGTTAACACCGCCCGTCTTTGCGGCCTGGTTGATGGACGATATGTACTCGGTGTAGTCCATGATGGTACCCGCTGGGACGGGGTTGACTTCGCCAGGGGCGACAGTAGGGGTGCTGCGGTTGGCAAGAGGAGATACAGAGGGCGCAATTGAGGACGAGCATGGGGCGGTCAGTTTCGGTTTCGCCTGTTGCCCCGTTCTGTGCCGAAAGAACAGAAGAACCAGATATCGTGACTCACGCGACGATGGCGATACTGGTCGACGTCCTCCTCCTGCTCGTCGTCGTCTCCTCGTCCAAATCCGTGGTGACCCTGACCGGCGTCGTAGTGGTCGTGGGCACCAGAGGCGTAGTGGTCGTGGTAGCGACGAGCGGGATCGAGGTGGTCGTCGGGACGAGCGGGGTGGTAGTGGTCAAGAGGGCTCCGGGGGTGGTAGTGGTACGGACGAGCCCGGTCGTAACGGCTGCAATGGTGGAGAGGGTCTCGATCTCCAGGGTCACTCCGGCGGCGTTAGTAGATTGGGAGACGATGATGGTATCTCCGTCCTATAGATCCAGAATGGCGTTGTTGCGAGCGAAAAGAGATCAGCTTCGAGGAACGATGCCGGTAAGCATCTGATGATGGCAGGTGAAAAACTCACAATCCACTATCATTCCCGAACAGTGGCATCATCCAGTAAGTCGAAACAAGAGTAGCACCAAGATCGTCTTTCGTCAGCCTAGATTCATTATCCCTCACATCTCAAATCTCTCTTCCCAACCGGGCGAGGGAGACGTACCGGCAAAGTGGTCGTATAACGTTGAGCGCCGACGTTGAGCGTGTTGACGAACAAGGTCAACAGTGTAAAGAGGAGAACCAAGGGAGACCTGGTGGACATGATCGTAGCAGGCATAGTCGGTTGGTTGATGTTTGGTGTTTATTGAAGGGTGGATGGATGGGGGAGATAGGAAGTGATTGTTTAGGTGGTGGTCTGGTCTGGTCGTTCTGGGCTGAAGCGGGAAAGGCGTAGTAGATGATGATGGTCGTGTAGATTGTACAGTTTGGGTTGTTATGGCGTCGAAGTGGACACGAAGATGATGAGTACGATCAGAGTACCAGAGTAGCAATCGTCCGATTCAGATTCAGGTATGGGTGAGGTCAAAGTTGCGAGAGGCGAGAGGTTGCAGAGGTTGCAGAGTGGGTTTGGTTTGTGTGATCCAAAGAGGCGACGGCAGGCGGCGGCGGCGGGAACGAGAGAAAAGCCCGGCACAGCACAGGAGAGAGAGAGAGGGGGAGGGACGCGGGGAATTTCACTTGGCGCACACACAACAAGAGGACAAGGGGGGCATGTTTCACTGGGCTACGGACAGCAACGACGTCAAAGGAGACGCTGGTCATACAGGTACACGGGCCATGTCGCTGTGTCGAGGACCTGTGGACATGAGTAGGTCAATATCCCCAAGACCTGCGATACTCCAGGTCTGTTCTGTCTGTTTGTTTGTTGTGACCGTACGTCCTCGGCCGCCCCCCGTTGGCGGTAGCTGTGCGCCGCCGCGGCCAGAAACAGATGACGTACGCAGAAATAGGTATCGGTCATCCGCGGTACACATTGTTCTCACCGAAAAAGCATCCGAGAGGTATGACCTATCTGATTCCGAAGATATTTCGAAGGAGCTGTACAGTATTCAGGTTTGACAGAGACTTGAACGTGCTAGAGTACTCTAGTAATCGGCATCGGAACCGGCTTCATCGTTGACTAGACATCTACACCCTCCCCTCATTTGGTAGTCAGGCGTCCGACATTCCCTTCGAGGACCTGCCCGCAGCATGAACGTCCTCCCCTCGGCGCCAGCCAAGATCCCACATATCCTCCTTTATGCGACAGGCAACCATACCCATCCTACGACCAAACATTCCTTGGGACAATACATCATCCCGAGTTTACTCGCTCGGTTTGGACTACCGGGAGAAAGGGAGTTCCTGAGGCTGGAGAGGAAGCACGATTGTTGGGTCGGTAGTGGGATGGTGCGGGGTCGAGAATTAGGTGCTGGGGATCAGAACGCGGGGTTCAGGTTGACGGTCGCTAAACCTCGTACGTTCAACGCCACCTCACCAAGGTCCCCACCAGTGAGATATTCACTAAGCTAATTGTCCTATACGATCGATAACAAAAGGCGTCCTGATGAACATCAACGGCCGACCACTCCCATTCCTCCTCCGAACCCTCTCCGCCTCTCATCCTCCCCCGACCTACGCTCCTCCAACCTTGATTGCATTGCACGACAATCTGACCCTCCACCCGCTTACCGTGGGGAAACCTCGGTTCGGCGTATCTGCTCAGGGGCACGGTGGTCTATCCTCTATCGAGTCCAGCTTGAAGACGAAAGATTTCTGGAGGCTAGGTCTGGGGATCGGAAGGGGTGGAAACGCACCTGGCGATGGAGGGGTAGTCAAATGGGTCTTGAGCGAGCTGGGGAGGGACGAAAAGGTGTTTTGGGAGGCGGAAGGCGTCGATCGGGTGGTACAGGTTGTGGAGGAGATGGTGGACAAGTTGAGACGGGGCGATGCAGGCAAGGGCAAAGGCAAGAAGTAACGTGGGTTGGGAGAGGACAACGTTTCCCTGGAGGAGTACTTGCCCTGCATCGGATTCGGCTCGAATTTCGCTCCACTCACGGATGGAGTGTTCATCCTTTACCGACTCCTCCAACTGCAGCCCGCAAATCGAGGGATAAGACCTGAGGCTCGAAACGGATCGTATAGTCGAGCTGTGCTCACTAAGCTGGTAGAGCCCGCTTCCGAACGCTCCGATTATATTCGTTGCAGGCAGTCAACCCTCGGAGGCGACGGCGACCACACACGCCGATACGGCAAAGGCGGAGCATCCGTTTGCGACGAATGTGCCCGAGAACGCACGGCAGCTGGACGTTGCGATCCGCCTCACCTCTCATGGTCGGTGCGGGTTTGACGGGCGCGATACGTGGGAAAACGGCTGGAAGCCAGAGAGCTCGAGAAAGGCCACCACAATCCTCGCTTCATAGACGAAGGGACGGCAAGCGGAAATTTCTGCATTCGTCCTGGAGCCCAACTTGAACGGAAAGTCCTTGAGGACTGGCTTTGACTGCACTCGAGCTGTGTTCGAACGGAACGTAGGAGAGGCCCGAAAGTCTCTTTCCTGTTCAACGCATCTATATATAATTGTTCAAATCGGTAGTACGCCGTCCCAGCATATCTGTAAGGTAGTACAAATACAGTCCCGTTATGCCTTCGACCTAGACGATGTTCCTTAAGCCTTTACTGCAGCAAAAAACTGGTCTGCAAGGCGAGTGAGTCCAGCGGAGTGATACAGAGTTGTTGAAGCCGTCCAAGCCAAGGCTCGCTGACACATGGAGATACAGAATGCTTGGTACCTTCGCCGGCGATATTGTGTGGGCGAAAGTTCCGTCGTGAAATTTGTGTAGGTACGTCGCACAACCTGTCTAGGCTTGCGCATCGTGGAACCACAGAACCGAGTAGACGATCGAGAACGCTCCGTACATGGCACACAGGAGGACCGAGATGAGCTATAAGGCAGCAATATACGGTTTCAGGGTTCGAGTTAGCTAGACGAGCTCTTTAATGCACCGATTTGAGCCAAGGGAGACTCACCTTCCTGGTCCCGTTCTCGATGAAATGCTTGCTCTTTGCCGAATTCTTGTTCATGTTCTCTACCTCACCCAACTTGATCAAGCTGTTCAGCCTGACCCCTACCAACACGCAACTCAACACCCCAAAGACCAAGCAGGTCAGGGCCCAGGGGAAAAAGTGCGGTCGGGCGATCCGAGAGTACTTGTTGGTACCGTGGGTGGGGACGAAGAGGGGGACGAGGACGATGGTGATGCCGATGGGTACAATAGGAAGGAGACCTATTCCGAGCTTGGCCTGGTCGAGACGGACTGCGCGCACATGTGAGGGTATATCAATATCGGTTCTAACATCATGATCTACAGCAGACCCGGTGACCCCACACTCACTCATCTCATAGACCTCGATCCCGAAAGCCGCCAACAAGAACATCCCACACAACACCGCCAACCCGAACCTAAAGCCTGCCTTGGACTGTCTCTTTTCCCGCTCGGCACGGTAAGAATGGATGGCCTCTCTATTTACCGCCGAGGTGTTCTTCGAGGTGTAGTCTTGTAAGGGCACGTCTGCAGGTGAGAGTGTCGGATTGCAGGAAGACAAGGGAGAGGGGGATGAGACGAGGATCGAGCTTGTCAGCAACCGTTTTCCTCATCGAACAGGAAGCTCTCGAGCGAGAACCACCCGGACTCACTCTCTTCCCTCTCCCCCGGGTGTCGTTTCCGGATGGCGAAACACACGAAGAACATGAGGATCGCGACGAGGGGAGCGAGGGGGACGAGGAAGACGTCGGTCGTACATGTCGTCAAGACCCTGCGATACGGCGTTTCCAGGCAAAGGCGGATGAACGAGGGAGTTGTAAACGACGTTAGTCCCCAATGGGCTGTGTGAGGCAGAACTCGAAGCGAGGACTGACTTTTTGTGGAGACCCTGACGTTGACAAGACGAGGATCGTGTATGGGTCAGATTTCAGGTAGTATCCAAGACGTTGGTGCGACTCACGATACCCTGGTCAGGTCGGTTGCTACAGATACCAGAAGACATCTTCTTGAGATTATGAGGCTATACGACGGTACTGGACACTCGTCTGCTGCTGGAGATTCGTCTCTTCGGTCTCTTCAAGCCCGGGCAAAGAACGAGGATGGTAGGTCTGGTGGATGAGAATCGAACCTCCCTGTCCCTTGTATATCCTGAGAGAACTGTAGTCGTCGAACCTCGTCGACCTCGAATCCTCTTGGCTTCTCCTCCCCCCAAGCCGAGTGAGAACAAGAAGAGATTTCGAGGGTCACTACCGGATGCAAAACACACACGCACACACGGGAAACCGAGCGGGAGGGTCGGAAGTTGATTCAGTTCCGAGATTGCGGTGTTGGCGCCCAAAGGGTGGTTGTCATCCGAGACATGCCAGTCAGAGCCAGAGCTGGCCAGACCTCCAAGTCGGGGCAGGGTGCGTTCATAGTTACAGAAGATGATGGTGTAGCCTGGAATATCTCCTAGCTTGACGTTGAAACGGCTCCCAATCGCTCGAAGGAGGGAGACTGCAGATCGAGACAATCAGGTGACGTAGATCCGGATCGGATGCTTTTCATCATCACGATGCGCCACCCCGCACCGCCTTCGACCGAAGGGGCGCTTGAAGAGACCGATCGCATCTCCCGTTGTTGTCGACGTTTCAGCTCTTGATGGGGATTGAAACGGATGATCATCGGACCATCAAAAATAAAAGCTGTCCAGATTTTATCCCCTCCTCCTCCTGCCTTCATTTGATCAGGCGCTAATCGGTCCAAGTAGATTCCACCCGCCTTGTTTGGTGTTTCATCTCGAACCCCCGCCCTAAGCGATCAAAAGTAAACAAATCACGATCGGCGCAGGAGAGAGGAAGGGTTTTTGATCGAGTCTGATTGTCTGATCGTGTTTGATCAGACATTTGTTGTAGGATTTGTTGTTTGTTTTGATCTCGATCGTCATCACGAGAGCCGGACTTCGAGTATAAGGTCTCGCGGCCGTGAGGAGAGGTCCAGATCTAGGGAGATACATCCACAACCTTTTCCAGATCCACACGTCCTACTTGGCGACAACAGCGATAACGATAACGACAATCACCCCGAACCCAAATTGATATCAGACAACAATTCAACAACAACGATCTCTGCCTCACGACGACGACCACGCTCACCTCACTATGGGCCAAGACGACAGAGATAAAGGCAGAGACAACTCGTACTCGACTCCACTTCCACCTCCTCGACCGTCCTTTAGTTACGCAGCGAGACCTTCGACGGATAGCATTAGGTCATTGGCGGATCATTCCTATTCCCCATTGGTGAGCCCAACCTTGTTCCAACTCTATCGAGTGGCAAGGCGATCTAAACCTGTTGGTCTCGGTGCGTTACAGTTCACCAACGGGCTTTACAATTCTGCCATCATGGACCATCACCGTCCTAACCCTCCTTCTCCTCCCGGTCCAGCCGAGCACCTCGTCAACGTCAACGTATCGAATCTACCGCACCCATCTACCTTTAGCACTCCGGCCAAGAAGAAATCATCATCCTCCCTTATCTCCTCGTTGAGCTCGAAATCGCCTTTTTCGAGGAGGAGGACGAGGAAACAGTCGACCGCTACCGTCACTGACCAGTCCATCAATAGCGTGGGTGGATATGTGAACGGAGCGACGAACACGAACACTCCGGGGAAGAACAGCTTGGCTTCCTCCCAAAGTAGCTTGAAGACTTCGGCCAGTCCGGTCAAGAAGAAGAGCAGTACGAGTCCTTACAAAAGCCCTGCGAAGAAGCATGCCGAGGCGGGGTTGAAGGCGAGTTTGAAGAGGTTGGAGATGGAAAACAGGGCCAAAGGAAGGACGCCTGGCGGCGATGGGGGTGGTAGTGGAATTGGGACTGGGAAGGGAAGGTCGAGTTCGACACCGTCGATGGCCCAAGGAGAGTTCTTCCGTTCCCCGACTCAGAAGCAGGATCGACGAGGCCGGGAAGGAGGGATGTTCGGACCTTCAAGCGGGAATCTTGAAGCTAGTCATACCGCGTGCAGAGGTGACGACGGGGACATCGAGATGATGGACGTCGACCCGGCTACGGACCTACAAAACGATATCGCTGCCCTGGAGACGATCAACGACATCCTCGGCTTACCCTCGGATAAGCCTAGACCGGTACAACAAGTACCCAAGAAGAAGAGATCGTTGCTCGGCTTTGCGGTGAGGGGCGGGAGCAAGGTGCCTTTCGTTGATGACGACGGTAACAAGGCAGCGGGAGAGTCGGTCGGGAGGAAGAGTGGAGGGTGGGTGAGGGCGAGTATGGAGCATTTCTCGTGAGTCGTTCGATAGTAGCATAAATAACGGTTCAACGAAGCTGACGATCGGGTCTTATCAGGCGCGACGCCCCCACGCCTCCACCGATGACCCCGCTCCCCCCTCTTCCGCAGATGATGGACAAGCTCTCCGTCAACGCTTCATCGAACACAGCCGAGTCGAACGACCCGAGCTCCAAGGATTCCAACGGTCGTCGAACCAACCTAAAACCTTTCCGGCTTCGAAGCCTGTTAAACCTCAACATGATGGGCACCCCGAAGAAACAACAGGCGCCGACATTGCAGATGCACGCTTCCCCGGCGAGCTTTATTGGCGGAGGGAGATACTCTCCGGGAGAGTCTCCTTTGGATGATCACGAGCCATTTTCTCCGCCTTTCAACAAGGTTATTAGGAACGACTCGTTCGAAAAGGCCGGATTGGATCTCCCTCCGAGGCCTGGGACTAGCTTGGGATTGTATACCCCTAAGAAACAGATTCCGAACGCCAATCCTCCAGGTCGATCTGGGTCGAATGCGCTTGGGGTGAGTACCAACGCGTCAACCCCGATCCTGGGCTTGCCAACGAGCTCGCACTGGAGCAACTCCAACCCCGTTCAACAGGGAAGAGGGAAGATGAGCATGGGTCCGGGAGGGAGGATGCCGCCGCCTAGACCTAGCTCGCGGCCTTCTCTGGGCCCGGAAAAGGTTCTCGCTGGGAGGCCCAGCTTGAGCGAGAGCAGGGAAAGAGCCTTGTCCCCACCGCTAATGGGTCTACCAACGGGCCAAACTGGGTCGCTCGCCTCTAGGTCCAAGATCCCGATCTTGCCTCGCTCGAGCTCGAATAACATCTTGTCCGAACGATCCAACTCGGACAAACGGGCTGGCAAGGTTTTTGCCGACAAGGCCGAGAGTCCGACGGACGGGCTGCCATTCAAAAACGGTGACGGATGGAGCACCCCCTACCCGCCGAACGAGACTGTGGATGTCGAAATCGGGAGGTCCGACATGGGTTACCCGTTCCCGGCGATCCCCAAGATCAAAAGCCGATCGTCCAGCCGAGCTTCTATTCTCGACCCGATCAAGACGAGAGAACCGAACAAGACCAGTCGAAGCCGCTTCGACTCGAGCGCGTTCGAATATCAAGCATTCGAGACCGATAACCTCGTCTCGAGGTCTGCTGCGGCTGGAAAAGGATCCAGGGAATCATCACCGCCGTTATCGGGCAAATCGGGTTACGAGACGACCAAGTCGAGCGGGTTCTTGTCCAGCAGGCCTGGGTCGAGGATGGGGGGTACCATCGATGAGCTGAACGAGGACAAGGAGAATAGGTCAAACAGTAATCTGAGGAATAATAAGGTTACAGGAATGAGTCTGGGCCGAAGCCGGCCTCTTCCCGCTGTGTTTGGAGATCGTGAGACGATGCGCGGATGAGTTCCCGGTCGATTCTGGTAATCTCGATTTCTCCCCTCATTATTATCTTTCTATCTATTACGTCTCTACTACCTAGGTGTCCTACTCACTGTAAACACGAAATCTGCCTCACCTTCCTTCTGCAACTTCCTTGTAAACCTTACTGAGTCATAATCATACCAAACGTAATCTCGGTCGATTGACGTCCTCCAACCTGAAACGTCATGCCCCTCATCGCTACGTGCGCGTCGCCCCCCATTTTGTAAACAAACATCCCAAGTCGGACATTGTCGTCGAGCCATGGTCACCGTGCATGTGCCTTGGCGATGTCATATTTCGTCCATACCTTGCCATAGATACCTCATTACACTACCATTAGACGCCATTCAGAGCAGTCAAATACTCCAAAGGAATAGCTCTACTTCCAAAATGCCGGACGCCTCCACGCCGCTCAACGAGGACAACGTAGCTGAAGCATTGCAAGCGATCAAGGATGCTCGTAAGTTGCTCGAATACGGCTGGCTAACTGATAGGGAGTGGAAAGCTGACGACGCAATGTATTGGTGCTGCCGCAAAATGTAGAGCCTCAAAAGAAACCTGATATCGTACAAGTCTTTGCTCTCCGATTGGACGCAGGTCCAGAGGCGAGTCACGGAATGTTCTGATAACACAGATTGTTCTCGGCTCATACTTGTCTCCTCGGTCCTTTAGCTTTCGACGACCTCGATTGACGCCGTCACACTCTCCATCCCGCCACTACTAGCCTCTCCAAGTCCGGCTCTGTTGACGCCTGTCCTATTCTCTCTCATCCCGGCTCAGATCAAGCTGGTTGCCGAGAACGACGGCACACCACAGAAGGATCGAGCTCGATTACTCGTGCAGACCTTGTTATCCCCGCTGTTGGAACGTATGAATGACGCCAAGGATCGAGTTCATACGCCTGCCGTAGACAACGTCGTTGCCCTGGGTTTGGCCATCTACAGTACTCCGACCAAATTTGGCTCAGAGTCAGTCACCTCGGACAGCGCCGGGTCAACAACGACCACCTTGAACAAGGGAAAAGAAAGGGAGACGGTCCAGCAAATGTACGAGAGATTGCTTATCAACACGATGGAGGGAAAATCCCCTCGAGGAAAGGTTGGCGGGATGAAGGTGGTTGTCGGGATCAGGGAGAAGAGAGGAGCTTTGAGCTTGAGACCGTTCATGCCCTTGTTGGCGGGCTATCTGGAGGATGGTGACAGTGCCGTTCGAGAAGGTGCACGAACCGTGAGTAGTTGCATCTCCTCGACGTTTCCGTGGACACAAGAGCTGACCGGCAGAGCTGATCCTAATGTCATTTCGCCGCAGAGCTTGATATCCCTACTTTCATCGCCATCTACGCCTCTTTCAGCTAGAGCAGAGTTGAAAAAGCTTATGCAGTCTCGAAATATCAAGACCACGACTATCGAATCTCTCTTGGATCAGATCAACAAGGCAGCCGCTCAGCTTGCCAATGGTGGATCTCGACCTAGCCCGAGTCGGAACGTGAGCGGTGTATCGATGGGAGGATCCAAATCGAGAGTGGCCTCGAGCAAGAGTGTAGGCATGATGGACGATGTGGAGATCGCGCCAGTATACGTGAGTCGATATAAATCTCGCCGACACAGTACGTCACTGATTGAAGGCCGCGATCTAGATCTCGACACAACGAGAGTTGGAGAGCGAGTTCGCTTCCTTCTTGCCGGCTTTTGAGGTACGGCGCGCTGCTCTCGAGCACTTTCTGGGTCCAGATCCTGATACTTGTCTGCCTGTTAATGGTACAGGGCAAGGAGACCGAACACAACTGGATACAACGAGAAAGGGCAATAACGCGGGTACGAGGAATGCTCGTCACTGGCGTTCACCGCCAGATGCAGGCAGCTTTCATTTCCACATTGCGGTCGTCATTCATGAGCGTGTCAACCAAAGCAGTGAGTCGGACTCTTGGCAGATATTTCCTAAGAGTTCATAGCTCAACGTTCCCGTCTTATAGCTCGCCAGTCTGCGAACGACCTTGTCGGTCTTGACCATCGGAATGTACAATGATCTGCTCGATGAGTTGAGCACGGCTTTCGATCCGTTGGTCGATTCCATCTTGTCTCCCTTGGCCAAGCTCTCAGGTGCAACTAAAAAGATCACGGCGGAGAATTCGCAAAACACGGTGTCATTGATCATCAAGAAGACTACATGTCCACCAAAAACGTTTATACCGTTCCTTTCGCTCGGTGTCCACGAGAAGGCACCGCAAGTACGTGGTTACTACGCCAGACATTTAAAGGACTACATCGAGAAACATAACGCAAATCGGGGTCAGGCTTGGAGTGGCGAGCACATCGGCGGCGTGATCGAGATGTTGAAGCATCTTTTGGGTGACAGTACGCCTTCTGTTAGGGAAACCGCACGACAAGCTTTCTGGGCTCTCAACATCCGGTATTCGAACGAAGCTACCAATCTGCTGAACAGTCTCGACGATGGGGCGAGAAAGCAGCTGGAAAGGGTCAAGCCAGCACCCGTGGCGGCAGTAGTCGAACCCGTCATCCCGGCTACAACTAATGTATCTGCACCTACGGCCACCAAGGAGCGCAAGCCAGTCTCGAGCATGATGGCAGAGATGAAGCGAAAGAAGATGGCAGCGATGCGAGCGTTGGCAGCTAGCAGGTCTTCTAATGAGGACTTGCTGCTTCCAGAGACGGACTCGAACTCGACGGCACCGAGTTCTCCTCTACGGCCGGACTCTACCCCGCCTGTGCAGAACACACAAGCTGGCGAGGAGCCGATCAGTGCGCCAGTCACGGGGACCCGATCGCCTGCCAAAGCTTTTCGAGTATCGCTCTCCCGGCATGATACACCACCTCGTGCTCAACCCAAACAGTCACCGGCTGTTCCAGCCCATGTTCCCCTTCCAGAATCTCCTATCCTCATCGATTTGGAGTCCAGGAGGAACCGACAATCCTCCCGAGTCGTCTGCCCGCCGAGACCAGCACCAAATCCCTTTGAGGATGTCTTCACTTCCCCCACTCCCCCTCCCGCTGCATCGATTGATGCTATACAGGCCGAGTTGGCCAGTCTAAGATTCGCTGTCGTAGACACTAGCAGCACGTCGTTCCCAAACTTTACGGATCGGTCCTCGCCGCCAAGTCAGACTGACATCACCGTGCTTGATACGCCGGCAATCTTACCTCTTGCTCTCACGGTTCCTGAAGCGGTTCAGACCGAAGAGATCATTGCCAGCGAGAGCGAGGAACACGTGGGCGAGCATCTCCCAGGCGGGGTGGCTGAGCCGATCCAAACGCCAGCCACAACGGTCAATCCCATTGACAACCCGGGAACCACAGACTGGAACCCTGCAGCTCAATCCTACCGTACGCCACCGTTCGCGGATTGTGCGACCTGGTTGGAAGCTGTGCGTGTCGAGGAGATGCTTGACTTTGATCAGGAGCGCCACGAAGCCGCATTGGCCTTGCATCGAAACGCCAAGTCAACCGGCACCGTAACATCAGACTATGTTACGGAAGTGTTTCGGGGGCTCGTGCATATCGCGCATGGCCGCAACAGGTCAGCTAGTGATATTACAGATATCGACGGTATACGGAGACTTTTTAATCGCGAAGATGCTTTGAGACACACGGCGGGAGTGGAAGAGGCTGTAGCTGACCTCATCGAGGTCGTTAATCAGCAACTGAATCGCAAACAGGTCAGCAGCCGTCTGAGGTTAATCGTGAGGGACTGTTATTGACAAGTTATCTGCCTTGATCAGGACGCAAGATTGCTCGATTCTTACCTCATCCTTCTATGGGAAGTTTGCGTCAGACATCGTTCGCTTTGTGATCAATCAGATCATTTGGTTTTGTCTGGCCTGTTTGGTCTATATCAAGCAGACGAAAGTCGGGTGAGCTTTGATCTCGAATCGTTGTAGCTCGGGTTGATGCTTATCAGCAGAGCTACACTAGATGCGACGCCCAGCTGCAGCTCTACTGGCCATTTGGGGTCAAATGACTGCAAATCCTGTCGGTCTGTTGCTCAACGAAATATCGGAAGCGGATTCTCGCTTGCAAGCAGGGACCCAGGACCAGTGGAAGGTTCTGTTCTTCTCGACGATGGCACTCGCTGTACTAGTGCTGCGCTTACCCGGCGCCGTACTGCGTGAACAATTGCCACGAATGAGGAACCTGATCGTCTCGGTAAGCCCCAATTCGCCTGGGATTGTTTCTGCGATGCGTTATCGCCAGATCTGCTGATCACGAACGGCATCTTGTCGCGCAGGGAATGGGGGCCTCCAATATCGCTGCACGACAAGCAGCAACCGTCCTGATCGTGGCGATACAGGCTAATATCAGGGACCGAGCTGTTCTATTCGAAACGCTGCCAGGTCTGACGGACCAGCAAAAGGACTTGGCCACCTACATGATCAAGCAGGATCTGCCTGATCTCGACGAAGAAGCGATCGTCGCGGCGTCGAAAGTCGAAGGCGGACTGTCTAAAGCCCTCAGACGGCTAAGTGCGATGAAAATTTAACGCTATAGCCTGCTCAAGATCGACGATTACCAGTACAGGCACCGAGCGTCTAGATCAATCTACATCATGATAGTACATTATGATACATATCCTCACCCTAGGATGAGGCCAATAAGTTTGCTACACTATCTGCTTGCCGACGTCTGCCAGCCATTCGCTCCGCATCCGCGCCTGTCAGCCGGGTAGGCTCGGGAGTCCACCGCGCCAGCTTTTCAAGCATGATCTTTAGGTTTCTGGGACGCACTTGCGCATGCGATGCTCTAACGCTGGGATCGCTGACGTATAACTGCACCGAGTCGCTCAGAATGAGGTTGATAGACTATCACGCCAAGCTTTTAGTTGAAGAGTATTTGCCGTACATACGCGATCAGCCGACTTACGCCTTTGATTTCGCCGAAGACCTGTCCTAAGCCAACAGCCGCCTCGTCCAGGCCCAGACTACCCATCTCGCGCTCAACGAACTCGATGTCATCCAGCAAATTCTTGAAAGCCTGTTCATTGGCTTTGGGGATATCTTGCGTCACAAGAAGGTTCTGTGAGGAATAGATGAAGTCAATACGATGACGGAGATGTATTCAAGGGGCCACGATTCGCACCAGCAACCCGTCCCGGACGTGTTCAAGGGCGCCACGATAGGCTCTACCCCTGACATCCTCTCTCAAGCCGATCAAGACAGAATCTACATAGGCTGTCAGAAAGGTGATCATCTCGAACAGATAGGTACTTGGTTCCCGTTTCGTGTTTGCGTCGAAGTACTTGAAGCGGATCATAGTTGATTGTCGTTTCAAGCCGGGAGTACTTAGGACCGATTGGGGGCGGAGTCCTGGTCCTGGCGAAGCGGGGCGACTGTTTCCATGATTGCCGCCAAAGCCCATTGCTCCAGCAAAGGCTCCGCTCATGAACCCACCCGATGAGGCGGGTGCCGCAGGTTGTGCTGTTGCGGAAGAGGTAGCCGCAGCCTGCTGCCTAGCTTTCATGACCGTTTCGCTCAGCTTGGGCGTCCAATCAAACTCTTCCCAACCCATCTCGAAGAATTGATCTAGCTTGTCAGCGATTATCTTGTCGATCCTGGATTGGGCGAATTCAAGGGTAGACTGCAACGAAGCTCCCGATTGCAGCGTAATCAAGGTCTGCGAATGGGTGTGGGAATGTGAAGACGGATTACCAGACCTGTTGCAGGTGCCAGGGGTCAATGTCAGGCAAACGCCCGTCCCCCCGATAACGGATTTCACATACTTGAGATCCACTAGCACGCTTTCCAACTCGTCGACCGCGACGACGAAGTGCTCCACGTTAATGACGACTTGTGCAACTTGACTGAGGTTCTTCATCGTGTTGACCTTGTCGCAGATATTCTTCGAGACATGGGAAATGAGCAGACCGTCCAACGACTGTAGTATAGCACGTTTTCAGCGACTCTGTGATGCCACGGAGTTGAAAAGCAGGACTTACCCGGCGCAGCACTTCATCGATACCGGATCGTCTATGCGGAACACCTTCCACAAATTGATAAAACTGGTCCACAAAATTTCTGATGTTGATGCAGCACATGGGGAAAGTTTGGGAAAAGGGTAACGCTTGGGGGAAGCCCTGACTGAAATACAATCACATCAATCAGTTCTAATCACAATTATATCCGCTTATTGCCCAACTCACATAGCGATCTGCTCTGCTTCACCTGTAGCTAGCCAACAGGCTGATACCACTTGATCAAATTCTTCCTGGTTCTGAACCATCATCGGTTGGTTATCATCTTCCATCACAATCTACCCGATATATCAAGGTAAGCTTGCCGCTCAGTCCGAAGATCAGAACCTGGGAGACTAACTTGATCGAACTCAGCGCTGAACTTGCGCTGTAAGAGGTTTGAGTATCGCTCGAACAGCGTCATGAGCAGTCGGCTCAAAGCGCTGACGTCAAACCCGTACCCCTGAGATCGAATGAAGGGGTGTCAGGCGGAGATGCAGTATCTTTATCTTGAAGCTTGCACTCACTTGCAGCGTCTGTTCAAAAGCCAGTACGACCGGCTTGACTGCCAGGAACGTCTCAAGATCTTCACAAGTCTTGAGACCTTCGCTCACGATCCGGGCGATTCTGTCACACATCTCATCCCATAAGAGATCGACCTCTTGCGAGGTCCGGAAATCCCGACATATTCGCAGGACTTGTTTTTCGATAATAAAGAACCCGACGAGATCTTCGAGCAGAGGTTGCAAAGCAGTCTTGATACTGGAGGCATTAATGGTAGATCTCTGCGAGAAGATAAGGTTGGCTTGTTGCTAAAAATGGTCGTACGGATCGTCAATACCACGGGCTCGCTGAGATGTTGTCTCGCGATGCTGACCTTTCTATCTTCCTGATAATTGCGCTGCAGTTCCGGCCGACATTCCAAAGCATTGTAGATATGGATACACTGTAGCAGAGGTCGCAGATCTACCTGCACCTGATCATTATTGAGAGGGTCAACTGGAACGGGTTGCACAGTTAAGAGGGCAAGTCAGGCCTGGAACCACTTCAAGCGGTCAAAGTCACTTACACTCCGTTTTGTCGTTGCTCGCCAACTCGATCGGATCCCCGACTCTGATGTGTCGCAATCCTGGGTCCCGGTCCTGTTTTGACTTCCATTTACGCATCCTCGTCTCCATCTGAATCAGTGCCAGTCGCCCTACTTGAGCCGAAACCTCTCGCATGTCGAGCAACCAATTTTTTTCGGAGGCTGTAACAGCGGATTTTATTTCGGCGTGTAAGGAAGGGAGCGACGACATGATGTGCTGGAAGAAGGGAGTTTCTGAGATGGCTGATGGCGGTAGAGTTTGGAGATCCTCCATAGCCTTTTTGAAGGCGACGAACAGCATAGTCAGTACCATAATAGGTTGAGATACCTCGACCGGACGACTTACCCTCAGCGCGGCAAAGTGCTTTCCCTCGTTGATCATATCGCGAACCCGGTTGACAAGATCCAGCACCCTTAAGCATGTCTGCAGCGTATCGATAGCCTCGTCAATGTTCTGAGCAATCTTGCGCTGCTTGAGGAGAGCTCTTTTCTATCGATTCGGTAGCTGAGCGAATTAGCCCGGGGGACGACACACTTTTGTTGTAATCGAACAATCGACCGAACTTGCCTTGTCTGTAAGGGCTCTTCCCACATCTCCCATCTGCCCATCAAGCTCGCCGATACGTCGCCGCAAATGGGCGGTTCCTTGACGAACCGAAAGCAAAGTGCTAACGGAAGAGACAAAGTCCTGTACAGGAGCCCTTTCGTCGTCAGGTCGTGGTCCAGCGATACATACGAAGAGTGATCTATCTTACCTCGTAATTGTCTCCACATATTTCCTCGATCTGCTTCTCCTTTTCCTCTACGAATCGGTCGAGGCTTCGCAAGTAGACCTGCTCTGTGCTCGTGTCCTGAAGCGAGACCACCAATGGAGCCAGTGCTTCTAGGTTCTCTTGGCCCCCAGTGGCAGGGATAGAAAGCTATGGACATCGTGTTACTTGATGAGCTTGGCCTCGGTCGCTGCACACCTCTCTCGACAAACCTGGGAGAGGTGAGTTTCAATCTCGGCGTTCGTATACGTCGGGCGTTTCTTGGACATGACTACCGGATCGTCGGGAGCTCCGAGCTGAGACGGGGTAGCTCTCAAGCTTTGGGTATGAATATATCTATTCCTGCTGGTTACGATTAGAATGTACTGCTACAAGTTGAATTTGACACTTTGGAGTTTCTGGCTGAAGCTGATGAAGCTGTCTTTGACCGAGTTGCCTAGATCGGCGCTCATCATATCTCGGCCGATGCCGTAACAGGCTGAACGGGCATATCCATCCCATGCGACGTGATGTACAAGTATATACAGACAGGTCTTGGGCTTACTCTACCCAAGTATTCTACAATTGCCACATTCTCTAGTTTCTAACTATCTTATAAGGGTTCGTCGACCTGTTCTGTTTCCGTGAGATGGACGTGGGGGCGTAAGGAAAGTGGATCATGCGATACGAAGCCGTGACGCATGGCGATTTGTTGGGGGTATGTGAGCGGCGTTCGCTCTTTTTGTATTCGATGGCGAAAGAAAGAACGGTTTCATCCTTCAGTACGCCAGACGATCGAGCCTTTGTCGTCGTAGACGGGACCGGATGCGTGTTGTTGATGGTAACCTGCGTTGGAAGCATAGTTGTATGCTGGCTGTCGATGAGGATCCGCCATCTGGACGGGCTGGTATCCTTGGTGGGGTGGAGCATATCCAGGCTCAACGTGACGGTATTCTATGAAATGCCCGCCCGGAGCGATCGGTGTGATAGGTAATGGCCCAGATAATGCATGCTGTTGGATCGAATTCGAGCTCGAGCTGGATGTCAACGTGCCAGCCGAGCTCATGGTCTCGGCCGGAGAAATATTCATGCTAGACATTGACGTGGTGAACGGTCGCATCGGCACATGGACGCTCTCACTAGATTGTCGCCTGTCCGGTGTATGGGAGGGCGTTCCGTTCGCCGGCGTATCCGCCCCAGCCATCGCATCGTCTGGCTGTTGCATCGGTGTCAAGCCGAAAGCAGATGCGGCGAGGCTAGTAGGTCGATTGCCTCGTCGGCTTGACACGCTCGATGTCGAGGACTGCGTACGATGTAATGTCGTAGGTCGACGCGGACTAGGGCTGACACCGGCCACCCGTGTCGACTGAGACCTTTGCAGGCCAGACGTCAAGGTTCTCGGTGCCCGTCCCGAGGATGGGTCGATCGAGCCGGCTTGGGAAAAGTCAAATGGACCGTTCCGCTGGGGCGAAGAACGTGACCGCTGACGACTGTGCAATGCGGACGAGACGGTGCTGATGTCCGAAATGGAGCCGTGCAAGCCTGCGGAATCCGGGTCATTCCAACCGACTGGATGCGACCGCTCGCCGTATTGGTTGCTGCTCATCTGCAAGCTAGGGTGTCCAGAATCCATGGATGCCAACGTCGTCGAAGATTGTGATCTCGACAGTTGACCATTCATGGGAGAGGCGTAGCCCGACGTATGTGCGTAACCGCTGCTAGGTTGCAAGTACAAGCCGTGTTGAAAAAACGTCGGGAAAGCCGGTGTTACCGCACTGCCAGGAGTCGCGGAGCCACTGTATGACATCGGGCTGCCTTCGTGAGAAGAACCCTGCTGCATACCATAGGGACGTCTTCTACGCTCCTTGAACTTGTCGAGCCATTTAGCAGATGCTTTAAACCGGTCCTCGCCGAAACCCATCATCCGGGCGATCTCCTTGGCCTGCTCCCTCGCTACCGAATCCTTGACCTCTCGTCCGCAAGCGTCCTGAGCATCCCACCACTTCAGCATCTCGTGCTCGATGGCCGGGAACCTTCCACCACTCTGCTTTGCAGGTTTGGGGATCGGTACGACAGGAGGCTGAGGCGGACCGGTCCACCGGTGAGCCTGGATGACAATCTTGCTGATCGTACTTCGATCAACGCTGTATGCTCGATCAAGGTTCAGCTCAAGCAGCTCAGACAGAAAGCCGCTAGATGGCGGCCAAAACTCACCCATACTGCTGGGCGATGTCTTCCTGCCGCAGGTTGGTATTGCTTTGCGAGATTTCGACGATCCTCCTCTTGTCATCGTAAGTTAGCTTGACCTTTGGTCGAGCCGTCTTGGTATCGGCGCTTCGCGCAAAAACGACTCCCGGAGGACCCGCCTGTCCAGATTGTCCCTGAGTCCCATCCGTTTGCATATCGACCGAAGTCATTCCGGGTGGTCCCGCTTGAGGTCCGGCTTGCATAACATAGTGGTATGGAGCTCCTGGAGGCCCCGGGATAGTGTTGTAAGCCATATGTGCCTGAGGGAACTGGAACGCATGTTCGAGGGGTTGTCCTGGATGGTACGGGCGAGTAGCCATCGCGTTTGGATCGCCGGGATGATGGTAGATCTGTCCATCAGGATGCGTCTGGTACCCTACACCGTAAGGATACTGCCCCGTAACCCCCTGGGGTGCTGGTGCTTGGAACGTCTCGATGTAAGTGTTGGCGGGTGGCGGCCGGAACTGAAAGGGCTGATAGGTCATGGCAGGCGCAACCTCTTGACCGACCTGACCCTGGGCAGAACCAGGTGCTCCCTCTGGATAAGATCCGCCCGGGTGCCTCACCTGGGATGGCGTGTACGAAGCATATGCGTATCCAGTCGCTCCACCATACGGCGTGGACATGGCCGATTTGGAACCCTCTACGGTTCGTCGAGCATCTCCCTCGAGAATAGGCTGAACAGGGGTAGATAGTGCGGCCGCGTTCTGCCAGTCGCCCTTGGACGGACTTTCCGGCTGAGCATAGTAATCTTCGTTGGTCGAGTTGGGGAATGCGCTTCCGTGACCTGGTACGAAGGGAGACAACAAGGTGCTCTTATGATTGAGCTGTGCGCCTGGCTTGATCGCCGTCTCCGGCAACTCTGTGGGACTGATAGATCCCTCTGTTTTCGTGTTGTCTGATGCAAAAATCGGCGTCTTGTCTTCATCGACCTGAACATCGAGACCTCCTCCTGACCTCCTCAGACCGTCCGGCCGCGAATGCGTCGCGCTCTCCATTGTCGCTCCTTCCGTCCTGAACCCGTGATCCGGTGGATACCCCACATACGCATTCAACCTCTGCCCTGATGCGTACTCTGGCTTGAACCCATACTCCACGGTCTGCTCATCCCCGTTCACGCCGTTCCGATCATAGACACCTCCTGCATCGCGGTTTGAAGGATGAGGAGGTAGATAGGTGGCCATTTCGGACTAGTCCGAAAGGTAGATGGCTCCTCTACGCTCGAACTATGGTTATGTTCGCCGCACGGCGCCAGAGAGGTGAACTTGGTCGATTGGAGAATGTAGCCTGATAGAAACGCCTGAGGAGACGATCGACCGTCGAATGAGAGCAATGTCGAAGTGCAACGGACGACAGACGCGCCGTTCTGCTCCAAAAGTCGCCCTATCGTCCGACTTATTCACCGAGCGGTCCAGGTGCCCGAGTCCACGTTTTGTGTGCAAGTCGACTTGCTTTGTTCTCGTCTGTTAGCCTAAGAAGCATGCCAAGGATCATAAGGAATCAGCATACAGTTTTAATAAGTGAGAAAGAGGTCGCACACCACCATCGGCCATCGATCGACCGGTGATTGCGACCGCAGCGGACGAGTTTGAAGGCCCGGGAGCTACGCGAGAGAGATATGCCTCGTCTCGCGCGACATGTCACTTTGAATGTACTCACACTAGCCGGAAGTTCCCTCCGTCGGTCTAGTTCTGAGCGAACGTTGCGAATGAATTGATTGGTGGCCGGTGGCAGGTTTTGAATGCTATGGCGATGAATTGGTATCGAGGTCAGTCGAGCTGTTTGTAGAGAAGCTGGGTGCTGTGGTCGACTCGTGACTCGCCTTTGAAACGGATTCGTCAACACCCGGTGCTACGAACTTTGCCGGATAGTCGTTTCGCGCGATATCGAGCTGGGAAAAAAATGAGAGGGCCGCAGTCGAGTGGCCCGGTTTCGTTATATGAATCTGTGGTTGCGATGTTGGTTCAGCATAGCCGTACTCAAGGTGTACGAAAGCTGGTCGTAGCTAGCGTTCATGCTTTGAACGACCGGGGATGCTCCTGCCTCGACTACTCACCGTCTACAGTCCTATTTGCACCGTCGTTCTTTGGCGTAATCGAACGCCTTGTTGCAAGAGCTCTCTCTTGCCTTTTGCCACACCAAATGAAGGTCGAGTACCGATATATGTCAATGTAGATGGGTCCGATCACCAATGCGATGCTAGATTCATGTTCAGGAAGCTCTGGTCGTCGTCATTCGAGGTTTCGAAATCCATCCCGCTGTCAATTGAAACGGACCTTTCCAACTGCCAACTGTTAGCAGCTAGCAGCTAGCAAACCCGGTGCAGAGCGGGGGGAAACAGCAGGGGAATGAGAGAGAGAGCAGCGTGAACTTTCCGGTTGCCCTGCTAATTCCACCTCGATCACCCTCTGACATTTCACGTGACAAAGCGAAAATCACTGATCATGATTGGCATGGACCCTCTTTCCTGACCGCGGGTTGGGCCGGGCTGAGACATCAGATCTCGCATGTACGCCATATGGAAAGTACCCATACGTGCCATCGTTGTTCCGAATCGGCCCCGTACTTTGAAGAAATACAAATCTCGCAAGGTTCGCAGACGGTCCTGACGCTTTGACACCGTTGCTATGATGAGACAAAAGAGCCGGCGGTGCAGTGGTGGGGATCGTCGTCGCTTCGATCGCCTTCCCCCCGGTACGCAGATCTCTCGGATCACTTCGGTTGCGTCAACACACCCCGAACACGACCTTGCAGCGAGGCCGGAAGATCTTCCAATCTAGAATAGGCCCCGCACGCGGGCGGAAGCTTATTCTTCGATCCCTGACGCGACATCCTCGAGATCGAGCGTTTTGCTTTCGCGAGACGGTGATCCTGCATATACCGACTAGCTACTAGCTCGCCAATACAGGCACTAATGCATCACAGTATAATCCCTCGTATCTGTACAACTTCTAATTACCCCAGAGTCTATGCAAATTACAGCTACAAAAGTGATTTCATGTGCGTGCGTGCGTGTGTGTCTAGGTCGAGGCTTCTACTCTCCTCCGCCCGCAGTCGAATCGGCAACCTGCGCGTTCTCACCCGAAGTGTCGGCGACGGCCGCCTCACCCCCTATCTCGGGCTCGGTTTCGGTTTGCTGTGTGTGATTCGTTACTTCTCGCCCGGCCCTTTCCTGGGACCCATCTTCCAGCATCCAGGCTGGAGCGAAACCCTTTTCCATCTCCGGGTCCGCGAGATATGGGTTTGGATGCGTGTTGTACGTCGAGCCAAGGGAGGTATATCTGGTGCGTACGGAGGCAGTCATTAACGTTTCGTCAAAGTTGCATGATAGCGCGCATGATGCGAGCGCAGCTATCAGCTTACCCTTCGTCATAGAGTCCACAGTAAGGCACGCTAAGCTCGCGCAAAAAGATCCAGACTGTATGGTAGTCCCAGTCCACAATCGGGTGGACCCGCATGAAACTCGGCCAGTCGTTATCCGTAGGATCGCGAGCGGAAAGATTAGCTATCAGATGCACAGACCGAACAAAGGACATTGTATGCGTCAGTATTCCGTCTGGTTCATGGACAGACGATCGCATCAGGCTCTTACCTCCGTGAGGGTCCGTTCGTCTCGTCCCGACGAGGATTGCCTTGGTCTTGCTTCCGACCTCGCTCGCCAAAAAGTCTGCGAGCGCCTCTTTCATGCTTCCTCCCTTTTGTACGAGATCTAGGTTGTAATATGCCGCCGAATCCCACACAAATTGCTCGAGCTCGGGAAAGGGCGAATCGGGAGCGATATAGATTCCGGGGATGGGAGGGTAGAGATAGCCGTCTCCTGGGAGCGCAGCTTGATGTCGACGGTACAGACAAGCGGCGATAAGGTGTAGAAGGATGATGCCTAATAAAGAGCGCAAGAAAGTCAGTCTGGCTTGCTAACATTAGTAGCTGTGATGATGTTACTCACAGTCCTTTCCACCGTTGTAAGACAGCGCAATATTCTCCTCCCTGTGTAGAGTATCTTATCAGTACAGCCAACTGGTTGCCAAGTGGTCGGGATCTCGGGCTGACCCATAGTCGTTCATGCAATCATCGATGATGGTCAGAGCGGACCGCAAAGACTCGGCGAGCTCGTCGTCCTGCTCTGCCCTTTCCATCACCATCTCCAGGGCGGCAGGCTCCAGACTGGGATATGATTGATCGTCGTCCTGCTGCTCCTGGCCTTCGGCATACTGCTGCTCTTGACCCTCTTCGTACTGTTGCTCTTGTTGGTCCTGACCGTTCTGCTGATGAGACCGTGTGCATGGCAATCTCGCCAGTCAGGGTCAAGAACATCGAGCAGAAAACAGCGCGACTCACCTCCGCAGACTCGATAGCGGATCCCTGAGCTGTCTCGAGTTTTTGAATGTGTGCCGCTTCTTCCGAGTTTGTTCTGCTTGGCTTCTCAAGACCCGTGGTGAAGCCGGTCATCTCTGTGTCCGGAGTCATACCAGTCTCTGGTGTAAAGCCATGCGAGCGCATCGACGTCATGTTGCTAGATTGGAATGAGCTGCCAAACGAGCTTTGCGTCCCGCTGTTGTGCTCAGTCAATTGCTCTTGCATCGGCATTAGCCAAGGGTGTCGTAGCAGTTCCGCCGCGGTCGGTCTTCGTGCCGCTTCGAGCGTGAGACAAAGTTCGATAAAATCGATCCCGATCTCGGACAGTTGACCAGGTTCAGGAAGCGGCGGATGTTTGGTCGAAACACCGATGTGGAACATAATGGCCCTGTATACACGATGTCAAACCCGTCAGGACTCCGGAGGGCATTACCAGTGTGACAACATCTTACCATTCGTTGTCCAGGTTGCTCCAAGGCTTGTGACCTGTTGCAAATTCGAGAATGACGCAACCCATACTCCAGATGTCCATGGCTCCTAATCTACCGCTCTTCTCGTTCTTGATAACCTCTGGTGCCATGTACATGGGCGTACCTGCAAGACCGCTCATAGCTGCGCCATCCCCTGCAGCCATCCGACGGGTCTTTGCCATAGTCTTGTTGCCCTTGACGATGACTTTTGCGGCACCGAAATCGACGAATTTGATAACAGAATTTGCCCCCAGCAGAATATCTATGCAGGGACAAAGAAGATCAGACAAATCCCGCGATATTAAGATCATGAACCTGGTGCTTACTGTCAGGCTTGACGTCTCGATGCTCCACACCCTTCGAGTGCAGATATTCGAGACCGTGCAACATCTGCAGCGTGTAGACCATGATGACGTCCTCGTCCTCGATTCGACCGTGGTCGAGCAGATCCGCCAAACTTCCACCCTCGCAGTATTCCTCGAAGATGTAAACACGGTCTCGATGCACTTCGATACCATAATAGTCGACGATGTTGGGATGTGAGAGCATCTGCATGACGTCGGACTCGTCCTTGATCTGTTTGTAGAGCGCGGGACTATTACTCAAATCTTGAACCTTGATTTCCTTGACGGCCATGATACCACCCGAGTCGAGGTTGAACCCGATATAAACGTTTCCGTTTGCACCTCCACCGATGAATGACCCCTGCTGCCATTTGAGCGCAATGTTGGATGACGAAGACGCCAAGAAGAGCAGGGACCGGTCCTCGGACACCTCTTCGTCTAGAACCTGTCCGACCAGGTGCTGGTCGTTGATGCGACCGATCCTCGCTTCCTCTAGAGCTTTAAGGAATTCCATTCGTTGATCTCGAACCAGACGAATACTTCGGTCGATCGCAGCAGATCCATAGACCTCTTCGGTGAGTTGACTGATCCTTTCGCTAGGATTGGCCCGAGTTGGCGAGCTGGATTGGGCAGAGACGCCGTACTCGTCGTCGATATTTTCTTGCATTCGTTGCAACCGTCGAAGGGCTTCAATCCGCTCGGCTTCTCGCTTCGCTTCCATACCACTTCGAGCTCCGAGAATGTCGAAGTGACCGATCAAGAATTGCATGCAAGTTCCGACCTTGGCACGTAACAACGCGAACTCATTTTGGTCTAGGTGCAATACGTTTGTGCCGGTCGTCATAGCCATCGCATACTCGAGCGCGTTGACGGTCCAACGGAAAGTCTTGCGGTCGGATGGGTCGCAGACATCGCAGATGAACGTGACCCAGTTCACAGCGAGACGCATAAGTCTCCGGCTGAAACGAGACCAAGCTGTGACTTCCATATTCAAGCCGAGCTTTCTACCGTGTTCCGTAGCAAAAGCAAACCAGTTTTGCAGCAATTCTTGAGCCATCGGTGAACGGAACCCTTTCAAGGCCGACTGCACGTGTGACACTGAATCAACGATGGTCTCCGTGAGGCTGTGATCCGATCGAGCGATCTTGCGCAGTTCTCGCTGAAGTCTCGGTGAATGCGCCTGTTGCGGCACGAGGCACTCGAGCTGGACAAAGGTCTCGCCGGTGGGCACATCCGTGAAGGAGTCGAGGAAGGTCTCTTTGGCCGCGTTCAGCCGTCCGAGGGGACCATCAGCGACGAGCCGAATGCGGTTGTCCTGGATTTGGAAGTCGACGTAGGGCAGATCGAGCTGTAGGACCGTGCCTGGCCAGACGAAACGTTGACGAGGCGAAAACATCAACAAATATACGGCTGGCGGCTCCGGTGTCTCTTGCGGGACGTTGGTCGTCGGCTGCTGTGTCGACTCTTCCTGTTCAACTTCATTGCCACGACCATCGAGATCTTCTTCAGCAATCTCGTTTATTGAGGGCTTGGGTTTCGGGACTGGGACTCGCTCGGGAATCTTGCCGTTTGACAACAAGAGCTCTTCGGCCGAGTAGTTGATCATCCCCTTGGGCTCTGGTTTCTTAGGGTTACCATCCTTGTCCTTGGCCTCGGCGTCCCCGGGCTTGCGTTGGAAAGCTCGATACAACAGCTCTTTGATCTTTTCGGGCTGGTCTCGGAGCGTTGGACTGGCAATGAGATAGGTCCCATGCGCTTCGAATGAGCCAGTATAGACGAAAAAGTGGTCTGTGTCGTCGAGAGCTTCAAGCACAAGCTCTAGGTCGACATCGCAAAGATCGTACTCGGCCGAGTTGTTGAACCGTTCAGTCAGTTTCCTGCACAGAAACCCCGCTTAGATGTTAATGCCCGTTCCGATGGCTCAATTCGATAGTTCTTCTCACCTCGCAAAAGTCTGCAACTTTCGATACCTCATCTTGACAGCATCCAAAATCTTGGAGAACCACGGCAAAATCTCGCGGTGACGCATGACTCGAGGTCCCTGACTTTGATCCAACCCGTGAGTTTCGTCGTCGATCTTGTTGGTATTGATATTAGCGGCCTGTTCCTCCTCTTCCGTGATGATAGGTACTTTGACCTGAGTCTCAAAGTAGTGTATGACCCGGACCATCAATTTGTTGGTCAAGGAACTGCCGGGCGAAGGGTTGTCAGCTTATCGGGTCAATCGCAATGCAGCTCGTCAGGCGCTCACCAGAAAAGCTCTGCCACCAACACGTCACCCCCTGCGACGTCGTCGGCGATCTTGTACAGGAAATCCCACTCGTGATCAAGCACCTCGGTCTCTCGGAAATAGATCGCCTTGCCTCCGCTTCTCAGCTTCCACTGCAAGATCCTGAAAAATGTCCTCAACGACTCCAACAGCACATCGTCAAAGTCCTCCCCGATGCAATGAGGGATCTGCCAAGCCTTTTCCGGATCCGACTCGAACGTCCTCGTGTACTCGTACTTGACGCGACAAGCGGCACCGAGGGTCATTCTCATGTTGTGCAACATGTCGTTGATGACGATGAGCGAGGGATCGACAAGCTTGGCAGCGGCGTTCAGCCTGACACGCAAGGCAGCGACGACGAGTCGACAGGGAAACGAAATGAGGAGGATGACCTGCGGGTGAAAGGTCGAGTGCGAAATATCGACCAGGCCGACCTCGTTGAGCATGGCGTGATGCGCAATGATTGAAAGCTTGATGTTTTTAACGATCGAGTAGAGGTCCGTCAACGTCTTCTTCTCGAACAGCTTTTCGATCGAGACCTCTTTCAGGGTCCGTTCTATGAACGTCGAATCGTCAGCGGCGTCGATCCTCGCCTTGGCGTCCCCAGGGTAATGTCTCCCTCCGTGGGTGACGAGCGGTTTCTCGTGATTTGTGTTCGGCTTGGTCACGTCGAGCTCTTCGCTCCCGGTCCACTGCCTCAATCGACCGACGATGGCCTGGACCAGCCTGACGTTGGTCGCCCAGGAAGACATGGCGTCCACCCTGGCCTGAAACGTCTCGGCCTTGTACAACGGTTTTTCCAACATCATGGCCATCCTATTCGGATAAAGCGATTCGGCCAGGCTGAGCTTGTTGAGGATGTTGAGCACCTGTAGCATGGCGTGTTGATCGGCGGTCATGGCCACCTCTGCCGCATGGGCTTCAGACTGGATTGTCGCCTCGCCATTGACCCCCGAAGTAACCGCCGTCTCGACCTCTTGAGCCAGAGCGTTACCCTCTTTGCGCAGGGCGTCGTCAGGGATCGAGACCTTGAACCGATCAATCTCTTCCAGGATGGCGTCCACCATGCGATCCTTTCTCTCCTTGACCCTCCGCTTCTCCTCCATGTCGCTCCTCCCTCTCAACTTGGCTCGAATCTCCCACCAAAACGCCGTACCCAACTCCTTCTTGTACGTCTCGCTCGTCGACCTCTCTCCTCCGATCCGGGATTTCTCGCCCTTCAAGATCTCACCCTCGAGCACCGAGACGAGCATGGTCTGCCATTCCAGACGTTCCCTCCCTTCGTCCGAGTTGGGGGTGGCGAGCATGGGAATAACCTCGTCAGAGATCTGTCGTTTGACGTGACTGGCCACTTTCGAGCTGTACTCGGTGACGGGGTCCGCAGGGCTCATCACAGGCACGGCTGGACCACCGACCGTATTGTCACCCGTGGCCGTACCAGCACCAGTGGAATCGCCTGCTTCAGCTCCGTTGCTGGCGTTTGCCATCTCGGTCATGGTCGCCGGTGTAGCCCCATCCCCGACTGTCTCATACGTCTTGCCCGGTGCTGGCTCCGTGACCTCCTGTATCGACCTCTTCCTCCCACTGCCCCGCCTCGTCATCCCCGATCCAGAAACCGATCCGGCAACGCCGACTTGTCCCGCTCCATTCCCATTTCCACCACCAACGATGACGGCACCCTCCTCGTCTTCCTCTGAATCGCTCCCATCCATCCGCATCGTATCGATCTTGAAGAAATTCGCGTCCGGGTCCGGTCCATCGTACTCGTATTCGTAACCCTCGTACTCTTTGTCTGTTCCATACAACCCACCCCCACGCATCCCCGGGTTGGCGCCGAACATCCACGGGCGGCCAGAGAGGGTTTTGGGGTTGGTTTTCGAGTTGGGATGGGGTTTTATTGCGGTGCTAGGTTTGCGATTGCGAGTGTTGGCGGTCGACGTTGATGGAGGAGGGAGGTCGAGGCTCGAAGAACGGGAATTACGGGATCGGGGTGCGTTAGTCGAGGTGGTATTGTTGTTTGTCGATCTCGACCTCGGGCCTCCGAAATCGTCATCTAACGAACCAAACGGGTGGAAAGAAATTCAGCTCTGCCGAACCTCTGATTCGCCCTTCAGCATGACCCGGATCTCGAATCGGAACTCACCTTCCTCCTCTTCCTCTTCGTCTAGATCATCAAGATCGTCCCTCTCCGTATGACTGTACAACGGCATCCTCCTCGTCACGACCCCGGCGCTTCCCGAGGAGGAAGCGGGCGGTGGAGGTAGACTGCCACCCGGGCTCGATCGGCTGGTAGGCATCTGGAAGCTCGTACGTCGGGTCGACATTATGGCAGGTGACAAGTCTGAAGCCGACAGAGACAGGATAGTGGAACAATTGGGTTGGTCTGACTCCCGGTCGAGTGGTAGATGAGGAGTGAGGTCGAAAGGCGAAGACGAATGGGCAGACGTCACACGCTACGTTGTTGACCCAGAGTGTCCGACCTGAGGAGAGATGTCGTCGGGATCCTCTTCAACGACTCATCAAGATCGTTTAGTGCCTCGCCCTTCGTACAGTTCCTAGGATGGTGATCGCCCTACTTTCGTCAAAAGCGTTCGGTGCAACCAGAAACGAGGATAGGTATTCCGGGAGGCGTAGATCGCTGGGTTGCGCGATCTCTCGACTACCTCGTGCTGTTTTCGATGAGGTACGCTTCCGATACCGGTACTTAGAAGGATATCACCGTTTCTGCTACTTATCTATAGCTGTGTGATTGCATGGTACATTAGAGTGATGATGATCGAATAGTTATGAACTCGTCTACGTCGGTCGAAATGTCTATGAACGTCAGCCGAGGAGGGGAGGGCGGGCCAAGCTGGGGGATTAGGGCGCGGGGGGGTTACGTAAGTCTGAGAGTAGAGCTGCACCTATCCCTAGCACTGTGACGCGCTGGCCTAGGCTAACAACTCTGCGACACCGCGGCTTAATTCTATGCTAGATTTGGCCTTGAAGGCCTTTGCGCGATGACTCGCGCAAAAGTCCTCCAGATACGTGTCGCCCTCCCGTTATTTGTTTACCTTTTCTATCTTTTGTCTTCCCGCGTTTAATCAATGCTTCCCGCCTCAGGCATCCCTTTGGCCTTATTGTATGATTTTCCCGCATCAAGATTGTAAACAAAACACCTCGGGTAGAGTTTCAGTTTTGAAGCAACCTTGCTAGTTTGGCGATTGTGCTATTGTAGTGTTGCCCTCTCGCATCAGAGACGGCTGGTCTTGTCGTGCCTTTGTCCCTCTCTGATCCTCAAAACCTATATAACTCAAGTCACTCCTCCTGACCGCTATCGATATGCATTCATTTCCGTTTCTTGACCTGCCTCTTCCCACAACTGACATCGTGACTGGTCTGCCCTTCCCACCCTAGATTTATCACTCTTCGCATATTCGAACGACGCCAATCTTTCCAATTATGGATACTACACTTGGTATGTTCGATTTGGCATCTACTCAAGTACCTTCACCCTAGCTGCTGGCTAATCTGCAACCTCTCGGACCCCTCCTCGTAACAGCTCCTGAATTCCCGCTTTCCCCCCTCGAGCACGCCCCAGCTGTTTCGCAGGAACCGCCCAACACACCCAATACTCCCACCCGTGAGGACCCGCAGCAGCCCCGCATTACCAAGTTCTTCTCTTCTCCCAGGCAGGAGAAACGCTCTCGCACCGGACCAACTCCTACGCGGCCGGACCCCTTGCGGGAAACAGCTCTCCCGGACTCGAACATTTTGCAGCAGATCCAGCAGGCCGCCGGCAAGCCCCAACCCGACATGAAGCCTCTCGCCGCGGATCAACGTAAGCCCCATCGTCTAATACTGAGGCATCCTTCGATTGTCCGCTGAACGTTGTATCACATGCCTTAGTAGCCGACAACACAACTTCGCCGGGTAAAGATGTCCCTGTTCCCGACGACGACCTGCCGCCCCGTCTGACCCCTGAGACGTCCCCGCCCATTCCCGCCGAACACGATCGAGTCCGCCTTCCCTACCCATCCTCTGACAGTGATGCCGCCCGCAATGCCTTGCTCCGAAAGATTGCGGAGGCCAAGAGGCAGCTCCCCCCGGATTTCCCACCTGCACAAGAGATCCAGTGGGAACTTCCCTCCATTCCCGCCGCCATCGCCTCCACGGCCAATGAACCTCACGCTTTTGGAACATTGCTTCCCGCATTGAATTCTTCAGAGATTCACGGCCGAGCTTACGTCCCACAGGGCACATTATTCGGAGCTGCAGTCCCGAGCCTGTCGGAATGGGTCAGTACCGGTCTTTGGTCGCTGTCCACTGCTAATCTTTTCGAATGCTCATGACCCTTACCATGATAAAGTTGAATCACCTTTGCTATTTCTGCCATGATGGCAGCGATCCGACCCTTCCCCCCTCGACCCACATTGCGTGTCCGGCGCCGGACCCCTCCAGGCCGCCCGTCTGGTATACCTCCACCCCCACCGCCATCCGCATCCTTGGTGATCCACCAATCTACCAGTACTTGAAAACCAACGTCTGGTTTAACGATCAACTAGTGGATTCCTACCTCACTTTGATCCATTGGCGCCAATCGACATATAGCCGCCTCGAAAACGGTCTCGTTCCGGTCTTCATTCACAGTACTCAAGTTTCGCCCTGGATTCAAAGCCGACTCGAACCGGAGTCAGTTGAAAACCCACCAAACATGGCGAAATGGTTTCGCCAGGCAAGTCCCTTCTGCTGGTAACGGATCCCGCCGGGACGCTCATACTCTTATCTGTCAATACCAGAACTCTCTCGATCCATTTGATTACCAGTTCCATGCCATCCCCTGGAACGTCGGCAATTTCCACTGGGTTGCCGTGATCGTGGATCTCCCGTCAAAGACAATCGCCGTATTGGATTCGCTTTCTCCTTTCCATGGGGAACAGCGGGAAGAGATTCCCGCTGCTGAGCCTTGTGCTGTCGACTCGTCATTACAGAAGGCCCGAACTATTTTCCAGGTGAGTCGTCAAATCGCTTGCTCTTCCACGTGCGGGAATTCATAATCACTGATCAATTCGGTCATTTTGTATTCAACAGTCGGTGGGAGGCTGGCTCTCCGATCTCCATCTCATGTTCCGAGGCGAGGCTTTGAACTCTGACGCTTGGCAGTTTCTTTATCCTGTTAGTCAAACTGTGGTGACGTTGACTGGCTGATCTAACGATCCGAGATACAGGCTCTCCCGCAACAGCAAGACGGATCGAGTTGCGGCTCCTTCATGCTCCAGCACATCGAGGCGCTCTGTAGGATGCAAGACTTGGGCGCAGTCTGTCGGGAACCACTCCGAAAGCCGGCCCGCAGATCGATGGCCCTCGAGCTCGCGCAGCAACGTCTAATGAAACGGCACCACGGGGATAAATACTAGTCTCTTCTTTCTACCTGAGACCGCCCCAGCTCCCGAGTCAAGTAGCTTTGTTTCAGTTGTAATTCGATTTCCGGCGTATAATACATTGCCTACGTTTATTTTCTGCCTCGAATCGTTGACACTTACATACTTCACGCGTGGTCTATCCTCTTGACCTGCAACTGGCGGCGTCCACGTCAGTATCTATTTGAGCCCTACTGTACTACTGTCATGCCTCACTTGCGAGATACATGCTGCTTCGCAAAGGTGATGAGGGCAGACTGTATTGTAGAAGAAACACTGACTTGTCTCGCTCATCAAATCGCCGCTGCAGCTCGTCTGCCCACAGTCTATAATCCCATTCCCGCAATGTCGCCTTCGCTCCCGCCCTGCGAGTCTCTCAGCTTGACCGCTCACTTAGAATCATGTGCAAACGTCAAACCAACCTTTCGACTTCCTGTTGACCAACTCTCGCAGCTCCTAGGTTGGATCTTACGCCTCTCATCATGTCAACTCCTCCTGTCACTCCTCGCAAGAGACGCCGTCGTGGTAGTGATCACCTTGCCTCTACTTGGACTGTTCCTGCCACTCCATCTCGTCCACCTAAAATTGATCATCACCCAAAGGCTACCCTTCTCAACAACCACCGGTATAAGGGAAAGATCATTTCCTTCCAGGGTTCCCGCCCAAACGGCTCTGAAACCGGCTTCACCGTGCCCAATCCTGGATCCAATCCACCCTCCCTGGACTATTTACACAACCCTTTCATCTCCAATGATGTTTTTGACAATGACACCTTCCCTACTGACGCGCCCAACACCACAGAACTCCCCGTTATGAAGGATGGACAAGCGTATGAGGACCTTCTAAAAGAGCTCAAGGATATGGCTGTAGAACAGACGATGCCATCGTGAGTCTACCTTACCTCACTACAGATCGTCTTCCCGCATGCCCATCGACACCCCAATCGTCATCGCAGCGGTTATTTTTCGGAAAGGCAACAGGAACAACTCGCCCTAGAGCATGCCCTGCCGGCTCTAGTCATCCAGTTCTACAAGTTTCGCTACCGTCCAAGAACTCTCGGCCCCCCACCCTGGCCCACACAAGATTGTTCCACCGATCTCCTCCTGATCGATACATATTGTGAGTTGGCGGGAATACGTTTGACCTGCAACCTACCATTCCCGCTCAACAGTGCTTGTCTTACTTCAGACTGTCGCTCCGTCAAGTACCCACATCATGCATGGGATTCTTCGCCTATAGGGGTTCCCGCCCATGTCCTGGCCCAAGGCTACCTTCCCTCCAGAATTAATCGGCCTGCGGTAGCCTTCAGTATGCGGTCTGTAGAATTCTACCTGATTCAATTCCGACACACACAGACATCTCGTATGTCTTTCGTTCGGTCACTCTGTGACTATAACCAGGTCAGTCCCTGTGCCTTCCCGTCAACCCACAAAACACTTGCCCATGTCGAATCTACTCCTTAGATCCCCTATACCGAAAGCCTACGTGAGAGGTTCAGCTTCTCGGTCGACTTATACGACCGGATCGTCAATTACATGGAACACTTCAGCAAAACACTCACCAGGAAACCCCGCGATCCCCCTGCAACCCCGGGAACACCTGCTCAAACGACAAGTAGTGGCAATCCCACTGCTCTCGAAACAACATCGTCGCCGTCGCAGCCAGATCGCAAGGCACCTGCTCTTCAAAGAGATACATGTCCCTTATGTTTCCCTGTCGATGGCAAAGCGGGAACTGAAGACTACGTTCTTTGCGTCGCTCTGGACGGGAACAATTCTCTGAAGAGGAGGGACCGGCCAGGACTGGCCTATCAAGAACATTCATCTCGGTTCCGGCTGCCTCCCGAACTTGTTAACCGGTTCTCAAACCAGACCATAACAGCACAGGCACAGCGCACAACAACGAAACGTCCCCGAACCCAAACAACACAACCTTCTGCAGAGCCACTTGGGCCCTGCGCATCGCATTGGACTGCAGCCAAGGCAAGGCCACGTGCTAATATGAGATTCTCAGAGATGGGGTGGTTCCCGCTTGTCTGCCGGCACGGCGTTGTCCTGGCATACGCCGACTTGATCAAGGAGTATGAACAATCTAAGTTTCCACTAGCATTAGCGCATTGGTTCGCTACGCAATACTCTGGCCGAATTACCTTCGGCTATGACATTGGGTGTCAATTTCAGAAGACATTCCGACACGCACCTGCTGTCTCCCATCTGCTAGGCCCCGATCCTCATAATTCCCGCATCAATTTCCGTGAGTTACATGCAGACACTGTCCTTCCAATTATACTTTACATCAACATATTGACAGCGACCCTTTTGTTCCTACAGAGGTTGGTGCGTGGCATGGCTACGCACACGACAGACCCTGTCAGGTCAAGTGCCACCCACGATTCAATGCTGAAGCCGGCTTGGAGGACTTCGAAACATGCGAGAGGCTGTTCTCGTATACAAACGGCGTAGCAGGCGTCACGCGGAGCGCTACTCGCTATCACCGGCATCAGCAACTCGAGTGGGTGATAGAACAGTGGAATAACGACAAGCTATGCTTGATGGGTACGTCAAACTGCCGTTCCGTTCGCCGCTGCAGCGTACGGACCTTGTGTTGACTCTCCCGACAGCTAAGAACTTGGTCAAAGGTTGGCGGGAATTGGTACATATTCAGCAACAAGCCACACACAAGATAGCTCAAATGCAAAAACAATACTCCCGCCCGGAATTCTCACTGCAATATTTCAACACACTCTGGGAGGATGAAAAACAAGCCCGCCGTCGTAGTGCTTCTGAGGCAACGGGTATCGGCTATGAAGCGGGCCTTGCAGACGCTCAGCTATGGACTCTCGCATTGGATTACCTTGTTGCGAAACGAGAGTGGTCAGCATTGTCGCCCTCGATATCCACAACGCAGGGTCTCGATCACATGCAGACGCAGCCTCAGCAATGGACGACATTTGCTCGCATGTGCGCTGCCTCACAACAGCTACAAGCAACACAAGACCGGCTGCTTGCACATTTGTCAGAGCATCGCCGAGAAGCCTCGTTCGATAACGATTCCCGCCTGGCCAATTGGATATCCTCGCCCGAGGGTACTAGAGCAGGACGTTTTTGGCGCCGTCACAAGTATGACAAGGCTTTGGACGCTCTTGAGCTGGCATGCATCAATCGGTTCCAGGAGGCCGAAAGATGCTCAAGGCCAGGTACCAACTACAAGTTGCGCCAGAAGATCGCAGCCGCTCTCAGGGACCGGGCTCGTGGTATCGATGCCGCGCATAAGCGCTACGTAGACGCTTGGAATGACCTTCCACTGGAAGGAAAACCGCCTCTATTGAAGCGGGAATCATTAGGGGAAGGGCAAGACTCGGTCTCAGATCACTTCACATCTGCCCGGGATGGCATGTCGAGTTATTCCCATGAGGACTGGGCGCAACCGGTAGCACGAGAAGGGATTCGTCACGCAAGATTGCATGAATGTGCTATTATGGAGCAGAAGCAACTCGGTATTGAGTTGTCCCGGTTACTCCTCTGGATGGACCAGGCACCCCAGGCTCTCTGCAGTCAGATCGACTCAGCCGCGCTTCCTTTACCAATATCAGCGTTGTGGGGCAATGCACAGCCTGACGAGCTAGACGCATACCCGTCTGCTATCACACCCATGCTCGCAGTCTTGTACCAACAGGAAAAGCTTGAAGCGCTACAGCGAGTCATTTCTGATGGCAGAAAGACCCTCACCAAATTGGATATTCCCGCCACCGATCACCTCCGGCTTGAGCCTTCGCCGACATTTCCTTTCGTGAGGCCGGATCGTCGTTTACTATGTTGGCGAAATGAGAACAGGATTGGCATGTGTGTCGAAGAGGTCGGGGGAGGCAAAGCCAGACTCAACTTCCCTGAAGAAGGCATCGACCCGTTGGTCGATGCCCAACTCCCTGGTTTGACTGAGACTGCTGACGATCTATTGGAACTTCCCTGAAGTTCCCGCATCGAATATGTCTTAATTGTATTCCCGCAAATACCGGCGCCAAGTATGAACGTTTCAGAGACTTGAGGCCTTCCGATTGTACCCGGTGGCCTCTGAGAATAGGGTGATTACCTTGGGATGATCGTCCATCCTTTGACGAATTCTTCTTTGTTCTCCGTGCCTGGGAGGGTGAGGTACGTTCGTTTCGCTTGCTAAATGGATACGATGATGATCTGCGATGCCTTTCGCTGCTTAGTAAGGTCCTTTAAAGGTGTTTATCTTTTGTTATGTGCAAGCTTCCGACGATCGTTATCGTAGCACTTTGCAAGAGTTCTTCTTGCGTTTGGTGTTACTTCGCGAATGGCTAAACATATATATACCTGCACTGACCTACGTTCTTTCCTTCGACTTGTAACTTGTATGTATATCAAACACAATCACATAACGTTCCACGCGTTCTCTTATCACCATCCTAGCCGATACACACGCATCACCTTCACATTCGTCAAGCTCATCACCATGGAGAACATCCCTCTTCCTACCCGTCCCCCCTCCATGTTTTATGGCCCTCACGTCGCCCAATACAGTCCTTACCAGGACCCTACTTCCCCCGGCGTCTACCACTACGACGAGAACGGCAATGCGTACACGGTCGCAAGGGATCACCGCGTTGTTTGGGCACCCGAACACAATGTCGAATTGTATCCAGAGATGTGCGCGTTCGACGAGCCACCTCCTCCCGGTATGCTACGAGGCATATTCCCGCCTCGCTCGCCCATCTTCGAGGCGAATAGGCTTAACAACCAGCCTTGTCTCGAGTGGAATTGGAAAGCGATCAATGAGACAGGCCTCGGATTACAATGGAACTGGAAGCTCGGCATGCATCGTCTCCCGCCCGGGTACACTCCGCAGGACCTCACGCGGGAATTATTCATGTCCCCCGACATCCCGTTCAAATATCCTTTGGTCGAAAGGTGTGACGACGGCTTTACTCAGTTCCGAGTGCACGTGAGTTTTAACAGCGGGAATTGCACCAAAGTCATATTGATCTGATCTATTCCGTTGTTGATTCCGTTGTTGGTAGGACATCATCATGATGGGTCATGATGACGCCAGGACCGAGATCCTCGCGACCGGCGGTATGGTCACGCTCGCCGCCCGGAATGATGATCGCATGTACGAGATCTATGCGTTCGGCCAAGGACTGTTCCACTGCATGGCGATGTTACGCTTGTGCAAGGAGCACACTCCTCGAAGTTGGTTCCCGCTTTGTGCCGGTTTATACCGGATCAACATCATATACAAACGATGGGAGAAACTTTGGCGGATGACCAGAGAACAGTCGGCGAAGAAACTTCCCGCCTTCTCGGCGGAGACTCTGGCGACGTTCCGAGAAGAATCGACTCGAGCGAACAAGATGTGTCGATGTCTACACAACGGTCTCATGGGCGAGTGCAGCTAGACCGGTGAGTATACGCTACGTATGTCTCCCAAATTTGTTTCCCGCCGATCAGAACCGTATTAATCTTCTGATATTCAGGTCCATCATAAAGCTATAAAGCTATATTCATTTATACTATCATAATCAACATATTTCTCGTCGCGCTATTCTACGCCTCTACGCCATGCTCCATATAATACAAGACAGATAGATGTTTAGGAAGATCAAATATATTTGTGCCGATGTTTGAGGGGCAATGACATATACGAGTCACCATTTGAAGCCACCGGGAAATGACAATGCATACGATGACTTGCCCAAGGATATGAACTCCTAAGAAACCATTGTTCCCGTCTCACGTCAGATCATTAGTTCTCTATTCCCGCCCTCATAACCCAACGTCAACGATGTTCCCGCCACCGATCGGCATCCAGCTGTCAGCGTCTAGCTCAAGCTCACAAACAGGTCACCTTATTGCTCTGCTTCAAATACTTCGATGGCCAGGCTTTGAATTGTCAGAACCGGGCAGTGGTGTTCACGAACGAAGGATTATCCTCATAAGGGTTGGCGTTTCAGATTGGCCAAGAGTTTCACACTCTACCATTGACAGTGAGACAGATGATGCGACGGGGCTATGTAATTTCGTATTCATGGTGCAATGGTGCAACGGCGCACGTCTGGCAATTCTTTTTGCACTGAAGATTTCACAGCAATTTAGTGTTCGATTCTGGAGTGTGTACCTTTCGGCGTCAATGTTTTTGGCGGGAATGCGCTATTTTTGGGCGGGAATTGTTTGAACAGTTGTGTCACACATTCGACACGGTATCGTTGACACCACAGGTCACATCCACAACAACATACAATAACGGAGATGCAATAACAGAGGACATTCGCTACACAAAATCACTGCAGCTCGGCTGCCCCGGGCACAAGAATAATCAACCTATTTAATTCTGTTTGTGAGAAGTTGGGTGGACTATCGCCCCATTCCCGCTTCTTGGCTTTTTCCGAACACCCTTGTAACACTAATTGCGTCAAAAGGGCCCTCATATTTGTTTGTTGCTGTTCTGTCACGGGGAGGCTAGAATACGTCGACGCGGGAGTTGTTGGGCGGTTCGGGGCGTTTTGGTACTATAGCGGCCGTTTCGTTGTGACTTAGTCCACGATACAGAAGGTAACGGTATGATGAACTTCGATATCGTCGCTTAGAACCCAATTCGGTTCTAAGCTCCTCATTCTACTCTACAATAGATCGCCCTCCTCTAAACTACGTTGCGGCGGTGTGTTCGACCGGTCGAGAGCGCGTCTTGGGCTTAATCGGGCGGAAAGGCCAAATAAAGGCGCGTTCCGTAGCGCGTCGGGATAAGTCCGAGGTTATGCTGAGCCGACGTTCCGGTTCCGATCGTCACTCGGTGACATTACATCCCCCTTTCCGAAAGAAGGTCGTCCTCGACCTTCTATAAGGTACCCTTCCGCCGATCCTCGTCCTTTACGCTTCTCGCGCGCCTACGTCATCGCGCTTCGCGACTTTTAGCGCGTCAAACTCTATTCTTGTCGATATCGTTCTTGTATTGTCTCGATACTACGATCGTCGTATATCGTTTGCCTCGTCGTACTTTGATGCTATTGTTCGCTGTAAGTCCTCGTTTGTATGTAGTAAAAGCGCAGCTGCGCTTATGCGTTTGTATCCGCGATTGTCGAGAAGCAAACAGTATATAGTCTCGACCGTTTGTTCTTGTCGATTCTTGATTTCCCCCTTCGACAACTACCACCAATACTCTTTCATACCAAATAGCCCTCCACCTCTTCAATATGTCCTCTAACGCCAAGCCTGCCGCCCCCGTCGTCGAGACTTCCGCCACCGGTGTGAAGTCGATCAAGTTCCGCGGTCAGTCTTTCGCCGTCGGTCAGAGGGGGGTCGGGAGCGATTTGGGCGATGCCGCCGACGCCAAGAAGGGTTTCGTACGTATCCGTCTCTTATCTCGGCGTTCTCAGACTTTTCCGCCTCTAATCGTCTCCGTTCCGTAGCTCGTCCGCCTCAAAGAGGCCCTCGCCCGGTGGGAGAAGACCATGGTCCCCGCCAAAGGCTGTACGAGCTGCCGGGCGTGGCGGGACGATCCCGCCGAAACGATGGTCTTCGCCGAGTGCCGAGCGAAGAGGAAGGCCAACGGTGGCTTTCAGTCCTGCCTCGAGTGCAACGCTCGGGGTTCTTCGAAGTGTTCGTTCGTGAAGGTTCGCCGGGATAGCCCGGAAAAGATGAAAGCGGTGATGGTGAGCTTCTTTTGGTCTCCGGTCCTCGACTATTCCGTACTAATCCTGGCTTTTCCGTCTTTTGTTTCGCAGGTCGAGGTCGCTTCGGCCTTGAAGTCCCAGGCCGCCGCCGCCGCCACCAAGGCCCAGAGGTTGGAGTTCCTCCGCCTCCAGCGGAAGCTCCGCCGTTCCGCCGGCCTCTCCGCCGCCGACTCGGACGCCGACTCGTCCATGGGCGAGGAAACGTCTGAGTCTGAATAGACTCGTCTTCTTTTTTCTTGTTTTTGTTCTTTTTATGTTTTTTATTCGTTGTAAATCTTTTCCGATCTTGTACTCTTTTGGGCTTTTCGGCCGGGCATACTCCCGGCGATATAAATACTATACCTCGCTGTCTCTTCTCGCTCTTCTCTCGTACGCTACCTCCACTACTTTCCTCTCACGCTACCTGCACCGTCCCCTACTTTCGCATCTCAGTCCGTTGCATATCTTCCCGGTCCACGGCGGAAACAGGCCTTTCCGCCCGTTTTGGTGCACCCGGATTTAAGATATGGAAGTCTTCAATCAACTCCTCCGCCTCAATGTCTTCCTCTCGTACCCATTCCACTGCATCGGGTCCTGTGTACCCCCGCCATTTTACCTTGTATTCGATTCCCTTCCCCTTGCGCTGTCGAGAGTCAAGAATCCTCTCCAGCTCGAACTCTTGCCCGTCGTCTGGTATCTCCTCGGTACTGTCGGGGGCTTTTCGGTACGTTTCCGCCGCCTCCCAGAAGGGTTCTAGTTGACAAACGTGAAATACATCGTGCCTTTTCCAACTCTTTGGTAGTTCGATGCGGTAGGCCAGATCTGCGACCTTCTCCTTGACTCGGTAAGGACCCAACCATCTCGCCGCCAATTTCTTGGTAGGGCGATACCTCTTCACCACTTCGCTGTCTAATAGCACTCGATCGCCTACTTTTATCAACGGCTCCTGGCTTTTCCGCCCTTCGTCATACGACGCTGTCCGCTGATTAGCGACCGCTATCCAGTATTGAGTCTCCCTCCACATTTTGTCGAAGTCCTTGACCATAACTCCGGCCGTGGGCGATTCGGTACTGAAAAGTTCCCCTTCGACATCGAATCGAGGATGATAGCCATGATTCGCAAAGAACGGAGTTGTGCGAGTTGCCGAATGCACCGAGTATAAGGCCTGGCAGCCGACCTGCCGGGTCTTGAGGTAATAAGGTCGCGGGACTGGGGAAAGGTAACGATAGGCATAGTAATGTAATAACGGATGTCTAACTACTACAAGGTACTAGTTAGACGTCTACGAGATCATCTCCTAAAGGGTCTCCGAGAGAGTCCCCGAGAGGGTCTCCGAACGAGACCCCGAGGCGACGCGCACCGTAGGTCGCGCGTCACGTGACGCCTATAATAGGATCCCCCTCCTAGATGCGAGCTCCGAACGCATCAAGCATCGCCGTACTCCTGACGGCCCGGTACCGGCAACTCAGGGTGTCGCTTATGGAATTCCAGCACCAGCGTGTCGTTGTGGTGGAAGTCCGAGGGGCTAACCCACTCGTTGTGCTCGTCCCCGTACCCCTCAAAGCGCACGTAGTACTGAGTCCTACGCCCGGCGCGCGTCGAACGCAACTCCTTGGAGTGTACGATTTCCGATACCACCCACCCCAAATCCCCGGTGTCCAGCACCTCTGGCTCAGGGGGTGGGTCTACTGCTCTCCCAGGAAGCTCGTTCGGCTTGTACGGGATTAGCAGCGAGACATGGAACACCGGGTGGATCCTACGCATCCCCGGTGTCAACTCCAAACGTCGCGCCATGCGACCTTCTCCTACGACCTCCGTGATCTTGAACGGGCCGTAGGTCTTCCACTCCAACTTCTTGTTCGGCCTCACGGTATTGACGTGGGCCGACGACAACATCACCATGTCGCCAACATTGTACCCCTCGTCCGGTACCGCCGTACGCTTCCGATTCGCGTACTTCGCCATATCCTCTCGGGCCTGTCTCAGCGCGACATTAACAGACTCCCAGATGTTGTTCATCCGCTCTCTGTACTCCTGTATCGACTCCACAGCCGAATCCTTGGCGATAGGCATGGGGAGTTCGACGGCGTGCTCCCGCCCTTCCGATGCCATGAACGGCGACATACCGATCGCCGAGTGTTTCGAGTTGTTGTAGGCGAACTCCGCCATGGGCAACAAATCGGTCCAGTCGTCCTGCTGGTAATTGACGTACGTCCGCAAGTACTGTTCGAGCGTCGAGTTACTGCGCTCCGTCTGACCATCCGTCTGGGGGTGGAAGGCGGTCGAATAACTAGGCTCGACACCGGACAACTCACAGAACTCCCTCCAGAACCTCGATGTGAACAGCGTTCCCCTGTCCGAGATGATCTGCCGGGGAAATCCATGCAATCGTACCCACTCCTGCAGGAACATCTGCGCCAACACCTTGGCGTCGTTGTCCTTCCGACAAGGCACGAAATGTGCCCGCTTGCTGAAGCGGTCGACGATCACCAGGATCGCGTTCGAACCCCTCGACTCCGGTAGGTCCGTGATATGGTCCCACGTGATCGACTGGTAGGGTTCCGTCTCCGCCTTCAGGGGAGCCAGCTCCCCGACTGGCTTGGCCCTTGGCCTCCGATTCCTCTGGCACTTGTCGCAGCTAGCCACATACTGGCTAATCCACGCCTTCATACCCGGCCAGTAGAAATCTCTACTCACCAGGTCCTCCGTCTTGTCCCGCCCGTAGTGTCCGGCGGTTTTCCCATCATGGAGCCTCTTCAAGAGCTCCGTCTTCAAGCTTCCCGCATCGGGAACGTACACCAGCCCGTCGTACATGAGCGCGCCTCCCGGGCTCAGACTGTACCGACTATTCGTCAAGGTTCCCTCCTTGACGCCTTTGATCAGGTCTCTCGCGGCCGGATCTTCTTGTCCCGCAGGGATCAACGCTTTCAAAAACCAATCCCCTATGACGGGGATCGTTCCGCACAACCTCAACGGGGGTTGTACCGTCGCTGCGCTGACCACCAACGCGTCTGCATTAACGGGGCGCAGCAGGGTCTCTGCCTGCTTGGGCTCCGTCTCCTCCATCAACTCCTCTCTCCTGCTGAGCGCGTCAGCCTTCCCGTTCTCTGTCCCCGGCTTGTACTCCAACGTGTACGAGATTTGGTTCAGCAGTTGAGACCATCTCGCTTGTCGGTGGGACAACATCTTGTCCTTCTTGAAGTACTCCAGGTTCTTGTGATCCGTAAGGATCCTCACCGGGAACTTCCCGTCTAGGTAATGCCGCCATATCTGGCAGCAGTACACGATGGCGAGCAGCTCGCGATCGTGTACGTCGTAGTTTCGTTGAGCCGGCGTAAGGCTCTTCGACATGAACGCCACGGGATGTAGTTTCCCGTCGTCCCCTACCTGCGACATCACCGCTCCCATCGCACCTGACGATGCGTCCGTCTCCAGTACCACCTGGCGCTCCTCGTCGTAATGAGCGAGGATGGGCGCCTCGGTGAACGCCTTCTTCAACTCCTTGAAGGCAGCATCCGCTGACTCCGGCCAGTGGTACTTTACCCCTTTCTTCGTCAAGGCCGTCATGCCTTGAATCTTCTTGGAGTAGTTCTGAATGAACCGGCGATAGTAATTCGCGAACCCCAAGAACGACTGCAGGCCTCGAATATTTCGGGGCGCCGCCCACTCCAACACCGACTTCACCTTCGACGGATTCATGCTGACCCCCGTAGGGGCAATATCATACCCCAAGAACTCCGTCGCCGTCGTGTCAAACTCACACTTCTCCGCCTTTGCGTACAGGCCATTCGCCTGTAGCCTCCTCAGCACTTCCCGTACGTGCTCGTCGTGCGTCTCCTGATCGGCGGAGTAAATCAATATGTCGTCTAAATAGACGACCACACACACGTCTAACATGTCCTGGAAGACCTGATTCATCCAGCGCTGGAACGTCGCCGGCGCGTTTGTCAAACCGAATGGCATGACGAGACATTCGAACAGACCATAGCGTGTCGTGAACGCGGTCTTCCAAACATCCTCTTCTTTGACCCTCAGGAGGTTGTACGCTCCCCTCAGGTCCATCTTCGTATATACCTTCGATCCCCGTAGGCGATCTAAGGTCTCCGAGATAAGCGGCAGGGGGGTCCTGTCCTTCTCGGTAATTTCGTTGAGGCGGCGGTAATCAATACACAGCCTCAATTCACCCCCTTTCTTCGGTACGAACAGTACCGGACTCGAACACGAGGATTTCGAGGGTCGAATAAACCCTTTCGCCTGGTTCTCCGCCAACCACGCCTTGAGAGCGTCCGTCTCCTTCTGCGAGTGGTTGTACAACTTCCCATACGTGGGAGTTGTGCCAGGCTTCAGCTCGATCGCATGATCGATCGAGCGCTTCGGAGGCAGCGAGTCTGCCTTCGTCTTGGAGAACGCTCCGAGGTACTCATGGTACTTCTTCGGCACAACGTCTCGCAACTTCTCCATGTACTCGGGAGGATCGAGTTCGTTTTGAATCGAGTCGGTGGGCTTGACGTCCCAGTCCCACAGGTCCGGCCTGCGGGCCCGCTCCTCATCCTCCCTCGTCATCTGCATTTGAGCCACCACGAGATTCTCCGTGATCGGCTCCTTCATTCTCGACAGCGGATCGATATTCCGCGTTTCTATCTCCACCTCGTCGGGGGAGCATACTACCTCTACCTTCTTGACGCATCCCTTCTTCAAACAGTCGTCCGCGAAGGTGACCGTATTCGTATCCCACTGGATGTGTGGGCTATGGTGTCGTAACCATGTAATCCCGAGGACCGCCGCGTACCCACACAAATCCGTCAAGAAGAACTCCGCCTTCTCTTGGTGCAATCCTGTCCGCACAATAGCATGTGCCTTCTGGGTGATCTGACCACCCACTATCTCTCTTCCGTCGATGACCGTGACGGTCCTAGGGTTCTCTAGGTCTATCACATCAAAGTTATGGATCCTCGCGAACGTCCGATCCATGAACATACCCGTCGCGCGCGCCCCCGGCGGCGACCTAGGGCTGGAGATATAGGTGATGGACATCATCACTAGCACATTGTATGCAGAGTAGTCCAGCCAGCCTATCATCATCCCTTCATAGCAGCCTGTGCTTGCCTCCTCGTGGCGACGCATGCAGGATTGAGCCCGCTGGTGAGAGGTCTGCCGTTTTTTTCCACGAGTCCACGTCCACGATCACCCACGTAGTCAAATTTTCAACGTCCACGTCGACCGAATCGAGCAGTTACTCAGCCGCCGAACAACAACGCATGGAAGAGCGACGAGCTCGTACTAGAACAGACCAGATCGAGAGACTCCGAAAGTGCAAAGGAGGAGAGGAACGGGTCACCCAGATCCTTCTTTATCGACTACCCGGTTGGAGCCTGACACACCTCGACGAGCTCTACAAACCAGTCGAAGTCGAAACAGAGCCGGAGATCCCTTTACCTTCGCCTCCATTCAGAGCATCGCAGAACTCGCCCTTGACTCCACCATCATACCAGTCTGACGACCAGGGAGGACCGAACCCTGAAGAGCTATCCAAGAAGCTGAAAGCGATCGAGATCGAACAGAACCGAACGAATCTCGCGATGATTTCGCCACTCCCCCGATGTACCGGTACCGAACTCGTCGGAGAATGGCTCAATTCGTTTGAGGCCGGGATGTTGGACAGGAACGTGGACGAAGACGATCTGAAGATGGCCAAGTATTGGAAGACGTGTATCGTGAACGACAGCCCGGCGCAAGCCTGGTACGACACGTTGGCGGAACAAGAACGCAAAAGCTTCGACTCGATGCGATCGAGCTACAAGAATCTCTTCGCTAGCACGAGGATCAAGTCGGACGCGGAGAGTCTCCAAGATCTGAGGAAGCTGAAGATCACTGACCAAGAACTGAACACTCGAGAGGCGAACGGAAGCCTGCGACATGAGTCGTTCGCTAGGGAGCTCCTCACCGCTGCCTCCCGCATCCCAACCGCGGCTATGTCGGACAACTTGAAGGCGAGTACTATGCTCGAAGGCTTGGGTCCCGAACTCAAGAAGCACCTACGCCTGACGTTGGGTAGGAATCCCGGAGTAAGGGAGGTCGTAGACGGGATTAGGGGTTTGACGGAGCTCGACATCGACGTCATGATGGAGCCTTACCGATGGAGGAAGCAGTTGGAGGAGATCCGCCGAGCTGAGACGAGCAGGGGCAGATCGTTCGGTTCTCAGATCGATCCTGGCCAGTCGGGGTTGCGACAGACCCCCTATCAACAAGAACCCATATTCCAGCGAGACGCAGCTGCGAATAGCGAAAACCAAGCGGTCGCGATCCCGATCGGACCTTTCAGCCTCACTCCGGAGGGGCAGCAGGCGTATACGGACGCGACGAAGGCGTGGTATGCGAGGTACGGCTTCGGTACACCATCTAGCTTGTCGAAGCCGTTCCCGATGTCGCCAGGCACAGCTAAGCCCGGCTCAGGCGAGTGCTTCAGGTGCGGTAACCTAGGGCATTTGAGGCCTCAGTGCAACGGGCGGGAAATCCCGGAGAACGAACAACGATACAGAGGTCAGGTCATGAACGAAGGCAGGCGACGACAAGGGCAACAACAAGGCCCAGCGAGCGGCAGGAATTACGGCTCGGGAGCGAACGCAACGGTGCCTATCCGAGGATTGATGGCTAAGTCCGGGTTCGGGCTGCCTGACGCATACGACAACGGCCTGGAAGGACCCGCGTGGGACCCGCCTTTTTGTGAAGCGGGAAACGACGAGGGGTTCGACCTGTAGCGGACGGCCGGATCCCGACGAAGATACCGCATGGTGAGACGAAGGTAGGAGGAGGTGAGGGCGAACGTCGGGAAGGTGTCGGGGAAGAGGTGCTGCGGGTAGGCCGAGTAGGTGGGGACGGAAGAGTGAAAGATCTAACAGACGAAGGATGGAGCGGAGAATACAATGAGGACGACGAAGAGGACGGACTAGCAAGAGGGCTGTCGGCGGGGATGCCGTTGAGGGACACGACAGTGACGGAGGACCCAATCGTCATGCCGCTGATTCTGAACGGTTGCATAAACGTTGACGGCATGGCGGACAACGGGGCGATGGTCAATGCGATAAGCTCATCATTTTACAAGAAACATCGGGCTTCGCTGGGTGAGACGACTGGCACGGCTCGTTCGCTGACTTCGGTATCGGGAGAGCGGATTGCATCGGGAGGACGCCTGAAGGTCGCGCATGAGCTGGTACACCCTGATGGCAGCGTGTACGTGAAGGCGACATTCTTCGTGATAGATACGCGGGATTCGTGGGACGTATTATTGGGGAAGCCTTGGCTCAGAACGGTCGGGGCGAAAATCGATCATACGGACGACCTAGTTGTGGTGAGTCTGGATGATGGGACAACCCGGTGTTGGGCAGGCGACGGGCCAAGACGCCATCGGGACGACGATAACGGCTTCGCGGAACAGCCGATACGAAGCTTAGGGTTAGGAAAGGACCTATCGGAGGAAGAACATAAAGTGGAAGTCCTCAAGAGGGTAAAGATCGGCGAAGACCTGACGGGCCCGCAGAAGGAGAGAGTGTTGAACCTGATTGCGGCTTACCATGGGGTATTCGCGGTCGATATGAGCGAACTTCGACCCTGTAGACATACGGGACATAGGCTCGAGGTGGATGGGAGCTCGAGGCTTACGAAAACGGCGTTTGGGAGGCCGATGAGCGATATACAGCTGAAAGCTGCGGTCAAGCTAGTCGACAATATGCTAGCCGCCGACATCATAGAGCAAGTCACGCCCGAGGTGCCGAAGTGTGTCGCGCCTACGGTCATGGTAGTGAAGAAAGGAAAGATGGAGCAGGAAGACGTGGATACGCTAGCCCAACTAGCAGATGCCGCGTTGAGGGCCGCAGGTGGGACGGAACTATGGAAGGAGGTGGAAGGGAGAATGGAAAAATCGTATCCGTATACGTCGACTGAGCGACCCTTTTCAGTCGGTACTAGGCAGGGAGGCCTGAAAGCCTCCCAAGCCCTCGCGGTGAGTTCCGATAGTGAATCTCGCCGCAACAAGGGAGCAGACACTGCTGATGTACCTGTCAGCAGTGCACCGAAGGAGACCGAGTTCAGGATGTGCCACAACTTCGGCCAGTTGAACAAAGCGACCCCGGTACTGAGTTTTCCGCCTGGAGACTTGGAAATGATGGTGAAACGCCACGCGGGTAGGCGCTGGATCTGTCAAGCCGATGGATTAGGAGCTTTTTTCTGGATTCCGGTGCGAGAAATCGACAGGCCGTACCTGTGTTTTTTCATACCAACCAGGGGCTACCTGATGTACAAACGCACGCCGATGGGACTGAACGGATCCCCCGGCACTTACTATGTCGCTGGAACACGAACATTCGGGCACTTACTGAACCCTGGGCGCTGGGACCGATGGATGGACGACTTTTTCACGGGTAGCGACGAATTCGAGACCCTCCTGTCAGATTTGGAGGCTTTCCTAAAAGCGGCTCAGAAGGACGACTACAAACTCTCAGCTGGAAAAATGTACCTCTTTGTATCGGAGGCAACAGTCGGGGGACATGTACTCTCGAGAAGAGGGATTGCTCCCGACCCGCAGAAGGTAGCCGCGGTGGTGAAATGGCCGAAGTTACACACCTCCCACGACGTGCTTTCGTTCGTCAATACAGCGGCTGTCTTTCGTAACTTCATTCCGAGGTTCGCCGACATAGCTGAGCCGCTATACAAACTGACTCAGTTGACGGGAAAGAGGGACGTAGGGAACAAACGAGGCGCCTACAAACGAGCGCTACAGGGAGAGATGATCGATGACCGATGGACGGAAAAACACGAGATCGCGGTAGGGCTTCTGAAAAAAGCGCTCACATCATGGCCGGTTTTAGTCGGTCCTCGATTTGACGGGACACCGTTCTACCTCTCGACGGACGCTTCCAGCTCGGGGATCGGCTGCCATCTGTGGCAGAAGGACGAAAACGGGTGCAAAAGGTCGATCGCCTATCTTTCCAGACAGACCACTGAAGTAGAGAGCCGGGCTCATTCATCAACTCTCGAGTTGATAGCGGTAAAGTTCGGACTCGATAAATGTTCGAGGTATACGTACGGTTTCCCGGTCGTGGTGCAGACTGATTGCCAGGCTGTTCGAGACTTACTACGCTCGGAGACGACCGCGGGCCCGAGAGCTGCATGGAAAGAGGCGATATGTGCCGCTGGTATCGTCGAATTCGAACACGTACCGGGCGTCTCTAACACGATCGCGGATGCGTTGTCAAGAAACCCATCGGGGGAACCAGAAGAAACAAAGGCTACGACGACAGCCGAGGAGGAGATGGGAGGATCCCCCCTGACGATTCAAGTGAACTCGTTAACTACGGACGAAGATATAGCGCTCCTGGACAGATTCGCCGACGATGACCTCGAGGATGTGCTGAGATGGATTCTACAACGAGACATCGACATGGTGGACAAAGAGCTACTAGGGGATGTCAAACGCAGGGCGGCGAGGTACTGGATAGAGGATGGGAGCGTGGTAAAGTATAGGGTCCCGGGACACGGAGCGGTAACGGTTCTGCCTAAGACAGAAGGGTTCGACTTCGCGATGAAGAATCACGTCGAAAGTGGTCACTTGGGACGAGACCTGGTTCAGGCCCGGATACTCGCGACGCACATTTGGGCCGGCTCAAGGAAGGATATCGACAGGGCGCTACACGAATGCAAACGCTGTGTTCAGTTCGGAACCAGGATGCAGCGCCTATTACTGAAGCCGGTATTCGAATTTGCCCCGTTTGCGCGAGTCGCGATGGACTACCTAGCGATGCCCGTCGGCAAAAACGGCGTAGACAATATACTAGTCGCCGTCGACGTGTTTTCGAGGTTCATGGTCGCTTACCCGTTTAAAGGGAACGGAACAGCCGAGAAGACGATAAAGAGCCTAGAGGACCTGAGTAGGACGTACCGAAGGCCGAAAGCACTCTTACTGGACAACGACCGCGCTTTCGACAACGCGGCGGTGAGAGAATGGTGCGGAGCGGATACTACCCTCGATTTCGCTGCTCCTTACGAACATGTCGGCTTAGCTGAAAACGGAAACCACCTGCTGTTGGAGCGACTACGACGATTGGCGAATTTGGATGTGGAACACGTCCCCACTGTTTTACGACCCCCGTATCCGAGAAACTGGCCAGAAGTACTCCAAGGGTCGGTAAAAGCGCTGAATGATAGAAAGCTGACTTATCTCGGGGGCTTGTCGCCGAGAGAAGTATTACTAGGACCGGAACAAGGGGGTGGAGAAGAAATACCAACAGTACCGCAACGGCTGGCGCTGCTCGAAGCGGGTAGAGCGGATGCGAGGGACGCGTTTCGAGACGAACAAGAGAGGCGAAAAGGTAATTCGAAGGAATGGAACAGTTATTACCCGTCGGTGGGTCACCTCGTCCTACTGTACGATACCTCGGACGACAGGACGTATTCCACCGAAGCGAAACTTAGGCCTAAGTGGCAGGGACCCTGGCGCGTACGAAAGATCGCAGGCAACAGGTCTGTGACGCTCGAAACGTTAGAGGGCCTCCCGAGGAAAGGCACAGTCGGATTTCGGAGGCTGAAGAGGTGGATAGGGGAAGAAGACGGAGACGGAGACGGGAAGGAGGGGGACGATGGAGGAGAGGTAGATGACGAGAGGGACGACGATCGGGACGACAACGACTTGGATACAGCGGACTTCAATAACGACAATACGAATACATAAACATCACTCATCACGAAACGGAAACATAAAAACATCACTCATCACGAAACGGAAACATAAAAACATCACTCATCACGAAACGGACACATAAAAACATCACCCATACGACACGGATACATAAAAGAAAGAAACATCACTCATCACGACACGGACACATAAAACATAACCCACCACGACACGGAAAGATAAAAACATCACTCATCACAGCATAAAACACATCGACACAATCACGGATACACTCACGCAGCATACTCGACAAACGGATACACATCACGACAACAACCTCACATCATTACGGACACACAATCATCCTCACAACGACAAAAAGCATCTCATCGAAAACATAAACACAAATCCAAAAGAAGGAGGGGACGAGGACGGCGGTGCCGATGGACCGGGGACGAGAACCACGGCATACGACACGAACAGTCGGGAACGACATCACGATAACCGACCTGGATGGACGACAACCCACGACACCGCTCAAACATTTTTTCTTCTTTCCACATCACGAGCGAGGGTAGAGTCGGCCAGCTTGAGGGGAGGGGAGCGCGCGCGCCCCCGGCGGCGACCTAGGGCTGGAGATATAGGTGATGGACATCATCACTAGCACATTGTATGCAGAGTAGTCCAGCCAGCCTATCATCATCCCTTCATAGCAGCCTGTGCTTGCCTCCTCGCCGTGGCCCCCGAATCTACCATCATCACTGCCTGCACAGGAATCCCCTGCGGGTAGAACACTCCTACCAGAGTGAGGTGGCTCTCCGGACCACTAGGGTTACCGCTAGCACCAATGTGCAGCGGGATCCCATCACTACCCCTTTTCGCGTTCCCAGCCGGGGTCCTTTGGTGATCCGTTATTCTATAAGGCCTGGCAGCCGACCTGCCGGGTCTTGAGGTAATAAGGTCGCGGGACTGGGGAAAGGTAACGATAGGCATAGTAATGTAATAACGGATGTCTAACTACTACAAGGTACTAGTTAGACGTCTACGAGATCATCTCCTAAAGGGTCTCCGAGAGAGTCCCCGAGAGGGTCTCCGAACGAGACCCCGAGGCGACGCGCACCGTAGGTCGCGCGTCACGTGACGCCTATAATAGGATCCCCCTCCTAGATGCGAGCTCCGAACGCATCAAGCATCGCCGTACTCCTGACGGCCCGGTACCGGCAACTCAGGGTGTCGCTTATGGAATTCCAGCACCAGCGTGTCGTTGTGGTGGAAGTCCGAGGGGCTAACCCACTCGTTGTGCTCGTCCCCGTACCCCTCAAAGCGCACGTAGTACTGAGTCCTACGCCCGGCGCGCGTCGAACGCAACTCCTTGGAGTGTACGATTTCCGATACCACCCACCCCAAATCCCCGGTGTCCAGCACCTCTGGCTCAGGGGGTGGGTCTACTGCTCTCCCAGGAAGCTCGTTCGGCTTGTACGGGATTAGCAGCGAGACATGGAACACCGGGTGGATCCTACGCATCCCCGGTGTCAACTCCAAACGTCGCGCCATGCGACCTTCTCCTACGACCTCCGTGATCTTGAACGGGCCGTAGGTCTTCCACTCCAACTTCTTGTTCGGCCTCACGGTATTGACGTGGGCCGACGACAACATCACCATGTCGCCAACATTGTACCCCTCGTCCGGTACCGCCGTACGCTTCCGATTCGCGTACTTCGCCATATCCTCTCGGGCCTGTCTCAGCGCGACATTAACAGACTCCCAGATGTTGTTCATCCGCTCTCTGTACTCCTGTATCGACTCCACAGCCGAATCCTTGGCGATAGGCATGGGGAGTTCGACGGCGTGCTCCCGCCCTTCCGATGCCATGAACGGCGACATACCGATCGCCGAGTGTTTCGAGTTGTTGTAGGCGAACTCCGCCATGGGCAACAAATCGGTCCAGTCGTCCTGCTGGTAATTGACGTACGTCCGCAAGTACTGTTCGAGCGTCGAGTTACTGCGCTCCGTCTGACCATCCGTCTGGGGGTGGAAGGCGGTCGAATAACTAGGCTCGACACCGGACAACTCACAGAACTCCCTCC